GGCTGAATTGGTTGGTTGTGGTTGAAAGTGCTGGAGGATACGAGGCCTGGCTGCAGTAGCGCCGATTCTAGCGTTTCCTCCTATCGAGTGAGTATATGCGGTATCTGCAACGTCGCTTCCATTGTACGTTGGATTTTGTGGAAGGGGCGCGCCTACCCTCTCGACCTCCGTAACAACAAGAGCAGGATTTTGGGCATGAGTAGAGGACGTAGTGAGCAGTGACGTAGTTGCAGTTTCACTCTCAGCGTATCGCATATGCAGTGGTGTACTGTATTGTACAGTACCTCGTACGAAGTACATGCCCAATACATGTACTGTACATACTATACCTTACCGTGCCATGTCCCACTTTTATTGGCCGAGTCGGATACGGAACTCACCCGATCGGATAAGTGTGGGGGGACGTACCCGAACTGAAGCAGTGTGGCACGGAGTTGAGTACGGTTAAAAAGACCGATTGTTCTGGGGTGATGAAAACGACTGTTCTAGTGCCGGGCGCTTAACCGTATCAGTTTGTGCCAAGCCATCCGTGCCCCTGAATTTTTGCGTGGCCTGACAATACTGAGGTGGAGTTAGCGGTACTTTGTCCCGGTATACCTAAGACACTTGCCTTGATGGAAAAACGTAGTTGTGATAAGTTGCCCAAGACTAGCAATTAATATGGCTGATAAGACTCCTACGTCTACACTAGCAATTAGGGGAAGAAAAAAGGTAGGGAATACCTTAGCTATACATGCAACTACGGACTAGAACGACCCATCTAGAGCTAACATCAATATAGGCAGGCTGGAAGGCAAGGCTTGCAGGTAAGGTGGGACTTGTATGGTCTTGCCGGTATGGTCTTGCCGGCACTCAGTGCCGGTACTTCGATGCCCACAAAAGTCGTTTTATCAGGGGGCAAAGTGACAACCGTCGTTAGCGATTGCGAGCGCGGGGGCATACTAGTATCGGCGTCTGCCAGGGTAGCTGATCTCGATAGCAAAAGGCCTCAATTCGTCTACGGTAGACCGATCCGCGATACGGATAGGTACGGATAGGTTCCCCTGGTTTGTCCGATATCAGCACTTGATATAAAGACAACGGCTGGCCCCAATCATCCATCTTGACCAGAAATAGCCCAACAGGAGCAATGTGCGTGTGAACCAATCACTCTAGACATTGCTAGATTCTATTGTCCTGCTTTTTATGCGGTATCATTCTCTACACGTATGGCTGTTGAGATGCATCTTTTGTGAACTTCCAGTGGGACCAGGACCCTGTCATGGGTTCGGCGCTACCGTAACAAAAATCAGGGGTTGTGCTCCGTAATTACAGTCTGTAATAAGGTTCAAGGCCCAAACCAAGAGGCAATCGTGTCTCTCGATATGGCAGCGTTCCAGAAACTTCCACCCCGCTGAAACGTCGTACTGAAACCCACTCTAATGCATACTAGCAATGCGCTGCTACGTATGTATATATGAGGCGCCTCATGCCCCTGACCGCTTGTTTTTGGAGGCTGAGGCACAGCAGGTGAGCAGATACTCTGTACTGTATTCCGTAGAATCAATTCCATTCTACATCAGACTCTCATAGTCTCACAGTGAGTCCGGTCCAGTCATGCAGCTCCACACAACTCCAATCTTGAACCTGCTCTTCACCAAGGCTCTTGTACCGCTTTGTACTGCAGCGAGTCTTGGGGCTAGTACAAAAACAACAGGTGAGGCGCAAAAGTTCGAGCCAGGACTGCATTGGAAGCTGCGCCTTGCAGGCCAGTAATGCAGAATCCCAGTCTAGGTTGCAGCAGACCTAGTGGAATTGCGGCCATCCAGGCCGGTGGAATCGGTGGAATCCCTGCCTTCCACTTCAACCTTAGGCCATCCCGAACGACACGGAATTCAGGTACCTAGCACCACGTTTTCCACTCCACTTCTTTTCCGTCAGATACCAGTCTTCCAGCCCAGTGGAATTGCATCCAGGCAACGACTAGAAATCGCGTACGCGTGCCTCCCATAGTAAAATGTCACGGGTGCCTCCGTCACTGAACTGTATGTACAGTACATACAATATGCTCTGGGTTCCTTACCTTTTATTCTCCGAATCGCAATCCTGTGTTTCCCGGTTGATTCTTACCCGTTCCATTCAGTTCGTCAAGTCCGAGTCCCTCCAAGTTGGAAGGTGCCCCCGAGGCCCAGCAAATGGGCTGATAGGGGCTGCTGCTTGGCCCTCCAGCGACATCGCCCTGACATTCTCCGGCCCGATTTGACAAGGTTATGTCATCGATTGCGTCTTCGTCGTTGTTCTGAACAAGGACTGCACATGTGTACTAAATGAATCATTGGGTGAGAAAGTCGCGCTAAGTTTTAAGGCCCTGTGAAGGATTTAGGAAGGATCTAAGCGGGCTTAGATCGGATCACCGCCAAGGTTATGTAATCCACCGGATGAGAAAGTCAACCACACGTGTTTGAAAAATACACCGAAGGAACCTTGCGGGCCCCAAACTTTGGGGCACGATTTGAATCTTTGGGGGTTACAGTCGGGCAAACGCTTAACTAGCGTTATCTTAGCCAAGATTCATGTCAGCGGCGCCAACCGTTGGCAGTTTATGTCAGGCGCCGTCTTCCTGGCCACGTGGATCTTGGCATCATCTTGGAGAAACGACTTGTGAGGGTGGTAGTAGGGAGCTAGACCGGGAATCCTCCTCCCGAGCCATGATGTACATTCATTGGCGGTGTAAAAGTACCTTACCTTACCTAAATGCTCTGGTATTGGGGGGGCCTGGTCATGATGACTAGGTACCTAGGGCTAAGCTCCCAGGGCGATTAGCTCCTTGGGGGCGACCAGCTCCCTGAGGGGATGGTACTCTATCATGGTACATGCAAACATTGGCGATATGTTAAATGATCCTTCCGCGGCGGGAAATCCTTCGTGCGAAATATAAATGCGGCAGGAACGACTGTGTCAGTCATTAGATGCCGGCACTGCAGTTATCCATTGCCCTTGCCCGCCTCGCTCCAGCACCAAAATGCCTGGACTCGGGGCCGACTCAGAGCAACAACTACGCCATGCTTGTGACCGCTGTCACTCACAAAAGCTGCGATGTCCTCGTTCAGTAGATCCGGAGAAGAACAACCCGGACGAGCCTTGCTCCCGGTGCCGCAAGGCAGGATTGGTATGTACAGTCAGTTTGCGGGGGAAAGCCGGGCGCCCTGCAAAGGTCGATAAGAAAAGAGAAAGAGCTGCCAGTGTGCGGCCAGCGGTCTTGTCACGGACAAGTACAAGTTCATATCGGTCACGGTCACCGGAGAGTGAATTTCCATTGTATGATGCTACCGCCGCTCTTAGTTCTTTTCCGAGGGAGACGGACCAGCCTTGGGAACAACATGAAGGTGTCGACGCTGTCGAAGACCATCTTATCACGGCAGTGCTGGATCTAGCCCCAAGACAAACCGTCGCCACCCCGCCGCCAACGATATCCGACGAGGTCGGCATGGAGCATCCTCCCTCTCCTCCCCCGACGCATGCCTCAGACAGACTGGTCACTTCAGAGACAGTGAGTAGCCCCAGCATGTTTCGGATTTGGACAGGACGTCAAGCAGTGGACCACTCTCTAACCACCTACCTTTGTTAGTCCTACGACTTTTTCCTTACCGACTTCGACACCAGCCTGGACCTTCCCACCTTCTGCATCCCTAATGACCTAACAAACGGGCTTGAACCGGCGGCAAAGATGCCATCCCCCATTGGCCAGACCGGAGGCACGCCGGTTGATCCAAGCTTGATGAAGGAAATGATGAGTGGGGCCTTTGACTCGAATCATATTCCGCCGGCCAGGCCACCACTACATCCCTTCTCCAGCAATGATTGCTACATGAAGCTCTCGGATCTTAATGCCAGGATTCTCGCCTCTTATACAGAGACAACATCCTCAGCAAGCACGTACAGCACCCAAAACCTCAAAGTTGCGGTTGGCTTTTGTGGCGAGTTGATCGATGTGGCTCGCCGCAGTTTCACGCATTTCGTGGGCTTCTCCCCGCCTTCGAGTAGCCGAAGCAGTGTTTCCAGGTCAACACTTTCCGGGACGGAGCACCCTACAGCATCTCGCCCAAGAGAGGCGTCCATCAACTCGGGCCTCAGCGTGGACGACATGGAGTGGACGGGCCCCGAATCGCTCACAAACAACCCATCAATAATTGTTCCCGACTCGGCGGTCATCTTCCTTCTGCTCGGATGCTACACGCAGATCCTGCGTCTATTTGAGGTCACCACTAACCACCTGTGGGCCTGGTATGGTGACGATGAGATGCCAGCAACCAGCAGTAACCAGCACAGCTCGGGTATTGTTAGTAGTCCACTGCTGGAGGCGGCCTTGGCAGTACACACCGTGGGGTACCTTCTCGGCCGGCTGAACAAGGCGTTTACCATTGACGAGCCTGGGTGTCATCCGGGGGCAGGGGACGGCGCGTCTAATGTCCAGAGGTGGAAGAGGTCTTTTCTTGGTGGCAAGGAGCTTGATGACGGTCTTCTGGCACGGGCATTCGACGAGATTACCGGGCGGGAGCAGCGGTTGATGAGGAGGACGCAGGATCTCCAACAGAGGATAAACTAGATACTGTATAACCAGTGATCCGACTTGCCCAGCGCTCTCCGGACGATCCAGGGATGAGGCTGGCTCCCGGGTTGCAATAATGGTCTGTCTTCCGGGGTGAATCCGAAGACGGCAGTTAATGGTCGCCAATTATTTGCGGAGATTTAGACCGAGCCAGACTGCTGTATTTGTCAAATTGCCATCTTTCGACGAATAGCTGAACAAATAGATACATGTAGCTTCCATGCAACAGCATCCCAATACCGGAGTTTACAGAAAAGCGCCGCTCTTCACACATGCCTCCATGACAAACCCAGTGATTAGGTGGGCAATGGCAAGAGCATAGCACCAGCCAGAAAACCCATTCCAGCTCTCTAGAAGCTGCCAATGTGTGAGGGCAACCATCAGGACCAACCATAATGCGAGACCGGCAATAGAGAACATGTAGTAGAACTGTCCCATGCCGACCGAGGTGCCCAAGGTCATCAAGAGCCCAACAATGGAGATGGTAATAACGGCGAAGAGACCCTCGAGGTGATTACGGAAGCGGACGGCCATACCCTTGACCCCTGACTTGAGGTCGTCAGCAGTGTCCCGGCGGGCGTAGACAACATCGTAGAAGACGACAAGCAGCATGATTGCGGCCGAGAGACACAGCGTTGGGGTAACGTAGGACGCAGAGAGCGCAGGCAGACCGACCGAGTAGGCCGCCAAAGAGATGGTAGAAGCCAGCGTAGACCCGAGAATAACTTGGGCAAAGTGTGTGAAGCGCTTGCCAAACGGGTATATTATTGCCAGCACGATGGTCCCGAGCGCGACGTAACTGCATTCACGCGGCAGAGGCTGGAGGGATGCGAGTCCGAGGGCGGTCAGGGCCAGGGCGAAGACGACTCCCTCGGTGGTCGAGACGGCGCCACGAGCAACGGGCCGATTGCGACACCGCGCTGTCTGGCGGTCGAGATCCTGGTCGACAATGTCGTTCCACGCGCAGCCGGCTCCACGCAAGAAGAAGGTCCAGATCGCAAAGATGCAGGCTCGGTGGCCCAGAGTGGAAAGCGGCACAGGGGTCGACTGGACGGCGGACGCGTAGAGGAGACCGACAGCGTGCGGGAAATAGCACATGTAGTTGCCATGTGGCTGTTCCAGACGGATAAGCTCGGCGAAGGGCACCCAGGATGAAGGCAGCGTTGACAGGATGCCCTTGGTTGGGGCCCTGTATGCTCCCTCGTCCGCACCAGAAGTTAAGGGGGTCTTTTCGGACGTCCCGATATTAGCGTTCTTGGGCGACTTTTGCTTAGGGGCCATTTTGGTGGAGAGGGCCCGGGGGGGGGGTTGCTGCGCTGAGGGGTTGCGACGGGTGCTTGCGGTGCGGTGTGTGAACAGAAGCTTAACGGTCGAGAATAGATGCCGAGAAACTCTGGGCTTCGAAGAGAGAACCGAAATCTGCTTTTCAGGGGCAGACGTTCCTTCTAGGCCAGAAAAGAGAGGCGGGTGAAAACCACCGGCACAAGTTGCCAATTCGCCGATTCGTGCCGGACAGTGCTGCAATCGAATCGGATCAGGGGTAAAATGTGCAACGGTAGACCAACAAAAGTGAGGCTCCCAAAATCCGCCGATGCCAGTCATCATCAACTCAACCCGGCTGGATTAAATACGTGATGTGAATCAATCAGCTCCACTATGTTTGTCTTGTTCCGTAGACTATACTGCATCCATTGACCGTAACTTTGAACGCGATGACCGCCAACACGAACGGAGTCGAAGGACGGGAAAATGGATACGCCGCCAAAGGTGTTGCGGAGCCGAAGATGACGGCGAGTGGCGTCAATGGCACTCCAATTCGGCCGTTTGCTCGACCTGCAGTCAACTTTGCCTCGACAGAGAGGCTGGAGGGCTGCATGCACTCGTTGCCGGAACTTGTCGACTTCAATGCTGTGAACAATGCGTCGCATCCGTTCTGCATTCAGGCCGCATCCTCCGGTGCGTTGGATACAATCACACATGGCGAGTTCAAGGTCGCTGTGTCAAGGTGCGCTGCCTGGCTGAAGGAGAATCTGCCCATCAGGCCGGCGGCGGGTGAAAAGGCTTTGACGAAGATGGCGCCTGTGGCACTCTTCATGCAGAGTGATATTGGGCTGGTAATCCACGAGTTTGCTCTCATGAGCATTGGAGTTCCTGTGAGCTTGCCCTTCCAAATCTGCTCAGCTGTATTTGCTCGGCCGCCAAACTAAGACATCGTGTGATTAGCCATTGGTACTCTCTCCCCGGCTTCCTCCCGTTGCCATCAATGCTCTTCTCCAAGCGACTGCTGCCAGTTCCTTCATTGTTTCGCAGCGCCTCAGCGAACCCGCGAAGCCGGCGTTGGCTGCGCTGGCAGCGAATGGAATCTCCACCCACATTGGGGAACCCTACCAGAGCTTTACGGAGCCAAGGATTGATCCCTCGACCGCGCCGGCTTTCGAGTGCCCCGCAAATCCGGATGACATTATCCTGCTGCTTCATTCCTCCGGAACCACAGGCCTGCCCAAGCCTATTCCACTCACGCACCGTCAGCTTCTCTTTGCGGTCAACTGCCACAAGTTCGACACGGAGGAGCAAGCACAGGGTCTCAACCTCTCAACGCTACCTTTGTTCCACGGTTTCGGCCTTGTTGCTCCTGGCCTTTCCATGTCTGCCGGAATGACGACCCTCTACCCGCCCAGCGACGGCATCCCCAATGCGCTCTCCATCGTCAAGCTTATCAACGAGACCAAGCCAAAATCCATGATGACGGTCCCATTCCTCCTGGATGATATTTGCAACCTGCCAAACGACGAAGGAATCAAGGCCCTGGTTGGAATGAACTTTGTTGGAACCGGAGGTGCTGCGCTGGGTGCTGGTGTCGGAGACCGCCTGACAGCCGGTGGCGTCAAGCTGCTCAACTTTTACGGCACGACCGAAACGGGTCCCCTTTCTCTCACCTTTGCACCGACGGACAATTATAACTGGAAGTACTTCAGGCTCCGAACCGATGTGAAATACAAGGTGGATGAGCTGGAACCCAAGGACGGCGAGAGGAGGTTCCGCCTGACAGTGTATCCATTTGGCGCTGCAGAAGGCTTCGAAATTGCCGACCAGTTGATCCGGAATGAGCAATACCCCGACACTGACTTTGCGGCCGTGGGCCGCGATGACGACGTCATTGTTCTTGCTACCGGAGAGAAGGTCAGCCCCTTGATCCTGGAGACCATGCTGAACGACGCCCCCATGATCAAGTCTGCCGTTGCTTTTGGCGAGAACCAGTTCAACCTTGGCGTCCTTGTCGAGCCAGCGGCACCTCTGTCGGCCGAGGATGAGGCTACCTTCAAGGCGAAGGTCTGGGAAATCGTGACTGCTGCCGGGCAACGGATGGATGGCTCGGGGCGAGTCCCGTCTCCGGATGCGATCATTGTGATACCTCAGGGCGCCGTCGTCCCCAGGACTGACAAGGGTTCCATTGCGCGCAAGGACACATACGCTCTCTTTGATAAAGAGATCAAGGCCGTCTACGAAAAGCTCCTCCAAGCTGCCACTGAAGCCACTGGGCCGCTGAACCTGGATAATCTCGAGCAGGACCTGAAGCAACTTGTCCACACGAGTCTGGGGCCGCGCGCACCGGTTTCGCAATGGACGGTAGAGGATAGCCTGTTCGACCTGGGAGTCGACTCCCTGCAGGCGCTGCAGTTGCGGCGGGTGCTCATAGCCGCAGCGTCCAAGACGGAAGGGTTGAAGGATGTCGACATTGCCAAGCTGATCCCACCCGAGTTCATCTACCTCAACCCGTCGGTACGGGAGATGGCGGCGGCCATAACGGACCGATCAAGCTCCGGCGAGAACTCGCTCGAGAATGCCGCCAAGGAGGTGAACGAGCTGGTGGAGATGTACAGCAAGCTAAATGCTACCCCCATCGCCCCGGAAGAGGAGCAACCCAGTGTATTCGAGAATGCCGTGGTTCTACTCACCGGCAGTTCGGGAAGCTTGGGGTCGCACTGCCTCGCGGATCTGGCTCGACGACCCGAAGTGAAGAAAGTCATCTGCCTCATCCGAAAGGAGAAGGGTACCAATGCGCCTCCCATGCCGGGCGGCGGACAGTTTGACCGCAATATCCTCAAGTCGAGGGGTCTCGAGCTCTCGGAAGAGGAATGGGCCAAAGTGGCCACACTCGAGGTTGATCCGACAGCCGAGAAATTGGGTCTCATCCCGATGGTATACGCTGCCATGCAGGGTATGGTCACGCATGTCGTTCACGCTGCCTGGCCGATGAACTACCTTATCAGGCTGCGGTCTTTCCAGTACCAGTTCAAGTTCTTCCAAAACCTCCTGGACTTTGCCGCGCAGAACAGCCGAGGTGCGAAACGCCGCTTCATCTTCATTTCGTCGATTGCGGTTGCCGCCCGGGTTGGCCTCTCCAAGAATGGATGCGCCGTCCCGGAGACTCCGCTTTCTCCTGCTGAGTCTGCATGCGGCATTGGCTACGCCGATGGAAAGCTCGTCTGCGAGAAGATTCTTGAGCGAGCCGCTGAGGCTTACGCTAGTCAACTGGAGGCCGTCTCCATCCGGTGCGGACAGCTGACTGGAGCCACGAACACGGGAGTATGGAACGCGAATGAGCAGATTCCTATGCTGGTAAAGACGGCGAAGAGCATTGGCTCCTTCCCTCAGCTGCATGGAGTAAGTCTAATTGCCCCGTCAACTTTGAAGGGTAGTCGGTTGCTGACTGGTTGGGTGATAGGAGCTGTCTTGGATTCCGGTTGACAAGGCCGCGTCTGTTGTCTCGGAAATTGTCTTCTCCCAGAGCAAGCTCCCTACCGTGCTGCACCTGGAAAATCCTGTGCGCCAGCCATGGAGCAGTGTGGTAGAGCATTTCGGGCGACAGCTCGGTCTCGTTAAGCCGCCTGTTTCTTTCGACGAATGGCTTGACCAAGTTGCCAGCGCGCCTTCTGACGATGAGCTCTATCCCGTCAAGAAGCTTCTGGCCTTCTTCAAGAACGGGTTCAGACCGGTGGCCTGTGGACAAGTTGTGCTGAGCACAGATGTCGCGCGGACCCACTCTGCGACTCTGCGCGACATGGGTGCTCTTGATGATGGCACCATCAGTGGGTATATCAACTACTGGAAGAAGATTGGTTATTTGTGCATGTGAGCACTCTGCGACGATTGTGTAGGTAGCCTGCAGTAGGACGAGGTTTTGAACATCACAATGCGCAAAATGATGGTCGTTCTTGACAAAAGTCCAAAACTTGGGTTGACGTTGAAAGAAGGTTAGAGTTGGCGGACCAATCACTGCACAAGCCTCGCTCAGCTGTTGCTAGCAGCCCAGCGCACAAGGCAGTCGTTACTGGGCACCCCACCGTATCTTTAGCGGGATCAGACAACCACTGCAACCACCAAAACCCACAATTTATGATCCATTTTCCAGCTTCCACATTCACAATGAGAAATCCGCCTCATACCCTCTTACATAGCCCAAACTTTTAGATTCTGTCGTCTTGAGAACATTGAATGCAGTTTCTAGGTCTTGAGAAGTCCACTGTGAGATTGGGTGCAGAATGGCTCCAGATTCTCCCTTGGATTCCCAGGTTGCGGCAACCCGACAACTTGGTGACGGCGATCATATGGCGAGTCAACGAATAAGGCTCGCATCCCCGTTTCCCTGACGCCAAAGTAAGCAGGTACCGTTCGAATTGTCGATTACTACAACCATGGGAATGCCAGCAAGGAGTGGAGGTTCCTTTTGCCCGCGGGTGCCTGGGGTGCGCCGTCTCACCAGGGAAATCTGAGGCGATTGCCCTCCAAGGGGATGGTGAGTCTCTTCCCAAGGCCCACACATGGTCACTTACAGTAAAAGAAGCGAGTTTGTCAGATACCTGTGAGGCTGTGAGAAAGCGCCGATGTGGTAGTCCGGGGTTATGGTCCGAGTGTGGGCGCTTCGGCGGAATTTGCATGGGAGGGCGTCACAGCGATGCTCACAATATACCTTGCACATGCAGCCAGAACACCAGATCCGACAGATGGTGGACCGAATACTCATAGTCTTCGACAAAGGATGCAATCATGCAACTCTAACGTCACCCTGCTCGCGTGATCTTCTCCTGCGTCGTACGAGGTTACCTAGGTACATCGACAACCATGACTCGGACACAACCACAACCGCTTGCCAGTCCTTCGGCCGCCGTCTTCTCATCCCAGAGCGGCCGACCCGAGTCGGTGTATCTCTCCCATGTCCGGTCAAGACTCGTTCAAGAGCCGCTGTTGAAACCTCTGGCCGACGCCGTCTGCAGTCTTCCAGCGACATGGCGGAGCCTGACCTCGTCCCGGCGAGGCATTGTCGGTTTCACAGAGGCCTCGCGGCTCGTCGAGGGTTTTCGAACGTGGATCGAGACGGGCGACTCTGATATCCTCGAGAGCGACGTGTCCGAGCTTGTCGACCTCCCCCTTCTTACTACCATTCACATCGTGCAGTACCTGGAGTATCTGCAACGGACAGGCCTGAGACATCCCGACTTTCTCAAGGGCGTCCGGCCTGGCGGCATCCAAGGCTGTGGCGTAGGACTCCTTTCGGCTACTATTGTTGCGTTTTCCACAGACGAGCAAGACGTTGTGCGTTCGGCTGCAGCTGGCGTCCGTTTGTCCCTTGGACTAGGAATTGTTCAAAGATTTCCGGATGTACGTGTCAATTCTCCTCAAAGATGACGAACTCTAAACTGACTTAAGCAGGCCAACGCTCCAGTAATCACAGAACTTCTAGCTAGCGAATGCTCTGCCCTTTTTTCCCAGCTACACTATCCAACTTCTGGTCTTCTCCAGTTTCCGATCCGGTCCAACCTGACAGGAGAACCAGTAGCAACGTCGGACGGGGCCCTGACTGAGGAAATCATCTCGGCGGTCTTGGCCTCACGGTGCGACTGGCCACTCGTGATGCAACGTCTAGCATCGGATCTTGGACGGACGGGATCAAGGCAGCACAGCATTGCTGTCTTCGGATTTGGCAACCCGGTCCCAATGGCACCTTTTCAACGCAGCGGCCTCGATGTCCTGACGGTACACGCTGATATGGTCGGTGCACCTCACATCCCCCGCACGGCCCATGCCGCCGCCAGCACCAGCACGTTCCAATCGTTCCCATCACACGCCATAGCTATCGTGGGTGCTGCATGTAGGCTTCCTGGGGCCAACTCCCTTGATGATCTCTGGAAGATCATATCACAGGGACAGACACGGCTAGAAAAGCTCCGAACCGACAGAGTCCCCTTGAGGAACTCGTACAGAGCTTGGCAAGACCCCAAGTGGGTAACGGAGCGAGAATTTTATGGGAATTTCATTGACGACGTGGAGGCTTTCGACCATGCATTTTTCGGCATCAGCCCTCGCGAAGCAAAGTACATGGATCCTCAGCAACGACTCTTGCTGGAGACGGCCTTTGAGGCTATGGACTCAAGTGGCTATCTTCGCTACCATGAACGCGAGCGCGGTGACCCGGTCGGATGTTTTCTTGGGGCCAGCTACACCGAATATCTCGAGAACACGAGCGCCTATTCTCCGACGGCGTTTACAGCCACGGGTACCATCAGGGCTTTCCTGTCCGGGAGGATCAGTTACCACTTTGGATGGACGGGCCCCTCTGAGGTGATCGATACGGCATGCTCGGCATCCATTGTGGCTATCCACCGAGCCTGCCAGGCCATCATCGCCGGCGAGTGTCCTATCGCTCTTGCAGGCGGCGTCAACATCATCACTGGCGTGCACAACTACTTTGATCTTGGCAAGGCCACTTTCCTAAGTAAGACTGGTCAGTGCAAGCCATTCGATGACTCTGGCGACGGTTACTGTCGCGCCGATGGCGTCGGTCTCGTCGTTCTGAAACCGCTCAAGCAGGCGGTATTAGATGGAGACAATATTATGGGCGTTATTCCCGCGGTGGCCACAAACCAAGGCGGTATCGGCGCCCCTGGAATCACGGTGCCGGATGGTATCGCCCAGAGGGCGCTATACAGGCGCCTCCTGGAGAAGTCGGGACTCCAGCCGGATGATATCACCTATGTCGAGGCTCACGGCACCGGGACGCAAGCGGGAGACCCAGTTGAGATGGGCAGCATTCGGGAAGTCTTTGGTGGTCCTAAGCGGTCTAGCACGCTCTATATCGGCTCCTTGAAAGCCAATATTGGACACTGCGAGACGGCCGCAGGGGTGGCGAGTCTGCTCAAGGTCCTTACCATGTTTCGGAACCGGGGCATCCCTCCACTCCAAGGCTTCAAGCGTCTCAATCACAAGATCCCGGCTCTGGAACCCCACAAGATACATATCCCTACCGAGCTCCTTCCATGGGATACTGTGTCAGGGCGGCGGGTTACGTGTGTCAGCAGCTTTGGAGCGTCTGGGAGTAACTCTGCTCTCCTCTGCTCCGAGTGGTTGGAGGAGAGTGGCGCCATCAAGCCAAACGACTCGATGGACCAACCCATGCAAGAGTTTCCCGTTCTGTTGAGTGCGGCTTCACCCGAGAGTCTGTACAGATACGTCAACGGATTGGCAGATTATATTTCCAAACACGAGTCCGCTGGAACCCTGACAATCGGCAACTTGTCGTTCACCCTAAGCCAGCGACGCAAGCACCATCGCGTCCGTTGGTCCACCGCCACCTCGCGTCTCGCCGACCTGGTAGACAAGTTGAGGAGCTGCACTCCACAAGATTTTGTTCAGGCTCCCAAGGCCGCCAAGAAAGTCGTCCTGGTCTTTTCCGGTCAGAGCAAGACGACGATTGGCTTAAGTCCGTCAGCGCTTCAGGAGAACCCACGATTCAAGCATCACATCCAGACCTGCAACGACATCCTCAAACGTCTCGGATGCCCGGACATTGTGCCCGCGTTGAGCCAGGTTGAGCCCATCGCTGATCCTGCCATTTTGCAGTGTGGCACCGTCGCCGTCCAGTATGCCTGCGCTCAGTGTTTCCTGGATGCGGGTCTCAATGTGGACGCGATCGTGGGTCACAGCTTGGGCGAACTCGCGGCGCTCGCTGTATCCGGAGCGCTCTCGCTTGCAGATGCTCTGAAGGTGGTGTACGCGCGTGCGGAGTTGATCAAGGCCAAGTGGGGTTCCGAGGGCGGCACCATGATGGCCATTCACGCCGACGAAGAGACAGTCCGATCGATCATGGAGATTGCCAATTCGACTCTCGACTATGACCACGACAAACTAGAAATCGCGTGCCACAACAGTGCCACCAGCCATGTTGTCGTCGGCAAGCAGACCTCGATCGCATTGGCTGAGAACACCATTCAGCAGGACGCCAGGTACCGCGGTATAAAGTACCAACGCCTCAACGTAAGCCACGGCTTTCATTCTCGCTTCACAGAGCCTCTGCTGCAAGACCTTGTGCACGTCGGAAGCACTGTCGAGTGGAAAGAGCCCGCCATCGCGCTGGAGACAAGCACCAAGAGCCCGGTGGCATTCAGCAACAAGACATCCACGAGATCATACATTGCCGATCACGCTAGGAAGCCTGTGTACTTTGTTGATGCGGTCCGCCGCGCGGAGCAGCGGCTTGGCCCCTGCATATGGCTTGAAGCCGGATGGAACACGCCCATCGTTGCCATGGCCAAGAGAGCCGTCGCCAACCCTGCCATCCACGCGTTCCATCCCGTCGTGTCCCCTGCAGCTGCGGTCGCGAAGCTCTGGCTTGAGGATATTCCCGTCGCCCACTGGGACTTCTTCGCACCGCAAAAGAGTGGCCTGAAACACATCTGGCTTCCCGCGTATAGCTTCGACCGACCCAAATTTTGGCTCGAGTACGTCGACCGCGCGATCGAGGAACAAAAGGCCGCGCAGTCCATGAAGCAGGCCAACCCAGTCACGCCGAACTGCACCACGACACAGCCGCTGGTAAGCTATAGGGGCTCCACCGGATCGTCGCACCAATTTTGTCTTCACACCACCACCGAAAGATATACGAGAATCGTCCAGGGTCACGCCGTGCTCCAAAAACCATTATGTCCCGCGTCTATGTACATGGAGGCGGCAATCATGGCCATGCAACAGCTCGGCGCCTCAGCAAAGGGCAAGACAATCACATTTGAGAATGTCGTGTTCACCAAGCCGCTTGGCTGTGACGACAGCATCGATGTCCAACTTACACTCGACCGAGCCTCGACCCGAACGAGCGAGGACGCCTGGCACTACTCTGTGCGATCCTCATCTAACCCGAAAGTGGCACATTCGGAGGGCGATTTCAGCGTGAACACCTCAGACTCGGAGAACACCGATCTCCAGCTCTATGAGATGCTCGTCGGCAACCAAATGGCGGCTCTGCAGAACGATCCTAATGCAGAACGACTCAAAACAGCCACGGCCTACGCTCTCTTCTCCAGGGTCGTCGAGTACGCGGATATTCTTCGGGGCATGTCCACCATCACTCTGGGAGCAAAGCAAGCGGTGGCACAAGTGCGGGTCCCCAAGACGTCCTTTTCAGCCTCGGAGAGTACCGTGGCGGACTTCTACGACGCCATCACAACCGACTGCTTCATCCAAGTTCTCGGTCTGCTGATCAACTGCAACTCTGGTTCGAGTGCAGATGGCGAGATCTACGTTGCGTCCAAGATCGGCAAGATGGTTGTGTCGCCTACCGAGTTCCAAACACCGCAGACATGGACAGTGTATGCCATGTTCTCTCCCTTGGATGCCAAGACGTCGAGCGGGGCTGTCTACGTCTTCTCCGGGGACGGCAAGCTGACGAGCTACGCCACCAATATCCAGTTCGTAAGGATCCAAGCCGCGAGGCTTGAACACGCTCTCGAGTCTGCGAATCGGAAAGTGTCCGCGTCAACACCCATTCGGCCAGGCCTTATCCACAACAATGCTTCGCCGGCGGTGTCCCTGGTGAAAGACGTTGCACGTCCCCAGCACAGTACTCCCGCTACTCCCATCCCTCCTCCCTTGGATAATGCGACGCCGCTTTCCTCCGCGTCTGACAACGGCGCAGACAGACCACAGGGCAACGCCGCGGCCGACCTCAAGGCGCTCATCTCCGTCTACACAGGTGTTCCGGTTGAGGAAATGGAGGCAAACCAGAACTTGAGCAGCATGGGCCTGGATTCTCTGGCGTCAATGGAACTCGCAGACGAAATTGAAAGCAAACTGGGGTTCAAAGTTGGGACCGACGACATTTTGCTCGGTAGCGTCGGTTCACTCTTGAAACTATGCTCGCTTGCCAACGCAGAACCGGTTTCCGACACTTGTTCAGAATCGTCAGACTCAACAAGGGACTCGGCTGGTGAGAGCAATACCCCTGGAACCACACCTGGAACCACGCCGGAAATCGAGACCCCGGCAGAGCAAGATCTGAAGCTGAACTCTGCACACGCCATTGACTGCAGCGTTCCGTGGCTGAGACCGAACGGCGCTTTAAGTTCTCGATATAGGGGTATTGACACCGTTGTCTACAAGGAGGTCAATGGAGTCGAGATCCTGGCTGATCTATACATCCCAATGGAGACGCCTCCTCAGCCGATGCCCGTAGGTATGGACTCTTGACACTTGAACTGAAGACATGAAGCGTTGGCTGACATTCTTGCTTGGCAGCGCTCATGATTCACGGCGGAGGCCATCTGACACTCTCACGGAGAGCCGTCCGTCCTCACCAGACCAGATTCCTCCTCGCCAATGGGATATTCCCAGTCAGTGTGGACTACAGGCTTTGCCCACAAATTAACGTTCTTGATGGCGCCATGACCGACATACGTGATGCATGTGCGTGGGTACAGAGAGACCTGCCCGCCATCACGAGGTCCAAAGGCATCGAGATAGACCCGAGAAAGTATGTGGTCATCGGCTGGTCCACGGGTGGTACTCTCGCCATGACGACCTCTTGGACTGTTCCACAGGCTGGCCTTGCGCCTCCTATGGCGATTTTGTCTTTCTACTGCCCGGTCGAGTACAACCCTGAAAGTCGGTATTTCGCGTCAACTTTTTTTTTTTTTTTTTTTTTTTTTTTTTTTTTTTTTTTTTTTTTTTTTTTTTTTTGGTGGCAGCTGTACTGACTTGTGTGTCAATCGCAGAGCCAATAACGATGGGGAAGAACCACGGCTACCGCACCATGCCTCTTGGCGAGGCTCGCAAGTTGCTCCCGTCTCAACCGGTAAGCATCCCACCGTCTACCGCCCATATACGTGATGGACCGTTGCTCATCTCATTTTTCTCCGTGACAGGAAACCGGCCATGCACCCAACAGCCTTGATACGACCAAGCTCGGCTGGGTCCGGGCCGGCGATCCACGTTCCGAGCTCGTCCTCGCCCTCGTTAAGGAGGAGAGGGGCATGGCGCTCCTATTCAACGACAATCCCCTCGACAGCGACGAGCTTCCGTATCCAGACGCCGATCGCGCGGCGGCCTTTAGCCCGCTTGTTCAGGTTCGCAAGGGAAACTACTCAACTCCGACGTACCTGGTCTTTGGAGACGAGGATGAGATCGCACCGTTTAGCAAGGGGGTCGAGTTCTCGCGAGCGATGGAAAACCACGGCGTCGAGGGCGGGTTTTTGGCTGTTAAAGGTGCCAAACATATCTACGACCTCGACTTGGCTCCCGGAAGTGAGGGCTGGAAGATGGGGGTAGGCCCGGGCTACGACTTCCTCTTGAACCAGATTGAGAAGGCTCACCTCCGTCGGTTGTGAGCTAGGCTAACATGACCAAGGTAGTTTTCAGCGATTTCCTTGCTTTTCTTTCTCTTTTTCTCTCTTTTTCGAAACAAGAATTTGACATATAGATACGCATTGGATTGCTTTGGAGGAAACTTGTTTGTATAGTTAGAGGCCGTCGACTGGTTGAGCGGTGAGAGTCTCATAATTCATTAGTTAGCAGGGAGGGGTGAGGTTCTGTGTCCTTACTAGTAACACTGCAATTCACTTTACATTGAATCTAGTAAGGGCGGGAGCACCAGTGTTAACCGACATTATGTCTACATTATGGCTCGTAGGCGTGTCTAGTCAGATTATTATATTCTACTGCCCTCCAATCGGCAACCCGGAGTCCGGAGATAGAAAACGGACAGTTGAAAATCGACCTGAACGAGGGACGGGAGTCACGGGACAAGGGGTCTGTGGTGCGGGGAGCGTCTTATAACATGTATGTATATGTAATAGGTACTGTATTACATGTGCAGTACTACCAGTACAGTGATTACATACTGTGTAGAAGAGCCCTGGGATACCTAGTGCGAGCCTGCGACAGGCTGACAGCGGCACAAAGAGTCGATTTGGGCCCACCCCGTCGTCGGCCGAGTCGATTGCAGCAGAGGATTTTCTTTATCGCCCTGTCTTAGCTTTGGCGTCACTTGCAATAATTACTTTGTAGGTTGGCATGGATTCTCCGAGTACCGCCCGTCCACCTGCGACATTGCAGGAGACAGAGTTGCCGTGGTTTGGTCTTGCAGCACGGCGGAAACAAAGTGCAACCTGGAAGCCCATTCTCAGCGGACCACACTCCGGTCGCTGTGGTCGCACGAGTGCATTTACCGCACAGTACTGTACTTTACAAACAGCCCAGTACATATGTAATTACATACTCCGTACCCGTAGCTTAGCTAATCAACTTGCATTAGTTGGTTCAAGGTCAGGGTTGCATTGCAGGACCCTGCCCCCCCTGCTTGTGCCCGCCTGCGACATCAAATGTTTGGATATCCTGGGCCTCCCATGACTGCAATTCAACGAGTCTGGGGAATCCGAGATCGACCAGCTGCCGTGAGCCTGGACCTGGCCCAGTTCAAATGACAAAACAAAGCTCAGCCCTGACATTATTCCGTCTGAACTTGTTTTGGAAGTCTTGATCGGAGCGATCGTGTCTGCTCCTTCCCGCGGACTGTAAGGTATTGATCGCAGCTGAACTTGCCTGAAAGAAAAAGAGAGGACTCCCGTCAATCGTTGGCCTGTCATGCCCGCCTACCTCTGCCACGGCTTCCGCTGGCAGCGGCGGAGCATCCGCGTCTACGTGATAGTCCAGAACCTTGATGACGCCTCGCCCGAGTGGATAATACCGGCCAGAAGTTCACAGTGCATCCTCAGGTCCTTCTACAGCCTCTTTGACTTTCTCCCTTACTGTATCCCCGCGACAGCTGGTTACACGCCCTCGCATGACGTCGACAGCGACGACGGCAGTTACGTCTACAACAATGACTACACCATCAGTGACTCTCCCAGAAACCGCAGCCGGAGTCGCGGTCGTAGTCGCTCACAGAGCCGGACCCGGGCCCATGTCCAGACACATAGCCGTAACCAGAGTCGCATCAAACAAGAACAGCCATTGCCACCCTTACCAAATGACCCATCCCGGAGCGCTACGCCCGAAGATGACTTTTCGTCCCAGTCCTGGTCCGCCATCAAGCTTCTGGAAGAGTACGACCCGCACGACCTGACCGCCGTCTCACGTCCGTACGCCTACGTGGCCGATTACGCCGTGCGCATCGACTTGTCCTGCTCCATCGCCGAAGAGATTGCGCGCTACGAGCAACAGCAGCAGCATTTCCTGCTCCAAACCCAGCAGAAGGGCGAGCAGCCGGTTTTCCTCGAGAAGCTCCGTGACCAGCTCCAGCGCGGGGAAGAAATCCGCTGGTACGTGGTCATTAACGACGATGAGGTGAGGGGATGGCCCTCCGATGGGTCACCTGGGCCTGTTTCCCGGCCTGCAGCGGGGCACCAACCAGCACCACCACAGTACTACTACCCCCCTGGTCGACCGCCACCGTCAAGGGAGCAGTTGGAACACCATGCGCAGTATCTGCTGCAGCAACGGATATTTGAGGGGGACGACCGGCAGCGCCAATGGGAACAGAAGCGAAGGGAGCAACGTGAGCGGGAGAGATCAGTGGAACCATCGTGGGGGAGAAGGCCGGACGAGAACATGGAGTGCAACCCGCCCGTCGTACCAGAAAAGGACCATCTACCGCCTCGTCAGGGATCGAAAGCAGTAGCGGCGTTGCCGTTGAGGTCGAAAATGTCGTTTGATGCTGGCAATGGACGGCCCAAAACTGCTGCGAGCAAAGGGGCGGGGCTTAGGAGGTTATTTGGGAGGAGCAAGGCAGTCGAGGGTGCCTCACCGGCCGGATGAGGCTTTTGAGGACGCGAACGATAATTATCATCAATGCCCGGATGTGTAACCTTGACATCAGAGCCATCTATAATCCCAACGGGTGCCAGTGCCGAGCAAAAGATGGACGCCAAACCGAGCCGACGTTGACGCAGGGGACGATGGGACACCGCCTACGCCTGCACAAAAAGGCCAAGGATCCTGCACACCGAGCCTGGTCGCTACTCAGACTGCCAGAGTATCTTGATAGCATGTAAGTCATGCAAAGCCCGCACGGCAAACTCACCATCGAAAAGATGACTATGGAAGGTCCAGGACTGACGCAGCTACTCTAGTCAAAATCCGACGAATCTACCTAGCACTGAGGAAACAATACAGTGCATCGGTGCTCAAACCACCTGACAATAGCCCGAGCAACTGTTCATCCTCATGTACGCGATTGGCCGAAGAACCATGGAATGATATATGTAGATACGAGCAAAGACAGACTTAGGGCAGGCAATTTGCAGCGAGACCAAGTCGCATCCTCCACTCTATGTCGAGGCATGAACCATTTTGCAGCTATGTCCGCCAGCTAGAACCAAATGCCCCCCTCTCGTCCCTCATCATAGCTCGGCTCACTAAAATAACCTGAGGCCAACGGCCGTCTACTTCGTGATGAGGGACCAGAATACCGAGCGTTGCCCGGCCAGAAGGAAGGGATACAAGCATGTATCAACTCCGTGAAATATGTATTTAGGTACTCTATCCTCTAACTCACAGGAGCAGAAGAAATATTAGACTCTCTCTTTATCTGTTCCCGCCTTGCAGGGTTCCGTCCTGCCTGTATCCTTCTTCCCGCCAGAACCAAACGCCGTACCTGCCAGTTCCTTGAATTGACGCCTCCGCCCCTCCATACCAGGCTGAACCTCCCAAAAGACAAGGGCAACAGAGTCTGTCTGCCTAACCCGGCGCCTGCTAGTTTGCTGATCTCATATTTCATGATGCGCCTGCCCTAGCAGAACGAAGGATATGAGAAGTGGAAAGGGTGAGAAGATAATCCTCGACGAATCCGGTCCTTGAAATCAACCCGACCATGCCAGCGACCCAGCCAGCCATGTATGCGTATATAATACGCCGCCCTCGGCAAAGCAAGCCAGCAGGGCAGGCGAGCAAATGTAATAAAAATGGGGATATGCTTCTCAACAAAGCAAGAGAAAAGGAAGATGCACCCGAACCTCAAAACCAATCCTCCTCCTCAAATTCACCGCCCAGCGTCTGCATCTGCCTCTGCCCCTGGCCCCGCCCCTGACCCGCTCCTGTACGCTCAACGCTCGTTTTCCTAGGCCGACCCCTTTTCCTCGGCTGCGACGAGGACCTGGCCATCTTCTTCTTGCCACCGAGCACGGCGCCCGAGGCCTTGCGTTTCCTGCCTCTGCCCACAGCGGGGGACTTCTCTCCATCCTCACCCTCCTCCGCACCACTGAGATACGCGCCCTCGTCAGCACCATCCAAGTCCAAATCCATATCCTCATCCTCCTCCTCAGCGGGGACCAAGAACTCCTTATCAACGTTCATGAGCTCCACAAACGCCTTGCATGCGCCCATCATGCGCTGGCGATCAGACAGGGAAGTCATGATGGTGCCAATCTCCTCCCAGAGCTTGTCGCCCGTGATGCCCTGGACTTTGACGGGCGGTTTGTTGAGGTCTTTGGCCTGCATTCTACCGCTGTTGCCACCGTTAGCTCCTCCTCCCATCCCGGCGGCGACCCCGCCTGCTGCTGCGTTAGACGCCTTGCCGCTCTCGCGGCGGTGGCTGGAATTGTTCAGACCATACAAGCGGCGGAGGTACGTGCGGACTTCCCATAGGGCCAGGAGGATCATTGACCCGGCTGTTAGCTGGCGTAACCTGGTGAGGTCGATGTCGGGATGGGCGGCGTCTGCTTGTTGGGATTGGCCCTGAGGTCCCAATTGGGTTCCATCGAGTTCTGGCGGCGCTGCTGCGGTGGGTTGGCCGGCTGCGTTAGGAGGGCCGTCGAGCGCGTCGATGCGGATCTGAAAAATTTCAGATTCAATGGCCTGCGCAACGTTGGCGCCCGTCGATGTTACGAGCTTTTCGATGACAGAGACTATGCAGTGAACTTCGCCGACTGTGAGGTACTCAAAGAAGGCGAGATTATCGATAATAAAGCGGGAGTATTGGACGTGCGGAGGAAGCTCTTCCGAGGTATCAAGCTTGGAGACATCAAAGTCTACCTGCGTGCAGAACTTCTCGAGGAACTTCTGGCGGTTCTTGGACTTGCTGATTTTGAGAACCTCCATCATCAGGTGGAGCTTCGGAGTGAAAGGGTTGGTTGTTGCGCCGCGGGGATCCTTCACGACGTCCCGCTGATATGAAAAGGCTGATTGGATAGCCTTTACATACTCGCGCTCGATCACCGTTTCATGCTTGGCGTGCAAGGCCTTGTGCTCCAAAAAGGCAAGTTCTGAAATGCGTGGGTTGGCCGAAGTCTCCAAAGTGATAAACGTGACTCCGGTCTCCTTGGGGTGTACCAAGCCTTGCCGATTGATACTAGCAAGGACCTCGACAGCCAGGAATGCATGTTCGTCCTGGGTGCTAGTTGCGATGCGGGTGATTTCCCTTAGAAACCGATGAGTCGTGGCGCTCGCCACATCGTCGTAATTGGTACCGCCGATCACTGTGAGTTCGCGCTTCTTCTCTTGTTTCGCACCATTGATGGCAGGTGCCTCAGAAGCCTGCTCCGAGCGTTTCTCCTCGGCAAAGAGAAATTCCTTGAGGGACCGCAAAATCATCGTTTCGAGAACTGGAATCTGGTCGTCAAATACCTGCTGAAACGCTGTATAGACATTCGCGGACACATAGTTCCGCGGCGAAGCCTGACAAACCAGACCAACCGAGTCCAGGGCTGCCTTTCTCACTTCGAGGGGCTGGGAAGGGCCGGCAAAGGGGACAACGACGTCGACCATGAGCTTCGAAACTGTAGTTCCGCTGAACTTTGGAAAGCCCTTCTCCTTGAACGATTCGAGGTGGCTATCGAGGTTGCAGTGCTTGCCGGCCATGCCAACGATGAGCGAATATCGGTCAAACTGGCGGATTTTGTGTTGATCGAGGGGCTCCTTCTGGCTTAGAAGGCGCAATTTCTGCATAGCAATCAAGCTCGAAAGGACCAACCTGGCGAGATGTTCAGAGGTTTCCAGGAGCGTGCTGATGATCCAGAGACATGCCATGACGTCGTCAAGCAAGGCCCGCGGTACTTTAGGAACAACAGGCAGCAGCTCCTTGCGCACATCTGCCAGGAACTGGGCATGCGCACTTGATAGTTGAGGAAGTACCCTGCGGTAGATGACCACTACCGCTCTTGACACTGCCAGATCCTCACTGCTACCGATGCTTGTGATGTGAGGCTTGAGCAGACGCAGTTGTTCGAATGTAAAGAGACTCGCGTCAGCCTTGGCAAAAATCATTAGGACCTGCAAGGCATCGCGACCAGATGGGAGCGATGGGTCGCTGGACTCTGTGTTGTCAACCATATCAAACATGCTCGCCACCAGTTTCGTGCACACCTCCAAGGATGCTTGTGCTGTTTTTGAATCCGGCGCCAGGAGCGTCTGCAGAACCTTATCGAGAACGTTTGCGATATTTCCTCTCTTGACCGTTTGGACCATCAGGGAAACATGCTCGGAAAGAGAAATCTGAGAAGCTGCCGAATTCTCGCCATTATGGTAAGGCGCAAACCAGATTTCCTCAATCACCTGCCGCGCAAGATCCCTGACGCTCTCTTCTGGGTCTTGAACACGGTGAAGCAAGCCATTCGCGATGGCACTCCGGAGGGATCTGTTACTGTTGCGGAGGTAGATATCCTTTGCCAGCTTCATGGCTCGCTTGCGCACTCCCGGGCCTGCATCAGAAAACCTATCGACCACTGTCTCTGTCATTTTTTCCTCGAGTGCCGGCCGCATGCCAATGCATTTCCCGATGAGGCCGAGCGCAGAGTCTCGCACCTGCGTTGAAGAATCATTGGAACACCGGAGGATCAGCTGAACAACCACTGAATCGCCGTCCAAAATAGATGGGTCAGTTTCCAGGACCTGGTTAACGCTCTTCAAACTCTTGCTCCTCACTGTCGGTTGGTCACTAGCCATCGAGTTCAGGAGAATGTTCAAGATGGCACTGAATGCCTCGCAGAGCTGAGACCGCAGGACGATGATGGAGTATGACAGCTTGGCCTGATTGGGACCGACGTCTTTGAAAGAATACTCATTGGACAGCCATCGTCGGTCTTGAATCATCTCTCGAAGTCGGTAGGCAAGCCGGCCGAGCTCTTGGTCGCGTTCCGTATTGTCGTCTTCGAAATCATCATAGCACGTGCAGATCTTGTCCGCCCAATCCGAAACAATGAAGGAGATGGCACTCGCAAGATGCGGGTCCTCAAAGAAGCGGCTCTCGAGATATTCGAGGGTTGCGCGGTAGGGCCCTGTCCAAGTCACCATGTGCTCCGGGCGAGATTTGAGTTCCAGGGCTGACGCCGCCAGGTCGGAGAGAAACAAGGCCAACTCATCTCCCATAGCGTCTAAATTATTTGCAACTTTCCTGACATGGCCACGAAGCTTTGAAATTGCGGCGCCTATGATGCCCAGCAGTTCAAGGGCCATGTTTTTGGCAGGAACTGGAGATTTGTCGTTCTCCACAAGGCCGAACATCATGGTCATGAGGAGCCGCAGGAGCAGCTCAGCGGCTGGCCAGTCCGGGTTGTCTAGGCACATGGTGAAATCCTCAACGAAAAGATCGAGGAGATTTCGGTAAGGCGTGTCGCCCGACTTGGTAGATTTGAGTGCTCTGTTAACGATAAATTTGATAACATATGAGGCATTGGCTTTGGCCGTGTCGAGTAAAGGCGTTGCCAGGGCAGTGAGCTCCTGGATAGAGGTAGAATGCCGCGTGCCGGCGTCATCCTCGTCGCGGATATTAAAAGCGTCTGGCTCGCTTGGTCCTTCTCCGCCGTCCACATCTTCGTTGTCTGGGAACTTGATGCCTCCCCTCCGGCCCCGACCCTTGCGCTCATCAGCCTTGCCAGCACTTGTCTGAACGAGGCGCATGATGAGAGCGGAAACGGGCTGGATGCTGTTGCCGTCCACCAGCTTGAAGGTCCGGGCTCGCTTACCCAACGGGAGTTTCTCCAAGGACGTCAGGATCTCGTCAAAGATGCCTTGGCGCTGGGATGGGTTCATAAGAAATATTTGGGATAGCATATCCATTGCGACCAAGCGAAGTCCATCAAACTTCTGCGTGTCAACGACCGATTCCCTCTCCGCATTGGCGGTTTCCATGAAAATCAGCCGCGATGCCGTAAACTCCAGCGTGTTCGTAACGGTGTCTGACGTGTCGACCTTGGAAATCAAGGTGGACATGAGAGAAAAGAGTTTCTGGCATTCAGTGAACAACGAGACAATCCTTTTCTTGATACCAGACAGAGCCTTGAAAAGCTCTGCAGTGTGCTGGGCGCCTCTTATTTCAGCGATGGGAATGATGATGCCGTCCACCAGTCGCTTGCACAAGTTGAGGCACTGCTCGATCGTGTCCTCTGGATAGAGCTGTTTATCCTCGCGTCCGCCGCACATCAACCTCAATAGTGTTCGCGCGGCTCGCATGGCGGTCTCGACGACCGGCAGCTGCTGCAACCATTGCTCGACTTCGGCAGAACCCCATGACTCGTCTATCTTGATGTCTGATGCATCAGCCTGTCTTAGAGCACCCTCTGAAAGCCTTAGTATACGGAGGAGGTCTTCAAGCTGTATTCTGCTGAAGCAATTCAGAGATGTGACTTTCCCTAGCAGTACCTGCACCTTAGATTGGGCCGCCGCCGTTAAAGTGGCCTCGTTATCCGCGAGGATCAGTATCGTCTCGTTGCTGCTCTGGTCTGCTAACGCGCGATCTTCAGCCTGGAACACGTGATGAAGAAACACCTTCAGATCACGGAAAGCCGCATCCGCTCTCTGACGAAGGTCCAAGCTTTCTTCGTATAGGTCATCATCACCGTCCAACTCCCCGTGCTTCCGCTTCTTGAGTGACAGGTTCACGGGTTCGTCTGGCTCATCGGGGACAGCCACATACTCGCTCTTGTTGAATGTTGCCGCACTGGGCAGTTCAACAGCTATCCCAAATCTCTGAGAGCCAGGGAGCCCTTGTGAGGAGCTTCTCCCCGGTGTTACCGTGTTGTGTCTTTGCACGCCCTCGACGGACTGAGGCGAAGCTAGAGAAGGCCCCGACTTCTGCTGCTGAGCAGGGACTTGAGATGCAGCGAAAGTCGACGTATTCGATATGTGCCCGCTCGCGTTGGGATCAGTAAGCGCACCATGTGCCTGCTCCAGCTGGCTCTTAGTCGGCAACACAATCTCAATTTTCGCCTTGTTGTACGTATGCGCCTGCCGATTAATCTGTATATTAGAGCTTTGCTTCGGCGGCGCTGGTTTCTTAGTGGGTTTCTGCGCGGGCTGATGCTCAACTGGGGTTGCTTCGTTCCTCAGGATTGGAGTGCTGACAACGTTCGGCTGCTCGTTTGGTGACGTCGAGGTGGGTGTGTCTGGGGTCGGATAGCGAAAATGCACCGTGGCTTGATCATAGACCATCTTGGAAAACGGCGACAGGCTAGAGGCAAGAGAAGGTCGTTCTGTGGAAGTGGTTGGGTTTTTGAAACCCTTCGGGCCGGTCTTGAACTTGCTTCAAGCTGTCAGCTGGAAACCTACCCAGCCGGATTGTGGAACGTACAACTCGGGTATGTTTCCCCTCTCCAGTAGGTGTTGAACTTGGCTGACCATCTGTTGGAGGCGCTTGGAAGGAGAGGTCTGACTCGAGGCCTCTTGATTCAGTGCGGCAAACTCGGTGCTAGGGACAAGGTCGTTCACCGGAGGTGCAGGCGAGGCAGAACCTATTGATGGCGAGGGCAGCACACCTATCCAGTCGAATTGCAGTTAGAAGATTGAAAAGATAGAAAAGTTAGCGACGCAAAGCACGAGATGGGGGAGCTTACCTGAGTGGAATGGCGCGATTGAGGAAAAAGGCGTATAGGGCAGGGCTTCGTGGAGGGTAAATGGCCTCTGGAAATTTCGTACTGCCGGAGATGGAGCGTCTTGAGGCCCCAAATTTGGGGCTTCGTGAAAAGCACCATTGTGACTGCCGGGATGGCCTGCCATTGTCGATGGTGGTAAGTATGGTGGGTGAATCACGGTCGTCGGCGGCGGCACATGGTTGAACTGGATTCAGGTTGGTTGCCTGCTCCGTCGTGACTTCCGTTCCTGCCCAATGAAGGGAAGGTGTGACTGGCCACTATTCGTGTCATGCGGCAATCTGCGTTGGGTTCCGGAACCTCTTCTAGCTGTGATGTGAACGCATAATTGTGTCCAGAAAACCAGGGCTCGTGGATTTGATGAATGTCTGAACTCGGGAGTAGTGGCTGCAGTTCACATCGCAACCGGGCCGGATGCACAGCAGGCTCCCGGACCCATGTCAAGCAGCAGCGCCTGTCCGCCCAACAGCCAATCCACTTTCGGTGCAACTGTCTTGGCCTTTCAGGGTTGCAAATGGTCCGTGATTCAATGTGGGGAAATGAATTGTCCCAACCGCCTGGTTTCCAAGATGACGCTAAAAATTCTGGACAGAGTTGAGACTATCCATACGAAGTACCTTATAAACCCTTAACTCACCAAGCGCTTGTCCGCCTACCTAAATCTTTTGTCGATTTAACAATCATCTCGATAGTACTGGTTGCAAATATGGCTGCGATTGGTTCTCTCATCTTCTGCACCGATTGCGGTAATCTTCTGCCTCCGTCCAAGGGCAGCGAGAAAAACATACTCCAATGCGACTGTTGCGGGGCAGAAAACAGAGGTTCGTTTTGAGTTTGGAAGAGACCTGCTCTCGGCTGCTGATTGAGTGTACCTAGACCAACCCTGGAGGACTGTGACAACAAGAACCAAACCATCTGATTTCCCGTCGGCATTGCGGCAAAAGCTATCCATCGTTCAAACTGTTGAACGTCATAAGGTGCAGACGGAACGAATCGACGCGAACACCGACTGCCCCAAGTGTGGGAAGCGCGGGGTGCGGTACTCCGAGGTTCAACAACGCAGTGCCGACGAAGGTTCAACCATCATATACAACTGCGATTGCGGTGAAAGGTGCGAGGCTTGGAAAATGCTGCTTGGCTTCCTACTAATATTGGCTTCACAGGTGGACCATGAACAACTAGGATCTCGAGCCAGATCAGCAGGACGAATCGAGCGATCCAGCATATTACCCTGGTCAGGGCCCAAGAATTCACAGAAGTCTAATACCACCCAAAACCCAAACGCCGACAATGACGGACCAACTCAAGCCGTGCCAGTAACCTCCGGAATCAACGCATACTCGGTCTCATTGCTCTTCTCATACTCAGCCATATCAAGTGCCACGATCACGCTCTCCCGAACGACGGCCTCCTTGTCATTGAGGAACCTTTTCAGCGTATCCTCTACACCCTGCTCACCCCCGAGACTTCCCAGAGCTTCAGCAGCCTCGTGCCGGACCATGCTGGCCTCGTCAGGATTGCTGAGAGCGGCAGTGAGGGCAGGGATAGACGCTGGGTGCGCCAGCTGGCCGAAGACGAACGCAATCTCATGGCGGAAAAGGGCAGAGGAGTCGGTGAATCCCTTGGCAAGGGCGTGAACGGCGGGGACAGCAGTAGGAAGGTCCGGAGGCGAAGCCAGGTCGCGGAGGGCGAACATGGCGCGGTATCTCCGGAAAAGCGGGAGTGTCGTATCCATCAGGGTTCTGCCCAGCTCTTCCACATTCTGCTCCTCCTTGTCCTGAGGCATAGGCGGTGCCGGATCGACCGAGTTGAAATTACTGCATACAGACAGTCACACAGCTTAGTTAGACCCTTGCCCAGTAATAATAACAACAAGAAAGAATGCCAAAACGTACCTCTCCCTCAACTTCTCAACCTTCCTCCCCTCCCCATTCTCCCACTCAATTCGGTCAATCGCGATCTCGCATGTCTCGGTGACGACGACCTCTTCGCCGGGGCGGTCCCGGAAGCGGCGCAGCACATCGAGGCTCTGCGTCTTGCCCAGCGCGCCGAGCGCCTCGGCCGCCTCGTGCCGGCACATGGCGTCCTCGCGCACATCCTCGAGCACGGCCGTCAGCGGGGCCAGCGCGTACTCGTTGCCCGTCTGCCCCAGGCAGTAGGCCAACTCGTGCTTGAGCAGCGCCGAGGGCGAGGCGAACCCCGCCGCGATGGCGTCGATGGCGGCCCGCGCTTCGGTGCTCGCCGCGGGATTCGTCCGCGCCAGGTGCTTCAGCGAGAACAGCGCGCGGAAACGGTCGGTCAGTGGGGTGGCTTCGTTGCAGAGTGTGTTTCGCAGGGAGGAGATTGTTGTTAGGGTTGATGATTGTTGAGGCGCTGCCGGGGCAGAAGTTGACGCCGCCATCTTGGCAATGGGAAGGTGTTCTGCGGTTCCAGGAGCTGGTGTTTGCTGCTCGGTGGGGATGTGGTTTTTAGGAGACGGGTGGTGATTGAGGGGTTGATGGTCCGATCTAACCGCCCGAACCCTGCGTGACAACAACGCGGGGAGGTTCACAAATAAATTTTGGAGGGGTCTTTCCCAGCTGATAACGATAAGGACGGTTACATGCAACCCTAACCCAGAGGTACAGTAATATTCCTGTCAAAACCTTCCACTGCTGACATTAGGGGTAACAACGAATCCCAGCCTGACACTATCAACTCGCTTCACCTGACTGTTGAGGTGCTAATAACGTGCTAATAACGGCATGAGCGGTCTTGTGTGCCATTGCTGTCTGAACTTCACCTGTAGCGGTGCGGTAAAGTTCTTGAATTTCCCGGGATATGTATACTCAATACATTACTGTATGTATGTACATATGGTATTGTTTGTCTCCGAGAAGCCTCACATGTCGACAGCCTGAGTTGAAGCACCGGTCATGTTCTGGGTGCCCAGCGTCCAGCCCAATAGATGCCTCCAGGTGCGGTAGTTCCCTTCCACCCTTACAGTCTCCTGTGTATACGGGTCAGTCTATCACCATTCAGATAGTTATCTAACGTTAGTTGACTTGTACAGTAGAAGGTCTATAGCGATTACTCGGCCCATAGGGATTCGCTCTGCAGGACCGCCTCTCTACTGCCGAAATTGAGGTTTGTGCAACAGCCGCATGATACGCCTAGAGCTGTCAGACCTCACATTCACGGAGCACAGAACGATTTTCCCTTTAGTAATCAAGGGAAAAGGTAAGGGAGGTATGTACTTGTACCTCTTTACCTGCCTACCTAACTTAGGCGAAACACCCGCAACGATAACACATGAGGTAGGTGCGAGGCACGCGGAAACGGACCGACATATGCGGTCCTTCCGTTTCCCTCTCCCTCTAATCAAAACTGACTCTACAGTCGACCTTGTCCTTCACCTCGAACATTGGCACCTTCCCCCGGAAATCCACCCCATCCAGCTACACTGAAGTAAACCTTAGCCTTGGCGTATACGATGTCATCGAAGACAATCCTCAACGACGGCGTAGCCCTCGTGACTGGGGTAATGACAACCACATTCGACAGCCGTTTATGGCTTCGTGCCGCGAGGGCTCGCTAACAAAGCGCCGTTAACAGGCAGCAAGCGGCATTGGCAGGGAAACCGCCTTTGCGTTTGCCGAAGCCGGCGTTCGAGGCCTTGTTTTTGCCGACATTAACGACCAAGGCGCCCGTGAAGCTGCCGAGGAAAGCAAGCAATATGCCAAGAACGGCCAGTACCGAGCTGTGGCCGTCAAGGTCGATGTGAGCGACGAGGCCAGCGTACAGTCTATGGTTGACGCCACGGTGAAAGAGTTCGGCCGTATCGACTACAGCATCAATAGCGCAGGCGTGAGATTTCCCACCCCCTAGGCCCCGATCTGTGACCGTTGCTTGGACGACTGCTAACGCCTTAGCGGGGAAACAGATTGGCAATGTTAATCCTGCCCTCACGCCAGACGCCGACCTTGAAGTATTCTCTCGAACCCTTGAGACCAACATCAAGGGCACAATGTTCTGTGTCCGGGCTGTCACAAGGGCCATGAAAGAGCAGGAGCCGCTGATGCACACGAGCCGCCACGGCACCCGTAGCCTGGGGAGGGGTTCCATCATCAATGTTGGCTCGGTCAATTCTTACGTTGCAGCACCCGGCATGGTCTCCTACACGACATCCAAGCACGCCCTTATCGGTCTGACAAAGTCGGCAGGTAAGCTGCCAACATTCATTTAATTTCTGTCAACATCCATTACTCTTTGGATATCCATTCCGTTCTCTCTATATAAGGAACTGACACGTTGGCAGCAATTGACTGCCTGAAATACCACATCCGCATAAACGCCGTCTGCCCTTCGTGGGTCGACACCCCCATGATGCAGGCCAGTCTCAAGCGGGTACCGCAGCTCGCACAGATCATCAAAGCCGTGTCGCCGCTCAAACGGGCCGCCACGGTCGAGGAGGTTGCCGACTATATCGTGTTCTTGTGCAGCCCCTCGGCGAGTTACATCAACGGCACCGGCTTGATAATGGATGCCGGTGCCACGCTGACTGCTCATGTCGCATGAGAAATGCGTGCGTTTGGGGACGCGAATCGCGTCGGGTTTGCGCTGTATCGCATGTGCATGTGTAGTGGTTGCACTAGCAGGCCAATCATCCTCTCGCGCGGAACATGAACTTGGTCCTTGGCTCCTTGCAGGGCTGTGGCCGCTGTGCTTCAATTGTCCGGAATACCCACCGAGACATGCATGCACATACAGTGTTCTTCTAAGCAGCACACCGTTTCGAGAATCCTGCCCATAAGCGACTGAACTGAGCGCGAAACGGATTCAAGCCTTCCGCTCCCCTAAATCGCCCCCACAGATGGTGTCTGCATCAGTATGACTGGTGCCTCGTCTGCGGGAGCTGCGATGGTGTGTTGGTACTATACTACTATGCAGTTGGTGCGTCTGGTGTGACATCGGCAACGGCCGCGTATATTGCTCGAGAATCGAGCGGTAGCCGGTGAGTACGCACCGCTACCTCAAGGGACAATGGATGTACTTGTACAGTACCATACCTCACTGTACAAGCAGACATGCCTGGGCGATCTCCAACCTCAGGTAGGTAGGCGTCTCCCGGGGCCAATTACAGCGGGTTTAAACTTCCAATGCTGACAAGCAGGCAGCGTTACTTGACCGCGGAGCTTTCGAGACCCGAAACCTACCCTATAAGACTAAGTAACTATTCACCATTGCCGTACGAACGACGCAAACGAAGCACAGAGATTTATCGTTGCAGTGTCAGGCTACTGGCTCTGGCGCTGTCCCTCCCGCGTATCGCCATCATGCGTTTTCTGTGTCTCCACGGCATGGGTGCGAACAGCCGGGTGAGTCGCCGTTCCGTTCACTGGGACTGTTGAGATAATTCAAGGGCTTGCCTTATTGGAGCTAACGCCGACATACTGAGCCGGCCAAAAGATCTTCGAGATGCAAACAGGTACTAGTATCGGCTCAGGCCTTGCAGTTTATGGATGCTATCAAAAGCGTGCTCTGGCGTTGCTGACTGCAGCTAGGTGCTATACGTTACAGTCTTGGAAATCGGCATACGTATGAGTTCATCGATGGGGCTGTGCCTGCCAAAATGGCCCCTGGTATGATACCCTTGTTACCACCCCTAGCTTACTTTGGCAGCAGCGCAAGCCCACTGACCAACGCGTGCTGTCAAACTAATGTGATGAGCTCTAGGGATCGAGTCCATCGCCAGCCCCGACGACGAATTTCTGCAGTATGCCCTGGACGAACGCGAGAGCTCCCTCAAGGCTCTCTTTGACCTCGAGAGACTGGTGGACCAAGAGGGCCCATTCGACGGCGTCATGGCCTTCTCGCAAGGGGCGGGACTGGCTGCATCGCTCATAGTCCACAAGTCCCAGAAGGATCCGCACGGACAGCGGCAAAATCCAGTCTTTCGCTGCGCTGTCTTCTTCTGCGGAGGTGTGCCAGCGGACCCGTCAGCGTTAGTCCAGAACGGAAAGATGCGGCTGCTGAACTTTGAATCGGATGGGGAGCTAATCGAGATTCCAACTGCCCATATCTGGGGTGCGTCCGACACGCTGTATCCTACATTTGGTCCTGTGTTGAGCAAGCTGTGCCGGCAGGAGCTGAGGTCAGTCTTTGTCCACAACGGTGGCCACGAGATACCCGGGGCCAGGGATCCCGAAGCCGTATTGAAGGCGGCACAGGTCATCAAGGCGGCTATCGAGCGGGCAAACCTGCCGCAGTAGTCTAAAAGAGGCTACTAGTTTACTACTTTCAAGATTACACTAGGATCTGCTTCGTTTGCCACATCAAGAACGAGGCCGGGATCTGCCCAGCGGCTAATCCACATAGGATCTTGGCTTGGAGTGCGTATCCATCAGCAAACGCAACCCGGATTGCTTCTTGAACGCTCGGAGGCAGCGACGCAATGTTCCCCGGGAATTGCAATAGCTGTTCTAGCTGGCCCGGGGCAAGCTGATCCCCGAGCCGGCCCCTGACGAGCCCGTTGAACGCGGTAGTCACAATCGCGAGGCCTATGGCGCCGCCCATCACACGGAATTGGGCAACAGCACCCATGGCGACAGCTGCGTGGGTTAGCTGGATGATGCCGATGCGAGAGGGACTGAGGCAGGGTCACCAACCTTTGTCTCTCTCCTGAACGCAAAAAGGCGTCATGAGCACCAGCAGCGTGATGTTCACGCCACACCCAAAGCCCGCGATGATCTCGTACCCGTACTGCGCCGCAAGTACCGGCGCGCCGTCAGGCAGCGTCGAGAGGAGCGCAAAGCCCACCACCTGCACCACGGCCGCGGCCAGTACAAGGTACAGCGGGGGCACCCGGCCGACCTTGGCAATGGTCGGCGCAACCACCGAACCAAGCGGCGCCGCCAGACTGAACGGGATCACTCGCACAGCCGCATCGACGGGGCTCATGCCGTTAACGATTTGCAGCCGCTGCGGCAGCTGGAACATGGCACAGAACCAGGGCGCGCCTAAGAAGAGGGCGTTGCTGAGGAAAGAAAAGGGAGGGGAAACAATCAGCTTTCTTTCTTCCCATGGCCCCTCCGGCGGCTCAGAAGGACTCGTGTCTTTTGTCTTTTTTTCACTTACAGCACCATGCCAATCCAGACGCGATTCTGAACGAAACGCCACGGGAACACGGGCTCCACCTTGCTCCCCTTGCCCTGGCGCAGTGTCACACGGCGTTCCCAGAACAGAAACGCCGCCCACGCCAGCCCGGCGACCACAAGGAGGACAATGACGGGGGCCGACCTCCACGGGAAGTGCACCCCGGCCTCCTCCAGCGCGGCGACGAGCGCCATCGTCCCCAGCAATAGCAGCACCGTGCCGGGCCCGTCGAGGCGGCGCAGCGCGTCGCGTGAGAAGCCGTAGTGGCGCGTCGCGCGAGCATGCGGTGGCAGGTGGTGGCGCGGGAAGCCCGAGGGCAGGGTAAAGACGAGGAGGAGGGCTGTAGGCAGGGCCGCGGGGACGCTGGAGCAGTTGATTTGCACACACCATTAGTAAACGAAAAACCAGGCTTGGCTGGGTTTGCTGGTGGTGCAGAACGTTCGGGAGGCTAGGGAAGATTATTATGACATACTTGATGAGAAAGATCCAGCGCCAGCTCGAGTACTCGCTGATAGCGCCGCCGAGGAGAGGGCCGCAGAGCAGCGAAAGCGAGTAGACGACAGATATGGAGCTGGTATACTTGGCATACTTGTGCGAGGGCACCAGCTCGAGAAAGATGACGGAGCTGATGGCGTAGTTGCCCGCGCCTCCAATGCCTTGGAAGCCGCGGAAGACGATGCTGGAGTCTTGGTGAGTTACCGGTTACTTGCAGTTAGGGGGTTTGATGTGGGGGCGGAATGGGCGCACACATACAGCTGCTCAATCGACTGGGCCGCGCCGCAGGCGCCTGAGAAGATGGTGAAGACAAGGATGACGGCGAGCAGGACCGACTTGCGGCCAAAGATGTCGCTGAGCTTGGACAGGATGATCAGCACGCCGACGTAGCCCAGCAGGTACGCCGAGATGACCCAGCTGGCCTTGTCGAAGCCTCCAAACTCGTCGGTGATGCTGACCAGGGCGGTCGTCACGATGGGGATCTCGACGTTAGTGAGGAACAGGCACATGCATAGTCTGAGGGCTGTAAGTCAATGGCGTCACGTAGGAACTTGGAACTTGGAAAGAAGACCGAGGGGTTGACCGTTGCAACACTATGGACTTACGCAGCCGTCGTCGAATGGAGTCGGGGGCCTTGGAGATAGGACTGCCTGCTCTCGTGCTCCTCGCTCGTCGCCGCCACGTCTTCCCGGACGGCGGGCTCGAGGTTTAGTGCGACTTCGTTCCCGCTCGAAACTGACACGTCGAGCCTCGATGGTTCCTTGGTGTCGGCCATGGCGGGCGGTGCATGTATGTGGTCGCTGCTGCCCCTGAGGAGCCTTGGCCGGGTCTATTCACTGCCCCCGGCTCCCCTTTTCTTAACCTTCCCCAAGCCTTTGCAGGGGTGCTGTGGATGCATAAGAGAAGCACATCTCTGCTCCATCTGCCGAGATTGTTTGATTCACGAGACAAGTATGTGGTAATTGCAAAGGCTGAGGTAGCACAGTTTACACTACTACGACTCTTCACTCTACTAATCTTGGGCCGGCAGTTTTACCCGGCAGTGGTCCAACATGCAGGTTGAGCAGCAACAGCCACAGGAACCGCGCATATAACACGACGCTACGTGCAGCCCGGCCGAGAACATGGTGGCGCGGCAACGTTCGGGATTGGACCCGGACTCGGATCGACGGTTACACAAACAGTTGGGACAACCAACGGGCCGAGCCTCTACAGTGGTGTGCATTATCTTTTGGATGTAGGCACGGGGCAAAGCGGCCCCACCCAGGCCTCCTCCGTGACGCTGTCAGATGGAAAAGTTGATGCATGCTAGAGCCGTACAACTTGAAGCCAGGCAGAAGGAAGGGGAAGGCAGGAGGAATGTGGCGTAGACCAGGTCTCTGCCGAACTCCGTCGAAGACCCGAACATTAGCACTGTCGTACTTGTCGTGGTCTCTCTTCAAAGAGCGGTTTCCTTCGTTTTCTCACCACTGGTCCCACTGGTCCCGGCCATCACGTCCATTGGCCTTGTGTGCGAGGTGTCGAGCTCTGCTAGCACCATGGCATCGAATCTGAACCCGGAACAACTCGAGGCGCTCCTCAACGGGCCGGCCCTGAAGCCTCCACCCGGCGTCGTCCCGCAGCTCGACAACCCACCGGCCTATCGGACCGCATCAACGGCACTGCCCGTGGTCTGCCTGGTCGTAGCCACACTGGGACTCGCCATGCGTCTCTACACGCGGATCCGCGTGCTGCGGCAGGTCAACTTGGCGGATTGTGAGTGCTTCAATCCTACTGCCTCAAATGTTGTCTGTACTCTGTATTGTACTAACCCTTCCCGTCTCAGATTCCATACTAGTGGGCTGGGTACTACTCACTTACACCCGCTCCTTGCCTTGCTAGGTATGAGTAATCTGCTAACAACAACCTTAGGCCGTCTTCGTTGCCTACTTCGGCATGGCCATCATGGTCGGCAACTATGGGCCAGGGGTCCATCAGTGGGACCTCCGGCTCCGAGACCTCGGCCCGTTCCTCTATGTGCGTTGTCTCGCCCTTTTCCGAGTCAACACCATGCTGACGCCGGTGTGCTGCCTAGTACATCCACAATGGCTCCATTCTCTACGGCATCTGCATCTTCTTCATCAAGCTGTCCATCCTTCTGCAGTACATGCAGATCTTCATGCCCGTGCGCGAGCCCGTGGCCATGTGGTGGACTTGTGTGTTTTTGATTGGCGCCAACTTCATCTTCTATCTCGTCAGTACCTTCCTCGAGATCTTTGCCTGCCAGCCCATCGAAAAGGCGTGGGACCCGCTCGTGACCGAGGGCCGGTGCATCGACATCCTGCGGCTCAACGTCATCGCCAGCAGCGTCAACACCGTCTCGGACGTGACCATCCTCGTGCTGCCGCAGCTCATCATCTGGCGCCTCAACACGTCATGGCGGGTCCGCTCGGGCATCTCGCTCATTTTCCTCATCGCCGCCTTTGCCTGCGCCTCGGCCGCCGTCCGCCTCTACTACGCCGTGCTCCTCCAGCACAGCACCGACATCACATACTACTCTTGGTTCGCCGGTGCGTGGACCCTGCCTGAGATTTCGCTTGGCATTGTCGTCGGCTGCTTGTCGGTTACGCGCGCCTTCTTCCACAACACGGGCCAGAGCCGCGTCTTGTCAACCGTTGCCATGTCGCTGCGCAACTGGACGAACCGCCAGGGGTCCCGGTCCGGCTTCGGCTTCGGATCCGGCAGCACCAGTGGCGGGCGCACGGCAGCACGAGGCGGCAAGGACATGGACGGAATTGTTATTGCGGCGCCCTCGGCCGACAGCTTTCAGGTGCCGCAGGAGCAGGGGCAGGGGGGTAGCCAGTGGGTGCGGGCGTACGGGCTGGAGCGTCTGACGGCCCTGGAAGCCGAGCCGGATGAGGAGGCCGGGGGGATATGGACCGGGGGTCACGGTGGCGGCGGGGTGGGCAAGAAGGACGGTGGGATGCGGGATGTGCATGTAGAGTTGAGGGATATGAGCCATGCAGCTTAGGTACCTAAGGTAGGTAGGTTTCATGCATGTCCTTACCTAGCTGGTCTGCGTTCCGTTCAAGTTGCATATTATCCAATGAGTCCAATACTCCAAGTGTTACAAGATACGCTGTTGCTCCGCCTGCGGTTGGCTAATAAAGGGAGTGATTGTAGAAGCTAATTTCTGTCTAGGCCCCTCCAGTCTGCAACCCCTGACTCCCTGAGAGGCGGGGGGCTATAATACCACTCTTGTTAATGCTGCCCAATGCCTAGCTGTCCAACCAACCCGGCGCAGCCACTAGGCGGGCGGTTAGTACTTCTAGTTTTGGTGGAACGTAGTACATATTAACGTTACAATACACTACTAGTACATATGTTCACTCACGGCAGCGGTTCGCCAAGTTGGTGTGAGCCGTGGGGGCCGTGTGCCCATGCAGCGGAGTGCCGTAGGTAGGGCTACATATTTGTACATTGCCGTGACATCTTCCCCACCCGGTGGCTCGGTGTGTCCAGCCTTACAGCCTGTTCTGCGATATTGCTTACCCTTCCTACGCCTACTAAGGTGGTTACCACTTAGTACGGGCTTACGGGTACCTGTATGTACATGTTGGTAAAGTAGCTCTTCAGGGGAGGGAGAGGTAGAATACTATATAATGTAAAGATATGAAACTGTTTCTGGGTCCTTTCTATCTTAGTGAGGTGTAGACTAGGCCAGACGCTATTTAGTAGTTGCAACCGAAACTGTAGTGATCCATCACCCCTATTCAAGGAAACTGAACCTATGTGACCACATGCAATTTCAGGCAGGTGCACGACTCGGACAGCACCATACTATTACACAGCGGACAAGACGACCATGCCTGGCATTCCAGCACCTGGTGCAGACAACAAAGCCTCCATCTCCCGGATGGAGGAAGCCGTGCAGGAGCCTCTGGCGCTCATAGGCTTCTCCCTGAGATACCCGCAGGATGCGGACACGCCTGAAGGGTTTTGGAAAGTGCTGGAGGAGAGGCGGAACGTCATGACGGAATGGTCCGCTGATCGGATTAGACTGGAGGCTTTCTATCCAAAGAATGGGAAGCAAGCGGAGAAGGTGAGTGGTCTCCTTTCCCCCCTTTTTTTCTATTCTTTTGTTTCCCCCCCTTTTTTCTATTCTTTTGTTTCCCCCCCTTCCCTCCCAACTTGTTCCATGAGAATGGGCCCTGATAAAAACCTCCAGACGTTTGTGCCCGGTGCACACTTCCTCAAGGGGCACCTTGGGGCCTTTGACGCACCCTTCTTTGGCATCAGCCCTACCGAGGCCATGGCAATGGATCCTCAGCATCGCATTCTTCTTGAGACCACATATCACGCGCTAGAAAGTGGTTAGTCTCCCCTTCTCCCCGCGGGCTGCGGGATCAGGAGAAATCCTACTTACTAGTAAACTCCAAGTTCAGCCGGTATTCCCATGGAGAAGGTCTCGGGCTCCAAAACGGGCGTGTACAGTGGCTCTATGACCGACGACTACAAGCACATCATCACCAAGGACGTCGACAACTTGCCCAAATATACGGCGACGGGCGTCACGAGCAACATGATTGCTAACCGCCTCAGCTGGTTCTACAACCTCCTTGGACCGAGCATCAACATGGACTCGGCTTGCTCAAGCAGTCTGATGGCCTTTGATTTTGCCTGCCAGGGACTGCGGAACCGAGATTGCGACATGGCAAGTACTGCTACTACTTAGTTCCATCCGTCTGAATGGCCTCATACAGTCAGGTATCTGACCCGAATTTGTGCGCAGGCCGTGGTGGCAGGCGCAAGCACCGTCTTGGCAGCCGAAGGCGTTGTTTCGCTCATGAACATGAGCTTTCTCTCCCCACAGGGCCGCTGCTTCAGCTTCGACCATCGGGCAAACGGGTACTCGAGAGGCGAGGGCTTCAGCGTTGTCCTTCTCAAGCGCTTGAGCGATGCTCTGCGCGGCCGAGACACCATCCGGGCCGTGGTGAGATCGACTGGCTCGAACCAGGACGGCCACACCTCGGGCGTGACGCAGCCAAGCGGCGAGTCGCAGGCGGCGCTCATCCGGGACACGTACAGCAAGGCCGGTCTGCGGCTGGATGAGACGCGCTTCTTTGAGGCACATGGTAAAGACTGTTTACTACTAGCAGTAGCCGGCGCACATAAGAGCTCCTGAGCTGACGAGTCATGGGTACCTACTGTAGGAACCGGGACGCCGCTTGGAGACCCCATAGAGGCCGAGGCCATTGGGACCACCTTCAGGACCGCGAGATCTCAAGCCGACCCCCTCTACATGTAACCCTAGCTCCCAATGGACCGCAGCAGAGTCTAATAAGCTGATGGCTGTCGCAGCGGTGCGCTCAAGTCCAACATCGGCCACTTGGAAGGCGGCAGCGGCTTAGCCGGAGTCATCAAGGCTGTCATGGTTTTGGAAAAAGGGGTCATTCCGCCGAATGCGAACTTCGAAAAAGTCAACCCCAGGATTGACTGCGACTTCCTCAACATCAATGTAGGTACTACCAGGACTAGTAATCAGCAGTGACACCATATGCCGGAGTTCAGCACTTACTGACTTCCTCACAGTTCCCGACGGCGTGCATTCCCTGGCCCTCTGCTGGGCTGCGCAGAGCCTCCGTAGCCTCCTTTGGTTTCGGCGGCTCCAACTCGCACGCCATCTTTGACGATGCGTACAACTATCTGAAATCACGCGGGCTGGAGGGCGTCCATCAAACACGACAGATACCCCCTACTCGCGAGCAGCTACACGGAGCGTCTGCTCAGGGCGTCAACCCTTCCAGGGGCAATCACACCGGGTTCCTCTTGAGCAGCCTTGAGCCGGGTGAGAATTTGCCAAATGGCACTCCGAATGGCCGTGTCCGAGACTCTAGGGCCGCCAACGGCTCAGAACTACCACCGAGCGGAATGGCCAATGACTCGCATCATCATACAAGTAACGTTGGGGCAGACGGAAACCTTGTCAGCAGCACCAGGGAGCACCTACTACCAGACAGGCTCCTCGTCTTCTCGGCTAGTGACGAAGACAGTCTACAACGCGTCGTGAGCGCATACCAAGCATACTTCCGGAACTGTGATTCCTCAGCAATGGATGCCGCCTACCTCGAAAACCTCGCCTACACCCTGTCTACCAGGCGAAGCGCCCTATTATGGCGGTCATTTGTCGTTGTGAACTCGGTTGAGACCCTGAGCGATCTCCAAAACCGCATCTCCAAGCCAGTCTCTGCGGGCCAGAGCAAAGGCATTGCCTTCGTCTTCACTGGCCAAGGCGCTCAGTACCGTAGCATGGGCGCCGGACTCCTCGGTCATCCCACATTCAAGTACTGGATCGATCGGTTTGGCGAGAAGCTCAAAGACCTTGGGTGCACCTGGTCGATGGCCGACGTAATGGACCAGACAGACTCATTCGCCGATATCAACGACCCCGAATACAGCCAGCCCCTGACCACAGGGCTGCAGATAGCCCTGTACGAGCTGCTGCAAACCCTCGGCGTTGGGCCCTCGGTAGTGCTCGGCCACTCCTCGGGCGAGATCGCCACGGCGTACGCTGCCGGATGTCTGTCCCTAGACTCTGCCGCCAAGGTTTCGTACTACAGAGGTATCTGTTCAAGCGCACTCAAACGCTCACTGAAGCAGGCCGGAGCCATGATGTCGGTCAACCTACCAGTGGACGAGATGCAAGATTTCTTCACAAGGACTGGCCGGGAACCCCAGGCCATCTGTGTGGCGTGCATCAACAGCCCCCGTAATGTGACCATCTCCGGCGATGAGGCGGTCGTGGACGAGGCCGGGCGCGATCTCGAAGCTCGGGGCGTGCGCACGCACAAGCTCAAGACGGGCGTTGCGTACCATTCTCGCCACCACACGGCGCAGGTCGCCGCGCAGTACGCTGAAAGCATTGCCTGTCTCGAGAGGGGCACCAAGCGGGCCAAGCGACCGATCATGCTATCGTCCGTGACGGGGAAATACGTCCAGGACCCCGGCGAAGTGTGCACACCCGAGTACTGGGTCACCAACCTGGTCTCACAGGTACAGTTCGCGGGGGCCATGCGCACTCTATCGGTGCTGATGGGCAAGAAGACGCCGACGCGTAAGCTTGGCTCTCCCAAGCTGGACGCGATCCGGGACGTGGTCGAAGTGGGGCCGCACTCAGCCCTGCGTCGACCGATTATGGAGTGCAGGCCAATGTCCGGTACCATGCGGTCCTTAATCGGCAGGCTCGGGCCTCTCAGGCAGCGCTCAAGCTAGCTGGAGAGCTATACGCCCGCGGGTATGCTGTGGACGTGCAAAAGGCGAACGAGATTGGCCTCTCTTTTGAGCACAAGACCAACCTGCAGGCCCTGGTAGATTTGCCACCCTATCCTTTCAACCATTCCCGAATATACTGGTACGAGTCCCCCCTGAGCAGGCACGGCCGTCTCCGATGCCAACCCAAGTTGGAGCTGCTTGGGACACCGGCGGCGGACTGGACTCCCCTGGCACCACGCTGGCGCAAGTTTTTTGACCCAACCGAGACGCCGTGGATTGGCCATCACAGAGTTAACGGGAAGGCCATTTACCCGGCAACCGGCATGGCGGTCATGGCGATCGAGGCTTCAGCACAGATGGCAGATCCCGCCAGACGCATTGCAGGGTACGAGCTCCGGGACGCCATCTTCTCGGCCCCTATCATCGTTGGCGGTGAGGGCGAAAAGAGGACCGAGGTGCAGCTCCACATGTGGCCGGACGGCGCTGATAAGAACGCGAGTGCCTGGGAGTACCGCGTCTGCTCGCAAAGGAACGGGGTGTGGGTTGAGCATTGCTGCGGGGCGATCCGGGTCCAGTACGAGACCCCTGGACATGCTCACGTCCAGAGCGACGAGGACCTCTTCTATCGCGGGAAATATAACGAGGCCCTCCGAGCCTGCACTTTCAAGGTGCCGACGGAAACCATGTACGAGAACTTCGAAGCTAACGGGCTCAACTACGGTCCCCCCTTCCGAGCTCTCGATGACCTCGCATGGGACGGGGCGCATGACGCCGTCGGGACCTTGCAGTGCTTCCAATGGACACCCAAGCAGTCCCAAAACGACCGCCAACCGCATGTGGCCCACCCCGTCACCCTTGACGCAGCCGGCCAGCTGATGTGGGTGGCTCTGACAAAAGGGGCGCAGGAGGTGCTGGTCAACGGCGCTGCCGTGACGCGCATCCAGCACGCATGGATCGCCGGCTCGGGAGCGTCCTACCCAGGGACCCCTTATCTCCGCGCGGCATGCACCACGAGCCTCAAGGGTCTGCGCGGCACCGACGCGTCCATCTTTGCACTGGATCCCGAGGGCCGTCTGCGCTTGCGCATGTCCCACGTAGAGACGACCGCGGTCGGCGGCGACGAGACCTCGACATTCGCCGCGCCCCGGCGTATCTGCTTCGAAATGAGCTACAAACCCGACATTGACCTGCTCGACGCGGCGCAGCTTGCCGTCTTCACCCGGCCCTCCCCTAACGGCCGCCCCGACCAAAGCGGTGCCGAGCCCCAGTCCAACCCCGAAACCTTCTACCACGACCTGGAGCTCGCCCTTTTTTGCTTGGCGATGCGCGCACTAGCCGAGGTAGAGGGCGCCCCCACGCCGACCACCAAACCGCACCTAACCAAGTACCTGGCTTGGTTGCGCCGGCAAACCGACCGGCTTAGCCAACAGCCTCGGTTTTCCCTCGTCGCGACAACAACAACCACCCACCCGCTCCTCGGCCTCCTGCACGACGACGACAACCTGTTGTGCGGCCTGGAAGACCTTCTTAGCCGGCTGGAGCGCACCAACACCGAAGGCGCTTTCCTAGTTCACATAGCGCGGCGAAGCGGACCCGCTCGATCTGATGTTCAACACGGGGCTGGCGGGGGCGCACTATGCGGGCGTGTGCGCTGCGACGGCGTGCTGCGCGGGGCTGGCGCCCTACGTGGACGCGCTGGCCCACAAGTGGCCCGGTCTGCGGGTGCTCGAGGTGGGCGCGGGCACGGGCGCCATCACGGGCTACATCCTGCGGGCGGTGGGGGAGGCGCGGCTGGGTCGGTACGACTACACGGACGTGTCTGCGGCCATGTTCGAGGGCGCGCGGGAAAGGTTCGGTGAGATGGGTGGCAGGATGGCGTATAAAATACTGGATGTGGAGAGGGATCCCACGGAGCAGGGGTTTGAGGTTGAAGGGTACGACCTGGTCGTGGCGGCTTGGGTACTGCACGCGACGAGGGACTTGGCGAGGACGGTACAGAACGTGAGAAGGTTGCTTAAGCCCCAAGGGAAGCTGGTGTTGATGGAGATTACGGAGCCGGAGATCCTGAGGAATGGATTTGCCTTTGGGACACTGCCTGGGTGGTGGCTGAGTGAGGAGGAGGAGAGGGAATGGAGTCCCTGCGTCTCGGAGGCGCAGTGGGATCGTGTGTTGAGGCAGAACGGTTTCCAAGGCGTTGACGTGGTCATTCGGGACTATGAGAGTGACGTGTGCCATGAAAATAGCCTTCTCATCGCCACAGCCCTCGACCCAGGTCCAAACGCTGGTGTTGGGTCCATGCTTACGCTCGTCTTGGACCCCGACTCCGGCCCGCAGGCCAAGCTAGCCGCAGAATTCGCGGGTCAGATGCGGGAGAAAACCGGCGTTGGCTGCCAACTCCTGCCCATACAGAACGCACTGTCGGTGGCCCCTGGGTCAACAGTGGTGTTCCTCGCGGAGCTGGTCAAACCATATCTTTCAACGCTTGACGAACCCTCATTTGGGAACCTCCAGGCCCTCCTCGCGGCGGCTGGGAACGTTATCTGGCTCACTTCGGCATGCGAAGCTAGCCCTGCCTCGGCCGAGCTGCAGATGGTCAGGGGTCTCGCGCGAGTCCTCAACACCGAGAAACCCGGCCGGTCCTTCGTCGCGGTGAGTTTTGAGGATGGCAGCCTGGAAGACAATCATGATCTTTGCGTCAACCACCTCTGCCGGGTCGTTTCTGGCACAACGGCGTCTCAGTCACAGGGCTGCGAGCTGGAATATGTCCAGCGCGACGGCCTTCTCATGATCAACCGCGTGTTCGAATCGAGCCCTATGAACCTCCAAGTCCACTCGCGCTGTCACCCCACGCTTCAACACCAGCCCCTCTCCCAGGCACCCCCGCTCGTTCTCACCATCCCCAACCTAGGCCTTCTTGACTCCCTCCGCTTCATAGCCGACCCGCGTTACGTCACCCCATTGGCCCCGGACGAAATTGAGATTGCGGTGCAAGCCATCGGCATCAACTTCCGAGACTTGCTCACCATCCTCGGCAAGCTTGCCTCGTCAACAACAACGGGCTGCGAATGCGCGGGGACGGTCACGCGCGTCGGGTCCGGCGTGACGGGCCTCGCGGCGGGCGACCGCGTGTGCGCCGTTGTGTTCGGCTGCACGAGCACGCACGCGCGGTGTCACTACCAGCTGGCGGTGCGGGTGCCCAGCTTCCTGTCAACCGCCGAGGCGGCGGCGCTGCCGGTTACGGGCGTGACGGCGCACCGCGCGCTCGTGACACTGGCACGCCTCCAAAAGGACGAGTCCATCCTGATCCACTCGGCTGCCGGGGGGACGGGCCAGATGGCGCTGCAGCTGGCGGTGTCACTCGGCGCCGACGTCTACGTGACTGTCGGCACCGAGGAGAAGCGCGCTCTGATGCGTGACGTGTATGGCCTGCCCGAGCACCGCATCTTTTACAGCAGGGATACAAGCTTTGCGAGGGATGTGTATCGCACCACTAACGGTAGGGGGGTGGATGTGGTGGTGAACTCCCTGGCGGGCGATGCGCTGCTCGCGTCGTGGGAGTGCGTCGCGCCGTTCGGAAGGTTTGTGGAGCTGGGCAAGGCGGATATCGAAGGGAATGCGAAGCTACCCATGGCCATGTTTGCGAAGAACGTGACCTTCTTCGCCGTGGGGGTCGATGACCTTGCTAAGCATCGACCAGGAATGGTACAGAGCGCGCTGAGGGAAGTCATGGACATGGTGGAGAGCGGGCGGATGAAGGTAGCCGAGCCACTGCATGTCTATCCCCTCTCGGAGATGGAGACGGCCTTCCGGACCATGCAGGCGGGCAAAAACACGGGAAAGACTGTCCTGACGGTGTCCCCGGAAAATGTCGTCCCGGTAAGTCCATTAGACCGTTCTCGGCATCTGCAGCATACTTAGTACTAACATGAGATATAGACCTGGCTCGAGCCCAAGTATTCTTGCTCCCTGGATCCGGAAGCGACGTACTTGATCGCCGGCGGACTCGGCGGGCTCGGGCGCAGTGCTGCCCGCTGGATGTCCCAGCGCGGCGCAAGGAAGCTGATCCTGCTCTCTCGCTCCGGGCCGAAATCGTTTGCCGCCCAGGCACTCTTGCAGGAACTCGAGGCGGCGGGCACCTGTGTACGGACGCCAAGTTGTGATGTTTCGTCCGCCGAGGAGCTTGCTGCAGCACTGGCCGAGTGCGCCGATATGGGCCCGATCAAGGGATGTTTGCAGTGCACAATGGTGCTCCAGGTAGGATCCTCTCTGACATGTCGATCACAAACCTACTAGTACTGAGCAATGACTTGACTTTCAGGACTCCCTGTTCGAAACCATGACGTACGCGCAGTGGTCAACCTCTCTCCGCTCCAAGGTACAGAGCACATGGAACCTGCACCGGCTTCTCCCCGTCAACCTCGACTTCTTCATCATGCTTTCCTCGGTCGCTGGCATCGCCGGCTCCATGGGCCAGTCCAACTACGCGGTAGGCAACACCTTCCAAGACGCTCTCGCCGCCCATCGGCACTCGCTCAACCAGGCCGCCACGTCCATCGATCTCGGCTGGATGGGTGACGTGGGCATCGTGGCCGAGAACGCTGACCTGACGCGCGGCAAGGAGGCCGCGGGCGACTTGGCGCGAATCTTGGAGAAGGAGTTTCTCGCGCTGCTGGACCTGTATTGCGTGCCTGGGCAGCAGCAGTGGACAGGGCAGCCCATCATCGGGCTGGTAACGCCGGCGCAGTTCCGCGCAAGGGGAATCAAGCCCCCGGAGTGGCTGGTGGAAAGGTCCCTGTTTAGGGGCCTCGCGCAGCACGACGACGGACCGAGTCCTGGGGAACACGGAGGAAGCACGAGTGTGGGAGCGCTGGGCTCCAGGGATTGGGCCAGGGAGTTCTTGAGGGCGGCGGGAAGGGCCGAAGCAGAGGGCATCGTGGTCGAGGCACTGATGGAGAAGCTGGCGCGGGCGACTTCGGTTACGGTCGAGGATATTGACCGGAGCCGGCCGCTGCATGTGTATGGTGTCGACTCGTTACTGGCTGTCGAGTTGAGGAATTGGTTTGCAAAGACGTTCAAAGCCGATGTCGCTATCTTTGACATTACAGGGCAGGCGAGTGTGGAGGAGGTGGCAACGAGGGCGGCCGCTCAGAGTGGGTTGCGAATGAACTCGGTGGAGAAGAAAGAAGCAGATAAGTGAGGCAGGGCTCGGGTCTTGGGAGAGTACATCGTACAGAATGTCGATGTATGTCGATTTGTCGAACCTTGCTAATTAGTAGTTTTAGGGTGAAAATTGTCAAAAAGGGCTAATATTATGAGTGCAGGGCTTTCTTTGATGACCGCCAAGTCTCCCACGAGCACACCCATCGATCAGTCTTCGGCTTGCCTTGAATATCTTATAGTCGTTGTACGAAAAGGAGGGGTGAAAATGTCGGTGGGTTGGCTCGAGGTTGGGCAGAGATTGGTTAGTGAAATTGAGTTCAGCCCGATTTTTCGTTTGAGTTGGGATCGGGGGGCAGTGCACCTTTGCTACAGGGGCAGTGTGCCACATTCATCCCTAACCCTTGCTCTTTTTGTCATTATGCCCACGCCCACCGTGCCAGGACTACCCATCGCCACAACGCTGAATTGGCTCCAAAACGCAGTAATCTTCAGATTCAAGCAAATCAACAACAATTCAATTACAGACGCTTCGCGTGACCCAGACTCACCTTGATTTAATTCCGGACCTCCAGGTACCTAGGTTTGACGACGCTGCCGCTGTAGGTAACCCTCTGACTACCCTCTAGGCGTTGAGCGTTGCCATCGCCAGGGCGTTGTATTGTTGTATGTACGTCGCTATTGCCGGGGCGTTGAGCGTCGCCCAGCAATTGAACCTCGCTGTCACCCTGCAACGCTTACCTTTCTTCATCGCATAATGAACTTGGAGAATCTGATCCGCTCTGAATATTACTGCGGAATTGAAGGAATTGGGCCACTGCAGCCAATTCAACGTTGTAGCGGGTGGGTGAATATGGGCGTGGAGTAAGCCTGGCAGATGGGTGGGCGTGGATGTAATTGGCACTGCCCCCGTAGCAAAGGTGCACTGCCCCCCGATCCCAACTCTTTGGTTTACACTCACGGTTTCTACTAAGTTATTGGGAGTTGGCCAACTACGGGTTAGGGTTATAGGTAGCATAAGTATCCCCTCCCTGGCACCAACCTGTGCCATGCACGAACTGTGAATGTGAGTTCCGAGAGTTTGTTCCGTCCTGGCGCCGCTGGTGGCTGCTGCACAATCTCAATTCATGAGAAGTATGCTTGCTGCATTGCTGCGCCGCTCCTTCCCTTTTTTATCGTTGTCAGTTCTCACCCACCAAAGGCATAGGCGACAACGGCCCAGGTGAAGAGGCTCGCCGCTTGCCGATCTGGCGTGACTCAGGTCAGGTCAACTTGAGTAGAATCTGGTCAGCACAAAAGCACAATGTCAGGTTTGGGTGGTATACATAATGGATGCAACTTCATGTATGTCGATAGCTTTTCGTCTGCTTATTGGTGCCCGCTAACTGCAGCCAACTTCCCTCATTGTTCTGCGGAAGGTGCGTGTCTGATTTCAATCATGTCCCTCCTCATCTCCTCCATTCTCCACGAGCTTGTGTTCTACAACTGTACACTGTTCGCTGCATATCAGTTGGATTTTCTGGAAAACGAAAGCTTCTTGGCTCGGAGCAATGGATCGTCACCACCCAGTAGTCTATTCGCCTCCTCACGCTTTCATTTCCAAAGATGACGCTCGCAAAGCTGGTCTGCATGTAGACAGCAGCTTGCACATCGTTTCGATCCTCGACGAAGTGGCAAGGGCTCTCGACAGGATAGCTGAAGTGGTGAAGTCGCTGGACACAGGTGGTCAACGTGGCAAGCCGTCACCGATCTTATCGACGGAGACGAAGGCAGGGGCACATCCTCTGCAAGCCCTGATTGAGATGGTTCAGCGCTGCAAGTCCCAGCTGGAGACCGTCTTCGGCCCTCGCCAATACGTCGCTGAAGTCGATGCGCGTAGCAACCCTCAGGTCTCGTTGCTGGCCAACTTGGCAAAGCAATGTTTTGAGCTAATTGACGACGTGTTAGCGTTTCTGTCTGAGTTGGGAGGAATCATAGGCAGGTCCCGAGTGTGGCTTGCTATACACTACTCGTCAAAGCACCTGGACCTGAGACCAGAAGAGAAAATGCATGAATTTTCTCTGAGGCTAAAGGAGATACGGAAGGATGTCCTCCTATATGCCGCGACGTTCCGCGATGACCAAGGGTATGTACACAATGGGGAACCGCCTCATGCAGCCAGCACTCCAGGACTATCAACCTGGTGGTTGTTTTCTCAGGCACTGAATGATATCGCACTCTCTCCGACTTTTCCGACAAACTGCGAAAGGAAAACGAAGGCCATCTACAGACTGCAATCACGGAGTTGGCCAAAGAGCAACAACGCGTCTTGCAGCAATTGATAATGGAAACTACAGCTTCCTCACAGCAGAGTCGGGAACTCATTGCGAAGACTAGAGACCTCATGGCTGACCTTCCAATCTTACCCTTGGCAACGGCCACGCGCAGCATACGGTACCTAGACAGTTTGATCAGGGATGGTGCAAGAATGGACCAAATTGACGGCCAAGACCGCACCGCGCTCCACGTTGCTGTAATCCGGGGCGAGGAGTCGATCGTGCGGTGGGCGTTAGAAAAAGGGGCGAGCTTGGAGGCTAAAGACAAGGAACAGAAAACGGCCCTCGCGCTCGCAATGCAGGCTTGGATAAGAACTGGCAATCTTGAATTTTACGAAATTGCAGTCATTCTTCTCAAGGCGGGCGCTTCCATCACCACGGGGGTGAGCGCTGGAACCTCGCAGTTACTTGAGGTAATCGCTAGGGGAGACGAGATTGAGTTTGACCGACTACTTGATGAAGAAGAAGTCGACGTCAATGGCTGTGACCTTCTCGGTTACACGGCCCTGCATGAAGCTGCGTGTTTCGGCCGTGAATCAATGGCCAGAAAGCTCCTTAGCCACGAGCCAAAGCCGTTTATCGACGCAGAAACCATTCTCGTTGCAGAAACGGCGTTGCATTTCGTCATCGAGAGAGGCATCCTTGACCGTCAGTTCATCGATCGTCGTTCCGCTCGTGGTGAAATGGCCAACTTGAAGCTGACTGAGATCCACGTTGGAATCGTCGACCTCCTGCTCCGAAATGGGGCCACTCCTGATCTTTCGCGTTATGACGGTCTGACTCCGCAGGCTCTGGCGGAAAGAAAGCTCAGATCTCCTGGTCTCGACGCGGAGGAAGAGAGAAACCTGCGGCGAATCTTGAAGATACTGCAAGGTCCACCTCCAGTAAAACGCAGAAGTGCAAGTGAGGTACATCTCATACCGCCCAAGGCGCCGTCGCCTCGACATATGGAAGCGTGCAACGACTTCGACATTCGAATCCAGTTCCACACTGCTTACCAATTTACACCGCGAAAGCAACCAGTGGGAGAGTTCTTGTACCACATAGTCTCCGATACTGAAGCCAACGAGGCTCTGGAACTTGAAAGGTTGGCAAAAATGGAGACAGGAAAAGGGAAACAACCATCTAGATCAAAGCAACCAGACTACTGGCGATGGTTTCATCTGCCGGCAAATAATGTACGTACTGATTGTGTGATACGAATTGGCTTATCTGTTATCATACCCCTGAATCACGTGCTCATCATGGGGTTTCCTATGTATATAGTCGCTCCTTTTCCTTCCATCCTTCTACTTTCTAGACTCATTAGATAGTTCAATGCACTTCTTATCTTACTAGACAACTGCAACCGTACGATAGTTATAAGCCTGGGCACTGTGACTGTATATAGCTAAATACTATTATACGTTATAGGAATATTTTCAATGTTGTCGAGACAAAGATGGAGGCATGTTCGCCCCCTTGCGTCCTGAGCGCGGACGTTTGAGCCCCGGCCAAGTAATATCGAAAAGCCTTCTATGCTGTATCTTGGCTGGGCGCGGTTCTTGTACTGGCAGTATGCGAGCAGCGGCGTTAGGTTGTAGACAACGTCAACGATAGTCTCCGAGTTGACTAGGCCATCAGAGCAGTCGAATAAAATTCGCATAGTCTCCTGGCAATAGCGTGTCAGATGTCAACCACACTAGAGACTGCGGCCAATCTTACCGGGTCCCCTGACGTGAGGATTTCTACAGCGACGCTTCCTCGATGACCTGGTCCCATCCACAACGGGTCACTACCAGCCTCCAGAAGTAACTTGCGGCTTTCGAGCGATTGTCCATCCCGAATGCCATCAGAATCCTGCATAATGCGGTTGCCAGATGCTGGGGATTTACCGGTACCCGCCAATCAGGCATAATACTGAGAGGCGGGGCAAGATGGTCTACATCAGCGCCGTGTTGGAGCAGAAAGCGGCACATTTCCGGGTTCTTCTTGGTGTACTTCTATCCAATCAGTGTCTGTTCTTTCTGACCGAGGATTGCAGAGTGCACCTACAAACAACAGAGATCTTCCGTATGGGTCCCGGTCTCTCAAGGATGCCTCGCCTCGTACCAGCATTCTCTGAAATACAGCCACTTCGCCCAGGTGTACTACCGAGAAGACGCGAGATTCCAGTGGGAGGACATTGTAGTACAACAGCTTCTTCGGTATGTTAATGTGTGCCCCATGACTGCCGTGGGATTGTCGTAGCACTGCGTGAAACGATTCTTGCACAGAGGCGGTCGCTGTCGGGCTGAACCAAATCCGCGTCTCGACCTCTTCGACAATACCAGCTTCGCCCTGGTCATATGAAGATACAGGAAGCAAGCGGTGTTGCTTCTTCCAGGATCTTTCGAGTGAAATCACCGATAATGTACCAGATCCAACGTCGTACGACCTTTTCCAACTTCGCTTCTGGGACATGATTCCACAGTCTTTCCGCTTTTCCCTGGCTGGTTCTGGGTTATTTGGCTGTAATCTGCATATGGATGGAGATGATATTCCGAGAAATATATGACAGACAAATCATACTTGGTTCGTTTACGGAAACCCTTCTAGAAGACAAAAGCATACCACGGAGTGCCATCAAGTTTCGTCGTTATGCCTCGAGATCAAGCTTCGTGCGAGTTCCGCGTCAGTCTTCGTATGCGGACATTAACATATCATCGGAAGTCATGAACTGCTTCGATGTGGCAATTGAGAGTAGGGTGAGCAGAGCCTTGGTAAGATCGGAGTCATGGTTGAGGACAAAAACGCCGCGTTTGCCGTTATCGCATTTAGGATGGATCCAATGAGTTCCGCAAGTTTGGCGTAAGGCAAGACCTCTTCTGAAGCGGAGTCATCAAGCGTTTCCTCAATAGCACTGCTACTGTGCCTCTGTGCGACAGACGATTGTGAGAGCTGTTCGAGCAGCCGAGCGAGCATACGGGCCATTTCATCCCTCTGGGCTGCGAATTCAGACGCTGCAGTCTGGACCGTCTCTTGCATGGTTTGAGCATGTCGTGTCAATTGCATCATGGTGTTTTGAGCAGTCGTCGTCATGATCGTCTGCTGCGTGACGATAGTCGACTGCGTCTCTCTGATGGTTTGCTGGGTTGATAGCTCCTGCCGAACAGCAGCTACAATGTCATGCACATCGAGAAGAAGATCGCTGAGTCGCACGAATGTCAGCCTGCGACTAGGTACCCCACTCTACCGCAGAACAGGACGGGCTTTGGCCGGAAGCCGTACCTTTCTATGACTTTAAGATAGAGGTTGAGAGCCGATGTGTGCCTGGTGACAAGATGACCAACTCTCTCTATCTCTTTCTCGTCTAGAAATATCTTGATTTTGTTCAACTGTCGTTTGAAGGTTGTCCCGGACGAGCTGGCCTGTACCAGCTTCTCCAGTTTCGTGGCACAGTCTTTCATGTCGTTGCTACATGACGCGATCGTACATTCGAGAGCGGCTTTGTCGGGGTGACGGTCGGCACCGGAAACGATGCGGCACCTTTCGAACCTTTCCAGAGTGGCACGAAGACCTTGCACATCCCTTGCGACCTGCTCGACGAGGCCTTCCCCGTCTTTGGCTGACGACAGTATTTCATGAATTGCTTTGGCGCTCTTGACGGCTAGGGTGACGAAGGCGAGCACGCTCGCTCCGGCCCCAACAGCTTCCATCTTCAAGTTAGATTTCAGGTCTGCCAGGGAAATTGATTCTTTCAACTTTGTTGCAGGCAGGCGAAGCCGCGGAGGTGAAGAACTTGAGGTAGTTCTTTGCTGTTGCACATGTGGTAGATGCGGCACAGGACTGCGTGAAACGTGCGAGACGATTGATAGAACCAGAAAGCCCCTGGGTGTTTGAGCTGAAGACTTGTGGCTGATGTGAGGGACAGACTAGGAGGTACGGGGCGTCCGACGATTGGCGCTTACAGTCACCAACAGTGACCAACTGCAGAGTCTGCGCCCTCAGAAATGTCCCGGTTGTTCAAGGCATTCGGTATCTCAGCCTTGTCGAGCTTTATGGGCCAGCACTTGCATGAGATTCTTTTAAATCCCAAGGATAAGGAATCGCCCAATCGAGCGGCTTATTCTTATTTCTCGTTTCAGGCGCGTTAACAACCTTGGCGGTGGAATCTTGGCCGAGCCTTGCGGCGGATCAAGTTTAGACTAGCCTGGGCCGAGCATTGGTAAAAGCGTCAGCGAGAAGTACGGAGTATCGTAACCAGCATGGCTCGCAAGGAGCATCTGGCTGCTTTGTATACGCCATCTTTCCATCGTACTGTTCCACGGAGGTCTGCTGACTGAAAGGCAGCTTCTGGCGGCTGCTTTCCACTGCGGTCTCAGAATAATTGAAGGGATCCTGGCTCGGCATGTCATACTTCAGTTCCTAGCATGCGTGTGCTTTGCTTCGGCCCTCTGGCGGTGTCTACGGAGTAGCGCTCCGCGTCCAGCAACAAAGCCGATCAAGATACTGGGCCTGGGTCAGGCAGATCCATGATAGACAACAGCATGTTCGGAACACAAACCCGCAATATCCTACTTCTATGTCAAGATCAGTAACCATGCCTTCCCGCAGGCCAAGGTTTTAGGGGAGACGGGAGCTTACCGAATGGTACGGAGAACCCCAGTGTAGTGGTGCTGCGTTGACTCCAATTGACATCCCGAGAACAAGAACAAGGGCAGCCATGATGTGCCTCTTCGTTTCTTGGCGAGAAGTGGTTTGCTAACGTGCCGATGCACTACCGTAGAGTCGGAGATTTCAAGGGTCGACTTGGGAAGTGGGAATTCGCAACCCATGTTGTCGCAAAGTGTTGGGCAAAGTGGGACTGGGCCGGGAGGCTGGGGAATCCGGAATCAGGGTTAGGGTTCTGTGGGGCTACCCCGTTCTACCCCGTTAATTCGTTTAGACTCTTGTTGGTCTTGGAGGGATTCTTGAAGGATCGTTCCTTATCGTTCGTTGCGCGATAAGCTAGACTAGACTGGACGCACTCCACGCGCACGCGCACGCGTGTCCGGTGCCCCTGACTTACAGTCTAACCTGCACATAAGAATCAAGTCCGGAACCCCATTTTTGATGCTTATACCCAGGTTATTCCTACTCCCAGGTACACACATAACCCTAACTCAGACCAAAAGTTGCCCAAATCGGGGTCAAAATGCCTATTTCCAGGGTCAAATGTTGGGTCCCCCGGCCACAGTTAGGGGGAACCATACTTTCGCTTACCTGGATATAAGAATAAACCTGAATTTGCATGGGTTACTAAGCAAGATTCGTAAGAATAAGTCCGTTTCCCAGGTTATTCTTATTTGCCATATAAAATCGCTCGGGAACCCCGATTTTGATTCCTATACCCAGGTTATTCCTGTGCCTCGTATTCTTATGTGCAGGTTAGACTGTATCTCACCCCAGATGGCGGGACGTGACGCGAGGAACCAAAACCCCGAACGTGTGCCGCCTATGACCGCAGACTGAGCCTGGGAGGGGTCAATTCTGGGACTCTGGGAACTAACATTACGCACCGTGGGATCTCACAGAATTGGGAACTCGACAGCAGGCGATGACGGCCACGTACTAAGGTGCCAGGCCCATGACAGCCAGGCAACAAGGGCAGCTAGTCTGACCGTTGCTACCTTAATTGACAGCACCTTCACCCAGGTAGTGTACTTGTACAGTACCTGTTGGTTGGTGACTGGCCGTGGCCACCTGCCGAAGATTCGCAATCTTGCGAGATAGGTACCTACATAGGTACGGTATTCACCTTCCTCTTACAGCCATTCCACCCATTACGCAAACGCCCGACTCCCGAGCAAAATGCAGGAGCCGCCCGTAGCAACTTGAAGCTCCGAGTCAAGTCGCTCTCTCAGACAACAACACCTTGGCTGCAACGTTGAAATTTAGGGTCCCCGATGACAACGCCTTGCCATCCAGGAAGCGACGACCAGTTTGGTCCAAGGGTCGACAAGGCTTGCAGGGCCTTCGACTTCACTTTGCTTTTCGAGGATGGCGTCTTCATTGCCGTTCCAGCCGCCCTCTTGATTCTCCTGCTTCCGGTGCGCATACGGAAACTATGGAGGACGCCAATCATGACGGCATCGTATCGCCTCGCTGCATGGAAGTTGGCAGCAATAGGGAGTCTGATCGTATTCCATTTGGCTGCCCTCGCTCTGCGCGTGCAGTCCCGCTCTCTTCACACACGGGCGGCGGTCGCTGCCGAGGTTCTGTCGTCGGCTGCCAACTTCGGAGCCCTCGTGCTATCTTTTCTCGAAGATCAACGGTCGGTCAAACCTTCGGACCTTTTGGTTCTATATTACTCAGCGTCAACGCTTCTCGGCATCCCTCGCCTCCGTACCCTGTGGTTGCTCCCTTCGGACTACTTGGTGCATCAAGTGGTATGGACTGTCCTACTAGTGATCACGGCAGTTGTCGCTGTGTTGGAGTGCATCGGCAAAACTAGTCACCTGCGACCCGTCTACAAGAAAGGTCTCACATCGGAGGAGACATCAGGCTTCTGGACCCGCAGCCTTTTCGTCTGGCTTCTTCCACTGTTTCGCCAGGGTTACAACACCATCTTCCTCGTCGAGGATCTGCCGGAGGTTGACAATGACTTGAAAGCGTCCACTACTAGCCGAGAACTCGAGCGTGCATGGCGTCGTGCACGGCGGCTGCCGAATCGGCTTCGTCTAGTCAGAGCAACCTTACGAGCAAATGCATGGTCTTTCCTGTCTGCTGTTGTACCTCGTCTGTTTTTGACGGCTTTCACCTTCTGCCAGCCCTTTCTTATCCAAGCAGCCGTTTCCCACCTGAGAAACGACAATGATAAGGACAGCTCGGATCACGAGCGCTTTGGTCAGGCTCTTATCGGCGCGTTCGCACTTACTTACTTGGGCATTGCGGTATGCTGGCCCTTATATCCCAATCTCCAGTGCTGACTTTAGGAAATGAACGCAACTGACGCTTTCTGCTCATAGGTCTCCAGAGCTATCTACTGGAGGCAGACCTACCGCCTGCTTGCCAAGGTGCGAGCTGGGTTGACAGCAAAAATATATCGACACACGGTCTCCCTACCATCTAGAGATGTTGAAGACTCTGCAGCTATCACTCTTATGGGGACGGATGTTGAGCGTATCGTCGAGTGTCTCAGGTTTGTTCATGAGGTGTGGGCAGCCATCCCGGAGGTTGTCATTGGTGTCAGCCTTCTGGCGCGTCAAGTATCCTATGCTTCCATCGCACCACTCGTGATTTGCGCGAGTAAGTATGGAATCTCACAGAGTTGGGTGTTGAGCCTGCAGCGCTGACAAGTCCCAAGTCAGTTTGGTCGGTACATCGCTCGTCGCCAAGGGGCTTGGACCAGCACAAGGAAACTGGGTGGCGTGTGTGGAGAAGAGGGTCTCTGCGACGGCAACGATGCTGAGCAACATCAAATCCGTCAAAATGCTTGGCCTGATGGCTCGCTCTCATCAGATAATTGAGAAGCTCAGGGACACCGAGATCAACGCCTCTGCCAAGTTCCGCAAGTTGACAGTCTGGGTGATCATGATCAGTGAGTCCCTGCGCAGTTCCGACACTTCAGGTTGGGTCTGTCCTGAACCGGTGGTTTGCTGACATCCGTTCTCCTAGGCAACGTACCTACCTCAGTGGCTCCTTTTGTTACGTTGGCCATCTATGCTCTGATTTCACTCACTGGAAGCCAAGAGTCGCTGCTTATTGCACAGGCCTTCACGTCACTAGCCCTGGTCTCCCTGGTCACCGAGCCCTTGCTCCTGTTCTGTCAGGGCTTACCAGCCATGGCGCAGGCGCTTTCCTGCTTTCAGCGGATTGAGAAGTTTCTCTTGATGGGTCAGAGTCTTGAAGCTCAAACACTAGAGTCTTCAAAATCTGACGATCCGTCTCTATTGCCCCTTCAACCCCAGGCAGATCTGATGCAACCAGCCGGTGGGCAACTCATAGAATTTCGACAAGCCAGTGTTTCTTGGTCCCCAAAACTTCACGACCGTCCGATCGTTCTGCATGACATCAGCCTAAGGATTGGAACTGGGTTCACAGCCGTCGTTGGACCTGTTGGATCTGGAAAAACCACACTGTTATCAACCATCATTGGGGAGACTGCTACCGTATCCGGGTCGGTCGTATCAAATATTGCATCTCGAGTGGCATTCTGCTCTCAGACACCATGGCTGGCGAATGACACCATCCGCCGGAACATTGTCGGTGAGTCGGACTTCGATCAGGGGTGGTTTGACTCAACCATCAAGTTCTGTGGTCTTCGGGAGGAACTTGAAGACCTCCCTGCAAAAGATCTAACGATCGTGGGCAACAACGGCTCTGCCCTAAGCGGAGGGCAACGGCAACGAGTGGTGAGTCCTTGCAGCCACGATATCTTCCTCAATCTCTCACACGTGCGTGTAGGCTTTGGCCCGCGCGGTCTACTCCAGATTGCCAGTTGTCCTGTTGGACGATTGTACAAGTGGTTTAGATCCATCAGCGTCCCGCACCATAATAACTGAGCTCTTTCATGCCAAAGGTCATTTCCGGAACGCTGGCATCTCGGTCATCATTGCAACACACGATCGTATGTTTTCACGCCCTTCGGATTTCGCACCCAAGGCTAACTTTTAGATCAGCACGAATCTTGCCTCACGTGGACGCAGTTGTACTCCTTAATGAAGGGAAACTCATCGATCATGGCCCATACGAAGAGGTCTGCGAGAGAAGGCCCGAACTAATCAAGCTACAAGAAGTAGCGGATCAATATGAGTCTCGGGAAGATGATTTAGCGAAGGCAAACCCCAGAACGATGGAAACGGTACAGCCAATTGTGACAGTCTCACCGGGAGGTGAGCGGGATGAAGAATCCGAGCAAGCAGTTGGCGATGCGAGCCGTCAGAAGGGCAACTGGTCAGTTTACACATACTACGCCAAGAGAGCCGGAAAGATCTCGATGTTTCTCTGGATCTCATCTACTCTTGTTGGCGCAGTTGCGAACGCCTACTCTTGTGAGTCTCATAGCTCAACTTGGACGCAAATCAGGATGAATCTGACGCTGTCCGTAGCCCTCTGGGTGGATCGATGGACGTCTGCTAGCGAAACGACAGGAAACCAACAGCTTGGCCTCTATTTGGGCGTCTACTTCTTCTTAGTCTTCTTGGTCACTATGGGGACCCTAGGTGAATGCTGGTACGTCAGGAGACCTTGTTTAGTCTTGTGTGATCGGGGCATGAATTGACAAACTTAGGGTGTTTTTCATCAACATCATCAGGGATACTGCCATCAAACTACACTCGGACCTGCTAAAGGCGACTCTTGGGTTAGTACTCACGTTTCACACGCCTCCGTTGCTCAGGGATCAGCTAATCACCCCAACCCTTCGCTTGCAGAGCCCCGTTTTACTTTTTCCTTGAATCCGACGTAGGATCCATCACCAACCGGTAAGAAAATCTCCATCCTGGCTGGAATAGTGGCCCTTTGGCTCTAGAGTTGGCAGTTGGCATGCTAACTGGCATTCCAGATTCAGTCAAGACATGAACCTCATCGACATGACTCTTCCATCTCAGGCTATTCAGTTCACCTCGGGTACGGATGTCTTTTCTCTCCGACACGTCCTCGCAATTCTGATGCCTGTTTAGGGTTTTCTTACTGCCTTGTCCAATTGCTTGTCATCTTTGTCCTCGGGAAATATCTCGCCGCCGTTGTGCCGGTGCTTGTGGTCGTTCTGTTCACCATCCAGAGGTACTATCTCCGAACTTCCCGCCAACTTCGTATGCTCGACATTGAAACCAAGGCTCCACTTTATGCTTTCTTCATCGACACTATTGCTGGCATCGGAACCATCCGTGCATATGGCTGGGGAATACCATTCCGCAACCGGCTATCCGCGATGCTGGATCTATCACAGCGACCCTTCTACATGCTCTTCTGCGTCCAGCAGTGGCTAACTTTGGTGTTGGATCTTGTTGCTGGTGCTCTCGCAGTCACCCTAGTAGCCATTGCCCTCGGGTTGGCCGGGGCTCTCGGTCCTGGGGCTCTTGGTGTTGCTTTGGTCTTGACATTACAGTTCAACTCGCTGCTGATACAGACCATGCAGTCTTGGACAAAGTTAGAAACGTCGATCGGCGCGGTGGCAAGGGTCAAAAAGTTTGTCGAGGAAACCCCGCAGGAGGAGGGTGGTGCACCCGTTCGTTCGGTTTCTTGGCCGGAACGTGGAGCTGTTGAGATTCATCACCTAAGCGCAGCACATACGTAAGTTGTTCACGGACCCATCGTAGGGAAAAAAGATGCTGTGACTCTCCAAGACTAATGTTTATGCGCCACCTCTCCAGGCCCACGTCTCTTCCGGTCCTCGAAGATATTAGTCTGACCATCGCTCCGGGTGAGAAGATTGCCGTGTGTGGACCATCCGGGAGCGGGAAGACGTCGACGATCATGTCGATTCTCAAGATGATGGACTTGCGGAAAGGCCAAATCTTGATTGACGACGTGGACATCAGTACACTGGACGGCTCTGACCTGCGTGCCCATCTCAGTGTCATTCCGCAAGAGCCGTTCTTTATGCCAGGCACGCTGCGATTTAACTTGGATCCCAGGGGTCGGGCGTCTGACGTGTCGGTCGAAGCAGCGGTGAAACGAGTCAGCGAGGGCCTCTGGGAGAAGTTGTTTAAGGGTTCAACCATGGACAGTCTAGATTCCGAGCTGGTGGCATCTGAGTTGTCCCATGGAGAGCGTCAGCTTCTGTGTCTTGCAAGAGCTTTGCTGCTCCCGAGTAAAATCGTCATCGTTGACGAGGCCATGAGCAGGTATGTTGAAGCCTCGACCTGGATGAGATAATCCCATGGCTCGGAACTGACCTTGTGCTGTCGTTAGTGTCGACGAAAACACCGAGACGGTGATGCAGCGTGTGGTGGAAAGAGAGTTTGGAGACAAGACAATCATCTCAATCATGCATCGGTACTCACATATCGAATGGTACGATCGTGTAGTTGTGCTTCGGGACGGAAGGATCGTGGAATGCGACAAGCCCCGCGCATTGCTGGATCAGGAGGGATCGGCTTTACGTGGACTGTACAGTGCTGCTTCTTGAGATGATAGCTGGAGGTGTACGAGCGTGTAAGAGAGCAGAGGGGTGTTTCTGATAAATTTCTGGTACATGTCTGAGGCCAGTTGTGGATGAGCTGAGGTTATTGTTGGGTGGATGCCAACTTTACCTGGGCAATAGCCGACATGGATACCCCGGTGCTGTTTGATGCAAGACGGTTATTGGTACTAAGTATTTCTGGTCCTGTGTCCAGACGAAGGCTTTGTGTTATTCTGTACTACTATTTGATGGGATTGCCTCCGAGATCTCGATCCAAATATGGACTTCGCTAACAATGCGAGTAGAATAGGCTGAATAGCCGAACTGGCAGAATGTTGACATTCCCTCAGCCGAGCCCGCTCCTACGTAATCAACCTCACACATGCACCGCAATGTGAATGAGCCTGTCTAATACCCTTAGCAACTGGTATTGTGGCCTGGCCCCTGCCCCAGCACATTGGGCTCGCACGGAGCAAATTCTAGGATGGCCGGCCCTTGACGGCGAGTCAATATCCTTCAAGTAAGTTCGACTTCCTTGGACTCGTCCACCATGGCAGTCCCACCTCAACTGTACTTAGGTTGTCCCTCACTGAACTCATCAGAGTAAGGTAGTTGCGGTAGCGGTGGCCTTACAAATATCTTCTAGTACATAACTTCCCAAAATGCCCGCTAGAGGAAAGTTAGCACCCACGACAGCATGCGACCGATGCCACAGCCTAAAGACAAAATGCGTCTACGAGTCCATGTCTACGCCTCTAAAACGGCCCTTAACGTGTACTCGATGTATGAAGCTTGGGAAACCATGCTCCAATTCACGGAGTACACCAAAGCTGGGACGCCCCCGAAAAGCCGACGCTAGCACCTCCCTCCTGCCTCGACCCTGGGCCGAGTTCGTATGGATTGGAACACAAGATGAAGGCCAAAAGCAGCCCGAACAATCCCCTCCACGCAGGCCACCAGCACATTCACCGATGGCTCCATCAGCGGCACTAGCAGACCCTAGATCGTGGCCGTCCAACCGGCTCCTCGCGAACCGGTCTTCAGAAGAGATGAGGCTGTTGCAGGCCATGTTCGACAGGGAGCGTCCGAGTTTTATGTGCTGCTTTGTCATCGGACCGTCGTTTGCCGAGGCGGCTCTGGCGGGTCTCCTGACGACGCTCGCTCAGTTTCCCGAAGCGGCCGACGCCTTGTTGAGCGGCTTTCTAGCCTGTTCCAGGAGGGTCTTTGCTCTTATGGAGACTGCTACTACTCAGGCTAGTACTAGTGCTACTGGTAGTAGTACACAACACCAGCCAAGGCCAGGCATGATTACTGCTACTAGTAGTAGTAGTAGTAGTAGTAGTAGTACGGCAAACTTGAAGCGCAGCCTCAGTGCCAGTGCTGAAGCGGATTATGCATACAGCGCCAAGGCAGTCAAGGCGTTGCGGGACAGGAGCGAATCGTCATCATCAATGGCCGACGACTCACGCCAAGCGACTAAGCCCAGCAACAAGATGGATCAGGTGCTAACCATGGTGCTTGGTCTCGGCGTGCTCACATTCGACCTGCTGGATTCGGGCCTGAACGCCCACTCGATATGTCGATGCACCCTCGGTTTGATAGGACCCGAGTATCCAATGGAAGCACAAGAGAAGGTGTTGCCTCTGATATACATGGACACATGCAATTGCTTGGTCAGGAGGCAGATTCCGGTTCACCGGCTTGGCACAGGGGAAATGGGGAGGGTGGATCGGTATATAGGTCTCTGTCTTTCGTTGTTGCCAATCATGTACGATCTCTGTTGTATTACAACTTGCCACGGCCAGCCTTACATGAACGCTGGAAGGGGCGTGCCGAGGCAAGGTCAAGGCGACGACGTCCAAGAGAGCCTTTTGGACGTGGTGAAAAAGACAGTCCAGGAGTGGAAGCCGCCGCTCGCGAGAATGGCTGACACGGCAAAGCTGAAGTTGACGCAGAAAGAGGTCCAGGTCATCGCGACACAGGCGGCAGTTTATCGTTCGGCTATCCTTCTCTTCATCCACCGACTCCGTCTAGCATTTGCGGCTGAGGAAGACGACATGGAGGCAAACTTCATGGCCTCTTCCATCCTGGACGACATACGGAGTCTGTACCGCTCATCTAGTGACTCCTCCACAGGCTCAGTTTCAGCTAGCCTGAAGGGAGAAGGATGGACGCGGGACGAAACATGGCTGTTTGAGTACCGGATGGGTCTCCCGTTCCTTATCGCTGCGGTCGAACTCCAGGATAAGACGCAGAGAGTACAAGCGTTGGATCTACTGCAATGGGTCGTGTGCAAGAGGATGTACCCGCAAGTGGGAGATCGTCTAAGGCAGTTCATTCTCTTTGTTTGGGAGGCCCGTGATCACGGATTTGGTGGCCACTGGATCGACCTCACAGCTCATGGGCCGCAGTTTGTCTTGTTTTAGTTGTAGGGGGAGATTCGGGCTGAATATTTGACTGGGCACAGAATGTCCATATTCTCGGCGGGATTGAATGGGTCAAGGTTCGTGGCCGCCATGAATCCGTAGGTACGTTTGGTAGTACAATAAGTATATATCACATCGACAATTGTCTTGTTCAAGCCGTTGTTGTACATGCTGAGAACATGATTACTTCGGTACTAGTAATAGTTGCCACAGTGCCGAATCACACGCATAGAGTGATATGACTGGCACAGACACACCCACTTACAAACGCTATCATGTGTACGTTGATTGAGTTGGACTAGCGTCTTGAATACCAGACGAGAATCTCACTGCGAGGATCTGACTGCGGATTTGACGACGGATCTGACTATGACGATTTAAATGCAAACGAACTGACTGTAAACAACCTGAGTGCAACGACCTGGCGGCTCTTGTAGCCAAATATGTACGGTTGACCCCTTTTTAAACCCCTGCAACCCAGCCACCGACAGCACACAAGCCGATGGATCAGTCCCATCTCTACCCGTGAGTAGGCGGCGGGGTGATGCCCTTCAACCAGTCATACGCCGGGTTGTTGGTGCCGCCATTGGGCCCCAGATACGCGGCGATGGTCTTGTAGGCCTCGTAGTTGACATTCTGGTTGAACCCGACCTCGAGCCACATGAAGATGCCTTTGGTGATGTCGTTGGCGTCCAGGAGGACATACTCGGGGAAGGGATCGTAGGCCGACGTCGCCGAATAGCCCGTGTACCCGTCGGCCGCGTTGCTGGTCCGGGGGACGCGGTTGCTGCTGTAGGGCGCCGTCCGCTCCACGGCGTTGATGAGGGCTTGGTCGAAAAACATTTGCGAGATGTGGTGGATGGTGCCTCCGGTGTATGTGTTGTTTGGCAGGACCCTGGCGCCGCTGTGGACGGAAACGTGGATGTGCGTTGCTCGCCCCTGGTAGTGGCCCGGGAAGATGGTGTCGAACTCGACCACGCCGTCTGTGTCGGTTTGTTGGCTGTGAAACTGTCAGCCCAGTTGTATCGAGGACTGAGGTAAGGTGCCTTAGGTAGGTATCCAAACATGAAAGGAAACGTACACTCCACGCAGATAGGTCGTCTTCAGACCAGCCTGGCCAGCTGCCGACACACCACTGTAAACACCCATGGCATTGCACTGCCAGATATCAATGAGCAAATTCGGCGTCGACTTGCAGGTATTGATATTGACAAACGACAACTCGAGATGCAGTGGAATCCCAGCCTGTCCCTCGACAATGTTACTGCGAATCTGCTCGCCGTGGACAAAGTAGGGGCCAATAATGTTGTCAGGGGTGAGGATACAAGTACTGTTAGCCCCAAAAATTTCGGCGTGGGGAGTGTCGGTTGTGAAGTTGAGAATGCCCGTCTTGTCGTGCGAGGTGGCTGCCCACTTGGCAAAGGCGACGTTGTCTCGACGGTGGATGTACAGATGGCTGTCCGAGCTGATGCCCCGTTCCTTGCGCAGTCTCTGGAATGTTTCCAGGCGGCGCTTCATGGCGCGGTCGGCACGAGACTGGGCTTCAGCATCGTCATTGCACTTGCTGAGTTCCCTGTACTGTAGGTCGGCCAACGTGTGTCGAACTCTTGCTTCCGTCAGAGCCTCCCTGACATCCAATTTCTCACCAGGATGAGCTGATGTGCCGCAGAGAAAGACGATGGCGGCAACTGCCAGTGAACAAAAGGTCGAGCCGAGCATCTTGGGTGTCTATTGCTGTCGCAGACGGTGGGCGTGGTAGACTCGGATCAGTGCTGACTCGGAACGTGGCAGGTGCGATCGAGGATCGAGGATCGAAGGAACTAATGTACGAACTGGAAGGCAATCTGTCACGGATGAATGGCAATGTCGATATTGTATCCAATCAGCAACATCGATTAGCAAGCACCTTGGTCGTTTCACACCAAAGATACTTGACGAGTGACACCGTGTTTGTCGTCACAGAACGAACTTCGAAAGCTGAGGTAGGTAGGGTAGGTAGCCACGTCAGGTTATGATGCAAGACCGCGACGACCTCATATCCAACTGATTAAATACTTCTATTTCGATATTCATCTTTATTCAACGAATACAACTAAGACCTTTAGCAGCAGTTTCCGGCTATTTCTATGATGGATGCTACTTACTAGTAGTAGCGTTCATGACCGAACTTCAGTGCTGCTTCTGGTCGAAACTCGCCGGCCCGCAACTATAATTCAAGGTTATGTCTTTCAAGGTTATGTCTGGTGGACAGCCCGGAAAACATCACCTGCAGTCTGCCAAGATGGTGAATGGTACGCAATACGCATACAGTTCTGAGATCAATCAAGACAAAACCAACCATCTAAAGCTACTCCAATATGTTCCCTCGATTAAAGGTTCGTTCTCTGGTGGAAGGTGTAGTTCAAGTGTGTTCTCCTTAAGCGCTACCGTCGGTAAGCACTCGCGGCAAATGTGAGTCGGAAGGGCTCCGTGTTTCCCAATTCTGTCAAAAGTTACCGGTTCCATTTTTGCTTGACCAAGTGCTTAAGCGACACCTGCTCAACCTGGATATTCGGGAAGGTTGTGTGCCTGCAGGCCGTTGTGTTTACCCGGCGTTGTGTTTACCCTCTTAGCGGAGTCAGAGTTACCCCCTTTTTTGGAACTTGCTGATGGTGGGGGAGACAACCACATACGAAGGTCTTGCGATGAACCGGGCCTAGGTATGGCCTGGATTATGGATATATATATTTCAGCTGTTTTTTGTTCGTGAACATGTTCTGAGACCTGCTACTGCATCGTCAAGCCCCGCCGCGTCATTGCTTTGAAATTTGTCACGCTCCATTTGCCATGGCCTGGCTTCAGATTTTCGTTGTTTTCCTCCTCTGTGTGTGCTCAGCCGTTGTTGGTGAGCCATGCACGAATCCAGCCAAGCGAAGAGCATGGCATACCCTAAGCAATGCAGACAAGCTTGCTTACATCAATGCTGAGCTTTGTCTGATGCAGAAGCCGGCAAGACTCGGTCTCCCAGGAGCCAAGACCAGGTTCGACGAGCTCCAGGCCATCCACCAGCTGCAAGCATACGCGACCCATTTCGTTGTAAGTATCAGTCGGTTGAGAACACTTAAGAATTGACCCCTGAAAGTTGGTCAGGGCTCCTTCTTGCCTTTCCATAGGCTCATGATGCATGCCCACGAAAGTGCTCTACGTTCCGAGTGCGGATACACTGGATACCAGCCGTGAGTAACCCCTGATTAGGAATTTGATTTGATACTAGTATCTGACCCTGTGTGAGCCAGATACTGGCATGAACAAATCGACGCCGGAAAATTCAGCCGCTCAGTGCTCCTCGACGCAACCTATGGCTTCGGTGGCGACGGCTCGAGAACGACGGGATGTATAACAAACGGCCCCTTTGTGAACTACACCAACTCCCTGGGACCGGGATACGAGGTAACCAGCCACTGCATCAACCGGCGAATCAGCGACCTCGCCAGCATGGGCTCTTCGCAAGCTCAAGTGGACGCATGTCTCGCAATGAAAGACTTTGAGACTGCATGGCCATGTATCGAAGGACAGCCGCACTCTGGGGGACACGCGGGAGTAGGCGGACAGGTGACGAGAAACTCGTATATTCGTCGGTGAAATGGTGACTGACATTAAGAAAGATGCAAAATGGCGTTTCGAGCCCCGGTGACCCTCTTTTCTACCTGCACCATACCTGGCTGGACAAGGTGTTCTGGGATTGGCAGGCAAGGGACAGAGCCGTGAGGGTTTCCAGGATTGCTGGGACAAACATTGGGCCTGATTTCGCCCCTGGTTTCCCTCCAAGACCGGCTAGCATTCCGTGAGTTTTGCCCTGATTGAGCTGCAATGCGTACGACTAACTCTCTTCCCAGAAAACCGACAGGCGCCGATGGAGATCCGGGTAGAGTGACTACTATGGGGCATGTTCTGAACATGTATGGGAACGGTCCAAACAAGACAATTGCCGATGTGATGGACATCCAAGGGGACTTTCTCTGCTATGAGTATGTTGAGCCGTAGGAGAGACCGGAGAGCGTGGTTAGACAATGTCAATGGCTACCTGATCGATATCTAGGAGGGAAGAAAAAGAAAGGAGAAAGGTGAATAAGTAGTAAAAACAAAAACAAATCTCCCTTGTATACTTCCCAGGCCATAAAGCTAGGTAAGGTGCCTCATAAGAGCCATGACAGTAGACAGACTGTAGCCGACCTTAGACAAGGTATGAGAGTACCGGGCTTCTCCACATGCATCATACACATCATACCCGTGACCCTACTCACCCAGGCGCCTTCAAAAAGGCAACGGCTGATTCTGATGCCTTGCTGCGCCAGGCGCCTCGGCTTCTGGCCCTCTCTCCTCCGTGGAAACAGAGACTCGTGTCATCATTTTATCGCGAGGGTTATCGGCGGCGCCAACCCTGACCTGGACGTGCCTGACATCAGCGAGGATCTGATCGATGGTAGCCACACGGCGCACGCGGCCGCGCAATTCTGACGCGCCCTCAAAGACCCTGGCCGTCTCGAGCGGACTGAGGGTGACTGGCCGCTCGAGTCGCCACCAGCCCCAGGACAGAGAGGCGACGAGAAGGAGGGCGCAAAAGGACACGGCCAGTCCGCCGCCCAGAAACGCATTGTCGCTGCGGAACACTAGGATCGTCTCGGTGCGGGTCGCCGCGAAGGTCTGCCTGTCGGTGTTGTTGCCCACGCGGTGGGCCACCCGGAACATGTAGTCGTGCATGGCCGTCAGGACATACACGGTCGGGCTGGTCCACGTCAGGCGGCAGCTGTCGAGAGAGGAGCTGTTGAGCGAGTTAGGCGGCTCGGCCTGCAGGAACATGTCCGCCAGCATCCCGGGCCCCCGGTACAGGAACCGGGGAGGGACCAGGGTGTGGTAAAAGTCGACTGTCGCGTTGTCCGCGAGCTTGTCGTCGGCGAACTTGTGCAGCCCGGCGAGAGGTCCGATGCCGGAACCCGCCACGGCTGTTGATCGATCCCCCTCCGCCGTGTAAGGGGACACCTCCCGGATCGAGCCCAGCCCATCAGTTCGCAGGACGATGGTCGAGTTTGTGATCATGACGGGGTACTCCACCACGGCTGCCCTGATACGGCATGTGTGGACATGGAGCGTGGCCTGGCAGCGTCCCTGCAGTTCGGCGATGTGCTTGGTGGTCAAGTGGAGAAAGGGCTCGCCGGCCTCTTCGGCCAGCTTGGTTTCGACAAGGAAGACGGTCGAGTGGTTGGCTCGGTCTGACGATAAATCCAGAGACTCGGTGCCGGACTCACAGGTGTGGACAAAACCGGCACCCCTGACAAAGCCGTGACATGTGCCACGGCAGCGGTAGCCCTCCTTGTCTGGCACCGTGATAGATGCGTTGCGGAACCACTCCTGAATCGGCGTAATGGCGCGCCGATGCTGGAGTAGCTTGACGCGAGCGTCGTCCCACCTACCCATCCAGCCGTCGGGAATCCGGTTGCTAAGATCGAAGAACATGACTTGCTCGCTGACGCGGTCTTCGGCCGCCTGGAACGTGGAGCGCTGAAGTAGCGGGCCGCTGGCGAACTGCACGATCCAGGCGATGGTCGCAATCAGCGTGACCTTCCTGGCCTCGGACCCGGCCCGAAAGGCGGCAAAGAAGGCCAGACTCCGGCCGTGGTCCCAGATGTAGTGCAGCTGGCCTAGACGGCCGCCGCTCTCGGCGCAGAGCCAGAAGCGCACAGCGACGCCGGTCGCGAGGGCGGAGCTGAAGGCCAGGTTCGAGATGGTCGAGAAGATGGAGAGCCACACGGCTGGCTGGATGGGCCAACTGTCGACTACCTGGTCGCGCGAGACGGCAACGACGATCATGGACGCGATGGCACATGCTAGGATAGCGCTGAGGGACAGTATCCCCCACCATGGTGTCTGCTGGAGGACAGATGTGCCCGGATCTGGGACGCGTTCCTGTGCTCTGCTCATGGTGACTGTGACATGATGGGTGCAGTTCAATGCATCTTCATGATCAGGTGCTGTTAATACTGATTAGTAGTAAGTCAGGCCCTTATCAACCTGCCGTCTGGTGCCAGCCTCGTCATGTTCATTCATGGCGGCGACTGAAGACCACGCCGCATAGAAAGGAAGCGATGGCATTCAAACGGTTGCAATCGCTCTGCAGACTGCAGCTTGGCAATCATTGTGATTGATCACCAATGTCTTCAGGCCTCAGGGCTGAAGTGCGCTCTATTCCTGGTGGCCGCACTGCCCGGGCACTTACACTACGAGATCATCGAGATGTTAGCCAGTTTCAGCAATCAACCACCCACCTCCACAGATTCCGTTCACTGTTCAGCTTGACCGAGTTTGCAGAGCGCCGCACGGCGTGTGTCGAGGGCCAAGGCGGCTTTGGGTAGTAGGAAGGCGGAAGAGGAGGCAGGGCCGCAAGGAAGCATGTCCAGATGGTAACCTTAACGACCGAACCAAACCTTTCTAAGCTTCCAGTCTTAGGGCTGACACCGAGGGGCGAGCACTGGAAAGCGCAGCCGAGGAATGGTATTGATTGTACGGAGTAGGATTTGGAGGGTTGAAGAGAGCCAAGCCTGGGCAGCGCGCGTAGTGCAGTGGGCTCCAAGGCTCCAATAATTACAGCGGGGTTTACCGCTGCGTTTGCCCAGGTCCCTCCTTCCCACCCATCTCAAGAGCACCCTGATAAGATGGCCACAGTTCCCGCCATGGCGCAGCAACCGATGCTTCCCGTAAATGCAGGAGCTGAGGCTTTGAGGTCGGCAATTAATCTACAAGGTGGGGGTGCATTGCCGTTCAAACAGGAGTGATGACCGTTTGCACTTGTGGTTGGTAGCCAGCCTGTTACACAGGCCTAAGCGAGCTTGTTCGTCGTGCAGATGGTCTGCTCGACGTTGCAATTTAGGGGTCGCAATGTGTGTGCCCATTGCACTGCCCAGTGGTCTGGGCTCTGGAACGGCCATATGTCCGTGTCCAATCGGCAAGGCTGAGGTGCTCAAGAGAGCTAATAAGGTATCCTTGAAGTTGCTAAAGTACCTACTAATAGCTCTTGGACTACCTAGGTAAGGTACAGTACCTACCTACATGTACTGAGCTACGTACCGTATAGACAGATTGCGGGATCTTTACACAACGTTCTTCAACACATGGTGGATAAGTTATTAAGTCAAGGCCTGCTGCCAGAGCTGGGTGGACCTGCCCAGGGAAGAATCAAACCAGCAATGGATTGAATGGACACTGGTCCTGGATCCGTGGATCCGCGACATGTTTTAAACATTCGGGTTATACTGTACCCTTCACTGTTTGTGAACTAGTAGTATTGTATGTACGTATGATATAGAATCAGGCACTTATTGACTGGATGGCATCATATTTCCATTGCTTGGTGTATCGAGATCATGTTCACACCAGGTAGACACCATACTACTTAGTAGTACCATCTCCTCATATGCTCATAGGAACAGGCATAGCCGCATAACCCTTTCGGCAGCCGAGCTCTTCGGCACCAGTACCCCGCTCTCCCATAGCTCCGACCTCTCCGAGTCCCGTATCAGTCCCTTCCGTTCGAGCCTCACCCTTCTCTAGGCTGCCTCCCCCATGAGCCCCTTTCCGGCCTGTCCTCCGCGACCGGGCACCCCACAACAGCCCGGCCCCTCTTCTAACTCCGATTTCGACCATGCACTATCATGTGCAACCCTCTTCGGCCCCGCACCGACGTACAACCACTGGTGATTGAGGACAGTTTCCTAACCGGCAGTCCTTTGATAGGTGAATATGGCGCCCTCGGACTTAGATTTCGAGTCTTGTATGGGTCTCTCGTCATAGGGGACTGGAAATGCTAACAAGAATGCCGAGAGCCGGGGTAGTATGATACTAAGTAACAATGAGGAGTTGTACCAGTAGGCTGTAAGATGCGGCACTTGTTGATCTGATATAAGTAACAGAATATGGCTTACCCCTTTACTGCCAGCTTACAGATAAGATATGTGAGACAGCTTGATGGTCAAGGTAGTCAAGGCTCCAATCAGTACTATGATCAAAAGCTAGGAAAATCTCGTCGTCAATACTATATTTTCTAATGAAAAGGATAGCCTACCCTGCCTACCTCGGTACCGGTACTCGACAAAGTAGGTACCATTTACCTAAGGCACGTCTTACTACTACCTCGTAAAGTGCAACCCGGGAACATAAGGTAGGTACTTAAGCGAAGCATCAAGGCCCTGGAGGTAGTAACTGAACGCTTCACTAGCAGGGTTCGCAATACATGATACTTAGGTACCTACTACTGCAGGTCTGATTCCCCTGCTACTAGTAGCTAGCATTCCCGTCTCGCGCCGAGCCGAGACTGGCCACCTACACAGGTATACTCACTCCGCGCCTAGTGTATGAGATATGTACTTGGCCACTTGCCGCTGACTCGAGGTTACACGAACCTCTCAACATCCGTCACACACTTTCAGTGGGTTGCTGTCCGTTTGCAATAGGTACGGTAGTGTTGCGCCATGCCATCTCCGTCACCCCCATCAGATTACAGAATCATGATCTACACCACCAGAACGTTACCAGTCACCCGAGGAGTAATGCCGTGGGAGGATTGCTGGCTAGTCCTCGCCCTGCGACTGGAGAATGCAGGGTTCTACATGTTATGTTGCAGATGTGAGCATCGCCGAAGCAGTGGACGGGAGCAGTATACTACCACAGCACCTAAAGCACCGCATGGGATGGTGTGCTGCTGCTACTGTAGATATTGATCTTCTCTGACAGAACAGGGAATACTCGGCAATGATGTCTCAAGGGAACGTCATGTTGGCATGATTGGTCCGCATTATGTCTTCTCGATGATCAGGACACAGATATAAAGGAGATTACTCCACGTCCAACCCTGCTCCGGCTTTCAGTACGTGTATAATACCATCTAGTAGTACCTTGTGTTGTGAACGTACCTACCTAGGTACTAGGATAGCCTATCATACCGTCCTTCCTATCACTCGAAGTCCCCTTGCTGGAATACAGCTTTCTGTGTTTTGAGAGCATTGTGACTCTGATCTGAACGCTGCCCCGATCGAATCCATACCATCCCTCGAGATGTTCTCTTTGGAACCACACGCCGTCAATATTGCGGGCCTAGCCCTCCTGTTGGTTTTGATTATCATTGGCGTCAGTACTACCAACCAGTCCGCTACCCTGCCTCCTTTCACTCACTGACATAAAGAGCTCCCTAGTATGTCTACCGGATTCTGAGAGACCCCGTTTCTCGAATTCCCGGGCCGTGGTTCACTAGATGGACCGATATGGTCGCAACGTACCACATGGCAACTGGCCCGCACTCGTCGTATATTCACAGTCTCCACGAAAAGTACGGTAAGTACCTATGTATGATGACGACCGTGTTTCAGTATGCCCTACCCACGACGTAGTATCAAGCAACCCCTTGCTACCAGTCTACCTACTTCATGTTCTTAGCCGTCCCTTTCTCACTCAAGAGCGCAGGGCCCGTTGTCCGTGTCAGCCCATCTGAGGTCAGCTTCTCCGATATGAGCGCCGTAAAGGAGATTTACACCGTGAAGGAAACCTATGTCAAATCGGAATTTTACACGAGGTTGACGGCACCCACCAACAAGAACGTCTTCGCCGTGACCAACATCGACCTCCACAGACGCTACCGCCGGCTCCTTTCAGCTGCCATGTCCGAGACGTCCCTGAAGTCCATGTATCCGGCCATAGAGGCCAACGTCAACCTCGCCATCCAGCGGATTGGCGAAGAACTGCAGACACGAGGAGCAGCCGACGTGTTCAAGTGGTGGCTGTTCCTAGCCACCGACATCATCGGCGAGCTGAGCTTTGGCGAGTCGTTCCGCATGCTCGAGAAGAAACAAAAGAATCAGTACATTGAGGATCTCGAAAGCGCCGGCTTCGTAGCCGCCATGCGCGCCCTGTTCCCCACCGCAATGTGGGTAGCCAAGTTCCTCCCGCTGCCCTGGCTCAGGTACGCGTCCGAATCGACGGAGCGGACCCGCCTCTCGGCCGAGGAGTCCATCAGGCGCCATGAGCGCCTCGAGCAGGCCGACCCGACCAACGTCAAGCCGACGCTGTTTAGCAAGATGTACAAGGCCGAGGAGGACGAGCAGCTGACCTTTAACGAGGTCGTGGATAATGCCGTCGGCTACATCATCGCCGGGAGCGACACCTCGGCCACCACCCTGACCTACCTGGTCTGGTGCGTGTGCAAGCATCCGGAGGTCAAGGCGGCCCTGCTGCGGGAGCTCGCGACTCTGCCCGCCGACGGCGGGTACGGCGACCAAGAGCTGAAGCAGCTGCCGTACCTCAACGCCGTAATCGAGGAGACGCTGCGGATCCACGGCGCTGCTCCGGCCTCGCTCCCGCGCGTAGTGCCCCGCGGCGGTGCCTCCCTTGCGGGCTATTGGCTGAACGAAGGGACCACAGTGAGCAGCCAGGCGTACACCCTCCACCGGAATCCAATGACATTTCCGGAGCCTGAGAAGTTCGATCCGTCGCGATGGTTGGCTCCGACCAAGGCCATGAAAGACGCCTTCTTCGCATTCGGCGGGGGATCTCGTAGTAAGTTATCTCCCATCACGGGAAGCTGAATGAAGTGTGGAGTGTTCTAACGCTATGAAGTATGCGTTGGAATGCACCTCTCCCTCATGAATATTCGCCTTGCCGTCAGCAAGTTCTTCAGAAGATTCCCCAATGTGGAGATCTCAACACTAGAAGGCATGAGCGACGAGGATATGGAACCACACATGACGTTTCTGTATGGCCCCAAAGGTAGGCGGTGCCTTGTTGAGGCTCACTAATGCTTCACCGTTGTTGTTTCTTGCAGGGAGGAAAGGTCACAGTGGCGAGAGCGGAAATGGTTGTTTTTCAGGAGTCAAAGTTAAAGATTGTCCCAAGTTCGCTTTGTCTGTGTCGCCGTTAGCAGGTTTCCATAAAACTCCACACTCAATAATGATCATGAAGTGAATGCCCTAAACGTCTCTGGAGCGGTATGTACTTGTAGTACCAGCGATGAACACTATGACGCTGTCATTGTCAAAGTAGTAGGTATTGTACATACCTTGGCCGCGGTAAGACTGGAAGTACTGATGCCTGCCAGGCTCACCTGGCTGCCAACAATTAAACATTGTCATTAAAACTAATGGACCTACTCCAGTAAGTACTCATGGGGTCTCCCATCAACACATCAATCCATATCTTCAGAAGGTAATCATACCAACATGAAAGGCAGCGGGCAACCCCCATCGGCTGATGTGCGCCACCCAAAACTCCCTCCCAATTAGCTGATCGGAATTAGCACCAAGAGTACACCCCAATACCCAATATGGCACGCACCGACACCACACATCCCGGCCTCCCCGCAAACCTCATCACCTCTCACGCTCATTAGGCGGTAATTCCGACAGATACACCCCCGGCATATAATGCGGCAAATCCACCCCCTGCCCCTGCCCCTGCCCCTGCCCCTGCCCCTGAACCATTTGCTGCTGCTGATGCTGCTGCATCTGAACAGCTTGCTCCTCGACCGTCGTCAGCCTCACCGCACCCATCTGGTGCTGCTTGTCCTGGAAGCCGTCACTGCCGGCGACGCTGGCGAATCCGGGCGAGCCAGGCGAGTCGACAGGCGTCGTCTGGCTCCAACCTCCAAACGACAGGTGGCCCTGGTGGCCGTGGGGGTACTGGCTGGTTTGCGGACCGGCCGCGGCGTTACTGTAATTGGGGTTGAAGGGCGGCGCGCCGGGTGGCCCTGGCTGGGGAGGCGGAGGTGCCCGCCTCCGACGAATGACCAGCCACGCGATGAAGCCGACCGCACCGGCGATGATGGCGACCCCGCCGACCACACCGCCTACGATCGGACCTACGGGCACAGAGTCGGAGGAGACGGGGGGTGGAGAGGGGCTTGGGGAGGAGCTTGTGGTGGCAGAGGCTGTCGACTCGGAGGATGATGAGCTAGACGATGAGCTAGACGAGGTCGTGCGCGGAGTAGAGGACGTCGAGCGGTCTGTTGGTGTGGCATAGACGGCCATGAAGGTCTTTACAGGCATGCAACCGATCAGCGACACGCTGGGCTTGTCGACGAGCTGGACCGCGGTGCAATATGGTGTAGCACTGTTCGAGCTGTGGCGGGGCAGGGGCTGGTTAGCGTGGGGTGCAAGATAGAACGGCCATGGTCTGGCAGCGGCTTACCAGCAAGTTGTTGACGAGCCCGCGGTACTGCACCAGCCATTCATAAACGCAGTGAAGTCGAGGCAGGCGGTTGGCATGTAGCAACTGGTGTTCCCTTCCTCGCAGCAGTCTAACGGACAACATCAGCCATCGAATTCCCCCTTCAACTTAGATCTTGGTTCACGAAAAAACGGCGGCAAAGCGGCCCTTATTGTACATACGAAAGACGCTCGCACTCGAGTGTGTACTGCAAGTGTAACCAGGATCGCACTCGAGTGCGCCGTCTAGGTGCCCATAGAGCAGGCAGTCTGTTAGCAATCCGGATTCAAGCTGACAGCGGGACTGCAAATGTACCGGATGCGCCGAAGATGTAGGCGCAGGTGCTGGCCTCATTGCGCTTGAGGAGCTCAGGGAGCACGGGTCCCGGTGTCGGAGACGGGTTCAGACGGTTCGGAAAGAGATTCGGCATGCGGCCGGCCGGGGTTGACTGGGCCGGCTGCCAGCTCGGGGAAAACCGAAAGCCATGGGCCGTCAAGGGTGCAAGCACAAGCTGTGCAAAAATGCTCAATCTGCTTGAAACCATACTGGGGTGGATGAAACAGAATGTGAAGGAGGGAAGGTTCGGGCGAACTGCCGCGCCCAGCTGAACGAAGAACCACCGCTCTTTTCAATTTCTGGGACAAGGCTGCGCTGGACTGGGCTAGAGCCCAAACTGGTTATGGTCGCCCCATTCTGAGGTGGAGGCGCAACGATAGCGCGCCGTCTTGCCAGCTGTGCTGCACCCCCTCGGCTCGCAGTCGGTGACCAGGTTGACGATTGGATGGCATAAAACTGCCGTCTTTTAGTGCATTTCAGCCACGCGCATTCGGGTGACTCGGCGCGTTTGTTCTACACATGCAGCGCTGCAGTACCGAATATCAGCATTTGCATCAGATACACCGTACCCTGGCAAAGGAACAATACCTGGAACTTCTTTCCTTCCTAAATATTGTTCTCGGGTACCGCAAGCGGGAAGCTTTGTCGTTTGCAACAACGATGTATCCTTACTGGGTACCCTGGCAGTGAGTGGTGGCGCATCGTGACCGGGTGCCATGCCGGCGGTATCTAGACTCCCGTGCGCGAAAACGCGTGGCGTTGGTGGCTCTCGGTTGCGATAGGCTTCTGGGTGTATGTAAGTGGTGCAGTGCAGGTACATTCTCCGAGCCCTAGAACTTGCCGCCGCTGAGGTCTGGCAGGTTCCGAAATCAATGACCGACTGTTCAGCTCGGCTCCCGAGGTAGACTGGAGCATCTCGCTCTTGCTGTTTTCCAGCCCTCAATGCCCACAAATGGAGGAAAGCCCACCCCGGCCTTACTGCTTCGCGCCAGTATAAACCCCCCCACCTCCCCCTCTCCCTTTTCAACATCCCCGTGGAAGTTTCAGACTGGTTGACGCCCTCATTGTGAGTATGCCCGGATGTTGTGCGGCATGCAGTAGACTCAGTAGAGTCACCTAAGCAGGGAGCAGACACAGTACTAAGTGAACTTGCGAATGCCTGCAAAGGGAACCCTACCTAACCATGATCCAAAGTTTCCATGTGTTCCTGCACACTGTTGTCGAATAGTTGCAGTGCGATCAGGAGCCTACAATTGGGCTGAGACGACGGGAAAGTTGTGCTGCTGCGGACTCTATCGCTCCGTCTTATGTGTTTGTAGTCAGCTCTTGGTAAGTAGGTACAGTCAATACAAGCAAGTTTTGAGCAACCCACCTAGAAATGCAGAGCGAAACATAAGCTTTCAGGGGACTCCCAATTGCCTGCATGCGCTCCAACACGCATATATTGGCAAGCGCAGAGAGAAGATGTAATGTTCGCAACAAGCGAATGTGCAGATCCGGCCAGCATTTTTACCTATACAGTAACACTCTGACCATGGTTTAGTGCCACAAACCATGGCTCACTCAGGCCTGGCCGCTCAACGCTCCCATTCGGCCCATCAGCCTCCTTCCCTGCGGCATCGAGGCCATCCAGGGACCTTGCAAAGCGCACGCCGTGCTGTTGACAAGCCCACTCAAGTTGCCCCAGCGTCTTGAGCACCTCGATCGGCTCCGTGACGAACGTGCCCCAGTGCATAGCAACGGCCACGATCGGCATAACCTCCGCCGCCTCTTCCCGGCCATCATCGGTCTCGACGTTCTCCTCACTCTCAGTCATGACCTTCAACACCTGAACCGCATCCCACGGGGGCATATGGTTCGCCCCCGTGACGCCGGGGCTGTGCCGCGGAAAAGGGTTGATCCAGTCGGGCAGAGGAACGAAGCTCCTCAAATAGGCAAACGACGCGCCGACCGAGACGGGTAGCAATAAGAGATGCTGCGGGCCGATGCGCTCTCGTATCTGTGCGAAGGCGGGACAAGGCGGGAGCTCCCTCACCTCTTCTCTCCCTCTTTTCTGGGTGGATGCTGCGGGAGGACTAGCCGGTTCGAAGCTGCCTAGACGAGGGGGGCGAGGAGGCCAGGAAGGGTCACCATGGAACTGGTAGCCCGTGTCGCCAGCGAAAAAGACGCGGTACGGCTGCTTCTGCTGATCAGGAGCATAATGCTCCACACACCAGCTCGACCAGAGCGTTGAGTCGGCGTCGACGCCGGATCGCCAGCTGTTGTGCTGCGCCGGGGTGCAGGTGACTACGATCTGCCCCCCGATCGAGGATGGGTAGATGAGCCCAGCTGAATCCCACCAGTCCATTTCTGTGACGCGATCGGCAAAGATGCCCCATTCCATCAGCCGCGGCTTGTTTCCCAAGGGAACGAAGAAGCGGACTGAGTCATGGCTGTGTTTCCAGATGGCCACGAGAGTGTCGCAGTCCATGTGATCGTAGTGGTTGTGACTGATAAAGACGGCATGGATGGGAGGAAGATGCGCGACATCACAGGGAGGCGGGTACGAGCGTATGGGACCAGCATTCTGGCTTGGAGAGCAGCGCATCGAGAAGGTGGGATCAAAAAGGCATCGCACCGGCTGGTCTTCTCCTGGTGTGATCGAAGGAAGCTGCACAAGGACGCTTGCGTGGCCGAGCCATGTTACTTTGGCCCTGGTGTTGCCCGGAGGGAATGAGAAGTCTGGCTTCTCGATCCGCAACAACCGAGCTGCTTTGGCGCCGAGTGAACCAGGCCAATCACTGAGGTCGCTGAAGTTCGGTAGTTGGCTCGGTTCAAACTTTGTAGCAGGGTGTTCGCCGTCGAGATGCGAAGCTGCCAGGTCGATGCAGGGGTCATCGTCTGCGCCCCAACTGAAGCTGTCCCAAATTTCGGAAGCCGTGGGCTTGTGCCAGGAAGGCCAGGGATTACGAAAACCTGCTATTGGGTTCTTGGACAGGGAAGGACGTGTCCGCCGGGGAGAGGGAGCCCACGAGGGGATATACGACGCCCAGCCAGAGTCGCCATGTGCCGTGGGAGCGCGGATAATGTGATGGTCTGGTGGCGGCCTTGTCGATTCGGATTTCCAAACGTCGCTAATGGCGAGGAGCATTGTGCCGTGTCTCTTATTGACTGCGATTGGATTGAGAGGGTAAGAAGCTCAACACCAAACTGTGAGGTACCTTTGTGTGAAACCGTTGAGTCGTTGAACGGTTCCTGAAGAGTGGAACTGCCAGCGTGGAGCCCCACGCGCGTGACGTCATCTCCGCTGTGCCAAGCACAAATCATCACTGTCCGTCGATCAGGGGCAGGGGCAACATCTTCTACATTTTTTTTCGTTACCTAGGAGGTATTTGCGGCTAACAACAGCTGTATTTTCAAATCATTCTGGGCTTCGACGAACCGCCTTCACTTTGGTAGAGGGGAGATCGTAGCAATGCGAAACGAAGCGATGTTGAAATTAGCTTCTTCCTTCAACAGGGCATTATGTTAGTGTAGACCCACTCCTCCCGGCCCCACTTGAATACCTGGAGTCGGGGTCCAACTCCCCACCTGCGGGGAGTGGAGATCGGAAGCTCGCAGTTTTGAAGATGTCACGAATTGCTAAAGTCCAAGGCATCTCAATGGTCTCTCTTCTTTATTTCCGACCGGTGAAGAATAGGACAGGATAGGAGATCACGAGTGTGACAGTCGTCAATGCATTGATGAGGCGCTCCCGCCCAGCGTTAATCAATGCCTAACCATTGTGGGAGTTTATCGGCCGAGAAGCAACCATCGGATATTTCGTACGGCCGAAGCGTTTTGCCCTGCGCTCACCAACGACTCGAGGAAGCTGCTCACTCATCGCATGCATATGCATACTAAGCTTCCAGCACTCAATAAGCACTTGGCTGGAAAGAGCGGACCGGAATCGGCGGACCTTACTGTGGGGTTCCTCCGCGCGCTCTGCTGCAGGGTGCCGACGATGCAGCAATGGAAACGGAAAGACGAGATGGGACCAGCTTTTTGCGCCTTCCTTGCCTGTTCTTCCAATGGACTCTATAAAATACCTTGAGCCCGCATCGGCCACAGTCAGATTCGCTCCCAAACCTCGATCGAAGTAGGCTTCATCAAACCTCACCTCTCACTCTAAGAAGCTACGGGCATCCCATCCGCAGAATGGCTGACCAAAACAACCCTCCGCAACCCAAACCCCTCTCGGCCCCTCTCTCCAATTTGCGCCAACCCCAACGATTGATCACAACCCACAACTCCTCCGGCCTGGCCGTCGTGCACTCGGACGAGCCCTTCGCTTGGCAGGCATACGACCAGGATAACCTAGCCTTCGCAGTCCCTTACACCACCTCGTCCTTCCCGCCGGACCTCAACAACGAGGCCGACATCGCGACTCACGAGCGCGTCGTGTCGTCGGGGACTTTGGGCTTGGTCAACCCGCGGGGTACGGTGCTTCGGTGTGTGGACTTCGCGCCCGGCTACGCGTGCGGCATGCACCGCACCCAGAGCCTCGACTACGGCATTGTGCTCGAGGGCGAGGTCGAGATGGTACTGGACAGCGGCGAGCGGCGGACCATGCGGCGCGGCGACGTGGCCGTGCAGCGGGCGACGCAGCACCAGTGGGTCAATACGAGCTCCACCGAGTGGGCGAGGATGATGTTTGTGCTGCAGGACTGTGAGAAGTTGGTCGTTGCAGGCAAGGAGATGGGCGAGGATCTGGGGACCAATTCGGGGCTGCCGCCTAGTGGGAATTAGGCCTTAGAGTTGGGGTCACGCTGGGGATGTGAGGCTGCGTGGTGAGATTATTGGGTTATTGGACAGGGTTCGGCCCACTTCGGTATCCTTGAGGCGACTCCTTAAGACGACTAAGCGAATTCATCATCTCGATCCACATTTTGTCTCCTCGATCCCCTGGATATGGCGGGGGCCCAAGAGCGGATGGGGATGCCCTGCGGTGAATTGATACCTCCCTGAACCCTCTACCTGGCTGAAGCTCACTGGGTGGTGTTTCATTCAGCCAGACTTCATTTGACGGCGTCAAACACCCTGTAGCAATTGAAGACATAGCGGTCAGGACTTCACAACGGTACGCCGTATCGACTTTGGACCCAGAGAAGTGATCAACGGCCAGGCTCGTTTCAACATCAGTACAACAAAATAAGGCATCAATGAATTGAATTCAATTCTTCAAGCTGTGAATTGTTGCCGTACCTGCGGAAATCGAGCAGTTGCCACACCCTTGAGTGGTCTCTCTCCCCGTCTGAATAGTGGAAAGTAGGTGGTCAAGCTACGAATTGACAGCGTCAACCATTCACAAAGAAACCGGGCAATGGACTGGCAGCTTGCGGTAGGACAAAAAGAGCACCTCCAAGTTGTGACTTATGGGGACACTTCGAATGTCTGAGCAAGTAGTACTTTATGTAAGGTGACCCGTCATTTTGTAGGACCCGACGCCGGGCGTTTCCCATGCCGAGCGGAGCCTTGGAGGAAATTCCTTCTTTATTTGGACGTCGACAACGCGTTACGGCAGAGAAGAGAAGCAGAAGAGCAGCATATGGCAGGGAGTAAAGCACTGTTTAGTGCAACGGGATACGACTCACGATAGTTACGAACTGGAAGCTTTCCATCGTCATACCACGATGCCGTGACGCCGACGGTTCGGAACCACCCGAAAGACACGACTCAAACAGAAATCGTCGGACAGAAATCGTACCAGTGATACTACCGCGCCTCTAAGTGTATTAACAACTTGCGGGGCTGAAGCGATCTAGCCCAGGCATCTGTTCTACAACTTACCAACTCTGTACCATCGCAGTACGGCATCTGCATTTTAATACATCTGTCTCTGTAGTTGACAGCGAGAGTATAGCACCGGGCTATGTTCAAGTTCAACGCATTCTCAACTACCTGTACGTAAACGACCAAAGTTCGTCTGCATGTTGTTCCCCTGAAGCTCATTGAGGGACTTTATGAGACTTACGATTCAAGTTCCTTGTGACTCATATGGTGGGGAGCACATTGCATGAGACTGGATTTGATCATGTAGAATGTCTGTTTTTATTCCCTGGTAGGGCATCGATTACAGCCTGGACTTTGCTATATATTAGGACGGCCAGCTAACCCGCCATCGTGTCAGCTGGGTAGGTAGTAATTAAGCTAAATGTAAACAAACAAGGCATCATCATGCCACTGTCATCTGTCTGACAGCATGAAGAATATACCATACGGTAACCACACACTATTATTACGAGTATTACCATTATCAACGCACAACCTCATTAGCCAACGTGGACTCACCCCTCTTTAACCGTCTCTTCCGGTTGAGAGTTGGAGGACCGCGACCTCAGACTCAGGGCCGCCGACTCCGTCATGTCCATGTCCAGTCCAGACCATATCCACCCCAACAGCCCCGCCCTCTTCAAGTTTAGTTCCAGTCAAATTTCCATCAATAGCCCCCCGGGCCCTCTCCCTCTAGGTCCGAGTCACCCCCCCAGTTAAGCACCTTGGCGTACTTTTAACTCCGCGCCGCCCTGCCCCCGATTATGAGCTGCTGCGAGCGGTCGGCATCGAAACAGTTGTCCGTGACACCGATGGCCGCATCACAGAACGGCCACAGCGTCTTATCAGACATGCGGCAGAACAGCCTCTCATGGCTGTTTTCCGGGCCCCGTGAGGACGGGCTCTCGCACAGGTAGCTGGCCGATTGAGCCTGGCGGGAGGTCGATACGAGAATCCTGTCAAAGCGGGCCGTAGTCGTGGTTGTAATTGTACCAGATGTTGTGTTAGTGCTGCTGCCCTGGTCTGTGACCTCACTTCAGCGTCGGGGGCGGTTCGGGATTGGGTCCTCGGCAATCAGGACGTCCCTTGTTGGTCTGATTCCTTTAAGACGGTTGGGCCATCTGTTGATTTTGTTCCAATCTCGGATGTGGTGGACCTTGAATGCCGGGGTGTTGCAGTAGTATGATGTCTCGTTCTTCATGGGCGGGGTGGCATCTTCGTCCCAGGCGACAAAGTCGGGCCAGTGGATTTGAAAGGCCGTATGGGGCCGGTGGCCATCTTTGTCGATCCACAGGCAGGACGGCTGGTGGGTGGTGCCCCTGATGAATACGTTGGAGTGGTACCAGTCGTAGCCGCACGCTTCAGCTCAGTCCCCAAGCCAGGCATATTGGTCGCCGTTGGGCCACGTAATTGACGCCATGGCAATTCAGATGGCGTTGTCGTTGGCCGTAAAAAGGGTGTAGGTAGCTTGCTGCCCGTTGTTGTTGTCGTGCGCGACCCTAATTTCGCCCCGTGTTGCCGTTCTCACTGAAGCCAGGGTCAGCCTCGATTCCGAGAAAATCGCCATTCTCGTTCCACATGCGCACATCCGGCAGATCTCCCCCGGCTAGGTGGAGACCACCCGTGACATCAAGGCCAAGGGTGACTTTAATGACAGAAGCTGCCTCTGAAGGTTGGGCGAACTGATCTCTGCTGACGGTGTAATATCTGACCATACCCGCTGCGAAGCCAAGAACTGCAATGAAGGCAGCAGCCATGGTTGAAGGTGGAGAGACTGCCAAACGGAGGTAACCTCGCAAGGATCTTCTTAGGCTGTGTATCCTTGGTTATTGTGAAGCAAAGAGACGGTAGACTGAAATCACGGGCCACGAAACTGAAGTTTGGGATACAGAGTGTAGCAAAGGCGGGGATGGAAGAACTGAGCAGTGAACGCCTTGCTGAGGAGTACGGACTCAAGAGACCATGAGAGGATCAAGGCTGATGCACCTGAGTTATATGCGTACCTAGTATCAGCCCGGGCTCACATGAATCCAAACCGCTTGCTCGTGCAAATTAAAACCTCGAGGACTCTTACTTTGGTTTGCTGCGACTCCTACTGCTTCCCCTCATCAAGTTGATGTCTCCCAGGCGTTTCTATAGGCGGTTGAAAGAGGTTCGAGCATATCCGTCACGTTTCTTAGATTCCTTTTTCTCCTCACAAAGTCTTTAATCTTAACTTTGGCAAACTCTTTAGGACGTCTGACCATCTCGTCACCGCAGCGGCTCGGAATAGCCTCGGATACAGTATGACACCGTCACACATAGTACGCCATGCTCGGTACGGCATAGAAATCCGTTGGAGGTCATCTCGGGTGGTGTATCCGGTTTGCAACACGCCTAACAAATCGTTCGACTTATCTGTTGAGTTTCACGAAGCTCTAGGAGCACGGAATTAGCCAGCGTAGAAACGGTTGGGGACCGGAGTAATCCCTGAATATGGTAGGTATAGTACATGTACACATGGAGGATCACGGCGGAATTGGAGTTACACGAAACAACAATGGGTTCTCCAGCGGTCAACGACGGTCAGACACGACCTCTACCACAGCATGTCGTCGTCTCGATTACATGTAAGGTTGACTCGATGTAACTATTTCCGAACATCGAGTCGCCGTGCTGTAGGTGGCGCGACTCTATGTTCATGTTGCACTGGAGTCCAAGCCCCAGCTTGCGAGCACAGATCAGGCGGCTAACTTCAAGTTGCTGTCATATGGCCAACCCTGATTCCATCGAGTTCGTCTATTTAATGACCATGTTGTTTCGGCTTTAGATCCGACTTTCCAAGTTCCCCACCGCTCCTTCCCAGTCCCGTCTTGGAAGATCCCAGCCCGAGTTCTGCTTCCGGCCATTCAACCCCTATTTGGTGACTTGCGTCTGCAAAATTGCTACTATCACACTTACTTTACCTGATACTGTCCCTTGTCTTCAACCACCAACCACCATGATCACGCACCGCAACCTGCTCGTCCTTACCTCTGCTGTGCTGGCGACAGTTCAGCACGTTGGAGCACAAATTCTGGGCTGCGACGAGTTGGGCTGCCCCGTCGCTTCGGGAACGGAGTCATGCACCGTGGCCGACAAGACTTTCCGCCATGTTGGGGCAGCCAGTGTTGATATCCCCGATCGCAATAACGTCTCCATCGGCTTGTCCTGGGTCAAGGGTGTTAGTAGCAAAGCCATTAACGGGACTGATAGTGTCCAATATGACCAATCCTTCTACCTCGGGACCCCGCCAGGCTTTGAGCTTCACCCTAGCGCTGGCTGCGCACTGTTCTTTCACGACATCAGTAAGAACATCAAGTTCAACAACTCGCGTGACGCCCCTCTCCCGTACGCTGAAGGCACCTGCCAAGAGACCACCATGGGCCCCTCCTGCGTCTCCGCTGTCATCGAACTTGCCCAAATGGCTTTTGAAAAGGTGACACCCTACGATAGCTGCGAGCTACTTGAAGAGACCTTCGCCAGCATAATCGCCGATGCTTGCGTTGGTTCCTTGATCAACGGAGGCAACTGGTCTCCCTACACAATCAAGAGTCAGTCCTGGCATGATCAATTCTTTCATGGCCCGTTCCTCTGAGCATCTAATATGAATCTGATGTGTAGATCTTCACAAGGCCTCTTCTAAGGCCCCTATTTCCGGCGAACAGAATGCAACATCAGACTGCTGGCCCGTCCTCCCAAAGAATCATGACCTAAGACTAATTGAGTCAATCAAGCGTACTGTAAGTTGCAAAGTCGTCACGCTTGAAGCCTCAGGCTTGGTTCCTGACTCTTCCTCCAGGGCGGCTCGGATCAGGCAACCGAAGATGACCAATTCTATGGAATCACTCCTATCCTGACGGTCCTCTATCCCACCGCGGCCGGGGAAATCAGCCTTGTCAACTACCCGAGAGCTCAGCTGACGTGCCTGAAAACAATCAAGACGCATGCCATTATGAGTCCAGAGGGCGACGAGTCCAGACGGTGATGATATGGACCGACCAAAGTACTGAACTGGCCGGGGTAGCGGGTACCACCGTCGGTGTGATTGGTGAGATTCTGGGGGTCCCCCGCCGGCTGGCTGCTTTCGCACACGACTGGACGGGGCAAAAAAGTCTCTACCAGATAGTTAAATCTATCACGGCATTGATGACAGATAAGAAGGCAAGAAAATAAATATAAAGGCGTCATGTGATACTCACGACCTAGATATGGCCGGTGCTCCTGCGTAGACCACCAGCATCCGGATAAGGATTGATGAGCATTAGTGGAGAAAAGGCCCTCATGGAACTGTGTTGCAGCCAAGATTGAGAGAGATGTCATTGTTGTATGAGTGAACCGAAGGGCGTCCTCGTGAGAAGGTCACCGTGGTTAGTATACCGGGTACCAGGTGGGATATGAACGTGCTCAGGCAGGTTGAGGACGGGCGAGGAACCTACATAGGAAGAGCTTGTACCGGTAATTTTTTAGTTGAAATGTAGGGATTCGTGAAGGTAGCTTGCATGACCCGCCTGCAACGGGGCTCGGAATGTGCCTGTCTCTACCGCAAACTTGCTCCTGAGGTTGGTGCAGCGGAAAGGGGTAACGTTGAGGTCGGACGAGATTGTGGGCCCCTGGAACTTCCCGTGGCGGTCCACCAGAGGCCGAGTCAGGCGAGCGGAGCCACCGGACCGGTGGCTTGGCAGTTGGCGCCGCATGTGCAACACTCCAATTGGCCGATATCGCCCCACCGTTTAACTTGCTAGAAGTTAGAACTGGACCAAGGTCGTTGCAATTAGGGTGGGGAAATTTCGAGACCCCCCATTGAATTTCATTTCACAGTCAGCCTTGAATTCGCAATTGAAATTTCATGAAAAAGACGCTAACCCAATTCGGTAGGCGACAAGCCCCGGGTTAGGGTTCTGCGTGGCTAGTATGGTCAACGATCTTACTGCTTACCGCCAGTCTTCCATATTTCAGACCAGACACAAACTTCCACCCCTCAATCACTTCTTCTAGGGGAGGATGTCCATGATCCCTAGTAGTTTCTTAGGCGATTGAGACACCTCTTCTATGGCCCTGCCCTAGCCTGTCTTACAGACCACCCCCCTGTTGGAAAATCTTGAAATTCCAGGCTAGGTTGAAATTTCAAATTTCACAAAATGGCTTGAAATTTCGCAACTTGAAAATTTCATTTCCCCACCCTAGTTGCAATTTTTCAAGACGTGAAAGTGGTCAGCGCTGCTGCCGCTGGCATCCTGCGTGATGCTCTCTACATAAGGTAGTTTGGAATGGCCAGGATCGCTGCTTAACTCCGCGCATGTCAATCGGAAGGCGTAGCATTTCCGTTAGCAGTTGCAATCCTTCTGACACACCCTGCAGTGCGATGCTCGGGCGTCAACATGAATGTACCGTAGCGGGTACCTGTACTTGTACATACTCCGTACTCCGTACCTGAGCGAGAGATAAGATAAAGGACCTTTGGCCGAGGTCGCACCCGCGCTTCCTCTATATCTGCCCATTCTCCGCTCCAACTTCGAGACGTGTAGTCAACTCCAATAGCTTTTCTTTGAGGAGCGATCAAAGCTCCCTGTACAGAATGGAATACAAGCGCCAGCAACCAGCACCTCCTAAGCTGCAACCACGGCTTATCATCCATGGCGGTGCGGGCAACATCACCCCGGCCAACTTCCCCCCGGACCGATACCAGGAATACCGCACCGCGCTCCTAACAATCGTCAGTCGGCAGCATCCGCCCCTCATAACCAAGCATCCCCATCATTGACCCTTTAACCTGCAGGTATCCAAGGCCCACCGGTACATGACTACGCCCATCGCGTCCTCATCCACTCTTCCGTCCGCCTTAGCTGTGGCCACACACGCCGTGACTCTGCTTGAGGACAACCCGCTTTTCAACAGCGGCCATGGCGCCGTCTTCACGCGGGACGGCACCAACGAGCTGGAGGCGAGCGTCATGGTCTCGCGGGGCCACCTGAAACGAGGCGTGGGCGTGTCCGGGCTGCGCCACGTGCGTAACCCGATTCTGCTCGCGCGCGCGGTCCTTGAGAAGGGCGACACCGACCTGCTCCCGCCCAGCCCCAAGCAACGACGGGCGCAAGCAAAGGCAGCAGCAGACCTAGCCTTGGAACACGAGGGAGAGGGGCAGCAACAAGAAAGAGGAGGGGACAAACACAAACACAAACTCAACGTCCCCTCCGCCCAGGGGCACACACACATCCACGGCGCGGCGGCGGAGCAATTGGCGGCACAGTACGACCTTGAACTAGTTCCCACGGGGTACTTCTTCACGGAGCGGCGGTGGGAGGAGCACCTGCGGGCGCTGAAGCGAGAGCGGGAGGGCGACGGCCTCGGCACGTGGAGCGCCGACGAGTACCTGCCGCAAGGGACGTGCGGGGCGGTGGCGCTGGACGCGGACGGGACCCTCTGCTGCGCGACGAGCACCGGAGGGCTGACCAACAAGCTGTCTGGTCGCATCGGGGACACGCCGACGGTCGGGGCCGGGTTTTGGGCTGAGGAGTGGGTTGATGAGTGTACTTCTTCCTCTTCCCCCTTCGGTGGGGCAGGGTGGCGGTTGGATCCCGCCTCGGGAGGGGGACCTGGACCGGTCGTGATGTTGGCTGGTGCGCTGAAGGGGTTGATGGCGGATTGTTTGCCTACGCCGTGGGTATACAGGCCGGTTGCTGCGAGGGAACTGGTGGTCACCAGGTCGCTCGCGCTGTCTGGGACCGGTAATGGCGATTCATTCCTTCGGACTGCGGCGGCTAGAACCGTCGGGTCGATCGCAAGGTTTGGCGGAAAGCGTTCAACAGAGGCAGTGTCGAGCGTCACTGGGCCCGGTGGAATGCTGGAGCAGAGCGCTGGAGATCGCTGGGGGCGGACGGGTGAGGGAGAGGGCGGCATGATTGGGATTGCCTGTGCTGTGGTCCGGGACGGCGAAGGCAACATGGTTGAGACCAAATCCGAAATTGTTCAGGATTTCAATTGCGGGGGCATGTTTCGCGCTTGGGTCGATGATAGAGGTGTCGCATTTGCTCAGATATGGAGGGGCGATGCGGAGCGCGCTCGTCAGGATACCTGCATGGAGAAACTGAGTTAGATGGCAGCCAATCGGGTACTGGACAGACACCCCAGGCCGTCTGTTGCAGACACGGATGAATTGTAGAAGATATTATTGCGATAGATGTCTCCGCTGGTTTGGGCATCCACGCTCGCCCCTTTTGATGGCGAAGTGTAACCAACCAATTCTATGTTACATGGAACGCCGCCACCTGTAATGCTGACCGTCATGAATGCGTACAAAAATACACGTCCTGGCTCTGCTGAGCCGGAGAAGAGTTGAGTGTGTCGAGATGCTGTTATATCTGAGCAGGTGAACCGTGTCGTCGCTTTTACGCAAGGATCTTTTCGTTTGAAGGAGGCGGTTGCGGGGCCTGAAGAAAGTCAGCACGGTTGAATATGGTACAGCATTCCGTTGGCAAGATACCTCTAGCTTTGTCGCTCCGGCGAACATCTTCTGGAAGCCGATGCCAACACCCTCAATGACGGCGAGCAGGATTGCACAACTAATCGCTCCGTTTCTTGCCGCCTTGTAGCCTCCTCGAATGGCTAGCGCACCGCCGGTGAAAAAGCCCGCGATCTGTCCTGATATTAGAATTTCAGCAGCGTAGAACGGCGATCGGGGTACTTGCAATCGCGTTGTATCTAGATCTCCTGTTAGCCCGTTGCTGCGAGATTCGCGATTCCAACAGGAAATGTCAGAAGAGGAGGAGTTCAGACTGGGACAACACATACGCATCTTCCTTTTTCCTTAACCCCTTGACAGCGCAGTCGAATGTGCTGAACATTCCACCCCAAACGCCAAAATTGCCACCCAATACCGGCGCGCGCATTTTGATGGCTGTGATGGCGCCTAGCCGCCGTTCGCCGTAAGGACTGTTTCTGAAGCCCTTGACGCCATGCCATATCGTTCCGCCGACGGCCTGGATGTGCATGCGTTAGCTGAGAGGGAGAGGCTGCAATGGCATCCAGCGGCTTTAACGCCTGCGCGAGTGAGAAGGCCCTCAAAGCGGAAGACAGAGTCGGTGATAAGTGAATGTACTACATACACCCATGGCAAATGCACCACCAAAGTCATTCAGAATGACCCAGGGGCAAGGGTCGCGTCCGTGATCCATTTCGGGTGATTATCGAGGGTCTGATGCGGTGATATTTTCGGTCGCGCCCGGCGCGTTCCGTTAGCCGGTTTTGATTATACTAAAACAGTGTCGTCTTAAAATGAACTGGCGATGTGAGGATGAACCAGGGCCGGTCGAGGATGTTGCTCATGGGCAGTTGGATCGTTATCGAATTGCGTCTTGAAATCTCCGCCTTGATGATCTCAGAAGCCAAAGAAAATTGTTGCGACTGACATTACCGTGTCGGTTGAGCACGGGCCACCCGCTATCGATTGGGCTTGCCGAAGTCGCCAACGGAAGTAGGCCGGGAAGAAGATTCACCTCGAATCCTCGATAAGGTAACAAACTCGAAGTTAACACAACGTTAGATATCTGCTTATTTCGACAGTGACTATCTATTATTTCGACGGTGTCACGGACCACCTTTCCAATCTTCAGCTTTACACGGAAAACATCAACGAATTGCACTTAAACTACTTTGTTTCTTATCCTTTGACTGCAAATCCGGTAGCTCGGCAATACGGCCTCAGAGTTGCAAGCCCCCAGTGCTAAATCGCTCGAAAAATAGTGAATTCGAAGTTGAACTCAATATGAAGGTTCTGAATTTGGTACGGAAGATACTGCCCTGCTAGACCGCCTAGCCGGCCCCACCTGCCCGGAGCCCGGGCACGGAGAGTACGGCTTCCGTACCACCACGCCTGTCCGTAGGTACTGGACCTACACCAGCCTTGTTACTTTAACTGTCTGATAAAGGAACAATCTATTTGAATATTGAGCTTCAAGTGTATAACTGTATTTTCGGAGAATGCGTTGATTTGATGTTATAAATGGTGAGTGTATTGGACTCAGGGAGAAGGTGGTCCGTGACACCGTCGAAATAATAGATCAGCACCGTCGAAATAAGCAGGTCGAACGTTAGCCAAGCTCCAAGTTACGACAAAATCCGTTTTCCGTTTGCCCTCCTCGCCCTCCCCTTCCGCTGTTTTATTGAAAAGTCTCATTCCAGCTGGCTTGGCATCACTTCCCCTAGCCCTTCAAATGATCACTAACCTTTGGGGAAAGAGCGATAATCTAAGGCAGGGATCCCGAACAGAACAGTAACCACACACGACCAGAGCCTGCTGTTCCACAGCTGCGATCTCGGCCGCCCAACATCCCGGCAGAAGTTCAGAATTGTCCTTCTACTTGTTTGTGCCTATGCTTTGCTCGCTGCTCGATATTACTAGCTACCTAGGTATGCGCCTTGTGCTGGTTTTCTAACTCTCCGAGCTCCCAGGAATTTACTATGCGTGATAGACACCCTAGGGTATGGAGTAACAGATAGACGCCCGAACTAGTGTGCAGCCTCCCCGGTCAGGTCCGTCCTGTGACTTCCCAGAGCCTTGCTTTGTCTGGCATGTTTCGTGCGTGGCGTTTGCTTGTTCGCCGATTCGGAGCGCTGCCAATCAGGTATATGAATAGGTCCGGTTGCTCTCTACAATACCCAAGTGTTTCCCCCTGCGGCTCCAATCCTCGAGAATCCTCCGTTAACTGAGCGCACATCTTGTGGATGCGGATAACGAAAGGGCGGTGAGATGCCTCCGTCCTTCTTCTTTCGACCCGTGCGCCCTGGGTTGTGATAGTTCTTTGGAATGGCGCATGTCGTCGTCCATTTCGCGTCATCGCTCGGCTCCGGCTCATGTCGTACAATATGGGGGAAATCGGAGGTGCTGAAGCGCGGCTACAAAAGCACTACGCTCCTAGTCCGACGCGCCCAACTTCCCAGAGCTTTGTCTGGCGACTTGACAGTGGACGACACGGCAGCTTAGCCAGTCAAAGCGGCAATCAGGCCATGGCTGTGGGTGCACCTGTCCTCCGTGCGACGTTCGATCCATGGGCGCTGGACCAAGATGAGGAGGGGAATGGGCAGGAGACTCGCTGCAGAGGATGCATCAAGATCTCCATGGCCAGGGCGGCAGCCGCACGCCCATCCCACGTCTCCAAGCGCGGTGAGTCCCATACCGGTAACTTTAATCGTTGCCCATCCATTCCCCCGCTGCCTAACCCCCACGCTTCTGCGGCAAACATCAACTGGAAGGCAACGCGGATCCTAGGCCACTGTGGAACTATGCCCATGGCTGAGGTACTGTATGTACACCAGTTTGGTGGAGTCTTTAGCGGCAACAGCGCTGGAATGCGGGGAAGATGCGACTCCACAGGGGTCTAATTCTAGGCTCGCCCAGCACGCTAGTGGGGTGTTGCGACGGGGCCTTGGTAGTTCGTTGATGACTTCCATGGTTGGCGCATTGCAACGGTTCCTTGAAGATGTCGTCAGATGCGTCCCTGCCTTCAGCTGTCGGCCTCGTCCCTTATCCTATCCTAGAGCCCTGCAAACACAGTGAACCCGTACTCGCCTGTGGGAATTTATTCCTAACTAATTGCTCTGTTCCCTCCATCAGAATCGACTGCAATGGCGACGCTGCAACCCCGCAACCTCGAAGACGGATGCTCCGAGACGGCCCCAGAGCAATTGCAGGAGCTCAGGCATGACGGCTCCGTTCTGGCCATTGCTGTGTCGGACAGGTATATATTTGCTGGTACTAGCAAAGGCGAGATTGTGGTGTGGTCTCTCGGCACATATCAGCTGGTTCAAACAATCCAAGCACACAAGCGCAGCGTCCTCTGCCTCCTCCTCTCCGACGACGACAAATACCTCTTCTCGAGCGCCTGCGAGCCCATAATAGGTGTCTGGTGCCCCAAGTCGTTTGGTCGTCTCTACGAGATCTACAGTACCTATGACGTTGGGGACGTCTTTAGCGTCGCCTATTCCGTACAGCGAGAGACGCTGTATCTAGGAACCCAGACGCAAGACATACAATGGGTCGGCTTGAAAGATCCAGCAAGGAGGGTCTCGCACGATTCAGCGAACCATCCAGATAAGCGGCAACACCGCTTCTTTGACTCTCGTGCTATCGGGGGAACATCGACCCCTCGGCGGACGGAGGAGCACTATGCGCTCATCCCAAAGGCGTCAACTGTACTCGAAATCGACCCCGGGGCCATTCGCCAATATGCGCACTACGGATGGGTATTTTGCATGCAAATCGCAAAGGGCCCGACCGTGCTTGGCGGCCCAGACGAGGAGTTCTTGGTTTCTGGAGGAGGAGACGGCACCATCAAGCTCTGGCGGCTTGCCGACCACGGCCCGGACTACGATGGAGACGAAAGGGTGACAGGTGATATCGAGGAGATGATGGTGCTGGGCGATGACAATAGCGAGTCCGTAATGTCTCTCGCCATCGACGGCTCGTTCCTCTACGCAGGCAAGTTACAGGGCATTATCGAGCTGTGGGATCTCGATACCAAACAGAAGTTGAGGGTTATCAAGGCTCACGATGGCGCGGTCAATTCGCTCAATATGAGCTTTGGGCTCCTCTGGAGTGCCGGAACCGGCGGATCGGCTTCGAAACACAGCACTGTTCATTACGGCAGGGACAAGAGCGGACTGACAGAGGACGTCAGCCAAAAGTACCAATGCCTTAGCCGATGGAAAGCGCATGACGCGAAGGTCCTGTCTACCGCAGTAGGGGTGTGCCGTGACGATCAACTCTTCATCACGGGGGCAAATGACAATACTGTACGGGTCTGGCGGGTGAATGGCATGCCGACCCAGGCGGAACAAGGAAATGGCGTAGTTGAGGGCATGATGACTGCGTCGCTCCGCGAGTTTGTCTCGTACAAGACTGTCTCCTCCCGGCCCGAGTTCACCGAGGACTGCCGGAAGGGCGCTACGTTTCTTGGCTCGCTATTCCGGCGGTTGGGCGCCCAGGTGGAAATGCTGAGTACTGGCGGCCTCCATAACCCGATCGTCTTCGCCAAGTTCAGCGGAAAGCTCGAGCCCCCGGAGAAGCGCAAGCGGATTCTATTTTATGGGCACTACGATGTTGTGCCCGCGGACATGAAGGGCGACAATTGGCAGACGGACCCTTTCCAACTGACAGGGCGCGACGGCTACCTCTACGGCCGAGGCGTCACCGACAACAAAGGGCCCATTATTGCCGCTTTGTATGCCGTCTCTGACCTGCTTCAAGCCAAGGTGCTCGACTCTGACATTATTTTTGTCATTGAGGGCGAGGAAGAATCAGGCTCCCGGGGCTTCCAGGACACCATTCGCAGGAATAAAGAGCTAATCGGCCACATCGACTACGTGCTGCTGGCCAACAGCTACTGGCTGGACGACCAAGTCCCCTGCCTCACCTACGGCCTACGGGGAGTCCTGCACGCCACGATCTGCATCGACTCGAAACTACCAGATCTGCACTCGGGCGTCGACGGCAGCAACCTGATCGCGGAGCCCCTCTCCGAGCTGACCCTTCTGCTGAGCAAACTGAAGGATAGCAAAAACCGCGTGCAGATCCCCGGCTTCTACGACGGCATCCTGCCGATGACGGAGGAGGAAGGACTGCGGTACGATGACATTGCGCGCATCCTCATTCGGCGCAACCCGGCCAACGGGCCGATTGACGCGCTCAAGCGCAGTCTGATGGCCCGCTGGCGCGAGCCCAACCTGACAATCCACCGCTACAACGTCTCGGGTCCGGACGGCAGCTTGATCAGCAGCCACGCGACGGCCAACGTCAGCGTGCGGCTGGTGCCCGGGCAGGAGGTGGACCAGGTGATAGCCTCGCTCGAGGCGTTCCTGCGCGACGAATATGCTCGCTTCGGGAGCGAGAACACCCTCACCATCAGGATCGATAACAAGGCGGAACCGTGGCTCGGCGTGCCGGGGAATTACATCTTTCGCACCCTCGAGGAGGCGGTCATGCGGGCATGGGGGCCGACGACTGGTGCCGAGGGAGATGGACATCATGATGGGGGCAAAGGGGATGCGGCTGCGGAAGGAGGGGTCACGTTGCCGGCCAACGGTACCAGCGACGAAACGGCACCCAAGAGTAGGAAGCCGCTTTATATACGCGAAGGAGGCTCCATCCCGCCGATCCGCTTTCTGGAGAAGGAGTTTAACGCCCCCGCGGCGCACCTCCCGTGCGGCCAGGCCAGTGACGCAGCGCATCTGGTTAATGAGCGGTTGAGGGTGCTGAATTTGCTGAAGAGTAGGGAGATCTTCAGTACCGTGTTTAGAAAGTTGTAGCGGTGTTTATGGCGACGGGTTTTAAGTTATGTTGAAAAAATAGACCAACGAATCCATACCCCTTTTTTCATGCGCTCATTAGGCCTGCTAGTGGCCTTCACTGGCAGAGAACCTGCACTCATCGCTATGACTTTAGTCACCGGGTAATGACACGGCTTCTGCAGTGATCTCGCGATTGTAGCTCAATTTTCATGCTTTCCCCCTTTTGTGCTCCGTACAGTGCAGACGGATTGAACCTCTGTTCCATTGCCTTTTCTTCCTCCACTCTCAAGCCCACGAACGTCAATTTTGTCAGATCACCACCATTCTTGTATTGTCCTGGCCCCCTATTCCCCAACCATCAGGCCTAACTTGAACGCTCCCGCATCTTGAATCACAAGACCTCTTCGTTTATCCCACACCCGAACATCCTAGGAGACCGTTACACGCTATCAGACAACGCCGATGTGATTCCCGTACTAGTACTAGCAGGTGAGCTCTCTCGCTGCGTGCTCAGGCTTGTCACACTCGAGGAAGCAGAGGTCGGGGTCATGGTTGGTGGTTGCGTCTGGACTGTTCCAGGCTGGACTGTCTGTGTGACTGTCACAGTTGCTGTGGCGGTGCTAGTAGTTGTTACTGTCGCCGTGGACGTGGTGTTGATTACTGTTGTTGTTCTCGCCGTCTCCGTTGCCGTCATGGTTTGAAGAGCGGTAGAAGGCAAAGTCAGTATGGTTGTGGTGTCCACCTCCCGCGTGACATTCCGTGTGGCGGTTGTTAGCGTTGTCGCGGTCACCAGCGCAGTTTGCGTAGTGTAGAATGTGCTGGTTGCCAACACGGGTACCGTGACTTGGACGTGGGATGTCACGGTCCGGACGTCAGTGGTGAAGCTGGTTGCGTTCACGGTGAGTGTGGCTGTCGCGGTGGAGGTGAAGGCCTGAGTGAGGGTCGCGGTCAGTGTCCGGGTGGTGGTCGTGGTCGCCGTGGAGGTGCTATTGATGTAGCTTGTCACATTCACAGTGTGGAACGAGGTGACTGTTGTGGGTGTGGTTAATGTCGAAGTGATGTTGAAGTATCTCGTCACGTCCACGGTGGTAAGGGAAGTGACTATTATCGGTGCCGTCAATGTTGAGGTGGTGTTGAAGTATCTTGTCACGTCAACCGTAGTAAAGGAGGTGACCGTTGTGGGCGCTGTCACGAAGGTAGTTGCAGTGATTTGTCTCGTAACATTGATGGTGTTGTAGGAGGTAGCTGTTGTAGGGATTGTCGTGATGGCCGTTGCTGTTGTCTGTCTGGTAACATTCACTGTGTCGTAAGAGGTAACAGTTGCCGAGTGAGTAAGGGTCGAGATGAGCGTCTGAACAGCCGTAGACGTTGCAGTGACAAGAGTGCTTTGAGTCTCGGTTGTTCGAATCGTAGTCGTAATGGGCAGGGGCTGAACAGTCCACCTCGTCTCGGTAACAAATATGGTTGAGATGAGCTGAGACTGTCCCGGCGGATTGGTCGTCGTAAGGATGTCAGAGAGCCCAATGCCGCCAACTCCATTGCCGCAGAGCCCAAAGCTCGACTGACACCCCGAGCCACAATGTGAGTCCGAAGGACCACACCATCCGTTTTCTGAGCAGCAGTTGCCATATGACGATCCTAGGCAGGAATAGCCACTGAAGTCACCGCAAGTTCCGTCAGGGGAGACGTCCAGTTGGGCTAGAGCAGGCCCTAGCAACGCAGCGACTGCAAGAGTAAGAACTGAGCGAAGCATCTTGGAAGCCCTGGTTCCTGATTCTGTCCCTCGGACCGGCAAAGCTCCAATCCATCAGGGTGGGCGGCCACGCCGTTTTTACGTTGATTGCATGAGCTTAGTAGTAGGTACTGTGGAAGTGTTAATCCCGGTGGACATGATTTCGATGTTAGTAAGTTCCGATTAACCGTCGTAGAATGAGTGCTTCCGCAAACCAGCCCTGAGGCTGCTCGGCAGCTTCTGCCGGCCACATTTTGACATTCTCAGGGGTATTTTCACCGATCGTTGATATTGCCGGTTGCACGTCAATAAAGTTCCGAAAATTGCAGCCTGTGGGCTTTTCATGACTGCTGACGTATGCTTCAGCACTGTTTCGAGAAACAGGTGAAAGTGAACCAGGTGTTGGCGGTGAACGATACCTAGGTGCCGTGAATGTCTCCAGTCTCAACAGACTTAAGATGTGATAATATAGGACGCCACAGTGGTAAAACCGCTTCCGCCGGCATTTGGCAATATCGCTACTCCAGCTTAGGGCCACTCTGCATACCTTACATATGCATAGTGTAAGGGTACTATACCTCCGGCAAGAAACCTCAGGTGCCTTAGCGTAAGACTTTTACCGTGTGCGGGACGTAACCCCAAGGAACTGGAAGCAACGTTGCGAAGAGTCAAGAGCGTGGGGAAGAGGTTGTGTCGGTCCATGGCTTCCGATCATCACCTGATACCCTAGATCCAGATTGACACCGATCCATCCCTAGGTGGCTAGGCCGCAGTGGGCTTGAAGCCAGACTCAGGGCAACCAACAGCCGCACCACCCAACCCTGAACTCCTAGCGTCTTCCGGGGCCAGCCACTCATTGCCAACAATGAAAGTGTGCAGTATTTGCGTATTAGGCAGTCTGCAGCAGAGTGAGCGGACTGAACAAATCCAACCGCATTGCTTCTTCTCAGAGTTTACACACTCACCGCGTGGACAAGACAACCTGACACAAATCTGTGGATCGAGGGAAAGTGAAACTATCTCCGGCTGTACTAAGGTTTTGAGTGTAGCTTGACTTTGGGCAAGGTGATATCGGGAGCTTGTTCGTAACGTTGTATATATTTAAGGTAGATGATAACTGAAGTACCTACGGTATGATACGGCCCTCGGGGTCGCATAACCGCTGGTGTGCCAGGTTCGAACCGTTCAACTTTGAGGTCTCACCAGAAGGTACTGGAACTTGAATTGTATCAATTTCCTATTGATGCACAATATAACGACACATACATGTGGACATAGCTGACTGGAGGTTATGAGAATCCTGACTCTGAAGAGGGCGGACCACACCGCATACGTGGCAGAGCCTCGGCGTCAACCATGGAGGTGAATTGAGTGGCTGGAAGCTGAACCAACCGTAGTCCCGAAGTCAGCTGAGAAACTCGGGCATGGAAGCGGGGTTTGCTTTCTTCATGTCTGGCAGCTCTCTAAGCTTCAATTTCTTCCATGAACTTTGCGAAGGCCTTGAAGCGTTGCGGGTTCGGTCCATCGGATAGGGAGTATGGAGCCTCTGAGCGCTCTCTCAATCGCGGCGGCCGTGGTCCAGTTTGCAGACTTTGGCTTCCGACTGATCAAAAGCGCGCATGAGCTATACAAATCTCCTTCTGGCCAAAGACTTGAATACATCGAGCTATCCACGGTGTCTCAGGACCTCTCACATCTCGCCAATGCTGTTAAAACGAAGCAGCGCGAAAATGACGGGTCGGCTATGAATCCTTTTCTTCGTCTTTGTGACCAATGCGAGTCAACCAACAGCGAGCTTCAGGACATGCTTAACAAGCTCAGGGCTCGAGGATCCACGAGGATATTACTGGCTGTGGATAGCTGGAAGGCCACGTTCAAAGGACTCGCAGCCGCCGACGACATTGAAAGGCTGGCCGATCGCCTGAGCCAAATTCGCCAGCAGATGAACGTGGCCCTGCTCTATTTGCTACTGTTTGTCATCGCGCCCCCTTCGCTGCAGTGATTGCCTTGGACTAGCTGACACGCTCTAATGGTTGATCAGAGACGAGGCCGGGAAACAGGGCGTCGAGTTGCGCCAATTTGCCAGGCAACAAGCGGAAATGCTTGCCACCCTGGATCGAATTGACAACACTACCAAGCACTTCACTACGGATATCACTTGCCTCATCGACAACTTGCCCATAAATCACAAGTTAGAGACGGATAAATGGCGCGATACGTGCTTAGCGAGATGTGGAAGACACGCGGCCACCTTTGAGTGGATTTTTCATGAGCCACGGTCAGAAGAGGGTCATCCTCAGTGGTCCAGCTTCCCGCAGTGGTTGCGAGGAAAATCCAAGGAAATTTACTGGATTAGGGGTAAACCTGGTGCGGGAAAGTCTACTTTGGTTGAGTTCATTGCGCAGGATTCGAGGTTCGAGCATCTGCTGCGAGAATGGGCAAGCGGTTCCCAGTTGCTCATTGCTCATTTCTTCGCCTGAACGGCAGGAGCGGACAGGCTACAGAAGTCCCATGAAGGGCTCTTCAGGACAATACTCCACGATGTCATAAGGCAGCGGGCCCAGCTTGCTGTCGAGATCTTCCCTGCGCGGTGGTTTCTTCTACAGTCCTTCAGTGGGAAAATCGATTTGCCAGCCCCCTCCTTGGACGAATTGAGGAATGGTTTCCAGAACCTCATATCATCCGCAACTGGGGGCAAACTGAAGCTCGTTCTTCTCATCGATGGGTTGGATGAATTTGACAATGTCCAGTCGGAGCATCGAGATCTGGTTCAGCTTCTCGGCAAGGCCAACGCAGCAACTGGGGTAAAGATCTGCGTAAGCAGTCGACCATGGAATGTCTTCAGGGATGAGTATGGCAACAACCCCATGTTGCAGCTCGAGAATCTTACTCGAGACGATATCAAGTCTTTCGTCCAGGAGAAGCTCCAGCTCTGCCCGGGTTACTCGGAGTTTGCCGCCCTTAACCCACAAGCAACTCTCAAAATCATCAATGACATGGTGGACAAATCGCAAGGCGTTTTCCTCTGGGTATCGGTCGTTTCAGGCTTGTTGGAAGCCAGATTCCAGGAAGGGACCTATGTCTCGGACTTGCAAAGCGTAATCGATGGGCTCCCGAACGAGGTTGCCGACTTGTTCCGCTATATATGGAAGAGAACCACCAATCAATTTCGATCTGAGGCATCGCAGTACTTCCAGCTAAGTAGCATTTGCCAAGAGCATAAAACGGATCTGCTTGCATTGATTCTCTGGTTCGGCGACAAGGAGGTCCCCCCTTGATCTCGATGCTTCCAAAGTCACGACCTCATATCTGAGGGCCGCCATTGACTCCTTGGAACGGAAACTGACGAGCCGCACCGGGGGGTTATTGGAGATTGTGCCTGCTGATAAAAGGCATTTGTCTGCCAAAGGTGTGCTGGAACATGTGCCCTTAGACCTTTTACATGCTAGGGTGGAGTACATGCACCGGACGGCCCGCGATTGGGTCATGGATAACTGGGTGGGCATCACCTCGGCGACAAGCCCACACTTCAACCCTCTGATCTGGTTCGTCAAGGGCCAAGCACTGAAAATAATCCTTACCACCCGCGCAAACACAAGTGGCACGAATCGCCTTGGCATCTCTCGCGGAGCCAGAGAAGTCATAAATTTCAGAGCTTTCTTCTAGTGCGCCTCGGCTGTCCCGACTGACCACCCTGAGAGGTTGACACTGGTTGCAGCGTTCGATCGCCTCGACAGCCATTTTCAGGAGGCTCCTCAGACCTTGGATACATGGGCTACCCAAGTGACAAGTCGTCAGGTGCACCGGTACGACCATTGCAGAACAATTCGTAAGGACCTGCTACGACTCACGGACTTGTGCGACCTTTGCGCCCAATTTCCAATTCCTGCATATCTGAAACAAAAGGTCGATGAGAATCCCTGCCCTTTTCCGACGGCAAGTTTTGCTACCTTCGAACGGTGGACAACATCATATTCGGCGCATACTGGTTTCCCGAGATGTATCCGGCGAGACTGGATCTTTTGGATTACTTGGCACAGGAAAAACGTTGTCCTTGGCCGGCCCAGCTCCAAACAGCCCGGGCCAATGTCGAAGCAGAAATGGAGGTTCTGAGGAAGACTGGGGGCATTCCAGACGACGACATGGCGGCCAAAGTACGTTTCTTGATGTCGGCTAGGCGCATCCTCATATCTCGCACCCCCGCACCTATGAAAATGTCTAAGATGCTGTCTTTGAGATTGAAGAGCGAGTTTCAGGCTTTTGTTGGAAAGGCATTTCGCCGCAAGAAGAGCTGAGAAGGCTCGTCTTCTGGGCCGTCGAACATTCTACGCGTTGGCTGAGATAGTGCCCTTAGATGTATAAGTAATTATGAAGGACGAGCCACCGGGTAAGCATGAATGCAGCATTGCAGCTTATGGGCAATCACCTGTTGCCTTGCCCTTTTGAGTTGCTGGCTTTCACCAAACAACTCACTGCAGACTCGGAGAGAGCATGGAACGTTGGTTGGGTTCAGTCGTGAGGTCTCTTTAGCCTTTACCAGTAGCCCCTATTCAGGAAGAGTAAGGTAATGACTTCATGCCGCTGGCAGCAGTGTTTGATTGTTCCGTGGTTTCCATGATGAAAGACATCGAGGACTGGTAGCATTGAGCGCAAGAACAGAGCAATTGAACCAATCACCGCTTTCAGTCCATCTCGGTTTCGAAACTCCTATGAGTGTATACGATGACTGCCTAATTCGTATGTTGTAGGGGACGAATTGGAGTGATTTGTGTGGCCCGTGCGTATGTAGTTGCTTTACGTACCATTTGCTGAGTAAGCACTGACGTCGTATGAAATTCGTGAAACATCATACCGAGATCTTCTGACACTGAATCACTGCGAAAGCCCGAGCTGTCGCCGAGCTCCCGCAACGCTGTCCATCTTCGACAAGGGCAGATGTGATCTTCCCAATCGACGATGGCGTCCGCAACAGCAAGGAGGGCCGCTGCGCTCGCAATACGCGCCGGCGTTTCCACACCCTCTTCGACTCCCCGAGCTCTCCTCCCAGCAACTGCCCTCGCCCTGCCGAGGATCACATCAGCGGCTCTGATACTAAGGAGGCCAGACAACACCCAGTCCCGCCCTTTTCACTTCACGCCGCAGAATGCCGCCTCTAACACTTTCGGTCCTGGGCCGTTCCCCATGCCGCCGAGCTACTTCCAAAAATCAACCTCTCTACCCATGAACACCATCATCCGCTTCGTGCCGCAGCAGACAGCCTGGATCGTCGAGCGCATGGGCAAGTTCAACCGGATCTTGCAGCCGGGGCTGGCGGTTTTGATTCCCTTCCTCGACCGCATTGCCTACGTCAAGTCGCTCAAGGAAGTCGCCATCGAGATTCCCTCACAAAGCGCTATCACTGCCGACAACGTGACGCTCGAGCTCGATGGCGTCCTCTACACCCGCGTCTTTGACGCATACAAGGCCAGGTAGATGGCCCTTTCCAATCCCATTTCCCGGTCAAACTACCACCACCTCCCGAGCTAACTAAACAAACCAAACAGCTACGGCGTCGAAGACGCCGAGTACGCCATTTCCCAGTTGGCACAAACAACCATGCGATCCGAGATCGGCCAGCTGACACTCGACCATGTCCTCAAAGAACGCGCAGCGCTCAACACCAACATCACAGCCGCTATCAACGAAGCAGCACAGGCCTGGGGCGTCACCTGCCTTCGATACGAGATCCGTGACATTCACGCGCCCAAGCCCGTGGTCGAGGCGATGCACCGACAGGTGACCGCGGAACGGTCCAAGCGGGCTGAGATTCTCGAGTCCGAGGGCCAGCGGCAGAGCGCCATCAACATTGCCGAGGGCCGCAAGCAGAGCGCCATCCTGGCGTCCGAGGCGCTGCGCGCCGAAAAGATTAATAAGGCCGCCGGTGACGCCGAGGCAATCCTGCTCCGCGCCAAGGCCACCGCCGCGGGCATCGAGGCCGTCGCGCGGGCCATTGCCGAGGGCCGCGACGCCGCCCAGGGCGCCGTGAGCCTGTCCGTGGCCGAGAAGTATGTGGACGCCTTCGCCAAGCTGGCCAAGGAAGGCACTGCCGTCGTGGTGCCCGGGAATGTGGGCGATATCGGCGGCATGATTGCTACGGCGCTCAGTGTTTATGGCAAGGTCGGTGACGCGCAGGCCAAGACAATGGCGAAGCAGATTCTGGAGAAGCAACAGGTCATCGAGGCGCCTGTGGAGGATGCCAAGGAGAACTCGAGTCAAGCATAGGAAAGTCCGGCAGTGGTCGGCGATGGGAATGGTCAAACCTTGTAACTTTTCGTTCATCTACTCGGCCGGGGCAGGATCACTTAAAAAAAGAGGCATGGCGTCAAGCGTGGGAGTCGGTGAACCACTCAGTGTATTCTATCAAACCGGACGCTCAGACCCAGCTTAATATGAACAAGATGCACCACTCCCAAGGAATTCCTCATACTCCAAGGCCGAACTCCCCACCCACAACGTCCAAGGCTTCTCTTATTAGTTTCAACACCTTGTCGTCCCCAGACGTACCTGCCACCTGCACGGCACTGACGAGTAGGGGATACAGCCGCAACAGATGCTTTCTCATCTCGCTTTCCACGTTTGGCGCGTCCGGAATCGCCTCTGGCTCTGATCGGAGAGCCACAAGACTGCGCAGGACGCGAATCAGCTCCTTGCGTTGCGATAGCGGCTGCGGCATGCGACCCCTCAACGGTTGGTCAGCCACGTAACCCCTGAGCGACAGCGCGCAGCGGAGGATGAGGTATGGCGCGGCCGTCCGAGCGAGGCGAACATGAAGTTCGTGAACGGATTCTGCTGTCGTATCCTTCCTACCCTCGAACGTCATACTCTTAGGATACCGCGGAGTTGGCGGCTCTATCGTGATCGATGGCGCGGCGTCCGACACATCGTGGACCTCTACGAGCGAGAACAGTTCATCGAGACAGACCTCACTCATAAGGCTCCGTGGAGTGGGGGAGGAGTCAGTGGTGCGCCCGTTGCGTTGCTTGTACAGGGCTCGGAGCCCTCCTGTATCGCTGCCAGCGCTGCCGTAGATGATTGATACCTCCGCCGGCGCAGGTGTATGGATGATTGATGTGCGAAATAGGCCTTCGGCATACGACTTCCTGGTTGTATCCAGAATAACTTCTGCCCCGAGTGAGGGGATGATCAACTCGCGCAGCTTTCGGAACGAAGCGATATCGAAGTCCTGGTCGTCCATGATGGAGGAAGCAGGAGCAGCGCCCAAGTCTGCACTGATGATGCCATTAGAGATGCAGATGATAACCCGCCAGATTGCCTGAACAGTCTCCGGCGGCAAGCCCATAGCGAGAAGATGAGGGAGTGCTGCCTCTAGAACAGCCAAGGCTGACGTTGTCGCCGCTCTCCATGGTTGGACCGACTTGGTTACAACTTTGAACTGATATTTGATCGAGACTGGCTTAGCGAGGGCATGTAACGCCGCAGTGAATGCCCCTGTTTCGTAGATGTCTCGCTCTGAGGCATTACTCACTACCAGAGACTGGAGGATAGACATGCTCTCTTTGGACATGGCCACATAAGTCCGCTTCTCTGTCGTCGCTTTTGCCGCTTTTTCCTGGTCAAAAGCCAGCGAAACAAACTCGGCGACTTGGGAGATCATTGCTGATGGCACACCACGCAGTTCGGTACGCACTCGGCGGAGAACCTCAAGAATCTTGGCTTGCAATGGGGTGGCGTACTCAATATCGCTAGAGTATGCGCCGGGCGTTGCTTGCTGCACGGCATCGCGGAGAAGCGTAAGCATCCGACGCACTCTTTCGACGTTAAAGTTTGCATGAATCAGCCCATAGAGCTCCAGCAACGCCTCAACCCAAACAAGGAGACATTTTTGGTTATCTGAGGGCTTGTCATCTTTCTCAACTCCGGGAACCGGGATGCCTTCAGACCATAAATCCCAGGCGAGGAGAATGCTTCCCTCACCAACCCTGGGCCGATCTTGCTCCCCGCATCTGTGCAGCACATCCCGGAGAGCGGTATAAGTGGCGGTGTTGGTGTCTAGGATGTGAAGGTCCAAGAGTGTCCGGAAATGACCAATTAGGTCTTGCCATATCCTGGCGAAGCTTTGATGTGCAGCAAGCACACTTATGTATGAGGCAAAGAGCTCTGACACCCCCTGAATGACCACGACTGCCGTCTCTTTCCACTCCTCCTGGCTTTTGTCCTTGACGGAGGACGTCGTGCGAGAGCGGAGCTCCCGCTCAACCGAGTGCAAGAGGCCGAAGATCACCGTTCTCATACAAATGGACCAGGCTTCCGGGCTGAGGCTGTCGCCGTATGCAGACATTATCCGCATCAGGGTTTGTATGGCGCCTAGAAAATTAGCCACTGTTGAAGAGCAAGGTACAAAACACTCACTGTTTCTCAGTTCCAGTCTCTGATCCGCAGCAACTGAGGTTAATCTCAGCAGGAGAAGCATCCACAACGCAGCGCCTGATCTTTTGTGGAAAGGTTCGGCAGCAAGGTTAACCAGCACTTGGTCACCCACTTCCTCAATCATGTCTTCGGTAATGGTCATAGATGTGCTCTTGCCGGAGAGAAAATCCGAAATAGCCCAGAAAAATGTAATCGTCTATGGAAATGTCAGCAACATGGCATGTACGCTGCAGGCTGGAACTCACTGTCAGTGCCACATTAAGGTCATCATCTTGGGTGCAGAATTTGTACAGGGTATCGATGAGATTGAGAAAGCATGCGTTAGGCAAAGAAGATAAGAAGTCGGAACAAATCAGCTGCAATGAAGCAAAAGATGGCCTAATAAGCTTGACAGCGCGGGTCAGAAGCACGGTCCTATCGCCGGAAGTATCCTTCGTATCGGCGTTCAAGTTCCTTTCCACAAAGATTGTGTCAACAATCTCGAAGATGAGCTCCCACCCGCTAACCAAGGACTCCCCGCAGTTCTCGAGGAGGCTCTTGAGGCCTTCAAGAATGATCTTGTGAATGTCCACATCGGCAGCGTGGTTTGCAACAGTCACTTCACGGTTGGCTGTTTGCAAGGGCACTAGGGAGTCACGGAAGGTCTCAAGAAGACGCCTCTGAATCTCGCCCCGAGGCTCCTCCGGCTGAGATGCAACAGCGTTTGCTTCTTCTAGGAGAATGTGAACCAGGGTTTCTGCCGCCCGGGCTCGGACTGGGGCGGCATTCGACAAGGCGCTCAAAGTGTTGATCAATACAACCGTCAACAGCGTCCAGCCTGAGACATCCGGCTCATATGATAGCAGCCGTTCGATGTTGATAGAGGCAAGATCACCTAGCTTAGCCAGGGCAAATTTATCCTCTTGATTGGGCTTCAGCAGTGAGGAAGACATGCTCAGAACCCTTTTACCGGTAGGAAGGGGTGACTGTGGACGGCTGCTGGGTTCGGAAGGAGGATGAGTCTGACGGTCAAGGAGGCTGCACACGGCCCCAATGACCTCGATGAAAGCGGGATTCGGAAAGTCCACGGTACTCTCGAAGAGCCGGGATGTCGCTGTCTCGACGGCTCGAATCTCATTGTTGAAGCCTGCAACCAAGGCGTTGGCTTCCTGCTCGGCTTGAGGATCCGGCCCCTTTGCTGCCATTGGTGTCCTTCCTGCGGTCTTGCCGGATGAAAATAAAATAAAGTCGGCCTGCTGCAGGGTCTCCAAAATGATGCTCCAGGACGATGAGAGCGTCGGACCCAATGCGATGCCGAGATTTAAGAGCGCTCTCAGGCACAGCAAGTTCCGAGTGTTCAGCGAAGCGGCATTCACGTCGAATGATGGCTGCCTCTGCTTTTCGACACCGAGGCCTGTAGGACTGACGAGGCTATCGACGCTAAGGAGTCCTCGCGCGTTGCTGAAGAGACTGCCAGGGGTGTCGTTAGGTGCAGGAGTAGCAGGAGGCCGCGCGGGCGCATTCAGACAAGCAGTCAGGACGTTTGGTGGAACGGCAGCTTTGCCCAATGTGGTAAGAAAGGCATCTCGTGGCGTCGCGAGTTGCAGCAGCCCAGCAACATGGGCGAACTTTTGAAATGCCCGGACGAGGCCGTGGTAGTGCTCCGAGTCAAGGGCAGCATACAAAAACGTTGAACATGTCGCGAGAATGGCGGGCCAGCAATCCTCGATGAAAGAGGCGCATATCTTGACCTCTGTGTAAAGAGGATGGCTTTCAAGGGTCAACGGATTGACTGGGACGGGATTTCTTTTGAACGAGACAGACCGTTCTAAAGGCGCCTTATCAGTCAGCTCGTCAGCTTGAGGAGCGGGTGAGTCACGGCCAGCTCCGATTTTTGGACCCCGTTTCCTCCGCCCGTCGCTCGGGACAGTCAGGGGCAGGATAAACTTTGCTAGGCCCTCCGACAGCGATGTGATGCATGCGAGAGTAAGGCTGTAGACATATGACTCGGGAATCGTGGGCGGCTCTGTCTTGTCGAGCTGGTCGATACAAGGGGAGCGCATAGTGCTCCATTGAGTGCTAATGCCGGTATTGTGCCCATCGGAACTAGAGCCTGATATGATACCGGTGGTCTCGAGCATGACTTGGTCAGTGGAAGCCCCAATGCTCGCGTAAGGGTTGGCTACGGGGATGGTGGACTGGTGCCCTAAGCCAATTACCGATGGTTTTTCGGTACTGATGCGGACAAATGTGGCCGTTAGATTCTTCAGGATGTCCTTTTCGCCTTCTGTTGCGTCGTACAACATGAAAATGCGTCGGAGCAAGGCATGATCAGCGAATATGCCCCTAAAGACCTCCATGCACAAAGAACGTTTCCACAAAGCCGTGTCCTGATCCAGAAGCTGGGTTAGGATATCGAGTGCATCTCCGCTCTGCGACGGGAGGATCGAGAGGTGGCGTCGGAGGAGCGTGTACAGTACTCGCACCAATCGGACACTGGTCGCAAAATTCGGTCTCCCGCGAAGTGCACTGATGAGAAAGGGCATTACTCTTGTCCGTAAGATACTTGCCTGCTCGGGGTGAGCGGGAAAGATGGCGGCGTGGTTTGTTAGAACCGACTCTATTAACTCCAGGCCAAAGGTCTGGGCAAGGCTGGAGACACGGAGATAATCCGGTCGTTGGCCCTGAGTTAGTAGAACAATGTCGTTGAATACCTGCAATAATTAGCACCAAGCCAAAAGGAGGCTGGACACGAAGCGGCATTACCCTGTAAGCATCCATGGACGCGGCTCTGAGCGGAACGGCGCCATTCTCGACAGACACTTCCCCGACAGTCGATGCTCCAGCGTTGGACTCTGTAGACTCCGTAAGAATATGTCACAAGGGTAAAGGACAGGCCAGATGGTGATGTAACCCACTATCCTCGGCAACAACCTTGTCAAACACCGAGACCACGAGTTGCTGAAGCGTAGCAGCAGAGGTGTTGTTGACAATTGCATTTTTGCTTGACTGCAGGATAAAGCAGACATTCAGGGCAGTAACCAAGAGCTCGCCCTTCACATCGGCGGAATAGTTGGACAGTAGCGAGGGAAGCGCCTGAAGGATCTTGAGTTGCACGTCGAGGCCAGCTGACGTGGCCTGTTGCAGGGCCTCTAGGACCTGGCTTAGTCTCGACCTCGGAAGCGCGCGAGCGACGATCAACCGTTGAAGGCAGACGATGGCAATTCCGGTGAATTTGACATTCTTGGAGCCGCAAGCAATAATGAAGGGATTGACAAAGTTTGGCCGTTGGGTGAGTTCTATCACTCGGTAAGCATAGTGCTAGGGGGCAGCGACGCCTGTGGGCTCAGGTGGAAACCAACGCACCATCAGCTATTTGGGTTTCTGTGGTTGCCCTCAAGTTCTTCAATTCATCGAGAGACTTTTCGGCAGCCTATTTGCAGGATCATGTTGTCAGTAACTGTGTTGTATATGGTAAGATAAGGCAGGTTGTTGTGTGCAATAAGTTAAGGAAGGGTACTGTACGTACCTGGCGAAGGTCATTGTGCTTGCGTTTGCTCTCCTGGATGAGATTGGCAAGCTCTGAGGCCAGAAGCTGTGCTGTCATGATTGCATTTCATAGGCTGAGATTCAGCTGTATTGTACCATCATCGCATCGCAATCACAGAACGTGGCGACGAGTCTAGAGAAAAAGGGAAAGCCTCTATGAGAGTGTACTCTGTAAACTGAGTGAGGAAGGAGGACTCGTGTTTGACTGATGTGAGCAGCAGCCAACAGCAACTGCGATTGATGAGACGCTGCAGGGCAGTGGGTCGCTAAGTTATGCCAAGCCGGCAGGGGTTTGATAGGATGACATAATGGCGGCACAAAGACTCACCGCCTAAATCAACCCCTCCATAGCTCGAGGTCATCAAAGGCAGGTGACACGCTTCCACCCCACTCTCGCTCTCCGGTCTCAGTCTTAGCTGCCCTCTTTGCCCAACCCAGCGTCGATCCATCACTCCAGTTGCCGTGCACAGGCATAAAGTACCATCAGCTCTCCCTTCTGCCATTATACTCAACCCTGCGTACCCGGCAACCCGACAGCTATGGCCGTTGCTCAGGTGCCTCGGAATTTCAAGCTCTTGGCGGAGCTGGAGAAGGGGGAGAAGGGGTTGGGAGCTGGTAAGTTGCTGTTGTTTTCCAGGCAATACATCTACCGCGGTGCCAGTACTGACAGATGGTCACACAACCTTCCAGGCGCCTGCTCGTACGGTTTGGAGGATCCTGAAGACATCTACATGACTCACTGGAGAGGGACCATCTGGGGTCCGCCTCATGTAAGTGGCCCCTTGGCGCTCGTTGTCCTTGGGTCTATCCTAACCCCTCTACCACTCCGCAATGCAGGGAAACCACGAGAACCGGATCTACGAGCTCAAGATGGAGTGTGGCCCCAACTACCCCAAAGAGCCGCCCTTGATTCACTTTGTCAGCCAGATCAACCTCCCTGGTGTGAGCCCGATCGACGGCAAGGTGGACAACAACGCTGTCGCCATACTCCGTGACTGGACCCGGATTGCAACCGAATTAGCCAAGAACCCCCGGCCGAAGGAGGATCCGCTGAGCCTCGAGGCGGCTCTCATCGCAATAAGGAAGTAAGCAATCGTGTCCCACCGCGTAACCAGAGATGGCCGAGCGGTGCTAACATGGGCCAAGGTTTATGGACGAAAATAAGAAGCTTCCGCAACCCCCAGAGGGTTCCAAGTATCAGGTTTACAAATGAGCAGCACCGGAAAGTATTTAATGCCTGAGCTACAGGACGGCACGCGGCCACCATTTGAATATGGGCCGTGCACGCCCAGGTAGACAGGATGCGGTAGATTCGTACACAAAGAGTTGGGAGCAGGCCTGACACGTATGGAAGCAACTGGCGTCAGTGGGGAAGTCATATTTACTGGAGGTTTTAGCATCGTATGCGACTCGTGCTCAGCAAACCGTTGTTACAACTTGCAAGTGGACTCCGTGATTCTTCGTGGTTTAATTTGCTCCACGTGACTTCGTGGATCCGTGTCGCGCGTCTAACTCGCCTGTCCTCCTGCCGAAAAACGCTTGGGTCCCCGCGCTCGAATTGCATGGCCCAATCCATCACGCACCGTGGCATTGCCCCATCAGCAGATGAATGCCGTCGTTCTTCCTAGCTTCCCGCTCCTCGCGGCACCGCCGAGCATGTAAGGGAAACCAATCTATTCTGGGTTTTCTTCCTGGGTTGCGCTAATATGTATCACCAAAAATTCCAGGCTTTGCCCTCTACAGGTCCCTTCTCCGGCAGGGCCAGCGCGTGCCCCTCCCCGATGACCTCGCCCACGGTCTAGAACCGTCCAAACCCACGAACCCAATCAAAACCCTCATCCGCAATGGCTTCCGGCGCAACAAGCGCGACACGTCCCCGCGGCTGATCGTCTCCGCCCTAAAAAACGGCTACCGCTTCCTCACGCTCCTCTCGCGCGCCACCGCCGGCCCTAATACCCCCGAACACGCCTTCGTCACCTCCTTTATCCGCGAGAACAACGCGCGGGTGCTCGCCATACAGGAAAAGGCGCGCGCCGCCAAGGCCGCGCGGCCCTCCATGGTCCCCGATCCGACCCGCATTCCGGTGCTGGTGCGCGTGTCGGCAGACGGCGAGTCCCCCCCGCGCTACGAGCCCAGGCCAGGAAGTTTTCCCCGCCCGCTGGAAAGCCTGCCGGGTGGCGTGCGCAAGCCGCCTTCCCTGTGCGACGCGACGGGCATTCCCTTCCTCCGCTTCGGCAAGCCCCAGCCGCGCTTCCTCGAGCGCGCCCTCCGCCACAAGACCACGCTCCGCCAGCAGAGGGTTCTGGACCTGCTTGAGATGCAGCATGAGTATATGGAGGATGCGGCGTGGGAGGATGAGTGGGAGTGGCTTGTTAGTGGAATGCTGCAAGGCAAACCAGTGCCCGTGTACACGCCCGCGCATGAGAGGCTGAAGAAGGGGAGTGGGCAGGGGAAGGGGCAAGGCGGCCCCAAGTGGAGTTGGACGGGGGATACCTGGGGCTGGCGCAACCTCGTTGTTGGGGGGAAGGGCAAGGTAACGACGCATCCGCTGATGGGATACCTTCCGAAGGGGGAGAGTTCGTATCAGCATACCCTGTGGGACGGGGTGATGTTATTGTTTGCGGAGATCAATGCCGAGAGGGAAGACTTAATTGCACGCGCACATGCGATGTGGCAGATTGTCCTGGCCGAGGAGGACCAGGCGCTCAAGGAGGAGAAAGAGAGGCTGGTGCGGGAGGGCAGGGGGGATGAGGAGCCCAAGTTGCGGGTCTGGAGGCGCCATGTATGGCAGAAGAAGCGCCCACGGCCGGATTCGACCGAGGGTGGCCGAAAGGATGCGGTATCGCTGCAATAGCTGGGGCCAACGGGTGGAGAGGTGGAACTTGGTTGGTTCTATTGATGATAATACACATGCGAAGGGTTCTCCCGGGGTATAACCGCGTATTACTCGTCGTATACTCAACCGTATACTCAACCGTCTGCGTGTCATAACTCTAACATGACCCAGAGCCCAATTAGAAGAGTTGCGCCCTACACTGCTTCAGTCATTCGTTTTGCTTGGTCGAAACACATCACCGCCGACACAGAGCCCACAATAAACAGCCAAAGATTGTCAACATCACATGTCCTCGATCAATTCCCCACGGCCGCATTAACAAACAACCTATGGCCACCCAGCCCGCACCGATGCCCAGAATGCAGCATTGATATCAGACTGGCGCAATCCCGGTGCCCGGCCCAAACATATCGAACGAGACGTCAGTTCTGTGGCAGGCGGAAGGCGGGTTAGCAAACTCAAAGCATGGCTATGGCTGAAGGAGTTGCCTACCTCTCACCAGCAACTCGACATTGACGAGCACCCGTTGCCGTCTTGAACTCTGCACTGGCGGTGATGTGTCAAAAAGCAGCGGGTTGTCACCAACCGACGGCAAGGCCGGAAATGCCGACAGATCATTGTCACTGGTGGGCGAGATGAAGTTGGCAGCCGATGAACCTGGCGCTGAGGTCGTAGCCGGATATGGGGGGGCTCCCCGCGGTGATTCATCGGAAAGGGTCGGGTCGCTCAGGGGCCAGGAAGCAGCGGGCAAGTCGGACAGGTCACTCGATGTCGGGCCGCTTCTCGAACTCGGCTGGGGAGATATGGATGAAGATGTCATGATCCCGTTTATGGCAGCGAGCTTGTTCTCCATCGACACAAGGTCGAAATTGGCCGCAACGGAAGAAGGATCAGCATCCCAGCCTTGGTTGTCAAAGTGGCTCGCGTCGATCTCGGCTGCGACGTAATCCGCCCCGGGCGGGATGACGACTCCCCGCTGGTACAGATACATCTCAACCTCGTCACAGTCAAAATACTCGTGGCCGAATCCCGGCATGGCGATGCGCATATCCTTGTCCAGCTCGGTGTCGCGTATGCTGTTGAGCTCGGCCGAGAACGGACCGGTAGCGAACCCGGCTGTGATAGTTGGCTTGAGGACATCCTGTGTGCCCTGGTTGCCGATGCGCTGGGTTGTTGAAATTGCCGATGCATCTAGGTGTGTACCGGCGCCACCGAGGTGGAAGAACGGGTATTGCCAATTGTCGAGGGATTGCTGCGCGCCGAAACCCGCCATCCTGCTGAGACGGCGTTTGATGTCGTCGAAGGATTCAAAAAGCAAGCAAAATCCAAAACAACGGGATATGATGTGTGGTGGCGGGTACTGCATGTTGACAAAGGCGAGGGCGCACTCAATGGCGTAACGTTGGTATCTACGGCCAAATGTTGTCTCATGCGACGAGTACGAATCCGGGACGCTCAGCTCAAGACGCCGGGGAGGAGGTGTGAGGGAATCTGAGCCCTCGTACCCAGAAGCAGATCCTGATGGGACGCTAGTATCATCGGAAACCGGGTGCACACTTGTTTCGTAACTCAGTATAGGGGCGGTCAGAGCATCAGGGACGACGCTAGTGGAAACGCTCGGCAGGAGATCCGTCTGGTCAACCGGCTCATGCGAGACTATGATTCCGCCGTAGAGTGTTTTCGGCTCCTCATCTGCTGCTGTCGCCGTCTCCGCTGCCTTCGGTGCCGTCACCGCTAGCATGGACTCACTGCTGGAAATCTGCCCCGGCGAGACGGGGTCAGGGTGATCGGTCCTCGCTTCCGCATCGTCTGAACCGTCGAGGACAATGGCCAGGGGCTCACCGCGATGCGCCGAGTCATCATCGCTCGCATTGCGTGCGAGTGCGAGGAATTTCTCTGTTGTCTCACGCAGTTGACGGCCGAATTCCGGGATCTGGTCAAGTAGACCAGCGTTCACAGCAAAATCGTGGAGTTGCATAAAGGCATTGCTCATTCCTTCATTTGTGTCCTTGAGCTGTTGTACCTTCTTTTCCAGCGTCTGGATAGCATTCTCCTTTCGGCTGCGATATGCCCGCTGCGCAAGGCGAATTTGCGTCCGTCGCCGCTGCTATGAGTGTCAGAAGGCCGTTCACTTGCAACGCATCAAAGTGATCAATTCGTGTCCCAGGGCGTTTGCGTCCTCCGTACTATAGAAGAGCTGCCAAAGAAGAACAAAAAATACCACTCACATCGGCCGCAGTCTCATCTTGGATATCTAAGCGGGGACGTCCTCGCGACTTCTTTCTCTCATCGTCGGCTTCATGCTTCTCTGTCCGCGAAACTTTTAGGCGCTTCCTGGGTCCCTCTTGACTGCTAATAGATGACGTCTTTTGCGTCTTCTTTGCAGCTGCAAGTCTTAGAGCCGATCGGAATGATGGACCTGGATCATACAGCTCGGCGCCTAGAATGGCGAGGTCTCCTTGGGTGTGCCGCATCGGACTGCTTTCTCCGCGATCTGCCACTGACACTGACATTCGTTAGGGGCTAGCTTGATGACCCAGTTACATGACAATCTCAACTGAATACTGCAGAGCACACCGTACTGTTCCCAAAGACTCTCAACACGAGGAGGCTGTGGTTTGAGTATCGAGTATCGTACAAAGAACTCGAGCTGACGTCGGGTGCTTAATAATGTCCAGTTGCGTATCAATCTGGCCTAGTAGGGCTGGAAGCCGGGTCTGGCCGTCTGGGAAGCCTTGACCCTGATTAGGTACGTTCAGCCAATTCTCAGCCACAGCTCTGGCGTGTTCTGTGGGTCCAGCAGCACCCCGCGCACGGGTCAGCCACTCAGAATGCACATACTTACCCACAGTACTAATTATGCCAACTTACGGTGCACAGCTCTGGGGTTTAGTCGCGCTGTGCAGTGGCTCTGCGGACTGGGAATCTCCACTGTAAGCGTGCTACTCTAGGCTTGGGCACAAAATACAGTGGGACATCGGTTGATGAATGAGTTTCACATGTACTGTACAAGTACTACTAGTAGCAGATAAAGCTGCATCTAACCTACGGCTCGGAGTCTACTGGTACTCCTGGCCGGAGACTCTATAAGTAATGCATTTCATTGCGCTGAATATAGTGATCTTTACGCCCACCAGGTACGTACACGAAAGTCATCTTGAACATTCAGTTGTCCATTAGAGCAAATCCCATGTCCTATGTGTATCCGTATCCTTGGTTGCCATGGCACCGCGCAAGGCCGCAAGATGTACTGTAAGTCACGTTGGAAGCATTCCTCCAAGACTTTTCACTGTTGACGTCTTCTCAATCAAAATTCAGGGGGAGTCAAAACTCTAAACTGATGAAATGTATTAAAGCGAATTGATCCCTCACATTGCGATTTACAGCTCGGATCCAGCCCCTGATTGTCTTTTGCAAGCCAGTATGGTGAGTTCGTTCTCGACGTCAAGTTCAAGGGCGTCGTCGATCATGAGCCTCCGTTTCAATGTTTACTCGATACCGGGTTCCAGGATTTGTGCACCTTACCTACCTGCCTACTTATCATAGTGCAGATCTTCATCCCCATCAACTGACCCCCACAATTCGGCCCCAGACTGGATTGCGAGAACGGCTACCGTGGCCAAGAAAGTTATGGTATACCTTAGCCATGTGCGCGGTGTGCCGCTCTCTCCAACTTTGAAGCCGGAGTCATCTATAACTTGAGAACCTTGGAAGCCGTTTGGCTTGCCGAATCTGGTTGCCGAGCTAGACTACTACTCTCGGTATAAAGTACAGGTGGCGTTTCTGGGGACTCCAGACGATCGGAAACTCCTGGCTCCAGGCGCACCAATCACTCTCGCTTAGGCTGATTGACTATACTCAACTTTTTCGGCTTCTGCAGCCGTGGGTTTCACTGTTTCACTTCCTGCAGTGGCAAATGGAACAGTGCCTGAGGTATCAACCAGTCCATGTCGAACAAGTCGGTACCTACTTACCCAGGACGGCCAAACTCTCTGCCCAAGTAGGTACCAGACCTCAGTTTGGTAGGCATACCAATATGCGGGTTTTAGATCAGCATTCCCCGGACGATGCATGTGTGATGTCTCCTCATCAGACTTCGGTCCGAACCGAGGATGCCAGCCCAATCCGGGACTCTGGGGTTCAATATACCAGGTAGTACCCGTGGAGCGCCATCGGCTCATTCGCTTATCTGTGGTAAACCCATTTATCATCCCCAATCTATATATGATGGACTCTGAGTACCTACATACATGTGTATGTGGGTAATATCTGATGCTACATCCAGGCTCGCGTTGCGGATGGGCCGAAAACGTTCGGAGAGCCCGGGCCGATTCATGTTTGGAAAGGGCAGCCCAATGGAAGGGCCGAAGGCAAGTTGAGTTTTGGAAGGTACTGACTGATAGGGTAGGTAGATGTTTCTCGCTCGAAATGGGCGCCTTCCTAGAACAGGTTGTTCCAGGTGGAAGCCTAGAGGTAAATTTGTCTCGGGCCATTACATGTATCTACTGTGCTTCCACCAACGTGACCATCACGGTACTGGCTTTGGTCTTTGCCGGGTTTGCCCTGAACTGCAACATGCCTCCAATTCATGGCCAAGATCAGGTCCATGGGCACCTGGGGACTGGAGAAGAATCGAAAATAGCAGGTATCTGAAGATTTGGATATAATGCTGTCATTTACCAGCGCAAATTGAAGCTAAAAGCCCGAGTTCAGGGGCCAGTGTCAATTTACCCCTGAATTGCCCTACGCAGGGGCTCAAACCAGCAGTTTGCAATCTTCTCATTTCCTGCGTTGTTAGGATGCACACCATCTCCTGTATCCCTGGCCGTATCAAATCCGGTCCAGCAGTCAACGACGGTAATGGGACTGTCGGTAGAGTTTTTGGACGCTGTCCATGCTGGAATCGCCTTGTTAAGCGCGACCACGCGATCACCGCACTGCCGGCAGTTTGCCGGATTAATGGGTATGATCTGGGCAACCTGTTTGGACATCAGCTTCTAGAACTTGGACAAGAACAACAAGTCATACCAGGATCTTCATATCCTTCTTACTCTCCCTCATCCAATCTACCATAGTCCCAAACGCAGCCAAGATCTCAGTTGGACCCTTATTGCTCCACACATCGTTGGTGCCCAGATGCATCATGACAACATCCGGTTTTGCGGATGCCAGCTACCCAGGGAGTTCCCTCCGCTGGACGATACCCGTTGCTTGGATCCCGCCATGGCCTTCATTGGCGCCGTCATAAGTGAAACCGCAGCCCGGGGAGGGCAGGCTGCCGACAAATTTGGTGTTGGTGATGCCGGCTGTCTGGAGTTTGCGCCAGAGAAGAGCGCGCCAACATCCCTGGTTGATTGGTCAGGGCAACCAGGAAATGGGAGTGGGCGGAAGAGGCTTACCGGGGAGCCGGTGATGGAGTCGCCCAGGGACATGATCCGGACTGGGGTGGATTGGGCCGAAACAACACATCCCGAGAGGAGGAGACCCAGGACCCCCCAGGTAAGGCGAAGAGAGCGAATCAGCATTATTGCTGTCTGTCGAAGCTTGGATGTTTCAACTGCTAACTTGGAAGAGTGGTAGGTATCGGAGGAGTACAATCGGATTAGAGGTCCGAACTAGCGAGGCATACGTTATATGTACCTCGCCTCACCTATTCACATTCCTTCTTCTGAATGGAAGCTCCCACGGATGCACTGGCCAGACAATACCATGATTGTCTTAGATTCGAGCGCTTGTAAAGTAAAGTGCCTGATGGGCGGGGGTTGTCCTCGGGTCACGGCTGAATTGCAGGTCGGGAATCGACTCGGCATGTGCGGTTACATGAACTTCCTGACTCCGTAACGGAACAAGCTCCGAACAGCACAAAACATCCAAGCTCAGCTTGACGAGTTTGTTGAATCCCCATTCATCGCCGCCATCGCGCCGGGGAAGGGCCGACTACCGTCTGGATCTGGAGATGAACTCGAGCTTCCGATTTGAGAATACGATGTAGGGGCACACAAACCGTGAAATTGGAGTCGGGCGCTCAAAAGTCAAGGCTGCGTACCTTAGGTGATTGAGTTGGTATATATGACGGGGTCCTAGACCGTCCTTGATCGAGGAACTCCAAAGGCAAGCGAGGAACTCCAGTTCACGACCCAACACAAGACGAGACACAACGGTTACAGCCGCCGCAGAAGACACAATGAAGACCGCCCTCTTCCTCCTGAGCGCAGCTACCTTGGCGCTGTCCTCGCCACTCCAGCCTGAGTCCCAGATCGTGCCTCGTCAACAACGCACTCTTTGCGAACTGTACGCCTACTGGTCTGGAAACGGCTACGAGCTCCTCAACAACCTCTGGGGCAAGGACTCGGCCACCTCCGGGTCGCAATGCACCTATCTTGACGGCACAAACAACGGCGGCATCCAGTGGCACACGACTTGGACGTGGCAGGGCGGTGAAAACAATGTCAAGAGTTATCCCTATAGCGGCCGCCAGTTCTCGAGGGGCAAGAGGATCAGCTCCATCAGCAGAATGCCGACAACGATCAACTGGCAATACGACAACGAGAATATCCGCGCCAATGTCGCCTATGATGTGTTTACGGCTACTGATCCAAACCATGTGAACAGCAGTGGTGATTATGAGTTGATGATTTGGTAAGTGGGCATTTAACTCTTTCTCAGTTATCACCTACAGTACTGACTTTACTACAGGTTGGCACGCTACGGAAACGTCTACCCCATTGGGTCGTCCGTTGGATCTGTCTCAGTGGCTGGCAGGACATGGGATCTCTGGGCAGGATATAACGGAGCCATGAGGGTGTACAGCTTCGTCCCTCCTTCAGGCACCATCAAGTCCTTCAATGCCGATGTCAAAGAGTTCTTTAACTACCTCGAGAGGAACCAAGGGTTTCCCTCCAGCCAGCAGAATTTGATTGGTAAGTTGGACTTGACTTGCCAGTGGCTATGAACTGAACAATATGACCAGCTTGCTAACTGCGCACATTAGTGTTTCAAGTCGGCACAGAGGCGTTTACCGGAGGGCCCGCTACCTTCAGGGTCACTCAGTTTACCGCCGACGTTGTTTGAATATCCTGAACGCCAGACATGGAGCTGCTGGGTGAGGATCCCTGTATCCGGGCAGCCTTTACAGCTACTAGTACTTCCAGTTGGAAGTTGCAGAACCTGACTGTACTGTACTCACTCACATATACTGGCTTAAGTCCCTGCCCCTGAACTTCAATTGAGCTGAGCTACTTCCGCAAATCGATACGTCTCAATCGCCTGCTAGGTGTGTAGTAACATCGGAATTGTCGATTGGAGATGCGCTCAATGAAGTTATGAACGGCGTGTCAACTGTCAACGGCAGCGCTCCTCGAGGACGGAATGACCGGATCTTCGCGCAAACCCAGACTGGTTCGAAAGGTTCCCACCCAATGTGGCTGTTAGTGCAGCCAAGATTTTGCACCCAAACATCGGCCTCTCGACTACCCCTCTTAACAGATCGAGGCAGTGGCACTCCCTACACAGGTACAGTACATACATACAATACATTCCCGACACGGAACCCAACGCCATCAAGTGGACCGCCATTCCCAGGGTGTATCGGATAGCAGGGACAATCGAGCACCTAGATTAAGGTATGTTCTTACACCTTTAATCTATCGTTAAGAATCGAGATTATTCCAACTCTTCTGTTCTCTTACAAGCAAATACATAGCCCATTGGGCTCCACTCTCCTGCACGGCGCGCCCTTGCGTTTGTGAAACCCCGCGATTGACCAATGAACTCCACACTCCCCGCTTACCCACTGGGGCCCACCAACCCGGCACTACCAGCTCAGCCCCAATAAACGGCGGTCAATGGGGCTGAGCTTTTCGGCCAGAGCCCCTGTTCAGCTCCCGTGCTTGGAACGGAATCGAGGGAAAAAAAATGGCGGCCGTCGATATCTGTCTGCATTGCCGAATATCTTCCCCGCCTTGCAAACATCTCATCTTGACAATTTTCTTTTCTGTCTCTTTCCTTTCTTCCCTTGTTGTCGCATTGTCATGAAGTTTGATACCCACTTGCTTTTATCGGCCCAACCCTTCCCAATTCCCCATGGTTCGTCCTCGCAGTCAGGTCTTCCCGTCTCCACGGGACCCGCAGGTTCCCGTCGCCAGCCGCCGCCGGCCTGTATCCGTCATGGTGGGCGACCTCGGAGAATGGCACACCGTCATGCCCACGTCCCTCTCCGCCATCGAGCGGCTCACCCCGTCACAACTTGAGGAATATGAGCGCCAGATCCTGCAAGATTGGGAAAAGTCTCTCCATTACTGGTCTGGAATGTGGGTTGAAGGCCCCAATTGTTGCGAGCTCCCACCTCCCAACTTGCTGACCCGGTTGCTAGAGGCAAACACCCGCCCGAAGACTTGGCCGAAGCCAAGAAGCTGCACAATCGATTCAAACTCGCTCTCGACACTCCTCTGGGCAGTGGAGGTTTTGGAGTTGTCCAGAAGGTCCAATACAACCATAATAATCGATCAATATGCCTAGCCCGGAAGCACATTCGCCCGCGCGGGAAGATGACGGTGCAGGATCTGCGCAGGGAGGCCAATGTCATGGAAAAGCTGGATCATGACCATATCGTGAAGCTCGTTGGGACATACTGCGTCCGGTCGAACCTCTATCTGCTGCTATGGCCCGTGGCCGTCTGCAATCTCGACTCCTTGCTCAATGACATCGACTGCCTACGGTCTGGCCATGGCGACCGCGAGGATATCATCAGTCGGTTGCATGCTTTGGACCTGAAAGACCTTAGCGCCATTGAGCGCACTCGAGGCGCGGCACGCACCACCCCGACTCAGAACGGCTGTCCCCTGAAATACCTCCAGCATATCGTAGGATGTATAACTCGGGCAGTGGCCTATTGCCACCAAGCGGACGTTCGTCATCTGGACCTCAAGCCTTCGAATATCCTCCTCAACCCTGGGCGCGTGTACCTCGCCGACTTTGGCATCTCCAGAGATGTCCACGGACAGGATCACACCATGACTAGGGATTTGATGGGCACATCGAAGTGGAAGGCTCCAGAGCGCCATCAAGTGGATTACGATTGGTCAATGGGAACGGCCGATGTGTATTCTCTTGGTATGGTGCTACTCGGCATGGCCACTGTGATGTACAGGGAACCGCTGGACGCGTTTGAGGCCGTTCTAGGGGAGCCATCACCGATGACGAAGGCAGAGAAACTGAAAGACTACTCGGGCAAGCTCGAGAATTCGGCGCTTGCAACTCAGGAGGTGGAAGACCCCAGCGCCCCTACATTCGGACCCAAACACATTGTCCACTTGGTCTCGAAGATGGTTTCAGCAGACCCAAATGCTCGACCCAGCATCTTCCAGGTTGACTCCGAGCTTGCCGAGCTCGGGGGCATTGACCAGGTCTATCATTCCTCATGTTGCAAAAGGAGCAGCCGCTTTATGACTGAGCGTATGAACAATAGACTCAAGCTTCTTGCCGAGGAGCGGGATCGCCTGCGGGACGGGTTTGGAGACCTGGAGAAGCGGCTGAAGGTCTTGGAAGAGAAAGACCTGACGTACGAATTACGCATTATGAATGAGCGCAAAGCTCAGGCAGAAAACATTGCCAAATTACAAGCAAACCTCGAGAAGGAGCGCAACGAACGAAAGCGGTTAGAGGAGCTGGTTGCCGAAATGCAGCAGCAGCAGCACAACAAGAGACCGCTGCGCCCAGGGATTCCGCGGCCGCATTCTGGTCGTACTGTCTCCGGTGGCAGTCACAACACGGACGGTGTGAGCCAAACGCGCCCAATGAACCAGCCCCTTCTAACCGCTAGACCACAGCCATTGCCGACTCCGCCAACCCAACAGCCTGTTCCGCCATCAGCAGCGGTACAAGGCTCGCGCCTTAGCTACTCCCAGACCGCCCGCGCCGCAATTGCTCTTCACGCCGCATCGCCCCTGCCAGCGACAGCAGCAACTCGCCGAGACTCTACGATACGCGCGCCTATACGCACGCCCACGCTACCCTCGCCGGCACCGGTGCCCAACGGCAGTCCGAGCCCGGACACCGTCGGGTACCCACTTCACTCTCGCACCTCGAGCTCCCGTCTTCCGCGACCCGTCCACCCCGCAACCCCTATCCGATCAAGCACGCCCGTCTTCAACCGCGACACCTCTTCAGACAGCACGCAGTACAGCAGGAGCAGCTCCATCTTCAGTCCCCTCACACTCTCAAAACACTCTATCGCCGCGACTAGCGTTGCTGGGACGCCTGTAATGGCCAGCCCTGCTTTGAATTTGAATCAGCAGGAGAAGGATTCAAGACAACAACACATTGCAGAAGCCGACCCCGACCGTCACGCAACAGTTACTCCAAGTCGCCGCCCCTCGGAAGCTTCTTCAAGTGGTATTGGCCTTGGGTTTGTCAAGATAGAAATGAATGGACGAAGAGGGAGCGTTGCGAGGGAGGGACACGGTGAACACGACGCGGCGAGCGTCATCAGTTCCGCCCTAGCTCCCTCAGGAACCCGCAGTCCTGTCAATAGCGGTTCTGCGTTATCGTCACCGCGGTCAACGTTTGCGTCGGCAGACGGTAAGAGAGCAAGTGTCGTGGTTCCGTCTCTGCCGACAGCCCCGAGCTGGGCGGATGTGGCGAGGAGGTAGCGGGGGATAGAATGGATAGATAAGAGATGAGTGTTGAAAGTAACACATTGGAGAGATACCTGATATGATAAGCAGAGCCGAGGGCATGATGTTGGTTATTGAGGATATGAGGATATGTACATAATCAAGTTTGAAGTCGCACTGTCCGGCCGCTGTGCCCGTTCGTGCGTGTTAAGAAAGGTGCTTTTGCTGCCGCTGATGGGGATCTTGAAGTTGCTTGTGTCATACCCCTGTGGAAGACATGCGTGTGTCGACGACTTCAGTATGTGTGCCCTAGACAATATACTCTACTCGGGAGCACGGGAGTAGAGGCGTGGTGAAGCAAAGAGACGGTTTCAAAGTTCACTGTTAAGGTAATTGCTCGCGGGTGAGCTAGGGAGCTAGGGAGCTAATACTACCTAGTAAATCATTTTCCACAGTTTTACGAATTACTGGCCAAGAGTGGTCGGCTCTTTGGAAGAATGTCAACCACAACCTTGCATTTAGCGGCCTGGACCTCAACCTTGCTGTCCTCGGAATCCGGCAAGTGGGAGAGGTTCAGAAGGATGAAAGCCCGACGTGTTTCCACGACTCTGTCAAGGACGTGCTGCGACTCAAGAACCTCGCTAGTGTCGAAAGATTCTCTCCGCGATATAACGAAATTTCGGATCCGGTTAAGGAGTGCCGTGTCGCCTTCGGCGCCTCGACTGGCACGGATATCCTCAAAAAGGGTCTTGGCGCTGGGATCGCTTTCTTCGTATAAGGCTGCAAGGGGTCGGAGACGGGACCAGGAATCCTCGAAAATCCCACAGACCAGGAGGCAGCGGCAGAGATGCTTCCCGCGGTGGCTGACGTCGAACATCTGGAATCCAGTAAAGTGAGCGTATATGTCAGGTTGCTCCGTGCCAACAGAGGACACCGCCTGCATGGTAAGGAAGCGGCTCAGTTCCGGGTCCCAGAGCGCTCTTGGTGACGAGACTATTTCCTCTATGGCGTAGGGCTTAGCGGCATTATATTGGATGAACATGTAGCCTTCGACCTCAAGTGCGATGCGTTGCTGCTGCTCGGCGTCTAGGGTCTTGTGGATATAGACTCTTCTTCTTTTTCCGGCCCAGATGCGGTCGTCGTCGGTAAGAAACAACATCCACGGACGTATCCTGGCGAAGCCGGAGGCTGTCTTGCACAGGTAGATGCCAAGCCCTACAGGTTCGCTTTCATCCTCGGAAACCGCACATGTACCAGCACATTCTAAGCTCAAAACGTATTCCCCGGACTCGGTCCGCCCAATGTTTGGTTTCATTTTCACCCCGTTGTTTGTCAGGGTGAATTCCAGGCTGGGATTCGAGGGGTTTCTGACTCTCATGATATCACGGCACTCGGAAAACTCTCTTGGAGACGGTGCCAGGACGCCGCTAAAGTCAGTCGCACTGACGGCAATTAAGGATAGAGGACTTGTTTCCATGGATACCTTTGCCGGGGGCTGTGCGAGGTTGTCCGTCAGTTCAGTCATGTTAATGGGAGGCATTTTTGCCGTCCAAGCAAACAGTGATAGGTCATTTGTTTCCTTGGAAATCTCTTCTTGCAAGCGGATGAATGCCCGACTGCCTTCCCCGTATATCATGGGCATGTGGACGTTGAAAATACCCAGGAGACAATACGCCATGTCCTCCACTCTCGTGGTTTGCCGGCTAGACGCCCACGACATCTTCCTTGCGACGGGCCAGCCTGAGAGAAGGCCACTGTTTTTGAGAACGGGCGCATCAATGCCGGTATGTTGCTCAAGCTCGGCGAGCAAGCCCTTCTTGTCGCCACGATACTCCCAGTCTTTGTCATAAAACTCGAGCCTTTGGGGAGCGATCAACTCTTGAAGGGTCCACCCGCGCGTAAACCAGCGATAGCTCTTAGAGGCTGAAGTAGAAAGCCAATCCAGCTTGGCGGCGACCGTGTCTGTTTGTTGGCAGGGAGGCAGGTCCGCAATGTAGGCGTAGCAAACGTCGGATTGCCGGTACCACTGGAACATGGAGTTGATGGCCTCGGTCAGCTCAGCACTGCTGGTTTTGTCGATGCAGCATGTGTCAACCCAGGCATATTGCAGCCCCTGGGATTTGGCAATTCGACATGTTTGGTCGATCTTTGCATAGCCTGCCTTCTCCTTTGCCTTGTCAAGGTTGGCGAATTCCTGAAATGAGACCTCTTCGTCCTCCCACGTGTGAGAGAGAATTGCATACTTTGGGTCTTCGGCGTTAGTGAAGGACTCAAGAAGCATGGTACTGGTGTTGATGAGCCACATGTTGGCGGGCGTGTTTGGAATTCCGTATAGGGAAGGCACGAGGCCAGGTGCGCGGGAAAGCACGAAGCTGAGAGAAGTAGGAAAGCACCAGGGCAAATGAAGGGGAAATAAAAATTAAAATATAGGTAGCAGTGTCGTACAACCTACAGGCAGCCTTCCCGCCCACCTCCCTGATGTCCAATCGCTGCCCAGCACAATGGCGACGAGGCAGAATTCTAAGCGGGGTATTTGCATTGTACCCTTCTCCGGACACAAAACCACGTAGAGGGATCACAGGAGCAAGTTCTCGTCAGGACTGTCACTGCACGGCAAATAGAAAGAATGGGGTCAATGGACGGTTCCCGTTGACGTCGACCAGATGCTAGCCGTCACGACTGAGATCTTCGTGACGCACAAGTTGAAGGAATAAAGGGTGAACTAAATCTGACTTACACCGGAGTTGGGAGTCTTTCAGACCAATATCAAGATAACCTTACCTTTTGCCATATCTTCGACCTCAACGCTGTTATCTCCTTCACCAAGAAATTCTCTGGCAATAACCGCAATCTGTTTAGTGTTAAACCAAAACCTGTGATGGGGTGCAGGGGTGTCCTGTGGCTGCCTCGTCATTAGCGTGCCTGCCGGCAGTCAACACCAACGAATGGTCGACTGGTGTAGTGGTTATCACGTCTCGTTCACAAAGTTGGATGCAATTGGGGTTTCTCCCACCGAGAAGGTGCCAGGTTCGATCCCTGGGTCGATCATTTTGCCTCTTTGTCCGTCTGGATTTGCATAGGTATCGCTTCTCCTCCGGAAGTCATCAGTTATTTTTCAGGGGCCGATGATGTTGTTTTGCCTGGCGCCGCTCAGATGGCACATGACTCTTTCACAGGCCGGCAAACGTAGGGCCCCCTGAAACAATACCAATACAATACCATTCTAAAACTGTCCGTAGTGTACTCTACACAACACAATTCTTGGTTTCTCACCGGTCCATCCCAAGCAAGCCGTTTTGATCCAACCATTCTCTGCAACACCACAACCCATGCATATTCCTCAAGGTCCCCTTCTCCCACTCCCAGGGAGCCGCCCTGGGTAAACTTGGCTTGACACAGTCCGGCGTCCGCACCATCAAGCCCGCGCTTGCCATCATCATATACCCAGCAGTCCATCCCTTGTTTTCCAGTTGGAGCATCGTCATCTGTCCCATGAGTAGCCAAACAATTGAGCCACAGGCGCTGATGCCGTTTCCCGCGTCTGTCATGCGTGAATATGCCCGCGCTATTTTTGTTATTTTTTTCGACCAAAGCCGCACCGCCCAACGACGTGCAATGCAACAACCGACCCCTATTCTTGCTTTTTGCCATCGTATCTTTCTTTTCTCCGGTCCCCGCACCGACAGGTGAGCAGGGATCGGGACAACCACGTCGACGCGAAGGCTACATGAGGCTAAGCAAAGTAGCTCTTCCAAAGCACGCCCTCCAAATCCTCAAGCTGCTCGCTGGTAAAGTACTGCCATGAAGAATCCCACCGGTTAGTCGCCAGATCATTAGAAAACAAAATAGAGCGGAAAGAACTAACCTTTTGATCAACACTCCAACTGTCCTGCCTCGTCTTCTTAAACTCCGCCAAAATGGCCTTAGTCGCCTTGCCCACCACACCGGGGTCACTAGCCGCACGGGTAGCCAGGAGAGCCAGGACCTCGGGCATCCACCTCGGCGGGGGCGTGGCGTAGGGGAACGCCTCGACGAGGGCGCCGAGCCCCAGAACGGCCGCATGGCGGCGGACGATCTGCTTCTGCATGTCGACCGGGGTGTCGGTGCCAGGGACCTTCTTCTTGGGCATGGGATTCATTCGCAGCTGGGCCTCAAAGCGGTCTTTGAGCTGGTAGATGATGGGATTGCGTACTCGGGCCGGGGAGCAGCGGATCATGCCGGCGAGGGTGGCGCTCGCGCAGTCGCGGACTTCGAGCTGCGTGTCCGAGAGCATGTCGCCGACCGCGTCAAACAGCATCTGCCGCTGCGCGGGCTGCGTCAGGAACAGGCGGCGGAAGTAGACAACTTGCATGTTGACGAGGGCGCGCAGGCGCTGGTGCCACGACGAGGCCGTCTTACCGACGCGGATGAGTGCCGCGATGAAGGCGTCGTCCTCGCCGCTCCGGAAGGGGATGTTAGGCAGATGCCGGTAGACGTGGTACGCCAGCTTCATCAGTTCCGGGTCTTCCTTGACGTCCATCATGTGTAGCAGTTGGTCGATGAACGGGTCGGGGAAGAAGGGCACTAGTTGGATGCATTCCTGAGAGGACAGCATGCTGTCAAGCCAGATGAGGACCGTTTTGGAGCCTGACGTGTAGCTGGACGGGGTTTGTTGGCCTGGGGCCCGTTCGTGGCGCCACTTTTCGAGGCGGGAAAAGACGTCATGGATGGTGGCCGAGAACTCCTCAGACGGCGTGTACGGGCGGAGCCCAATTGATGACTCGGCTCTGTTCTGTTCGAGGAGGCTTGAGACGTCCTTGAAGGACTCGTGGTACCGCGTCCGGTAGATGGTCGCGATGATGCGGCCGATAGACTCTCGGACCGATTTGTATGGGTGGTCGATGTGGGCGAGGCAGTCCTCCAGGATGGGCTTCTCATGGCGGAAATGCCAGCCGGCATCATTAACGATGAACTCGACGAGCTGGACCTTGGATGACTCCTTGAAGGCTGCATTCGAGTTCATATCGAGCCGGAAGGACGCCAGCGCCTCGGTCAGTTCTTTGCACCGCCGTGGATCCTTGGAGTCGACCACGACGTGTAAGCACGTCATCCAATACTGCAGGTTATCAGGTGTCAAATCGTCTGCAATGATCTTGAGCATCAGGGGAGCAGCAAAGCTCCAGACCCGGTCGCGAATGTCCCTCGGATCATCCACGCTGCCCGAGAGCAGCGCTCCAACGATCTCGGCCGTGGCGCGGTGTTGGTGCTTGTCGTTGCCGTCGCCATACACGTCCTTGACCAAATCGACAATATCGTCAAAGGTGGCCGCGGTCTTCCCGTAGTGCATCAGGTCAAATACGTTCATGAGAAGCACAAAGTTCTGCATGCGGAAGCGGTCCGCCGAGGCGTCCCTTGGCTCCTGTTTGAGATATTCAAAGCATTGTTTGAACCAATCCTTTGTGATTATTTTTCCAATCTGCTCCCGCACGGCCTCCTCGACTTCGTCATACGCCAGGAAGGGCTTCGGGTTGGCGCTCGAAACCGTGATCTTCTTTCCCCACACCAACCAGCCAGGGTAGTCGCTGTCGACGAAGTAGTCGATGCCATCGTACTTCTCGAATTGCGCTAGATACTTCTCGGTGAGGAGGGGGTCATCCGACGGGACGGGCACGTCAAACTTGTTCTCGGCAATCTCGTCCTCAAGGAGGAACTTCCTGTAGTCATGGCCGTAAACTGCACGTAAATCTATCGCTGTGAAAATGGCGGAAAACGCTGCGAGATAATTGGATCGCAGACCGGGATGGGGGTCATTGACCCCATTGGCGATCAGAGCGATGAACTCCGGGTCCGCAAGCGTCTCGAATCGCAGGCAAAGGTTTACGGCAAAGATGGTACACCTGTTTGCAATCTTCCAATGGGATGCCTTTGCCAGGTTTGTAAGCTCCAAGCCTAGCGCGGCCTTCTTCTCCTCAACCTTGGTGCGCCGGTCCAGGATGAAGTCGTTCCGACGCTTGATGATGGCAGAGCAGTCATCTGCGGGCTCGATCGTCTTGAGGACAGTGCTGTCGAATATGACCATGCGCTCAAAGGGTTTTCCGAATTCAAGGAGAGGGTAGAGCGCAGAGGAGCCGAGACTCTGAATCGATTCCTTGTCCACCCCAGCCGTCTGGATGTAGAGCCGCATGAGGTCCGGGGCGAACCGCCAGTCGCGCATCAACGTCTTGATCAGCGTCGTGAAAAGCAGCGTATACATGGCGCCTTTAACGCGGTCATGATCGTTCTCGTTGAGAGCCTTGCGAAATCTTTCCATAATAACAGGAATCACGAGAGGTCGCCCACCAATGAGGGCTTTGAGGGATGAATCTTGGGCACCCTGCGCGACTCGACGCACGTCTGCGTACAAGGAAGTACAGGATTCAGCGAGATCAAGCAGCAAGCGCTTGTCGAGCTCGCTCTTCTTGCGGTACGCCGAGTTGTATTTGACACGCTGGAGCTGGTAAGCATCGGCGCGCTTGATGAGCAGGGGTCGCGGATAGACTTTCCGGAGCCCGCTGATCTTGAAAGGGGAGATATCGGCCCTATACAACCGAACAAGACGTTCCAGTGGATGGGCGGATCGTTCGATGCCAACGTCCGTAATCCAAGTCCTATATGTTGCATAAAGGGAGGTGAAGCATGCAACATCGTCCTCCTGGTTTGCATTCAAGAAGGCGTGGGTCTTGGAGAGCAGCCTTCCAATGTCCTCGCGCAAATCGTGGATGCGGTCGTATATCGGATCCTTGGGGTTCAAGGGATAGCCGGCCGGGTAGTGGATCTGGCGTTTGAGTTCCTCGTCGTCAGCCACTTCAGCAAGAGGGTCGTCATCTTCCTCCATCATTGTATCGCCCTCAGTGTCGGTTACACCACTGCCGTTGATACTCTCGCCACTCCTCTCCCCGGAAGCTCGAGTCGGGTCAAAGAGAGTGGAAATGCCGGAAATGATCAACCGAAGCGCAGTCAAGCTCCGGGAGAGCTCGTCTGACCACTCTTTGTTCTTCCCTTTCCTGCTGACCGGAGGGTCATCGCTCATGAGCTGCTCTATTCTTTGAGCGGCGTCGTTGGCCTGGCTCTCAAACAGTTCAACCGCGAATAGGATTTCGGCGTGCGAAGGGCGATGCCACTTGATGGTCAGCTCTGACGGAGCGGTTGTGCGGCCCCAGTCATGAATGTCCAAGCCACGGGCTACGACATCAGGCTCGTAGAGGGCGTTATCAATAGGGTACGTGTGTGTCAAGTTGAGGAGCAGGTGGTGAATGTAGTTCGAGATGTGGATTGTGGGGAGACCTCGGCACTTCTCTTGCATGTATTGCGCAATGTCAAAGAGCTCCTTCTTGTACTTCAAAACCTCGTTGCCCACGTGCACAACGCACATGCTGAGCATGCTGACATTCCACACCAGGGCGCGGTCCCGGGGCAGAACCTCTGTGCCGCTGCTCCTGTCGGATGCGGCACCGTAGTCTATCTCGTTGCGGATGTTGACGATGAGCATTGGAATAAAGACTTTGAGAGTCTTCTCCGGGTTGACTTTGCACAGCGCATTGCATATCCATGCCATTGCATCCCGAGCCTGGTGCACAACATGGCTTGTAACGAAGGCTGCCAGCTTTTCCAAGACCATGTCGAAGAGTTCCGGTGAAAGAGATGCGAAGAGCGGCGTGAGGGCGGCAGGCAATGTATTGATTACATTGTCCTCAGGCGAACCTGAGCGCAGGTGGCTCGAATCAGGGAGGTTCTCCAGCAAGGCGAAGACTTTGCCCAACAGGGCCAGCACGAATTCACCCAGGCCGGCGGTCGACGAACGCAAAATATTGGCCTCGTCCTCATCCGTAAGCTCTTCATTGTAATTGATCTTCACGTCCTGTCCTTCGCGTTCCATTCTCTCCACTTCGGCCTGCACCCAGTTCATGGCGAGACTTGTGTCGTGGATCTTGTCATCCTGGTGGGCAAGCGGCACAAACGGAATACTGTAAGCGACACTTTGTATAAAGTTGAGCGTGTATTGTGTCTTGCCCAAGTCATTCGCATCAATGCCAGGGAGCGCGAGCGCCAGTAACGCAGTGATATGGCAGCGATACCCTTTATGCTTTGCCATGATATTGGCAATCATCTGCAGCCCGCAAAGACTCGACGTCGTCCGGTGCACCTCGACAAGCCCTTGCAGGCTAGGGTAGAATCGTTGCAAGGCGCCGGGAAGCATCAAGTCTGGTTCAAGAAAAGCGAGACCTTGAAGGGTTGAGTAGTAGTAGTTAACCACCTTGGAGCTCTTGCCAAAGAGCCCCATGAAGGTCACCTCTTTGAGCGCGAGCACGAACCGTCTCTTCAGTTCGTCGTTGATACGTCTCTCCGGAGGCACGTCTAACTCGCCACTCTGCTCGCGGTTCCAGCGAGAGACAAAAATATCGGTCAAGAAGAAGGTCAGCTGGGCCAGGAAGGTGGTCCAAGATCCTTGGTTCGAGGGGTGAAAGAAAGTGTCAATCGACTCCATCAATCCCTCCAGGCTGGAGAGGATGGAACTCTCTTGCCCGAGGCAAAGTGGAGACAGAGAGTGGACGATCCATCTCGCTATCATATAGGGGACTGGATACTTTTTCTTATCCTTTTCCAGATAGACGCCTAATCCAGCGGTGTAGTCGAGCGAGGTGTATGGTGAGTTGGCCTGTCCGACAGGAATCTCGGTCAATCTCAAGATTGCCGTGAAAATGAGGTCAGATTGCTCGCGGGTGAAGATGCCATGCTCGGTAAATGGGGTATGCGCGCATCCCAGATAGTCGCGAGCCATGCGAGAGAAGATGTCGATGAAGGAAACATCAAATGCTTTCGACCTCGTCATGAGGGACCACAGGTGGAAGAAAGTCGGAACGAAGTCCGAAGGCTGAGACTGGGCCTCGGTAGGAGGCGTAGGGCCAGTAGGTAACAGCACATTGAGCGCGCCAACCACGATGTAGGCATTCGCCGTTGCTGAAGTGCTGAAGTAAGGCAGCAGCTCATCAAGGATGGCCCGCCGCTCCTTGGGGTCGAAATACGAGCTAACGTGCAGGCAGAGCTTCATGAGGTGCTTCTGTGACCGTCGACGCATCCCCTGATGCGCCCCGGCCTCCGAGGGCAGGACCAGCGCCTTCATCTCCTTCCACAGCGGCCGCCAATCTAGGGTCAAGTCTTCTCCAGGCTTCAAGTAGTGCCTCTTTCTATGTTCGCACAATCAGTCAACACGTTGCACCAAGCGCTATTCCCGGGGCAAGGGGACTCGCCTTGTCAGGGTGATGACCATCCTCGAAAACCGGTCGGCCGTATTGCTATCCAGGCCTCGAGCCAGAGAAAGGTCATAGTAGAGACGCGCAAGCCTAGCGCGCAGATCCCTGGTCATCTCAAACTTGAGATTCAACCAGCCCTGGAGCTCGCGTGTCCAGTGCAGGGCTCCTGGCGAAAAATCCTCGGCCATGATGGCAATGTACAGATTCTTCAGTATGCCCCGGAGAGCGGCGTCCCGGTGTGACTCGTCCTCGACATCGAATGGGAGAAGTCGGAAGTAGCTGAAGGTTCGCGGGCGGTACCGCTTCTTGTCGTCCTCATTCTGATGCTCGGCGCACGGGAGACCGGGCGAAGTGGCACGCGAGATGGTATCGACCGAAGGGAACAGGCCGGACAGCAGCGGCGGGGCCACGCCGCCGGCCGAGGCAGCAAAGGCCGCGGCAGCGCCAGAATGCGCCTCGAACGACTCGTCCATAGCTGTACTATGTTGTTTTGCAGCGCACCTCACTCGCTCCGACAGGGCTTGCCGGTATGAAGCGACAGCGACGGCAGAGCCCGGCTGGTTCAGTCGCAGGAGGATGTGGCGTCGTGGACTGAGCTACGGATCCGCCGGGAAGACTGGATGGAGACGGCGACAAGAGTGGAACTAATTCGGGTGTTGCAAGGAGCTCCGTCGATCATTTCGCCTCGCAGAGCTGGAGTCGAAGTCGAGGCGGGCACGGCGGCTGTTCGGTGCTCAACCCACGGCAACAAGTCCCTATCTCCGTCTTGTAAATCGACAGGCGAAACTAGAGAATAGCCTGACGGCCCTATGTTAGTCACAAAATCAGAAGTCTAGAGCATGAGGCAGGATCTAGTTGTTTGCGCCAGTTGCAGCAAAGACAATGGCTGCACGGGATCGCGTTGGCGTTGGTTGTGAGGGGGCCGCATTGCTGCGACACCAACAGGCCAATTCCGAGTTGCAGAGCGCCCACAGCGAGAACAAGGAAACCAAATGAACCTTTGCCGCGGTGTGCGCACCTTCATGAAACCCCAAATCCCAGATCGCAAACTTGGGGTACAGTCTTCACCAAATAATCCCGCCGCAAGAGTTTGTATCGTTAAGATACAGACTTGGGCTGTTGTGCTTGACCCCAAACTTCGCGAGGAGAGGTGATGGAGCTTGGCGATGCGATGTGAGCCAAAAGTGTTGTATCACAGCATTAGCTCAGCTACAGTAATAAGCTTGGGCCACTATGCAGCCGCTGCGGCGCATGCACAGGCCACTCTTGGCCCTTGCACTCCCCTAAGAATCAGGATGTGATTTCCACTGTTCCAGTGAAAGAAGCTTTGTTTCTGTGGGATGACTCGCCGGCTGCAAACTGTGGATAGGTCGCTTCTAAGGAAAAAGGTGATGGTGGAGTTGAGAAGCACTATGAAGTACAAAATGGAAGTGAATTTGTGAATCGCGTCAAATCCAAAGATCCATAGAACGGTCTGTTGGATATGCAATAGGTACCTAAGTTGCGGCCCCAGGACTCGGGTCGCCTTCCGGAAGCCACCCGACACGGCAAGAACAAACGGGCCTTTAGGAAAGAGGGAATCGAGAGTTACCATGTAAGGCTCTTTGAAGTCTCGACAACCGCCTTGAACGACATCGGCAGCTCTTATGCATAAGACCATTGCTGGTCACGCAAGTCGCTTCGGCCTGGAGGCGGCAGGCACCAAATGCCAACGCAAGCTCCAGAGTGGCGCTACCTACGAATTGATGAGTCCAGTCGGGGCCACATCCTGGCTGTGGTGTCTTCGGCGGCTAGGCCTGCCCATCTGACCGGCTGTAAATGTATGTACATCCCTTGTACAATACAATGAGGATGCTAATGATGCTATCCATACTTCGTACAGTACAGTACATCAAAAACATCCACAAAGATACCTCCTCCTCTCCCCATCCCAAAAGCTAGCATATAGGTGTCCACTCCTCCGTCTCGGATAATGTTGGTTTCCACGTCGAAGCTTCAATGATGATAGTTGGAATTGGCTCTGAAGATATCGATGGCATGACGTGCTCCGAAATCGAAACCGAGATGCGAAGTTTGTATGACCACAAGTCATAGAAGAGACACTCCACCCTACCACGGCGGAAAGGGAGCACCGGAGCGCGGGCGGCCCACACATCTCGAGTGAGTATAGCGGGGTTTTCCTGGAAGAAAGCGTCCAGATCATCACTGTCCCACTTGAACATCCAACAGACCCAGCGCAGACCCGTCAAGGTAGAGTTTTCCTCAAGAGTGACCCCGAATCTGATGAATATTTTCCCTTTCCCTCCTTCATCTTCGATCACTCCTGAGACACAGGCAATACCGCTACAGCCCGAGACACCAGAATCGAAGAAAAACAAGCGGTTAAAGGCATCCCAACTGGCACTTGGAGCGACGCAGGTTATGTTGAAGATTTCCGGCAGGCGGAAATGAACTTGAATGCGAGCCGATTCGCAGACTCCCAGGGCAGCGGTTCTGGGCCAGTATGAAGCAGCAATGTAGATGGTCTGGAGCTTGTATTTCTCGTCCGAGAGTTGAGGTTCGCCCAACCTAGGTGTCAAGGACGTGTGGGAAATTCGAACAAAACGCCCTCGTCCGACCTTTGCTAGGAATAAGCCGACTGCCCGGTCTCTGCGATATTGATGACCATTTTGTCTCCATTGATTGAGGCATAGGAAATATCCGGGAAAGCTGGTTTGGCATCGCTGCGGTTGGTAAGGCACCCAGAGTTGGACTGTCATGCGCAAGCCGTTGTTGGTCATGGCGAAGTCTGACACGGACTGCGCCCAGGATATGCGCGAGAGCTCCCGGGAAGAGTCGTGGAATCTAGCAGGGGAATCGGCCAAGATGCCACAATAGGGCTCCGTGATATCTCGGGCGTCCCATGCGAAAAGGCTTAGGTCATTGGTACGCTTGATGATCTCTTCTTGGAGTCGTATGAAGGCTTTGCCACCCTCGCCGTATATCAGGGGCATGTTGACGTCGAAGATCCCAAGGAGGCTGTAGGCTATATCCTCTCGACGCGTCGTGTTCCTATGTGCCGCCCACGACATCCTCTCGGAGACGGAAATATCGTCGAGTCGGGCTGCGCCGAGGAGAATATCCTTCCTTATGCCTGTCACGTGGGACACCATGTCCCGGAGGCTTTGTTTGGTGCCCCTGTCCTCCCAGTTCTGGTCATAGAAGCGTACTTCTTTTGGAGCGATGAGCTCCTGAAGCGTCCACCCTCTTGTGAACCAGCGGCATCTCCCCAGCTCGCCTTCGGTACATGTATCCCCGCCAGAGGGGAGATCTTCAATGTGAGCAAAGCACACCTCGGCATTCTTGTACCACTCAAACATGGAGTTGATGGCCTCGGAAAGTTCGGCGCTGCTGCTCTTGTCAATGCAACAGGTGTCGATCCAGACATAATCGAGGTTCCGACTCGCAGCGAGGCGTCTCGAATGTCTAATCTTGGCGTATTGTGGGCGGCTTTCGACGTCTGGGTGATTCAAGTCGCGAAACGAAACTTCGCTGTCCCCCCATGTATGAGAAAGAATAGCATACGGCGGTGGGCCCTTGGGCTCCTCGAGCTGGCCGGTGTGAACATTGATCAGCCTCATGGCGGGAGGAAAATGTCACGGCTGGGGGTTGTGTTTCTTTGACGGTCAGTATCAACATGAAAGCGCCTGCAAAGAGAATTCCTTCGGGTTTGATTAAGAGAAAGCCGGACATCTGGTCATGCCCGACTACTAGTACCACCATTCCCTCTTCACTGAGGGGTTCATTAGGCCTGATTGCGGATCTCATTGGCCAACAGCTAAGCAGCATGACTGCTGCATGAGCCAACTGTTCTGAACTATGCGGGGACGGGAGGAATTCAATACAGCGCGCTTGCCGCTCTTTCATTGCAACTACAAACGGGTCACGATGTTCTTGCGGTCGTCTACGGTACCTGGATAATATCATGTACATGTATCAGGGACAGTGAGTGGTCTCTTTCATGACTGGGAACATTACAATTCATCTCGACATGTATAGTAACTTGAAGTCGGGCTAGGTCGCTAGGACCCGAAGGGCGACATGGAAGAGGACAGTAATCACTAGTACCAAGATATTGTCAAATATTATGGCCGTAGGGTGCCCATCTGGGCTTTACATGTTTCGAGGTCATGTTGTTCCATTTTGGTTGTCATTAAGTAGTTAGGTACTTTTCGACGTAAGCCCGCCGGGTAGTGTTGAGTAAACAAAGCCCCTTTATGCGTCAACATTTTCGGGCACGGGGACTCGGCGATGGCAACTCTGCCTCTGTAGCCACAGCGCCGCCTTCAAGTTCGCTTCGTGCCATCATCGGGCAAGCCGGGTCTGAGTCCGAGTTACGCGCCAGTGGGCCTAGTGCACTAGTACACTTGGGCCCTATTCCAACAAGACCACGCCGTGGTTCTAGGCTACGCTTACTAGTACCTGGAGCTAGGCTACCTAGTTGCCATGCGTTCGGACCAGGGTAAGTCCAAACTCGAAACCATGGCTGTGGTGGTTTTCGGACTGGTGCTTCGTGGTCCAAGTCACGATATGTGCCCGGGCCCTGCCCATGCCATGCCTCACTTCTCTTGAGGATCTGGGCCCGACCTCCAAAACGGACGTATCGATCGGGGCATTGACACCCTAAGTAAGTCTCCAACATCGGCTTTCACAAATTCTTATAAAGGCGGTCCTTATCCTCCTCGGTCTCCCTCTTCCTCGCAACATTCATTGAAAACCTACATCTTCCCGAGAAGTCTCGGCAGCATTTATTGACGGCTGAGGTCTAAGGCACCTAGTGCAGGAAACAAGCTGTTCTTTTCTACATTGGCCAGTGATGATCAAACCTTCGGGATGCTGAGGCCCATCAACTTATCAAGAGGGCGAGAAGGGTTGGAGGGGAGGTGTATCTGTCCTTTTCAGCTTTTGGCCAATGATGACACCAGCCTTACGGGGATACTGAGGCCATCAAAATGATCAAAAGTTACCACGGGGGTTTTCCCTGCTCTTTGGCACTCTGGCCAGTGACGACACCAGGCTTTTGAGCTTAACTGTACCATCCTGGGAACTGAAAGGGAAGACTTCATGACCTTCATTCTGAGATTAGGTTCTTCCACCATCCCTCATTATCACAGGGGTAAAAACAGAAATTCACAAACAGGAACCACCGCCAGGACCACTATAATCCACAACCCCTTCGCTTCCCCCCAGAGTCTAAGCCCAGCAGCACTCTCCGCCCCAGCGGGCGCCTGAACCTCCTCCGCAAACCTCCCAATCACATTCCCCCGGGGCCAGTACTCACAAGCCAGCAACCACCCTCTCATCGGACTGCCCCCTTTGTCCCCTTGAGATTCATTACCATCACCATCACCACCCATACAGTCCCTCGCGGCACACCCCACATCCGTGGTCGCCTTCCACACGACCTGGGTGAAATGTCCCGTCTCAGTGCTCCACCCGTCCCACGCACCCCTGCTCAGGGCCGAGAAGTCGTAGTCCTCGCGCTCGTCCCCCCAAAGCCTCACGCATCCAGCCACGTCGGAGCAGCCTAGCGCAAGGTTCTCGCCGTACGGACCGCCCGAGTGGCGCAGGGTGCCGCTGCTACACCAGTGCCAGGAAGGGCTGCCGTTGGTTTTTGCATCGTCACGCTGAGCGAGGTTGGCGCCGGCGAGGAAGCGTGAGGCGAAAGAGGCGAGGGTGGTGTTGTACGCCAGTGGAGTGGCGTTGTGTGCCGCGCGGTAGGTGTTGTGGGTTGTTAGGATGGCCGAGGTGAATTCTGGTGAGGAAGGGGGAGGGAAGGATGAGGCTGAAGGGGTGAATGTGATTGTTGTTGGCGTCGTTATTTGTGAGGCAACGGTGATAGGGGTGGTAACATAAAGGGAGGGCAGGACTAGGAAAAGGAATGGGTGAAAGAGGTGCATGGCTTGTCAAAATTCAGCATGCAGAGTCTACACCAAGGTAGCAGTACACAAGGTTTCTAATACATTATGCAGTGATCGTCTGATCGATCGCATGTCAAAGGGGGGCGGGGGATTGGAAACATGAAGTGGCCAAAGCCCATACTCCATGGTTTTCAAGATGCAGTTGATATAGCTAAGGGCGTCTAGTTCAGTGGAAGCCAGACCCTAAGCGCCTCAGGGGTAGAGCGGAAACCTGTTTTCATGTTTGCTGGTCGATTGGTTGGCGCCCGTTCCACGATATCGTTGAAGCGCGGGACTCAAGCGCCGGAAAGTGACGTAACTTGGTAAACTTGGTTGTACAACTGGTCAGCTACTAAGGTTGTACATTGCCCTGTCCAAGCATTCGTTTTGGCAAGGGCTGAAAAGATGTGGTGAATCTTGCCGAGTTGCGAATGTTAAACAACCTAGGTAAGTTGAGAATCTGAGATTCTTCCAAGTTGTTTTCTCCAAGTCGTAGGCACGTATATAGATATGTACTTATGTACCTAGGTACCTTAGCAGGCTTAGCTTACCTCGTACAATGGATTGATAACTTGAACCCCCTCGATCATGTATAAGCGAAGGTCTAACATAACGCATCTCCAGCTGTATACAATTAAGTACTACTAAGTACTGCAACTGAACTTATCAACATTGAGTTAATGGAATAGCAAACGTGAAGTATCAAGACCCAACCCAGATAAAAGCAACCATCACCTAGAGGATGCCGGGGCAGGTTCGTACCTTGCTCTCCCAATTCTGGCTCGTCGGCGCATGTACAATACACGTAAGCGGTTAGAGGGCTGGTGGCATCCCCACATTCCGGACTTCGGATTGCCCGGACATGATTTATCCAGGCCCGATGGCATCTTATTAGGGCCGGTGAAATCATAGTACATGCCCGTCTTACGCGGGGTCAACGCGGGGCGGCACATCCTATCAGGACAACACCTGCAACCACATCTTATGAGCTTAACACCTTCCTCTAACGGTCTGGCCGCGTCCATGGCATAGCTTTGGATTGGATACCTGTACGATGGCGACAACATGGTCCTGGTCTGTCTAATCTTTCCAAAGGCGTCGAAGGAGCTCCAGGTTGCAGCGGCAAGCTGCTGCTATCTGGTTACTAACATGCAAGCCACATAATCATAAGTATCCATGTTGCCGGTGTGTTTAGACAAAGTTGGTCATGAATGATACCCCTGGTGGGCTCCCCATATAAAAGGGATGAGACAGTTCCCCCCCGGTCTCCCCAGACCACTGTCTCGCACCGCAGAGAGGGTCTTGAAATTACTAGTAGGCAATGTCAACATGAAAACCCAACTCCGGCTATCATCGTTGCTGCCGCTGGCGGGTCTCGTCTCCGCTTGTTTACGAGAATTCAACCTCAGTCCCCGGCATACACACCGCAAGCCGGTCGCCCGTCGGAACGAGGAGTGGCCGCCCATTCTGACCGAGCAGGAGTCGATCCTCGTCAATGCATTTGACAGCAACAGCATTGATGACTGGTCTGCCTACTACGGCCACCAGGTCAAGCTGGCAGGCCTCGGCCGGGAAGCTGCCGAGTGGACAAGGGATCGCTTTAGCACGAACGGGTTCAACGCGGCCCTCAACGAATACCACGTCTATCTAAGCTACCCGGTCCACCAGGCGTTGGCAATCACCTACGGCAACGGCACGACGGCCCCTGTCGAAATCCAAGAAGATCCTCTCCCCGAAGACGACGTAACAGGCAGGCCAGACCGTGTTCCTACCTTCCACGGCTACTCGGCCTCGGGCAACGTGACTGCTGAATATGTCTACGTGGGGTAAGTTGGACCCTGATATCGATGAAGAGACTTCGAGTCAGACTGGGGCTAAGAAAAAATAATCGCAGCCGTGGTACGGGCGCGGATTTCGAAAGACTCGTGGAATTGGGCGTCGAGCTCGAGGGCAAGATTGCGCTTATCCGATATGGCAGCATTTTCCGCGGCCTAAAAGTCAAGAATGCCCAGAATCATGGCATGATCGGAGCCGTCATATTCACCGACCCGGCCGATGACGGCAACATGACGGTGGCCAAGGGCGTTGAGCCTTATCCGCGTATGCTGCGTTTCCCGGGCAACCCTATCCCCTAGGATGAAAAATCCCAGCTAACCATGTCCCTTTTCCACAGACGGCCCAGCTCGACACCCAGGTTCAGTGCAAAAGGGCTCCGTTCTGTTCCTGTCGACATATCCCGGCGATCCGACTACACCGGGCTATCCTTCCGTGGAGGGTGCGCCGCGTGCGGATACTTCGTTCGTGGTACCCGGCATTCCATCGTTGCCCATCTCTTACCGAGCAGCTCAGCCGCTGCTGCGCGCTCTGGATGGCCACGGACTTACGGCCGAAGAGGTCAACCGCACCGCCTGGAAGGGCGCGCTCGAGGCCGAATACCGCACCGGACCCGCGCCCGGCGTGAGACTGTCGCTCGACAATCTGATGAGGGAGGAGATCACCCCTATCTGGAATGTCATTGCTTACATCAACGGGACGAACGCAGATGAGACCCTTGTCATTGGGAACCATAGAGACACCTGGATGATTGGTGAGCGAACTTTTTACTCCTAGCAGCTTGGAGGGGAATCTGAATCTCACACTCATACCCTCGCAGGTGGTAACGGCGATCCCAACTCTGGTTCTGCCATCCTCATGGAGCTCAGCAGGGCATTCAAAAAGCTCCTGGATGCAGGCTGGAAGCCGAAAAGAAACATGTGCGTCTTTCGCTTGTTGCCAGACATTCCCAGGGCTGACATTTCCTAACCGCACCAGAGTCCTTGCTTCTTGGGACGCGGAGGAGTATGGGATGATAGGCTCCACTGAATGGGTTGAAGAGCATGTCAACTGGCTGAAAGAGACCGCCATCGCCTATCTCAACATCGATGTTGGCGTGTCCGGGCCCCGGCCTGGGCTCGGAGCGACCCCGGAGCTCCACACCATCGGCACCGAGCTCATGAAGAAGATCATTCACCCCAACTTCGGGGGTTTTAACAGGAGCCTCTTTGACGCCTGGCAGGATGTTACAAGTGGCCACGTTGAGGTTCTTGGTAGCGGGAGCGACTTCACGTCCTTCTTGCACGTCGGTATCAGCTCGGTGAGCTTCTCTTCGAGTCTTCGTCCTTGCCGTGACCCGTGGCTTCCCTCTGAATTCCAGCTGACGCGGGCTCAACACCGTTCAGGTTGACATCAGTTCCGGAAACGGCCCGACAGATCCCGTCTGGCACTACCACAGCAACTACGACTCGTACCATTGGATGTCCACCTTTGGCGATCCCGGCTTCCATCTCCACGCCGCCATGGGCCAGTATCTCTCCCTGCTAGCCTTCCATCTGCTCGATGACGACGTCCTGCCCTTTGACCTGCCCAACTATGCGGTCGAGCTGCGTGCCTACTACGAGGACCTTGCCGACGAAATCGAGGAGTCCGGCACAGCACTCGACATCTCTCCGCTTGTCGCGGCGATTGACGCCTTTGAGGAGCGGGCGAAAGAGATCAACGACCTTGCGCGGCAGGCGGCCGCACTTGGCGACAAAGGTCTGATCAAGCTGGTGAATACCAAGTATCGCGATTTTCAGCGCGGTTTCGTCTCCCAGGGAGGTCTGCCGACGAGGGAGTTTTACAAGCACGTGGTCATGGCGCCGGGTCTTGATACGGGTGAGTTTGAACCCTTCCAACGGATGCCTTTGAACCTCGGCAGGCATCAACGGGACACCCAGCGCTAACTCAAGGACCCAGGATACGCCGCCGTCACATTTCCGGGTGTGTCGGAAGGAGTGCAGTACGGAAATTTCTCGATTGCGGCAGAGTGGGTGACTAGGACGGCGAACGGGATACTGAGAGCGGCAGAAATCCTTAAGCCTTGATGCGATGAGTCTAGTACTCGGTAATGAAGCATCAATGCTTTCAAACAGTGCTGGGACTGATGGTCTCCGGCATAATTTGAATGCGGTCGGGGTCTACGGTCTGGGTAACCACTCGTCAGAGCCGGACACCCTGCCTGGAATGCCCCGAGTCTGGGGCCGACAAACATTTGCTTGTGGACTATAATACCTAATCAATGAAGAGGAAATATTAGCACAAGTCAAGATCCTAACAGCAATATCAGGGAGACTCTAAGTAGATCGAAGGACGTACCGCCAAGTTACTAGCCCTCATGGTCCACATTTGGCCTCTCACAGGCGTGCTCCGTTCTCTTGCTAAGCAACACTTCACTTCTGCTTATCTGTCGCCTCATCCGCCTTACACACAGCCTCCAACCTCCATCCGTCCGGATCAACCACAAATGCAGCGAAGTAGGTCTCGCCATAGTGCTTTCTCAACCCAGGCAGTCCATTGTCCGTCCCGCCCGACTGGACAGCCATGGCGTGGAACTCGACAACCGCCAGCCGTGTCGGGGCGTTCAACGCCAAATGGAACCCTGGCCCGGGCGGCGCTGCGTCGTCGCCAACCTCAAAGATGTTAATAAGTTCATAGTTTTCATCGGGACCATATCCAAGAGTGCGGACTTTCTTTTTGCCCGGAGCGCTGACTTCGCTGTCGTACACCAGTTTCAGGCCGAGAGGTGCAAGAACAGCGGAGTAGAAGGCTTTTGAGACGTCATAATTGCGGACGCCGATGGAGATGTGGCCGAGCGGGTTTAGAGGAGCCATCGAGAAGAGTTGCGACTGATGTATGATGCAGTGAAGAAGTGAGGTTGAGTGAGGGGGAGAGAAGCTGTCATCCTCATAGCGCTAGCTGTCCAATGCCCCACAGTATTTGGTCTGCTGGTTGGCCAATCGTGAGACCACCATAGGTAGACTGCTTCTGGCAAGCAGTACAAAGGACGAAGGTATGAAGCTATGTTTTTGAAACCGGCTGCCCACCATTTCCAGCGAAGGGTCTGCTACGGCTGTCTCGATCAAATCGAGGTGATATGATCGACAAAAGCAAAGAGGACGTGTGTCTGGACTCGACATCCTGCGCCAGGAACTGGGGCTCGCCGGAAACCCGGCTTCAACCACTCAGTAGCCACGGAAAGGTCGAACTCTGGCGTACTTCGGTCCTGGATTATTGAGTAGGCTTCGCGGCAGGGAATTGTCGATTCACCCGCCTCCGCCGGGGGCAGCAGGGGACAGTCATCGGCTGGATCGTCAAAGCTAGATTTGGGTGGGCTATCTGGGGAGGTGAGAACTGGCTTGGGCCTGGGATTGCGAACATCCAGCTGCCTGGAAGTGCAGCGGGTAGTGGCAGTGGCAGTGGCAGTGGCAGCAGATTCTTGATCTGCCGTTCCCGTGCATGAAGAGCAAGTGCCGGGTTCACAGTGGAGCCTGGTGGCTTGCTGGGAGGGGAGTTCGTTGAGCTTGCTTTGAGCAACGGTTTGCTGTGCTGGCTGAGCATTTCCAGCTGAAGGTGAGGCGGCGGTGCTGGCGGGTTGAGGAGAGAAGGGCGATGCGGCAGCAAGCGGCGGATTCGGCAGAAAAGCAATAGGCTCAGAGGGTGGCCGAGGGCTGGATTCGAGGGCACACTGCAGTCGCCGAACCTCGGCTGTTAGAGTATCGATGCGACTTAGTGCATCGATGAGTCTGCTTTGTGTGCTGGATAGCGCGGCTTCGAGCTCAGCGATGCGGCCTTTGACTCTTGCCCTATGGCGCCGCTGGTTTTCGCGTTGTCGGGCAGCGTCGTAACCAGGCGGTCTGCTCGAGAATTTGTGGATCCGGGTCTGGAAACGGACTTCTGAACTCATGGTTTGGCATCAGTTGTGATGAAAGATGAGTCCAAGAAGATGAAGTAAGTTTGGTGTAAATGGCATCGAAAGGAAACCGGAAACGAGAGGCAAGAAACAGCACAAACGGGGGAAGGGTTTGGTGACAAACCAAATGACTGCCCATTTGGGTTAGCGTGAGCGCATCCAGGATGCTGGCGTGGAACCACTTACACCATTTTGGGAAAGTACTCGATGACATACCGGTCAGGGACGACATCAAGACATCTTTATTACTCGAGACAGAAATCGGTAGAAATGGGATATGGTATGTTGTTCGAAGATAAATATAAGGGGATCTTCCCAGGATCAGCTCTGAAACCCAAACATTTTAACAGGTGAAACCAAGCCAGCCCGACATCAGCACTCAACAAGTCACAACTGCAGTTACTTACGAGTCTTGGACTTGCCCTGAGCTCTCGCTGCCTGCAGCCTCCAACCAAATATACAACACTAAGCTTGCGAATAGCAACTTACTGCCAACAACAACATGGCAAACACGGACTCGGCCAAAATCTACGATCAGGTGCGTGAGCACTACAGCTCGGCATCACGCAGCACCAGCATCAAATACGGCGAGACCGTGGCCAAGTCGTTTGGGTACAGCGCCGAGGAGCTGGCCAGCATCCCTCAGGACTCCAACCTGGGTCTGAGCTGTGGCAACCCGCTGGCCATTGCCAGTCTGAAAGAGGTAAGGAGGCGCGCCCCACATCAGAATTGGGACTTTGTATCTTGACCATAACTGACACACACAATCCAGGGTGAAACCGTCGTCGATCTCGGCAGCGGTGCCGGCTTCGACGTCTTCCTCGCCGCCACAAAGCTGGGCCCCTCGGGGCGCGCAATCGGCATCGACATCAACGATGTAGGCAACTTGACCCCCTTCCCATCATCCGTAGCCTAGGCTACTCATTCCCTTTCCCATCTCCCGTCCACTAGACGCTACTAACCAGCCATCACACGCCAGGACATGCTCGCCCGCGCGAACCGAATCAAATCCACCACCGCCAACAACGACAACATAACCTTCATCAAGGGCAACATCACCTCGGTGCCCCTTCCCGCCGAGACAGCCGACTGCATCATATCCAACTGTGTCATCAACCTGGTGCCGCGGGCTGACAAGCCGGCCGTGTTCCGCGAGATGCACCGCCTGCTCAAGAAGGGCGGGCGTGTCGCCGTGTCGGACATCCTGGCCAAGAAGGCACTCCCCGAAAAGCTCAGCGCTGATGTCGCCATGTATGTCGGCTGTATTGCGGGCGCGAGCCAGGTGGAGGAGTACGAGGCGTGGTTGCGCGAGGCGGGGTTTCAGGGTGAGGTTTTCTACCTTTTTCTGATGTTTCTTCTCCTCAGCACTTTCAAGTTGTTTTCACTGGTCTGGCATTGTTGAACGGAAAGACTGACAATGTCTGAAAACTAGACGTGGTTATTGTCGATACGGGGGCAGATCTGAATGTCTATCTGGAGACAGGGGCAGATGGAAAGAAGAAAGGGGCTTGTTGCGCCCCGGCTGCTTCGCCTGCCCCTGATTCTGGTGAGGGCGGCAGATGCTGTGATCCGGTTCCTGGCAGCGGATGCTGTAGCTCAGAGCCTGCTGCCCCTGACGCGGCCGCTTCTGCTGCCTGCTGCGCACCGGCTGAGGCTACTACCCCCGCCGATGGCTTTGCCATTCCCGCTGGCGTTGTCCCTGAGAAGACAGATCTCAATGAATTTGTTGGTGAGTGTCACGGTTCAGACTCAGAGAAGCTGCAGCACCTCCGCTAATATGAATTCATGAAGGCTCGTACAAGATCTTTGCAGTCAAGAGTTGAATCCGAGTTAGGACAGAGAATACTAGCTAAGTATGGAGATATCATAGGTGGATAAGTGGAAATCTGGGGTAGCAGCCGAGGGCCTTAGTCTCAGATTTGGGTCGAAGTTCAAGTTCATTCGTGGGAAGTTGGGAATCTTTGGTCTGGATTTCTGCCAAGAGATATCACAGGCTACTACACTCGCTTGAAGTGTTGGAGCACGGAAGTATTCTTCAAAGCAGAGTAATCAGATTGTTGATTTCAAGGCATGTCTCCTGTCTATGTACCCAGCCTCCTAGAAACCGGACCGTCACGGTCAAGACGCGGTTAAAATCTGGTACCGAACGTCCTCCCCGAGCCACCAGACCTTATGGTTCTCAGCCCAAGCCCCCACCTCTACTCTGGCTCGTTACGCTTCGCTTCAAGTTCCGCTTCAAGCTCCCTGAATCGTCGACATGTAGTGCAGAGGCCTGTGCCGTGAAGATATGGAACAAACCGGATTCTCCTGCCGAATTGGGCGTAAAGATCGCAGTTCGGGCATTCCGCAAACCGGTACTGGCCCTGTTGAACCTCGATGCAGGGGACCGGCTTGGGACCTCCTTTCTGAGTTGCTTTGCCGCAATCCGTACATGTGATCCAGAGCTGCTCGTACCAGCACATCGTGGCTTGTCGTGCTGTGACTTGGGAATGTGGATCGGAATCTTTGAGCTCGAATTGGTGAGTAGTGATGGCAGTGGCTGTCAGTCTGGCACCAAAGGTAGCCTTGGGGAGGGTCTATGATATGCCACCGATGGTAATGAGTTCGCTGGGTCCGTTCGCAGGTGTGACTCGAGGTCGAGGATAGGCTGACTGGATTTGCAATGGCTGTGATGACCGAGGTACTGGGCAATGGGTCGTAGGCGCAGTACTGGGAGAAATAAGGTAACTGCCAGTGTTAGGCACCTAGTATTTGTGTTCTAGGACCCCGGGGTATTCGGTATTCAGGTTCGAACAATAGTCATCTGCATGCTTTGTGACCCGCCTCCAGTTTGAGGACACTTTGGCATTTGTTATTGAAGCTGGTTCATGACAATTGACTGAATGAAAAGACAGAATCCGGTTACATCCGGGCGATTCCTTGCTCAAAGTAAGTAACTTGAAGCGGGTACCTAGGTAAGTGGTAGATAGTAGGGTCTCGGCGAGGGTCTCGGCGATCTACCTTAGTATTGTCTTCGTGTTCATAATGGTCACACGGTTGCTGTTGCGAATTCACAGAACAACGAAACGAATTAACAGCAAGCCCTGAGTCGTCGCACAGGGGATCCCGTCACTCAACTAGCCAAGTGCGGCACTGCAAATGATGTCAATCTATAGTCGTGTATCTACTTGATGTCTCTCCGCGCCTAGCACTTGGAGCTCAGAGACATCTGATATCTTTTGAGACCAGAACAGTCAACAGTGAGACTGGAGCACGCTGAATCACGAGCTTACATGTACGCTACTAACTCGAAATTCTATACGATGAATTAGGTACTAAGGTATAGCCATAAGATACGGTATACCTAGTGAAAGTGAAGCCCTGAATTGAAATGCAGCGACAGCCAGCTACTCCGAAGAACTGCCAAGGGTATGAGTCAACATCATTGTTGTGTACCTAGGTAGGTACCTAAAGTTCGGTAGGTGGTTGTGCTTGCGGGACTGCGTGTAAGTGACCCCCACATTCAGGGGTAAGGGGTCGGGTACGGACTCCGGCACCCTTCCCCTGATCCCCTCCACACTCGGGACTTCCCACCTCACGACCACTAAGGTAGTCCTGTTCTGTACCTGATAGTACTTCCTCGCCATCATTCATATTCCATTCCCCATTGCTACCAGACGCCCTCCTCCCTTAGTTACCATCCATTATTCCAGTCGTCGCAGGCATCGCACAGGTCCCGATCACATCTTTTATATACAGTCGGGACAATGTACTCGACTCTATCGTCGCTCCACCCAACTGTGCAGGTCGGGCATTGGCCAAACCTATACCTCCGTTCCCTAACATCGCGGCAGGGGGCTTCGTACGGCGAGCCCCCGCTCCTTTATCCTGCGGCACTGCCTGCACCTAAAAACTACCTGGACATATTTGCACATTGTGGTAGAGGCAGGCCCGGCGAGGGTAACAATCCGTAGAGGCAAGGATGGGGTACCTATCGTCGGTATTGTACTACCCGGTCTTATACTACGTTCTATTCAGTATCATTCGTGTCCCGGTCAACTCGATGCTGCTTAGCGAAAACGTTCGGGAATGCACGTGGACGTGCCTCTCGAGTGCTCACAATTGGTAAACGAGAGGACGTGAATTTTGGGGGCCGCTCCGGTTTGTGGTGACTCCCGCAACTGAACTCTTTGTATTTGTTTACTCGTCATGTAGTCGAGTGATAAGAAACCTGGTGGGCTCTTGAGAAATCCTTGAACGTTGTTTATACCTGCTGCGCTTAATGCACGGTATACGTGTCTGTAAGGGAACTTGCCCGTCAGGTCTTTCTAAGCCATCATCGATCTAAAGTTTTCAAGGGCCCGGGGGCTGTCTTAGTAGGTGCAAACAGCAGCTGCGGCATAGATGACTTATAAAGAAGGCTGGTCAAGGCTAATTGTTGGGATCCGTTCCACCAGGTTGCGAAGTCCTCGAGGCAACGTGTGCAGTTGCTTGTAGGTTGCGTTTCTGGAAGGATACCTAAGCAAGTAAAAGTGAATTCCGGTCACCTACGACTATAACAGTCCGTACCAGAAGGTCGCCTACAACAGAATTCGGCACATCATTTAAATCAACAGGTGCCCCTGACTTGTAACGAGTACCTAGCTGGCCTGTTCACTATCGTTTGTGTCTCCGGCCATACAGCGTTCCAAGTGAAAGAACTCATACATTTCTCCTTGGATTCAAAGTCTATGGAACTGGTCAATTTACAGCTACATCGCTGGGCTGTTATGACCGGGATATGGGACAGAAGTGTGCATTTATAGGTGGTTTCAAGCAAGCCCTCATCTGATTCATAGAGGTGCCAGATGGCAATCACGGGGCTAGCTGTCAAGTTGTAACAACAGGTATCCTTTGGCGTTGGTCTCGAGGAACAGATTCTCATTGTAAAGGCCTTAATATAGTAACCCCGTGCACATCACGCGCATCGACCAGTATGGTTATTAAGTGTCTACTCGCTGCGCATGACATACCATCATATAGACAGTACATGTAGCCTCATGGCCACACTACGCACAAAGGAACTGCAACTTTGCAACATGCCCAGAGTCATAGATCAAGATGCGTGTCAAAGATCCGTCAAGAGTAGTTGAGTGTATTGTATATTTGTATTCTTCTATAACATTTACATGTAACCCACCGCCAGTCTAATCGTTCGCTTCATGTTCGTGTTAACTCAGATAACTTAGGTACCGTATGTACATGTAGAGTTGAATGCTTCTCGTAAACATCGGCCCTTCTATTTCAATCATATGCCGAATATCGCCGTCCCAGGCTCTGCGCAGCCTCGCAGCCTCTCCTCAGGCTGAAACCTTCCAGATCACCCCTTCGAAATATTCAAGCCCTGAACGCCTGACCTCTCTTCTTGAGGCGGTATTCAATAGCTCGCTTCCTCGCAGCCGGGCTCTGCGTGAAGGCGGCACTGCCGCCAAACGGACCAGCCGCTGCCGAGTTTCGGACCCGCACAATGCACACATTGTTGACGCCGGCAACGGTCCCATCGCAGGTCATACCTGCAGGCATCTGCACCGTCAGGGGGAACTCACGGGTGGTTGCCAGGCTCAGGCCCCCGAACCCGATGCCCGGGACGTCCTGCGTCACCTCGGCCGTCTGGAACGCGGCCGGGTCCGTGCCGCCCGACGTGCCGTCGATGGCGGCCTCGAGGGGGCCCGCACCGTCTTGGTTGATCTAGGTTAAGGGGTAGACTTTAGTACTTTGCCCATGTTGTTTCCAAAGAAAAAACGGATGGATAATGGACATCATGTTTCTCTCGTGACTTACCTGGAGGAACACCATCTCGATACTCCCATCATCCGCACAGGTCGGCAAACCCTCGGTCGCGCCGACGCCCGCAGTGGCGGAGACCATGGACTCGGTCGCGACGGTGGTCTTGGTGCCACCACCACCGAACAGGCCCCTGAAGAGCTGCCGTGCAACCTTGCTCATCCTCCCGCCTTGGTCCTGCCGCCTGTTGTTGTTCCGGTTGTTTCGGGAATTGCCCAAGCCGCTGATATCGTCCTCGACGCCGACCGAGGCATTGGCCGCGTTGACGGTCGGGGCGGTGCCCGTGCCCATGAAGTTGGAGATCATGGTGGCCGCGTCGATGGGCCCGTTGCCCTGGGTGCGCCCTAGCGGGCCCACCTCTCCGCTCCGAATTTCACGGTCGCGGATGATGGCTGTGTCGGCTTGCGAGCCGCACCGGTTGCTTGAGCAGTCCCGCGGAGTGCCGTCAGCGACTGGTTTTACGAGGTTAGTATCATCATCACCCGCGGTAAAAGGGGAACTGGAGAGGAGCAGTGGATTTACTGGAGAGGCCCGGCATCATGACGCCGTTGGCACCCTTGATCATAGTCACTACGCCATGGGCCACGGTCGAGGGGGTGAGAAGGGCGAGAACTAGAAGGTCGGAGGTATGCATCTTGAAGGACGGGTTCTGATAGTTGGACAGTGGTGATGATTCGAAATCCTTAAAAGCTATAAGACAAAGGCCTCCAGGGCTGCCGGCGAGAACTGAATGATGTGAAAGAAGGCGAGAGTAGCTGAACCTGCTGAGGAAGGCGAGCCTGCTGAATACCACAACATGATGTTGCAGCCTCACATCGACGGCTCTTTATAACCTCTGAATCTTCTCTTGGTCCATGGCCTCCAGCGGGCGATCGCCATCATCGATCGCAAGCCCAACCTGAATTGGGCAAGTTGGGCAACTGGTGCCGGGTTAGTTCACGAACAGAAAATGGAGGCGCAGCATCATGACACAAGTCAGAGAACAAAACGAAACAAGCTACGAGGCGCCAAATCTGCCAAGACCAGAAACAGGGGTCGAATCGCATCTTTGCATGAATCTTGTCGTCGATCGACGATGTCTCTGAGATCCGGGAAATGTTTCTGCACGGGTGAGCACCGAAACGATCTCCGGTCCCGCCAATACGACCTCAAGACTGCGCCCCAAACGGGCAGACCCCGAACCGGGGACTCAAATGCCGAGGCGCGAGCTCTCCGCATTTTCAGGACTCGAGCAGTGACTTCATGATCAGGCCGTCCATTGGAGGAGGTTCATCATGAAAGTGACCTCTGTGACGAGATACATAGGACGACGAGAAAATCGTTCGGAGTCGCGACCCTCAAGCTCTTCCAGGCCGTTGCTCCTGTCCGCGCTGTGAGTATCAGGATATGCTGCGCTCTGATATGTAAGTCTGAACTTTGAGGACAATGGCCCTTCCTTCCTTGGGATTTGAGGTTACATCGGTTTACCCCCTTGGCCTAGTTTCATCTTGGCAACTAGCTTTCTCCTCGAGTGGAGTTTCGGAGTTAGACAGTTTGAGGGCAGATAGCCGAGGCAGTTCAAAAACCTGAGGCTGGACAGCTTTGGAATTCGTGAGGCATGAATTCTCAACCTCTATGCTGTAGGAATTGCTTTTGGTGATAGGATCATCACTGTCAGGATCCGTGTCTCGTATTCACTACACCTGATTAGGTTCCAAGACCAAGGAGTGTCTGACGTGTCTGCACCCTGAGCTTTGTATTGACTAGTCCTCGTCGCGATCCAAGAGATCGAAAGGGTTGCTGGAGCGTGATTTGCTTTGGCTCTCTCCCATGGATGAGGCTGCTTTCCTTTTCTTGGTCTTTTTGGTTTCTTCTGGGCGCAGAACAGATTTTATAAGTGAGACAATGTCCTCGAAATCCGCACAAAGGCTCATCAGGCAAGAGAGGCCCCCTTCTTCTCGGACCTTCCTAAGTGTGTCTGCAAAGCGCCTGGGATAAGGAAATTCTGGCAGTGGCGGGACGCTGGACAAAAAACTTGCCAGCTCAGACGTAGGTGGTGGTAAAGGCCCAGCGTTGTACGCCACAAATTCCAGTATTTGTCGGAGCATCCTTAGCGAGTATAAAGTAGCCTGCGTTTGCGCGAGAAAATGTAAGAATTCCCAGGAGCATGTGTCCAGTCTTCCTCTGGCCTCTTTCTCAAGGAGTTCGAGACTAAGCGGACACGCTCTGGCGCGGTCCATAGTCATTACGATATCCTGGTAGATGGATAAGACCGTCCAGGCCACCTCAGGTTTGGAAATAGCAGCGTCTATTTCGGACAAAAGTGCTAGCAATGAAGAGGCGGTTTTATCGATTTCGAGAGGGCTTGGAACGTCCACACGCACTCCGGTGGTAATCGATTGCAGTCTTCTCATCTCCGATACCGAGGGTATCTCGCCGCCGTGAGCAGACTGCAAGATCGAGTATGCTAGTTGCCTCAAAGGCTTGCTTGCTTCCCACGAGCTTACCCGAGACGGGCAGTCGAGCAGAAATGGCAGGTACATCTCGAGCTGAGTGTCAATGCAAATTGACTTTGTCGACTCATCATTTGAGGGCCACATGTCCGAGGATAGGACGGACCGGAGGGCAATCTCGGACACCCGTGGGTCGAGAATCAGGGCTTGATCTGTCTCGAAGCCTGTCGCAACTTCCGGTGAAATATACTGCTTGATGAACTCGGAGTATTCCTCACGGGGGGTAGCGTCTGCTTCAACTCTCTTGGACCTCTCAACGGCCTGTTTCAGGGTAAGGTGAGGGTCATTGCTTATCTCGAAGGCGAGGTAGAGAAGGCCCGTTTCAGGCTTGATGGACAGCCGCCTGCAGATGTCTACAGGTCGGTATTGGAGACTGATAAGCCTTTGCCTCTCGGAATCCAAATCAATATCTGAGAAGAACACAATACCTCCGTCCGGGCCAAGGTCGCAAATGAGCAGGTCAGAGTCGGATGTCAGCACCAAACCGGCCTTCGACCGGACATGTCGGGCACAAAACACGTCTGCCTCGCCAGGGACAAGTTTGACGAGATGTTGATAAACTGGTGAGCACCGCAGTGCATCGATGATTGCTGGCACAAGGAATGGTGGCGGCGGCGGCTTTGGCTTCTTCGAACCGTCGCCGGGCCAGGAATCGGGAAACAACTCGACCTGAGCATCACTAGCACGGCGATGGTCAATCCCGGGTACCCCTGATAGTCTTGATGAGTGGTACTTGATTAGATCCCGGGAGCACTTGAGGAGGCGTTGGAGTCGCTCAGGCCGCTTCGAGCTTGGCAAATAGCTATCGAAATATATGGCGGCGCTTGGTGACATTGTTAGACGTTAGTTGTTGGCCCTATCAGATCCGAAGAGATGGATATCATGGATGTACACTGAAAGCCCGCATGCCTGGATCTTATTCAGCCAGGCCACGGCAGTTCGACCGAGTACGTCGTAGGACGGCTGCTCGAAGGGACTGGTGCTGCGTGTTCCCCTGGAACAAAGATTCAACACATGGTATGCGAGCGCTGGACCGTCTAGAACCACATCGCAAGGCTCTATCACAGTCCTCTCTGCGTAGGCCTCAAGCTGTCTTCGAAGGTGTGGTATGCCCATTGCGAGCTGTTTGGTGTTCCCGGGGTGGAAAGAGGAGTGAAAGGTTGCAATGTTGCATTTTCAGAAGAGAAGAGATCTCCTTCAAAAAGACGGAAAGAGCTTTCATTACACCGGCATTACCCTAACCCTGTCTAACGTTGCTCGGCTTCAATCTTGCAGCTCGATCATGGCACCAATTGGCCAACGAAATCTCCCAATGTCTCAGCGCAATCTTGAGAGTCCTTGATACATTGCCGCCTTTCTAGTGCCTACTGCCATCTCCCGCTTTGTCTGCAAGGGAGGGATAGCGCCAATTTGTTGAAAAGGTGCCAGAGAATTTGGTAGTGTACGAAGTAGTACTTGTGCCTAGCTAAAAGCCCCACTTCCACCTCGCCCTTGACCGACTTTCTGCGAGATCCACTTCTCCCCAGACTAACTATTTTCATCGACAGAGTAAAAAACCCCAAATTTCCTCCCACAACCGCACTGCACACAGCAGCGCTACCTCATCCAGCATGAGAGGAACCCTAATCTTCGCGGGCAGCTCGTGCCCGGATCTCACAGACAAGATATGCGAGAATCTGGGCATGGCACGGGCTGATGCCGAGCTGACTCAATTCTCCAATGGCGAGACGAGCGTCCGCATCCTCACCAGCGTCCGCGAAAAGGACGTCTTCGTCGTGCAATCCGGCAGTCCCAAGATCAACGATACAATCATGGAGCTTCTCATTATGATTTCGGCCTGCAAAGGCGGTTCTGCAAACAAGATTACCGGTACGTCGCGTCACTTGGACGACATGGGCGGGGACCGACAAAATCGCAGGCGCTGACTGAGGCTCTCACCAGCTGTGTTGCCATATTTCCCTTACAGTCGCCAGTCCAAGAAGAAGTCTCATAGGGGAGCCATAACGGCGAGGATGCTGGCCAATCTTCTTGCAGTCGCGGGCGTCAAACATGTCATCACGGTCGATCTCCACGCTTCCCAGATGCAGGGCTTCTTCAAATGCCCCGTTGACAACCTCCACGCAGAACCCCTGATTGCCCGCTGGATCCGACGCAACGTGCCCAGGTGGCAGGAGGCCGTGGTGGTGTCCAAGAATGCGGGCGGCACCAAGAGGGTTACCTCGCTTGCCGATGCACTCAAGCTCAATTTTGGCATGGTCACGACGGACAAGAGGAGAGGGGGCACCAGCATGGCGGGCAGCATGATTGCGTATCCCCTCGACGGAATTGAACGACAGCCGGTGATCGACCCACTCAGTAACCAGGTGCGTAACAATTCGTCGGAGCCTGAGACTGGAACCCCTACTACAGACTCGCGTTCGGGCGCGGATGCTCAAGGGTCGCCACAGCGTGTCAATGGCACGCACTCGCGCACTGCGAACCAGCCCAAATTCCCTCCCCAACGGTCACAGACCACCTTGTCTCAGTCATCTGTTATAGATGAACAAGACGAAGAGGCAGACACGGACGGGCTAGAGTACAATGACCAGCGAGCGCACGAAGTCACACATGGACGGTTGGTACAGGGGCACATCGTCCCCGATGATTTTCCTTCCCCGAGCATATCAGCCGCGGATACCAGTATCCCAGATGAGGATCCAATGGCCATGTCGCATGCCTCGTCCTTCTTTGCCCCTCAGCCCCATGCTCTAGGTGGGTCAGGGGACGCCGGCGCCAGCTCGGATGAGGAGGACGACATTCTTAAAGACCCCAAGGTCGAACGTATGATCACGCTAGTCGGCGACGTCAAGGGACGGACAGTCTTTATTGTCGACGACATGATTGACAAGCCGGGATCGTGGATAGCAGCGGCCGAGACGGTCGTCAAGCGCGGCCGTGCTGACAAAGTCTACTGCATTGCCACGCACGGCGTCTTTGGCGGAGACTGTCTGGAGCAGATGCAAGCGTGCGACTGCATTGATACCATCGTTGTGACCAACAGCTATCCCATCCCGGAGGATAAGGTACGCAACGCTAGCAAGCTGGTGATTCTCAACCTGTCGTTCCTCTTGGCCGAGGCGATACGGCGGAACCACTATGGCGAGTCCATGTCGCCGCTGTTCCAGCACGTCATGGATTAATGACGGCAGGCTGTTTTACCATTCCTTTTTTTCCTTCGGTGTTCTCACTCGGCCATGGATGCCCGCATGAATGCTTCTTTTTGGGGATGTGGGCAGGCAATCTCTGGTTATAGCGCCGGCGTTGGGTGATACGGACACGGGTGGGGTGCTCCTTGTTTACGCCGCAGCTGGCGGCATGGATAGACGGTCACGAGCAGTCTCAGGTACCCAATTGACATCTAACGGTCAGTACGGGGCGGACGGGCATCAGTGACCCGAGCCTTGCTTTCTCTCGCCAAACCTTGTCCTCAAATCGGGACACTTCTATTCCTTCCTTGTTTTACCCCCTTTTCACCAACGATGCTGTCACTTACGACGGCAGGAGCATTGGCCAACCCAGGGCATGTCTCTTAACGGAACGTTGGTAGATCACTTGTCTTTCGGGACTATCCGAGATAGAAGGCCCTTTGTCCAGCTCTGATGCTGAGCTGCTTCCGCAAGGTTGATGGGTATAGGGCAAGAGAACTCCTCGGTACATTCCTGTATGTCCAATCCGCTTTACTGTCACTGGCCTGTGGATACATGGCCAAAACACTTAACCGCCAGACTGTGGCTTGTGCTTGCCAAGTGGGTATGTTTGAGAACTTCGCTTAATACAACGTCAAGCCAAGGTACGACCTCCATCAAGTGACCTCCCATCACGCTTGCGCAACGACAGGTACGACAACGCTCTGCCACAGCCCGCGCTTAGCCTCGTCCGGGCTCTCGATCCACTCCTTCTCGACCTCGGCATATGCGTCCCACCACAGCTTGTGCGTCGACTCTACCGTGTCCTCAGCGTCGTACGTCCTGCTCTGCCAGGGCTTGTTGAGGATGTAATGCAGCACCTTGACATCCTCGTCCCGCCAGAGGTCGCTGTGGCAAGCTCGCATGGGCTTGAGCGCGTTGTACGTGTAGGGCAGCCGCTTCCATTTCTTGCGGTACACCACGGCCAGAAGATCCTGCTCGACAAAGGTCATGCTGGGCACGTCCGGGTGCGTGTTCATGGCGTCCAGCAGCGCCTCATACTCCTTTTGCGAAGGCCGGAGGACCACGACTCCGCTGTTGAGCAGGTGGTGCGTTCTGGGACTGTCATCGGTGAGGACCGGCGGTTCACCGGTGGCCTTGTCTGTGGCTGTGAAGCCGCAGTTCTCGGGGATCCTGCGATGCCACTTGTTCATCAGAATCGAATGGAGGGAAGGAGGGGAGGTTTCCATCTCCCCGGGTCATGCTTTTCTGTTTGTTCGGTATACATAGACAGGCTTACCAATCTTTGGGAAAATGTGCGAGTTTGCGCGGGTTGCAAGTGCACGCGTGACTTGCCGCAACGAATCCTTCAGGAAGAGGCAACGTCATCAGGTCGTCTATGTTTTTGAGTATTATTTGGTCGCTGTCCAGAAGCACGATGCGCTGTTTTACACGGTTCTGGTCAGTCATTTGTTAAGCATTCCGATGGCCGGAGAGACCGCCATTCCAACAGACCTCATACTCGGTCAACCCCCACGGTGCAAGCTTTCCCCAGGTGCCCTTGTTGACCTTGCCGTCCCTGGGCGCGGGTTGCAAGTTGTCCACGAGGATTGCTGGTATGTGAGCTGCTTCAAGGACGCGCATGAATTCCAGATCTGCCGCTACGTCATGGGGCACCATGACCTTGAACTGATATCGCGACCCCGTCTTGCGCAGAGTATGATCAAGGACCAGCGTCCCGGCCAGATAGGCTCGGTTAGAGAGCAGCGTAGTCCAGATCTTGGTTGGATCGTGTTCCACGGCCATTTCCACTGTCGTTAGAGCGGTGATTCCCGTGACATTCAATGCTTTTGTCGATGCTCCGATAGCTGTTGAAGAGCCAGGTACGTACTTACGTAGCCACGGTAGCTTACACAACTCGGAGTGGGGGGATGTTCGAGCTTTCGAGCCTGAAGTGTTGTGGGGTCAGCTCTTAAGCGGGGATTGGTTGGCTCAAAACGCTCCGGGATGACAAGGTAATGCCACCAAACAGGCTGAGAGCCATGTCGTGGCAGTAAGTGTAAGTAAATACGAAGGTAGGTTAGACAGTTTTGCCTGTCCTCTTGATGTCGGGCGGAGATAACATCGTCGGCTATGCGACACTTCGTATGTACGAGGATCCCCCACAGCAATTTGTCATCCGGCTTCAATACTCCCACCTCCGGCTCAGGGGTTTGTCATCCACACATGAAGCCATCGGCCATCGGCCATGTTTTGTGCCGCCCTGAATGAGTAGGCTTAGCCATACATGATAAGTAAGGACAAGGGATATAAGAGGCCAGAGGTTTCGCGCGAAGCAGCCAGAACCGATCCTCTGGACCATCTGAAACCCGTCGACCTCACGATCCAGTCCTGTTCATCATGGAGACCGTTCTCGTGGTTGGAGCCACCGGACATATTGGCGTATCGGCCATCAAGGCCGCATTGCGGTCCAAACGCAACGTGTTGGCCATTGTTCGTAACCAAGAATCCGCCAACAAGCTGTTCAAGCACGTTGGGTCGGCCGACGGCATCACCACCGTTGAGGCAGACGTTGTCTCGGACACGGGGGTGAAAGGTGTGGTGGACCAGGTACGCGCTGGCAAGCTGCCGGCTTTCCAACACGTATATTCCTGCGGTACGTGTCTTGAGACGAGCCGAGCGTCCTCAACCGTCCACAAAAAGATGATGGCTGACACGGGAATATAATGTATCCAGTTGGCGGCTTGTACGATGGTATTCCCTTGAAAGATATCACCATCAGCGAACTGCGCTACAATATGAAGGTCAATTTCGAGGCAAACTTTTGTAAGTCGCCGTTTGGCTGCCAAGCTGAACCCTAGCACCGCGGGGACTGTGAGCCCGGGATCAGCTCTTTACTAACAGGATGCCGCACCGCCGTATTAGTGGCCTACCGGGAGACCATTTCGTATCTCCTCGAACAGGGCCGGCCGGCAACGTGGACGCTTTGCACGGGTGCTCAGGGTGATTGGGCGATACGCCCGCTGCCGGCCATGACCCAAGGGGCTCTTTTCAGCATGGCTACGGGTGCCTGCCGCGAGAATGAAAAGACCAACGTGCGGTTCAATGAGGTCTACGTTGCGATGCGGGTCGAGGTGGACGAGGTCGCTGCCCAGAATGGCACAACGAGTGCCTCAGAGTTCTCCTCCGTTTACGAGGAGATTTTGGCCCGCCCCGAGATTCGCGGCTCGCGTGTCCGCGTAGCGAAGCGGGAGGACATGAAGGATCTCCAGTATACGAGCAAGTTCTAGCCCCAAGACGTGCCTGCGCGCGTGGTCGATGCTGTCTTTCAGTCAGTCGGAGAAGACGGATACCGTAACCGGGACGAATCATGAATGCCATTTGTAACATGGGGTAATTGTTGAACAAGCGCAAGGGGAGGGCACGGAGGGGTAGAAATTGAGATAAAATTCTCCACTTGGTTAACCCCAAAATATCTTTTTCGGCTCTGACCAACCAATGGCAAGCAAGTGTTGAGTGGACTCTCTGAGTATACCCCGGGGATAGCTTCAGGAAAGCCAACCCAAACTCTAACTGAACAGTTTGGTGTTTTTGGACTGAAACAGCCGCTTCTTGTCCATCGTTTCTTCACTCACAGCACCCAAGTAAGGTACAGTGCAAGATAATGCAATAATTAGAATTGCCAACTGCGTCTTGGCTTCTAGAATGCCTCCCTCTGTTCCCGACAGCGATTCCGAGTCACTCCGCCATGACTCTGTTGAGGACCAGGTCGAGGACATCGACGACGCCGAGGAATCTCAATCACCCTTCCCTGCTGAGAGTTCGGCGTGGGAAGAGGGCGACTTGAGCATGGCAGGCGACAGTGGGCAGCCGTCGCCCAAGCGTAGGAGACTTGATGATGGGCAGGGGAACGGGGGAGACGGGAGGGGAGAGGATTGGGTCGCTGCGACGTTCAAAGTCAGTGCGAATGCAGATGCCGATGCCGATGCGAATGGCCAGCCAGAGCAGGACCATGGCCACGAGACTGTACCGTATCTCAGACCCGGCTTGCGTGACCTCGACGACAAAACCGAGACTGCCTGCATCTTTCGGACCTGCGGTTCTCGTACTGGCGCAACCCAGCAATTCATGTTGGTTCAACTCACCCCCTATCGAAATCTCACCCAGCCGGAAAACTGACCAACCATCTCAGAAAACACCTTATGGATAGACACGGCCTCATTCGGGGCGAACACGGTCGACAAGTAGGCGGCAAGCGTAAATCGCCCAAGTACCTCACCCTCTGCCCAAGTGACTGGCCATACAACCACTGGCTCAGCTCGTCATGCAGCTGCTGCAAGACCATCACCGGTATCCTCTCCGTTCTCGGTGACCTTGCACACGAGAGTCCCGCCATCTGTTCCTTCTGCTGGACCTTCTTCCCGTCGCGCGGCGAACTCGTCACGCACATCAACGAGGAATACTGCAGAAGCTACGAGGGGTACCCTCGCAAGCTGACCTTGGTCAAGGACATGTATGTCGCCAGCATTCGCATGGCGGGCGTCAAGGAAATCGCCGAAGCAGCCGCCGATCAGCGCCAGGCTCACATCGACGCCGAGCGCGCCGAACGCGCAGAACGCTTGATTAAGGAGGCGCAGATGCTTCGCGGCCAGTCGCAAGCCAGGCTCCTCGCCCAAGCCGGGGCCTTGAAGCAACCAGCTGTCCAGCAACAACAACAACAACCACAACCACAACCACAACAACCGCCATCACTACAACAACAGCCTTACCAACCTTCCCCGCCTCCCCCGCCCGTCCATCCTCTCTACCGACCGCCACCACCTCCTCCACCACCCCTTCCTCTTCATCCTCCTTCTGCCGCTGCATCTGCTCCCCCTCCTCCTCTTACTCCTACTCCCCAACCACCTTCACAGCAGCAACCGGGGTCGGATTACGCGGTAGTGCCGTCTGCGGCACTCGAGCCGATGGCCAGGAGCATCGAGCGGCTGACCAACGTCATCAGCGACCTGACGGCGGCCAACGTCATTGGCGATCTGACGACAACCAACGCGCTGCTGCTGCGGGACCTGCGGCTCAAGGAGGAGCAGCTGGCCGTGCGCGACGAGCGGATCCTGACGCTGAGCGTCGAGAAGACGCGCCTTGCGGCCGAGGTGGAAAAGCTTACCGAGCAGTTGCGGGCCCAAGGTGGCGCCCGGGTAACGAACGGGGAGTGAGTGAGCAGCGGGGTGGTGGGCCGCGCAGTGGTTGGGTTTCTGTTTCGGTTGGTTGGCTGGTCATTTACACAACCAAGGTACTACTAGGTGGGAGCGCTTGATACCCTTCATAGTTTCTGCTCCTAACACGCTATTTTTACCTCTAATCGCCGTCATCGACAACCCGGCCTGTTTAGCGAATTGCTGTTGACTGTAGCACTCGTGTATGATGTAAAATAGAAAGGATAACGCAAGACTGTGGAGCCCGAACCTACATTCGCAAGCATCTTATTTACAGTGTATATCCAAGCACAGGTTCGTCCCGTCGATCTCGCTGTCTGTATGGTAGATACATCACAATCAACAGATCCTCTGCCAGACACTGTAGTCAGATATCCTTCGACACCAGGCACATAGCCAGAAATCAGAGACCCGACATACAGTAACAGCACAGCCCGACGCACACAACCGAGTCTTACACCCGCATCCTACTGTACAAATCTCAACTCAACGCCCCTTGCTCTCCCGCAATTTTCCTGCCTCCAACCAGTAACACGTTACCCATCATGGCCGACACTCGCAGCCTAACCTCCCGGAGGAGGAGGGTCTGCTCCTCTTCGGCGGTCAAGGCCATGCAACTCGTCTAGCAAGCGCGCGAACTGCTCCCGCTCCCGGGCCTCCTCGGCCCCCGCCACGTCCTCAAGCAGGTCCTCCTGCCGGCCGCCCTTGCCCGCGTTCCTGATAATGCGCCACGCGCGGCGGAACTCGTCGCGGATGCTCACGATCCCGCTGTGCGTGACGGTACGCGCCACATTGTGGTCCAGCTCAAACGGATCCTCAATGGCGAACAGGTAACGATACCTGACTTCGCGAACCTCTTTCGCCGCAGTGGCTGGGGCGCTGGTGGTACTAGTAGTCGTCGGTGGTGAATTCGGGTGATGCTCGCCATTAGGAGCAGTGGATGACAACAAACCATCACCACCACCGCCAGCAGCCGGGGGAGTAGGAGCTACCCCGGCCTTAATTTCCACCACCGTCTTGGCGCGCGTCCACCCCTTCTGCTCCTTGGTGAGAAGCCCGCCATGAGTCCTCAGGCTGATGACGTCACGGCCCCAGTCGAACCCCCGGCGGGGGACGGTGCTCATCATGTTGCTCTGGGCATAGTACTCAAAGAAGCCACGCAGCAGCTGGCCCACTGACTCTCTGTTCTGCGTAAGGGCATTTTCGGCAGCCAGGCGCTGGATCTCAGCCTCGTCACGCCAGAACTGTATGTTCCTCCCCTTGCACATGACCGTCTCCTCGATCTGCGCCGGCGTGAGGTTCGGATCGGGGGGCCTGGCGAGTTGTTGCAAGTTGGGGCAAACAAACGGCTGAGCAATGTTGACAAGGTAATGCAGCATCATGAGGACATAGCCGTAACTGCTCAGGGTTCCACGATACGGCGAATTGATGCGCCGGACTTTGGCCCAATGCTTGACAAAAAGGACAAGGGGACGGACACGAGGGTCGGTATGGGAGTAGCAGCGCAGCAAAAGTGTGTTTTGCAGTGCGAGGTGCGCGGAGAAGTTGATGTCGCATTGGACGCCAACACCAGACTTGGGGAATTCCAGACGGTTGTGGTAGGGATCCCGAGGTTGATTTGGCGACAATGAGGATGGGTCGCCGAGCTGACGGATTTCGGAGAGAAGATTTGCAGAGTCTTGTGGTAGGAGGACGATCATGTCTGAATCAGCGTCGGCAGATGGGGACTTGGTCATTGGCGCTCTCAGTAGTTCAACGTATCGGCGGACTTTGCTCGCAGTCTCTTCCGGGTAGACACCTTTCCTGAGACATGTCTCGTACTCGTGGGCAAGCTGCAAGCTCTTATGCCTGCGAGCGATGGCCCGAAGACTGATGGGATGGTGGGCTTGAGCGAATTTGCTCACTTCGTCCCGGATATCGGGGTTCCATATACCCTGGATATAACGCTGGGTCACTGTCGCTGATACAGAATCCGGACTGGAAGATGTACCGCGGCTGCCCAGCTCCAGCAGTAGTTTCGAGGCCCGGGTATAATACTTGATGGCTGACTCATGCTGGCTCTGGGACAAGAGCAAAACTTGAATAGACGGGATCTTCTTCAGCTCCTCAACGGCGAATTGCAGTTCCTTCTGGTAAGCCAATGGGTCACGTCCGTAATCTGGTCGGTTTTGAATACCCCGCCAAGCTCTGACTTGGTTCTCGGCCACATGCTCGTGAGATTCGTCTTTTTCTCTGATGGGTCGGGATTCCCAGGACATGGCCAGGGACTCTCCTTCAACCTGTGTGAAAACACCGAGCAGACTGCGGGAAATTGGCTTTGACATGAGGTCATACCGATTGAGAGAGCGATAGCTCAGCAATCTCGTCCGCAGGTAACTGTCGAAAAGGCCATCGACAAAGGCTAAACATAACGTATTTAGAAGCTTGGAATCGCTATCGTTGAAGTCTGCAAGATTCGAGTTGGTCACATCACGGCCACCGAGTTTCCGGAGCAGGCGTTTGGCGGCGCCATAGTAGTTAGACAAGCTCTGCGTCTCGCCCTGCTTGAGCGAGTTTAGCCTCTGTTCGGACGTGGCGTTCTCCCCTTGGGGTAAAAAATCTTCGACCTGGTGTGCGTCGGGTTCTTCCTGAGGCTCATCTTCTTCCGAGTTCTCCGTAGCGCCGCTCTCCCATTTTGCCCTTTCGTCCAGCAGAGCTAGCCGAAGCGCCTCTGGCGGCCTCTCACACACTTTGATGATGGGCACTCTCGTCCGCGAGAGCAGTCGAGCACCAAGCCCGATATCGAGGAAAGCTTTTTCAACAAGTCTTGGAATCGGGGAGCCTGGTGTATTGGGTTGGACCTGAGACAGTGGAGAAAGAAGTCCAAGGTCCATATCGGCTGCCTTGGTTGCGAAGCCCGAGGAGAGGCTGCCGAAGCACCTCAGCTGCACGCTCTCGGGAGGGAAGTCGTGAAATCCATTCTGTTCTCTCTCATACTGAGTGATGGTGGCCCTGGCAACTTTCTCAATCATTGCGCGGAAGTTCTCCTTCTCAATGATGTCGGCAGGTTCAATCTCGGCGCCAGCGATGATTGTGTTGCAGAGACCCTCGAGCAGCTCAATCTGTGCCGCCAGATCCTCGGACCTCACGTGGTACTGATACTGTCTTCCAGGGCTGTAGGGACCCGAAGGGTTCTGCCCTGAAGGCATCGGTGAGGAGGAATCGAATGGTAAGGGTGGTGCATGGTACGGAGTCCTCGGATCGCCGTGGTACATCCGGGGCTGTCTCCAGTCAAACTGATCGGGAGTCGGCATAGGTCCGTGGTAGGAAAGTGAAGTCTGGTGGCGGCGCGGCGGCGGGTAAGGCACACCAGTCAGGGGAGCATTCGGAATCGTGTTCCCTCGACTAGGTGGGCGAAAGGTAGCTGAGTGCGGGCGTTGAGTCCTCTGAGGGGCACCACTGCTGCCACCATGGTGCTGATTTGCATACGCTGGCGGGCTAGCATGGGGTCTGGAAGATGGGGGAAACTGCGGCCTTGTGTCGATAGGGATGGACAGCTGGGCTGACATCTGACGGCGCTGGGCCTGGTTGGGTCGCTTTCGGGATGCCTTCGACGAGACTGTGGCGGTACTGTTGATGGGAGGCGAGGATGGGGCTGCCGGGGGTCCTTGGCCCGCCTTGGGATTATCCCGTGTCGGTGATTGTGGGAGCGTAGCGCCATGTTCCAGGTTCTGCTTGTGGGAGTTGTTGAGGATGAGATTGCGCAGACGCTCTTCAAGGGCACCGCCACCGGCCTCCCCGGCTGCCATTTTGATTTGGCCCAGGGATCTCGCCTGTGTTAAGCTTGCCTGCCACACTCAAGTTGTTGAGCTCTCAGGAGATAGTGGTCGAAACGTCTTCGGCGCGTTAACCCGGCCCAGGTTGGTCAGTACGGCAACGGCTTGAGTGGCAACTTATGGCCACAAACAGAGGTGTCAGGTTGATAATGCTGTGATGACAAGGAACCGTTGACGGCGGAGCTAGATCGGGCTGCAAAGGATCGATTAGCCGCAGCGGAGCTTGTGGGTATGTGTGTAAATAAACTTTATAAAATTATAAAGAGGGGATCTCACACAGAGACCCGACAGCATGTAACCGAAACAGGACAGGATCCAGCTCGCAGGACACATATAGACTGATCGGTTGCCAATGCCGATCCGAAATGATGGCAACTGTTTTCGAGGTTCTCGTGTCCGGACGACGAGGGTTGGTCTGCTTGCTGAATCCAGAAACTGAAGGCGGTGGAGTGTCAAAGTTCAATCTCCCTACCTCTGCCAGAACTTGCCGGGAATGAAAAGGGAGAAAGAGCGCTCAAGAACCTGGACACCGGTCATGTAAGTCCTGATTCCGTTTGTTTTCCACGGTGCAAAGTAGCTCGGTCCCCTGGGCAGCAAACGCAGCATTGGAATCAGATAAGAATTCAAGGGAACATTACTGACTTTCCTACATGTGGTTTTGACCGTGGTGCAATAGAAGGCCTATGAGCTTCCCAGCTTCGGAGCTCTGCCAAGCTGAGCATGCGAGGCTGTCATGAAACTGAAGAAGCTCGTAGCGCAGTGGTTGGAGGCCCTAAAGTAGGGTAAGGCCAGCTTGAAGCCTTGGAAGAATGTGGGGCGCGGGGCGATGCGATGTGGTGTAATGGTCTCCACTCTCTAGATATGTATGCATCTATCAGATAAAGCAGCCCAATAGCAATCACGGATACAACCATAATTCCAAGTTACGTACTTGCATAGCGAGCATAGCTTGCTCAGCTAAACACATAGATACATATGGCAAATATCGGGTTGACAGCGCGCCCGAGTGTTGGTGGATTTCCATCCTTTCAGTGGGCCTTTGTCTAATAGAGCTACCGACCTTCTTTGACATTCCCCTTCCAAGAATCATAAACATCCAGGGCGCCGTCTCGTACCTTTTCCCGTCGCGATTTTCGCATCTTCCTCGAGGGATATTTTTCCCGCCATCGACACGAGCTTCCGCCGCGACGTGTTCTTCCATCGGACCGAGGCATCATTCATCTTCGTTTTCAATAGCTAAAACCAACCGTCGGCTGTCTCGCTACCTCCACTTGTTTCTCAATGACGTGCCTCACCTGAGCGACCGTCTTCTTTCCCGCAGACCACTTCTAGCCGAACTCGGTTCCCGACAATCGTCAACCCCAGCTTCGCCCGGAAGCGCCATCGAAAATGAGCGCTCCTCCTCCTCCTGCCGTCAACGGTCCTTCGCGACCTCCTGCCCGTCCTCCCGTCATTCGACGCCAGGGCAACGTTAATCCCTTGGTAGCGAGAAAGCCTCCGAGACCGAAACCGGCGTTCTCACGACCACAGAAACAAGAGGCACCCAAAGATCCTGATGAGCCAACTCCAGAGCAGAAGGAAGCGCTGAGGAAGCTAGCGCTACAACGCCAGCAGAATGGCGGCTGGACCGAAAAACCGCCAGACACTTACCAGGAATTCCCCTTGGTCATGACAAAGCGGTCGATGCTCGAGGGCATACGGCATCATATCATGCGCATGACCAAGGCCAAGGGAGACGGCACGGTTGACGTGACGAATCAAGACCAATTTCCCCGCCCTGTTACCCTGCTTCGACGCGATCCTAGACTCCCGCCTGCCCATCGCATGGCCGTGAAAGAGGAGCCTGCTGCTCCCGTGGATCCTGCCGAAGCCGCCGAGTTTGAGCGTCTCCGACAGCTTAAGGCTGACAAGGAGGCCCAGCGTGCTTTGGACCAGGCCCAGATTGCCCCAGTTATCAGGACCAATGAGCCGAAGCCAAAGCCGAACCATAACAAGAAGGAAAAGATGACGTCCTTTTACGGCCGGAATTCGGATGCGCAAAAGAAAGAATCCAAGATCCACTACGAGGAGACATGGCCGTGGCACCTCGAGGATGCCGAGGGCAAGTCGGGTGTGTGGGTGGGATCTTACGTTGCCGCTCTCTCGGACATCCATGTCGGGCTCGTTATTGATGGTGCCCGCTTCCGCATGATCCCGCTTGAACGGTTCTACAAGTTCGACGAGAAGCCCAGGTTCAACACGCTGTCCCTCGAAGCCGCGGAGAAAATGATGTACGAGGTCAAGCAAATTAAGCGCTGGGCTATGAAAGAGAAAGAGGACGAGCAGCTGGAGAAAGAAAAGAACGAGACGAGGAATTTCTTGCGCGGGCCCACCCGTGTTAAAACTGAGAGCGCAACTTCCCGCATGTCTCGCAGGGAAGAGAGGGAGGACGATTTTGAGCTTGACATTTCCGGTGATGAGTTTCAAGACGATGATGAAACACCAGGCTTTGAGGCAGATGATGAGGATACCAAGGAGTCCAAGACTCGCATCCGCCGCGAGCAGGTCTCCGCCAACACGTTTGGAGAGGGTGAAGAGGACAAAGTCGAGCAAGAGGAGCGAGAAAGGCAACTGGAGAAGCTGAAGCGCAAGATGATGGGCAAACAAACCATCAAAAGTTTGAAGAAGCTTGAGCATACTATGGACTACGCCGACGAGTCGGAAAGCGACGACAACAATCCTTTTACCGATCATGAGGTAAGCCGCACTAGCCCCCAAGAGTGCCCGACGCTCCGTATTAACCCGCCTGCCAGGACACCGATGAGGAGTCCGAGTCGTCGGACGAGCGCAAAGAAGACGAAGAGTCCAAAAAGACTGAGCAGGGCGCCTCCGGACCCAATACTAAAGGTAACACAACGCCATCCGGGAAGCAGAAAGCCGTCGAAGCAGTCAAAAAGGGCAAGCTCAAGCGGCCTGGCTCACCGAATATGACCGACTCGAGCGACAATGAGGCGGCCCGCAAGAGGGTCAGGACCGGAAAGGGATCCGTTACCGCCAGCCGAGCCGCCACCCCGCTTCCCGGCCGGCCGAAACCATTAGGCGCTGCCACAAGCGATGGTGAAGTCACGGCCGGAGAGGCGTCGGATGCGGGTGCCATGCTGAAAAAGAAGCTCAAAATCAAGCCCGGTGCGCGCCCTGGCGGCACGCCATCAGGCTCAAGGGCAGTTAGCCCTGCTCCAGCCGGTAGGTGAAATTGTCCGCATACTCTCCGAGCCCTGCTAACCGCAAATCCCGCTGCAGCATCCCAAGGCCCTAGCAAGGTCGGCAGTGCGACGCCCAGTGGTTCGCCGCCTCCTGGCGCGGCCGCGGATAGTAAAATACAGCCCTCCGAGATTGTTGAGTCGCTCGCGCCTTATGCTGAGCAGGGCATCACCCTGGGCGACCTGCTGCGCAAGTTTCGTGGCAGGATCGATAGGCCGGGCGGTACCACGAAAGCCGAGTGGATTCAGATGGTTAAGGCCCAATCAGTGTATGATACGAAGTCCAAGCTGCTGCGCCCTAAGACTAGTATCGAGTCGCCGCAGGCGTGATCAGGGTAGGACATGCCTAGGCTGAACCGGACTTGATGGGACCGGATTTGATGCCTGTCTGCGGACTAGATGAAACAATTGGCACCCGCGTGGGCGTGGGTACTACTCAGGGGCTTTGGTATTATAGAATAGGTCAGTGTAGGCCCCTGGCACAGATTGATGCCATCTGGTAGCGAAGATCTGCCTAGCTCTCATCACGATTCCAGGAACATGGAACCAAGAAGGATACTGATGGAGATTCTCTGTGCCTGTCTCTTCATCGCCGATACCCAGCGTCTTGATGGCTGGAACTTCCACCAGCGCGTTCTGACACGTCCTAAGGCCTCCGGATGCCTGCGAGGCACGAAAACCTGGATTACACCCAGATGCAGCATGTCGCGTAGATATGACCCCGGAACCGACTACATGATATTTTCCGGCCCCCTTTCCATCAATCATTGATTTGACCCAACCACCGGCTTGATGAAACCATCACTCATCCATCTGCCAAGCATACTCCAGCCCCTTATTCCTCTCGCGCCTATTGATCGCCTTGAATCGTTCTGCCTCAAAACCATTCCCCCTATCGACCCCATCCCACCGGTACCCAGGCCTGATGCCGTATCGATTCGGCGGCGCCGCGCCTTTATAGACGGGCCTTCTCATCGTCTGGCCCCTTTTAGCAACTCCTCTCCCGCTGTTTTCTTCACCACCACCACCGGACGCCCCCAGAAACTCAGCCATGGGATCATGCCACCGCTCGGTCCGCTTCAAGTCCTCGTTGAGCGCGGCATCGTCGGCCCCGCGCGCGAGGGGCATCAGCGCCGCGTCGGCCAGCCGCTCTTTGCGCTCGCGCGCCGCCGCCAGCTGCACCTCGCCCGTGAGCAGCCGCTTGCGCTCCTCCTCGGCCCGCGCCGCCTCGGCGGCCTGCCGGCGCGCTTCAGCCCGCCGCATCGCAACGTCCACTCGCCGGCCCGTCGCGTCCCGCAGGACTACGGTCTCCCCGTCTTGGTCTGCCTCTTGTTGTTGTTGTTGTTTCCTGCGCTCGGCTTGGAGCTGCGCCAGCTCCTCCCTTTCTTGCTCCTGCCGTGCGCGTAGTTGCGCGGTCAAGGCCTTGGCGGATTGAAGCCCTGCTTGTGTGCCGTTCGACATCATGGGTGTTGTCGTTGTGGTGGTTGAGGTGGCATTGGGCGGGAGGAGGTCCTCGGCTTCTTCGCGGGCTGCGGCGGCGGCGGATTCGGCGGCCGCCGAGGCTATGATTGCGTCTGCTGCAGCGGCTGCGTCGGCATCTTGTTGCGTGCCGGGGGTTTGCCTGCTGGCGCTGGCGAGGGCAGATGTGCCGACGGTCTTCCAATTAGATGTTTTGGCGCGCCGAAAGTCGCTTGTGCTCCCGGCCACCACGGCGATTGGCGCATCGTCGTCTTCGTCGGCATCGGGACGCGCACTGGAACCCCATCCCGTCTCGTCGTCGTCGGTAATAAGCAGGCCGGATGAGTTGGTGGTGGCCTTGCGCTTGCGCTTCTTGGAGGAGGATGACGAGGGTTTTGTCTCGGCTGTGAGATAGTGCGCTGCAAGGTAGGCTGCCTTGTCCGAAGGCATGGTGTTTGTGAACGCGATTTAAATGTCGCGGCCAGCGCAGGCAATAGTCGTATTTCTTCGTGATGAGTTGCGTTCAACGAAGTCAAGGCCATAGAGCTTCTAACGATGAGCAGAGCGAATCGGCTGTTTGGTCGGGTTTCGTATCTGGACAGTGGCTAACCAAATATGGTTGTAATTGGCTGCACAACTTACAGAGTACACTCAGTACAGTCAATTACCATCCTCGTTACGCCCACATTTACAAGTACACATGCATTCAATGAGAACTCGGAGCCATATCATATTGCTCCTATGAATTGTGCATATTAAAAAGCTAATATCGAAGGGATCGCTTATCAAACACGCCAGAAATTGTTCTTGTTCCATCTGTAGCGAAGCGGCTATTCTGCCAGCTTGCACCGCCCGCCTTTGGCGTCATCTTTGTCCCCTGATCTTATCGGCTGTTATCAGTGACGTCACTAAGCTAATATCCTCCATCTTCGTAGTGTACGTATTTCGATTCTCACCTCCATAGCTCGGCCGCGACGAACGACAGCAGAGATCCTTCAGTGCTGTAGTGTAGGAGAGGCCTGTTTGAGTGTTTTGGTTCCTTGACTACCTATAGCCTTGTAGTCTGTGGAAGGCTTATCTCACCGGAAGCAATCCATCGCTCTCAGTACTAGTAACGGCTCCGATATCTTATCGGCGATGCTCACCTTCAGGTAAGTTACCTTAACTTATCTATCCGGCGCAATTATGCCATCGCCTGTGAAGTCTTTGAGTTTTGACGTCTTCGAGTGTGTCCCAGTTCAGCCACTTGTACATATGTCTAACTTTGGGAGCAAGCTGTCTTGGCATGGGTGGACTTCTTCAGACTACATATTGTACCCCGCCATCATGTTTGGGGCGGGTTGCTACGCGAAGTCGATGCAGTCATGTCGACAGATGGCAAGGATCGCATCGCATCTCAACTATCCCGGTTGTTCCGCCAGCGGGAGTCTATCAGTTTCCAACTGCGTCGGGAAATATAGGCAGCAACACTGTAGAGTGATCCTATCATCCTTACCCGAGCAACTTGTGTCTACTCGGGAGCCTCCCGGGCCAATGTCAAGACAATGAAAGACAAACTATCTCCAATGCGCTGAAATTCTGTTTCCCTAAAAGGGGTGGGTTGCACATAGGCGTCTAGTCTCATCACAGCAAGTGCTCGAAGCCTGCGAAAATCATCCCGATCTTATCGGCTTATCAGTGGATTCAGATATTGCAACCCCTCACTCGCCATTCGGCAACATGATCATCAGGAACAGTTGCACATCCCGTCAATCTCGGAAGGGATAAGTTATGGTCTTCAAGATCTCCACGTTTCTTAAGAGATTCTACCGTTGAGAGCGTGTTCTGTAGTCCACATTACCGAAAAGCAATGCAAACGACTCCACGATGATCGCATATAATGCCACGTGAAACTGCTTCATCTGGCACCCCGGCCGGCTAACTGTTTGCGGGGGTTCCTGCAGTTCTCCACAACCACTGCATGCAGTTCCATACAACCAGGGACCACTCCCGCAAGCTGACCTCAGCCGAATGTCCCACCAATTGCACCTTCCCTCTCGCGCATGCTGCTGCCGCCGCGTCTGCCTTGTGAACCCAACTGACGTTCGAAACACATCCACGGGCGGAAAGGGAGGCCGTGGAGTGGTCGACGAGTCTCGCAGGATGCCTGGCACGGCCCATGGCGGTTCCGTCATTTCCTACGTCTATATCCGATGGTATTAGAATATGCTGCAAGTGACGATGCAACGGCCGACTGCATGGACGGCCCACTGCATGACGGATCTGCGTGTACTGCACAGTACCCTAGCTCTTTATCGTTATCGCTGGGCTGCTAGCTTCTTCATCCGTTGTCAATTCTGGGAATGGATTCCAAGCAGCATTTGGATGATGACGACGGCCCAGGGCAATGCGTTCCAGTGCTGGTTAGCAAGGCTTGGTCTTGCGGCGTCAAGCTGTTTCAATTGCAATACCATTTGCCCTCTGCATTTACTTCCTCGAGAAGCTTCTGCTTTTATGTCATCATTGTTAACCAAAAACAAGGCGATGGCCTGTCAAGGCCAGCAGGAAAAGGAACGAGCAGCTTGAGGTCCCCTTTGAGCCAAGAATAGACAAGGTCACCCGGCCTTGACGCTTAGCCTTTGGCCCGGACACGCTGCTGCCAACCGCCTTCCCCAGTGTCAATGGCGCCTGTGGTCATATGCCGGCCTGTTGTCACTCGGAAGACCCCCACATGCTGATGGAGAAGGGAGAATGCGCAATGCGCCACCCTCCCGGTTGTCACCTGGCATCGTGGATTCCCAAACAGTCCCGATAAGTTCCGTTGAGCTGATATAACCATTCCTTTCCCATCGAGTCTTTCTCAGTCTTCTCTCCTTCTCGTTCTGCAAGCACTAACAACAAAGAGCTCAAACCAGAAGCATCGTTTGAGATATCTTAATTGACAGTTTCGCATTTCGCTGCTCGTTTCTTGCTGAAAGACACCCCTGTCTTTCCTGCATTTCGTCATTCCGATACCCCTTATCGCTATCAGGGCTGAGGACGTCTTATTCAAGCCTCACATTCCCTGGTCGTCTGAGTCACCGGCCGGCGTCCTCAAGGGGCCAACATCCTTTTATCATTTATTGCCTCGACGCTTTGATAGGCCTCCTCGCCCTTTCGAAGTATAATCTCACCATTTTCAATCGGGTGCAAGAAGTCGCTAGACTGAACGGGAATCCTCTTACCGGTGACTCTTCATCTTCGACCTTTCAATATTAGACCATCCAGCTCCTCCTCGAACATCTCAATCTCCATTTCCCATTCTCTGCAACACATCCGTTAAGCAGCTGAGCAACTCAATACTCAGCTCTACGTTACAATTATAACACCCGTTCGTTTCAGTTTCTGCAATCACCTTCCCAATGGCGACCTTCGACAGCCCGCAGTACGAGCGTGACCTGCGCTCTGCCCACAAGGAGTGGAAGCGCACCAAAGACTCCAACGCAAAGTGGTCCCACGGCTACCGGCACCTCCCAGGGATACGCGTCAACGTCAACGGGGAAGTCATCAACGGCTCGGAGAGCCAGCTAGCCAAGACAAGGCCTGGCAAACAAATGTAACCTCCTCCCAGCTCCCCTCTGTCCCCTTCCGCACCCATCAACCAACTCCAATCTTTCAAAGTCCCACCAACCCAAGTTTGGAAACTAAAATGATTGAATTTAGCCCCTCGCACCCGTTCAAGCACTACCCAAACCGCACAAAGCTCCGCCCAAGCTGGGAGCTGCCGGACGGGCGGGTGCGGAGCAAGCTGCACGCGGCCGGCGAGATCCGGGATTTCTCATCCTCGACCTCTCCGTCGTCCTCGTTGCAGCTCCTTCCATCTCCCCACCCCTCCTCGCCCAAACTTGTCCTCACCCGCCGGCTCAGCACGAGCATCACGTCGGCCGACGTTGGCGGCAGCGGTAGCGTTGGCCGGGATGGTGGCAAGCCGCTCACGCTCGAGGTGTTTGTCAAGACGACGGGGCGGGAGACGGAGAAGCTGGTCGAGCGCGAGTACGAGGTGCTTGATGGGAACGGGGAGGCGCTGAAGGGGAGGCGGGCGAGGAGGGTTCTCAGGAGGGGTGGTACGGATGCCGCGGCTGGTGCGGGCACTGGTGCGGGTGGGGTGGTCGAAGGGGAAGGGGAGGATGAGGGGTTTGAGCTGATTTGATCTCACCTTTGCCCCGTTCTTTCTCTTCCTCTTCTGTTATTCCGAGCTTGCGGGCTCTGTTATTCCTAGGCTGGTTGTATTAGCGCTGTAAGGGACGGGTCGGGATTGTTAGTTGGTTTCGGGCGGTTCTGCTGTTCGGGATATCCGCGTGTTTTTGAACGCATTGGCTATGGTTTTCGGCGTATAGTAATGGCGGGGCGGTTGTTGACTTCCGTTTTCGCGATGCACGCATCTCTTCGGTCAGGCAGGCAGGCATACTTTGGGCTAGGGTTCTTAGACGCATTCGACTTAAGAGACCTACTTACCTAGTTAGACACAAGGCTGGACGGCTCTTGTGTGTCAATAGCACAGAACAGCACAGTTATGCTGGGGTTTGCAGTCCCCATAATCAAGACACTTCAACATATTCTCCGCAGATGGTGGCATCTGATTTCTGCTCTGGACTATCTGAGGAGGCCCTGCAGGACCGCCTGGAGTTAAGCTGGGCTTTAAATGCCATATTATGAGACGAGCAGCCCTGCCCGACAGACCGCATCAGCGCATTGAATTGAGTCCCATTCGCTTGCGTTTACTTACCTTACCAGCGTCCCCCTAATCTTGTCGCCGTGACTAGCCCAACCCAGAACTATCAAGGCAGGGCGTAACGGCGTCTTTTGCCTCAGCGGCTACAAAGCATATATCTGAGGCGCCATAAATCTATGCCATTACTGGCGGGTATCATCGATTTGCAAATAAAACACAACATGTACTGCATTGTTATGGTTAAAAGAGGTTATGGCACACATAGCAGCGATTGGCCCTGCCGTTACTGACCTTGGAATCAATAGTACAAGCAGACGACCCGAAGGTTCATTTGAGAACGAGCTCAGCCGGGGAAAGAACGGCCCATAAGAAGCTCGTAATAGGCCCTTTGCTCCGACTCGGTGCCCAGGGATGGGTCGAAGTCGGCATCGTCAGGGCCGGGAATGGGTTCGGGGTTGGAGCCCATGCTGTAGAAATCCGCGATGGTCTCGTCCGGAGCAAAGCCAAGAGACGCCAGAGTCTGCGAGGTTCGCGTGGCGCTGCTGCATTGTTAGCACAAATCAACTCTTTATGAACGGGAGGTGGGGAAACAGAGCTCGTACACTTGCGCAGCATCTTTAGCGACAATGTCTGACAAGGATGCCGTGTCTTTGGGTTGGAATGGGGATCCCAATCCCAGTGCGCTGGGCATTTTGGGTTCTGGCGCGAGGACAAGGCTTGACACGGACTGGCTCCTCTGGCTTGAAGGTTGCGAGCCTCTTTTGGCGGGTGGCGGCCGGACCGGCGGAGTGTTGTCGTCTCCGGCGTCCTCGTCCTCGGCCTCATGTGATTGTACAGCGTTGTCGGCCGTGTTGGTGGTAGTGGCTCCCGGGATTGGGCCGTTGTGGCCGAAAAAGGCCCTGAACACAGAGCTCTGCTGCCAAGTGCTGATCAAAGCCTCCTGTTGGTTAGAGTCTTTCACGGAGGTGACAATGGCCTTGCCGGCATTGCCGCGCAAATGGCCCTCGATCAGGGCGTCGAGGCCAGGTATTGCTCCCAGCACAGCGCCCCAGGCCGCGGCGCTCTCTTTGTACGTGTTGAGAGCATTGCGGTACCCCTTTTGCGGTCCGCGCCGCTTCGTGGGACGCAAGTACAAGCACGGCTTGTTGTGCTTTGTACAGACGCCGCACTTTGGCTTGCCGTTGTCGCACGGCTGATGGTTGACATGACAAAAGTCGCAGCTGGATACGGTACCTAAGCATTGGCAGAACAGGGACTCTTTGCATGGCAGCGAGTGGTGACTTACGCCCTAGATGCTTTTTTCCTCTTCCGGGGATTGACCGGCGCCTCGCTTCCCGCATCGGCTCCGGTGTCGCTGGCTGGCGGAGGGTTCGGAGCTGCGGCGCTCGGAGACGGCGATGGCCGGGAGCGGGTCAATTCGCCGCCCGTTACGGACTCATCAATGGCTGACTCCATGATGGGCTGGGACAAAACACCTGCATCTCAGGAGGCCTGATTGGATTCATCCAACAGGAAGAGGACGGAAAGGACAGTTAGGGTACTGTCCTCTGGAGAAAACGCTGCGGGTCCCGGGACGTGGGGAACGGTGAGACGAAATTTGGCGTTTGCAAACCTGGGGTGACGGGGCTTGACCCCACGCTTCTACCTTAGTGTAATTACACTACTCAACGTTAGTTACTGTTATCTCATACTCAGACGTTTTTTATGGGCGTTACAGTACTCCGTACAGTATGACCGAAATCGGGCCCGTGCGGGTAATGGTACATGGCTGGCCCCACTTTATTGCTGAACGCCCAGAAAAAGCGTCAGAAAATGGCCGATTAAGGGGGACATGCCAGGCATTCAGAAGAGGGTCAATCCACCAAAACCCATCGCATCGCGATACAAATTACTGTCTAAAGATGCCTGAAAGTAGGCAAATCCGCTAGTATATATATCAAGTGGTTGCAGGTCTATAAAGGGTGAAAGATTGGCCCAAACGGAGCGATTTATTGGGGCGCCGTTCTTCTTCCCGCGTTGCCCCCCATCAACTTTCCACCCACCAGTCGCGTGAACTTCAAACTTGGCCACAACGTTGATTGCCCTCTAAACTTCCTCCGGCAACAACTCCCGCCTTCGAAATCGATATTCGCGTCGCTATATTCGCCCTAGCGCAAAGGGCATCATAGAGCGTTTGGAGAGGCGGAAGCCATCGTTGAAACGTTACGCAAGTTGACAGGCGGCATATAACCTCAGCGAGACCTAAGGTATCGATGGAAAGAACACAGACTTGATCACAGTTCCCCGACTAGTGATATACATATCGTGGAATCCCAGGCAGTCAAGCAGGATAGGAAAACTTTCCTAACTATACTCATTAGCTTCCATCCTAAAATTCCAGGGCCAGGAAACTCACAGAGGATAGCCCCCATCTAGGCAACTATAAAACAGGTGTCGGAATGCGAATAGCTTCAAAAACAGTGGATTGGTGGTTGTAGGTGGGCTGGGAGGTTGGTGGCGGCGCCCTAATCACGCTTGGGATTGCAACTCCGACTCAGACCAGTGTACGCGGTTGGTTGGGCGGGTCTGTGCGTGCCGTCTGATTGGTCAGATCCAGCCAGTTGTACGTACCTTAGTCACTGTGGGGCCCAATAGCGCGCAATACACTGGTCTGAGTCCCTGAGATAAAGTTACTGTAATGCTGGGTACTGTGCGAATTGTACTGTACACTCAGTCCAGTACTGTACATACAATACCTTCCCAGGCCGGGCCAGGCTGTCGGCGACCCAGAGACAGGGAGTTACTCCCCTAAAGCCCAAGTCCTATTGTTACCATGTGAACATCATTGATACTTCCTACCTAAGCACCCTGGAAACAAAAAAATAGGCACCGCAAAACAGATGTAAGCCAGGAAAGCATCAACAGCACACTCAAAAGAGCTGCAAGTTAGATGCCAAAAGATGTTCTGAATATCTATTTAATCGCCATTTATATTACTATCTAATTTCAAGCAATCATTGAAAATCTAGGGGATTGGATTCACCCATCTATTGGAGTTTTCCTGACTTACATCTGTTTTGCGGTGCCTATTTTTTTGTTGCCAGGGTGCTAAGGCAAGGTCGGTAATCAACGGGCCATACGGATACGGCATCACCAGGCAAATCGTCGAGTTACACTATTCCGGTACTACTATACTGAACAGTCGCCGTCGATACGGCGGTTCTCAGGCGGGGATCTGGAATATGGTAAGAAAACCCCAACCAACTGAAACCCGAACGCCTGGCGCCCGGGTGCTTCAATGCTTGAGTTCCCGTCCAGCGCAACCGCAGCGGCTGTGGGGTATTATACACGCCAGTTACCGGTAGTCCCGTCCAGCACCGACAGGGTCTACATTTTCCCGCCGTCACACTCCCCTGGCAAATCTGCCGATCGTGATTCGGTATCAGGAAAACGTCTGTTGTCTGAATAAACTACCTAAGTAACTGATTAAGCATATTGGGCACTCGACTCGCCGACTCGCCCATGTCTTGTCCACCAGGCATCGGAAAGCACAAAGCAGAAGAAAGAGAAGGAGCGATGGTCATTCTGCACCTTGACGCAACCTGACGCCAGCGCCAACGGCATACCGGAAAGTGGAAACTGGAAACTGCAAGATAGCACCGGCCACGGTACCCGAGCCACTCACCACCTCAGCCATGCCCCCCCCGAAGAATGAGCGCATCTTTGAGCCGAATGCATCCATCGTGCTCATCGGCTGCCGTGGCGCAGGAAAGCGCACGCTGGGATTTATGGGTGCGCTTCATCTCCGCCGCCGTCTGGTCACCGAGGACCACTATTTCGAGAAGCTCACGGGTCTGACCCGGGCCCACTATCTCGCAAGGCACGGGAGAGAGCATTTCGCCCGCCAGAGCATTGACGTGTTCAAGCGCATGCTCGACAGCAACCGGACTGGGTGCATCATCGAGTGTGGTATGAGCAGTCTGAGCGATGAGGCCCAAGATGCCTTGCGCGAGTACTCTCAAACCCATCCCGTGGTATACATCCACCGCGAGAAGGAGCAGATATCGCGTCTCATGGATGCCGCAGACGCCGAACAGCTGTTGAAGGCCGACGAGAAGCACAGAAGCTGCTCCAACTTTGAGTATTACAATCTCTACGACCCCTCAACTCCCTCCCCGGCCCATGCGACAGTACCCATCTCCGGAACCAGCACCCCGGTAGGTAGCCAGCAGCATGCGCCTTCAAAACTCCTCGGCGTGAGGGAAGACTTTGCAAGATTCCTCGACATCATCACCGGACGGGGCGCAACCAAGGCGTGGCTGGAGAGCCCCTTTTCTGTCGCCGCTATCCCTCCCGAGTTTCGGTCTTACTCATACGCCCTACGCCTTCGTCTCTCGTACTTGATGGCCATGGACCTGGAATGGGAGGACTTTGAAGCGCGGGGGGACTGTATCGAGCTAATTATTGACCACTGGCCCGAGGATCTTCTGAACATCATCGCAAGACAGGTTGCCTTAATAAGGAGGAAACTAGGCATACCCATCATCTACCACGTCGAGGAGAACCCTCGCGGAGAGCGCCGAAGGCCACTAGAGGAGCGAAACGCAACGGATGCCGAGCTGCTTGAGCTTGGGCTTCGACTCGGGGTTGACTACATCAGCGTAGACCTGCAGCGTGACGAGAGCTTAGTACACCGCGTCTTACAACATCGGGGCAGGTCAAAGGTCATTGGCAACTACTGGTATATGGGTCTGAGCGCCCTGCCCTGGCAGGACCCCAAGCAAATTGAAAACTATCAAAGGGCACAATCTCTAGGCTGCGACCTGGTCCGGATGGTGCGCTTCTGCATCGGAAATACCCCGGCCGAGCTCCTCGGAGACTTCAAAAAGCGTTTAAACGAGGTAGTGCCCGACCCCAAACCGCCGCTCGTGGCCTACGACTTCTCCATCCTCGGGGCGAGGACACCGTTCCAGAGCCGGATCCTCAACCCGGTACGACACCCAGACATGGAAAACGAGCGGGACCACCTCGCGACCGTGACCACCTACCCGGCCTCGTTCGAGCTGCTGTTCGGCCAGTTCCTGCTCGACCCACTCCAGTTCTACGTGCTGGGCTCCAATGTGTCGTACTCGCTCTCGCCGGCCATGCACGGTGCGGCCTACGACTTTTCGTGCATGCCGCACACCTTTCAAGCCGTGACATGCTCGACGCTGGACCGGCTCAACCAGATCTGCGCGAGCGACTCGTTTGGCGGCGCCTGCCTGACGGCGCCCTTCAAGGTGGCCATCATGCCGCACCTCAAAGTGAAAAGCAGCCACGCCGAGGCCATTGGCGCCGTCAACGTGCTGCTGCCGCTGCGCGGGCGCACCTCCGCCATCCTGGACCACGCCAACTCGCGCAACAAGGCCGGGCTCGCAAAGGAGTTCTTTGGCGACAACACCGACTGGAGCTCCATCCTCACCTGCCTGCGCAGAGCCATTAGTCCGAGGAACTACGTCCAGCCCAGCAAGACGACCGCCCTCGTCGTCGGCGCCGGCGGCATGGCCCGCGCCGCCATCTACGCGCTCTACCAACTGGGCTGCCGGAATGTATTTGTGTATAACCGCTCCGTGAACCGTGCGCTCGAGGTGGCGGCGCATTTCAACGCGTGGGCGGCGGAGCAGGCGGTTGGTCATGCTGCTGCTGTTGGGCCAGCGACTGCCGGTGCGGGTACGAGCCTGGTCAACGGCGTGGGTGCACCGCGCGAGTTTTGTCGGGTCCTGCAGTCGCTGTCGGATCCGTGGCCTAGGCAATACCAGCTACCAACCATGGTCATTTCGTGCGTGCCCGCCACGAGCGTCGACGGGAACCCGCCGGCGGACTTCGTCATGCCCTTGGACTGGCTGAGGAGTCCCACGGGAGGTGTGGTGGTCGAGGTAAGCTTCTCTTTCCCTTATCATCTTTCTAGCGCAAACCTCTAATGTTGTTGGCCTTGTCCCCCGATTCATATCATGTTGACTTGTTGGCTGACGGACGCACTCCTCGGCACCCTGTCGTAGCTGGCGTATGAACCCCTCGTCACACCCCTCGTAGCCCAAATGCAGGCCGTCCGAGACACCATGTCTCCCTCATGGGTGGTGGTTGACGGGCTGGAAGTGGTCGCGGAAATGGCCATTGAGGCATTTGAGTTAATGACGGGCCGGCCGGCGCCCAAGAGGCTGATGAAGGAGGTGTGCAGGAAGACATGGGAGGGGCAGCAGCAGCGCAGTCTTCAGTTTTTACGCTAAGGATTGGCATGACATGCCAGCCGGTATGATGATTGATGTTGGATGTGAGATGAGAAATCGAACCAATGGATACCCGGGCAACCTACAAGTGCGAGGACGTCACAACACAGGGGTTTAGCTTTACCCGACCTGGAGCGGGTGATCAGACTATTTACCAGTCTATCTATGGCGCTTGGATAGGATTATGGGGATGAATGCATTATGAGATCTCCTTTTGGTGTGTGTCAATGTGATTGTTCGTCTGCAGTAACCGAGCGTGTACGGAATGACGTCGGCGTACCCATCTCTCACATTTGTTGGGGCAACGCAGCACATACATGTTGCATGCAGCAGCCGGACTGCAGCCGTGACAGAAAGACCAGCAGTATGGAGGTATCGCTATGTCATCGCGAATGATTGACCCTTGAGTAGGCAGTATTACACAGTTCTACAAACACTCAAAAGAGAAGACCCATCCGAAAACGCCTGCGGAGACAAACCCGAATTTCCAGTGCCCCCCAGAGAACCCACTGATAGCCCAAAATATCCCGTGAATCGCTACCTGTAACCGCCAACCCCTTACCTACTGTACCCTCCAGCCGCCACGCCCATCCCCATCCAAACACCTGCGCGGTCCAACGCGTTTTTGGCCCACCCCAAGTCCCAGTTGATGCTCTGCAGACTAATCAGCTCGGGCGAGCTGAGCATTTGCTGCTCTCTCCCCTCGCGCTGTGCGGTCCAGACGAAGTTGCAAAGATCCATCAGACAGGCGTGGGTGAGCGCAGTCACGCCGTGGGCGGGCGCCATGACCTCGCGCCCGCCCCAAAACCTGACGAGCTCCGCCAACTCGGGGGAGTGGTCCCAGTGCCCATCGGGATGCTGTAGGGCGCAGAGACGGCGTATCACGTCAATGCGGTTTTGGGCGTTGTAGCTTTGCTTGGCCGGTGATGTCTGTGTCTGGGCCGGGGGCTTCTGGTCTGTGGCGGGCACAGTCGGGACGGCTTGGTACTGATAATGTCCGTAGGAGTAATGAGGCTGGACCTGCTGAACAGGCGGCTGTGGCATGAAGTGCTGCGATAATATTAGACACGAAACCTCGGGAAGTCTGGGGTTAGAGGAAGATGTTGGACGTACCGGAGGCGGCGCATAGACTGGGGCCGAGGCATATACGCCTGGTTGTGGTGGAAGTGGGCCTCGCTGCTTCACCAGGCTAATAATGAATATCCCCAAGAGCACAAAATCAAGTAGTCTGCTCAATAATGTTAGTCAACAACGTATATCCCCTCCAGACCATCCCGGGGAGGCTTCATACACAGCCAGGGCTGTCATTGCGCATCCGACCTTGGTCCATACAGGTATCAGAGGGCGGTCTGTCCCTTCCCAGGAGTTTTCCGGTATGAGGGCGATGAGCTCAATATGGCGAGCAAAGTAGTATAGTGCACCGCACCAAACACCACCAGCAGCGGCGAGCCAGACAGGGACGGTGTACATATGATAGGAGCCGGATCGTGATTGGGTCATGCAGAAGTAGACGCCGAGTAGGAAGTGCATAGCGCCCTGTTTGCTCGTTTAGCGGCGAGCTCTGCTCTCGAAGATTTCTGGGGAGACCTACAGCAACGATGCACAGGATGAACGGGATCGTTCCAACACCAAAGATATAGATGCACGAGTAGATGGCGACGGCGGCAACAAGGCCCTGTCCGGGCAGTAGCCAGGAGAAAGCCCGGGGGATTACGACTCTCGTGGGAGATGACATCTTGACATGACGGCAGTGCGATTACTGCGTCCAAGGACAAAAAGGAGTACAAATCGTTGAAGGCCAGCAGGCGAAGGACTTTCTTAACCTTCTTTTGATAGAAACGAACCAACGAACTCGCGCCTGGGCGACGTCCGAAGCGCATCTGCGGCTGACTAGCCACGAAACATGCTGTCGTGAGGAGGTGGCTGCAGCCACATGGAGATGCCTGCTTGGATGCGCTTTGATAGGGCGCTGAGGCCAGCGTACACAGTGATGTATGTACGACACGCCACTATGTCCGCGAGACATGGGGATTTGAGGGACATGGAGAGCACATTCTTCACATGTCGACTATACGGATGTCGGCCAACTAGGTAGCTAGGCGGGTAGGAAGAATATCAGGGCGCAAATGTTACCCTATCGGACCGCTCGCGGGGCATCAAGTAATATGCTCATGGTGGATTGACGTATGTAGTCGATGATTCAATTCTCATCCATGGCAGATGGTTTGCAACTGCAGGCGAGCTCAGAAAGAGCGATGGCGCCTGTTTCCTGAGGTAGGTGAGAAGCAATGACGAGTTGTCGAGGAAAGAGCCGAGCGGTTGACAGACTTTGACGTCCCCGTTTTAAGGCAGCGCTGGGCTTGTGTTCTCCACAGCCATCTCCTAATCTCCACCACGCTGCCACTGCTTCGCTGCCCTGCAGTTGAAGTTTCAACCGAACTTGAACGTCATCGGCTCATTGTTCCTGGTTTCGTTATTCGTACGATGCGAATACAGTTTGTGGTAATATGTTTGTTTCCTGCCGTTTCAATCAACGGCACGGCCCGATATAGTCGGCGGCCTCCTTTTGAGATGTCCCAGACTCCCAGCCATCAGCAAATGTTCACAAACAGTTGCTGGGACTCAGCCCTAGACTAGGGCCCCGACAGTCGCGTACTGCATCGCGTCCAAAGGTCCCATCCGATTGGTGCACCGCCTGTCGTTAGCTCTGGGCCCTTCACCTACAAACATGGATGGGAAATGGTGGGTTGCTGCGCCACGGGGGGATGGAACCTCACAAAGGGTTTCTAGGGCGTTTGTGAACTTGCGAGCATCTTTGGTTTTGTGGACAACTTGGCTGACTGCTGACCGTCATTGAATGCTCACGGGCTCCAGATGATATCCTCGCGCCGAGCTTTTGCGCTCTCGTAACCGCGGCGCGTCGATTGTCTGTCAACCCGATTCCGGGCAGTTACCGGTATTGAGCTCACCGTGGATCTGGGAATTTGCGGGTCTGGCGGAGTTTAATTCAACGTGCGCCGACTCGGCCCGGACTGGGACACCGGCCCGCAGCTTCAGCATATGAGACTCACCGAGCTGCACTGGCAAACAGCGGACACTAGGAGCCATGGACAAGGTAGAGCATGCTGAACGGGAGCATCTCAGCCTCCAGGAGCAACAACTGCTGCAGCCACAGCAACCGTACTCGCCCCTAGCATCTTCCGGCCGCTCTTATACATCGGGAAGCAACACGGTCCCAATGACCGAGGAGGAACTGCAATCCAGCTCCTTACACAGCCCGTATACCCCGAGCGCGGCTTCAGTTAACCTACCCACCGGCCACAACAACACTCTTTACATACCCCGCTCACCCACACCACCGCCTTATTCAGGCCCATCAACCCCGGCTCAGGAACCGATTCCGCCTCACTCGCCATCCGCGAAACCTCCGCCACGGTACCCGGGTCTCCCTGCATTAGACTACCGTCTCTACAACCCTCCGTTATTCGAGCTCTCGGCGGACAAAACCACCATCCGCACCACGGTCCCCTACCTCTCCACCAACGCGGAAGCTCTGGTGGCTCTCATCCGGCAGCAAGCCACGGTCCCTCCCAAGCCGCAAATCCACATTGTTGGCCGGCGTGGGGGCAGCCCCGGCAGCGGGCGGGTGGACTTTTCGCTGAAGCTCAACCTCATGCCGCTGCTGGTGCCCGAGGACCCGCGGCAGCGGATGGACTACTTGCGGTGCGTTGGGCCCGGGGAGGTGGCGTTCCGCGGGGGCAGCAAGCCTTCGACGCAGCCCGAGGCGGCGACGGCCGACGGCGACGGCGGCGGGCTGGAGGCTTGGGCAGCGCGCTTCGTCGCCGACTCGGCTAGCGTCAAGTCATTTGCCTTGGAGCGCGTCGTGGCCAACCTGGACGTTCACTGGCTCGAGGGCCAGATTAGGGCGCTGATTGCGGGCATGAAGTATCCCGGCACCGTGTCCGTCACGTTCCCCATCACACACTGCAAGGTCGTCGTGCAGAACCCGGACCGTGTGAATAAGTTCTTTACGAGCGTCACCGGCTTCTTCGCGGGGAAGAGGAAGTATGAGGTTGTCAAGGCCGTCTGGCCGTTTGCGACCATGCATCGGGCTGGTGAAGGCGAAAGGAGATGGTAGGTACCGACTGGGATCCCTACAAATAAAAGGATTGTCTCCTTCATGAAGCAGGAACAGTTTAACTGACATTGCTTTTAGCGCAGTGCAAAGTGAGGAGGTTTGGTGGAGGGAGTGGCAAGAACCGATCCGCTACGGTATTTACTGCTACCCGGGAGTTCATTCAGAAGAATTGCTCTACTGACTCTGATGACAGCTATCGCGGCGAAACGGCACGGTTGGCTCACCAACGAAGACAAACTCGAGGCTATCATGGAGGGTGCGCCACCGGCTGCGTCTGCTGTGGACTGGGGGCCTCCAGAGTATTCTTAGGCCGTTATGTTTTCTTGATTTGCATAATAATGGTGGTACACTAATGATAGCTATAGCGATGGAGTTCCGGTATAAGCGGCCAGCTGTATCAACTAGCGACAGGTATAGTGAGACGAGACTCTGTTTTGAAATCAACAGATCAACCCCTTTCAACCAGCGTGATCAGGGTGAGTTACACCGTATGCCTTTCATTGCCTTCTTACTGTGCTGAGTGGGGATTCTCATCCCAGTTTGGGCCTCATCTCACATTGAGAAATGAGAACCAGTGGCTGAAGGCATTTGCAAAGACAATATCCAATGCAATAGGCTTCTTACCTTATTTTACCCTGCAATAATCTACAGGTACAATGAGTCTCTCAGCGACATACAATTGAGATGACTCACCCGGACAGTTATCGTGTGGGCTTAACAGGCCGCAAGCCAGCGCCGGCGGTGACTCTCACACTCAGCCTCAGCCCATCTCACGGGCTGCGGGGAACCAAATCACCATCTTCCATGCTCCCTCACAAGCAGACAATGAGAACAGTGGCCGCTCAAATTCTGAAGAGGTATTTCAATCCAGAAACTCCTGATTTTTTCTTTCTTTTTTTTTTCTAGTTGTTTCTCAGTTTCTCCTAATCGAAAGTAGTCATTCAGCACACGGAGGGGCTGAGCTCGCCTCTCATTCATAGACCACTTACATCGCCACACTCATCGACATAGGCAGATAGCCATCATCCTGGCGACCACCAACTCATCATCAACACCCGGACACAAACTTTCAATAACTATGGCATCCCCACCCTCATCCTTACCTTCACCCTCACCTTCATCCATACAGCCACAGTTCTCCATCACCTCCCACGACACAGCCCTCGCCCTGGTACCTCCACAACCCCTCTGGCCGCGCCTCGACCGCCTCCGCGCCCTCTACGACAAGGCATACCCCAAGTGGCCTCCCCACGTCAACCTCGTTTACCCCTTTGTCCGGCCTGACTGTCTGGACGCGGCCGTCGCCCAAATCGTGTCTGCTCTGTCCCAGCCCTCGGAGGAGGAGGCGGCCTGGAATAAGGACGGGATTGAAGTGTGCCTCGACACCGTGGGCGTCTTCAGGCACAAGAGGGATAATACCATCTATTTGCATGACGGTCACGGTTACGGTAATGATGGTGAACTTGAAAAGGCGGCGGCGGGATTGGTGCGGTTAAGGCGGGAGGTGTTGGCCGCGCTGGCGGCGTCGTCTTCTCATTCCGGGTACAAAATGCACCTGACTGTCGGGCAGAGCGAGGATGTCGAGAGCGCGGCGCACAGGTTCCTGGTGGACAAAGTAGGCCTAATGCCCCCCGTGAGGTGGACTGCCGGGGAGATGCAAGTCTTGGTCAGGGAGCGGGATGAGCAAGGGGGCGGTAGTAGGATGCGGTTGTGGGGCGTGATCAAGGTGGCAGACGGGACGATAGAGAGGGTGGCCGGGAAGAAGGCATTGTTTTATGAGGATGGGGAAGGACACGGGCTGCGGGGAAAAGAAGGTCAGGAGGATCAAGAGGAGGTCGGGCAGAAGGACCTGCTTCAGAGTGATCTGCCGTACCACTTTGAGGAGAAGGCGGCACGGTGGGTGCCGGTTGATCCGCGTGCGTCGGAGACGGAAGGCGTGCAGTCAAGGTCGTTGACCGTCGCGAGCTACAACGTCCTGGCCGAGTTCGAGTGGCCACCTTCAAAAGCCCGGTACCCCATGCTGGTCGATAACATTCTCGCACGGGATGCCATTGCCGATGTGCTGGTGTTGCAAGAGGTCACCGACGGCTTTTTATCGTTCCTCCTTGCCGACCCGCGGATCAGGGACGCCTACCCCTTTTGCTCTCACGGGCCTCCGGACCAGGACGACGTCGAACCGCTGCCCAATTTCCTTAATATTGTGGTACTGAGCAAGTTTGCCTTCGACTGGGAGTACGTGTCCTTTCACAGGAAGCACAAGGGTGCTGTTGTGGCGAGGTTCGGTGGCCTTCAGGGGCTCGGGCCACGTCCCGTCATCTTGGCCGCTGTCCATCTTAGCCATGGCCTTACCGATGGAGCGGTAGCGGCCAAAAAGACTGATATCCGGAGGATCATTGGCTATCTGTCCGGAACGTATTCTAATCATCCTTGGATTCTGGCCGGCGATACCAACATTCCAACATCGTCCATCTCCATTGACGCGGCGCTCAGGAAGAAGTCCATCTCAGAGCTGACGGCCAACCATCTGGCCAACCTTGAAGATCTCTTCGCCGAGGCCCAGCTAGATGACGCGTGGAAGGTATCAGTGGCAAATGACCATGCTGACAATGACGAAGGACTTGCCGAAGGCGAACGAGGAGCCACATGGGATCCGATCACGAACGATGCGGCTGCCGCTATGGCAGGGAGCGGTGCCAACACGCGGCCACAACGCTACGACCGGATTTTTGTCCGAGGCGAGGGAGTTCTGGAAATTTCCCAGTTCAACATGTTCGGCCTACCCAGGCGTATTGACGCCAATGCTTCCGACTCTGAGCCTGCATGTGCAAGTGATCACTGGGGCGTCAGATGCACCCTCAATTTGAATCAATGTGGCGACAAGTCAGACGGGCCATCCGAGGAAATCAGCAGTCTAATCGTGCCTGTTCATTTCAAAGAGGCACCAGAAGCCCTAGCTCGGATAGGGAGCGTCAAGGAGTCTCTATTAGAGCTTGGTGTCATTCCAACCGAAGAAGAGACTTTGGAAAGAAAGGCTGCATTTGAGCTCCTGAAGCGCCTCCTTCTCGATACATCCGCCCTCAACACAGTGGCGACGACACGTTCTCAGCCCAGAGTCGTCGTGGTCCCTGTCGGGTCGTACGCACTCGACGTCTGGACTTCGACCTCGGATATGGACGTCTTATGCATCGGGCCTTTCAGCTCCAGCACCTTTTTTGCCCTCGCCTCTCAGCGCCTACGCAAAGCAGCTGCACAGGGCATCAGGATCCTCCGCCGAGTGCGGGCAAACACAGGCACTATGCTTGAAATCGAGGTGCACGAGATCAAGATGGACTTGCAATATTGCCCGGCCACCGACGTTGCGGAGCGCTGGCCTGATGCTCTTCGTATACCTGCCTCGGATCCTATCTGGTCTCTGTCGGCGCAAACTCTCTGCAAGCTCAAGGCTGTTCGTGACGTTGACTATCTCCGACGCTCGCTCCCGGACCTCGCCGTGTTCCGCGTAGCCCACCGATTCATCAAGACGTGGGCTAAGTCTCGTGGCACTTACTCTGCCCGCTTCGGCTTCCTCAGCGGTATTCAAATCTCGATCCTACTTACACGTGTCTGCAAGCTCGTTGCGCGGGAATCCGGCCCTCGCTCCGTCGAGGACATCCTCGTCACGTTCTTCTCTCACTATGCTTCTTTCGGCTGGGCAACCAAGATGGCTTTTGACCCGTTCTTCCACAAACAGCGACTTCAGTACACTCGCACTCCGCGCGAGCCGCTGTCAATCCTAGGGTATTTCCCTCCTTCGCTCAACACGGCCCTCGCCGCCTCCGTGTCGTCCGTCCGAACACTCTCGGCAGAATTCCTCCGCGCCATCGAATCCCTCTATTCGGCATCTTCCTGGACGTCTTTCCTTTCCTCACCCACTGCCACAGCGGACTTCCTAGCCGCCCATCGAACCTACATCAAGCTGGACGTCCAGTACTGGGGCCTGTCCCACACCAAAGGCGCACAATTTCTCGGCTGGCTCGAGTCCCGCTGCGTGCTGCTTCTCGTGGACCTGCAGCGGCGGGCACCGAACTTGCACACACGCATGTGGCCAGCACGCTTCGTGGAACGAGCCGAAGCTGACAACAACACCTCTCCTGAGCATACACTAGAAGAAGGAGAGCAGGTACACGAGCGGGACTACCGCGGGAGTTACCTAATCGGCCTCGACAAGCTGGACCCGTCCCAGACGAAGGAAGACCTGAAGCTGTCTCTCGGGGCGCTGCAAACCGCGCTTTCCCGGTTCGAGACGCAGATGCGCGGCGACGAGCGCTACTTTGACGCGCGCAGCTGCTGGCTCAGCGCGGGGCTGGTGAATCAAGCTGAGTTGGGAAAGCTTAACCTAGAGCCCGATTCCCGCGAATGGGGCGAGTACAACCCCGGCGAGGACGAGGAAGAGGAGGATGACTCTGACGAAGAGGAGGAAGTGGACCAGCTCGATGATGCTTGGCAGGAAGACAACGACGAGGGTGCGGCTAGGAAATCCAAAAAGAGTGTCAAGGAAAAGGGAGGAGGCCGGCGGCCCATCGCCTCCATCGACCTTCGCACGGACAAGACGAGAAAGTTCCGCACGGCGGCCGACGCCATGAACCGGATCCGGTGGGACCCCCAGCTTGACAGCAGCGACTATGTTGTCGGGTACGAAGACCGGTTCACCGGTGCTCAGGAGAGGGATGTCGAGGCGTGGAAGAGCGAGCAAACGGACGAGGAGTTTATTCCGCAACATCGTATCTTGTATTTCAGGCGCAAGAGCGATTCCAAGATCGTCTGGGACAGGAGGACAAGATGGGACGAACTCTTCGGGAACGAGGGGAAGGCTTCTACATAGGTGGTGGAGGAGGGGTTAGTCGGATGATAAAAGACACTTGGAACCAGACAAATTGTGAATTCGAATGGAAAATGGGGTATCAATTTTCATTGCCGCTCTCTGTCAGCGTAACGGTATGCTTATTATTCTCCTGCTTCTCTTCCAGCAGCGCAAAATCCATCTCCCATCTGCTGGGAACAATTTCCAGCCTGCTCTTCCAGTCCTGGCTCCCGGGCGTCCTGGAAAACCCCGCAATCAAGTCTTTCACTGTCCCCTTGGGCTTCCGGGGCTCGGTCGGAACCTCCACCCTCGTTAATGCCACCGGGGGGTCCCGATTGAGCATGGCCCAAAGCCTCCTCTCTTCGTAGTATGATGCCCTGGCATCCAGGGCGTCAGCATATGCTTCGTGATCCCTGGCGGCGCGGATCCGCCTCCGGAGCGCATCGCGTGCTCGCTTGGTATTCGGATACTCAAGGGCTGAGTGGACCAAAAGCTCGTTCATCTCAAGGTCGATGGCTTTCCTTTCCGCCTCGGTCTCTTCTCTGTCAAGATAATCCCCGCCGTCAGAACTTTCTTCAAGCCGAGGCCCGAGGTCGATTGATTCGGCATCGGATAATGGAGCTGCATCGTAATCAAGATCTTCCTCTTCCTCTGACGACTGGGACTCATCAGGAGCATCTTCACCCTTACTAGTCTCCGGTTCAACACCAAGCGCCCTCTCCACCTCGTCATAGGACATCGGCCCATCCTCATCCCGCCTGGCCACCTTCCCGTCCACCTCATCATCCAAAATATCTATCCTCAACCTCCTAGCACACTTTGCCCAAAACTCCTTAGTGTTCGTCTTGAGCCCCAACGACAGCGCCGCAGCCTCGACATCTTTCGGTGTCACCCTCATGGCCGTACGCGCTACCACCTTCCTTTTGGCCCTCACTCTCGACTCAGCGACATACAGCGTAGCCGCGACAAGGCGCCTTGTGATCGAAACCGCAAGCGCGTAAAAGTCCTCCAGTGCCGTGGCCCTGATCTCAGGCGAACCCCCTTCCTCAGCCACACAACTCCAATTATACTCCTCCACGCTCGAGTTCATAAACACCCTCTCCGCCAACCTCAACCAGCTAACCACCCTGAAGAACCCCACCGAGGACATAGCCGGCGGACGAGCCTTCTCCAGCTCACGCAGATTCCCCTTCCCGATCTTCCAGAAACCTTCATCCTGACCCCACCTCTTCTTCTCCACCGTCTCCTCATAAGCCTCCTGGCGCAGCGCGAGGGCATCAGCCGCCTCCTCCAGCGCAGCCACACACGCCTGGCTGATCTCAACGGCTGCAGGCAGGTCGGCGGGCACGACTACGGCGGCGGCCGCCCCTACCGCGCCGCGGCCCCGCTGGCGCTTCTCCTGCACGCGCTGCCGTTGCCCCTGCTGCAGGAGGGCCATGTAGGCCATGACGTCGAATTCTGTCTTGGTCCGCACCCGCGCGGCGATCCCCGCGACGTCGTCGCGGCCCAGGCGGGCGAGGGCTTCGAAGAAGAGCGTCTTTTCCGCGGACGTCCAGTAGACCAGGCCGATTTGTGAGGGGCCCAGCTCGGCCGCGGGCGAATCCGAGTTCCAGGCGTGAGGGGTAAACTGCGCGGCAGCGTCAAGGATGTCCTCGTTCAGCAGGCCCAGGTAGGCGTGATTCAGCGGGGCCTTGCGGCGTTTGAAGGGTCTTGGGTCCGGGGTAGGGCCCGAGCGGGAGCGCTTATGCGGTGCGGTTGGGGCTGTCGAGAGAGTGCTGTAGCCTGATGGAATCTGCTGTTCTAGGGAGTCTAGAGGGTTTTTTTCGGAGGGATTGTCTGGGTGGTTACCGTCTTCTGAGGTGACTGAAGGGCTGTAGTTGCTGTCGGCGGAGGATATTGAGTGTCGGCGTTTTGGCAGCTCGTTGAAGTTGTCATTTTCGCTGCTGTCGTCGTGCACATCATCGCTGCCGCGGTTTTCCTCTTCCTCTTCATCTTGCTCTTCATCCTCCTCTTCTTCTTTCTCTTCCTCGTCTTCTTCCTCTTCCTCTTCTTCTTGCTGTTCCTTTTCTTCGTCCTCTTCCTCTTCCTCTTCTTCTTCCTCATCTGCGTCTTCCTCTTTCTCTCTGTCTTCCTCGCTCTCGGGAATTTCGTCTGACTGGGCCCTTGACGGTAGCTGTGGACGCAATTGCAGCTGTCTGATCACCATGGACACGGATTCTCTCAGACGGCCCGTGTCCTGAACCTCATGGTCGCTGGAGTCGCCGCCGGAGTCCATTGTTTGACTTCACCGGGATAAGGCTGTGGGAATGCACATGACTTGTTGTTTGACAGTTTGACAGGCCGAGGGACAATCCGTGGTGCTACAGGTTTTAGCGAGATAAGACATTGATTGAGTCCGGTAGGCCAAGTTAGAGGAGTTGACAAGCTACCGTATCAAAATCTGCAAAGGAACCTGGAAAGAGATTTGCAAGAAAGAGAAGTCCTTTCCGAGACGGATTTCATTGAACTTGATGTTCAACGAGGCTGACGTCTTGCGCACTGTGTAAATCGACATTTGGAGATTAAGCCAATCACTGGCCGCCTTGGCAGATCTTAGATGACCCAGTGCCGAAAAGAGACGTCCTCCACTGGCAACTTCACGCATCAGTTGCATCAGATGATCAGAGTTCATCAAGAGCCCAGCTGCATCCGCCGCCATGGAAGTAAAGTAAAGAGGAGTCTTTTCTACACAGAGATCGCGTCATGGAGAGACTGGTTCCACGAGTGCTTCCACTTCGGCCTGGGTGGCCCGTAAAAAGAGTGCCGTCAAAATTGCGGCCATGTCTCTTGCCAACTCGCACAAGTCTTGCCACACGCTTGACTCACAGCCTGCCTCAGCGCTCCCAGGGGCTTCAGTTGCGTGACTATCAGGAAGAATGCATCCAGTCCGTGCTGAAGTCTCTGGAGAATGGCAGCAAACGTCTTGGTGTTTCGCTGGCTACGGGCAGCGGCAAGACGGTAAGAGGAGTCTAGACCCCTGCCAGACCATACGATACGTTGCTGATACCGTCAAAGGTCATATTCACTCAGCTCATCGGTCGGGTCAGTCCGCTATCCGAGACGGCAACCCAGACTCTGATTCTCGCTCACAGGCGGGAGCTCGTGGAGCAAGCCGCACGCCACTGTTCCCTGGCCTACCCGGATAAGACCATCGAACTCGAGCTTGGCAAGTTGTCAGCCTCCGGCACTGCTGATATCACCGTTGCCAGCCTGCAGAGCATCACCTCGCGAGACCGCCTACTCAAATTTGACCCTGGCAGGTTCAAATTGATCTTGGTCGACGAAGCCCACCACATTGTTGCTCCAGGCTACCTGAGAGTTCTCGATCATTTCGGCCTGAAGACCAAGCAGCCATGCTCGCCGCACCTGGTTGGCGTTTCTGCCACATTTTCTCGGTTCGACGGTCTTAGGCTGGGGGCGGCTATTGACGAGATAGTGTACCACAAGGACTATGTGGACATGATTGGGGACAAATGGCTATGCGACGTCATCTTCACCACCGTCGAGAGCAAGGCGGATCTTTCCAAGGTCAACAGGAAAGGAATAGGGGGCAGTGGTGAGTTCGACACCGAGTCCCTGTCCCGCGCCGTCAACACGGTCGAGCTCAACGACATTGTCGTTCGGTCCTGGTTTGCCAAGGCTGCTGGAAGGAAATCGACCCTGGTGTTCTGCGTTGACTTGAATCACGTCTCCGCTCTAACCCAAAGATTTCGTCACTACGGTGTTGACGCCCGGTTTGTCACCGGTGACACGCCCGCTCGCGAGAGGGCCGAGCGTCTAGACGCCTTCAAAAGGGGCGAATATCCCGTCTTGGTTAACTGCGGTGTCTTCACCGAGGGCACTGATATTCCCAACATTGACTGCATTGTGTTAGCCAGGCCCACACGGTCCCGGAATCTGCTTATCCAGATGATTGGACGTGGCATGAGACTCCATCCCGGCAAGACCAACTGCCACATTATCGACATGGTTGCCGGACTCGAGACTGGCATTGTCACCACTCCCACTTTGTTCGGGCTGGACCCCAATGAGATTGTGAGCGAAGCCACGGGTGTGAATATGCAAGAACTGCGCCAACGTCGAGACGCCGAGAAAGCGAGAGCTGCCCAAGTCATAGAGAGTAGCCCAACCACCGAGCCGACAAGGCGCTCTTATAACATCACCTTCACCGAATACGACTCTGTCTTCGATCTGATCGCTGATACGTCCGGGGAAAAACACATCCGCTCCATTAGCCAACTTGCTTGGGTACAGGTTGCGCCGGAACGCTATATCCTCTCGACCGGTGCTTCAGGAACATTTTTGAAGTTGGAGAAGGTTGCCCATGCAGAGCCAGACGACCCGCAGTATAAAGCATGGGAAGTTAGGGCATTGCCACCTGGAGTGTCAAAATCGCCCTTTGCAGCGCCGCGCGAGATTCTGAGTGCATCAACATTTGCGGACGCCGTGCATGGTTCTGACAAGTATGCGGAAGAACACTATCCGTTCTCCATCGTCTCCACAAGAATGGCGTGGAGAAAGGGGCCAGCGACGGAAGGACAGCTAGAATTCTTGAACAAGTTCAGACCGGCAGACGATAAACTCGGACCAGGAGACGTGACGAAGGGTCGGGCGGGCGACATGATTACCAAGATCAAGCATGGCGCTCGGGGCAGATTCGCAAGTATCGAATCTGTCAAGAAAAGGGAGCAGAGATTAGCCCTTGCTGCCGAACTGGATCGCGCGCGGAGACTTAGCGAGAGGGTTTCTGTCGGGCCTTTATCCCCGTGACTGAATCGTTTTATCTCCCGATCAGTCAGCTTCTTTGGTACATAGTGGCGACAATGAGCCGGTCGGCAGTCCGGTTGCAAGTTGGCAAGAGTTCGGTGGCGTCGGTGAAACTCTGACAGGCGCGATGGTCGGCTACAATTGTTGCTGGCGTTGAGGCTTGTGGATCTCGGAAAACCCAGTGCTACCTTTGGGTACGTCCGAGTCCTGGGTCAGTGCAGTGAAATGTTTGAGCACAGGAAGGCAGGAACACTGGGTAGCTAGGTGGCTGGCCTCGCTCCTTCCCTGCTTGGTGGTCAGAAACGATCAGGGTGGTTTCGTTTCGACGCACATCCTCAGCAGGCCTGTGACTTCCTCTGTTCCTGATTATAGGTTAATACTGTTCATCGGTCAGCGCACTGTTGAATAGCGATTTTGGTTGAATCGGACACTGTCCGAGGCATACTACCTGGCATTTAACCAAAGCTTGGGGAACAGAGGGTGTTAATAGGGGAGGACGGTGAGCGAACTTCTGCCATTGCCCTACTTGGCGATTTCCTCTGTTTACTTCGTCCCCTCGCTTTCGCAAACCCAAATCAACTACTCCAGCCTTTGCACCCCGCCACTTCACCCATCATTCACACCATCTCCTGCCCATTCTTTAGCTGCCACACGGGCCGATGAGGAAGGGTGGTCGTGCATCTTTGCGTCGGCGTCCCGAGCCAACTTTCACATACAACCCGCGCCACTTGCGAGAACTTTCCACCCAAAAGAAAAGAGCCTTCAATAAGAATTCACAATGGAGGAAGGCTTCCGTGCGGAGACAAGCGATTCCACCAGAGTAACGACCCGTCCTGGACCAGATGCTTGTCGCCTGTTGGCCAATCCATCAACCTCGGTCGCTGTTGCGTCCTCTTGTTCACTGGTTGAGCACCCGACCGTTAGCCAATATCACGGCGCTGGCTCCTCTCCATTGACTTCACCAGAGTTAGATGCCGCAAAGGATTCGGCGCCGTTGGCTTCACGGCAGATTAATGGAGCACAGCTTTCGACCCCATCAACATCGCCAGAGACCGACACAGCCCAGTTTACGGATCGTAAAGCAGTCGCGCCAGGAGCGTCTGGAAAGAAAGTCGATAATGATAATGGCATGGAACTTGCCTACGACACCTCTTGCGTGGCGCCGATTCCCTTCCCACGGCCTAGGCCTGGGATCACCTGCCATCCAGTTCGGAACAGAACCAGGATCCCGAACCCCCCGCTCGATCTAGCGACAGCCCTGAACCGAGACAAGCCTCTGGGCAGGCGGGTGACAGCCACACCGATTGTTACAGTTTCGGACTGGGATGGCGCCCACGTGTGCGGCACTCTCGCCGAGACAGCGGCCATCGGGGGGGAGCCCATCCTCTTTGCCAAACAGGTCGAAATCGGGCAACCAAGTATTCCGTATGGCGACTTCGCAGTCTTGCGCCATGATTTCTTCAAATTCCCGCAGCCCGACATGGGAAAGATTAATCGAGAATTCGACGAAGACTATCTGAAAGTGAAGAACCCTCCTACTCTAGGACTCGACCTGCCGATTGTCGACAAATGCATGGACCGATATGCCGAGGAAACCATGGTCTTTGCCGAGACAATGGAAGAGCACCAGGACCAATTTGACTCGTGGCAGCATGTCATCACCTCCAATGAAAAAGCCCTCAAGGATCTTGATGAGAAACGGGGACGGGTGATTCGAGATTACAAACAGCTGAAGTCGGTGCTGCCCGCGCGCATCCCGCGCGAATACCTTGCCGAGATCGCTGCGGCAGAGAAGGTTGCGCAAAGAGATATCGCACAGGCACAGCGCGAAATCAGGCATAATATCGTCCGTGGCAATACCATGATTGCGAACCATCTCCGGTGGGACTTTGACCTACCCGCAGCGATTGACGAAGCACAAGTCAAGAAAGTCGAGAACGAGACTGCCCAAGAGGAGCATGCGTCTTTGATGAGAGCAGCAAGAACGATTGGGACGCCCTATTTCGCGACAGGGCAAGATAACTCAGCAGTACAAGGGGTGACTCAGCAGCTCGCTTTGGTCGACGTCAAAGGAAAGGGGGTACTCAAGGATTCACAGCCATCACGATTTGAAGGACTCAACTCAGCAGAAGACGAGATTATCTCCACCGTTCCAGAATGGTTCACAATCCTAGACTCCAAGGGTATCATCAGACTCCGCGCGCGTAATCCCAAAGACAGACTTAAGGAACTCCTCAAGATGATCGCAGACACGTCGCTCGCCTCGACCACTGAGCAAGTAAATCCGCCAAAGAAAGCATCTACCAAAGAATACCACGACCCAAACCCGGGTTGGCCGTACATTAAATGGCGGGTCCGGGGAGGATGGTGGACATGCCGCAGCGGCCCAGAGGCGTCGCGCGCTGAACGGAAGTGCAAGCTCTGCCACAAAGAAGAGGCCGAGGCACCCGTGCCCAGTGCCGCTGGACCTAGCAACACAGACAAACACAAGATGCTTATGGCGGAAGTTGACAAAGCCATGGCTGAGGCGAACAAGAGGGACAATATGCGGCTACGGGAACGGCAGCAAAGTGAAGATGAGGAGAAGGCGCAGCGTCGGCAGCAAGAGGAGTGGCGACGCCAAGGTGGCGGATTCTTGGCCTATGACTTGCTCTATGGTGGACGGATGGATGACGTGAACTACGCCAGCCGGGTTGGACTGTCAAGACAACACAGTGAACCCAAATACAACACGGAAGTGGTCGCAACGTTCTCGAGCTCGGCATCAAGCTGCATGAGCCAGGCAAAGTCCCAGGAATCCTTCACAGAGTCTGATGGAAAGCCGAAGAAGAAGGGCAAGTCTGTGAGTTTCCTGGTTTGAACGTGTACCCGGGGTTCCTCTCTCTCATTTGATGTGGCACACAACACATATCACATCCAGGGTTTGGTGGATAAAGGGATAAGAAGGCGAATTGGGTTGGTATCTTGGGTCAGGGAGTTCTGCTTTTCCTTTGGGTGTTTTAGGCGTTTCCGGCTTTTAGAGGCTGGGCTTGCTGGTGCCTGTGATGGTTCATTCCATCTGCACCGCATCTTTGATACCCCTCAAGATCCTTCTTTGCGGCCCGAAGAAGTGGCGGTGATACCACATCGGCAGGCTCCAGCCAAGCTTGAACTTGGCCATGAGAGTTATGGAGACAACTGCTGGGTAGGGAACTGGCACGGGCTGGGAGTTGGGGGACCATCCAGGGTCGTTGTTCGTTATTAAGAAACATGATGGTCTCAGTTAATTTCTCGCTCTTACCCCTATCTGATGGGGTATTTGACGTAATGTGGAATAGTTAGGTGCTCTCAATGACTGAGCGGATATGCACAGACGAGCATTCTTGATTGTATCGTCAAGATGGTGCATACATTGGCCAGGGATGAGAAAGAGCATAGGTACTAGGGGAAGGCGATTCTTGTAAAGCGATGGCATAATACATATTAACTAACTAATAAGAATCGCTGAGCTTGTGCCGGAACAAGTGATACTGAGAGAGGTATGCCATGTATCGTGCGTTCAATAATCATGCATCTTTATCTCTGTCTGTCGTCTGTTGTTTATTCCTTACCGTTCTGTTCCGCCTGTCCATTAATCATCCGCCGGAACACCAAACCTGGGAGAGATATGTCGTCCTGTAGCGGTGAGTAGTATGTCCACGAGTGCCTTACCGGTAGCTAGGTACTCACCAATCTGGTTTCTGTGATTCCTAGAAACCCCCCCATATCGAATCCACAAAACCAGCAGATCATGCTTCTTGTCGTCGAGCAAGATAGGATCCTTCCCAGTGGCTTTTTGCGGGTATGCCTTCTCCTGCCACTTTCAACACCGTCCCTTGCTGAGCAACGCTCTCTGCCGGCTGCAGGCCACTCCTCTCCCCCCCAAAAGCAGCATCGCACCTCTCGAACCGCTCACCTCCCTCTTCTTGATAACAGCGAATCCAGCAACCTTGCTCCCCGACAACCTCGCCGCCCGCAGCCGGTAACCAGCCCTCCGGGGGACGATCTCCCCCTCCAACTTTCCCCCGCGTGCCAGGGTTAGACGGCTCTCCGTCCTCGACCAAAGGCGGAGCGGGGGAGGGCTCTCCGTCTTTGAATATGTTGCTGTCGTCGCCGCCATGCAGCGCCCGGCTCTGGCCGCGGCGATGCACCTCGCACGACTTGTCGGTCTTCTTCATGGTCATCCAGGCGGTGCAGTCGTGCCGGAACGGACCGCACACGTGCTGCGTGTCGCTGAACTCGATGCAGCCGCAGCCGAATCTCAGGCAGACCTTCCAGCAAAAGTAGGGCATATTGCCTCTCTTGCTCACTGTCGCGCTCTCTTTTGCTCGCTTGCTCGGCTGGAGGAGGAGTAGATGAAAACCTAGGGGTGCTGAGGTCTGAGGCTTGAAGGAGCTCTGCTTTGCCTAGGAATCTAGGTGCCGCACCTGCCTGCGTGTGGTTGAGCGGCTGGTTCGGTTTATAAGGACGTTGTCCAGGGTTGTTGCTGTTTTTCTTCGATGGCTCTGTACTCCGTACTGGCGCTTCTCGGTTTCACATGGATAAGAGCAGCTTTGGAGATGCTGCTAAGAGGGTATGAGAGAGCTTTATACTATGAATATTGGAGGTTGAAGTCGAGGTCGGTGGTAGGTGGCTTCTTTGGCAGAAGGGCAATCAACAGATGAGAGAGTCGATCTTTTCACATGAACACGGGACGCAGGAGATGGTGGTCTCGAGGGATGGATGAGGCAGTGTGTGAGCATGGGCAAGGCATCCAGGTAATGTCTAGAATTGCTTCATTCACTGCCGGTGAAGGCTCCGTTGATGTGTGACAGGGCGGAGGCAGGCATCGGAGATCTTGTTCATGGAGGTTACTCAACGCTCACAATTACCGTACATTGTAGGTCAAGTAGCTAGGCAGCACACTCAGCCAACAACCTAGTGTAATTATCTGCCGCCTCTTCGACGGCTGTGGCTGGGGTTGCCCTCGCTGGCCTGAGGCTGCATCTTCAGAAATCCGATTGGGAAATGGCACGGTGTTTTGTCCCGGCACTGCACCCAGCATTGGCCAGGGGGTTGTGGGCTGTACTGTATGTGTTGTAAGTATGTCCTTGTAGGAGACTCGTCGGTCAAGACACAGGAGATATCGCGCAATCGGATTGGGCCCCAATGGATAAGATGCATTGGGGATGCGTGAGATGCGTCTAGCTGTTTGATATTGGTGAGTTGGCATGTCCAGGAGCAAGGTCGGGTGCAGTTTTTGGAGAGGGTTAGAGTTCAGCAGAACTTTGTGGGGAATGGAGTCAGGGTCGTGGGCGACGCCGGCGCACAGTACCTAAAGTTGAACAATTCTTACAGTGACTCCCGCGATAGCGGCAATCGCCGCCTCGGCTCAAGCATCAACAACCACTGCCGTCATTGGTGGTTGCCACGTTCAGTCTTGTCTTGGAACAATGGAACGTTGTAACGTTGAAGCCGCAACACCAGAAATTCCAAGTTGCAGCTAAGATGCTACTTTGGTGAACTGGCCAAAGTTTCTCAGTTGTGGTTCCATTCGGAGAGAACAGTTGTTCTATTTAGTTTCTTGTATTAGTTTTTCCATTCTACACTCTAATCTGCCTCTTGTACCAGCAGCTGCCCCCTATTTCCTTCCGTTCCAGCTTGAGCAACTCGCCTTCGATTTGTGACTACCATGGCATAGGCACCTTATTCCGACGAGATCACCCCTTTTCGCAAACCTGCTATACACGCGTGTTCAGGAACGATCAAGATGCCGCGTTCCCGACCTGCCACAACGGGCTACGAGCGCCTCGCTCAGGCCGACCAGTTCAGCGATGACTCGGACTACGACGATCCCCTCGCCGCAAGCTATGCCTCGTTGCAGCCGCAGGCCGCGCCGCGATATGAGCCCATCAACCAGCCTCGTCCGCATTCCGGCATGGCGACGCCGAAAGCGCTAGGCCGTCGCGAGTCGTACTCGGCAGGTCGTCCCCGTCGACGCACCCGCCGGAACTCGGGTGTCGACCTGAAGGCCATCAATGCCCGCCTTGAACGCTGGGCCGACGAGATTGCCTCGAAATTCAAGCGCAGCCGCAACAAGAAGAAGGGCGAGGTGGAGCGCCTAGAGATCCACCACTCCGTCTTCCAGCCCCCCGAGGGCGTTCGGCCCGTGACGGCCGAAATGCTGGCCGTGCCTGAGCCTGGCTATACGACCAAAGCCGAATTCGACGCGATTGTGGACAGCGTCAGGTCCGCCATCCAGCAAGGTGTGCATCCGCGCATGATCTCACAGGGGAGCTCTGGCAGCTATTTTGCGAGAAATCCCGACGGCAGGGTCGTCGGCGTCTTTAAGCCCAAGGATGAGGAGCCATATGCAGCGGGGAATCCGAAGTGGAACAAGTGGATTCATAGGAACTTGTTCCCCTGCTGCTTCGGCAGGGCTTGGTATGTCAACCGTCTTTTCCAACCGTTTGATCCCTTAGCTAACTGTGTGTCCTCGGCCAGCCTAATCCCCAATCTTTCCTATGTCAGTGAAGCCGCAGCATATGTTCTTGACACCCAGCTCCGCACGCACCTAGTTCCGTACACAGATGTCGTGTATCTTTCGTCAAAGTCTTTCCATTACCCTTTCTGGGACCGTTACAACTTTTCGAGGAAAAAGAAGCCGCTACCTGCGAAGCCTGGCAGCTTCCAGGTCTTCCTCAAGGGCTTCAAAGATGCCAACGTCTTTCTGCGGGAACACCCTTGGCCAGATCAATATTTATCGGGATATCGCACTTCGGATACCCACAGGACACGGAACCGGCGCTGGGCAGACAGCTGTCGTCCTTCAACCGCCCGGCCGGACGATGGGAACAGCGATGACGGCCACGAAAGCCTGCATTCGGCCACTCCAGGGCCCGATAATTTTGTATGGACACCTTCCCTGAAGCAGTCGTTCAGGGAAGAACTCGAGAAGCTCGTCATTTTGGATTACATTATGCGGAATACTGATAGAGGGCTTGATAACTGGATGATCAAGGTGGACTGGGAGGCCCAGGAGGTCTCGGTAGCGTCGGAGCCGGTGCGGCTCAACATGGACACGTCGGATCCGGAACAAGGGCCGAGGCCTGTAGACCTATCCCAAAGGAGTCCACCTAAAACCCGAGCTTCGTACCCGTATCGGGTGGAACGCCCAATGGACGTGTCTACGCCCGCGTCAAGCACGCCGGACCCGAAGATCACAATAGGGGCCATTGACAACTCGTTGTCGTGGCCCTGGAAACACCCTGATGCTTGGAGAAGGTGAGCCGCCGCACCAAACACTGGTCGAGATTGGTACTGACAGATGACAGCTTCCCCTTCGGATGGCTCTTCCTGCCCGTCGATCTCATCGGCCGGCCCTTTTCACAAAAAACGCGCGATCACTTTCTCCCCTTACTTACCTCTACTCATTGGTGGAGTCAAACGCAGCTCGCTCTGCGCAGGGTGTTCCAGCTCGATCCCGACTTCCAGGAGCGCATGTTTGCCCGCCAGATCGCTGTCATGAAGGGTCAGGCATGGAACGTAGTCGAGACGCTCAAAACACCCGACCATGGCCCGCTCGAGCTCACACGCCGTGCTAAAGTATGCGTGTGGGACGATTTGGTTGACGTGCCTGTCGCCGTCCCTATGAGGGTTGCAAGCGCCGAGATGCGTCGCCGTGCCACCGCCGAGTCGGACTCTGCCGTAGCCGGCGGCGCCATGAATCACTACAGCAAGGATAAAGACAAGTCCTCGAGCGATAGCATACCGGAAGCTGAAGAGGAAATGGACATTGGAGCCGCCAACACCACCACGACGTCACCAGCCAGCGCCCCAGCCACGGCTGGCGTTATCGCCCCCAGCGCAGCGCCAGGTGCTGCAGTCGACCTCCTGGGCCTCGCCAGCCCCCCGGCAGACTTACCCCACCCAGGCCGCTTCGAACTAGCCCTGGCTGACGAACTTTCCTCCCCGAGCCCGCTCAACAGCGGCAACCCCAACGGCTCCTCCTTGAAACCTGACACCGCGGGCAAACATGCCCGCCCGCACCTCAGCCGCGCTTCCCAAAGCCACCGCACCCTGAACATGTACTCCCCCGACCGCGGCGGCGACCGCCCAGCAGTGGACCACCAGAGGCGCTTCTCGTTTGCCACGGCCGCATCGAGGAGGGAGAGCAACTCCATTGCTGCACAGCTCTACGGGAGGAGTAGTTATGAGTATGGGGGCGGTGGCCGGGGTGGTGGATATGCCGAGTGGGAGGGGAACGAGGGAGCGGATGACGATGACGAATTGGAGGGCGGTGATCTGGGGTATGCGGCGGCTAGCGGGATGGAGGGGAATCTGAGAAAGGTGATTGTGGAGAGGCTTGAGCCGGTCAAGAGTCGGAATCCCGTTTTTACTTGTTGTTGATGTTGATGTACCGTTGACGGCGTTGCTTCAGTATATGTATGTCTTTTCATCTATCTTGAATATGTACAAGTATTGTCGTGGTTGGCGGTTGGGGGACCAAGGAGAGAGGTTCATTTGCATGGGTGTGCCTGGCCTGCTAGATACATACATAGAGGTCCGAGCGGATGTGGGAAGGGTACGAGGCCGGCGTTGTTATTGTCCCTCTATAAGTCGTTGTTTTATGCATCACTGTTCTCTCATGTTGACCCATCTCCATCTCTGTCGTAACAGAGATACACCTTGGCTCATCCCCTATTCCATGAGAGGTTTAGTAGGTGTGTAGAATGGACTCTTGGGCAACACTGTGAGAAGCTACCTGGTTCAAGTTGCTGTTATGAAGTATTTGTCGGGCTCCTATGAAGGCAGTCTTTCTGTTAGTCTTGACGCTGCTCGAGATGCAGGGATACGCAGAACTACGCGTGTTTGGTGGGATGAAGGACAGGGACAGCACCTTTCGTAAGGTAGGTTAGGTAAAATATGTCCTCCTTCTAGGACGTTACACTGCGTTAACCTCGATGGGTGAAAAAGCTCAGCGAGGCGAAGGGCCTAGGAAGAGTGGACATGACGATTGATAATACAGATCGTATCCTTTCATCAAGTCTATTCATATAGTCTCATAACGAATCCAGCTACAGTTTTCTAGCACGAGGGTTATTGTGGACTGCTCCTCCTACCGCACGTATGTACATTCAATACTTACTCCTAGTCGGAGTCCATTGTCCGTCGCTTCAAACTGCCCTTCACCTCAAGGTCATCTTCGTCCAACTTACGCTCTCTTCCAGTTTTATCAAGCCACCCGCCTGATCGCGTTTGTCAAGCTTGCGCTTGAACTTCAAAGCTGAGCAACTCCGTCGACTTGGCCATGACGAGCCCCATCAAATAGTCGGAATATTCCCGCGAGGCTGACCCGCCTTGGGCACCTGTTGCCTTTACGATGACAAGAATGCGGCTGATATGCTCTTCTGACAGATTCTGCTTAAGCATCGCACGAAATAAGTATGTGAAGTCCATCCTGACCGTAGTCGAGCCGTACATCCCGGACACCACGGAGAAGAGGTCATCAGAACTCGATATGGTCATAACTGGCCGCTCCATCACCCCAGTGACGGGTTTAAGGCCGAAAGCATCGTCAAATTCCGCGCCAGCCCTGAGAAAGTCTGCGACCGCGTCAGCGTACAGTTCCTTGTCGAACTCTTCCTTCGTTATGTTCACCAGAGTCGTGAACAAAAACAGGGCAAATGTCGCGACTTTACTGCCCGTCGACGACCACCCCTTGCTGTTTGGATCTGCCCCATATTTCAAGAACAGAGAAAAAAGCCTCGTTCGGAGTGCTTAGGCGAGTTTAATTTGGCAGAATTGGCTTTCTCTCATCCCCCCACAGCACTCCTGAGTGAGATAACACCATGGAGTATAGCATGAAGAATCTCCATGCTGAGGAAGTCTAAACTCCTCATTTGGATTCTCACCATGCTCCAAGAGCTTGGACAAAGTCTTTGCCGGTGGACTTGGCGCCTGCAGGCGACGAACAGACTCGGCGCTCCAAGGACCGAAAGGTAGCCGGGGTAGTTGCAAAGCAACTTCTTTGACAAGTATGTTGACATGTCTCGGCGGAGTATCGTGCTTCTGAAGAAAATATTTGGGGAAAATGTTTGTCCATGGTGTCCGAGAGGCACAGCCTGCGTCGTCTTAACCATCAGGACGATCGACCTTTCAAGTTCGTCAATGATCTTAACAATGTCGGCAATACGACTGGCTGGGACTTTGGAACTGTAAGCGAGTACAAGCTGGACGATTCTGTCTAGGTGGTCTTTGGGCCTCAAATCATCGAGTCCGAGGCGGCCCGAGTTGCCCCAAACCAATACCAGGTCATCGAGTCCTGCAAGAGGTTCAACAAAGTAGAGCCTAGTTGATTTGATACTCGCAACGTAGGCCTTGCAGATAGATGTGAAGGCTTCGAAGCCGGCTTTTAATTTGCTTGATATGTATTTGGTCATTTCTGCGGTGAGGAGGAAGTCTCGGACCGTACGATGTAGGAACTGGACTCTTGGCACAGGTGCGAGTTCATCGTCGCCATCGTTGTCAACCTCCAAGAGGCCCATTGTGCGAGCATTGACTCGTCGCCGTGTTTGATCGTAACGACGTAGGTGTTCACCTTTTGTTATGGGGGTGGTGGGAAGCTTTATGTAGAAGTCTGAATCGTCATATTCTTGATCATGATAGGCGTAAACCTCCCAGCGGAGCGGGCAGTCCGCCCGGAGCGCAATCTCCAGTATGCCAGCCATTTTCGGGTGGTAGATTTCATCAACGCTGTTGAGCATGTGCTTGAAGAGTGACTCCAGATCGTTCGGTAGGCGGTCCAGCCTTGCCCTGAGATCGCCAGGGCTATCGTCATTTGAGAGGCCTTCCCGTAAAGATCTGGTGACGAGAAAGGCCCAGAGAAATACGCCTTCGGCTCTCTCTGCAATGTCGTTAATCAACTCATCCTTGGTCATGCTCTCAGGCGACCATTCGCGCCACCTGGGATGATTTTCCATTCGGCCTTGGACGAACCCTCGTATATCATTCTTCGTCCTGTTGTGGATCACCAGCATCGTTGCAGGATTCTTCCCAAAGAAGTCTTCAAAGACATTCAATGGACGGCTGGATAGACAAAGCTTGAATCCAGGCAGCTCACAGAGTGTTTTCAACATCTGGCACAGTTCGTAAGGATCACCTTCAAACTCGTCGAGTCCATCAATGAAGAGGCAGAACTGTGCCGGACGGATTCCCAACCGCGAAATTCTGCGTAGAACATCCAGAAGATCTGCCATAGTCCAAGAGAATTGCCATGTATTCTGTAGGACGGCGCTCCATTGCCGAGGGCAGACCTCAGGTATCGTCGACGGGCACTCTCTGAGAATGCCAAAGAGCAGTGTTTGCAGCAGACCAAGGTTGGACTTTTGCATATCCGTTCCGGCACTCCAGAAGAAATGGCTGGCCATCACTGCTCGATCAGGTCTTGCCCATTCGTTGATAATGTCCGTTGTCGTTGCATTGTTGACAAGGAACTTCATCAAAGTCGACTTGCCTGAACCAGCCTTGCCAAATATCCAGAAGACGCCGCTGTCCCTCCTCGGCCATTCGGCAAAATGCGTCTCGTAAATCCATTCAAAAGTGTGTTCGTGAGCCACGGCCACTGCTTCGTAGCGAATTTGCTGGCATGAAAAGCTCAAACTCTCCAGTATCTTTTGCTCAACTTTCATCTCCACTCTCGCCGAGTGAGATTTCCTGAGGCTTGCAATGAGCTGCTCGAGCAGCGGGGTAAAAGGCCCTGGCTCCCCTTCGGATGGAGGCTCGTCGACTAGGCCACCCCTGCCGACTTTACCTTTACATTCGTCGGCCGTCGGATCAGTAAAACTGAATGCGGACGATCTCTCAGTCCCTTCGGAACTGTTTCCACAAGAGGGCCAATAGGAGTTGGGGCGCGACTTGCTGAGGCCGAGTTCAAGGCGGTCGATTCCCCGGGTGATCATGTCAAGTTTGGCGTCTTGCTGCACTCCGAGCGCTCTGCCCCCCTCCTTCAAGAGCCTCAACTCGTCTCTGAGCTGTGTCACCTGCTCACTGCGCGCTGGAATCAACATTGAAGGGCCTTTCTTGCCGCGGTGCTGCACTGGAACTGTGCTTACACCAAGATGGATTGGATATGTAAAGACATGACTGCTTGAGTTCTTCCCAGTGAAGTCTCTAGCTCAGCAATCCTTCTTTTCCCAATAGAACTCCTGACTGCGGCTTTCACGCTTCGCCACAGCTTGCCCTTCCCATCAGCAGCCGTTGCGCCGCCGACGACGCAGAGGATGGCGTCGCAGTCTTGTTTGCATTTCAAGGAAAGCTCCCGGAGACCTCTAGTCCGAGCACCAAAAGCGTCGGCAGGTCCATTTTCGGCTGTCATAGGGGCGCTGTTGCATCCTTGTGCGAGCCTTTGGCTCAGATCCGCCAAAATCTGGTAGACGTCTTCGAGTTTCTCATCTTCGGCAGACTGGCCCCGGGCAGCATGGAATATCTCGTGAGCATTCAACCCTAGTTTAGTTACAAATTCGATGAACTGAGCGACGGCTGTCGCAATACTAAGTGCAGACAATGGCTCCATAGCATTGCTGGTTGAAGGTCCAAACGGTCCACCCTTGAGACTTGGAGTCGGGCTGTCATGCCACTCTCAATAGATACCTTAGGGAGGCAGGTAGTCTACGTTCTCAATTTGCAGGAACGCCAGACTCAGCAAGGTGGTCTAATCGGGCGCTGCTTGCAGCCTTGCGGCAGCTCCAGGCACACCATAGCCCACGGGCAGCGAATCACGGGTGCCAAGCGGCATTGCCTTTCCAAGACCAACCTGGACCTAGGCAGAATGGTGTTTCCTGCGTCTTGTCACTTTCCGCTTCTTGAAGTTAGGTGTTCTCGGTGCGGCGATAGACAAGCTATAACCAGGAGAGAGAAGCCAGTGAACCCATATGACATGCCCAAGGAAATTTAAGGAGGCGAAGGTCAAGGACAGGAACATGGTACTGTACCATGGAACGGAATCGGTGTCAGAATCGGAAGGTGATTTCCCTTCAAGGTGGCATTGGATTTGTTTGATGGACAGGAAAGATTGGGAGATACTTACAGCGGTAAAAGGTCAGCGCCGTTTCGCTGCGAGATCATATCGCATCATTAGGATCCACCTAGACAAAGATAGCTAGGTACAGCACAAGCAACTGCAACTGCCCTTGAGACGAGGACCAGCACTTCGGACCAGAACCCTCCTTGGGCAGGCAGCGTCGAATCGGTCGATTGGTCGCATGCTGCTTGTTGTACGTACAAGTACGCAGCGGCAAGGCAACTGCGTCTGATATGGAGGCCGAAACTTGAGTGTGCAGTTCCACACTACAGTAGTGTGCAGTTCCACACTACAGTAGTGTGCATTTCCTAACGCGCCTTGTGTACCCGTGGGCTCGTCCTTCATATGCACTCAGGAGGCACTATCCAGATAAACAATGGTCGCTGAGTGAATACGAAGCCCGAGCCCACGGGTAGGTCGGGCTAAGAGAAAGCCACACATGTAAAATACCGCAGCCACTGCATACACCGCTACGGCATCGAATCACCGTATGGTAGAGAACGGCGTCAATATCCCTACTCGGGATCGGCGGGTACACAAAGCAAGCCGAGAAGGTGATCTTGTCTCGAGCCGCAATACCTAGCGAGAATGTCAAAGTCGGGCATCCTTTGTGCAAGGCTTGCAGCGGTTCCAAGGTTGGCAGTTGGAGCCAGCGAGGGTTTTGAGGTCCAGCTTAGTGCTGCGTATAGGGAATCCTCAGTGACAACTCAAACTCGAGATCCTGTTAAGAGGGGTAGTAGAGAGGATCGTTTTTGCATACAAAATCTCGGCTGCACTAACAGCCGTCTCATTCTCCTGAGGTACAGTACATGCATCAGACATGCATGCCAGTCAGTGGGGCTGCGCTCTCCAAAGGACCTTCCGCCGTAGGATTCTAGGTCGCGCAACTTCCTCGCCTCGTCTACTACCCTCTCCTCTAGTACCAGCAGTAGAGAAGACACTGAAGAGTCAGTCCCCAACCCGCTGCCTCACCTTGTTTTGCGATTGCCCTAATCCCCAGGGCTTCACGGCATGAGCATGCCAACTCATGTGGTACTCTCTGCAAGTCCACCATGTACTGTACAGTACATACATACTTACCTTACAGGATGTTAGGGTTTAACCTTAGCGCGGGGTGGTGTTCAAGCTTCGAAGCGGTCATGTGGAACCGGTCAGCGAGTCCGGCCCGGTGTCGGCATCGTCTCAAAGCTAATACTGAGGTGAGAACTTGGGAGTTAAGAAATTGTTATATATTTCTTCTTCCTTTGCTTGTCCTTCCGTATCTGTGCTCATCCCGTTGCTTGGTCAAGCGAGGGAGCAGACTCAGCGGAGAGGTTGCGAGGAGCAGGGGCCTGTAATCTCCCGTCGCACAACCCGCTCGCATGGGAAAACAGGGGGGCCTGGGTCGGTACAGCACGTAGCGTAGAAACAACCACCACCCGATAATGTCTGAAAAGATTGTTAATGGAAACGCCATGGGGAACGGCCAAAGTTTTAGCTCCATGGTCTTTCATGTGCACGAGTACTTCGTATGTACTGTAGGGGACATTCGCCGCGATGCCGGGCAGGCTCGCCTCGGTCACGATGCATATACCCGGGTGAACGGCCTGTTTCCGGGCATGGCATTCTCTCTGCATAAACAAAGTATGGTCTACTCATCCATCCTCAATCCTCATTGATGCATTTGACAACAGCCATGAAACTGAAAGCCAAATGAGGCCACGTGCATGTCGTGGCGGTTGCACCACAGCGGCACAGGCAGATGGGAAAATGGTGGGAAGGATCGTGGTACCGTGTGGTGTACTCCGTGGTAAAGGTGCGGTTGGGTCAAGTGAAAAGAGAGAGTCGTCAACCGCGCCCTGTCCCGAGGCAGCGGTTGCGGCTAGGGAGGGCCCCTGGTCGATTGCGACAAGTTCGAACCCTGTCGCTGTTCAACCCCTGCACGGTCCCATCGAACCGGCTCCGTCGGGAATTACAGTAAATACGGTACGCGTGTAAAAAATAGGTGATGCCGGTATCGTTGGGATTCCCTTTTTGTACTGTACTGTACATACGTACCTGGATCGACGTAAAAAAAGGTACATACAAGAGAGAACAGAAAACATTTGCCTTGTCCAGGACTGACGTACAGCTTTCGAACTCTGGAACGGTGCCATTCTGCACGAACAGACGGAGATTTTTCGGCGTCCGCTGCATACGCTGCAGTCGCTGCCCAGTGTACGGGAGGTTGTCTGGTTTGAGTCTGGGTAATATTTCGTCTGATATGGGAGCGGGGAAAAGCTGTTTGGAAAGCCGCTTCCCGGGATAGCCGCAAATGATTGACTGATTGATGGAGGAACTCGGTCCCAATGCTCGGGACATCAAAAATGTGGTGCCTGCAAGTCGTGAGGGTTACCCACTTATGGTCGTGACCGCCTCCTTGGATCGCTACACTAACACGAACGTAAAGTACACAGGTAACGAGGGCCATCGCGTGCACCCGCATCGTTGTTGGACGTGGGCAAGGCCTACTTGGACAAAAAGCCTAGGTACCCAAGCCTCGGTTGCGATAATCTCTGTGTCTTCAAGCCGAGTTTAGATTTCCGCCAGAACCATTTCATCATGCTGCGCGATGCAGGGGGTTTCCGAAGCCTCATTTCTTCCCTGACGCCTAAAGAAGCCGCGGCCGCGGCGACACAACGTTACCTCCGCAACGGGCCGTTCTACGATCGTCCCATACAGAGGTCCACGGGTTCTGCAACTGCCATTAAACATTAGCCGAACAACCCATATGTTTCTGCACTACAGCACATTGTTAGGGGGGAGGGGTTCGATCATGACTACAAAGACTGATCAGTGACAACAGATTCACAGCTCTAAGGGCCCTTCGCAAGCCGGGAACCCATGGCGAGGGCGTGTGCCAAAAATGACAGCAGAGACCCGTGGGTATGGTTTGCGCACAGATGATAAGCGGGCAATTTACCAGCCAGCCGGAGCTGACAAGACATGAGGCGTCGTCTCCGACTCGCTGGGAGGAGGGGTACGTACCCCTGGATCTTGTTTCGGCCCGGTTCGCTGGGAACATATGCCCAGCCACCCACGTTACGTGCCGCATGTGAACGGCAGTCCCTGGCCGTCTTTGCGACTGCTTGACGCCCATTCATTGTTTTGACCGATCAGCAAATCTCGACTCTGCAGAAGTAGTGTACTGTACTGTGCATACATACAAGCTGCCGCCTACAGGCCAGCCGAGGCTGCCCGTCAGCGAATATCTGCCCGCCAAGTACGGACAACCACACTGGAATAGGGCCGGGATTGCTGAGGTTATTATGGATGACACGCCGGCCGGTTGCGACAAGGGGGAGCATCGATGCTTTGCAGGCGGTATGTACGCTAACGTACAGGTAAAGTTAGTAGTGCCCGCCTAAACGATGAGCGGCAGAAATTTTCTCGGAAAATCCTTCCTTTGCCCTTTCAATCCCGCCCAAAACGTACAGTACCTTACGAATACCTATGCGACACCGTCCCGGCGGGGCCGTAGCGGGCTCAACCCTCTTTGTGATTCCGAGACCATGTCCTCGGATACATCTCAGCCGCCTTGGATTAACCTTTGATGTGGTGTGGTGTAGTGTACCTAGCCCCTTAAGCCCTTGCTTGACGTCAGGCCGGTCTGGCAGCCGAGAATCAACAGAGCAAAGAGGGGGAAATTCGTCCTGGTCGGGAAACTGTTGTCAGGTGCAGCGTAGGTACAAGTACCTGGCGCCAGCATTGGCTCGGATGGTGGCTCCTGCCAAGTCCCTGGAATACAGTCCCATTCTCCGATGACCCGGTTTCTCCGCCTGTTTTGATTCTGGAGGTCCCAAACGGTAGGTCCATATGCGAACTTTTCTTAGCGGATCGAGCATTATATTATAGGACTGACGGAACAATAAGCTCAAGGATGCCCATTCGCCCAGCCATCCAGTGAGTCGGCAGCCCCCTTGTCTCCACTGCCGGGACCAGACATAGGCACGCAGAGCACCCGGGATACATCGTTGTCTGCCCAACTCAGTCGTCTGTGTGCTGCTGCATCAGGTTAATAAGCTTGCCCTTCATTAACGGGGACCCTGCCGCTTGACGGAGGAGACACGTTCAACTGCCATGCCAGAACCTGAACCTCTCCAATCAGAGGACTATCTGCAGTTTTTGAACCGGGGCTAGCGGTGACTGGCAACCGTCGGCCGAGTGGATGCCATCTAGGAGCGGGAAAGGTGTTTCACCCTACATGTCTTGATTAGCAGAGAGTCAATCCAAGCGCATGCGGGGGCGGGCTCTCAAAAGCTTGAGCATGCAGAGGGCACTGCCCTCTCCGCCCCCATTCCCTGGCAATGTCCCCATCAGTCCACGTAGCCAGAGGGCCGGCAGTCCTGGCCAAGGGCGGTGTGGCTTTTTTTTTTTTCCCAACTCCCTTTCAGCACCTGAGAGGCTGCAACAACTTTTAAGGCAACGGCGGTACCGCAATCTGCTTCCCACCCACTTCGCCGGGAATGCTGGTTGTCAGGGACAGGGGTCGGTAGTAGTCCCTTGCTATATTTCCATATGCCTAGAGGATAATGGTGCCAACAACGCGCTTTGATCGACAAAGGCATCGTGGCGCGCAAACCGCCTCGGTGGGCCAATCTGAGTGATTTGGCACGGGAACAGGGCCCACTAAGGAAAGAGTTGCTCATTTCAAACGTGTGAGAGTGCCGCAGATGGAGAGGCACATGGTCCGATATAGTCTTCGAAGCCCGTCCCGAGGAGCAAGGGGTTGAAAGTACCTCCGCCCACGCTCCCGGGCCCGCATAATGCCATGTAGGTCCTCAAGATGCCTGAACCCAAGTTCCCGACTGCTTTCCCTTAAACTTCGCGTGGGATGCCTGTGTTCTCAACTCTCCCTGTGGTTATCTTCCTGACTGCGCAACTGTTCCTCGACATATTCCACATTCCAAGCACCATAAGGCTAGAGACGGCCTGCTGCAGTCATGGACGAAGGGTATTTGACGCTCCGGTTACTAGCTTTCACCCGGGAGTAGGAGAAATGCTAAAGCCAGCTCTAGCGATGCTGAAACTGTCCCTGTCGACAACACATACCGGGAGCTCGTCGTCCACATTAACAGGGAATTCCAGCGATATGCCGTGGAGAACGGCATCTATTTCGCTCCCGTTGACGATGTAAGCTGTGCCATGTCTGTTCGCCAATTCCTGTTCTCATCAGCGTTGCATTGGCCGGGCAGGAAGAAATCGACCGTCTCCAGTACATGCACGAGATCTTCAACATGATGTTCGACAACAGGCTCATCTTTCCTCCGATTCCGCGTCCGCGAAGAATCCTGGATTGTGGTTCCGGGTCCGGGGCGTGGGCTATCGAGGTTGCGGCGGAGCATCCGGATTGCGAGGTGTGTGTTTGCTCCGTGGTGGACGGACGTCCCGATTCCTGTCCCTGAGACGATGCAGAAGCTGGGTGTGGGCGCCAGGCAACTTGTGTGCGCAGGACAGCTTGATAGCGTTCCATGATCGCAATCTGAGTCCCCATGCCGGGGAAGAATATTCCTGGGTTATCCTCGGTTACGCCTGCAGCACGGCTGTTTGGGCGAAGCGGGTTTATCGATCAGAAGACGTCATCGTATGGCATCCTGAGCTGACTTCGTTTGTGATTTCAGGTAATAGGAATCGACGTGTACCCGTACCCGGTACCAGAAGATGCGCCCCTAAATGTGGAATTCCAGGTAGACGACCTGAACAGTCCGTGAGACAACCCGACGGCAAAGACTGGCCGGTCGCCGTGGCTGACATCAGACTAGATCTACCTTCCCTTCGAACTACTTCGATCTGGTGCACAGCAGGATGATGGCCGGAGGCATTCATGCAGACAGATGGCCGAATTACTTGAGGGACATATTGAGGGTGCTTCGGCCGGGGGGTTGGTGTCAGATGGTGGAGATATACTTCAATGCGCAGTCGGATAACGGGACTCTTACCTCAAGTAGGTTTCAACGGCATTGCCCGTGACGCACAAGCACTGATGCAGGCATCAAGACCATGCACTTCAGGTATGGTCACAGAGCTATATGCAAAGCATACAGCCCGCAAAAGACCCCAGGGCGCCGCTGCGGTTGCAAAGTTGGATGACTCAAGCGGGTTTTGTCGAGATCGAATCCCGGTTGTTGACTTTACCCCTGAGCGGGTGGTCGAGCGGTACGTGGGTCTCCAGACGAAGCAATGCCACTGTCTGCCAAAGACAACCAGTGTTCTGACAAGTAGCTAGATCCGCGGGACTATGCCATCGGCACAGCAAATCGACCCAATGTCCACCGGCTCCTATCCTCTCTCGCCATATTCCCTTTTGCGCACACACTGGAGTGAGTAAGGTCCTGTAACTCCAGGCCTGGGAAGCGTGTTTGGTGCTGATTTTGACTGCAACGGCAGCATGACGAGCACAGACATAGAGCTTCTAGTTGCGCAAGCTCGTAACGAGGCAGATAATCCAGCCTTCAAGGTACGACGAGAGAGTGGCCACTGCTCGTAATCCCCAAGGCATCGGCGATTCATTGTACTCAGGGGCTTCCGCGCCCTGTCTTTCCTGGCTGCTTGCTAATTGATTGCCGGAACTTGCGCAGGCTTATTTTCCAGTGTAAGATGCTGGTCCCAGGACTGGCCGTCTTCGAGCCATCGTCGCGATACTCGATAAGTACCGGACATAGACAAAACTGACGGTAAAATTGCCTTAGGTACGTTTGCATCGGCCGGAAACCGGGCGGAAGCCGGCAACAGCGGCACAGCGAAAGCCGTAGCGAGAATCACTCCAAAGAACGGAGACATAGCGACTCGAGGAAGAGGGCGAGGCACTAGCTATAAGGACGAAGCACGAAGCGCAGACAACGAGGGTTCTTGGTGTTAGCGATGCCGCATAGCGTGGTTTTTTCTGGGTACATACTACCGTAATACGTGAGCGGCTGGGAATCGGTTGGGCAAGGGACCTACCAAGATGCCTATACAAAAGACAGCATGATTATACCCGACTTATCCAACCGATCGGTCTCTTAGCCCGTTGCTGTATGTGTGCAGACAAGCGTGATCCTAAAGCATTGTGGTTACACGTCTGGCAATCGGTACGTATCGAGCGCAAACATGGTGACAGGAACGATATCATCCTGTCGGAGTCGAAATGTGTTTCGAATGATTCCACCAGGTTTGGCGATTGTGTTGTCTAATCAAGCAGTGAATACCTTACTCCTGGGAAGGAGGGTTTGGATCGGGTCGAGTAGGGCAACCATAGGGAAATAGCTTCGTAACTTCCAGTTGGAACTCCCTGCATAGTGGGCTCCTGAGAGGGGGCCCCTTCCGCTTTCCACCATGGTTTCGACGTCACGCGGCAGAAGAAGAAACTCGAAGAGGCAATGGGCGCCGGAACTATTTGCCAAGGCCATGACCAGGAGTTTACACTAAGACTTTAAATGAACGTTATCGACCCCTCGCGATGCCTGCCCACTCCACGCCATCTGAATTCCGCCTCGGCCCGCCACGGGACTTGCTACCCACCTACCTTGGTGTAGTGTATGCGGACTTCGTACACTACAGCAGGTGACTCTTTCTGGAAATGGCCGTCGCATGGATGCAGAGGACAATCAACTCGACTGCTACCTACGGCACCTAAGTAAGGTAGGGGACATATAGTACAGTATGTTGGTCCTGTTCAAAGGACGAATACACACTGGTGCCCAACCTCAACAACAAGCCCTCGTCCAAAAGCTAGTTAGAAGCGTGGGTCCTCCGTTCAAACCCACTCAATCAAGACGGGAATGTCTCCGAGTCGGTATCCCATCAACTACGCCTGTATCTCAAGCAACAGGTCCACATTGTCCCATGCCGCGATGGAAAGCCTTGTCTTTCCAGACCAAAACGTTCACTGTAAGAATCCCCGTATCAAGCGGCCGCGGCTGTGCCCGGCGCTGCCCCGATCCTGGTGGTGGATCTTGTGCATTGGGGGCGGGATGTCAGGTGATTGGCGTCTCCTTATTCGGCGTCACGTTATTTGTACTGTACTCCCTAAGTTACAGCGACCGAAGTGCGATTCACTTTGGACGCTACTGGTTTGAGCCTCGCATAAAGATGCGACTAGAACAGTCCTTTCAATCCATACACTTGGTAATAAGCGATTCTGTAGTACTTCATAGTGGTTACGGGTTCAATACTGTGTTAGGTCTAACTCGGACTCGGAGCATACCTCCAACAGTACCTCTGTACATACGGTGCAAACAGTACGAATCGTGCAAAGTCAACCAATGGGGTTGCGTGCCGATGCTTCTAGTGGACACCCGCAGCTCGATCATTTCTCGCCCGTTTGGAAATCTCGCGATGCCACGCAAGGAGGCAGAAGCAATCACAAACAACTGAGCATTGCCCGTCCCGACGAAGCTCTGTTGGAAACCTTAATTGCCCGGCGCCCGACAATCTAGCTTCTAATAACCATGGCAAGCAGAATTTCTCTTTCAGTCGGCCGATTCCGCCAGGCGAGCTGTGCGCCTTCAGCAAACCGGTGCACCTCGGCCGTTTGGCGCAAGGCATACTCGACCGAGCTGTCCCCGCCACCCCTCCTCTCCAAGCTCAAGGATGACCTCAAGACAGCCATGAAGGCCAAGGACACAAACCGCCTATCCGTCTTGCGCTCTGTCCTTGCGGCGACGCTCAATGCCAGCAAGACAGACAAGCCTATCACGACCAACGCACAACTAGTACGCCTCCTTCAGAGGACGGCGAAAAAATCGCAGGAAGCGGCCCTAGAAGCTAGAGCCGTAGGCCGAGAGGATCTGGCTGAGAAAGAGGAGGCCCAGCAGCGTATTCTCGAAGAGTATGTCGCAAGTGGCTCTGGCCTGGCCGGTGACGTGGGAGACGAAGAGGTCCGGCGTGGTGTTGAGGAGTACAAGGCACGGCTTGCTGCCGAGGGTGTTACAAATAACATGGAGATGCGGAAACGCCTGTTCAGCAAACTAGTCTCGGATGATGGGCCGGTACCGGGGAGCAAGGCAATGCTGGCTAAACATATCAAGGAGGCAACCAAGAGGCCAACTGCCAACAGTCAGCCTAACTTCCATGGAAACGTCATGGCTCTTCAATGGGCTGCCGCGTCATTGAACAAGGCGCTCAAATCGTTAGGCCATGCTCTCCCCACCCTGGAGCGTGCGGAGAAAGCTGTTGGGCACGCCAGTCGCTCTCTTCGGAAAGGACCCGAAGAGCTACCTTGGAATCAAAACGCCACAACGGCCGTCTTGGCTACTACCGACTCTATAAAGGAAGGTTCTGCCAGTGTCAGACATCTCATGGAGAGTTTCAAAGGATATGGCGAAGCTCTTGCGGTTGCTGCCAAGATTATTGAAGTAGAGGCCGATAAAACGAAGGCCACGGAGGCGAGACCTACTCAGAGTAAGCCTCAGGAGCTTCCCGGAGGCGCTCCCAAGGGCATGTAAAGCTTCCACGGTGGTTGCCTGCAAGCTGAAGCAAGTCAGCACTTCCTTTCATCTGTACCTAATGTGTATCAACAAACCCGGATATGTACCATATATTATAGGGGTCCTATCAAGCTCACGCCCCGGGCCTCTATAATCATGTCCTCACTCCTAGATTTACAGGGATACCAAGCACCAAAAGTTGAAGCCACAAGCGGCTAAGCACGCCTTAGTAAGGACAAGTACGAGGCGGGGCGTGATGACGGCCACATTCGTCACACCTGTACTTAGCTCCAGGAAATTGACGTTTGTCCACTCGTGCCAACAGAGACTGTTAGGTACTTCTCTTCAGAGTTCAGACCCTACCACCATCAACTAAAGGCACCTAGATACCGGTAGTCTTAGCTGTCAGTGAAGTAATCAAGAGCAAATGGTGGCCACACCACCCTTGTTGAATGGTGAAGTAGGATGACTGTACGAAGTACTACCTATCATGGTAAAAGTAAGTTACTGGGTCGCCTGAATCTTCCCTCCATCCATACCCCTAGGCGCCTTTACTTGAGTCAGGAGGCAGCCCGCGGACCATGTAGTCGTCCGGTCCGCCTTTCACATAAGTAACGGGCCATGACCTGGTGGCGGCAACCGTGGAGCTTTTGCAGTCTTATTCGGCTAGTGAAGAGACCAACGGTCATATTCACATACGTAGTTTCAATTACTCTGGCTTGACTTGGTCCACACCCGGAATCAACGCACAGGACCTAGCAGGGTACTTACCCCCATCCCTCGAGCGTTGTGTCGACTCTGCCATTGCACCCACTTGAGCGTTATGATGCCCTAGTGTCGTCTTTCTCGCTTGCTCCAAACCTGTGCCAAAATACTTACCCGGTAACTAGGCTACCGACCCATCCATGACAAGCCAACTCCAAGCTCTCCTTCTGCGGGACGGCAGTACCACTACCGGGCCTGACGCAACAAGAGACCGCGAAGTATCCCGGGGCCGCAAACGCCGGCGCGACGACTTCGCCTCCCTCCCTCCTCGTTCGCTCCCAGCGAAAACCCAAACTCAACCAACACCGGTCCTCGGCATGATCAGCACCAGTGGCGGCCCAAGAACGAGACATAAATCCTCTTCCACCTCCACCTCCAACTTCCGCGGCCGCCCCCGCCACCGCTCAACCTCCGTAGCAACAACATCGACGACGACGACAACAACAACAACCTGCGCCTCTCCCTTCGCCGCCCTGTCTCTCTCCGCACAGCCCTCCCGGTCGCACACCCCTTCCACCCCAACGACCAGCAATGCCATCAGCAGCACCGGTGCAAACATGGTAGGAGGGGGCGATGGAGTAGGGGTGATGCGCTTCCTGCGGGCGCTGCAGCTGGAGAAGAAGAATAAGCAGCGGCGTGTTGCGGTGGGGGCAGGGGCGGCAGAGGAAAAGGAGGGGAAGAGGGGACGGGCAAGGGACAGGGTTAGGAGCAGGAGCAGGAGTAGGAGCAGGAGGAGAAGCAGTTTAAGAAGGGGGAGGAGCAGGAAGAGGAGTCAGAGTCCGTCGCGCTCGAGGTCGCCGGTTTGTCTGGGTTTGGGGTTGAGACTGGGTTTGGATTGGGTCTGTGAGGGGATGGTTGCTGAGGATAACGGCAGGGGAGCGGGTGGCGGTGTGGATCGTGATGGGCCTGGTGGAGTGAGTGAGACGAGGAGGAGGCGGCGGACCAGAAGTCGCGGTCGGGAGCATCAGGTTGTAGTGGATATTGCAGGTTGTAGTGGTGCTGCCGACTCTGATGTTCAGATTGAGGTGCTTGTTGGGGGGAGTGGTAGACCACCGTCGTCGTCGGCGAGGTCTCCGGCCATTGATCCGGCGGGGATTGGGCTGGCAAGGGCACCTGGGATGGATGTGGATGGGGATGGTGTGGGGGAGGAGTGACTGCCGAGCCTGCGGAAACGGGGCCGTGGGGTGAAGTGGGTTTTTGAAGCGGTCTCTTTCAGTTAGACGCAGAAAGAGTCATCGAGGAGGGTCAGATTCCGGTTTCTTCCATCGCAGCGTGGTCACGCGGCCCGTTGGGTTCGGAGCAAGGAGAACATCGCACCCACAGCTGAGAAGGGATGTTGAGTCGGTGAACTGGGACATGGCCATTTCGACTGGAGAAAGGGTGGAAGCCATTAAACTACCGGTAGTGTACGACTGTACAGTACGTAGAATATGTATGTACAGTACATACAGTACACGACCTCAACATAAATGCAGCCATTCTATGCGGGGTTCAGTTCCCCACGACAGGCCCTTTCCAGATTCCTGCACTTCAGATTGGCAGACAAGAAAGTTTAGGCTGCACCAAGGGTCGCCGGGAAGGAATTAGCGTTCTGGTTGATCAAGCCTCTGGAAAGCATCTTGCAGCACAATTGCCGCCCCTGACGCCGGGCTGTGCATCTCCGCCGGGTGACACGCAGGGTGCGCATGCGTATGCGCCTTCAAGTCCACCTTCTGGGTTGTCGGGTCGTTTCCAAAAAGCCTCATCTCAACATCACAGAAGGGCCAGTACCTGTCGCCATCAAAGACTCGGCTTTTTGCTGAGGTTAGCCAGGCCTTTTCATCCGAGGACGTGCACCGATTTCTTGAAGCTGGATAACAGGGCCTTCCGACCTTTTGGCGCACTGCGCACGTGCCCATGCCGCCTGGCTGCAATCTGTGCAGGGTCACGCGCGCCTATCGAACCGGGGCGATAGCGATAAAGCTCTCCCGGGCTGACTGACATCTGAAAGTGACGGCTCGACGAGGAAGTCGCCAAACCACTTCTTCCTCCCACGTCCTCCCGACTGCTTTTACCTAACCACCTTTCTTTCACGCCATCGTACGATGATACCCTTTAATCTGAGGAACTGAGAGAAAACAGACGTAAAAAATTCCCGCTGCCACAAACGCGCTCTCTTCTCTTCCTACGGACTACCTGCCCTGTTCTCCCTCCTCTTCAGTCTGCCTTAGTACCGAACGGAAGTCCTCAGGTACCACCTAACCTTGAAACTTCACCCTCCGTATCCCTTCACCATCGAGCACAGAATCTGCTTGCTGGGGCAACTGACGAGTTGAGATATCCTCGATGCAACACATCCTCGCGATACACATACCCTAAACCGACGAGCTTTCTTAGCTAGTTATGCCCGTCGGTTCGCGTCGCATCTGGTGGCATCTCATTTCTGGTCGGAGAGCAGAAAGTTCACTGGTTGCCAAATCTATTTGATCAGGCACCCCGCCGTTCCGAAGGCGTTGGCAGCCTCAGCCAGCTCGGTGTGAGTGAGCCTTTTGAACCTTCTATTTACTTCCAGCCTTCCCGGTTGTTTTTTCACCGCTCCCACTCAAAATAGTTGATTGCTTCTTTGCAACCTCGGTCCCGGTTGGCGCTAGTTTGTGTTACGACCGCCTACATACAAAACCAGCGGTACCCTCGTCCTAATAACCCCGACTCACAGATCCAAATTAGTCTGGGCTTGTCCCGCCACATTTGGGAGCAATGGAATGGAGCCCGACTGCGCTGCTCAACCCCAAGGCTGCGGCTGCCTCCCCGGCCCGACCACAGTCTGCAAGCGCCGCTCCGTGCGGCTCCTCGGCTACACCCTCCCTTGGATCGGAGCAGATGTCCTTCCAATTCACCGGACCTGACGAGCCCCAGACTGCCGATTCTTCCACTCCGCCTGCCGGCCGCCAGAATGGCGTGGTTCGCCAACCTCAGCGGACTCTTACCATGCCCGTCTTCCAAAACGGATTCGGCCAGAGCATTGAGCGCCTGCATAACGTGCAAGAGCGGATAGTGCCTCAGCCAAAGCGTCGCAAGACTGAAAACGAGAATGATCCGGGGACCCAGCTAGAGCCCCTCCATGCCTTCACAACGAACGGTGCTCTTAGCTTCCATATCAAGCCAACCTCGTCCGAAGATGCTGCGAGATCCGAACCTAGCCCGAAGCCTCAAGAGACCATTGACTTGACAGAGGCCGACTCTGATTCTGCCCTGCTGTCTCAGGAGCCCAAGGCGCCTATCAAGGATGAGGAGGTGTGCTACGGGATGGTCGAAGGAGCCTCGATTAACTGTCACAGGGTCCCCGCACCGAAACCCGGCATGGTGTCTATTAACGGTGACGACTATTGGCCGCAGGTTAAGGTTGTACTTAAGCGAAGGGCTGATGATCAGACTACTAAGATCTACGTCTATGACTATACACGCCACATCTTCGGTACGGTCGACGCCAGGACAGCAGAGTGTCTGGCTCCTCTCTTGGACTCTCTCCTCCAGATCCGCACAGACTGCCGGATCCCTGCCAGGCGAAAACGCCCCGGCGAACAGGTTGGCCAGCCGGCCTCATTTTCTCACAAATTTGAGCTCATGATTTATGGTCCCCGGAAGTATGCCATGCAGGTTGGAAATCACTTGGCGTCGAAGAAGGTCAACCTGGTGAGCCCGCCGCGTGTGGAGACTGGCGTCAAGGTGTTCAATCCCATGGCCAAGGAAAACAGGCCCCCGCCGGTTTCTTCTCGCTCAAGCAACCTGGGAACAAACAATCTATATCGCCCGCCGCCCGTGGTGCGCTCAGCCGAGGAAATTCGTTCCGAAGTTCTGGGCGTCTTTGACTCACTGCCAAAGTCTGAAGAGCTACCCGAACTGGACCCAGACGCGAGGATCCAAACCGAGTTACTCAAGCACCAGCGCCAGGCCCTCTATTTCATGATTTCACGGGAGTCTGATGAATTGCCCGATGCTGGCCAGGCCATCGTCACGTCCACTTGGCAACAAAGAAGGGATAGATTCGGAGCTGTGGTATATTACAACGTCGTCACAAATCAGATTCAGCGTGAGCAGCCCCCTCCCACTCTAGGTGGTATCCTGGCCGATATGATGGGCCTGGGCAAGACTCTTAGCGTGCTCTCGCTCGTCACAAAGACGCTCGACGCCGCACACCAGTGGTCACAGCTTCCTCCCGTTCAACCCAAGGTCCCGGAGCGGAGACCTCAGCAGCAATTCGAAATCCCGCGACCGACGACCCTTGACTTAACGCCACTGCGGCAGAATGGAAGAGCAACCCTGTTGATATGTCCCCTGAGTACAGTGACAAACTGGGAGGAGCAGATCAAGCAACATATCAAGCCGGACACAATCACATACCACATTTACCACGGTCCTAACCGCATCAAGGACGTGTCTCAGCTGGCGCAGTTTGATCTCGTCATCACTACCTACGGATCTGTCGTTAGCGAGCTCAACTCGAGAATTAAGAGGAAGCGGGGCGCTTACCCCTTGGAGGAGATTGGCTGGTTTCGCATCGTTCTCGACGAAGCCCACACAATCCGTGAACAGAACACGCTGGCATTCAAGTCCGTCTGCCGACTGCAGGCAAATCGCCGCTGGGCTGTTACCGGAACCCCCGTCCAAAACAAGCTGGATGACCTCGCCGCACTACTTGCGTTCTTGCGGCTGAAGCCCTTTGACGAGAAGAGCAAGTTTCAGCAGTACATTATTCAGCCTTTCAAAATGGCGGAGCCTGAGATCGTGCCCAAGCTTCGTGTCCTCATTGACACAATTACACTGCGGCGGCTCAAAGACAAGATCCATCTCCCACCCCGTACGGACGAGGTCATCAGGCTGGAGTTCACCCCAGAGGAGCGGCGCATCTACGACTGGTTTGCAAAGACTGCACAGGAACGCGTTCGGGTTTTGACCGGCCAGGGCATTGGCCAGGACCGCATCATTGGCGGTAGAACCATGATACACATTCTGCGCTCCATCCTGCAGCTCCGCTTGATTTGTGCTCACGGGAAAGACCTCCTCAACGACGAGGATCTTGCCGAGCTTCAGGGCATGACAGCCGAAACTCCTATTGACCTCGACAGCGACGACGAAAACGAGAGACCTATGCTTCAGGAGAACAAGGCCTATGAGATGCTGTACCTAATGCAGGAGGGAAACAGTGACAATTGCTTCAGGTGCAATTGCAGACTTGGCGCCGTTGAGGTCGATGACCCAGAGGCTGACCGCCAGGATGATACCCTCGGGTACATGGCGCAATGTTTCCACACCTATTGTCCCTCCTGCATCAAGGTGCTTCGCAATGAGCAGCACAACAATGGTGAAGATGGGTGCGGCGTGTGTGCCGGCATCGACAAGTCGTCGTGCGTGGAGCTTCGCCGTAGCCGTGCCGATTATGAACACGAATCTCGCGTGGCTAAGAACAAGGGCGGCACCGGCAAGGTCATTCCCGACGACCGCTACAGCGGTCCACACACCAAGACACGCGCCCTCCTTGAGGAGTTGCTGGCAAACAAGGAAAAGAGCGCCATGATGCCTGGCGAGCCGCCGTACAAGTCGGTTGTCTTCTCCGGATGGACATCCCATCTCGACCTTATCCAGGTCGCGCTGGATAACGCTGGCATAACTTACACTCGACTTGACGGCAAGATGTCCCGGAATGCGCGGAACGCTGCAATGGACGCATTTCGGGATGACCCGTCAGTGCAGGTCATCCTAGTCAGCATCATGGCTGGCGGTTTGGGCCTCAACCTGACTGCCGGCAACAGTGTCTATGTGATGGAGCCGCAATTCAACCCGGCCGCTGAGGCCCAGGCAGTGGATCGTGTGCACCGTCTGGGGCAAAAGCGTCCTGTCCGCACGGTTCGCTTCATCATGAAGGACAGCTTCGAGGAAAAGATGCTTCTGTTACAGGACAAGAAGAAGAAATTGGCCAGTCTCAGCATGGACCGCGACTCGGCGGACAAGATCGCGGACCGCACAGAGGCCGCGAGGCAGCGCTTGATGGATCTGCGCAGCCTGTTCAAATGAGTACCACCATACCCGCGGTCTCAACCCTGGCAGTGGAAAGCGTTTTTTCATCAGCACCTTTATCCTAGCTAGGATCACCGACACGTTTGGTATCACGAGTTCTGGAAAGAGGATTAGGGCGGAAGCATAACTACAAGTCAGCAAATACGACGTTACGATCAAGACCCCCATTCTCATCATCTGCGAGATAGTTTCACGCGGGCCTTTGAGATATAGATGAGCCGACCGCGTCCAGAATCCTACTGGTATACACAAATAGAAGCACGTTCTGGGGGAGCAGTGAGCTCTACGGAACGGCAGGAAACACAGCCTTGGTTCAGAGGAGACTTGCATCACAGGGCATCACACAACATGGCATGGCATAAGCATAGCATAATTAGCATGGCGCCTGGGCTGGCGGAGACGGAGGTTGGCGGTACAGTTTTGTGATTTTCGGCGGACATCGCGGTCTTACTTTTCCCTCCTCGGTTCAGTCCGTCGTTTATACTCTCCTTTCTATAGGGAGATCCGGGCATAGATCTGTGGTAGGCTGGCGCCGAGAGGGTTTCTGCTCTTTATTAGACAGACAAGCTATCAATTCTTTCCCCCCTGCAGTTTTCTGTGACCTTGGTTTATTTGCTGCTATTCCTCTCAAGTAGCATGCAGACGTGGATTCAACTTTGCTGACAGAGTCCAACACACATGATGCACCCACTGACTGCATCAAGGGGCACTGGCTGTTCAAAGTCTCAAAAATCTTCTAGTTCGGCTTACCCCTTTTTCTTAGACGTTTTAACTTCGCAAGCCAAATAGGGCGGGTTCATCTTCCGTGATGCTGCTTAGTTGTTAGACAAACCAACCTGACATAAAAAGATCCACAACATGGTGAGCAGTCAAAGCGTTAAGATCCAGGAGCTGATTTAGACGGATTAGTGGTGACTCATGGTTCCGGGTGATGTGTGAGGGAGTGAGAGCTAGGGAGCAGAGTTGATTGCTATCGATCTGGAAGTCATGGAAACAAATCTTCATAGATAAATAATTAGCGATCCTAATTCGTTACTGGTGAAGTATGAGAGCAAATTTGGGCATTGACTAACACCGGTGGTTGTTGGTTAATTACATGCCATTGCAGGTGTCTTCCATGTTGCTTGTTTACTTCTTCACTGACCACCCCTATTTGGGCCCGAAGCTGTACTACCGCGCCGTACCGATAGATACGCAGGATAGCATTGATTCACTTCGATATCAGAACAGGCTTGAGGAGGAGAGGTCATTTTAAAGAAGCAAGGGCATCCCATCACACCATGGTATTGAAGCATTCTTCGGATTCAGTAAGTGCTTGGCAAAAGTCAAGGTATTTGTGCGTTGCGCCATCGCTCCGTTAATACAAATCATCTAGGTGTCCACGACCGACGCCCAAGTAATAAACAGACCGAAACCCTTTTTGTACCCATCTCATAACGCCTAGAAAATGACACCGATAATGCGGAGGTGTTTAGCAATGTTAAACGGGCGGCACCCAACTTCGAGGTTGGATGGCCCCACCTCCCTCCGCCCAAACACCATTCATGCAACTAACACCGGGTTACTAAACCGCCACAGTACGGTTTCGTGTGTGTCGTAAAATTTCTTTGGATCCTCGCATTGCTTGTGAGCTGACGAGTTTGGCAATGATGAAATAAGTCGCTCATGCGGCATCGGCGGTCGCAACCGGCTGAGAAACGCGTGTGACCTGGTCGCCGGCACGGACAATGCGCTGGCCAGTGGAGTCGGTGATAGCGGCCACATCCTTGTTTTCGGATTGGGCACGCTTCCAAATCTCCACCTCGCAGCCGCCCCGAAGAACGCCAACTCGCATAGTGGAGAGCAGATTGTGGGCCGCGTTGGAGTGATTATAGACACCACCGTTGAAGACGGCAGTGGCATCTTTCCCGATGGCTGACGTGATCAGAGCCTTGCCACCAGGGTGATCAGCAATGAATTTGCCGACATCGTGGATCACACCGGCAATGGCGACCCAGGCCTTGCCGTTCTTGGACTCGGCAACGAAATCATCCCAGCTGATAACGGGCAGATTCTCAAGGGGGATACCCCAGTCGAGTGTGGCTCGTCTCTGGTCGAGCTTCTTCTGCTGCTGCTGCACTCGGCCCTTCTCGATTTCGTTCTGGGGGAATGTCTTCAGGTTGTAGGCAAGGCCAAGCTGCTTCATGGTCCAGATGAACCACTTGGTAGGGTCATATTGCCACCACTCGATGGCGTTACGGAAGTCGCTCGGGAACTCGTGGTGGAAGCTAGTGAACGGTCAGCCAATCCTGTCACCCCTGCCGGATGGACAAAAGATGAAGAAGAAGGGGTCCATACTTGTGATAACCCTCGCCAAGAGTAACCAGTGCGGTGATAACATGATCCCTCGGAGAGTTACGGTCATCAAAGGGCTGGTCACCGAGCCAGTGGGCCAAGCTGTTGACACAGAAAGTGGCCTGCTGGATGAAGAAGCTGATCTTGGTCAATATGGCCCGATCACAGTGCTCGTTATCTGGACAACTTACATTCTGAGGATACCAGCATAGACGAAGCCACCAAGGAAGTCGCCCCAGCCGAGACCACAAACGAGCATGGGCACAACCAGAGCCATGGTCACGACGGACTTGAGATAATTGCGATGCTGCCAGACAACCACGGCATCGTCTGCTTCCGTTAGCAATATGACCGACACAACGATCACTCCCACAAGGGACACTCACCATTCAGGTCGGTGATGTCGGTGCGGCCAATTCGCTTGGGGTTCTGCTTCATGACCATCCAACCGATGTGGCTGTAGAGCAAGCCCTTGCGGACCGAGTAAGGATCCTTCTCAGTGTCGGTATACCGATGGTGCGAACGATGGAGACTTGACCACCAACGAGCGCTACCCTCAACGGCAGCGGAGCCACCGGCGGCAAGGAAGATCTTCAGGGGAAGGGTAGCCTTGTAACTCGAGTGAGCCCAGAGACGGTGGTAACCGGCAGCTGGTAGATAGGTCAGTCATTCTGAGCGCCCCAATCTTTCTCGGCCGGGTTAACTAACTGATTCCAAGGCCTGCGAAAAAGTAATAGGCAACAGTGAAGATGGCCGTCTTAGTCTGCAGAGGCACCCAATACGAGGAGATGAGGCCGGCCAGCGGAATGAAAATGATGAAGGTTGTGTTCAGCCAGTTGACATGCTGGTACCAGTTCTTCCATGTTATCGGCTGCTCCGTGATATCTGCAGCAAACCTCTGATTAGCATACGAGAACGACGGAAGACGGAAGACAGGGCGGCGGAAACTTACGAGGCTTTCGGAGGTCGTATTGCTTCTTCCTCACGGGAATGTAGTCGGTAGTGCCGTCCGGAAAGGCCTCAGCCTGCGGGACCGCCGAAGAGGAGGACGACGCCATGTTGGCCGGCGGTCACGGCGTGGTAGGTTGAACTGACGGGAAGCCGCTGGCAAACCTTGCTCAAGTTCGGCCGTGTCTGAAGGGAAGACGATGGAAAGACAAACCACAGGAGGGGTTTCTCAATAGGGAAGAGAAGTAGGTGACGGGACAGAAATGTTTTATACGGAACGGAACCAGCAAGGGTGTGTGAATGATGCTTAGGGTAGGCGGGTCCGAGCAGCGTATGATAACGGAGACTGTCTTGTGTGAGGAATCCAGATTCCAGACACGTTCCAAAGACGGGTTTGGCACACACAAGAATGACAGTTGCCACTGCCCAACTTTGTTGACGCTTGTTGGGAAGCGATATCTAACACGCAAACCACAATACGTACTCTTACAAATGACATGATCCGCCTGGCCGAGGCGAAAACTTACCGACTTTTAAGGTCACTCTCGAACCAACTCTAATCGAGTCACCTAAAACGACGGAGTACTGTACTAAAGCGACGGAGTACATCGACATACACAGCAATTTCCACCAGCATTGAAGTACCGAATTTTGAAGTCACTAAGCGCTATACATACAACATGATTACACGCGCCAAATCCCAGGTACGGAAACTAAAATCTCTTGGTATTGCATTCCAAGCCGAGCCTTTGAAACTGAATGCAAAATAAAAAGGAATACTACTTGATTTTCCAGGTCTGCTCTCTACCGCTGTAGCTGCCATTTGCCCTGAGTACGTTGACCAAGCTGTTCGGGGCGAGTGCTGAGTGATGTAATTTGATTGGTTAGATGGAAGGGTACAATGCAGATGTACTCCGTCGTTTTAGTTCAGCACTCCGTCGTTTTAGGTGACTCGACTCTAATTGGCCTCGGCTGAGCAGAGAAGGTGCAACACGCCACCCCAAGCGAATGCATCTCGTTTGCCCAGAAGCGACCGGGATCTTGGAAGGTTTGGTGAACAACCGTTGTTCAGCAGTTTTGTTGAGGAAACTGTTGGGGAAGCTTTCAGGTCCATGTGGGGCATTTCAAGGTCCCCGCGGGCGCTGATTGGCTAGAACTCTAGCCGAACCAATTCGGCTCCCATCAATCCAGACGTCATCCGAAAGGGTGAAAAACGTGTGCTCCGCTCCCGCTTTCCCGCCTCCGTCCGCAGCTGGATTTGAGTGTGTGGCGGGAATTGGAGTGGTACCGGCATACTCCGTTCACGTTGTGGATGCTTGCGATCACATGTCAGTCTCTGCCATTTGAGAACTGGAAGTACCATCCAAGGTGTCGCCGGCAAGGTACCAAGATTTGGGGCTGACAGTTGTTGGTAAGGCTGAGGTCGGGATGCACCTGTGTTTCGGCTTGGCGAGCTCTCACAGTGATAGGAGAGTCGTTGAAATCGGAATCAATCGCTCAAACGACTCCCTGCATTTATGCTCGGACAAGACTAGAGACCATCATCTTATGTAAACGTGTCAATCAAGGGATAGCGGGAGCTATGGTAAGTAGTCATGGGTCTACAGTCTAACCTGCACATAACGTTTGGGCACATAACGATATCCTCGACATGACGGTCAGAATCCTGAACCCACCGTTATTTGTATGGGAAATCGTTCGATCCTGTACACTCCGTTAACCGCTAGGAATCTTGCTGAGTAATCCATACAAATCGTTATAGTAAGTCAGGCTACAGTGGCTAGAGCACCCTTAAATGGCCTAGCTTAGGGAGTAATTATAGCGGTTTTCAGTGGTCCTATGATAGTTGACCAGTCCTGTGCCCCATAAATATCCCTTCTGGACAAGAAGTGGGTCACCTGAGGACAATGATATCCACGGTATAACGGTCAAAATCCTGTGACTGTGCCAATCGTTATATGCAGGTTACACTGTATCTGACAACCCCTTTCGGAACACACCGGGAGATCCGGGACGGGCCTCGGGTGACCCACCGACACCGGAAGGATGGATACGGACCGGCCCCGGAATACGAGATATTTCTGACCCACCTAGCGGGACTACCGAGATCACTACGGAGGTACCCGGTACCTCCGTACCACGAAGGACGAAAGTTGATAAGGAGATGAGATCGGTTTACCAGTTCCCATCGCTTCTCACGATTTCACGAGCCATAACGTTAGCAGATCCTCGGCCACGAAACGTGTATACCTATGCACAACCAGCTAGGTAGTAAAGCCATACCTAGCAGCTTAACACTCTTGAAAAATCCGCACTTTATTAGATAATCCGAAGATCTAAGCCGGGAGCTGTGAGCATAGTAGCAAGCAGATGCGCAGGTTCATACCTAGCAAGGAGTGATTAATGATAGACAAGCTTGATTTACTGCATATCAATTACGGATTAGATGGCGTGGCATGACAAGCGTCCGGAAGATTTCAAGCCGACGAGGATGAAGAAGCACCTCAAGTTTCCAGGCAAGCAAGAGTACCCTCCCAACACCGAAATTACTTGTATACATGGTCCCTGTCCCGGCCTGATGTTCCAACCTCAGATATATAAACTACAACGCACCGTCACCCCATTTTTCCAGTTCATGATGACTGCGAATGATTGCTTGTATGGAATCGAGAATGAGCCGCCCAACGGTATACAAGATGCTTCAAAAGGGGCAATGAAATAAGAGTAAAACAACGGAGAAGACCAAGGAAGTCTCGTCAAATCATCCAAATAGCCGCCGTCGCCCCTGTCACGCAAGCCGAGCCCAATTCACAAGCCCATCCGACCGTCTAACACCCAGCCTGATAGGTACCTCGGGTGCTGATAGTGCAATGGGCCTCTGGAGTCAAACGGCGCAAGAAAAAGATCAAAAAGGGGGTAATGCATCGCGGCAAGGCTGGCGCTGCTCAAGAAATGGGAAGAGACGTGTCCAATGCCATGCATAACCAAGATCCGATGAAGGATAACCCATAACCCATAACCCATTCCCATCTTCCACATCTACGCCATATATCCCCATGCCACTCTTCACCGTCGCAATGTCCAGAGAAAGAATAAACGATCATCGTCCGGGATTGTCGAGGGCCCCAACCGCCAGACGGCTCAATCCCGCGTCCAGGTCCAAGCCGAGTTCATCATCAAGAATCATTTCGCCGTCAATCCGTCGTTTCTCATTGCCGGTCAAGGAGTCGGGAAACGGCAGGCCATACGCCGAGCCGACGCCCGCCAAGTCGTCGGGCTGTGCGAGGCGCCCGCTGAAGCAGTCATTTTTCTCGTTGTCGCTGGAGACCCCCACGTCGGGTTCGAGCGTCGGCATTGACAAGCCCATTGATGTGGTGACACCTCCTTCCGCTGTCCCAATGGACCTTTTGCCGCCATGACTCTGCCCCCGCGCCTCCTCTCTATCATCGCGTGGAATAACACCCGCCAGTTGTTTCTCCCGCGGGGTGCTGGCCAGGTCGGTGACATCTTTGCCGCTATCAGTTTGAGATTCTGGTCCTGTTGCTGGTTTCCGCGTGGTGCTGTTGTCCGCTGGTCCTGAATCCCGTACCGGGGTGTCGACGCTGGACTCGACGCTTCCTAAGCTGCTGCGTCTCTGTTTGTCCGCATTCAGCGAAGTTTGAGCCTGGGTTCTGTCTCGAGATTTCTGGGGTTTGTTTGATGGCAAGGACCGTGGTTGATCCGCTACCAGGGATTCGTCGTCAATGCTCACTCTATCGGGATACTTTCCCAACGACTCCATACTCCTTCTCATCTGGGCGCTGGAGTGCCCCCCGAAGTTGCTTGATGGTTTATTACCGACCGACGGCACCGTCAGTGCGTGATTATACGTGTCAGACCAAGTGTGCATCCTCGGCCCATACCGCAAGGATTTGTAATCTCCCTGGTTGCTCGGCATCGGAGATGGCGGGGACCTCCCTCTCGCAGGGTAATAATATGAGTCGTCGGGTACGGAATGGGCATTCCAGCCGACATATGCCCAATCGTTCGGCGGGTGGACGGTCATGATGCGCGGGACCCCATTTGGGAAATGATCAGGGATATAGTCATGACGTGAACTTATGTCGTCGTTCAGAGAAGTAAAGGACCCATTCGGAGCGCCATAGTGGCTCTCCTCTTCGCGGTCAGGGAACCAGGACAGCAGCTGGCATGCGTGGAGTCGGTTTCGGGGGTTAACGCTCAGACAAGTATCGACAACGCGTTTATACCAGGCCGGCACCTGGACGCCCGAGTCGATCTTCAGGGGGCGACCGAATGCCTCGGGCTCGTCTTCTTGCATTGCTAGGGCCCAAAGCACCATGCCGAGCTGGTATAGATCGGACTTGACCCCGATATACATGGAAATTCGCTGCCCACTCTCGATCATGGGCGTTGCCTCCGGTGGCTCCCAGCCGATCGGGCAACCTCGCCGATTAATGTCGATGATCTTGGCGTCTTCGTTCTTGTCTATGACGATGTTGGACAAGGTGAAGTCGCCCTGAACAAAGCCAGCCTCGTGGATCTCGGATAACCCGGTGACAATTTGCCTCGCCCACTTTTCCCGAGTCGGCCAGGGTAGTGAATGATCGTGATCGTATATCACATCGATGAGGGCTCCCCGCTCTGCGTAGCTAATCAATAGACCTGTGACGAGTTCCTCCCTCTCGTCCACAACGACGCCGTAGAACTGGATAACATTGTTCGCAGCTTGTAGGGAGTTGAGCGCGTTGATTTCGTAGAGGAACTCCTCGACCGTGTCTGGACCTGGAATCTCCTTTTTTATGAGCTGCCTGCCGTGGACTCGAACTTTGTATACAAACCCGGACATGTGCGAGTCAAACTGGATCTCTCGCTCCTTTACTCGCCGACAGTTCATATGCTGGATCATGCGCACTGACGGATAATGGATGATTTCCTTTCTGGCAGTCAGTAGAGGAAGTCGGGGGCGTAGTGGGGGAGAGGAAGGGGTTCCCCCTAGGAAATCAAGCGTACATTGACATCTTCCACAACGTGCACGTGTAGTCGCCCGTCCTTGGTCTCCAATTTGAGATTGGTTACAGTGTCGTAGAACTGTATATCGGGAAGACTTTCCCGAATGGCGTCATAAATCTTTGCACTCTTGTCACGCTGGAATTTGGTATGGGCCAGGTCCAATTCTAACGAGGGCTCAGGAGCGCACCGGTAGTCAAGCGAGATGGTGACACGTCGCCAGAGGTGCTCGTGTTCGCGGTAGGTGACGAAGAACTTTTCCCTCTTGGACTTATCGCGAAAGTGCATCGACAGGTTCAGAATCCATATCCTCTCCAGCTCGTCGTCAATCATTGCATCGTACTGGGAGGTGGTCATGGACTGGACATCCAGCTTGGAACTAGCGTCGGCATCGCGCACTGGGCCATGGTCATCCAGGTCCATGTCTAGAGCAAAGCCACTCAGATCCCCAGTGCTATCCAGTACGCCGTCGATAGGACTTGTGGGCCGTGAGAGCGGGGAGGGCGTGACGCTGAGGGAGTGGTGCAAGAAATCTGGAGCACTGGTTCTGGGATTTGACTGAGTGAAAGCGCTATTTGAGCCGTGCATGCGTCTATCCATGGAGACAGCTCTCCGCTCAGCCGGGGTGGGACGAACAGGTTCCAGCCTGCTCCGCAGCTCCGATTGTTGCCTCTTAAAGGTCGGAGCCCTGGGGAGACCGGGCACCACCTTTCGAGAAACTCGTCGGATGAGGCCTGCCTTGGTGTCGTCCTGTTGCTCGGCACCCTGCCCTTTGATGGACACGTCGGATAGCGCAGATGAAGCCCCATTGTCCTTCTCCCGGCCAGAAAAGAGCCTGCGCCACAGACTTTGTTGTTGTTGCGCCTGGCCGTTGCTATCCATCATGGAGGCCGTGGCTGTGGCCAAGGCATCTGGTTGGGTTTGAGCCATTAGCTGTCTCAGCCTGACGGCGCTCTTCCGCGAGCCTTGTGGTGTCTAATGAGAGACCGGGGCCCGGGAGGTTGGCGCGAAGCCTTCTTCCTCCGTCCCTCCTTCCCCTGTGCCTCAATCTTGGTTGCCGTCAACTTTGCCAAAACAATTCGAAGAGTGTGGAGTGAATCAAGGTAAGACGGGCAGGTTGAAAACACGCGAACAAAGATCTCGCGGGATTTGCATCAAGCACAGAGAGCCATGCATGCGAGCGATACGAGGAACCAGGCGTGATAATGGTGCGTCAGAGAGCCAAGCGGCCGCCGCCTGAACCGGCCGTGCAATGTACGCCTCGTCCAGCGCGCCACAGGAGCAGGGCGGCGAGAAGGCTGGCCTAACAAAGCCGGATGACAACCGGAATGGCGGAGGGTAAAGTGCTCGTTTTTCCTTCTTGGACTCCTGTCAATCTCGCTCGGTCTGCGCTGCCTTTGTTAAATTCTGCTGAGCCGGGGAACGATTCGGAGACATCTGGGTCGGCAGGTGTCGGCTTGGTGTCTTGGAGGGTAGGACCATATGGGATACGGATAATTGGGGGGAAAAGCCTTACTAAGTGAGCGGACGAACACCAACCAGTCGACAAAATGGACAGCAAAGGGTGGTATGTAGCAGTGGAGGGAAGGGAAGGGAAGGGCAAGCCTCAGGCCGGGTTCAATGGCCATGCAAGGCAAAACCAGGTTGTACTGTGGTACTATGGAGGTAGGTGGGATGGTGGGAGAAGACGGGACGGGATACCGAGTCCTCTACTACAAGGGAAAGCGAAAGACCTACCTGATTGCTGCAGCTCCGACACGGGATTATGCCTCATCGGAACCTCGTCTTGTTTGCGTTCTTACCTCCTGCATGCTCTGCTACAATTCGTGCCCAGAAGAGACCTGAGATACACCCCTCTGTACACTACAGTACCGTGGTATCGTTCAAGACCAAAGACGGGTTTCCTGGACCGGCCGTCAGGCAATGGTGGGTCGGGGGAGGGCGGAGGCTGGGGTGCCAGTGGGGTTTTACACGTGTTACGGTGCTATGGGCAAGTACGAGGGAGACCATGCATGTACCTGCCATCCCTGGTCTGCATCCCTGTGACAAGTCGTCTCGATTTACTTTGGGATGCCATCTGCAGTCGTGTGTACTTTGAGCCATCTCCCAGAGTATTGACATTCAAGATTACTTGCACTTTTCAAGTGGCGTGGTGCGTGCAGCATCTGCCATGACGTTGAGCAGGTAACGAACTGAACGAGAGTAGTTACTTTCAGGCTCAGGTCTTGGCAGAAACGTACTTCATGTAATTTTCGTATTTGTTACCGATCTTACTGTAAAGTGTGTACTGTAATTATCAAGTTTACTTTAACTTGAAGCTGCGCCCTAGCTGACAGCTACTGACACTAGGGAAAGAGCCTTCGCTGATTGGACCCATCATAATTAACAGCTCACCGCTGAAGCAGATCAAGAGCACTCAAGAACAAGACAAGAGGAAGCAACTCCTAGTTCTCTCCATTGCCCTCGGCTGGTATGGATCTCGGGTTGCACACAAATCAATGATAGGTGATTTTGGCGTGATTCCTCGCAACTCAATGACAACCTGGAAAGGTTCCAAGGATAAGATGCCCAATACTTTATGGTTCGTGGTTCACCGTTCAGCCTAACCTGATCCCTATCTCATCAAGTGAAGCATCGCTTGACCCCTTCGCGGTGCCTTCCCGACGCTGGCTTAGCCTATGGACCAACTCATATCAGCCACAGGCCCAACGTCGGCCTGACCGAACTAATGGGGCGGTTGTCTCCTTTCTGATTTGATCGCATTGGGCCGGGCCGGTGCATCTCGGGGATCGTGGGGTTGAAGGTGGTATCCATGGATGTGTGTGGTGGAGCACATCTAACCCCGCGAACCGGTGGCCCAGCTCCGATCTCTCTGTGCTCCGGTCCGCTCTCCACTCTTTTCCCAACGCCAACGAGGCACGCCTGCATCGGCTGCAGCTAGCCAGCCATACTACATGAGACGAGCCAGCCCTGTATGCAGTCTCCTTCAACGTGATTGATGCCTAAAGCATGCCAGCAACGCAATACGCAGACCAATCCCACGGTAACAAACCAAGGCTGCATGCAGCTGACGGCAGATGTCCGCCAATTGCCAGTGCCCAAGGCACACTCCAGCTTGGTTGTCGAATGCTTCCTTCGTGGGTGTTTCGAGCCCCTGGAAAGGACCGCCTTGCTGCGCCGGGAAACAGCCATCTGGCAAGAATCGCATCTGTGCAGGAGAAATGAGCGTCGCCGGCTATCTATTCATTGTGTTTGACAGCCCAGCAATTACCCCTGAGCGCAGAGAACGGTGGAGGGAAGCATTCCCCCTACTCCACCGCAGATCTCATAGTGTAGGAGAACCAGTAGGATGTAGCCCTCACATATAAGCCGCAGTGGGGAGAGAGTAAGAGAAGTGCTGCCAGTCCCACACTCTCGCTGCCGCACCCGTCATCACTGAACAGCCGGTCGACAACTCGGCTTCCTCATCTTGTCCAGTTGGGCAGCCTCCGAGCCCAATCATCCAAGGACCACGGTTCACCGGCATCATATCCCTCAATATCAAGAATGACAGTCAAATACACAAACATACCAAGACTCGTCACTGTAGCCCAACGTGTTCTCCTCAGTCATATATAGTGTTAGGGCTGGCGTCGCGGATCTGTAGTAATGGACTATGGAGGCCATGAATACATACATCCATGCGACTTGGGACACTCGCCATGTAGCAAGCAGAAGCACACCAGATCATTTCCTCGCAAGCGTCCTTTCTCCACCTTCCTCCATCCCAGAAAGAGAATAGAAAGCAGGAGATCGGGAGAACATGGAGCAAAGCTACCTAGCACAGCTCTATCTCCAATGCCCAAAACTCAGCTTCTAGCCGTCGTCCTCCTGGCTCCCCGAACAACTACCTTACTCATACACTCCAAGCAGACCGCTAACAGCTTCCCCAATAAGTAAACCAAGATGTACTACATTACAAAGAGTGAAGATGTTCATCTACAAGCGAGTCCACGCATGCAGTCCGTGGCAAAGTCTGGAGAACGAGCCACCCGTCTATAATCCATGAATTCGTTGTCCAGTCCCTTTAGTTTGGATTCCACTTTGCCGTTGTAACGCCGGATAATGCTCCCTCTCGCGAGAGTTCTCCCCTTCTCCCGCGTTCCATCCACTCCCCTTCACCAGTCCATGTTGCTTTCCCCCACGCCGCGGGGTCTGTTTTGCCGTCCGCACCTCCCAATAGGGACGAGACTATGGGGGCGGGTGCAGGCAATGTATCCATTGGCAGCTTATATGTGAGCTGCCTAGAGATAACATGCTGTAATTCGCTCAGGGCGATCAAGGCCGGCGTATGCATCCTGGTGGCCTGCCTGATCTTCCCAGCCGTCCAGAGCAAGCACATTCATTCGCTGTCATCGCTCTTTTCGTCCTTGTCCGAGCTCTCGTCGCTGGCCTTCTCGTCCCCACTGACTCTGCGCTTGTTGGCTTTCTCCTTGTCCAGTTCGGGGAAGATGAGGTCAAAGACTTCTGAATACCAGCTAGCTGGCCGGCCCTCAATCCCTTCCTTGATGTTCTGCGACGTAAACAGGTAAGCATGGTGCATCCACGTGCATCTATGACCAGAACGGGCATATACATACCTCTGGAAGTTCGAGCCAGTCTGACATGTTATCCTTGGGGAAGATGATCATCTTACAGCCAGCCCGCCGCGCGGCCACTGTCTTTTCCCTCAAACCTCCGATGCGAAGCACCTTGCCCGTCAGGGTTAATTCACCTGTCATGGCGACAGTGGGCTGAACTGAAGTATCCAGTGCTAGTGACAGGAGCGACGTAGCCATGGTAATACCTGCCGATGGCCCATCTTTCTGCACTGCACCCTCGGGGACGTGCACATGGATCTTGGCCTTCTCAAAGAAGTCGTTGTTGGGGAATTCTTTCGCCATCCACGATTTGGCAAACGAGTACGCGATGGCAGAAGACTCCTTCATCACAGTCTTCAAATTACCAGTAATTTCCAGAGACGGCCGGCCTGACGGCTTAAGGGGGGATTGGAGGATGGCCTCAACGTACATGGCAGCGCCGCCCAGCTGCGTCCAGGCGAGGCCCATGGTGACACCTGGTGGGGTGACATCGTACAGCCTGTCTGATGTGAAGACAGGTGGCCCGACATAGTCTTTCAGGTCATCTTTATCTATGACGACATGTACGCTGTCTGGAACCTTCAACGGCACCCTCGGCTGTTCCGTCGTTTCCTTTTCAGATGCCTCGGTAGTGACTTCTTCCGCTTTGTGCTCGTGTTTGGATTCCTCGAGGGCCGCCTTGCCCTCGTCGGTGAGGGCCTGTGATTCGGGAAAAGCGTCCTCACCCTGATCCTGGACGATCTTCAGCGCCGCTTTCCGATAAACCTTGTCGATCTGCTTTTTAAGGTTCCGGACACCAGCCTCCCGGCAGTACGACTTGATAAGCTCCTCAATCGCGTCTTTGCTCATCACCACATCGGCATCCTTGAGCCCGGCCAGCTCCTTAGCCTGCGGGGCAAGGTACCTCTCCGCGATGGCCATCTTCTCATCTGACACGTACCCCGAAAGTCGGATGACTTCCATACGGTCAAGGAGGGGCCGAGGGATTGTGTCAGTCATATTCGCTGTGCAAACAAAAAGAACTCGGGAAAGATCGACTGGAACGTCCATGTAGTGGTCGAGAAATGAGCTATTCTGCTCAGGATCCAGGAGTTCCAGAAGCGCCGAGGAAGGGTCTCCCTGGTAGCCTCTTCCAATCTTGTCAATCTCGTCGATGAGAATCAGAGGGTTCTCGGTCTTGCATTTCTTGAGAGCCTGGATAACACGGCCGGGTAGGGCACCGACGTAAGTCCTCCTATGACCCTTGATCTCGGCGACGTCTGTGAGGCCGCCGACGCTGAACCGGTAGTACTCCCGGTTCAACGCACGGGCAATCGATTTACCAATGCTTGTCTTACCCACTCCCGGAGGGCCGACAAAGCAGAGGATCTTGCCCTCAACGGTGCCGCGTAGTTTTCCCACCGCGATGAACTCCAAGATGCGATCCTTTACATCCTTCAGGCCGTAGTGGTCCTCATCCAGAACCTTTATGGCGTTGTTGATGCTAAAGTTTTCGGTGCTCCTCTGTCCCCAAGGGATTTGTGTAAGCCAGTCCAAGTAGTTGCGGGTAACGTTGAACTCGGACGCGGCAGGCTCCAAGTGGGCGAGCTTGTTCAGCTCTTCATCAAACACCTTGCGTACCGCTTCCGGCATAGCCAACTTGTCAGCCTTTTCCTTGAACTTTTCCACCAGCTTGTCTTTGCCGTCGGATTCGATGCCGAGCTCCCGCCGAATGCCCTTCATCTGCTCCATCAGCCAGTATTCGCGTTGCCGCTTGGTAATTTTGCTCTCGACGTCCTTGGTAATCTTTGATTGCAGCTGGGCATTGACGTGCTCTTTCTTCAAAACCAGCAGCGCCTTGTGCATCCTTTCCTCAACGTTCAGACTTGACAAGACTTCTTGGAGCTCGGCGGGCTCTCCAGCAGAAACAGCAGCCGCAAAGTCGGCGAGCTTGGCGGGCTCGGACATGACGTTGCCTGTCGATTGGCTCATTGAGAAGGTCGAGATCTGATCCCTGAACAAGCTGTTCATGCTGGCAACTTCCTTGAAGACGTTGACAATCTCGTTGGTAACAGCACGAATCACCTGGCTTTTGGGGTCGTAAGGCTCCTCGGTGAGGTTATCAACGTTTACGAGGCTAACGGGATACTTTTTCAAGAATGAGGTCGGCTCATATTGCTTCTCTTTCGGTTCCGGTTTTTGCACGACAGCACTCTCCTCGAAGCTCGCGACCACGTCTCCCTTTTGCGGCGTCTCCTCGGCCGGTTTCGGAATCGGCTCCGGCGGCGTGGCGGGCTCCTCTGTGACTGTGTCCTTGGGGGACTCGGCGCCCCCTGGAGGGATCAGGGAGGACATACGAATCCTACGGTGGGGATATAAAATGGCTGTAAGACCTGCTTCGCCGCTCGGCGAGGTCATGGGGAACGCGCTGGTTATCTGGGCGAAAACACCAACGTCGTAGACATCGTCGGGGCTGCGGATGACATCGTCGTCGGCGTTCTCATCTTTGAATAGGAACGCACCAACATATGGCTGACCGCGCTTGAACATCTCTGTGATGGCCGCAGCGACATTGGGGTCCCGGATGGTGATAGCCTTATAGAACCCTGGAAACAGGGGCCGTTTGGCGATTGGTATTGCCATGACCTGGGGATACGTCTCAGGCACAACCGGTTTGGCCAGGGCCTTATCGGACTTCCGGCCCCGTCTGCCTCCATCCCCCGAGCCGTCCCCGGCAGAGCTTGACGAGGCGCCGCTAGCAGCACTTCCTCGGCCATCCGGTGATTCCGGAGTTCCCTTTCCATTGCCTCCGGACGGGGCATCGGAACCGAATGTCCTGGTCTCGGCAACGGTCCCCTCCTCGGCCTCAGCGTTCTCCCGATTTGCTCTCTTCTCTTCTTCGGACAACGGCTCGATAGATCCATCAAAGAACCCCGCTTTGTCCTTTCTTAAGGCAGCATATGTGGAGAAACTAGAAACCGACGACGGCCGGTTGTCTCTTACAGGGTTTCGCAATTCAGACACAGCATGCTGCCCCTGCCGTACTAAGGACGCCCGCCCCAAATATAAGCTGAATCTCCGTGATGTAGCTAGTAACCGAAAAGGCTTCGTCGGCGCGGGTAACCGTAGGACGCGCTGTCGAGGCAGCATTGTTAGGCACTGTGAGGAAGAGAGCTGCGGCGCGGTTTGACGTCAGGAATGATACAACCGGGGACGCAGCAAGATTCGGGGATATCTCGTGGCGGAGCCGAGAAATAAAAGGAGGTGAGATAATACAAAATAAAAAGTAAATGCAAAGTCACGCCGGGGCGGAAGAGTCAATGGCAGTTTCGAGGACTGGGGAGGCGAGAACCCATGGCAAAGGCGTCTGAATAATCAGTGGAGTTGAACTGGTGAATGCGCTCTTCGGAGATAGAATCTGCTGGCGACTGCCCGCAATTTTTCGCCTGTGACGCGCTGACAGGGGTATTCAGGTACGTAATTACATGGTTACCTACGGCGCATCAGCCACATACCTAAGCTACAGCCACTGTGACTTCATTGTGGCTTCCCAATCGGATCCCTATGCTCCACAACCTATTGAGAGCTTTGTGCCCCACCCCCGCACTTTCACGCAGTTTGGGAACCCTCACCCGACAGCACCGCATGCTTTGTCCACTTGGCTGAATAGACAGCAGATTGTCGTCCATCCGGTGTTGTTGGTTCAATGTTGGATTCAACAGGCTGCCTCCGCCAGAGATCGGCCGCAGGAGAACGATAAAGACATCTGACATTATATATAATCACATAAACTCCAATATCCCCTCCGTTGTACGGTCGCTGAATATATTCATTTGAGGTGTCTCTGGAGTTCTGCCCGCGTGGCTGTGGCACAATCAGTGTCCTACCCCAGAGTCTCATCATTGTTGTGTGCAAGAAGAGGACACCTCCTCCTTCCCCATCCTACCATTGTCCAGCACCGCTCTCTCTCCCGCTCCTGCTCCTTTCTGCACACGTGCCTGGTGCATAATACATTTGAGCAATAGAAGACTCGGCATGGCGACCAAAGCAGCGGACGACATCGCCTCAGGGGTCAAGAAGTTATCCCTCCAAACAGCCAGGCTGGACACAGCAACAGCAGCGAGTAAAGCGACCCCTCAGCGTCAGAAGAAGAAGGACATAGAGGTTGCCGATAGCTGGGAGGACGAGGCTGAGGATGATAGTGGTTCGGCATCAGAAGCTGAGGCGACACCTGTGGTTAACAACCACGCCGGCACCTCGGCCCCGCCGCCTACACCCATGTCGCCAGGAGCTGCTAAGCGGCCATTCTCTCCCTCTGCCATCACAGGGCCCGGCTTCACAATCCCTTCGTTGGACGGGGCAGATGAAGGGCCGCATACAGGTACCGGACCGTCTGCAAGACGACCCGAAAAGACCGATGCCGTGGCGCGACGCATGATTGCCAGCGCGCTAGGCATGAAGGCGCCAAAGCAGACGGAAGAGCAGCGTGCATATGACCGCGCAATTCGCGAGAAGGAGCGCAAGCGGCGCGAGGAGGAGAAGGAACGCGAACGCCAGAAAGAAGAAGAGGCTGCGAGGGCAAGGCAGGCCATCTGGGAGGACTAAGGCCTGTCCACTTTAGCATTCCAACTTGCTTTATCAGGCGACTCTGTTGATGCCACTCGCTGCGGCTTATTCTTGGATAGATTAATGTGCTCAGCGTCAGGCCTCCAAGGGCATGCTTGCGGGCTGGTCTTGGTCTTTGCCGAATCGATCAGTTAGGGTCTTATGAGGACTGTAACACTGAAACATTCGGGTCCCAGCACCTGCATTGCTCGATCTCGCCTAGTGTGAGCCGTTGTATTGCCGTCAGCGCCAATACTCCCATCGCTTTCCAGCAACTTACCCGTTACTGAGCCTACCCTCCGCCATCACCACCCTACACAGAATGTCGATCTCAGACCATCCTTTCTGACTCTCACCTTTCAACCCCGGCTCCCTCCGCCAGCGGTAAACTACCACCATTCCAACTCAATGCTACCTCTCTCTCTCCAGTAGCAGTATACCTCTTTCCGACCAGGACACCCTCCAACCCCTCCCCCTGAGCCCTCTCATTCCAGAGCACCTGCTCCACCTTACCCGCGCGCGAGCAGGCCACGAAACCCATGGGCCACTTGCTCCGGGCGAGGGCGTCTCGGATGCCCTTGGTGGCGGCGCGCTCGGTCACCAGCAGGCCGAGCACCCCGGAGCTGCCGCGCCAGCCGGCCGGCGCGCCGACAAACGCGCCCTCCAGCTCCCGGACGAGATGCGGGCCGGGCCGCTGCACGGCCTTGCACTGCGCCAGGACCCTGAGCGGGCGGGGCAGCAGCCCCGGCAGCGACCACGTTCCGAGCAGATCGATGCCGTAGTCTGAGCTGCCCCCCACGCGCCTCAACGAGAAGCCGTACGAGGCTAGCGCGTTCAGCGCTGTGTACTCGAAGTGTGTGCCTATGTAGACTGTGGAGTTCGGAGAGAGGTTGGTGCGCGCCGCGTAGGAGAGGAAGGAGGAGAGGTCGGTGTGCTGTTGGGACGGGGAGGCGGGGTAGATCAGGGGGCTGGTTTGGTCGAGAGCTTGTTGCTCTTCTGAGCGCTGTTGCTGCTGTTCTTGGCCAACGGGATCCGAGGGACGGGTGGTGGTTGTTGAGAAGAGGCACCGAGCGGAGAGGATAGCTGGTGGGTTGGGGTAAAGAAGTCGGGGAAGAAGACCAGCGCGCATCCTGAGACTGCAGCGGGGCTAGGTCAATTCCAGAGACTACTAGAGGTGGACAGAAAAGTTACTGCGACGACATTTCTAGGTCCAAGGAATGTGACGCGATTGACACTTATTAACGCGGCACAAGCTCAAACTTATCAGAGCTATCAGAGCTGCCAAGCACTGTTCTGAGTTCTCTTTTCCTGGACCGGAGGTACCGTATTGTACATACATACAACAGTACAAGGGATCCTCAATACAATACCTTAGTAACAACCACAATTCCCGTCCCAGCACTCGACACACGACAACACCTTCTCATCTTTCCTGTTTTCCTTGAAACGCAAACAAGAGACAGCACTTCTTTACCCTAAAAATGGCCGACCGCTTAACGCAGCTGCAGGAGGCTATGGATGAGGTCCGACATTGCAATCCCACTGCCCCTCTTCCTGCTCAGCCCTCCAACAGGCCGCTAACCCGACATGCTTACCACTAAACCAGCTCTATACCATGTTCATAGCGGCTTTCTACTATACTGAGCGACACCATGACCTCAAGTCATTTGGGCCGGGGGATAAGATTCCTGACTTAAAAGCGGAACAGCCCAAAGAAGGTTGGGAAGGCCCCGCCCACGCCCACCTTCCACCGCGCGCTAACCCCCTATCCCCAACTCAGTTGAGACCCTCGACCCCGAAACCTTCAAAGCCGGCCAGCTCGAGATTGCACGCGATCTCATTACCAAGGAACAACAGATAGAGTACCTCATCTCAACACTTCCCGGGCTAGACAACAGTGAGCGCGACCAGCTTCAGATGATCCGGGATCTGGAAGAGGAGATTGCGGCAGCCGAGGCGCAAAGATTGGAGGCGGTCAAAGAAAGAGACGAGGTGCTCAAGAGGCTAGACGGGCTTGTTTTGAGCATCCGGAGGCCTACCTGATCTAGGTTAGGGGATGGTTAACTTGGGCGTTTGGAGTGCGGTGTTGAATTGCATCGGTAGGGCGGGCAGCATTACGGTCATACTTATATGAGGTTTTACAGCGCGGCGTTGGTTTGGCTTCCTGGAAACTTTGGTGGGCCTGGTTTAAGACGGTATCGATGGCCTGGTGTGTCATCATGCCTGTATTTCATCCGGCATCTATATGATCTGTGGCAGCTGTCGTGGCCGTCACTTCTAATCGTGTCTATGCGAATACATCTATGAGTGATAGGTGATTATATCTATCCTTCAGCTCGTCTCGGGGCTGTCGGTCTTGAAGAACTGGGGGAACGTCGTCCGCAAGTCGTTCAGGTGTCGAATCTGGTATTTGCAGGCTGGAGTCTTGGGGGGTTGGATGTCATCCTCAACAAGGTGGGCCACCGTCCAGCCGAGCTCCTGTGCTTTTTTGCAGTTTTGGTATGAGTCATCTCCAAGCAGGTTAGCGCTACTGTTGTACATGTGCGGACGCGATCATCTCACTGGTAACTTACCAACAAAGAAGCAGTCTTCATACTTCTCCACCCCGGCCTGCCGCATCGCCTTGTGGTACATGTCCGTTTGTGGTTTGCAGACCAGCGGAATAGAGCTGTAGTCGCAATATGTGACGCCCTCAAAGAATTCTTCCACCTCAAGCAGTCGGACGACCCGCTTGGCATGATTCAAGTATGCATTTGTCAGAAGCCATAGCTTGACCTTGCTCCTGTCAATGTCGGCCAGAAGCTTCTTGAGCTCGGGCCGAGGCTTGATGATGCCGTCGAGCGGAAGCGCGTCGTCGACCTTGGCGTTGTAATCCAGGGGGTCAATCTGGTGGTGCCTTACCAGACCCTCGATGGCCAGACCGTAGTTCTGGTAGTACTCCTTGTGTAGCCGTACGGCGTCCTCCCATGGGAGAGAGAGGTGTGTGACAAAGTACCTGTCGATGAGTTCGGCCATGAGATCCTGCACCTTTGCGCCTTTTCGAGTCTCAGTCAATAAGCTGGACCATCATGATTCTGAGAGAGAACAGACGGCATACTTCTTGGGTAAAGACAATTGTCAATGTCGCTGAGCCCGGTTAGAGTGGATTCGTACAAAACAAAGCTGGCTCGGCTGTGGCGCACTTACAAGAAGAATACTTGTCTTTGAGGCGACGTCGCCCCATTGACGGTGGTCTTTTCTGTATCCATCTTGGGGATAATGATAGCTGAGGTATCACTACCTTATACTGTGGTAATGGTAGGTATGTAGCACCTCTCTTTGTCGTGACCGAGAACCGGAGCTTGTCTTGGATTGGGATAGGGAGGGGGTCTATACTCTATAGCGTATAGTAACGTTACTGTATGTACGAATACCTAATCAGCCATTCTCCGCTTCTACACCTTCTTTGAACGAGAAAAAGAATCCGCCTTGTCAATAAAATACGAGTTCTCAATCTCGAGAATCAAAGACACACGACAACACCTTTATCGTTCTTGTTGCATAGTCCCTTCTGTTTGTTTCGACAAGTTGACTCAGACCGGGAGGAACAAGGTCAGGGGAGTCCGCTCATTGGTGGTCAATCCAATTCAACGTCACGAGACGACTAGCGATCCATTGACCACATGTGCCCCGTGCGTCAGTCTTCACCGTGCACGGATGTTAACCACGCACCGTGCCAACTCGCAGAGCAGCATGAGCAGAAAGGTGAGGTCCGTGCCCGAGAACGTCGTAGCCAAGAAGCGACAAGGGTGGATTGGCTTCAGTGGTTGGGAAATTTCCGTTGCTTGCATCGCCTGGGAACAACGACCGCTTTTTTTCCACGCTCAGAGTGTCTTGCATTCACATTCGGATGCTAAACTACATCGCCTCATCCTTCCGACCGCGCGCTGTGTTCGATGGGCAGCTGACTTGCTGAGACGTCAACTTGGAGACGCGACAGCTTTCGCGCCTAAGCGAGCAGACACCATGGCGCAGGCCTCTGTAGTCGGGGTGACGGCGGCGACGGCGACGGGGCTGGCATCTGGATTGGCATCTGGTCCAGCAGCGGGGCCGGCAGTGAACGGTGGCTCCTTGCTAGCATCGCTCACATCAGATGAAGTTCGTGAGCTGCGTGAGTACCAAAAGCTCCTGCGGTTTCGCGACGAGGTTGTCACTGGCTCGCACCCGCGCATCAAGCCCACCCACCTGCTTGGAAAACCTACCCAGAATCTTAAACAAGCTCCAACGCCCGCTGCTGCCAATTCCACCGCACCAGCGACCTCGCAGCCCAAAGCCCCAAAGGGCCCCGTAAACAGCGACGGCGCAGTAATTGATAACTTCCAGGCTCAGCAGGCCAACCAGCGGGTCAACGTGACTTCCGTTGTTCCCGGCCTAGGGATGCTCTCGAGCCCTTCTGGCGGGATGAAACCGCCCGGGGCTGCGAAACCATCGATCGATCCCGTGCTTCTGGAAAAGTCTGACGACTTAATCAAGGCCGAGATCCAGCTAAAGCGGCAGCGACTGGAGCGTGATCTGAGAGAGCAAATTGAGCAGCGCCGCACCGCCAGCAAGCCGTTAGATCAACTGGCTGAACTTGACGTTGCCGACATTTACGCAAAGGCTTTGTCTTTGGTTCATGCCACGCCTGTTCAGACTACTGACGACACAGCTGCTAATGCCTCAGCTTCAAGCGACTCTTTTGACGATAACACCTTCTATTCGAGTCGTCACGACACGCCGGATTCTAACATGGCATCGCGCCTCCCTAATGAATCGGAAGACGAGGAGATGCGGGAAGGATCGCCTTATGAGCCTGAGTTGGATTCTGAGCCAGTTGTCCAGGTTGACCAGGTCCAGCCTGCCGCTCCTCCTACACAACCAGTATCTCTCAGCGCTCCTTCAGAGCAACAGCCACAGCTACAGTCAAGTGTCTCTGCGTCGACACAAACGGCACCAGTTCAAGAGGTGATGGTTCCTGGTTTGTCCATCGGAGTTGGCGGATCTGCGAGAACACATGCCCAGCCTCCTGTTCCGATGGCTTCTGGCGCGCTGGAGAGCAACGCTGCGCAAGATCTTGCAAGGGTAAACGAGCGATTGCCTAACCAGGCTCCGGCTCGAGAGCCATCCCCTCTTGTCCGTGCCCATGACCTCTCCCCTCTCGCTCCCCAGCCAACCCATGCTCTCCCACCTGCTATCGCACGACAACCACACTTAACTACACCTGGTTCTGGCGAGCCCCGGGCAACATCAGCCCAGGTCGCCGCGTTGAGAAATCAGCCTTCCAACGGGTCGAGCCCGGATAGCTCTTCGGCACAGGGAAACAGACCGGCAGAGAAGAAAAAGAACAAAAAGAAGAAGAGAAAGGCTGACCGGCTCGCCGCTGAAACTGCGGCTGCATCGCCCTATATTAAACCTGAACCCCGTTCTCCTTCTCCTCTTACTTCTCAATTTGCTCGCCCAAACAAGCGTCAGAGACGCTCAGAACAACAACCTCTGGAAGTCGCCGACGACGAACCTAGGTATGATCAGCGAGCTCCTGCAGAGGGAACCTACCAGGAACGCTACCAGCCCGTGGTTGTTAGGCAGGAACGAGTTGTGGGTTACGAGAGAGGAGACGAATATCACCTTCGCCGAGGCGAAGATCCTGCACTGGTGGCGCCGCCGAGGTACGAGACAGTTTATTACGACGATTATCGAGCGCCCCCGGAACCGACCGGCACACAGTATATTCCGGAAGTGCGGGCAGTACGTGCTGCACCCGGACATGCCGAGGGCCCGTACGATGACGGAGTCACTTACTACCGAGACGTTCGCGCGGCGTCGAGAATGAGCGTGCGTCCGGCGTTGGTATACCCCGACCGGTCTCAATCACCGGTCATGTACGAACGTCCCGCTGGAGCAATGCCTCCTCCGAAGCGACGTGTCGTTGTAGACGCCTTTGGTCGCGAGTACTTGGAGCCTGTCCGTGCGACAACCGTAGTCAGAGAAGAAGCCATATCCGACCTCAGAGGCCCAGTTTCTGTTCCCGAGCACAGGTACGAGCGCATTCTCCCTCCTCGGGCCGTCTCCCGCCGACCAGACTATCGTGACGATGATGGGCTTCTTTACCGTCCGGCGTCGCCAGCGTACGTCGCGCCACGCCGAGTAGTCACTCAGCCAGAGTATGCTTTTCCCGACCATCGCGGCGGCTACCGGGAGCCTGCCAACTCCATGCTACCGCCTCCACCTGCAAGCGAATACCACCCTTCTCGGCCCATCCCTACCGAACGAGAGCCATTGCCGCCGCGGGAGTACCTCACCCGAGCGACCAGTGTCCGTCCTGCGCCACCGCCTGCACCGGCGATGATGGAACCCCCATCAACCCGCTACGAGAGCAGCGCGTCGGGCTATGAGCGCCCTGTCCCACCCCGGGATTACTACGCTGCCAGCGGAGGCGCAGGCCCTAGCATCATCCGCGCTGTAAGCGCCCGGCCCGCCGAAGGCGGCCTTCGTTACGAGCAGCTACCTACCGCGTACGAGCAGCCGGTGCTGCGGGACTATGCGCCACCGCCGCTTCCACCAGTTGCCCTTCAGCCTCTGAGATCGGCCAGCGTGCGACCTGCTGCTGAGACGGCGGTGAGATACGATTATGACTATGCAGCTGGACCTGGAGCTGGAGGCAGGGGCCCGTATCTTCGCCATGACGAGGGAAGGCGAGGAGAGCAGCAGCAGGCGCAGGCTGGTGGGGGTGGCAGAGGGTATACCGTTCCGCCGCCCGGCGAACCGCAAGTCCTTCGCAGGGAGTACCATCCCTCCTCGCAGCAGGGCCAGGGCCAGCCGCCCACAGAGAGGTATTATGCGCGAGGAAGGGAGGATGAGGAGGTAGTGTACCTCGATCGGGCGACTGACGTTGGGGGGAGATATCGGGAGATGCGTTAAATGCTCCCTTAGGTGCTGTTGCCCCGAGTGGAATTGGAAGTTTGTGATGTGTGGATCTGACCTCGGGAGATTTGACCTCTACCTGTTGTCTTGCATTTCATTTGTTTTCGTCAGCGGTGTATGGTGTACTCAAGGATGGACATGGCTCGGCAGCGTAAAATGGGGCTTGAGGGTCCTTGGTTTGCTCTGAGAGGATTCATCACAGTTACCTGAGTGGATGGGTAAACTATTAGGTGGCTCAGGCAGGACGGATAGGCTGTCTAGACCAGCGAAGGATCGCTAGGATTGTATTGATACCTATGTAGATAATACCGAGACCGATCATGGTCCTGTACTGTATCGAAGGTATGTAGTGGCATTTACCTTCCTTTGTATCTGTGGGTTTGTCTGGAGGGATTTGTGCGGCTTTGGCTGCTATGATGGAACGGTAGGGCACATACCTCAAGCACTTTGAGCTTCGATATTGCCATGGGCTTTTGTTGCTCAGTCTGGCGGTTCATTTGTGGAACGGATTGTTGTCAATCATTCTTTGGTTGACTAGCAATGTAAGTTTCACTAGTCTTTTCTGAAGAACAAAGAGAGTGCTTTCGAGGTGGCGGTTAGCTGGCACGGAGACAAAACATGTTATTGGGAGCCGTACGAGACTTGGCTACTATATTGAGAGCTTGGGTAGAATATCAGTCCGTGTGTGCTATAACGTTGCCCGACTTGGAGATATAGCAGCTCGTGCCTGGGACAAGTTTGACTCTCTGCATACTGAGGGGCATTGACTCGCTTGGGAGATTTCTGGCAGGTTTTAACTGATAGGTAGAAATTCAATATTACAAACTGCCTTACCGAACCAGTCGTGGGCATTTATGTGACTTTGGCCAACGGTATAACCGTAGGGACATATGAAATGAGAGTGTCTTGGACTCGTGGTGTTGCGTGAGGTATGTGGCCCACTCTGCAGTGGCACTCTAGTCGTAAACTGCACAAATATTGTGCCAAGTGGTTACATGTAACTCATCAGCAGCCATTCCCGAGTCCCCGACTGCTCAACACAAGTGTGTCTAGGTGTGATTCGTGTCCATGTATTGCCGAGTTCGAGGGACGGGAGCAATACGGCATGCTAGGTTGCTGTTTCTGTATATCCAGGGGAGACATACGTATTGGATGATAGTCAGTCCTCTATTAAGTTGGAATGGTCTCAAGCTCAACGCTTCGTTTGCTGTGCACATAGCTACGCCAAAAAGCCCTGAATTGATGGGAATGGTTACTCAGCTCAACCAAGCCGTCGTCAGCAGGAGGAAAGGCACGGAGGTACAGTACCTGTTCTGTATTGTATTGTTACAACTGTAATTGTGAATCTTACTCTCCGGCGAACAGCTCCAGCCAGGTCGTACCCGCACTGTCCAGGCCCCCCACAGCCACAGCCAATCCCCCACACCCCGGCCGCTTGGCCCTTGTCCCGTCCTTTGGCTGGCTCCGGAAAGAATTGAGCGACAGCTCTTCCGGCGGTCTGGAATCTTGAACACACAACACCCACCAACTGTAGCACTAGACATACTCCAATTTATGACTTTATGGGAGAAAACAGTTCAGCCATTGAAGGCAGAGGTTCAGTTGGATCTTGTGCCGTAGCAAGGGGCCTACTGTCCATCACGTCACAGCTTTAAGTGGCTCCACTTACCAGCTCACATCATGGCTCGGTGTTCAGCTGTGATGACTGCGTCCAAGCTCTTCGAGAGGTAGCTTCCTGAACTCGTGACAGCTTGCTAGTACCGCAAATACTCAACCGATTTGGAAATACGACGCTACTCCATCCAAGTCCGACTTGCCTTACTATTGGCTCATCGTGCTTATGCTGCATGTCGCTTATCTACAATGCACCCCTGGTTTGTTCGGTAGCGCCTGACTTGAAGGCAAGGGTCAACGCAAAAACTCGAATTTCAACACCAAAACAGCCACTTTTTCCCTGCAAGTAGGACTGGAATGAAACAGCCCTTTAGAGTTTTACTAGATTCTCTATCTTCTTGCGTTGATTTAGCTTTTTTCAGTGTTGAGAGAGATCTTTTTGAATTTGGGTCTAGGGCCCCTGTTGGGAGTTCTGCGCTAACGAACAAACCAGCATTGAATTGTACACAGGAAGCTAGGACCCAGGACCCTAACCCTAATCATACAAACTTTTCCATCTCGTTCCCAATTCATTTACACCCTTCGAACTCAATTTGACTGCGTTGTTGAAGCTGTATCCGCCTGTCAAATGCGTTAAGTTGGCCTGGGCCGTTTTGGGCGAGATTGAGGTTGTGTGCAAGCAAATTTGCCTGACTGAACATGGCCCGTACCGACTGCTTGAGTACAGTACGTAAGCGACGTGCAGGTTATAATGTGGCCAATAGTAAGGCAAGCCCGGGCTTAGATGGAGTAGCGTCGTATTTCCAAATCGGTTGAGTATTTGCGGTATCGCGCCTGATTCGAGACCGGTCGTCCCGGTTTGGCCCGGTGCTGCAACCTAGAGGTTTGAAAGGTAATTACTGTATGCACTGTACCGGTATGTATATGCCACTGCACAGCAATACCACCTGAGGACATGCTTGTTGAGAACTGAAGTGGTCCTCTACAGATACTGACCGTCGTATCACTCCACGTCCTTCCCTACCGCACAACAAACAGGCGACACCGGGAGATGCGAATTATGTAGGGCGTTCCTGGCACGGGAACCGAATCCGGGTTGTCCGGAATTGGGTTGTGTGTCCAAACACGACAGCCAGCCACAGCTTGTCCAGATCGCACTGTAGCGAGTCCTTACCAAGCCGGCGTCACAGATGCCTCGAACGCTGGCTCAAAGAAAGCCTTTGAAGGAATGCTTCACAACTACCTTGGTCAGGTAGGTGCTAGTAACCAAGGTGAAGACAGATATTATCTGTTTCGAATGGAGCAGTGCTTCAAGGTTGGCCTGGTCGCTGTTTGGCAAACTCCTAAACCTTTCTTTTCATGGACGGTTTTGGACCGGAACACTGCTAACGTTAGCTAAGTTAGTGCACTGCCCTACAGCGACTACCTTGCACTAGCACCACCGGCCCGGGCCAAGCAAAAGCACGGGCCAGCAGCCAGCTTGCCCAGTGCCCACTCGACTCGCACGCTAACGGTCCACCTTCGTCCACTGCCTCCACGGTCCATTAGCTTCCATAATCCATTGCACCAATCCCTCAAGTCATCATCTTTCTCCTCCACACTCTTCCCCCTTCCCCCCTCCCAAGATCTGTAGATCGTAGGAAGGAAAAGAGCACACGACAGTTTCCTCCTCTTCGTTTTTCTTCCCTCTCCTCTTTGAGATACCCATTTTTCTCTTGTCTTCTGTGCTGGGCGCCCTGGCTTCCGTGGTCCGGTCCTGACGTCCTTCTCCTTCAGTCCCTCCTTCAGCCCCAATTGCCTCGTCCGTCAACGTCTCCTCATCCGCAGCTGCCCGTCCTCCCTCTCGTCACCCACCGCCCGCCTCGTGTCCCCGACTTACCTTCACCCGATAAACAACGATCCACGCGGACAACGGCCATTTCACCATGAATAAGCTAACAAACATACGGCACTGGCCTGAGCGGATGAGCCCGGCTAACTTTAGCATGTCCCGAGCGAATGTGGGCATGCAAGCGGCAATCAACCCTCGTCGGGACGTCACAGCCCAGGGTGCTCCTCCGATACCCGCGCCCCAGGTCCCTGACGGCCCAATCCACTACTCCTTCAACATTCCCTTTGCCTCCGACCTTGCCGGCCCCAACACCGAGGAGATTCTGCACGCTACTACCGATGCCGTACTCCGGTGGACGCACCCGGAGGAAGCCCCAGACGATGTCCCGGTCCATGAGCTGCCTGTGCACGCGAACAACCTCGCTCAGCTGCGCCAGCTCTGCAGAGACATCACGTCGAATCCCCTGCCCATTGAAGCCCACGTCATCTCGACAACACCAAAGCATGTCCGTGGTCAGGTCACCACGGTGATTCTGTCCGGTATGCCCGATGTGGTCTACCAGACCCGCGATACCATCCTGAACCAGACACCGCTGTCATTGGTAGGTTTCCCTCCGGTTGCCCGCTTCCCGTTACGACCTTGTGCTAAAACGCCTCGTGAACAGCGTTGCACAACCGTTGTCGTGGACGGCCATCTGGTTGCCAATCTTTCCGAGGGTGTCCTGAAGAAGTCGGTGACAGACTTCTTGGACCACACGTCCGTCTATTGCGGAGTTGACATCTTCCTACTGGGCCCCAAGCTTACCCCGCTTGTCGGCGGTCTCAATGGCGACGTGGAGTTGCGGAGAGACCAGCGTTGGAGGGTCGCCATATATGGTGATATCCTGTCCTCTGAACATGCAAAGACACGTGTGCTCATCCACATTGACCAACTCGTATGCCCGTCTCCTGCATGTTATGGCTCAAGATTGCGCATGCTGACGTTTGATGTAGCTTGGGAGGGTTGTCGATGCAGTGAAGTTCGATACGTCTTTGCAGCAGGTACTATGCGGCCGCAACCGCAAAAACATCAAGCTCATTGAATCCGTGACCAACACGGCAATCTACTTCCCACCGCCGTTTTCGCAGTGCTACCGCTACTGCCCGCCAAATGCCCAGCGCCGGGATGCAGCCGAGATCCTCATCACGGGCGAGACCCCTCAGGCCATTGAACAGGCCAAGATCCGGATCCACGATATCCTCACGCGTATTAGGATCTTCGCCAAGGATGTTACGATATCCCCTGCTAAGGTTGACAGCATCCTGCTTAGTCGAATGGACAAGGTGCGGAAGATCATCGAGTCCAACGGCACCTTCATCATGTTCCCGCCGCTCGGCTCCAGGCAGGGTCCGGTCCGCGTTCAGGCTCTGGAAAACTTGCACGTGGAACGCTCTATTCGGGAGCTCATGGCCTTGGTAAGCTGGGATTAACATACAACATTTGTACGACAATCAATACTGATTCCACATCTAGGTCGGCCAGTTCTATACGGCATCATGGATTTTCATGCAGCCTGATACGCGCCAACCGAGTAACCATGATATCAGGACGATGCTCGGCGATATCTGCGCCAACTCGGACGCCGATGTCATCTTCGACAGACAGTCCTTCCATATCACGGGCTCTGACGAGTCAGTAAAGGCTGCCTTGATGGTCATTTCACAGATCAAATTCGCCGTGCACCCCCCGTACCAGATACGGGTAAGGATCGAACTTGCCAACGAGCACAAGGAGTTTGTGAGTGGGAAGAAGAATGGCAAGATCAACAAGATTATGGGCCAGAGCAGCGTCCAGATCATGTTCGACACCTTTGGAGAATACAATTTCAACATTGAGGTCATCGGTCAGACGTACGACTCCCTGAAGCAGGGTTTGACCCTGGTCGAACAGGAAATGCCGGCGTCTATCTCATTCCATGTCCCTGACCAATACCACAAACGCATCATCGGCATCGGGGGGCAGCATATCCAGCGCATCATGAAGAAGCATTCCGTCTTCGTCAAGTTTTCCAATGCCATGGATCGCGGTATGTGCCGGAGTTTCTCTCGTGATGTTCCCAATATGCTAATATGGAGAAGGCGGTATAGGTCGAGAGGACGATGACAGCCGAGTGGACAACGTCATATGTCGCACCCCGGCTCGAAATGCCCAGAATCTCGAGCTTGTGAAGAGCGAGATTCTGGAAATGGTGGATAGGGTGGTGAGCCTCACCGTCCTACGGTGCGAAGAGCGGCGAAGCTGACTTTGCATGCCTATAGGATTCCGAGTTCACCTCTCAGGTTGTCAGTGTCGACCGGCTTTATCATCGCCAGCTCCTTACTCGCCTCTCCGAGATTGAAGAGTTAGAGAGGACTTGGAATTGCAAGATTGTCTTCCCGAGCACTGAGCAAGCGAGCGATGAAGTGACCGTAACTGGACCTCAGTGGCTGGTGCCCAAGTTTATAGACGAGTTTCTGGTAAGATCCAAAGAGACGCGGCCTTGCGCCCTGGCTAACGATATGACACCAGGGCATGGTTCCCGACAAGCATGAGGTAGTCATGGAGCGCTCATCCCCGCTGATCAAGTTCCTCGAGTCGCCCGACTTCGCTCAAAGCATTGTGCCAAAATTGAAGACGCAGTACGAAGTTGAAGTTACGGTGCACGAGAACCCCGATGAGCGTACCGAAAACGATACGCCTACGGTCACTCTGTTGTGGACGTTCACGCGCAACAACGCCGGCGGCCTTCGCGACGCTATGGATTTCCTCCAAACCCAGCTTGCCACTGCTGGAGTCGAGCCGGAGATTATCAAGGGCTCCATTCCTCGTCCGAAGTCGGACACGTTCGAGGACTCGCTCTTGTATTTCAATTCGAAGCTCCTTCAGCATGTACCTGCTCCGTTGACCACCGACTCTCCAACCAAGCCTTCTTTCGGCGATGAGGTTGCCCGCGAGCGGAGCAACATTTTGGCTTGCCTGCGCAAGCCAGGCAGCATGTCATCGATCTCCTCGTTCCTGGACCGCAGGAAGAACAGTTCGCAGTCTGCTGCCAACTTCTTCAAGGGCTCCAGTAACGTGTCCAAATCGTCACTCATCTCCATCGAGTCCACCCGCAGCTTCAATGCAGACCGAAACCCATGGAATGACAGCGGCATCAACCTCCCCGACGATGACAACAATCCCTGGTCCACGGGCCACACTTATGGCAATGGTGTCGACAAGCTGGCTGTCCCGCAGCCCGGCGATGCCACGCCTCGCCATCATGCTCGCCAGTCTGCCGACAGCGGGCGCCCTTCCACATCTCATTCAACCAATTCAGGATACCCCGGCCCTCTCCCAGGGCCATTTCGTTGAAATTCTCATCGCTTGGCAGTGCAACATTTTAGAAACGGATCGGTTGTTTTTCATCCGTTGCGAGGAAAAGAAATACCCTACGGCTGGATATACCCCTGGCGTAAAATACCCGGTAGTTGCTCTTCTGTTTTGGTCGGCTGCTTGTCTTTACCTTGCTTTTGACTGGATCTCCCCGCTATCAAACATTGTCATGGAGATGTTTCTCCTTTAAAGATGAGGCCCCGCGATGCCAACGAACAGGGCCATTCTTCGTCTTTACGTCATGAAACCGCTATCTGTTCCCTCAGTCTGCCATGACCTGGACGAAGAGGAATGAGACAAATGAAGAACAATTCTCGGCATCTCGGATTTGCTTGTCCTGCTTTCTTTTCCTTATCTCCCCTCCTTCCGGGCCGTGATATACGAGGCCCTGTGCCGTTTTCTCTTTCCTTTCGTCGTGTCCTCTTCGGTGGAGAGGGAAGAAAAGCCTCCTTAGATCTATACCCGAGCAGGAAGTGGACATGGAGGATGTGTTGGCCTTGGGTTGAGTTGAATGCAGTTGATTACGCGGTTTGTGTTGCCGCAAGTCAGGACAAGAGAGACATCAAGACTAGATGGGACCGGGATCGATTAGCCTGAGTATGAATGGGGTACCAATCACACTAGGGAACCGGTCACCTAATTCACCCATCCAACAACTCATCAATGCGATCGAGGTCCTTCAATCCATCTTCCTTGGCTCTTGCGTTCCTGCTTAGCTTGCGTCCTGCTTTTGTTCGTCTTCGTTTTCGACTTCTTTTGATTTTCTACCGTCCTCTCTCATTCTCTCGTGGGCTTTGCCCGATAACCCACTCGCTTCCGGTATTTTATATAGCCTGGCCAGTGGTGTGGTCGTGGCTGTGGCTATTGTTGGTTGGGGCTCTAACTCACAAACTCGACGGCGCGCACTATGGACAACGACCTGTCTCTGCTGAAGGAAAATTGGGAAGAGCGGGCTGACTGGGACGAGGGAAATGATTGGCAGAGACGGGTCGATTGCTCGGGGACAGAGAGAACGTGGTATGATGGTCGATGGTTGATGGTGGTGATGGTGTTGATTCGAATGGCTGGCGTTTCGCCAACTGGGGGGGATAGGGAGCAGGCGGGTAGTGGTCTAGTATGTTTGGTCAAAGAAGAAAAGGGGTTGAGGCGGGGTGGATGAGGGTCGGGTGGTCAGGTAGTTATGATCTTGATCATCAGTTTACTTGATGTGTCTGGTTGGGATCTGTATGTCGGCCATGTCCAGGCTATGGACGGGAAACGAAATGATACCCCTGGGTTGTTTAGGGATGAGAGGTGCTGCTACCACGGAGTGCGTACGATGTGAGTGTGCTAACTCGGTGCAGCTTTTTATTTGATTCTTCGGTAAATGTGATTCAAGACTCGGAATGCATTTTTCTTGTTCGAGGGGTGTGTTTCCACACCACTGGATGGGTGGGTATTTGATGTTATGATATATCATGGCCGCATCAGTATTGATAACAGCCATATCGAGAGCTCATATAACGAGTATTGACTCTCCAAGCAGGATGTCCCATCCCATTCCTTCGTACAACCATGGTAAGGCAGGTAGACCACTGTGGCAACACACTTGCTTCCGTTCCATAAGCCTACAACTCAAACATCATACCGGTACAATTGTAAGACAAATTGCTGCGTCTCGTTTCAAACAACCCCATCCTCGTCGTGCCTCAAACCGGCATATTCGGTCCCCTGGTTAGCCGTACTCAACCGCGCGCAGAGACTCAGGAGCACAACCGTCTCGGTAGCGGCGTAATGGTTCAAGGCGTCTAGCAAGATTTGCAGGTGGCGGCTGAAGTTTGTCTCCCACTTGCGTATGACGTCAAAGAGCTCTGCGATGCGGGCAGCTTCCGTCTTATCGTCCGACGGATTCACCGAGGACGAATTTGGATCCTGGGCGTGGGAATGCGGGTTAGTTTTCTGGGAGCGGATCGACTGGAAGTGCTTCCACTGCTCGTCCGTCATGTTGGGCGGTTTCGTGGTGCCCGATAAGTCCGGGTCGGCCTTCTCGAGTTCGCGGGAGAGCCAATTTGTGTAGGTAGCGAAGATGGTGCAGGTCTGCATTAGCTTGGAGTGGATCTGCCAGAGATTGGGCTTGGTTAGTAATCAATGGTATTGAGAAGGGGGGGATTAGCCACGAAGAGATGGGGGTGTGACTGTACCCTCAACAGCTTGCTGTTTGTCAACATGCACTCCTTCAGACAAGTGTCGAGAAAGTCCACATGGTCCTGCATCAGCTCATCGACGGTGCCAGTAACACCTGCGCCAGTAGTGGGAGCATTACTACCCTCCTGGTCATTGTCTTGCAGGCGCGCCATCAGCTTCTGCCAGTTTGGCTCGATGACCTCAGCGGTGCAAAAGTAGAGCAGCTGCTGAACGAACACCAGCATACGGGCGCGCAGGGTCCAGACACGGCGCTTCCAGATCTCAAGACTTCGCGACGCTGATGACTTGTGCGACCACACGAAGCCACGGGTGTGCGTCTGCCAGCAGGTTGACAGCTGTGACTCTAGATAGCGGAGTGACAGTAGATAGCGAAAGAGTGCTTGGTAGCGCCAGATCGTCTTGCGGCTGATGACAAGAGAGACGGGGAATGGGACGGCATAGTCGAGTTGGAGCGAGGTGAAACCGCTGGCATTCTTGTCAATCTCGGGGGCCTGGTTATTGGTGAGCGGCTGGAGTGTCTCCCCCTGCTCTATCCCAGTGATGTTGACGACGCGCTGGAGCGACTTGGTCAGGGTAATCTCGTTCATTTCCACCTTCACGTCTTCCTTAAATGGGTCCAACGACACTATGCTGCCGGGCTGGCGCAGCACCAGATCCAGAAGCGACTGGAGCTTGCTGGCGTTGACGGACTTGACGGGCTTCCGCAATTCGGAAGCGCCGAGTTCTAGAAAATACGAGAAATAGTCGGACGGGTCCAAAAAGAAGTAGTGCTTCAGCGACCGTAGCCTTGCCGGGAGTGCGTGGGCCGTCAAAAGCAGTTGCATCAGCGACTCGTTCGCATGGGCATAAGCATTGTTGACATTATCCAGGAAGCGGTTGTCGTCAAAGGATATCGGCACGTCCTTAACCTGCAGACTCACGTCGACACCTCCGCACTCCCTGACAACGTTCAAGTACTTGCCAGCGAGCAAGACTTTGTCCTTGACGCCCTCGAGCTGGGGCGGGACATCATTATCCCTAATCGTGTATCGCCGCTCCCAGTACTCGTCGGTGTAGTCCTGCTCCAACCGCTCCCGACGGATGCTCCGTTGCTCCTTGATTAGGAACTCGTCGTGTGGGTCGTTGATGCCCCCGTGATGTAGCCATTCGTTCAGCATTGCCATGTACGGGATGCTTGCGTCCCGTAGCAACGATGTCAACAAGGCGCGAGCTGCAGGATCGCCCGACATTGACTCGAGCCTCTTGGTGATCAGCCCAAGCACCGCACCGCCCTTGCAGATTTTCTTTCCCGCCACGCTCCCCGGCGCCAGGCCGCCCCCCTCCCTCAGCCGCTCCAAAAGCTGCTCCAAATCCTCTTCGGCGCTGTCGCTCGATTCTTCCGTCTCGTCGTCCAGCAGATCGTTCCTTTTCAGTAGCTCGTGCGCAAGGGTGTACAGCTGGTACATCATGTGGCTGGTCGGTAAGATATGGACGTTGAGCACATGAAGGGTAAAGGAGTCGTCGTTGAGGAACTGCGTCTCTAGCTGGGCAACCATGACGAGGTATTCCTGCAGGAGCTTTCGTATTGACGCGCACAGGGCGTGATTCACCAGGCCAAACTCTTCGCGGCTCTGCACGTCGACGAAAGTTTCGAGAGCTGTGTAGTGGGTGGCCATGCGCAGCATCGACTCGGTGAGGTCCCGGAGGCTGGGATCCAGACCCGGCAGGATACGCCAGTCGGGGCCCGACAAGCGCTCCCGTTCCTCGAAGGGATTGTACCCCTTTGCGAAGCGAATGTATTGGCCTTCATAGCCCATAAAAACGAATAATAGGTCCTCAATGATCAGAGCCTCCTGGGCGTCGAGGGGCAGTTCATGCAATGGTTTCGGCCGCAGCGTCTGGGGCGCAGACGAAGCGAGCGGGGGGATGGATATGCGCGAGGCCAGAGGGGCTGTCGTATGTGGCAGCAATGATGCCTCGGGCTCCCATGGTAGGTCTATGAAGGGGTCATCAGATAATCTGCTGGAAAGAGGGGCATGGGGAGCGTACCTTGAGGAAGAGGGGTCTCTTGGCGCGACTCCCTCGGCCTCGTTTTGGAAGGGCGCGGCTTGTCGGCGGTGGGGGCGCTGCGGCGATCGGGGCTCCTTGTTCGGGCGATGAGAGTTTCTCGTGTGGTTACCTGCACCTTCTCAGTGCGGCGCTCTTCGACAGTAGACCTGGTTGTTGAGCGTGCGCCGGGATTACTCGAAATGGACCGCTTGTGTCCCGGCGACTCGGGATAGTGGCTGGCCTTGGACTCGGATGGTCTTGCGGAGTTGGTCCTGAAGCTGGACGAGTTGCCAGACATGCGGTGTTGCGACGAAGCAGAGCCCGCAGAGGCGCGTTCGGCCGCTGCGAGGCCGCTGCTTCTCTTCTCGGCATATGAAGAGGGTCTGGTGCCAGACGACATTGTTGTCGCGTCTACATTGGCGATCTGGAGTCGTATAATATTCGTGCGCGGGACGGGACGATGTGTGTACACGTATTTTGTGTCTTGATGGCCGTCATACTTTTCCCTCTCACGGATTTTTGTAATCGACCTCGACGCAGGTTACGAATTCCTCGAAAGTTGTAGTTTCCGGTGTCGACAGGTCGGTTCTGACGACGGCAGGGACGAGGGTACTTGTAATTGATACCTAACGTTCCTTAGCCTGTGCAGGGCTGGAGGCTTGTTTGAGATCCCGAGGCAGGCACGGGAATCGCTGTAACTTACCGTACAGTACAGTAGAGCAACCCAGGTACAATACAGTACATTACAAGTACCTGACAGGATATGTAAGTCAGGCTGGCCAGCTCGTTGGCCGCCTGGCGGGCAGCCAATAGGTAACGTAATGACGGGAGGAGCTTCGTCGACATCTGCGTGCCTGGAGCTTCCTTCAGCTTGTCGAACGCAAGCGAGCCTCACCTCGAACCTTCCCCTCCACTGCTCCCAAGCGCCCGTCGAAGACAACAAAACCTGCCGTTTTATTGCAAACAGTTGCGACAGCATACCCAAGCATTTAAACCGGAGAGAGATACCCCGGGAAAGAAGCGTTGACCGCACAACACCGTCAAGATGTTTATGGCAAGATCAGAATATGGTAAAGCCGTCCAGAAGCTCTGCTGAATTGCACCCCTGTTAGCACTGAACGGAAGAAACAAGAGCACCTAAGCTGACAACATGTTCTTTCACTTCTAGACCGGGGCATTAAGTAAGATCTACTTCTCCTTGCCGGCACGATCATTGCTCGCGACGCCTTGGAATCGTCAAACACCCCAAAAGCTAACCGCATCCCTCCCCACCACCAGCACCTTCTCCCCGGAAGGCCGCCTCTTTCAAGTCGAGTACTCGCTCGAGGCCATCAAGCTAGGCAGCACAGCGATTGGCGTGGCCACATCCGAGGGCGTGATCCTGGGCGTCGAGAAGCGGGTGACGTCGACGCTGCTCGAGACGTCGTCGGTCGAGAAGATAGTCGAGATCGACCGGCACATTGGGTGCGCCATGTCGGGCCTGCAGGCCGACGCGCGGTCCATGGTGGAGCACGCGCGCGTCGAGTGCCAGTCGCACGCCTTCAACTACAACGAGCCGCTGCGCGTCGAGAGCTGCACGCAGGCCATCTGCGACCTGGCCCTGCGCTTCGGCGAGTCGGCCGACGGCGAGGAGAGCATCATGTCGCGCCCCTTTGGCGTCGCCTTGTTGATCGCCGGCTACGACGAGGACGGCCCGTCCCTCTACCACGCCGAGCCCTCGGGCACCTTCTACCGCTACGATGCCAAGGCAATTGGCAGCGGCAGCGAGGGCGCCCAGGCCGAGCTGCAGAATGAGTATCACAAGGTTAGCGAGAGGAGCGGAACACCCCGGCCACGGCTCCCCCTTCCTTGTCATATCTTGATTTTGTCGTCTATGATTGCTAACAAACCCCCCTCCTGCCAGTCCCTCTCCATCGCAGACGCCGAGACGCTCGTGCTCAAGACGCTGAAACAGGTCATGGAGGAGAAGTTGGATTCCAAGAACGTTCAGTTGGCCAGTGTCACAAAAGAGCGCGGGTTCAGAATATACACAGACGAGGAGATGGCTGCTGTGGTTGAGCGGCTGCCAACCAACTAGAGTGGCTATTGACGAAAAGGGGCAAGGGGGCGTTGAAGTGAAGAAATGACAAATACATCCTCACCATGCTGACCCAACGTGATGGATTGTTAGCGTGAATGGGCTTGCCCGGGACTCAAAAGTGAATCATAGGGTACTGTATGCGTAGGCATCCGTCCCTCACCGCTGACTTTTGTTCTTCCAGGCTCTACCCGGCACAGCCCAAGGCAGATTCAACAATCACACCCAGGAGGTTGTCAAAATAGAATACATCAGGAGAGCAGCTATATTGCAGCAAGTCCTGGTATCGCCGCGGACCTATCGTCTAGCCTTGGTATTCCTTCAGGGTATCTGCGTTTCTGCCCTGACTTCGCCGGTTGTCCTCTCCATCAATATCCAACACCTCCAAATCCTTCTCGATACTCAGGATCCCCAGGACATAGTGTACCTGCTCCGACTTGGCCAGCACCAGCCGGCCTTCGCCGCCATCAAGCTCCTCCCGGATGCGCCGGTCGATCCGCCGGGGGCGGTTCCAGACCGAATCCGGGAACAAGGGGCCCAAGTCAGGCGGGCTGTGGTACGGCGGTCCGCGTCCAATCTCGGCGGCCTTGTTCCACCCGGACTCGCACCCTTCGGCAATCTGCCGCGCCGACTGCCACCCCGTAAGGCGGGCAACGTCGCGCAGCCAGCGAACGGCCCAGTGCCGCTGTTGGAGGTCTTGGAACTGAGTGAGGGAGAAAAAGGTTAGCAATCTAATCCAAGAGAGCAGAGCCCAAGCGGCATTCTTACCTGCACACCCGCCACGAACAGGGGAAAGCAGCTCTCAATAAAGGCCCCGCCCACCAGGGTGCTGATGGACGTGACGTGGGTCGTGTCCTCGTGCAAGCCGGCCGCAATCCTGGCGATTTCGTTGGCCCACCGCCCCGTCTGCTTGGCCGCCATGCCCGCCGCGATGACGGCGAAGGGCGGCATCGACGGGTGCGCCCGGTGCAGGATGATCAGGCCCATGTAGTAGTTCATCCACACGCCCGCGATGCTGTAGGTGCGGTACATGAGGGCGGGTCCGAAGGGCGTGGCGACGGGCGGCGCAAAGTCCGGGCCCATGGGCTCAAAGTCCGGCCCGAGACCCGCGCGGAACAGCTCAAACGCCTGCCGGATCGCCTCCCACTCGCGCATGGCCTCGGCGGTGGAGACATCGAAGTCGGATTCCTCGGCCGAGTCGCTTGGTGGGGTAGTCTCGCGCGGAGGAGTGAACCCTCTCGGGATGGTGACGCGGCCCGAGGTGGGCATGAGGCCCACTGGTGGTGACTGGCCGCGCCCTAGCCCCGGTCCTTGTCCCGGCCCGTGTCCCGGCGGCGGCGGACCATGTCCGGGTCCTTGGCCAGGACCTTGGCCTGGTGCTGGCGGTCTTCTTGCCCTTCGTTTACGGGCCAAATCCCGAGACGCAAAGTTGGCCAGACGGCCCAGCATCAGCATCAGGTAGTCATAGGTGCCAAAGCTTCCAGCGGAACGAGAAATAGGTAAGTGTACATGCGAACGAAAGGGTGTGTTGTGCGGGCCACTTACATTGCATCCATCTTGCCGAACGGACCTCGAGGTGCACACTGTGTCCAGGACTCGTATTCCATGCTGGCGCTGGTTAGCAAAGATGCCACGCAAGACCCGCATCGCGACCTACTTACAACAGCCTGGTTCCGCCGAGGAAGCTCTGGTAGACGTCCATCTTACAATACCACCAATAAAGGTCCCGCAGCTGTTCAAACCGCTCAATATCACGCTCTGAGAGCCGCGGTGGCCGGTGTGCGTCATCGACAACATAGCCTGAACCGGTGTCGTAGTTGACCCTCTGACCGGTAAGCTGGTAAATCAGTTCGGTGTCAACATCTCCCGGGTCCGAATACAAATCCCCGTGTGTCGCGAAGCACATCTCGCTGCAATGATGAGCCCTGAGCTTCTCCTCTCTCTTCCTTCGTTTCACGGCGAGTACTTCTCTCATCGTTCGACCGAGGTCCAGCTCTCTCAGAATGGCGCGGGCTCCCCACATATGCTTGCACCATTTGTCATGGTCCGAGTTCCAAACCTCGTAGAAGCCGAGCAAGAGGGTGGCTGCCAGTGTTGCTGGTTGGGTGCGCCTGTTGGGACTCTGGTAGTTCTTGGCAATTCTCCTCAAACTGAGGTGGTAATGCTTCATGGCCGCGGTGGGCGGGACCCCTTGCAGCTTTGACATCTGCAAGGCGCCTAGCGCAAGCATCGCTTGCATCAGCGCAGGATGGTTGAAGGCCATAATCGGGAAGGTATCTGGGAAACAGGTCAGTAAGAGCTGGTAGAGACCCCTGACTGGGGTTACTAACAAGTCCATATGTGTTGGCGTTCCTTTGGGACGGGCAAGCCTTCAAACATGGGTGTGGGATCGAACGGATGCCTCTCGTACAGAGACATACTCTGGCCCGTCACATTAACAAAATACCAAAACACGGCAGCCGTTTGCGAGTCGTTTAGAGGGGAGCTGGCAGAGGATGGGGTGTAGGTGTCGAGGGTGTTTTCGTCGGCGAAGAGGCCGGCAAACGACCTAATGCGCACTCCGTACAAATCTTGCTGTGGTTCCAGCCGTCTTGCGACCTGTATACCGAGGTCATTCGACTCGAGATGAATCATGTGAGGGTCGGGCATTGCGTCGTCGTCTGACTCTCCCATGGAGGCTTCATCGTCCGACAGCCAGTACTCCTCTTCGGCCGATATTGTTCTGTGTAGCTGCCCATTACCACTATCAAGGGAGGCCAGGGGCTGCCCAGGCTCTTGGCCGGGGGCGTGGAACTGGTGCTCAGCAAGGACCGGAGAAACATGCTCCAAGTTCGGCTGGGGCTGGAAGCCCTGAACATCGGTTGGAGATGCAAAGAAAGCTCCATGAGCAGATGGCTCTCCGGAAAGATGAGGACGCCCATGGTCGACGAACAAGGCAGGGTCGCCAACTAAGGGGGGAGGGCTAGGCAACTGATGCGACGCATTGAAGAACTGGACCCCCTGCGGAACTTGAGGGTTCTCAGGTACCTGATATCCTTGGGCAAAGGAATAGGACGCAGCATCAGCGAAACTGCCTGGTGGTGGCTTCGGAGCGATTGGGGTCAGTTGTCCTTGTGACGAGGCCGCCTTGGTCTGGGCTGCGGATAGCTGGGCGTTCAGGAGTGCTTCTTGGGCTTGTCGGTGATAGACAGGGTGGCCGTAGAGGCCCTGGCCAGGGAACGAGCCTAGGGGCTCCTTGAAAGTGAGCCTTTTACTGTAACCCTCGCAATCTCTCTTGGATTTGATGCAGTTGTTGCAGGTTGGCTTCCCCTCGTCACACTTGATGCGGCGTCTTCGGCAGGCTAGCGGGTGGCTTGTCAGTGGACGAAAGTAAGGGGAGAGCAAGCCACGAGGTCGACGCCAGAGACACAAGACCTACTCAGGCAGCCCGTCTTGGTCCTCCTCCTCACCGTCTTCTTGGGCGGTGGCTGCGGAGGCAGGCTCGAATTCTCCTTGCTATTATCATCCTGCAATGGCGCAGATGGCGATACCGGCGATGCCGAAGGAGGGTTGGGGTTTTCGGTCGTCTCGGTGGAGTTCATGGTCCCAAAGGCACGAGCTGCAATTGCTAGTGTTTTGATCTCTATGATCCCGGTTGAGAGATTGGAGGTCCTTTATGTTGTTCCACCAAGGCAAAGCGGCATAGCAAGTCCAACACGCTTACACACGACCATCAGAACGATGAGAAAGGGGTAGTATCGTCAGCGATGTTTGGAGGGAATGCTCCGAGTCGTCGGTCCAGCAAAGAGAGGGTGGTTCAACGATGGGCGGCAGATAAAGGAAATCCTCTGCTGCTGTGATTTTTGAAGAGGAATGGTGTGGTTGAATGTATTTATGATGGACCTCAGCGGGTGCGACTGAGGCAAGTTGGTGTAACCAAGTTCAAGTCAAGGTTCTGGGCTCCGGGAGGCCAGATGCACATCCGGCCGAGCTCTAGGTGTTGTGGTCTGCGGAGGGGATGGATTATGGATAGTTATAGGACGAGCAGCAGCGCTAGCTGATAGAAGCAGGCAAGGCAGCCTAGGTATGTGCCATTGGTAGTCAAGACAGCTTGGACTTGAACTCGCAAAAGCAACTGACTCGCTCGGGGGAAAAATAGGGGTAAGAAGAGTTAAATGCCAAGTTGTGACCGACCGCCTCTTCAAGAGCCTTCTCTACCTACATCCCCATCCCCCGCCGGGCACGATCTGATTGCCCAAAGCTGCAGTGAGGGGAACCTTGCGTAGGTAGAGGGGCACGCCAATCGCTACAAGGGTGTCCGGAATCTAGGTGGTGGCGCTTGAGCAGAGCATCACGGCCCGATCGTGGCAGGTTATCGTTGCTGGCTCCGGGCAATGCCGGTGGAAGGGGTGAATTAGAATTGGGGTGGTATCGCAGCATGGGGCGGGGCTAGAACGTGCAGGGCGCTGGCTGATGCAGCCTCTCGGCATGCTTTAGCCTGGCCCGACAGACCCCGCTAGCAACGGCTTCTTGGTAGGTAGGTATCGTGCTGTACTTTGAACACTATGCGGGTTAGGGAAGTGATTCCGTAGGGACCACGCAGCGAAGGCTGGAATATGCCGTTCCATTCACAGTTCTAATTTTGTGTCTTCAAAGACCCGGGATCCGGCTTCGAGGCTGCCGTCGAGCGGCACACACACTTGACTTCCATCTGTCCTCCAATGTGAGAGTCTCAGCCTGGATGGGACGGACTTTGGGTGGGGTGTTCCATCCCACAAAGGCGACCAGATCGTCACTGCTTCTTGGCCCTGAGGTGAACAGCTGCATGACTGCGGCGATAACGAATAACGTTGAGGGGATGCTGGAGGGCTCGTCGACTTCCCGTGATCCGAGCCAAAAGTCGTAGACCACCTCGACGACTAACGTTACCTTGGTCGTTGGAGATGGTGTAGAGGGTCCCGCGCATAGAAGCTTCCTCGCATGTTCCGTGCTGTAAAGAAGCGCATTGGAATGGCCATTAAAATGCTTCCACAAGGCCTCAAATGCAACGCTAAGTGCGATGCACCCATGACAAGATAGGAGCTAGGTGTACCTGAGCTTGTCGCTATCGCATTCCGCCGCGAAATATGACATCTACCAGGTATCGGACCGCAGGTCGAGTCTGCCTGCCTTAGGGTGTCAGTCGCACTGCAAGCCTAAGACATTCAACCCACATGCAGTGCTGGACTGGACTGTACTGTACAGAGGGATTGTATTATTTCTGTCACTTTACCTAGGTTACTGTAAGTTTGTACTGTACACGTACAGAGCAATACAATACCTTCAGGTTGGTGTACAACACAGGTAAAATAGCTTAAGGTTACGTCTTGTTTTACGTACAGTACAATACATAGTGTACGGAGTATGCACCGCATTTTCCCTAGCCGCTTGATGAGCAGTGTCTTCCAGACAGTGAGAAGCAGGTTTAACTGCAATATGAAGATCAAGTTTGTGTGCATACGTGTCCGACGGAAGTGAGCAACAAAATCAGGAAGCTGGGACTTGACATAAGTTACAGTTTCCTTGGCTCCCCGCAATGGGCCTTGTGAGCCAAGCCAAAGGATTGAACGTTAGTTATCGGTTGATCTGCCCCACTAAAATTTCTCTGCAACTTGAAGAGCTGCTCCTAGTGTAAGGTAGCTTCGTAAACCAGTGCCCGTCAAACAATTTGGTCTGATACAAGCAACCAAACCCTTTTACGCTTGGGTTCATCGGCCACAATGTTCCCCGTGAAAGGTCTCAGCGTCTCGGCCGATAAGCTAAAGGTCGAGACTGAAAACTCGCCCGCAAGTGTGCCTTCTGCATCGAAGCCGTCTAGGAAGCGCAAGAGGCAGGGGAGGTCCGAGAATGTAACGGCAGCGAACCTCGCAGATCTGTGGGAGAAGGTCATTGAGCACAAACCGCCGGCTGGGTCGGGTAATGGGACGCAGACCAAGAAGGAGACCAAACGTCAGAAGACGGCGCATGAGTCTGCTCCGTCTAGCAGTTCGGCTGGTGAACAAAACAGTGCCCAATTGGGAACCGCGAAGCAGCTGGCTCAAGCAGACGGGAAATCTGAGAAGAAAAGGAAGAACAAGGACAAAAAGAAAGCGAAACAGGATGCTACTGAAACACCAGTCAAGCCAAGGGGCGACCAGGAGGAGGAAGAATGGAATGGTCTCGAAGAGGAGGAGCAGATTTCTGAACCCGTTGGGCAGTTGAAGGAGAAGACCGACAAGAAGAAAAAGAAGCAAGGGGATGCCCACGACGCCTCTGGTTCAGTACAGAGCGGAAAGGATGGCGGAAAGGAGAAGCGTAAAGGCGAAGAGCCGGCTCCGTCTCCGGCGCCTCCGGCACCCACCACAGCCAAACTCACCCCCCTCCAAGCCTCCATGAGAGAAAAGCTGGTCTCCGCCCGTTTCCGTCACCTTAACGAAACTCTATATACCCGCCCTTCTGCCGAAGCCTTCCAGCTTTTCCAGGAGTCCCCTGAAATGTTCACAGAATACCACGAAGGTTTCCGGCGTCAGGTCGAAGTGTGGCCAGAGAACCCAGTAGACATCTACATCGCCGACATCAAGGCGCGCGCCAAGGTGCGCTTCGCGCCCCGCAACCGCAGCAGCGAAGCGCCGCCCCTGACGCCGGCTCAACTGCCGCTCCCCAAACAGCCCCACGGCAAAATCACCACCATCGCCGACCTGGGCTGCGGCGACGCCAAGCTCGCGTCGGCGCTGCAGCCGCTCACCAAGAAGCTCCGCATCGACATACACAGCTTCGACCTGCAGACGGGCGGCTCCCCGCTCGTCACGCGCGCCGACATCGCCAACCTCCCGCTCCCCGACGGCTCCGTCGACGTGGCCATCTTCTGCCTCGCCCTCATGGGCACCAACTGGACCGACTTTGTCGAGGAGGCCTACCGCGTGCTGCGCTGGCGCGGCGAGCTGTGGGTGGCCGAGATCAAGAGCCGCTTCGCCGGTGCCGGCGGGCAGAAAAAGACGGCCGTGGTGGCCCACAGCGTCGGGAACCGCAAGCGGATCGGTGGTGGTAGTGGTGGTGGTGGCGGTGGCGGTGGTAGCAGCGGAGGGAAGAAAGCACGGGCGGAGGAAAAAGAGGCAGAGGAAGAAGCTAACCTGGCGGAGCTGGCGGTTCACGTCGACGGTGTGGGAGCCGAGTCCGGGCGGAATGGTAAGCAGCAGGAGACGGACATCTCGGCGTTTGTTGAGACGCTGAGAAAGAGGGGTTTTCTCCTGAACCGCGACCTGGGCGAGAATGCAGTCGATATGAGCAACAAGATGTTCGTCCGGATGCACTTTGTCAAAGGGGCGCCGGCCGTCAAGGGGAAGTGCGCGGTTGAGGGTGGTAGCGATCGGGGCAAGGACGGGCGGGTTAAGAGAAAATTCATTGGAGACGACGACGGAGACGACGGGGTCAACGAGTCCAAGGTTCTGAAGCCTTGTGTGTACAAGTTACGGTGAGGTGGGATCGAGCAAGGGAGACAACACCGAGGGACACTGCGACCGTGTCCTATACTGGGGAAGGGAGCTGTAATACCGCCACATCAGGGGCATTCACGAAAATGTCTGTGGAATCCTCTAGCCTAGTATGCATTCCTGCCAGTCGCCGCGCTACATGATCATGATGCTCTCTAAAGACATACAAACCAGTGACCGAGTATTATGACCATCCACCATTCATGAATCAGCCCGGAACTCCTTCCCTTGGTTGCCTTAGCACCAGAATGTTACGCCACGCCGCTTGTTTACCTCATCTCGATGAATATATATGTCTCACTCCCCCGCGTGAGCTTTCTATAAGCATTACGTGGAGGCAGAGACTAGTCCTGGAAGATGAGGCTGGCGGCGTACTCGACGTTTCCCCCGGTGGCCTCGAGGGCCTGTATTGCCCTCTGTTCAGACGCACCGAGCGCCATGAGCTGCTCGATATGTTCCCTCGGAAACCGGGCACTTGATGCAGGGCCGGTAGAAGCAGTTCCTGGGTTGGACCGAGATGCTGCGGCTGGAGTCGGCGCCGCCGCTTCTGAGCCGCTCGGTGCAGTCACGGCGCCAGACCGCTGGCCAATGGTGGTTCCCGCAGGCCCGGGAACGGTGGGCTCACTTTGCAATGCTTCCTCTGTCTCCTTGGGAATGTCGGCGGGTCCCAGAAAGGGCACCTCAATGCCCTGAATGATGAGCTTGTCTTTCGCGAGGTCGATGCAGGCCTGGTGGCGCTTCAGCATGTCCAGACCTAGGAGCATCTCCACCTGTTTGCCCTCCATGACGGTGAAGCTGCACGGGAGGAAGAGCGGGCCGATCTTGATCGGCGCCGAGTGCACGCGGCCGATGATGTTGGCGGTTCCAACTCCGCGAGCAACGCCCGCAAAACGCTTATCAACCAGCCGCATGATACCACACGCTTCGGCGCACGAGGGACTCATAATCGTTGCCTGCGCGCCCGAGTCGACGAGGGCTTTGACCTTGTACCCGTTGACTTCGACCTCGAGGTAAAGCATGTGTACGTTCCCAAAGACTAGAGAACAATTAGCATTCGATATTCCATAGCATGCTGCATCTGGACACGGCAGTTACCTTCAGGATTGTGCTCCATGGCGTTTTGTAGATTTTCCATGACGCGTTCCTGCCGAATGATTTCCTCAATCTTCGCTTGGGCTTCGGGATCAAACGGATCCGCATTCAGCAGTTGGATTTGGCGATGACGTTCTTCGCGTTCTCTTCGCTCTCTATCGTGGCTCTCGTACAGTAGCTGTGCAAACCTCTGTGGGTCCTCGAGCGCAGCTGCTAACTCCGGCCGGGCTCTCCTGAGCTCCGCCCTGAGGTTGGGATCGCCCAAAACCTGCAGCCGAATCACTTCAGGGTCCTGTTCCATGCCCGGCGGCCGTCCTGCCGGGCGGGGGGGCGCGGACTGTTGCGTGGGCCGGCCAGATGGTGTCAGGGCTGAGGCATATCGCATCTCGCGGACATGGAGCGCCAGCATATCGCCGTCCGTAACCCCGAGCTCCGCCAGCGTCTTCGTGTTGTCTCCAATGAGCTGCCCGTTGTGATACAGGTGTTGAGCACTCGGATGGTGGCCCGTCTCGGCTTGGATGGAACTGCGCAGCGTTTCTATCGTCATGTCGGGGTAGACCTCCAGGGATAGCAGGTCCTGGTCGTCGCCCTGAGGCTCCGAGTTTGTGATGCTGAGTGTGATGCGCCTAGATGTGGTCAACGCCTGCGGGCGGCGGGCACGGGTGAGTCGCGCAATACTTACATTTTAAGTCCTGGTCGGCCGATGGACCCTAAGCGATCGCTTGGATGATGGTGGATAGGCGCGACTAGGACGATGAGAAGTACGAGAGAGAATTATTCAACACATCCACTCGGTAAGCCTTCTTTGGGGTATTGGTGACGGTGAAGTGCGAAGTTGTTGGGGGAAGGACCAGAAGAGCACCGAGGGGCACGAGGGGCACCGAGGGGAGCCGAATGGTGTGATTACGTTGTGAGTAGGTTTCGCGCGGAACCCGAAGCGAGCCGCTGGCTAGCCTTGGGAAATGCCGGTTGCTCTGCAGACAGTGCGGTGCCTTTGTCCCCGAAAACCGTGGTGATTGGACCACTGCTTCAGCTGGAAATCCCCCAGACTCGTTGCTGCAAGGCGGGGGAGGGCGTGGGGTATTTGAATCCTTCACGTAGCTGGATGGTCCAAGGGCGGGCACCGGGCATTGGGGTATTTCCCATTTTCATATCTTATATGTCCCTTGCAACGACAACAAGACGTGCCGCCCAACAGGCTGCAACTGCGTCGACGAGTTCTGTTCACATGGAACTCTTTGGAAGGCTGCCGAGCAACATGTGTAAGCGTGGAAAAAGACAGGATTAGGTCATGCAGGGGCCCGCTCGGGTAGTGCTTCCATTGAACATTAGCAGTCTGAGAATGGCGAATCACGACTAACCCCTATCACGATGCCCTGGATGAGGTCCCAAGCAGACAGCGGCGGAAGACATCAAGCAGGGACTTCGAGGACATCCCCCCGACTTCACGCCAGCCTTATGCAAAGCTCTACACCACCTGGACGCGTCCAGACTTAGACAGCCTGACTGATCAAAGGTCTGCCTTTGCATTTGCCACACTGTCGAGCTTAGCTACTATGCGGGTCGTCAGCTGAGGATTTCCACACTCCCGGTCACCTTAGAGAGTTACCAGCTTGCAGCTTGCTTTGCACAGCGCATACGCACACAACGAGCACACCCTGAATGGAAGGCGCATTACCGGTACCTTAACGGCTATCCGGTGAGACGGATATGCACCCGAACATAAGATGACCCCCGTTTGATGCCGTGGGGCAGCTTTGTATGAAAGTGATCTGCAGCTGCATCATCGAATGCATCCATGTCCGGTTTCATCCAACCTCCGTCCCGGCTCAGTGGAAATCGCGGCGAAAAGAGTTGATCAGAAGCTTCTGCGTCGGGCCTCGACCCCAGCCAAAAGGCATGTCCTTGTGCGGGCAGTGTGTGAATTTACAATGACATTGGAAAGGAGCCGTCACAGACGCTTACCTAGGTTGCTTGCCTGATCCTCTAATTGTAGCTCCTAGCTCCCCGAGCTCCCGTCCGGGCCGTCCCACTGCTGTGGTGGGGCCCTCCAAAGAATCTGAGCCTCAAAGCCGAAGCAACAAAAACACCTCAGTTGCCCGCTACGAATCGCCCGGTATTATAATTACCTTGAGAATCCACGAGAGCTCCATTCAGTACTGAGCTCCATCGTCACAATGGCATCACTGGCTCCCCACAAAGCCGACTTTCTCCGCGCTGCCATTGACGGCGGGGTGCTCAAGTTTGGCAGCTTCGAGCTCAAGTCGAAGCGCATTTCGCCCTATTTTTTCAATGCCGGCGACTTTTACCGCGCCGACCTGCTCGAGTCGATCGCGACCGCCTATGCGAAGACCATCATTGAGGCACACCAGAGCGGCGCTCTCAATTTCGACATCGTCTTTGGTCCGGCTTACAAGGGCATCCCTCTCGCCACCGCAACAACCATCAAGCTGGGCCAGCTAGACCCGGCCACGTACGGCAAGACCTGCTACTCATTCGACCGTAAGGAGGCCAAGGACCACGGCGAGGGCGGCAACATTGTAGGTGCGCCTTTGAGGGGGAAGAGGGTTCTAATCGTCGACGACGTTATCACGGCCGGCACCGCCAAGCGTGAGGCCATTGCAAAGATCCAGAAGGAAGGCGGCGTGGTGGCGGGCATTGTGGTCGCGTTGGATCGCATGGAGAAGTTGCCGTCGCCCGATGGAGATGATACGAAGCCCATGCCGAGTGCGATCGGGGAACTCAGAAAAGAATACAACCTCCCAATATTCGCAATCCTCACTCTAGACGATATCATTGAGGGTATGAAGGGGCTTGCATCGGAGGATGATATCAGGAGGACGGAGGAATATCGGGCAAAATACAAGGCGAGCGATTAGACAGTGGTATGGACTTGTGGTTTAAGCAGCTCTCGGGACCTGCCATCAGGGTGCAACCGACAAGGAGCTAACGCTTGGGGGCTGAACACAACAAAACGTGTCACGGCATTACAGCGTGAACAACATTTGTTGATTGACGGCGTATGTTGTTTCGATTCCTTGTGTTACATAAACGATGAAACTAGGCACCCCAAAGCTACTGCGTGTGGAAGCAACGACCCTTGATCTCAGGGACTGGGTAACCTGGTTGTTGCTGACGCTCTCAGCGGACTGTTCACATTTCACTTCATACCAAAACCCTGTGAAACCACCAAGTTTGAGAGTGTTGATGCATGTATCCGTACGCTCTTTGTCCATGTTCACTAACGGCACACAATGTAAGGTGCCTGATGGTAGGTTGGTTTTGACAATGCCCCTCATTGCCCAATGACGTCAGGCACAGGGTGCGCCAAGTGGATCCACCCCTAAACATTCCTGCGCCCTATCAAGTCCAGTTATGGTGTCTGATGCGATACCCCACACCTGCTGGCCGTTAGAATCTGGGCGACCGAATCTGGGGGACGTTGTTACCAAAAGAAATAGAAAGTTGCAAGGCATAACATTAATGTTAAGGATTATAAGACAAGTATGAGTGCAGGAGCAGCCGTGCTAGACGGCAGTTCAAGGCAGTGCTCTTCAATTAAGTTCTACATCCTCCTGATGTGTGCGCTGTGTACGATATGTACATACCTACTATTTCTAGGCAAGCTGGGTAACGTCAAGGGTGCCGCAGGTAGTCCAGGGTGTGAATGTGAGGTCTGTACGGATAGTGGACCCTTCCAAACCTACCAACCTTACCGACCTCTGTAGTACCGTATAGGGCATTGGACATCGACACCCTGACCCCTTTCAAACACCAAACCATAGCGCACCACCAGCTAACCCAACCCAGTTTGGATACCATTGGCACTCGTACCACTGTTCTTAGCCAAGTTTAGGAGTTCCTTGACACCTAGGTTACCCCAAATTCCTTCGCCGCAGTTTTGGCATTGGCCGCCGCAGAATCTCTGGGTTGCGTGACTTGCCTTGCACCAACTGCCCAACCTTGTGAGACATGCAGCACGGCGGGTACCGTGCTCGACTTTGGTAACATCAAAAGTCCGGCCCTGCGTTAGATGCTCCCAGTCCTCCTGCCCCGGCCCCGGCGCACCATATCCCGGACCCCGGTCTCTCAGATCACACGGCAGGAGGTGTGAGGCAGGAGGTGTGAGTCGCAACAAGCCTCCCGCCGATTTTTGAACGAAACGAGGGGCGCCGAGCTAAGGCGTTGGAGTTCCTTGCTGGATAAGACGTGTGACTCGCCGGAATCTTCTGCTTTTGCTCATTCTGATTTCGAGTTCTCTGGACATAAAGGTCGGCCTGCTGCATACCAAGTGGCGGCGTCTCGCAACCCTCCTCCTCGTCCAACTCACGCCGGGATAGCTGTGTTGCGCTTTTGGAGATACAAACCATTGCAGATTCAGTAGAGCTCCAGCTCTCAAGGCTTTCACGATGGCGGAGCGCTCCGAGGGCGATCCTCCCGGAGGCCCAGCTTCGCCCCCCAACCAAGACCACAACCACGAAAACAAGCCAAAAAACGACCAAGTCCACGACGAAGAAAACGACCAAGCGATCGATGAGTCGTCGGACGTAGATGGCGATTTCGCCTCGTTGCAGAAGATGCTAAGCCAGAAGCGAAGAGCGGCCAAAGACTGTCCCAAGTCGCGTCTTCAGAAGGCCTTCCCTTTCTTCTTTTCGCCGCACATTAGGCCCTTGACCATCTCCGACCGCGATTCGTGTATTGCCCTGGAGAATGCGGCCTTTCCTCATCCGGAGCACCGTGCCTCGCCCGAGAAGGCAAGTCTTCGAAACCCTCTTCCCCGGTCTCGTGCCACCTGAATCTGTCCCTCTGCTAACACAAAGCCTGCTTCAATTTCAGTTCGAATACCGCCTCACGACATGCTCGGAACTTTGCCTCGGCCTGTTCTGTACGGTGGTCCCGTCGGAAGCAGGAGAATGGAGCGTCGAGACGCTGGCCCATGCCAAGCTGGTTGAGACGAACCGCCACAACGGTGCCGTGAGCGTGCTGCTCGCGCATATTGTGGCGACGCGCTGCCGTGGAGACGTCATCACGGATGCCGACATGGACTACCCTAGCGACTGGCGCTCTCGGAAAGGTCGACCTGCCGATGTCGGCCACCAGGACGAAGGCCGCACCGTCGCGGTGCACTCGTTTGCCGTCCTTCCGCGTCTGCATGGCTGTGGTATCGGCAAGATGCTCATGAGAGCATACCTCCAGCAGATGAACAACTCGGGTCTGGCCAGCAGGGTCGTGTTGATTTGCCAAGAGGTGGGTTTTCCCTCCGTAACAACACGACTGAATGAACTAACTTGGTTTCCTGGCCGATTTGCAGTCCCTCGTGTCGTATTATGAGCGCTCAGGCTTCACGCACCTCGGAGAGAGCAAGGCGACGTTTGGAGGTGGCGGATGGCATGACATGGTAAGTGGCCTACGCTTGCTCTTAAAGCTCGGCGAGCTTGCTTTTTCTTGAACTTGGACCTAACTTCATGTCCTAGGCCTGCGACCTCCCAGGTCTAAAACCCTTCACGCCTTACTCAGAGGAAGAAAATTGAGGTAGATTAGAAGATCACCTCTTACACAAGCAGCAGTGCGCAAGCAGCCCTTTGCTCGCAGGCATGACCCTCCATACGGGAGACGTGCAAGTGATCCAACGGAGCGCTTCTGGTACGCATCCCCCATCATGGATTTACTGGTCTGAAGCACCTAAAGTTAGACTAACCTCAGTTAGGCACGCGCGGTAACTTTCAGATAGTGAGCTGCAGTCAGTCTGATAGACAGTACAGCTGCCAAATAAAATTCGGTGCCTTCTGGTACACTATGAATTTGTTGCATTGTCTTCTGGAACTTGTTCTATATTCTCTTCCCCATTACTGTTGCTTCAACCGAACGCGTAACTACCAGATAAGACAGACATTGTTATTAGGCTTAAAGGCTGCTAAGAATCAGTGGGATAAGTACTGTAATTTTTTGGTACTGAATATTTCATCCAGCGGCACGAAGTACTGTAACTTAAGAACGGATGTAATGAAACACATGTACGGAGGTAATATCTGTACTTACCATATTGCCCCACCAAGTGGCCGTCCAAGTACCAGCACACCGCCTTCTCTATCTTATCGACAAGGCATGATTTCGTGCGGACATGCAAAAAAATTATTTCGGCACGCTTTTGAAGTCGGCCATATCGACACCGCCCCGCCAAGTGTGGTCCCCATCCAACGACGCCTTCCAACATCCTATCTCCTGGTCTGACAGCGCCCTGCGACTCGGGAGATTCTAGCCATGACGTGGAAGGATATTGCGCCTGTGCCTACGTAAGAAATCAGGGTCCATTGTATTGCCTTGTTGTGGGAAAGCTAACAAGTCTCAAGGGCACAGGAATTCATCGACATCGTTCTTTCGTGAGTTGAGGCGCCTGATTGTTGAGCTGCTGGACGGCAGTACTAACCGAATCGCAGACGGACACAACGGCGATTGCCTACTCAGAGTACGCTTCTCAAATGGAAGAAGTGCTGTGGACTAATTAGCTGACTCGACGCACGAATAAAGTCCGCGCCGGTTTCAAGAGTACGTCGCTCCGTGACGAAGGATAATGCACCCTCATGTCAACTCAGCCGCTTACACAGAATGTCAATAGTTAGCAGAATTCGAGCCTTCTACACCCGAAAGGTCAAGTCAGTATTCTCCCCGCCTCCTGCAACCGCAATTCGAAGCGCCACCTAGTTCTAGCTTCCTCCCGAATACGACGACATAATACTCAAGGACAGCAGGCGCTGACATACAACACCCAGATTCACACAGGAGACATGCAGCGAGAAGCTCGGCCAGATAGTATCAAGCTTCCCTGTTCTCACGGATCAGCACCCTTTCCACCGCGACCTGATGAACATCCTCTACGGTGCGCTGGTTCTACCCGTTGTCTCTGACATGATGTACATGGCGGCGCTGACAAGAGCTGTGCGTAGATGCGGACCACTTCAAGGTTGCTCTCGGTCAGGTCTCGACGGCGAAGCACCTAATTGAGACCATCTCTCGCGACTACGTCCGTCTGCTGAAGGTAAACATCCACCCCTCGGCCGACCTTTATATTGTCTCGAAGCAGACACTGATAATCTTGACTACAGTACTCGCAAAGTTTGTTCCAATGCAAACAGCTGAAACGGGCAGCCTTGGGTCGTATGTGATCCCCGAATCCGTCCGCCGGCAGCACGACCTCCTCGACATGCTGACTTTGGGCCATAGGTATGGCAACACTCATCAAGCGGTTAAAAGATCCTCTTCAGTACCTCGACCAGGTGCGCCAGCACTTGGCTAGGTTGCCCGATATCAACCCAACCACACGCACTCTCCTAGTTGCTGGCTTTCCGAATGTTGGGAAAAGCTCTTTCGTCCGATCTGTGACCAGAGCTGATACTCCGGTTGAGCCTTATGCTTTTGTAAGTCGACACGACGTCAATAGCCACGCTTGCTAGTTGCTGACTCTAAGCAGACAACGAAGAGTTTGGTACGTGGTGCCCTAATGAAGGCCAATTCGAGCCGTTGTTGGCGGAGACACTAACAATACGGTAACCAGTTCGTTGGTCACCTCGACTACAAATGTGAGTTCCCAAGGTAATGGTCCATTTGGCACTTGGTCAATAGTTAACCTGTCCAACGGTAGATCTTCGATATCAAGTAATAGACACTCCGGGAATGTATGTTTATGGTCCACAACCTGCGGTTGCCCCAAGCACACTTGATACACCAATCCCACTCACATCACCAATTCGAAGCTAACTTGCGCCAGCTTGGATCACCCCTTAGAAGAGATGAACACAATTGAAATGCAGAGTGTTACAGCGCTCGCGCATCTCAGGGCCGCGGTGCTTTTCTTCATCGATATCAGGTACGTCTTTTGTCTTGCAATGACTCCCTACAAATCTAATGCAGTACAGTGAGCAATGTGGCTATTCACTAAAAGCCCAGTGCAACCTCTTCAAGTCGATCAAACCCCTCTTCGCGAACAAGATGGTGTTTGTTGTGTTGAACAAGATGGATATCAAGACTTTCGAGGATTTGGAGCCAGAGATGCAAGCTGAACTCCAAGATTTGACAAAGTCAGGCGAGGTGGAGCTGCTGCGTGCTTCTTGCGCCACACAGGACGGCGTGCAGGAAGTCAAGAATCATGTCTGCGAGAGGCTACTCGCTGAGCGAGTCTCTCAGAAGCTCAAGGCCGGTACCGCGAGCAACGGAGCTATGGGATCTCGTCTCAGCGAGGTCATGAACCGTATCCACGTCGCTCAGCCAATGGGCGGCGTCACCAGGGAGTACTTCATTCCCGAAGCTGTTAAAACCCTCAAGAAGTACGACAAGAACGACCCCGAAAGGAGAACCTTGGCGAGGGACATCGAAGAAGCCAATGGCGGTGCAGGCGTTTTCAACGTCGATTTAAGGAAAGATTACATTCTCGCCGACCCGTCATGGAAGTATGACAAGATCCCTGAAATCTATGACGGCAAGAATGTATACGATTACGTCGACCCCGACATCGATGCAAAGCTGCAGGCGCTAGAGGAGGAGGAGGAGAGGCTCGAAAAAGAAGGCTTCTACGAATCCGACGAGGATATCGGCGACGAGTCCGAGGAGGAAATCCTGCAAAAGGCCGAGTACATCCGCGAAAAGCACAAGCTGATTCGCAACGAGGCCAAGATGCGCAAGTCGCTCAAGAACCGTGCCATCATTCCCCGCAAGGCCATCAAGAAGCCCCTCTCCCAGCTTGAGGACCACCTCGACCAGCTGGGCGTCGACACGGAGGAGATTGGCCTGCGCGGGCGCGCGCAAGCCATGTCGCGCGGGAGGTCTGTCACTCGCAGCCGCGCCGGCACCGCCGATCCGGACGCCATGGACGTGGATTCCACTTCTGGGGCCACTGCCAAGGAGCGCCTGCGGTCGCTCAGCCGGCCCCGCTCCCGCTCGGTCGCGGCCGTAAACCGCCGCGACGACGGCGTCCAGGACGAGACGGCCCGCTCAAAGGCCGAGAGGCAGGCCAAGCTCAGCCAGAGAAAGATGAACCGTATGGCCAGGCAGGGCGAGGCCGACAGGCACATTGGTGCCTCCATGCCCAAGCACTTGGTAAGTTCTCGCTCTGCCCGCTCTCATACCTATCTGTCCCATTTGCGTTTGTCGGTGGAGTTTTACTAATTGGCCACGGCAGTTCTCGGGCAAGCGGACTATTGGCAAGACATCCCGTCGTTGAGGAATGGGGTGGGAATAGTGTTGGAATGGCTGCATCGCTGTACCCCTCGTGTCCATACAGGTACAGCATGTTTTCAACGAGTGCCCCGTGGGTCGTTAGTAGTCAAGGCGCATGGTAGGAGCTATGAACTTCTTGATTGAAAACGGCAGTGGGAGAGTGATATCAACTTACGATTGGTATTGAGGAGGACGGAGGCAGACCTGTCAGGAAAGGAAAAGAAGAGATTTCCAATTCCTCTTGAGCTGCCTTTTTATATATCTATCTGTCTGCCTGATTACGCTGGCGCTCTGGGTTGAGCTTGACATTATGAAGAGTTTTCTCCTACCACTTTTCCGTTCCCCAAAGCTGGACTGAGTTGAGACCGGGTGCAAAGGGCGGACGACGCATAGTTCTGCCCGATCGCCCCTTTTATTCTCAGAGCTGCTCTTTCCTACCGCCTCAGCCTCACGAAGTTACTCACAGAAAGCAGTCGCGTTGTCTCTGAAAGATGAGGCAGGAACACGGCACCCATAAGTACAGAGAATCCGCACCGGCCGAGGACACCCAGATAAGTCAAAGGGTCAAGTTCGCTACAATTCATTGGCTTGCCTTATTATACCTAGTTTAGATCTAGCACCCCTTCTTCCCTTCGCCAACATTCTCTCTGCACCTCCTCTCCCTGACGCTACTCTACTCGGCAGTCATCTGGATACCCTCCCTCAGACCCTCCACCACCAGCTCCTCGCCGGCAAGACGGCGATAAATGTCCCTGACGTCGTCCGTGGTGGTCTCGAAATGGCTGCTGGCGTCGTAGCTCTTGGAAATGAAGATGTTGTCCTTGGTGCCGTCCTCGATGGGCTCGTACAAGGGGATTGGAGGGCCCTATTGATGTGAAATGAGTTGTTAGCTCCTGGCCATCGAGAGAGTGTGACTGGGAGCGTGGAGTCATGGATAAGCTTACCATGAATTGCTCCTCGATCCTGCCAAGGCGCTCGATACCCGGCGCCAGTTCGAGGTGGTGGTTCGCCGAGGTCTCGGCAATGGTGGACACAATGGCGATCCAGTAGCCCTTGGGGCAAACGTTGTGTGCGGACGAGACGCAAGCGATGTAGATGTCTGGACAAAGAATTCAGTTAGAGATCTTCAGGCGGAAAGGGAGGGAAAGGGAGGAATGTGTTTACCGTTCTTCCGACCGACTTGGGACTGGGGGATAATGAGCTGGCACGAGTCGCTGTCGTTGGTGTTGGCAAGCGGGTGCTTGAGGATGCAGATGGCACGCAGCACGTGGCCGACGACCTTGACCTTGCTGGGGAAGTAGCTGGGATCTCCGAGGATCATCTTTGCCCGCGTCTCGAATTTCATCTCGGGCTCGACACCGGTCATCGTGGCCTTGATGCCCACAGCCTTGCCTCCCTCATAGAGGATCTCATCAACGCTGGTGTTGAGCATGTAGGTGCCACCGTAGATGGCGCTCAAGCGGGCGAAGCCCTGGGGGAGCTCGCCTAGACCGTACAAAGGGTAGATGTAGGGCGACTTGCCGTAGCGGGCCACACTGTTACCGTACAGCCGGAGGCGTTCAATAGCCTCGGGAGCCCCACCCTTGACGTCCATGTAGTCATCACTCTGGTAGAGCGCCATGGCGTGGCCTGCAAAGTCCTTGGTAGAGGCTTCGAGCCCGAACTTGTCGTAGACTTCCCTCATGGTGCAGGTGCTCATATCCAAGCCTGCATGACACGAAGACAATCAGTCCATATCGTTCTTGCTAGACGGGACGGAGACCAAACGAACCCTTGTGTGTTGATGGGTCGTTCAGCTTGAACTCGCCGACCCACTCAATGAAGCTCTTCATGCGGCGCTTCTCAAAGATGCCCATCAGGGGGGACTTGAGGGCCTCACCGGCATCCGAGGGCACCTTGGCAACGGTGGCCTTGGGCCCGGAGCCCTGTTGGACGTAGCTGCCCGCCACCTGCTTGAACTCGAGATAGCGCGTTACATCGGTTGAGACGAGAATGTTTGTGAGCTCGCCCGACGACATGAGGAACTTGGGTACCAGATCGATGTTCCAGTCGTTCAGGCGGCCATACTGCTTCCAGGGCTCGGTGCCCTTTGCATAGTTGCCATACTTCTTGAAGAGCTACACACACAGTGGCACCGTCAGACACGCGCATACAGATATGGACGGGATATGGTGCGGGTTGGAGGAGCATACCGCTTCGAGATTGACCGATGCTGCTTCACTGTGTCGGTGACAGGCGGGGTTAGTCCTACAGCTCAAAGGAAAAAGAGGAACAGGAGTCAACACACCCGCCATAGTGATCGTTACGGTCGATGTGGAGAACCTTCCTCCCCTTCACGCTCAGCACGCCCGAAAGGATGCACTCAGTCAATCCTGTACCCAGCACAATGACATCGTACTCCGGGGCGATCTCGTCGGCCATGGCGGACACGTAGGGTTTCAGGCGTTGATGGGAAAGGGAAAGCTCTTGGTTGTTCTGGCTCTTCAAGGAGGTAGCTCTGAATGTATGATATGCAAGCAGAAAAGCTTGAGGGTAAGGGGTGGGAGACACGACGAGGCACAGAACAATCGAGACCTCGCTAAGGGACTTGATCAAAGCCGAGTCCGAGCTTGATGAGTTGTGGCTGTTGGGCGAATTATTGGGTAGTTATTGGAAGTTGATCCAGATGGAAAGCAAGCCGCTCTGGTGGGGGGTGTCCATTGAGGGGCGCATGGGGAGCCCCGCTCTATGGGCCCGCTTTCAAGCTAAGCTTGTAGTGGCCATCTGTGATTCGACGCTTGAGGGACAGGCGGTCTGGGGCTGGTCTCGGCTCATTCATGGCTCATAATGCTCGACATTGCGCTCGACGATTTGCCCTCTTTGAACGGCAAAGCTTGGCTGAGACAGGCAAGCGTTGTTTTGTTACAGAGTACAACATGCATGGTTAGGTTCCATGCATATATATACATACATACCTACATCGGATGCCCAAACAATGCTCAATACACTATCAGTACAGGAGTATGCCCATAGCCGTCAAGGTCAATGCGATGGAGCAGTAGTCGAGATATAGCAAACGGGTATCCATCCACGTCGTCCGTCAGAATTTGATGCTTGAGCCAGCTGGTTGCGGGAGTTGGCGTTTGATTCATCATATCCTCGGGGCCTCGCTCTGGGGCTTGGATGAGGGTATCGTCGCCGGATCAAGGGTTGCACCTGTGCCTGGTTCCGTCTGCTCTACAGCTTCCCCCATAGGGCTGACGGCCGGCTCCTCCAGCGCCGCAGCCTCTTGGTCCTCCTCAAAGAATTCGCGTGGGGTAAAGGTAGGGCCGTCGCCGGAGAGGTTCACTTCCGGGTCCTTCTCGGCCAGCTTCACCGCATCCTCCCACGCATAGTACCGTTCTGTCAGGACGTGTTTGATGGCTTTCATCGTACCCCGGACCTAAACACGACGCGAAGATACCTGTCAGCACTGTGTATTGCAGCAGCCGTCTCCCTCTTTCCCTCACGCAAAGCAAGGGATATCTCACCATCATGTCCCTCTCCCGCGCCTCCGACTCGCCGAAGCCGAGCTTGCTTTTGTTCCTCTCCCAGTTGGCGGTGGCGATCCTGTTGCGCTCCTTGACGCACACCCACCATAAGCGGTGCAGGTCATCCCACGACTTGTGGCGCAGCTCCTCCACCGTCCACGAGCGCCCGTGCTTGGCGTCCTCGGTGGGCGGGTTGGCCACCGTCTTGCGGTTCGCAAAAAACTCCCAGAGGCCGTGGTTCGGGTCCGTCTCGATTGGCGGGAGCTGGTCGCGCGGTACGGGCTTGGGGAGCGGCTCGTCTGACATGGACAGCCGCCAGCGTGTGCCCGTCCTGCGGAGGGCCGACTCGCCGCGGTTCTTGCTGTGGTCCGCGTTGTCTCGCGCGCCCTTGTAAACGTGCCGCTTCCAAAGAGCGGCCGTTGTTGAGAGAGAGGCGGTCTGCTGCTTGTTGACGCCAATGGATTGGCATGCCCCTGTTGTAGCTTGTCTACCAGCCCTCAATGGCATCGCGGCCATTGCTGCTGTTGTGGATGATATCGATGATATCCGGCAAACAGCGCCCATCGCGGGCCGGATCGCACTCGAGTTTGTCATGGCTATTTGGAGGAAGTAGCGCCGTGACGGGAAGAGTAAGCGAGTGAAGTGAAACTGTACAGGGCCGCCGTGTCTCCCGTACGTTTCCCCAATCGCTGGTGAAGTGGACTAGCCTGAGCCTTGGATATATGCCAGGGCCATTCGACGATGGCAGTCGCTCGACGTTCGCAATTGCGGCAACGCGCACTTGAAAATTTGGTTGGTCCAAGCGTTTGTCAGGGTTCAGCTAATGATGTGCTTGGCGCGATCGAATTGGCGTCCGCCACGGCTGGCCGCAGGTGCCAGGACGGCCCCAAGAAAAGTTCAGGCGGGCCTATTCACACCTGAACCGGCGCTCTATGGCTCTCTCACTGCATGTCCTGAATCTCCAATCGAGTGTTGCAATTTACACAAACACGAAGTGTCGCCATGAATTAGTGTAAGGGAGAGCCTTCTATCTACGTGCACGCTGGGTAATATCATCCATCTCATCTCATCCTGTCTCCAACACCACAACACAGACTCAACGCACCTCGAGCAAAATCAAGTTCACACACTCATCATCGATCATGTCCCTCATACAGTAAGTCACATCCGCTTCCTCACCAACCTCCAAACCCGTCTCAAACTCGGCTAACCATTGCACCCAAGAGCCTACCGCAACCTCTCCTCCAGAACCAGAATTGGTCTCGGAATCGGCCTCCTCATCTGGGGCTTTGCCGGGCTACAACTGACGCCCGTGGTAGAGGAGAAGCTCGGGCTGACGCCAACCGAGGCCGACAAGGCCGCCTTAGAGCGGATGACGCCCAAGATCCGCGTCGTTCCGAGGGACGAGAAGTCATGACCACAAATTTCATGAGGATCATCATCTTTACCATGTATAAAATCATGTATTAGTACGCCACCTGGGAACAGAGGGAGGAATCAGGCACACATGCCCTCTTTACTCGCTCATCCCTAGGGTTCGGCAAGAAATTGGACAGCAATATCTGAGGAATGGCGTTATCTGGGATAGCAGCCATTTCGCTTTTCGGGAGGGAAGGGAGGGAGAGGCTCTCCAAGCAGGATGCAGCTTTAAGGTGGGAAGCAAGCATACGGTCGATTCAGAGGAAGAACGGCAACCTGATAGCTAGGGGATCTGCTTTTATTTCACTACCTTCACCCTCTAGGTGGCAACGCCCGTACAAACTCTAACGTATGTAATGTCTGACAATTGATGTACATTCTCCGACCGTTTGCTCTCCTCGGTGCTGTTGCCCTCGAAAAGAATTGCCTTTCGTTTTGCCTCGGACCCGCCAGCGTTGTTGCCAACACCATTTGGCCCCAGGACAGAGGTACATCCGTCACGGAGCGTGCCATCGTTCACTAGCTCATCGGAACAGGCAAGCCGGACGAAAAGAAAATAAGAGAGCTGGGAGCCTTCGCAGGCGGAAATAGACACATCGTACCGTGACCACTCTGCCCGGAAGGGCAAAGACATCCCTTTAACCATCTGCCTGTTTCCTTCCTCGGTCTATCTGTCGTGTGGAGCGTGGCAACAAGTCTCTAATGCAAACCCCTGGAAAGTCTATCATTCGCAGCCCATCCTCGTGATGCAATCAAACAAACCGCCGTTCGTGCCAATCTGATGCAACAGGGGGGTCGCCATAACTTTTGGCTCTGGGAAGGGCCAGAGCGACGTGAAGATTTTTCGAAAAGCAAAGGAAAACTGAGGCAAGGAAACAAACAGGACCCGAAAGAACGCCGCATGGAAGGGAGACAATGAGAAAAAGAACGCCGTCAATGCGAAATATGTACGCGCCGAAACCCGGACCATATCATGCAACTGTTATTATTGATGGTTCTGCATTCCCTCTGCTGGAGCAGCCGTAAGTCCCGCCGATTTCCTCGTGTTGAAAAGGGGTCGGAAAAGCTGTGTCATATCGAGGGTGCTGTCTCTCACTCCGTACGAGGCATCAATTTCTGCAACCGATCCTAATTCCTCCCCTCGCGAGGCGCCGTCCGTCAAGACCCACTGCTTCACCGATTTCAACAAATGAATTATATAGGCGAAGCGTTGATCCGGTGCCATTTGCATGTCTGCTGCCCGAGTGCTCCTCAGGAGATACTTCGCTAGCCAATAGAAATGAATTGCGTCTCGTGTGAACCCGTAACGGCGGAAAAAATGAACACCAGACGGCGGGAACTGGGCAGCCATGTCGTGATCCCAATTGGCTTTGAACTTGTCCAACGCAGTCATGAATGTTTTCACTGTCTGCGCGTCGAGGAGATTGGTACCGACGTCCACCGGAGTTGTCCGGCCGCTGTTGTTTGCGCTAGGGCTATCCTGGGTCCCAATGAACCAGGCACCAGCAGGTAGAGGAGTGGCTGAACGACCCAGGACTGCTGAACCACCTTCCAATTGAGCTTTCCTCATCATCGTCAGCAGCGCGTGGATCAGGACGAATTTCCCGTACAGGTTCGTGGCGCCGGGCTGGACACGATAGTTGTTGTCAAGTAGGGCTTTCAGTACCAAGTGCATCTCGGGTTGTGTGCACCTCTGGGTTCCGTTTGGATTGCGCAATTTGGCAGCATGGGTACCCCTGAGCCCGAGCGCCTCAGTACATTCGTTGCTGTCGTTGGCGCCCCAGGCTGCGTCATCTGCTGGCAAGGGAAGGCGGACATCAAATGGGTCAAACTCGGGGACGGCGTTGAAGTAAAGCCCAAGAGCGGCGTCGTAGACAAAGAGCAGGTACGCGGTCCGGATACGCTTCTCTTGTTCAACCCAATCGTGCCAATTAAACTGGTCAACCGGGAAGTTCTGCGGGTCAAAATCAGGATGGTGAACCGGGCTGTACAGGGACTTGTCTTTTGTGAGACGGAGTAAGCCAGCCTTGCGTGCAGCCGAGGCGATCAGCGGGAAGGTCCTCCGCGCCTTTTCACGTTGCAGCGGAGTGCCGTGCCAGGTGAACAAGATCTGGGTAAGCATGATTGCCTGTAGCTCCTCGATATCTGTCTTACTGCTTCCGAACGTGGCCCACTCGTAATCGCTTTGGGACCGTCCGTCCTGCGACAATGAGGCATACATGCGAGAAGAGCCCTCGAGCGCCGCCTTCAGGAGGTCCATGACCTCACGAACGTTGGCTGCGGGCATCCGGTCCGAATAGCACGCCCCAACACAGCACATACTTGCCAAAAGGCCGACGTGCGCCTCCATGGCTCGGAATGTGGGTACGTGCAGAATTGCCAAGTGGGCGTGGAAATGCGAATAATTCTCAAGAAAGCTGCGGACATTATCAGGCTGCAAATAGAAGTTGATTAGGTTGGCCGTGGACGGATTTACGGCGGGGGCAGAGGAATGCAGAAATGTGAGGATCTTGATCGAAAGTTGTTGATAAGGATTCGGGTACGACGATGGAATTCCCCATGACGGGAAGAGGGGCGAGTCGGTGGTCTGTTCGCCGGATGTGCCAACCGCTCGCGTGCCGCCGGCATTAGGCTCGTGTTTGGTTGCGGTCTGCGTCTGTCCCTGTCCGATATTAGGTGGGAACGCATTGACGTAGGTAATGTGCGCACCAGGCTGAAACATCTGCGACCAATCGGCCGAGTTCGACCCTCCAAACATGGGCATTCCGTTCTGGTTCTGAGGCATGCTGTAGTTCGCCAGCTGCGGGTTGATGTTCGCCGTCATGTTGTTCGCGACGTCGCCACCATTGTACGTCTGCTCGAAGTTGCCCGGACGTGTCGACGCGCCCATTACCGAGTTGTTCATGTTTCTTCTGTCGCGGTTCGCATCGTCGAGTCTGTTGATGCTGCTAGATCTCGAGAGCTGGCTTTGATCGTTGGCAATGTTGCTCATCCCATCAGAAGCGGGAATAATGCCAAACGGATGAACCATTCCGTCGGCAGGCATGTTTCCCATACCGTTAACGTTATTCACATCGCCTTCAGTACCCATAGCCTTCTGCTGGGCAGCAGCAGCAGCATTCTTTTTAACGTGCGCTTGGGGGTGGGACAAGTGACTTGCCCCAGTCGGATTGCCGCGGCGGACAGAGCACTTGATGAAGTGGCGCTTGAGAATGTCGCTACGAGAGAAAGTATCGTGGCACAATACGCACATGTACGGCCGGTCGCCCGTGTCTGCAAGAAGATGTCAAGTCACCGCTGCCAGGGAGCATAACAAAAGCACAACACAACTTACGTCTCAAGAGGTGGCGCTTCAAGTGCTTTGCATGAAGGTAAGTCTTTGTGCAGTGGGGGCAAGGGAATTTTCCGTCTGCATCCTTCTGGGGGATCTGATTCTTGGCCTGCGCTGTTCCAGCAGCCGGAGCTGCGGGCCTACCTGGAGCGCTAGGTAGAATGCCTCTACGGCCTTGCGAGCCGACCACGTGCGTGGGTTGGTCACCCTCGGTCATCATCGATGTCTGGGGCATGAGCGGGCTTTGGCCATAGGGCGAGTTCATGCCCGGCTGAGAGATGACTCCACCGGCAGGCATTGGGCGGAGGAGGGGAGGCCCCCTACTGCCGGCCGGCGACGGGGCGGGGGCGATAGGCTGGGGATGCGAGGCGGCCGTAGTGGTCTGGGGCAGCATGGACGATGAAGCGCCGGGGTAGGGCTGCGGCGGGTAGGGATTGTTGTTCATGATCGGGTAGCTGGCGCCACGTCCCGCATTCTGCTGGGGCGGAGGCGGGTAGCTCGTCATGGCGTTCGATGAGTTCTGACCACTGGGGGCTGCAGATGTCTTCGGACTGTTGGAGGAATAGCCGGGGTAGGCAGCGTGAGCTGGGTGGCCTGGCTGAAGCGGCGGCAGCGTCTGTGGAGGAGCTGTCGAAGGGGGCTGCTGTCGCTGATGAGGTTGGTGGGGTGATTGTGCTGACAAAGTTGGGTACGAAGCCGCCGACGTGTTTATGACATTCGCCGAGCTGTTGGGCAGACCTTCCATAATCCGTCACTCAATAACCGTCTGAGTGACGAGCACCAAAAACCATCCGAGCCGAGGCACGAAAGGCTTTGTGTGCTGAAGAGTAAGGCCAAAGTAGTCGCGTCGCGTCACGCTATTCAAGGCCCGGGGAGTGTAACAGAGGTCAGATTGAGTGCCAAGAAACAATCAATCAAACAAACCACTGTTGTCACAGGCGATGAATGTTTGCCGGATGCTGCACTCGGGCCGTGTGGGAACTCGGCGACTCGAAGCCAAAGATAGATGGGTCTGTCTAGGCCGTATGTTTGCCTTGGGATGCGGTGCGATGCGATGCGCTGCGCTGCGCCGAACGAGCACGATTGCGGGACCTGCAGACGCGATCTAGAGTTGTGTCAGGACCCGCGACAAGCTGAAGGGTGCTCGGAGGTGGAGAATGCCCTAAGCGGAAAGTCGAGGCTCAAAGGAAAAAAGAGTGGTAAGTGGAGAGAAATGGGGAGGATCGAGTGGAAAGTCGGTGTGGAGAACACCCTTTTTTGTGGTGCTGTGCGTCCTTTATAAAGACGTTGGGGGAAGCTGTCAGGTACTGCTGATGGCGGGTGCCGGGCAGAAGGGTGGGTATTTTACAGTTCTCCAGAGCGCGAGCAGCTGTTAGGTGCCTGGGTGGGGAAAGTTTGGATCCGAAAGTGGGAAAAAATTTGAGGACCCTCGGGTGAAATGGAGACGGGCCCCAGCGCAACCTGATGCCTCGAAATCAAGGCCTTTTGGCGAAACGAGTCTAACTTCGGAATCAACCTCTTCAACCTCGTACTGTAAAGTGTGCGATTCCAGATATCCCAATCAGATTGCGCAGTGGTTTTTTGTCGAGGGCAGAAGAAAAATCAAGAAGGTGCTTCGCGGCGCGTTGTGGAAGGAGGAAAGGGAAAGTGGATAAAACCAGGAAAGAGTGGGAAAAAGTAGCGTGGTGAGTGGGAGGGGGGGTAAGGGCCAAATGGGAGAGGGTGGCAGGGTGATTGGACCAAGGGCGAAAAAAGCTGAGCATGCTGGGACGTAAAATACGGATATTGAAACAGACAATAATGAAAAGTACCAACTGAAATATACCGTAACGGAGCGTACGAGGTTGTTATTGCGGGACTGGCAAGCCATCCTTAGTATTTCCTTAGCGCCAAAGTCTAGCGAATACCTTAAAGCACCCATTACACTACGAAGTACACTACGGTAGGAACAATTATGTACAACTCTCTATTCGGGCAAAGCACTGAGTCCCTTCAAACTCGGCATTCGTCCGGTATCGCACTGAATGCTGCCTTGTAAAGTACAACTTCATAATAGCTCCGGCAGCACATTGGAGGCCTGAAACTGTAGTGCTCGTTCACAGTTACGTGTACCTCCGAGGTAAACGATGGCATAATGTTATAAAAAGGCATTGGCTGGGGAGGCAGGGAAGGGGGTTGACTTCGAGATTGTTCCTGTGTGATCGGTACACTTTTACAAGGTGTTCCTTGCGCATCGCTCGATGGGTCTCGATTATGGACCGAAGTAGCTCCATGATGACATGGGCTTAGGTGACAAGGCATGCTGTGAGCAACTTGTCTCTAGTGTAAGCATAGAAACCGCGCTCCCTTATTACACAGTAGGGCTTCGCTGCTTCTCGGGACGAATGGAGAGGACGGGAGTACACGTAGGCATGCGGCCATGGCTCACACCAGTAATGCACGCACGTTTAAGTACCTATGTGTGTGCAAACTGCAGTGTAGCGAATACATGTGATAGCGGGCACGATGTGCTGAGTCGAGCTATTGAATTACTTATTCGCGCCAGGCGAACGGGTGCCGCTTTCTCCATTAACAGGCTGGAGCAGTTTTCAAGGCAGCGTACGGAAGTAGCCGAGATGCAAGGTGCGTTTACGCCTCTTGTGATATGTCGACTCGTGCGGCTAAGGTAGTTAAAGACTTCAGACTGCCCAAGTCGTAGCGTTGCTCTGTGGGTGTGCTCCGTATTTATCTCGTCATGCCTCGTTCCAGCGTAATCAATTGGTTTACACTAGCTTCTTGGAGTAGTAGTATGAAGTTAGGTGCATTCGCACAATGACGTTTGCTGCCTCCTTCAATAACATCCCACGGTGTTGCTACTGTACTGTACACCTGCAGTGATAATTACGCCACCAACAGGGCGAAAACCCAAGTTGCCACGGATGGACTTTTTGATGAAAGAAATTCTCACATCTCAGATTAGACAGGCAACATCTGGTTCAGTTCGGGACCTATAGAGTACACAGGACTTAGACATCAATACACCATGGTGGCTAGAGGGTGAACGCACGTAGCCGCTGACGCAAGCTCTTGTTGCCCTCGCCTTGCGCTGCCACAGCACCTCAGGTACGGATATCTAGGATAGGTAACAGGACGGGATCATATACAGGTACCTACTGATTGAGTGTAAGTACAGCAGTACTTTCCATAGAGATCATATGCGTCGATCGTGTGCGGCCTTCTTGACAGGGCTAAACTACAGGAACAGGCTCGCGCTCGTAGAGGGTAGTAGAGGGTAGATAGCGCCTCCATCAGCAAGGAGCAGGCCGTTGGGTGTTTGTTAGTGGAAAGAGTCATCCTACCGTATGATCTCGCGAATAAGGAAAATTAGATGTGGCTTGCCCAGCCAACTCAGCGCAGCAAAAGCGAGCAAAAGAGGCAGGAGAGCCACATCTAGCCACACTTGCCCGGTGCTCTCATTGGTGAATGTCTGACTTTGCGGGCTGGGCGTATCCACATCTAATTTTCCTTATTCGCGAGATCATACGGTAGTGTACACTACTGCTGTGCTCCAGGCTAGCATATTGTCTTGTAAATCGTCCTCGGCACGCAGTCCGTTCGGGTGACTTGGATCTGCGCTTAAAGCATCAGATTTCCAGACAGGCATTACACCTTAAATTCCCAAACACGAAACAGGCGCGAGCCAGACGAAACCTGGTCCAGGGATGGACAGAGGTCAGCTACCTTAGGCCGGGAGAACACAGTACTAGGTATGAGATATATCATATCCAGGGAGATATTACCTTACGTAGTTCGAGTCAGTATATTGCCATGTACGTCGGGTGCCTTGATGGTCTACCTAAGGTAACTAATCCTCTTACCTCTCAGTGCCGGATCCTCGACGTTCAAACAACTGCGGTAGCGTGGGTAGTACAATGGAAAACTTTTCATCGAATGTGACATCCCTTCCAGCCTGGAAGCCAGTGAATGTCCTGGCGGCTACTAACCTACTGTAACTTCGGGGGAATTGCGGTGAAGGACGTTTCACCTTCCTTGCGGCAGGAGGATACGTACAGAGGTATGTAATGAGTACAGTAATTACCTACGTTGTATCTGTATGTACCTGTAAAGTACCTCAACGGCCATCGGCTGCATTCCCTCATTGCAAATTTGATGAGAGGGCTAGCCAGCAACTCTTCTAGCATGTTCGTTATTGTTATTGGGTTTTCACCATGAGGTACAGTACAAGTCGTCTCATGCAGCGGTCAACCCTTCAAGCATTGCTTGTTATAGGCGGTCATGAACAACGGGAATTTCCTCTTCTTTCGACCCCAGAGTGAGGATCTTGGGGACAATTGTGGGTGCTCCCCCAGACCCCCCAAGTGGAAGCGCAACCTAACGGGACCGGCCCCATTTCAACAGTCGGACGGGATCCTGACAGATTCGGTAAAGATGATGTGCAGCAGCCACGAGTCAACAGGAGCGTCGAGCGAAACTAGTCCGGACTAGATTTCCTACCAGCCCCCTGTCTGCCTCGGTTTCTGTGGGTCCATTAATTGCAGGGCTGGCAGGACAATCGATCTTGAGCGAGGTGTTTTTTGCACTATTTGTACAGTACATGCAACGCATACGGATACACCACCTCACTACTACATGTACTTGTACCGTACCTAAGCTCGCTAAGGTACGGAATGCGTTATATACAAGTACAATGCCCTTCGGCGAAGAAGACAGCATAATACAATTGAAGATTGGGGGCTGGGGAGAGAATTTCAATGGAGGAGGCCACGGTCCATCAAGAGGAAATAAAGGAACTTGAACCGAAAACGTCCAGTGCTGATCTACGCACTCGGCTATTTTTCGTACATACGGAGCACTGTCTTGGCCTACGAACGGACCCGGCACTCTCTGGGCACGGCGGAGGGGCGAGGGAAAGCCTACTACCTCCGGAGTACCTTACCTATGATCAAAGTTTTCGCGTCGGCACCCGACCAGATTCCAGACACCTTGCGTTAGGCACCGATCAAGGCAATACCGGTACATGTATACAAGGAGAGGGGTGCTTGGCTTTCAGTTTCTGCAGTCATGTCTCTGCGCGACAGCCGCGCGCATCGCATCATCTGAATCGTCGGGACGCGTCTTCGCATGGCGTCGGGTGAAAGTGGTCCCTACCCAGGTCAAGTGGGGAGCGGCGATCCGACAGACAGTGAGGCTCTGGGAGGGTCCCTATCGTGAACCCACAGCTGTGGGTTTGTACGACACTGCTATAAGAATTGAGTTAAGAGGGGCGTTTTCTAGAAGCCATGGAGCTCCACCAAACGACTCCATGTCGAGGAACAGCAATTTTGGATCAAACCGCTGCTCATCATCATCAACCACGATTTTACCATGACACTCAGCGGCTGAGCCACGTTCGCGATCGCGATGGTGCGAGAAGCATAAGATGAACAGTTGGAATCTTCCGACTATCACTGTCTCCCTGGCCAGTCATCGGCGGCATTCAGTTAGCCGACCGGCGAACTACCTAACCTGCCACGTCGCCTGCAACGAGTCAATGGAGCTCTTGGTGCGATAATGCTGCGCACCTGCCAAAACAACGACTAGACCCGGCACCCGTCGGCTCATATGTATACAACTTGGTGGTGTATATTGATGTATAGTGCCTCCTGTATCCGTATTACGATACAATGCTGCCGAGGGACCCCGGAAGACCTGCAGATGGATCCGGCGAGTTGTTTCCCACCTCCCGAGACTGGCTTGGCGTCGAATTCACACGAACCCATTTTCTGGCGAAAGTTTCCATCGCGCAGCGGCTCAAGTCCTGATCTTCAATCATCAGGAGAGTAATGTAAGGGCGGCCCTTCGATCTCATCAGATCTTGCGCCCCTGACACTTTTTGGCTGAATCTCTGCCAAACAAGAATTGGTGCGAACCGCCCATTTCCGGCGGTAAAGCCGGACGGACAGCTGCAGTCAAACCAACCCTTGTCGATGTGGCGCTCATGCTGCACGAACCGGTTATCATAGCTTCTGAAGACATCACATTCATAATATGCATCAAGGCCCGAAGACAGCGGCGAAATGATTCCACAACCTCTCCCGCCTCAAGCCCTAAGGTACTGTGTGTTTACGAAAGGTGGTATGTCAACGACGGCTTTGTGTCAATTACGTATTTATGGAGTGCATGAGCGGCGCGCTTCGAATCGTCAACAAGTCAAGACTGGCACATTTTCAGTTTCTGATTTGTAACTGATGGCAATTCGGCGCCATGGTTGCATCACCCAGTCCGAACTTTGGCCGAGTTCTTTGATCATGGTCGGTCGTGGTAGGTCGACGCCAAGGTGCCGTCACCGACCCCGCTCTCAAAAAACGGGCGGGCAGCATGCCGCACGATACGACCCAAGTCTGTGCTCATCTCCGGAAGAGCGGGACCATCATCCAGGGAAAGATGCGCCAGTCAAGCGAGCTTTCTCTCAACTCTTTACCCTAGCATTTATAATCCGTCTTCCTTATTCTTGAAACGGTGCCCTGCTGTGTATGTGACGACCCTGCTCATCACCACGTATGTGCAATACGTGTACAGTCTGGAGTTGGGGGTCACCGTGGCATGTCGCAGTCTCGGCAAGATTTCGCGGCAATTGAGGACCGAGATCCGACACGCGCACATCAGTGTCACTTCCGACAGCGATTTCTCGAGTGGGAAAGATATCCGTTTTCATGCCCAGATTGTCCTCGCCTTTTTTGACCCATCCGCTTCCGGAAAGGAAACGCGCTACAAAGCACTACATACACTGCCGCACCCATAGGATTGAAAGACATTATCTGACGTTAGTCCCATGCCAAGCCTCTGCTCTTCGCCATACAAACGATGGAAGCCACGACTCCTGTATGTACAGTACGTCACAATACCCAGCAGTACAATCATTTGTACAATACCGTAATGCGAACCCGGACGGTACTTCCCAGAGGGGCAAACCGCGCTAAGAGTTTCGTTGGCTACGGTGGCTGACGATCGCCGCCGGGATCCTTCTCGTTGTGGCATTTGACCGACCGAGGTCGGGCAGGCGGAGCCTGGTCGAAACCAACAATTACATCGAAGACACAATACGGCAAGAGGTAATTACGTTACTGTACTTACAAATCATCAGTCACATCAGATAACAACTCTTACTGGGGCAACTCGTCACCAAATCTTGCTGAGAGCGACGCAGGGCTCATCGGAGCTCCTGCTTAATGCTCCGTACCCCTTCTCAACGATCACAATAACTAACCACAGTCAACAATTATAACCTAATTGCCCGCCTGTGCGCACTCGAAGGCAATTCCAATGGGCTTGTCTCCCATTGCGTGATCGAGGTCGTTGTTATTGGCTGGCAAGCATTCCGATATTGCCGGTTCTGGCTAGAGATGCACGACTCGCCAAATTTGACTCGCCGGCGTCAGGATGACAGCAGCCCTAGTCATCATTTGCTTGGAGGGCAAAGAAGGACTCGTTTGTACATACACGGTAACGAACGGCTCGCCTCAACTGCCGAGGCTGACACTCTATTAGTTCTTTTCATTACACCACTTTCTTCCGATGACCAGTCTACGATTCCACCGTCCATCGAGTCAGGTCGACCCTTGATCCTGGAGTGGCCTTCGATCTTGGGTGCAGCATCAGGAAGAAATCCAAGCGCCGCGTGACTGGCGCCCTGCCACATCAGGGATGTGCTTCTTGGCTTCGCTTGGCTTTCACGAGCCAGATGAAGGGCGGTCTGCAGCTTGTAACGTGGCAGCCAGGGCGGTCGAACCTGGGCTTGTCGACCCGCCCAATGGGGTTTCACGATTGACCCATCGCTCATCAATTTCTGTTCCACGAGCGATCTGAACCAACAAAAAGAGACTTCTGATTTCAGAGACTGGGATACATAACAGTTACCGGCACGCTCCATGGAAGCTACACCGTCACTTCTCGGGCTATGCGCCCTTACCGGTACTCGTCAAGCCGGTGGCACGCTGAACTGCCAGGCACATGAATAATACATAACGTTAAACTATTCGGCACAACAGGAGAGTTTGGCGCGCGACCTTGGACAGGCTCGGGGGCTTCTCGGTATACTGGCAGCTGCCGTTCGGGCCGTTTCACCGCATCATTTTGAAAGATTTTGTAAATCCAGGCAAGGCCGAAGAGCTCGGTGTCACGCACGGAACCAGATTCGACGAATCCAGTACAACCAGTAACTAATAATCGGCTGTTCCGGACGTGGCGAGTGCTCACCGCATTCTCTTGTGTCGTTTACGGATGCCAGACTACAGGTAGAGCAAGGCCGCTTGTTTGGGATCTAAAAAGAGGCTGGGTTTGAGGACAACAATGGAACGGTCGAGAATCTCCCAACGACCCTCGCATGTCCTCGACCGGATTCCTAGCGCACTTGTCCTGACTATGTATGGGGTGGATGCACAGTCATTCAGGAACAACAATCTGGCGGACCTGCTTCATTGCCTGCAGTCCTGAGCAAGTAAGGGGTTACTTTACAACTGGAGGTAGATAATAGGTGCCAGAGGCCGAGATCCGTAATCCCACAGCCTCCCGGGCCCCTTGGTAACGCGCTGCGTGCCGAATAGCGGCCAAGGTTGAACAGGTCGACAGAGGGAAGGGAAAAGCACGATGCATACCTTTTCCTGATGGCTTGTGGCGAAAATTCCGTACCTCCCTGTATACAAGCCTGGTTTTGTTGGTAGGCAGGCACCGGGTCGGCGTTGATGGACAGTCTTGCCCCTTATTGATATGAATCTCGCGTGGATGTGGCAGGTCATGAAGAGATCGAGCACATTATATTTTCATAATCTCAAGGCCGAGTTTGACTTTAGCATAGCCATCTTAGCTTGAACTTTACCAGGTCCGACCCTTCCAACACTCAGAACCATGCCTGGCTTATCACATTAGAGAGGAGGGTTCAAGTGGTGGAAAACACGCTCTCGTAAGGGGAAGAGGACAACAAACAAGCAGCTGCTTAAGTAAATGCCATGTCGAGCACAGCTAGAGGATAGTCAGTGCTACGGCAAGTGGAAGCTTGCATGAACATGATCGGCTTCGGGGTTTGGTAGGATCATTAGGTACCAATAGACCTGGATTGTCCAGGGGAGATATGCTATTGCAGAAACTCATCAGTGACTGCCGGAATAGATAGATGGAGATCTCCCCGGGCAACCATGTACGGAGCCATGTAAATAGATACCGCTGAGAGCCCCCTTATAGCCAACAACGCCATATCAGGTTGTCGCGCAGGCCTGGCGACGGAGGTAAAAGGGGTGGTGTGGGTTGGAGGCTGCTAAAGCAGCCAAACTCGGTCGTCTCACACGATACATCCAATGTGCTCCTCTGACCGGAGTGATACAAAGATGATCTTTATGATACTCTGAGCAGACTAACCTTCCAACCCAGGTTCTAACTCTACTCACCTAGGACGAGGACGCACATCAGGATTGGAGAGAGACAAGCATGTTATAGGAAAGAACTACAGCGGGTAGAAAGTTGTGTTGTCAGTAAGTACTCGCCTAGAATATATTTGTACCGTCATCGGACGTTAACTCGTTTGATCTTTAACGATTCCAGGATTGGCATGGTATTGTACACAGCTCCTTAGACCGAACTTCTCACCTACGAGTTTACCAATCCCTAGCCACTTTATACAGACCCTCCGTTAACGAAGGCCGGCCCAGGCAAGGACAGAAGCTGAAGAGCACGCGTGTATCTCATAGGAAGGGTATCTAAATGCTAGGAGAAAGCTCTTCAACACAACCATCGATCACCCCTTTCTCCTCCCCTCATAAAACCCTGACATATCCAGCATGAGCAACAGCTGCTCGACCGGATTATCTGCTCCTCCTCCAATACCAGTTGAGCCCGCCATCTTCTTCTCCCCAAGACCCCTACAAACAGTAATGAACACCTCCACCCTCCTCCTAAACTGTTTATACATCTCCTGCTCCTGCCGCCGCTCGGCCTCGTGATCGACATCGAACCCATGCCTTGGCCTCGTCCGCAACCACTTCGCAAACCTCAGCACCTCCCCAAAAATCTCCTCCAGCAGGCCCATAACCGGTGCCTGCCGCTTGCGCAGCAGCAGAACCCCCATGATCTCATCAAGGGCCTGCTCCTGCCTGTCGCGTAGCACATCCGGGCTGCAGTACATCCCCGCCTCAGCGGCGGTGGCAGCATCGTCGCTAGCATCAACATTGCTATCGGCAGCAGCAGTGGCGGGAAGCCCACCCTCGACCTCTCGTTGGACCTGATCCAGCCAGCGCTCAAAAGGCGCCCATACGGCCTCTATTCCGCGCTCAAAAAAGTACGAGGCAACCTGTCGAATGAAATGCCTCGCCTCGATGCCAAAGCGTGTCCTACAGCAGTGACTCGTGCTGCTGGTGCCGTCCGAACTATCAGCTCCAAGATCCCGCGGGTCCATCTGGGCGAGGTCGTTGGCGACGTACAGCATCCTGAGGAGGCGCAGCAAGAGCTTAAAGACGCGGTCGTACTTGACGAGCAGGGCCGGCACCATGACAGGGCGAAGGGGTGGCGGCGGTTTGTACGAGAGCCGGAGGAAATCGAGGGCCTCGAGCGCGTCCGGGTCCGACATGCAGCGCTCGATCTCTTCTTGGGAGAGTTTCCGTATGGCGAAGCTCATATCGCCTGGGAGGCTGTTAGTGTTTGTGTCGGTGTCGCTGCTGTTGGTGTCGGGTTTGCCACCCTGTGCAGGGTGGGTTTTGAGTTGGGCTAGGAACGGCGGCGGCGGCGGCGGCTGGTAGCAGTCGGTCAAGACGCCCATCAGGGCGAGGCGGAGTTCCGAGCTAGCCGGCGGCCATGTCTTTCTGCCTCCTAGCCGGAGGCCCATCACGCCTCCTGCATCGGTACCGAGGGCAACTCCAGCTTTGCGTTCGGCGGTGGAGAGATTGGGGTCGAAAAGGGCGTGGGAGAGGCGGCTGCAGAGCAGCCCGTTACCGAGGAGGAAGTACTGCCGGAGCGCGTCAATGTGCACGCGCAGATGGTGGGAACTGAAGAGCAGCTTCATACACTCTCGGTTTATCAGTCTTGACTGGGCTTCAATGACTGGACCAAAGGAGAGCAAGGGCACCAATGTCCAGTGTGGGGAAAGGTCGTCGGCCTCTTTGGTCAGGTCTACTGTTTGGTAGAGCTGATTCTGCAGAAGCTGAGAGAACCCGTCCTGCGCCCCAAGGTTTTCCAACGGCTGATCAAGTTGCCTCATCGAAGAGATGATGTTAGCTTCCAGTTGGGCTTCGGTTTTGCCAAAACACCCAAGCTCAGGTACGCCAGGTTTTGATTCGGCCTGGCCTTGTGTCTTCTGTTGCATCGCGGCAGGATCGACCTCTATCGCACGGGACAATGCATTCCGGTATTCTATGGCTCTCGCCTCCAACTTTGATATGGCGTCCCATTCAAACTTCCATTCGAGCCTCGGCGGCTTTGTTGATGATATCAAGTCTGGTCTAGAAAGCGGATGGTCGGGGTGATACTCGCGCAGGAATCGAGCGTTTCGACCAGTCTCGAAAATTGTTTGAGCCATGTCCTCTGGAATAAAAGTAGGCATTTTGCTTTCCTCAAGGAAGTACTCGGCTTCCTGGAGCTCGAAGCCTTGATCATCCACCCATACCTTGTCTGTCACCTTGATGAAGCCTTTACCAGGCCCTTTCTTGGTTATGGGGATTCCGCCTTCGGCTCTGAGACCAATCCATTCTTCCACAAACCCAACCCAAGGCTTGGAAATAACCCGCAACATTTCCCGTGTAGCTGCCCTCAGAAGTCCGTCCCGGTACTCGGAATCCTGAGCCTCCTGAAAGAGACACGACAAGATTTCCTCGTCAGAGTTCTGCTGGGCCAGCTTCCTGACAAGACGCTTGAAATATGATAGGACCGATTGAGCTGGTTGGACTGCAGACTGTAATTGCAGGATAGACCTCACATCACGGCCTCGAATACTGAGTTCGAATCGGACAACAAGTACAAGTCGCTCTATGAAGCCTGCAAGGGCGATTCTTGTGGGTGTGGAAGCGGCCGAGTATGTTGCTTCAGCAAATGCTTGGAGATGTCTGGCAGAGTTTCCACAATCGGCACAGAGCTTGTCGATGGCCTTGACCATATCCAAGGAGAGGCCGGAGATTCTGAGGTACGGTGCCGTCTTCACGAACGAATTCTTGTTCGAGTCCCAACTAAAGAGAATTGAGCTTCTCCCCAGAGCGAGGGACAGCAGACAGGCACAATATAGAGCTGCGTCCAACACGTCTGGGAGTGCGTCACCAGTTTCGTTTCTGGATGCCAGCAGACTGTCGAAAGCAGCGGGCCCGACCTCGGAGACGAACAATGGCGAATAGGGTCCTTGCTCGGTTTGGTCAAAGGCCTCCCACGTTTGGAATTCGAAATGTGTACCGAGACCATGGTCCGGGGAGAGCCAGATGTCTTCGTCGTCTGGGGAGGGCAAAGGGCCTGGCTCGTCTTCCAGGGTCTCGGACCTAGGTTCGCAGGGCAGCTTGATTTCTTGGTGGCTTGGTTCTTTGAACAAAGGCGGCAGCTTGAAGAGGACCCCATCCTCGTCTTCAATCCCCCCTGCAGCCGGGCGAGCATCCAAAGACGGAATCAGGCTCTGAGATGCCTCTAAGTTAATCGTACCTAATCCATCGAGCGCAAACAGGGGGTTTCCTCTGTTGACCTCGTTGAGGGACTGTTTAAGCCAACTTGACGACCGCCAAAAGTCAGGGACGGCGAAGAGATCGGATGGATCCTCTCCGCCCGCCATGTTTTGGGACACCTGCAGCGAGACAGGAGGGAGTCATTGAGTGCTCTGGCTTATGCGATGCCAACCAATCTTCGAAATTGCAAAATGAGCTGAGCATGATGTACCTAAGGTAGTGAGCCTCGAGTGAGCCTGGGCCTGTGTGATACAGTGACATCTGTGTAGTGTATAGTGAGTGACCCACTGTGGCTGCCCCGCTGGACCCTTGGAAGTTGGAGCCCAGTTTCAGCAGGTGCCCCCAAGGCCTCAACGGCCCAAAACCCGGCGGGTCGGTTCCTGCCGAGAAACCACCAAGGTACCTTACCACTTATGTACCCAACTCGGCGGAATCAAAAACAATTTCAATCATCGAACGCCACTTCTTGCAGTTGTCGCAATCCTCACATAACGCCGCAGGACGGTGTTTGGCTTTCCCCTCCCACCCCTCATCCGTCATGACCCGACACCTGGCTCGGCTCGAGAACTGTTCTTAGCAACATGCCGCCCAAGAAGAAGGGTGGCCGGGCTAGCACCCAGGCTGCCTCAGCGTCAGCGACGCCAGCTCGAGATGAGGATGCCATGGAAATCGACACGCCGGCACAGACGCCAACCGCGCCTGCGCCTCCTCAACCACCAAAACCAGTCACGGACCCGTGGACGGACGACCAGCTAGCCTCGCTGTTCAAGGGGGTCATCCGGTGGAAGCCGGCGGGTAAGGAGCTTGGCAACCAACACACTCGCGGCCGCTAACTAATTGGCATCGGCAGGCATGCACAAGCATTTTCGGATGCTAGCCATCAGCGAGCATCTACGGAACCATGGCTTCGACCCCGATGCCTGGCCGCACACGCGGATGCCTGGCATCTGGGCCAAGCTGGCCGAGTACTACAACCTCGAGGCCGTCGACGAGCGGGAAAATAACATGGATCCGCCGGACGAGGAGGGCCAGTCGAGGCGCTATCTCGACTTCAACCTCCCTTGGGAGGATTACGCCGACCTGATCCAGGAGAAAGCGCGCGCCGACCCCAGCGAGGCGCCAAGCAGCCCACCGCAGTGGGACCCGGACGAACCTACGGGAGGAACCAAGAAGCGGAAACGAGGCGCCGCCGAGTCAAATACCAGGACCCGCAGTAGTACTGTCGAGGACACGGACAACGAGACACCGGCTGCAAGCCCTGCCAGAAAGACCGGCAGAGCAGGAAGAAGCACGAAGCGTACCACTAGTAGAGCGCGGAGGGCTAAAGAAGAATCATCTTCTAGTGAGGCTGATAGCTCTCAGGAAGGCGAATCAGACGAGGAGCAGGAGGGGGAGGAGGGGGAAGAAGGGGAAGATGAAGCAGAAGAAGAGACGGGCACACCGGCTTCAACGAGGGGTGGAAGGGGAAGCACAAGAGGCCGTGGTAGAGGACGGGGCAGGGGTAGAGGACGGGGTCGCGGGCGAGGCAGCTGAACCGAGCTGATGTCGTAGAGGAAAGCAAGCCTGTGTTCAATCAGCTTGATTGTATCATCAACCTCTAATGTGGGCGATTGGCCAAGGGATTTGTTTGGCCGCAACAGCGTAGTGCTCTCACGACTTGCATTGCTAGATACCCAGGTAGACAAAAGAAATGCTACTACACAAACCAAGTGACTGGTCCGCGTGTAGCCTTCCAACTAGAACCATGTACCTTCGTTGCCCTCTTTCCTTCGGCCTACTTGGCTAGGTCACCTTCTGATGAGCAAGATACGGTTATAAAAGGTAAGGTATATTTGCATTCTGTATGACCCTCAGTTACCCCACCACGACTACCCCGCGAGTCGCGCAGATGCCTGTGACGCGTGGTATACCTGATAAAGGACTGCCCGAGCTTCCCCCCCTCAAACCACTTTGTTGACAAACTTGTAAATAGAGTCAGCCCAACATGTCCCGGCCAGGCACTGCGGCCCCCAGAAACCTCACACTCACGGAAGAGCTTGAGAAACTTGAGCAATCTATTACTCTGACACTCCAAGGTCAGAGCTTGCCAGTACATAGCCCGATTGGTTGACGATGGAATCTGACGCCTTACAGAGATCGACCACAACTTTAGCAAAGCCCATCGCATTGTCACTACAAGTATTCTCCCGCTAGTCGAGCAATATGGCGAGCACTCACGCGCCGTCTGGGAAGCTACCAAAGTTTGAGCTCCCTTCCTTCTCACCGCAACTGTGCTATGGGCTGACACTGCGCCAGTTCTGGAAGCAGTTTTTCGAGGCTTCGGCGAATGTCTCACTTTCAGGCTACGAAGAACTAGCCGGCAGCGAGGATAGCACAGAAATTACTGCCGAAGAGGAAACAACAGTACACGACGAGACGGCAGACGACTACACACCCCGGCCACGTAGCGCCGGCACACACGACGTCAGCGTTGCTACCGACCAGTCGTCAGTCATCTACCATGGGCATGGCCAACAGCATGAGGAATCTGTTCTAAGCGACAGGGATGGGGACCTTACGGGTAGTACCCCGCGTCCGCCTGCGACCAAGACTTTACCTTTCCGCCCCAACTTTGCCAATCTACATTCTCCTTACGAGGCGCTAAGGCGCGAGTACAACAACAAGAACGGCGGCACTGGCAGCGCATCAGGGCCGCAACGTGGCACGGCAGCGAGCGGCGAGGACGAGGAGGATACGGAACTTCTCTTCCAGCAGCACACTTCCCGCCTGCCAGATGTGCCTCTGACGCCACGGTCATCACTTGGGCCGGGCGACCTAGCAAACGATGGGGACGGCAAAGAGGGCTTGGAGCAGGATAAGAACAAGGACCCGCTCCTGCACCGCTTGTTAGACAAGAACTACCGCATCGCGGCAACTCCCCTGAAAGGCACCACCGGGATTTCGCCCATCAAGTGGAAGATTGAGAAGGTTGCAACACCCGGAAAAGGCAAAGATAAGCAGAAAGATAGACCCATCTGGGAGGACTCGCCCACCTCAAGCCCGGAGATGGCAGTCCCCCAGCTGAGGAGCGCCGCCTTCATGTCGCCTATGCGCGCAGCGTACAAGGGCAAGGCGGCCGCGGCTGCGAGAGCGCCTAGGACGCCGGGGGTAAGCGTGCAGACGCCGGCTACGGGCCGGAAGACCAAGGATGTATTCGCCGCAGAGCGGACAGGAGGGAAGGACTACGAGGATGAGATTACATGGGAGAGTGACAGTGACGGTGGATTGGGGGAGATTAGCCCGCCCAAGACAATAAAGTTTGCGCTTCCACCGTCCAAGTTGCTGCAGACCCCAGGTATGTTCATCCCTTGCCGGTAATAAAAGCCATAGGTGTATGATACTGACATGAAACCAGCCCGCGAGGCGAGCAAGCGCATCGTCGACAACATTCTGCTCACTGCAGGTGAAAACCCAGAGGGTTCGACTGAGTACAGCCCAACCATGGTCAAGACGAACTACGATATATTGGACGACACGTTTTGATGTGTAGCGTCTATTTTCAGGAGAAACAAATTAAACGAGTCATGATACCCTCCATAGAACCGTACGACTTGCAATCTTCGGATTTTGAATCCGCTGTACCCCTTTTTTTCGTCACACATGCTGAGCTCCCCCTTTAATCCATCCATACCAAGTCCGCGAGCGCATTTATGTACCATTGCGAAAGCGAGCATCCACCGCACCGGACTCTCCTCCGCCTCTACAACCGACAGATCAACCAACCACCTATCCCTCGCCACCTGGTTATCCCGCTCCCTTCCTTTCCTCCGCGGCGCGACCCCCCTTCGTTTTGGGGCGCGCCTTCTGAAGCAAGGCCATGGCCACGGTGTTTTTGAGCCCTGCGCGCGCAACCGATTAGGTATCGCGGCACGGCTCGGCGCGGTGATGGTGGTGATGCTGGCGTTGCTGGTGTCGGCCCATGGCTGCCGTGTGCGGCTTTACCCCTGTCAGGCCCGTTCAAAGGATCCTGACTCGTAGCTCATACCCTCCTTGTTCTTCTTGTTTTCTTTCCCCTTCCGATGTCTCACGGTGGAGTTCGGTGAGACGGAGGGAGAGATGGAGAGAACAAGGGAGTGAGTTTGAGGCGTTGTGAAGCGGTTTACATGCCCATTCGGATTTGGGCGCGCATCAGGTCCTGCTGCTTCTTCTTCTCCTCGGCCGCCTTGTCCTTCTTGGTCGGGGATGACGAGGAGGAGGAGGACCCGGACGACTTCTTCTCGTCCTTGACCAGCAGGGGCTTGAGGTCTGAGGATGTCATGGTGCTCGCGATGGAGGCGGCGTCGGCGTCTCGCGTTTGCTGCTGCTGGCTGCTAGAAGCTGTTGGTGAAGAAAAGGGCGTGTTAGTTTGCTGGGGACTCTTTGGTAGGACAGGAGGTCGTACTCTGTTGGGACGACATCTTGGTTGCGGTTGCTCAGAGCTACTATTGTGGTCTTGATGATGTCTGATTCAGGGGGGCCTTGGCTGTTTGTGTGGTCGAGCGGGTGGATTGTTTGCAGAATGGAAGAAGCTGTCTCGTCGCCTTGAATCTCTGGCTATCTTGCCTATCTTGATGGGTGAGATGAGACGGTCCCTGAGGCATTCTCTGTCACTTATATACATCATCCCTTGTCTCCATGCTAAGGCTTCTCTCATGACGCCGTGTTGTGACTGATCCCAATTGGAATGCATTCGTCTTGTCACTGCCACCTACATGCCCCTTTGCGTTGCATGTTGGGGGGTCGACATGCGAACGTGTTACAGTCCATATTCGGCATGAGTCACAAACTTCCATGTCAGCGTCAGCGTCTCGAGGAAAAAATCTACAGAAGCAGGAGCTAAGTCTATCTTCGCACCAGATTTGGTGGCAGGCCCACCTCAGAGTCATAGGCGGTGCGAAACCCAACCTAGACAGGTGTAGCGTCGGATGCTACGATCTGTTCGGACCAGATCTGTGGTAGCATTTTGACAAAGCCTATGCGCATCCAGACGACGTATGTGTAAGCGTGCCTGTGCAAGCCAGCAGTCCATCTTGCGTAAGTAGGACCAACACCGAAGAAGGCCGCGCGTGTAAATGCGACAGCTCTGTTAAACCGGCTCTCGGACTTGAACTTGACTTGAACTTGCGAGCAGAACGTTTCAATCCTGCGTCGTCAGACCGTCCAATGGATATTCGCAAGGTACCTTGCTGACGACTCTTTTGCCTTTCCTTTCTTCCATTACCCCCCAACAGTGGCTTGTAGAATTTTCTCTGAACTACCTAGAGTCGGTTTAGGGCCCAGGCGCAGAAAACTTGGCTACACTAGCGAGAGTCGCAGCACATTCAACCGATGAATTATTGTGATGGCCCTGCTAGCAAGTCAACAATTTTTATCAAGTCTCAATACGGAGTACCCTACAGATAGTTTTGAACTTTTGATCCTGCATGACCAGATGCCTTCAAGGGGCTTGGCCTCGGCGGCCTGAGTCAACATTTCGTGGCTGAAGACGACAACGTTACCTTCGAGCCGGATAAAGCAAGCGAAATGACAATAACTGTAGATTCTACTTCGTATACTGGTTCCACACCAATGGGTGGCACTGTGACAATGGTTCGTCGCCAGATTTATCGGAGGCAGACTGAAGTGTGTGAGAACGGGCGTAGAGTCCTCTTCTCAAGTTCTCTTTGACCACATCATCAAGCGGTGACGGATGAAGATGTGAGAACGGTTAATAGCACCTAGTTCAACGCAGTCATTGACGAGACAAGCACAAAATGAGACGACGACGGGCATTGAGAAATATTATGATAGCTCAGTTCACCTCCCTGTCTCAACTGATAGACCCTAATGGAGCTGGACTTGTCAACGACTCAACATGAAGGTAAAGTTATGGCTCTACAGAATATCTTTCACATCCCGGCGACTGCAAATGGAATCTAATCTGCTCTTCTTGACTACATACCTGATTGTCTGAGTACTGTGCCTAACGTTATGTTAGGATCATTCCACCATTGAGATGCGGGAACGAGTTACACCTATGCTGGTGAAATAAATCTTGCGGGAAGTCTTGTCCCATCTCACCAATTCCTTCCTACTCAGGTAGCAATTGAAATTTGGTTATGACTCTATAAGTCCTGATCTTCCGGCAGATAATTCGTCAAAAAGTTCATGTGATAATGAATTACAGTAACGTATGTTACTGTGTATGTACCGTAAATACGTAATGTTGTAAAGTACCTACGATTACTCCGTAGTACTCTTGCTTACAAAACCAATCTCTCGTCGAATTCGTATTCGGCTTGCACCCTGGTTGGACGTCGCTGGGTGACCTCAACGATTCAGTGGGACCAAGCTGTAGCTCAGCGAATCAAGCCGCATCGATATGACTATCGATCATCATGTTGTGCATGGCCTACCATTCGAAGTCTTGGGTCGTTGATCCGTCCACACACTTCAGCGGGTCAAAGTGTACGAAGTAAGATACGTTATTCCTCATGTTCAGCGATTTTCTATCACGATGAGACCGTTATAAGTATCTCGCTGGGTGTGAAATTTGCCAGTACTCTCATTGAAAGTGTGAGTTTACTGTTCATGCTTGAGACGGTTAACTGTCCGTAGTTGGTCCACAGTCATAGGGTAAATGAAAGTCTTTAAGGTTGATTGTATGTATAGTACTTGTACCGACTTCATGCAAGGACGTTCAGTGGTAACATTACGTCCATACATACGCGTACATCGAATAGTGGGGGCTGAGGGGCTTGGCTTCTTTTAGATGGGCCTGAGCTCCTCAAGAAGTACTCCGTACCACAGTAATTAAAGGCAACTTACCGTCGTCTCCTGCCTACCTAAACCGGCACAATTTGGATTTTGAGTAGATCTTTGACAGCATCTACCAGATTGAAGCGGGAATCAAACGAAGTGATTGATAGGCGCTGACCAGTATCCAAATATCTACCGGCACTGAGCGGGAGACCTCAAAAATCTGTGTTCACATCTACATATGAATCTCTGCGCCGCTTGGTTCTACACCTTTCCCGATAGCCGGAAGAAGAGGGCCGACCCCCACGGCTACTGCCGAGATGGCGATGACCAATCGGGCTTCGACGTTGGCGTTGACTTAGGTACTTCGGCTTTCGAGGGATTTTAGGTTACTTCCGCTCACTGCGAAGTGCGAATCGAGCGAGAGAACATCGTGTACCTCACAGTTCTCATAGCAACGCAACAATGGCAATGATTTCGTTGGAGTTATTGGAAGTGGTATGATCACCTAAAAACTTTTTTGGTAATGAGCTTTTTCGACAGAGGGAAGCGGATTGGCTCGTACCTGAAGACCCCTGAATTGGGTGGAATGCCAAGCCTGTGCTCCGTCACAGAGCTGTCTTGTATTACATACAGTACGTTAGCTGAGGTGTAATTAACTCTTTACAGTACAACAAGCTTGGTGTAGCTTCTTATCGATAAGTTATGGACTGCAAGCTCTGATCGATCCAAATTGAAGTGGGAAAATCCAGCAGCTTTGAGTCTAAGAACTTGATCGTGAGGATGTCGACAAGGGCTGACTTCAAAATTTGATAAGAGACGGGAGCGACCTCGCGGGCTTGAGCTTCACACCATTGGAGGCGACCAGCACTCGTTTTCGTACTTCGTACCTGCTTGATTTATAACAAACGTTACCGTTACTAGTGTAGGAAGCGGAACTTGCTTTCGAGTGGACAATTAAACGGGACCCCACCAGCCGTTCACATCGCTAAAGTTTTCCCCTCGGATGAACCCTTGTTTTGACCCTTGTCAATGGGCGACACAGAGAACTTGGTAGCCCCGAGAGGCACTGATTCTTGTGAAGCCGCACCACGGGTTCAATTCTTCCCGGAGCATCCCACACCTCACCGCCCTGCGCTCGCTTCCCAAGCCCACGGTGACGGTTTGACTCCAGCCCAGCAACTGCCCACCCGGGTCCGTCAACTTTTCCAGAGTCCAAACCCTCGGATCGGGGCCACCCACCGCAACGGACACACGCGATGGTTGCCAACACCACAAGCTTCACCTCGCCCTTGGCGAGCGTGCAGTATGGCGCTGTCAATCTGCCGCGCCCGCTTGAGCCCATCGTCGAGTATGTCTCCGGCGCAAGCAGTTGGACCATACTTGCGACTATTCTCGCCACCCTAGTCGTATATGATCAATGTGTGTAGGCCCAGCTTGCCCAAATGCGAGCTTCTCATGCTAACCAAAACCTTCCGCAGTCATGTATATCTGGAACAAGGGATCGATCGAAGGCCCCGCCATGAAGCTGCCTTTCATGGGGCCATTCCTCCAATCCGTTAACCCAAAGTTTGAGGAATACTATGCGAAATGGGCGAGCGGGCCCCTCAGCTGCGTTTCCGTCTTCCACAAGTAGGTGGAGCTTGTCGCCAGCAACAATAGCTCTTGCGCTCTCCACGCCGTCGGATGCTGACATGCTTGCGCCCCCAGGTTCGTCGTCATCGCTTCGACCCGTGATATGGCTCGCAAAGTATTCAACTCTCCCGCCTTTGTCAAGCCCTGTGTTGTCGATGTCGCGCACAAGCTGCTTGGCGACGACAATTGGGTGTTCCTGGACGGCAAGGCTCATGTCGAGTTTCGCAAGGGCCTGAACGGTCTCTTCACACGTCGTGCCCTCGAGATCTATCTTCCCGGACAAGAGGAAGTGTACAATCGTTACTTCAAGGAGTTTCTGGAGATCACCAAGCGGGCTGGCGGAAAGCCCGTTCCCTTCATGACGCACTTCCGGGAGACCATCACCGCTGTGTCGTGCCGCACGTTCGTCGGCCACTACATCACGGATGAGGCCGTTAAGAAGATTGCCGACGACTACTACCTCATCACTGCCGCTCTTGAGCTGGTCAACTTCCCCATCATCATCCCGTTCACCAAGACCTGGTATGGCAAGAAGGCGGCGGACATGGTGCTGGCCGAGTTTGCAAAGTGCGCGGCCAAGAGCAAAGCGCGCATGGCTGCTGGCGGCGAGCCCAATTGCATTATGGATGCCTGGATCCTCGAGATGATTCGGTCCAAGAGGTGGCGCGAGGCTGAGGAGAAGGCCTTATCGACCGAAGGACTGGTGAAGCCGACGCACATGCTCAGGGACTTTACCGATTATGAGATTTCGCAAACCGTTTTCACCTTCCTGTTCGCTTCGCAAGACGCGACGAGCAGCGCTGCCACGTGGCTGTTCCAGATTATGGCCCAGCGCCCCGATGTTCTGGACCGCGTGCGGGAAGAGAATTTGAAGGTTCGCAATGGTGACATCAATGCCCCCGTGAACATGGACCAGCTTGAATCCATGACCTATACTCGCGCTGTCGTCCGGGAGCTGTTGCGGTATCGCCCGCCCGTCCTTATGGTCCCCTACGTTGCGAAGAAGCCGTTCCCGATCACTGAAACATACACTGCTCCAAAGGGTAGGAGGAGAACCCAGTGAACTCGAATGTTGCGGCGAATAAAGCTGACGTGATGGACAGGCTCCATGGTAATTCCGACGACGTATATGGCACTGCGAGACCCCGAAGTGTACGAGAACCCTGACGAGTTCGATCCCGAGCGGTACTACACCGGTGACGCCGAGGTGAAGGGTGCGAAGAATTATCTTGTGTTTGGAACCGGTTCCCACTACTGCCTGGGGCAGCACTATGCGCAGCTCAACCTCGTCCTCTTTATTGGGAAGGCGTCACTGCTCTTGGACTGGAAACATCACCCGACCCCCAAGTCCGAGGAGATCAAGGTGTTTGCCACCATCTTCCCTATGGTAAGTTTGCTGGAGACAAACCTGAGCGACGACGTGGTGCTGACTGAAATAGGACGACTGCCCGTTGACGTTTGAGAAGAGGAAGTGGTAGAGAGTACCGTGCGTGGGCCGACGTTGGACCTTTGATGAGGCGCCACTAGGACGGTGGGTTTAATATGATTATACATCGAGGAAGCATGGAGGTTTTGCTTGGGATAGATGAGCGTAGCGCTCCGTTCGTTCGTGAACGATGAAAATGTGGCGACACAGTGATGACGTCTCGAGCCGGCGCCCGTTGAACCTGGAATGGCTCATGGCGACTCAGGGTATGCGACTCGGGGTTTGGCTACCGATCAGGCTGGCCACTCTATACAATTGTAATCTTTAGTATGTACATAGGCTTTTGAATTGGAGTTGCTCAGTCAACGAAATGACGAACGGGGAGGGTGAATGACAGACGATGGCGGGAGCTGGTGAACGGGGTGTGAGGGTTCTAAAAGAGTCCTTGACATAAGACCACATTGTTGCTGCCTTACAAGGTAGCTGTTGGTGATCCGAGTCAATTTGCTGCTACGCCTCGTGCTACCGCATCATATTAGAGCTGAAAATCTTAGTCGGTCAGTTATAAGGCCGCCCAGCAGGGCAATTCCGAAATTGTTTCAGTTTCCAATGCGAGGCGTCAGCGACTGGTATGCCATTTATTGGACGACAGGATACCGCTGCGCTACCGTAGGTGCTGCTTCGCGATCACATGCCGCTTGACAGTTCAGCAAGGATCAGGTACCATGTCGTGATGCATGACCTAACTGTGACTGGGAGATGTATCTCGCCATCGATAGGATAGGTATTAGATGGGGTTTCGTAGTGTTTTTGCTTGAAGTGAGTTCGTATAAGTAGTAATTCCGAACAATGTAGGCCTAAAAATGATGATCACAAAGGTGTAGGTGATCCTATGACGCGGGTGGATCGAGTTCTCAATTGCACGGCTCACGCGGCTCCTGATTGAGCAAGAGATGGATATCGCATTTCCCTAGCTTTCGGCGACTTCTCTTCCTTTGACTTGATCCTATACTACTGGATCCCACCTACGAACAGCGACGTATTGTATTGTACAACACCATTACTGAGCACGATCGGCCATGGCGTCACGACGGACAGTTCTAAGACTTGCGCAGACATCTGCTTTTCCGGCAAGACCTCCGACTCCCCGATATGTCCGGGTTGCGACACCGTCCACTCTGACCCGACGATATCAAACCGACAGCCAACACCGTCAGCCATTTAACTCTTCGGGCGGCGCCCGACGGTCCTTTGTGCCGATTTCTGGCCGGCTGCCGTCTCCAGGCAGCAGCAGCTCCTCCGGCGCATCGGTACGGAGGTATTCTTCAGAACGAGCCAAGCAAGAACCCGCGGAGAACAAGATCTGGGACTTTGAGGCGGTAATGCTTTGCCTCCTTCCTCCATTGCGAAGCCAAACCATATGTCTAACCATCCACTCTTCTGCTGGCCTACAGCTCCAGAAACTGATAACCAGCCCGGAGCGCCCCTCCATCACTATTATCGGTACGGCATTCTATTCCAACCTTACCCCCCATAGTACTCTAATGAAGACCCGACACTCACACCCGCGTAATGCAAAGACGTGCGCGAACCCTCTGAGCTCCAAGAAACAGGGCGTATCCCAGGCGCCATCAACATTCCGATCAAGTCTGCGCCCGACAGCTTCCACATTTCAGACGAGGAGTTCGAGGACCGGTTCGGGCACTCACGCCCGGCGCGCGACGCAGAGGTTGTCTTTTACTGCAAGGCCGGAGTACGCAGCCGGGGCGCGGCCGGGTTAGCCAGGGAGGCCGGGTGGACCAATGTCGGTGAATACCCCGGCAGTTGGCTTGACTGGTTTGAGAAGGGAGGGAAGGTGGAGAGGAATGGCGAAAGGTAAGGGAATCTACTTGAGTAAGCTTGGTTCAAAACAAGCCAACAAAGGGTATCTTAAGGCGCCAGTGGGGTGACAATCTATGTCATGATGCTGCTAAGAGTACTCGAATGAACAAACCGCCCGGCCCGACCCTCAAACGCCTGATGTCTTGCAATGCAGATGTACTTGTACATAGAGATCCGGCCTATCCCCTAGCACGCCGTAACCATGCCCTCCTTTCCTTCAAAACAACCGCCCGGGCTCTGGTGTCGTCTTGTCCGGCCCATCATCCTTGAGTGCCGGGCTGCCGTGGGCAAAGAACAGCACTTTGATAGCAATTGCCAGCCCAAAATGGAGCGCCACCACCAAAATCAACAACACCTTGCTGGTCTGGCGGTCTGTCGCACTCAAGACGGGGTACAGGTTCCTCAGAAGGAAGGCAACGGACACTCCAAACCCCACGCCGACAAACACCCAGTTGAGAATGGTGATCGGTGACCAGCTGATGAGCGCGACCGGGATCCAGATGAGGTTCCCGTAGCCGTACAGCGCCCAGCACTCGAGCAAGTTGGCGCTCTCTGACCCAAAGTATCGCAGAGCGAGGTAGAGCACGACCGGCACGATGAAGGTATAGCCGTATATCAAGCCGGCAGCACCTGGAGGCGCAAATATATTAGTATCCTGCCTAATAATCTCACTGCAATCTTCAGCAAGGGGAGGAGGAGTAACCCACCGCTCAGCAAGCGGAAATCATACGCAAACGCCGCCTTGCCCGTCGTAGCCAGGTAATCGCTGATGGTGCCGCCGAGGAAGAGGATCAAGACGACGGTGGTGGCGATCCAGAAGGGGCCGTAGAGGTCCGGGTTGCCCTCGAGCACGTCGAGGAAGTTTGCCCGCGGGTACAGCGCCGCCCAGCAGCGCTGCAGCACCGACGACGTGTCGACGTCAAAGAACTGCGCGTAAAACGAGAGCGTCCAAAGGAAACGCTTCCCCCCACCGGCCCCGTTGTTGCCGCCTGGCCCGGAGGCTGTTGCCGGGAGCGGGAGGAGTCCGGCTGAGGACGAGGATGTGCCGGTGGATTTGCTACGCCCCAGCGCGGGCGTGGTTTCGGAAAAGTTCGAGTTGTGGAATTCGAGGTCTTCTTGGAGATCTGTGTGCCCTAGATCTCCCTGTCTTGTGTGGTTAGGCGGGGGAAGCAAAGCGCAGAAGAGGGACCGGGGGAACTGACTTCGTCGTCGACGTCTACGACGGCATCGTAGCCTGATCTGGACATCTTGTCCGGGTCGGTCGTCGTGCGAGCCCTCAATAGGGAGCTGTGGGGCTACTGGCCAATTTCGCGTATTCTGGCTTTGATTTTGCTGTCGCCAAACTTAGGCTGCGCAGCTTGACGATACGTTGTGGAAGCTTGAAGCTACCTGAGGGCTGACGACAACGGCTAGTTGGACAGCACTGTCACTAAATGCACACCCTCTTGGCTGGGCTTTAAGCTACACACCCCTCAGCTTGTTCACTGTCACGTGACCACCATTGCCTGCAACACTTGGATTCCTGACAGATCTCATATCAATGGATGGAGAAATGGACATGTTCTGGACAATCATCACGCATGGATTCATGATTTAGATGGTCAGGAGTCTTAAGCTATGGTCATCCGGAATGTACAGCCAGAATGGTTGCCGCAAGACCCCATGCCATCCCCCGCAGAACGATAGCAATGCTGAGAAAACCGAAAGACGCCAGACGACCGTGACCGAAGAAAGTGACCGTTTATTTGAGCTTCTTCTTGGGGCGGAGCTGGTTGCTGTGTCCGCACTTGCGCTTTCTGCAGTTGGTGGCACGCGGCGGGAGACGAGCCTGCGTCGGATCGTGTTAGAAACTGGTCCCTCCGGACGAAGCATATATGTATGCTTACGTAGCACTTGCGGCAAATCATCTTGTCGCAGTTGAACTTGGAGGCGAGCGCCTTGAGCGACGGCTCAATGATACCACCACGGAGGCGGAGGACGAGGTGGAGTGTCGACTCCTGCATATCCAAACAGTTAGCTCAATCGGCAAGAACTGAGTATTCCCTGCTGCAAGCGCAAATTCTTTCCCCGCGAGCCACGGCCATTTCCCTCCTCTTGAACGATTCTCGTCACCCAAATCCCCTTTTCTCCGCGGTTCCTGAACTGCAGATTCGTCCCACTTCGCTCACTGACCTTCTGAATGTTGTAGTCGGAAAGAGTGCGGCCATCCTCGAGCTGCTTGCCGGCAAAGATCAGGCGCTGCTGGTCGGGAGGAATGCCCTCCTTGTCCTGGATCTTCGACTTGACATTGTCGATGGTATCCGAGGACTCGACCTCGAGGGTAATGGTCTTACCCGTGAGGGTCTTCACGAAAATCTGCACTGTTTGATTGAGCCCGTCGTCAATATACCGTCCATTCCATCGTGCGGCAGCGTTTGGGACTGCGAAGGCTTACTCTTGACTGATTCGTGGTCGCGCTGGCGAGAATGACGGAAAGTTCACAGACAGCCGTAAATTTTGGTGGGGGTTAGAATCTGCAAGCCAGCTTGGGGCCTAGGGCTCGTGGCCGGAGATCCGAGGCAGCAATAAAGTGGGCCCTACAGTGCAACTTCATCTCATTACGCACGATCCTGGCCACGGTCAAGGACTAAAACGGGGGGTCAACTTGAATGTTGGTTACATGCCAGGACACTTCCAGAGTCCGTCATGTACATTTACTAGCTGCCATAAAGAAGTGTTGTTCAATAGCGTATGGGGTATCTCGTGAGCAATAGCCGGTTTTGCAAGCCAGACTCCTACACATCCTCGACATCGTCCATCTTCCATCTTCCTTGCATCTCATTCACCCATCACATCGTTGCCAGGGAATTCATCCCGGAGACGACGCTTCTCTCTCCGCTGCCACTCATAAAGGAGCTGCTCAAGGCCGTAGACAGCTCGGAGGAGCCGCTGTAACGATAGCCCGGCGACCTCTGCAGTAACTTCATAGAATCGTCTGGCAGGTCCCTCAAGCTCTTCAGGGTACCGGTTTAATGGATAGTCGAAGCCTAGCCGCTTGACATCCTCATCAGGGTCCGGCCGTGGACTAACCCTGATCATGGAACTCTGGACCTTCCATATCCGTGCCTCGACCTCCTCTTGCGACAAGTCCTGGACTTGTGGGAGTGGCGGTATATCGTGCAGGGGGAAAAGGCGGTCGACCTCGGTTTCGTCTGCGATGGTTAGCTTGCAGCTCGTGTAGGTTTTCTCTGGGAGTGGAAAGTATAACCTGGTCGGTTCTTTTCAACCTGAGTTTCCTGGAACCAGTTCAAGAACTCGTTCACCTCCTCCTTGCTCATAGACCAGATTTCCTCCGAGTTTAAACGCTCATACTCCAGTCGTCCCGGCTTTTTCTCCGGTTGCCTTGCAAATTCAGACACCCAGACAGCCCAGTCCATCTTTAGACACAGAGGGTCATCTTCATCGCGAGGAAACCGCTGAATCCCATCCAGTGGATACAAATGCTTCGTTGCGACCACGAGCGAAGCCACTAAAAGCACCTCTGGCAAGTCAAGGAGCATGTACCGCGTGGGCGGGGGGTCCCTCGTCGGAAAGGATAAGCTCATTTTCAGGAGACGGCATAGCTTTTGGGCGAATTGATGGACCTCGGCTGGGTGTGGTTTCGAGTTAGTAACAGATAGCTCTGGCTGCTCAAGCGGAGAAAATTGGACCTACGTGGAAGGGCAAGATCCCGGATGTAAAGGAACAACAACGTGGGTGCTGGTACCGCTGGGAATATTAACCTGTGGTTCTCTTTATACCCCAGCATTAAATCCGCCACTGCTCTATGCAGTTCACCTCCGTGGAACCGGGCATATCTGGTGAGAAGAGCATGTTGCGCCCAACCCGGCAGCCTGTCCCGCCACTCCTTGGGCACGTAGTCTATCTGTCACGCCATTAGCAGTGGCACAGACAAAGTCAGCGTGACCGGCCGTCGTGAACTCACCGCCCCAAGAAAGGGTATCTGGTTATTTCGCGCCCACCGGAACAAATCCCCGATTCTCACCGGCTCCTGCCTCAAGAGACACCCCAAGTACACCAGCGCCAGCGTATCTATGGCCCCTGGCAGCGGCCATATCTCGCCCGCCCAGCTCCTACTCCTCTTCGTTCCGCCGCCAGAAACACCACTCTCGTTCCCCGAAGCCAGAAACTCCTCCGCGGCCGCAGACTGCGAACTGAACATGGCCAACCCTGCGGCGGCATCCGAATCCGATCCGGCAACACTCGCACCACCACTGCCACCACTGGACTGGCTCGCCTTTCCTCCACCATCAACACCATCGTCGGTCCCCTTACCCTTACCTTTACCCTTGCCTTTGTCCTTGGCATTCTTACCCAGCCCGGGAAAGAGTCTCACCCTCAGATACCACAGGTCGCGACAGACCGACTCCAGCTCCGGGTGCAGGCCCTTTTGGCGGACCAGCCACGCGACCTGCTTGCGCAGCAGCAGCTGCAGGCACTCGAGGTACAGCTCGCGGGCCTCGTTGCCCGTGAGGTGCTTGCGCTCCGCCTGGCGGGCCTCCTTCTTCTTGCGGGCCACGCGGCCCGACTTGCCAAAGTTATCGTCCTCGTCGACGTCGAATTGGACGTAGCCCTGATGGTGGTTAGTACAGAAGAATCGGATTCAGCAGGCTTGTTTGTTTGCTGCCGTTGGCGCGGGCGTGGCGTCTCCTCACCTCGACTTGATGTCCGTTCTCACAATACCGCCGTCCGTTCTCAAGATACCATTTCCTTGCCGGACACTCAGAGCATGTTTCCCCGCGCGGGAATCGATGATGTCGGCGCGGGGCCATGGCTGTTGTTTCCTCGTCGGTTCATTTGAAAGGAGAAAAATTTAGAACGCATGAGCTTTATGCATCGTTTATTCGTAGTTTTTTTTTAAAAAAAGCCATAACGACATTCCGAGCGGACCGCATCTCCTTTCTTATTCCCCTTGACTTTATTCTCCCTCACCCAGATTTCAGTCACAATATAAATCTATGTTTGCTTGTTGGCAGGTTTCTTCCAAGCCCATCATTTCTCGTCTTCCTAAGACTTTTATTTTATTTTATTTTATTGACTTCCTCTGAACCAAACAATGAGCTTGATTGCATGGTTGAGAATTATGTCGCTCTTCACTGTGGTTTCATTTTCATATCACATAGCCTGACACGCAAAGATGAGTTGGTCATGGTTATTGAGCGCCATCGCATGGAATCTTGCATCTACCGAACAGCCCCTCGCAGCTCACAAGGCTACTTTTTTAAAATCCACGGAAACAGCCAATGGAACCGGTATTCTTAGGACAGGCAACGAAATCTCCATGCGAGTAGTTTGAGACTGTGCGTCCTATACCCAGCAGAAAGTGTCCAGACTCATTGGGCTGCAACCATGGACACCTGAACACCCGGAACAGGCCAAGAAATACCGAATGATATATCTCAGCTGGCCAAAAGCAACCTGGCGATAACAGATGCAATAACTGCTATCGCCAAGCAGTAACCAGATCCCTTCCCCTCCTTCTTCACACCTAGCGTGCCTCGGGTGTGCCGCCGTTTATTTGTTACCCTCCTTGGCGTCAATGGCAGCCTCCTCACCCATGGCAGTCTGGACGGTGACGACTAGTGCCTGAATTAGCTGCATTGTTCAAAACAAGGGCTAGCTGGAACTTACGAGTCTCCTTCTCCTCCTCCTTGAAGAGCTTCTTGATCTTCTCACCAACTTCACCGTCGGGCAGTCTAACATCATCCTTGGTGTCGCCGTCGGAAGTCATCAGGCTCAGGTAGCCATCATCGGAGATATCAATCTGAAGATCCAGATTAGCATCCCAGATAGACCATGTGCGTACCCTGAAGCTATTCTTACCAGAGTGTACTCCTGGCGCTTGACGACGGGAACATCCATGTTGTGGGTGGAAGGGCAGAGATCTTCCAGCTTCTTGCCCGTGAAGATGTCGAGGGCGACGAGATGGACCTTGGCGTGACCGTGCTTGCCGGTCTTGGAGGTGGACATGTCGACGATCTTGCAAGGGCGGTTCTTGATCACGACAAAGCCGTTCTTCCGCAGAGCAGAGCACTGCATGGGATAGGTGGCGGACGCACCGGCATCGCCGGCGGCCTCGGTCGTGAATTCATGTTGCTGTAGCCATCAGAGTCAGTATATACATGAAAAGCAAGATAGTATGTTGAAAGCGCTGATTGAGGATTGGGAAATTCGTCAAGTGGAGGCAGCAAATGGCGACAACGGGATGTGCGCCATTCTGGCATTCCCGTGGGCATCGCGGGGTTCAGAGACAGGCAATGCGGGGCGGTTTTTGTCGCCCAAGAGAGCACAAGACACGAGCGCGAACTGTAACTCACCTCCTCAGCCATCTTTGGAAAATTGAAAAGATACTAGGGTTCCCAGAAGAAGACGAGCGGAGATGCCCAAAGAAGATGTCGAACGGGTCCGAAAGAGGGGGGAATGGAAGGCGCAAGTTAATGACCGGAGAGGGGATTGGGAGGCGGGAGGAAATTTGTGGTTTTGAAGCACCCCCAGCCGAAGCGAAAAAAAGGCAGTGTTGGGTTCCCCGCCAAGTAGCCCCTCCCTGGTAGCACTGGGGGTTTGTCTGCGACTGCCTTTGGACCACTAATATTTTGTGAATTTCTTGGTGGGCTCGAGCTGTGGTAACTTTAGCGCAGCTTCAGGTTAACCCGAAAGATTCGCCTCTCCTCCTGGCCACAATGAAGGTTTTGCCTGGCGTAATTTGGAACCCTCACTCTTTGTGTTATAAGATCAATCATTCTAGCCCTAAACGAACCTGAATGAGTACGGAGGGGTATATACATTGTGTTCTTTGCGCCGGCACATGCTCTGGTATCCATACTCCGTATGGATGTAGTGTCAAGGTCCAAAGAATGAACCAAGTTGTCTTGACTACATGTTCGTCTCCTCTACCTCAGCGCGCAACTATAATAAGGGATGAGAGTGCCATACAAAGAACTTCCCATCCCATTGAGCCTAACTTGAAGGTATGTATGTAGATACTCTTGCGGTTGAAGGGGATAGGTAATACTTCTTAGGTATGGATACATGTAAAGGACTGGCTCGTGCGACCATACCGCCTGGCCTGCAATCCTGGTGGGCCACGCTAAGCTTGGTTCGACAATGACCCACGCAAACTCCCGCGGCCCCACCAGAGCAAAGGGTTGAAGCTGTGGCTTCGAGGCAGCCAATCACCAACCAGGTCTAAGCTCTCCGTAACACTGGCGGGCGTTAAGACAACGGCGGGTGCCTAGAACGGCACTCCGGGAGCGGAACAACAACACGAGCTTGCAAGATTCGAAGCTGGGCGTTGGTCACGGCGACCGAGGGAAGAACTTGATACACCATGTGGCTTGACCGGTTTGGTGGGCAGCATCCCGGAAACACTCCCGGTCCCTCTCCGCCGAGCCAGAGTCGTACGCAATCGCCGCTACCTCGCCGGACATCGAGCGCACGCGGCCCTTATGTCACGTCGCAGAGGCCAGGGATCTCCCCAAGGGGGTCTTCTCTGTCTCTCGTGTCTAACGACTCATCGTCCTCGCTGCTCGCCTCATCGAAGCGGGCCAATGGTTCGGCCCTGAAACAGTCCACCACTGTTGGCGATGCTCCGGACCCCGAAGAGGTTCTCGCTCGAATTCTCGGGCCCTTGCCGGATCCAGCCACGCCAGGAAACAGCCAGCCAGGAAGGATGACGGAGGATGACTTGGAGGGTGAATTTGATTTTGGAGGTCTTTCTCTGCGGGAGCTCGCCAGCGAAGATGCCGACCAGGCCGTGGTAGACCGCTGCAAACCACAGACGGTAGAGGACTGTAGGTTGTCCCGAGCCCATGTGGCCGTTACATCGTGTACTCATAGTTTCCAAATAGTCAATCGAGACAAAGCCAAGTTCGAGGAGCTTCACCGATCAATTTGTGCTTGCGAAGACATCCTAAGCTCGGTTGAGTCTAACCTCACCAGCTTTCGCAATGATCTAGCTGCCGTATCTGCCGATATAGAAAGTCTTCAAGCCAGGTCTACTTCCCTGAACGTTAGGTTAGAAAACCGAAAAGCCGTCGAGAAGCGCTTAGGCCCTCTCGTGGAGGAGCTCTGTGTGTCGCCCGTCGTAGTCTCCAAGATATCTGAGGGGCACATTGACGAAGCATGGGTCAAGATACTGGCCGAGGTGGACAAGAGAGCCACGGCGTACAAAAAGAACTCGCAGCAGATGCCGAGCAAGGCGTTAGCAGATGTTGGGCCATTGTTAGAAAAGCTGGTGCACAAGGTATGGTCTCTTCTCTCAGAGTCTCCCTCATGTCCTTCAACTAACCAAGCCAGGCTCTTGAACGCATCCGGGATTTCCTTGTGGCCCAGATCAAGGCGCTGAGGTCGCCCAATATCAACGCACAGATAATCCAACAGCAGAACTTCCTTCGGTTCAAGGACCTTTTCTCCTTTCTCAATCGGCACCAGCCGGTGCTCGCAGGCGAGATCTGCCAAGCCTATCTAAACACAATGCGCTGGTACTACTTGAACCAATTCACCCGCTATGAGAAGGCGCTAGAGAAACTCAAGCTCCATGCCATCGATAAGAACGATGTGCTTGGCCACGAGGATACGTCGAGGAAGGCCACAGTCCTTTCGGGATCGAAGGTCGCGGGAGCACCACACGACGCCTTCAACCTGGGAAGGAGAATAGACGTCCTCAAAACCAACAATCAGCTGGCAATATCGTCATATTTGGCTGAAGAAGATCAGTCAATCCACTACCTTGAAGTACCCTTCCGCAACTTTAACCTTGCTCTTGTCGACAATGCCACGGCAGAGTACACCTTCCTCGCCGCCTTCTTCAGCCCGGCGCTCTCCTTCGCCACCATCTCCCGACACTTCAACTACATATTTGAGCCCACCTTTGCCGTTGGGCAGACGCTCACAAAGCAGCTCGTCGCCGACACGTACGACGGGCTGGGCCTGCTGCTGTGCGTGCGCCTCAACCAGCAGCTGGCCTTTGAGCTGCAGCGCCGCCGTGTCCCCGCCGCAGACGGCTACATCAACGGCACCGCCATGACGCTGTGGCCACGTCTGCAAAGCATCATGGATGCGCACTGCGAATCTATCCGGGCACTGACCGCGGCGCTGCCCGCGCGTGCCGCCTCAGCGGCCTCGGCCAAGGCTGCGTCTGCGGCTCCCCATGTTGTGACACAGCGCTTCGGTCAGTTTCTTCATGGTATTCTCGCTTTAAGCCCCGAAGCCGGCGGCGACGACGAGCCCGTCGTGGTAAGTCTCGGCCGGCTGCGCAACGAGGTTGAGATGTTCTTGAACAAGGCCAGCCAGGCATCTTTTGGCGCCGACAAGAGGAAGCGAGATCGATTCTTGTACAATAACTACAGCCTGATCCTGACCATCATTAGCGATGTTCGGGGGAAGCTTGCGGAGGAGCAACAAGAGCATTTTGAGGCGTTGAAGGCTGGTCATCAGGAGGATGGGTAATCGCCCTGGGAAAGGAGGGCGGAAACTTGACGTTCAGTTGGTCGCCATGCTGTTTCCACTAAATGAAAGGGTTCGAAGCGTGAAAAATGCAGCATACATTTCTCTATCATCGTGACGTTGGAGCTCTTCAGAAGGTATACAAAATGAAAAACGCAGAGAGTCTACACGCCATGTACGCCAACCGACGATTTCCCCCTGGTGCCGTCATCGATATCAACGCCGAGCCCCTGACATATTCTCTTTGTTTAACCTCCTTAGCCAAAAGCACCTCTCTCAAATCGACAAACTGCGTACCGTTTTCCGCGTTACCATGATAGCAAACAATTTCACACGGGAGCAACAGGGAAAGCAGGCCAGTCCTACCACCACCTCCTCCCCACCAAGGCAGACACATAGCCCAACCCTGAGACCAGCGGACCCGGTAACGAGCCGGACCCTGTCCCCGCTTTCCGCAGCAAAATGGCCAGCACACCAACCAAGACGGCGATGCCAATCGTCCCCGCGGGCCGACGATGCCGCCACAACCACTTCTTCGCCTGGGCTTTCTGCTCGGCCCACCTCAGCTCGCGGGCCTGCCTCTCAAAAAACTCCCTCCCCTTGGCTCGGGCATCCTCCCCATACCCCCCAGCCCGGCCGCCGTCCCTGCCGGTCTTCAAAACACTCCACCTCGAGATCCTCCTCCAGGACGGCAGCTTCTCGGGCGGGAACCTGCGCTCCAGCTCGCCAGCCTGGGCAATCAGGCCCTCGAGGTCGAGGGGCACGGGCAGCTTGGAGAGGATGCTGTGCAGCATCTCGGGCTCGTCGGGCGGGGTCTCGAAGAGCTCGGCGCGGCGGCTGCGGACCATGGCCGCGAAGAGGTAGACTGTAAACACCGGGTCGCGGGCCAGCAGCACGTCAAAGAGGCGCGCAATGTCGCCCAGCGTGGTGATGTCGTGCGCGTACATGGTCAGCGTGCCCGACAGCGCGAAAAAGGGTTCTGTGTGCGACAGGTGCCGCCACAGCGGCGGGTCTGCCGCCCGAAGGATGTCTGGGATTAGGTGGAGCTGCGCCACGGCGGGTGCGAGAGAGGGTAGCATGAAATCGCGGATGCGGAGCAGCGAGAGGTGGGTTAGTGCTAGCGGCCGTAGTGACGGGGGGAGTACGAGCTGTAGCACTTGGGCTATGTCGTGGTAGCCTTGGAAGTAGCATAGGTAGGGGTTCTGACGGAGGACTTGGAGGATGAGGGCTGAGAGGTGGGATTTTTGGAGAGAGAGTTGGGATTCGGTCTGGTCTGGGTTTGTTTGGATTTGTTGGATTAGTTCTGGGGCTATATTGGAGGGGAGGAGGGATATGATAGCGTACCATTGGGGTAGTAGATGAAGGAGCGGTTGACGTCTAGTTGGACCTGATCCTCGTCTTTGTGGTGTGGCAGTGTCCTCCATGTGGCGGACGAACAAGACTGGTCATGGTCGGACTCGGTCTTGCCATCGACGGGTGAAATTCCTAGCAACACCGGCCCTGTATTATAGAGAGTGAGCTTCTGCCCCAAGATATCGATAGGTATCGTATCTGGCTTACACGCTTGCTGGCGGATTCTGTCAGTCAAAAAGCCGCCCGGCGACTCTGCAAGCGCTCTCAAGGCAGCGAGGTCCCTCCGCTTGCATGCTTCGAGGATAGCTTCCTTCTTTTGCTCAACTGTGTCTGTGTGATTTCTAGTCTTCTCACTGGGACATGGCTCGGTTGAGTCCTCCATGCTCAATCGACAACGAATGTCTGGTGCCGTGGGGATCAGCGTTCTTATCCCTCGGGGCACTCGGGTCTCTCTGGTCTCTCTCTCCCCTTTCTTGCTTTCTTGTAAAATATAAAAGAGCTTTGAGAATGTCTGATTCCAATAGGCATCTCACAGCTTGTACATACAGTACTGTTAGCTGCGCTAGTGTTGGTATTGATAGGCTGTAAGTTATTCAAACGCCGAACTTGGCCCTGTCTCTCTCTGCCGCGTGTCTTGATTCAAAGTGCCGCATCCGGATGTGAGCAGAGGGATTAGGTACTCAGAGACGTGCAGGAATTTTGCCGCTTTCTGTGAAGCTCTTGATGAAGACTGCGGACCTTCTTCAATTGATGATGATCTGGACGGACACGTGTGGTACGCGTCTCAAAATGGCAAGCCATTCCCTGCCCTGTACTCCGTACTGCATGAAATTGTGCTGCACGAATCTTACAATGTGATGGAAGAATCGTACGTTATATGTAATTTACCATATACCGTACGGTGCATCGCACAGTTACACACTGAATCGTGAATACATTCTGGTAAGACTCGGTTTGAGCAGTAATGTAATTAACGAGGCTTAACAGCCCAGCACTGGGCAGCGGCATTCCACCTCCTACAGTGTTCAGGCTTCCATCACCATACAACCTTAACCAGTGACATTATTCCCGCTTGCAGTTCTCGAGTCAATCAAGTCCATAGGCGGACGGGGTGAGGCTCAACCTTTTTGTATGGCTCATAAGTGGGCAGAGAAAATGATCAATATCCTATTAACTAACATGTCGAAATTCGATTGAGGACTCTGTGGGCAGAGCAGCCACAGGCGTTTTGCGCGACCTTGGAATCGCCGATGCACGACCATCCCCAACGAAGCTTCAAGTCGTGATACCCAAGGTATCTATCTAATCACCCAAGGCTGTACCTGTATTGTGGTGTTTCAATTGGCTGCTTGAAGCACATGTGCCTTCGCTGTCTGAATCACAAATCACAAATGCCTGCCCTGCTGCCATGCACTGCGATTCTGCGATTCTGCAGTGCTAGTTTTGAACGGTAAACTACTAAACCGCTTCTTGACCCCAGCCCTTCTTGTTCCGCCACGCGACTTTGTTTTTCTCCTTCGGGTGGCAGGATCAGTCTGCGGGTATTCCGTTGCTTATAGCAAGTCGTTCTAGACTTCCAGTTTTCCTCCTTCGAGCGTTCCGTTTCATCAGGCGTCGCTGCGGCCTCATTCATCAAGCTGCTGTTTCTCTGCTCAAGGGGTCGATCTTTCTTCCCGGTTCAAGCTTATCATCAAATCGCATAGGTAGCTGACTCTCAGCAAGACACCGCCGGTTCGGGCAGTCATGGCCTTCCAGACCAACGTCTTCCGTGGAGGCGAGTGGGTGACGGAGACGGTCGACTTGCAGACCTTCCTGAAATCGCAGGCTGCCAGCAAAGGCCCAGCGAAGGAACCCCTGCTGAAGCCTCCACGTTGCGGACTGCTTACAAGGACCGTTGTTGAGAGTCCCGTCATCAACTCGATACTGCCTGTCAGGCTTCGATCCCCGCAAAACAACGACGTTGCTTTTGTGGGAGTAAGTGCTAGCTAAGGGTCAGCCGCTCGAGCACGTTTGGGTTGAGGCTAACCCTTGGCATGAAACAGGACCATTATATTCAGATCTGCGAGCTGTGCAAAGACGGGCGCCTCAAGGAGATTGCCAGAAAGAATGATTTCAGATCTCGCATTCGCAACGCCTGTGTGGTCGGTTCCGCCGTCATCCCGGAGCTCAAGCGGGGGGCTGGCAACCCGGAGACTTCTTCATTGGGTGTCATTAAAACCGAGGACGGCGAACCTGGGTTGCTCGATCTTCCGTCACAGAGTCCGCCCGTCTCAAGCAACAAGCTACCGCCCCAATCGCTGATGGTAGTCTTGGAAGGCGGAGACAGTGTCTTTTTGTTCATCCGGCCTGGGCCCCAGGGTGAGCCTGAATTCGTTGCTTCGCGTTTCGAGAACCCCCGGCTCAGCCGGGCAGGGCCGCTAGGATTCAACTTAGCCATCGACCCGAGTTCACGCTACATGGTGCTCTCGCCCGCCGCCGACTACTTTGTCATTTACGAGCTGGAGTCCCATCAGCGATTAAACCACGCATACGCCAGTAACGAACCCCTGAATCCAGTCATATCGTTCCGCGTTCGTAGTGTACAGGGCGTGGTACACAAGGTTGCTTTTCTCCATCCGCGGCCGGGAGATGACCATCACATCATCCTGTTGCTCGTCATTGTCAAGAATCGCAAATCGAGGATGGTGGTATATGACTGGATGCTGGGGGACGACCTGAGGTCCGTTTTCGCCGAGGAAAAGAGAGGCCATCGAATGCCAGCCGAGAATCAGATGTTATTGCTGCTGATCCCCCTCACGATTGAATCGGCCTTCATTGCCATATCACCTCAACAGGCTGCCGTGTGTACCGAGTGCCTGCATGGGCCGCCCAAGTTCGCGGCAATCCCGGTTGATACACTACCCCCAACCGAGCAGCATCGGGGCCTGGGCCCTCCCGCTTGGACTTCCTGGGCGAGGCCTTTTCGGGTAAAAGATTACAGAATGAATCGCGATTGCATATACCTTGCTCGGGAAGATGGTGTGGTCCTATTCGTCGAGCTAGACCCAGATTGCACCATCGACCGGAGCACCCTGATGGATAGGTTTCCTTGCAGCATATCGAGTGCCTTTGGCTGTCTCGTTGCCTGTCTCTCTGATCAGTGTTCAGACGTGCTCATGCTTGGCAGCGATTCGGGACCAGGAGGCTTTTGGAATGTTGGTAGAACCTTGGCCCCTTTCTCTTGGCGATACTGACACCTTTCACAGATTGCTGCCCTGCAGCGCCCTGAGAAGCTCGGGGTCTTGCCGAACTGGTCTTCAGTTGTCGATTTTGCAACCACGGACGAATTCTCCGCATGGCGCCAGGAAGTTCAAGAAGAAAAGAACATGGTGCCATGGCAGCAGAGCAAACCACGGAGACCCGACCGGATTTTTGCAACCTGTCAAGGGGGTGTAAAGGGCTCCATCACAGAGTATAGGTACGGGCTGAGAGCCAATATTGGCCTCGATATCGAGTACGGAGCCGGCATGAAACGCGCCTGGCTACTCTCCTCGCACAACCCGAGCTTGGCCCACGGTTATCTGCTGTTACTGTCCATGCCCGACAGCTCAACCATTCTACATCTGTCCCCTGACTTCTCTAGCGCCAATGAACCAGACGCAGACACAATTCCCTACGACTTGTCATCCACAACACTAGCAGTAGCGTGCAGCGAGCGCCTGTCCGTGCAGATCACCGAACAAAATGTAGTATTAGTGGCCCAAGATCAGAGGTAAGAGTAGAGATCTACGGATGATACGCAAGGTATCACTTGTTTCTTCAAGCGCAACACTAACTCAGAAGCAGTGCCCGGTTCTCACGCCAGGAATTGCAAAATCTTGCGAAGGCCTCAGTCCCTGATGCACGTATCCTTGATGGTTGCATTCTTGGGGAATGGATTGCTGTCTCAGCACATATGGAGGCTCTTTTTCAGATCCAGATTTTCAAGGCTGACGCATCCAACCTCACACTTGCCCACATCCAGACGATTGATGTGGGCGGTGAGGTTACGTGCCTCTCACTTGGCAATGATTTAACGATTCTGGCAGGCATCCGGACAGAATCTCAAACATTCCTGGGCCGTGCTTCATTGCGCCAGGGCGGCGATCGTCTCCAGATGATCAACCTGACAGAGTGTAAGCTCAACTCCTCCATTGATTGACTCCCGTTACTAACACTGTCTAGACTTCTCGGGAATGGAAGGGAGTCTTGGGCACGCCGCTCCGGCCTTGGCTGAGAGTATCGCAAGCATCGTTTCGGTCCGAGACACCATCCTCCTGGGCAGTCGCAGCGGGGAGGTGATAGCCGTGAGAGAGGCTGCCGGTGCCCTGTCGATCAGCTGCGAAAGGTTCGGCATGGCTACAGCGAGTCTCAGTTGCAGCTATGGCGCTGGTGCAACCGACCCTACCATACTAGTCTGTTGCGATAACAGCCTTGTCTCGGTCGCTGTCGACCAACGTGGCAGCCGCCGTGATGTTGTTCCGCTGAAGACAAAGTGCCGCGTCTGGCCCGTGGATGTCAGCAGGCCCGACGCCATGCCGCCGCCGGTGCATTTTGCCACGGCTGTGGACATGCCGTCCGAAGATGGAATTACCCCAATCCTTATGATATCCGGCTCGAGATTACTGCTCGCGGAGCTGCAACAGAAACCGGGTCCGGTCCATCGAAGCATCCCTGTGGATGGGGTGCCCAACAGAGTTATATATTCCAAATCTTTACAGTGTCTAATTGTCGCCGTGGTCAGGAACAACAAGCCGACCTTGTTGTTTATGAATCCAGATACCGGAGAAGATATAGGAGTGCCGACGGACAAAAATGGGGCCACAGTCGAGTATATTCTTGGCTTGGGAAAGGAAAAGGACAGGATCACAGGGTTGGCGGAATGGAAGTACAGAAGGGACGGCAACGTTTGGAATTTCCTCCTTGTCTCCACTAAGGGCGGCCGTTTTATGGTCGTGTCGACGCAAAAGGGGGCGCCACGAGGAGGTGGACTTCTGTCCATCCGGTACTGGACGAGATTCAAGGAGGATGTGGCTGCAAAGCCAATCTACTCAATTGCTGGCTACGAACAGGGCTTGGTCTATTGCGCCGGCGACACGATCCGGTGGGAAATGCTCGACGTCGAGCAGCGGACGTTCACCGTTTACAAAACCCTCAGGCTAAACTCGCCAGCCACCAGCTTGCGGATTTCTAACGGCAAGCTTGTGGCTCTGACAAGCAGCGAGTCTCTCGTCGTCATCGACTACGCCGAAGGCAACACGGAGAATGCCCGACTGTGCCACGAGGACCCTTGGAGAAGAAAGGGGATCCACTTCATTGAGGTTGCCGGCCCTCAGCCCGATGAACCGCGAGGCGGGATTTTCCTCGTTGCTGACAGAGAATGCGGAATTGGGGCGCTTTGGGCGCCATGGCAGACCCCTGAGAAGGAATTCGAAGTGGTCATGGAGGCAGAGCTCGCGGCGCCCATCCGGAGGTTCCGACGAGGGAGGACACGGCCACTGTGGGAGCAACGGCAGGGAAGCCCCAAGTACGGTCGCCTGGTGGCCACGGTGGATGATGCCGAGATACTAGGCGTGTCTCTGAACGGGGCGCTGCACCACTTTACGCTGCTCAGCATAGACGCCTGGCAGCTCCTGCGCTTCATCCAGAACATTGCGCTGGCCAGCGGCGAATTGTTCCCTTACAGACGATTGCGCCGCCATCGGCCGATGGACGACGTCGAGCCGCGGATGGACGGCGGACTCGAGATGCAGGTTGACGGCGACATACTACAACAATGCCTGGAGAAGAGGGCTTTGGAGCAGTTGATGGCCAGGCCAGAGCATATGTCTCGGTTTATGGTGCTGTTGCAACAGCTCGATGAGGGACGGCATACGGCAGGGCTAGCTCCTGAAGACTACGCAGGCCATTTCCAGCTTGCATACGATATTCTGGAGTATTATTTACTACCAGTTTTGTGAAGGGGGCAGCAATAGGGGGCTGGGCTGTTATTTGGGGCGCCGAATGTCGGTATATAGTGGAGTTGCGATGAGGTGCGACTTAGCTGATTACTCTACAGTCTACACCTGTCACCTGTATGACACCTCAGTTGTCTGTATGTATGTACGCGAGGTACGATGACTGGGCAATTTGGCCCTCCGCTCCCGCTGCTGGCCATGAAGATGCACAAGATCTCATGAAAATCCAGCCTGTACCTACGAAATGCACTGCGATCTTCCGGCACTAGCCACAGGTATGCCCCTCCCCCGAGCAGACAGAGCGACACTAAGTGATCAAATGGAGTAGGTAGATGATGGATGTGCTTAGATATTCACTCCCATAATGTATTAGATCTTGTCTCGATGCATACTACCTATCCTAGAAAAACCATGATGATGTCGCTTTTGCTAAAGACGTACACGTAGGGGAAGTTTGCTATGGCTGCTAGGTAGTGGCGGGGAGAACCTTTGGCCTGGCGGATGGACCTGAAGCAGAGCGGGGCATTCCAGATAAGCCAGCTTATCGCCCGCTTCAGGCTTGTCCCACACTAAATTGTCCCACCAAACCCCACAAGCCCTACCGATCATTGTGCGTGTGGCCGGGCATCCTAACTTCGGGCCTAAGAACCCCATTGAGGTGACAGCTTTTTTTCAAGTCGTCCTTTGCCACGACTCCGACCCAACCGAACCGGCGCTTCCCCCCTCACGACCTTGGATTTTCTCCACGCTCCTTTTCTTCTAGTTGTGGGCGAGGCGCTTCCCCTCAGCATTCCTTAGGGTTTACTCTACACGGCCGAAGACAAAACGCCAGTCGAAGCGCTAGAAACACCCAAAGCACCAACAACAGAAACAGAAGAAAGAAAAGATAGTTCGAGATGGCGCCCAAGAAAAAGGGAGGCAACAAGAAAGGCGGTAACGATGACTGGGAGGCCGAGCTAGGCGAGACCATTGCCCCGGCGGCTGCTGCCACCACCGACGGCGCGGCTTCCCCGGCCCCTGCCGCCGATGATGAGCCCGCTGCCGGCGGCGGCGGCCTTATGAACCTGATGCGGAAGAACAAGGAGAAGCGCAAGAAGAAGGGTCTGAGCGAGGACTGGATTGAGGAGAACCAGGAGACGGCCGAGCAGTCCGCCGAGCCGCTTCCAGACCTGTCGGTCAAAGCCCCTGTGGAGGCCAACCTCGATGACGAGTTCGCCCTGCCGGACAAAAAGGCTAAGGGCGGCAAGGGAAAGCAGCAGCAGCCCCAGCAGCAGAAGGCCGCGGAGAAGGACGAAGATGCGGATGGCGAAGAGCATGGCAGAGTGCTGACCAAGGCGGAGAAGGAGAAGCTCAAGAAGGAGAGAGAGAAGCAGCGCAAGAAGGAACAGGTATGGCCTTGGCTCTACCTCGAAATGTCTCTCCCGTGTAGCGGCTAACCTTGTCAATGTGTAACAGGCCGCGAAGAAGAAGGCAACTGCACCTGCGAAGGCGGAACCCGCGAAGCCCGCCGCGGAAGAAAAGAAGGCTGACACACCTGCAGCAGCGCCCGCAGCCGCGCCCGCTCCTGCTGAGACAGGTGGCAAGAAAAAGAAGATCCCCGCCGCCCTGCTTGCCATCCAGAAGCAGCAGGAAGAGCTACGGCGTCGGCAGGAAGAGGCGGCGCGGCTGGAAGCCGAGGAGCGTGCCAGGATAGAGGAAGAAGAGCGCAGGGCGGCCGAGGAACAGAAGAGGAAGGAGGAAGAGAAGGCTCGCAAGAAGCAGAAGGAGAAGGAGAAGATAGAGCAGCTCAAGCGGGAGGGCAAGTTTTTGACCAAGGCGCAGAAAGAAGAAAAGGCCCGAAACGAGAGGAAGCTGCAGCAGATGCTTGCCGCTGGCATCAAAATTGGCCCTGTCGGCGAGAGCGAGGCTGATAAGGAAAAGGAAAAGGAAAAGAAGAAGGCTGACGCTAGGAAACGAGGTGCCGGCCGTAGCAAAGTAAGTACAACGAGCCTGGTACCGCACGGCCCCTGAGTGCTTACCTTGATTTTGTGTAGATCGACGAAGAGAAGGCTCTTGCAGAAGCTGCTGAGCGGGCAAGATTGCAGGCTGAGGCTGCTGCCAAAGAGGCTGAAGAGAAGGCTCGTCTCGAGAGGGAGAAGGCCGAAGCCGAGGCTGCTGCGAAGGCCAAGGCTGCAAAGGAAGCTGCCGACGACAGCGTAGACGAGGATTGGTTGGCGGCCGCCGAGTCGGAGAAGGAAGACGTCAAGGACAGCTGGGATGCCGAGTCCGACGAAGAAGACAAGCAACAAGAGGAGAAGAAACAAAGGGACGAGAAGAAACCGCAAGCGCTACCATCTCGGCCGAAGCCTCAAGAAGAGTCTGAATCTGAATCTGAAGAAGAATCTTCAGAAGACGAGCAGACGACTCAGGCGAAGCTTGCAGAACTGCAGAGGAAGAAGGAGGCTGCTGAGCGCCGGGAAAAGGCTCACCAGGCTGCCCTGGCTGCTCGGTCCAAGGATAACCTTCGCTCGCCTATTTGCTGTATTCTCGGGCACGTCGATACCGGCAAGACGAAGCTGCTCGACAAGATCCGGCAGACCAATGTCCAGGAAGGCGAGGCGGGCGGTATCACCCAGCAGATCGGCGCCACTTACTTTCCCGTCGACGCCATCCGGCAGAAGACGGCTGTCGTCAACCGCGACGGCAAGTTTGAGTTTAAGGTGCCTGGTCTCCTCATCATCGATACCCCTGGTCACGAGTCTTTCTCGAACCTGCGTTCTCGTGGTTCGTCGCTCTGCAATATCGCCATCCTGGTGGTTGATATCATGCACGGCCTCGAGCCCCAGACCCTCGAGTCGATGAGGTTGTTGCGTGAGCGGAAGACGCCGTTCATTGTGGCGCTCAACAAGATCGACCGTCTGTACGGCTGGAAGAAGATTGACAACAACGGGTTCCAAGAGAGCTTGGCGCTGCAAAATAAGGCGGTGCAGAACGAGTTCAAAAACCGTCTCGAGCAGACCAAGCTTGCCTTTGCTGAGCAGGGTTTCAACTCGGAGGTGTTTTACGAGAACAAGTCTATGGCCAGATATGTGTCGCTGGTTCCCACGTCCGCCCACACTGGCGAGGGTATCCCCGACATGCTGAAGCTCATTGTCCAGCTTACTCAAGAGAGGATGGTGGGCTCGCTCATGTACCTGTCCGAGGTTCAGGCTACCGTTCTTGAAGTCAAGGCCATCGAAGGCTTTGGCATGACGATCGATGTCATCCTGTCCAACGGTATCCTCAGAGAGGGCGACCGCATCATCCTGTGCGGTGTGGACGGCGTAATCAAAACAAACATTCGAGCTCTACTCACACCAGCCCCGCTCAGGGAACTCCGGCTCAAATCGCAGTACGTGCATAACAAGGAGGTCAAGGCCGCCCTGGGTGTCAAGATCAGCGCGCCAGGTCTCGAAGGTGCCATTGCCGGCTCTCGGCTGCTCGTCGTCGGCCCCGACGACGACGAGTCGGATCTCGAGGATGAAGTTGAGGCAGATCTTGCCAGTCTCTTCAGCAGAGTCGAGAAGTCGGGCCGCGGTGTCAGCGTGCAAGCGTCGACGCTCGGGTCCCTCGAGGCGCTGTTGGATTTCCTCAAGGATTGCAAGATCCCCGTCGCCAACGTCGGAATCGGTCCTGTCTACAAGCGGGACGTCATGCAGTGCGGCATCATGCTGGAGAAGGCGCCCGACTACGCCGTTATGCTCTGCTTCGATGTCAAGGTCGACAAGGAAGCGCAGGCATACGCCGACGAGCAGGGCATCAAGATCTTCACAGCCGACATCATCTATCATCTCTTTGACAGCTTCACCAAGCACATCCAGGAGCAAAACGAGAAGAAGAAGGAGGAGTCAAAGATGCTTGCCGTCTTCCCATGCGTCCTGCGGCCCGTCGCCGTCTTCAACAAGACGAACCCTATTGTGGTTGGTGTTGATGTTATTGAGGGTAACCTCAAGATCAACACCCCCATTGCCGCCATCAAGCCAAACCCCACGACGGGCGTAAAGGAAATCATTGCGCTTGGGAGAGTGTAAGTCCTCATTACTACAGTTAACCTTAACCCTTTACCATCTTCCTCCAAACCCGCTAACTTATTTGCCCCTTTCTAGTACCTCGATCGAGCGTGAGCACAAGCAAATACAGGTTTGCAAGAAGGGCCAGCCGTCAGTGGCCGTCAAGATCGAGATGGGCGGACACCAACCAACGTATGGCCGCCACCTCGAGGAGAAGGACCTGCTCTACTCGCAGATTTCGCGCGCCAGCATCGACACGCTGAAGCAGTTCTACCGCACCGACGTCAGCAACGACGAGTGGCAGCTCATTATCAAGTTGAAGCCCATGTTTGATATTGCTTAGGGGAGGGGCGGGCCACAAAAGGTAGGGAAGAGAAAACAGAAATACATTGGGATGGATGGGTCTTATAGGGTTTTGTCTATGTTATTGTTCCGTGTAGTTGGAGGGTGGTAGCTAGGTTTTATGGTCAAGTTATACTCCGTAGTAGTCTGTCCACATTGTTCACTCTCCTGGCCACGATGGCAGTGATTGTGATGTCTATGGGCTTTACCGTCCATTATGCTTGACCCGTTTTGCCCCCCTGATGCCCGATCTTAGGGCGTCCGATCTGACCATGATTCGGCAAACCTCCGTATTCGCAGCCGCGGATCAGCCTCCAACTTGGCTTGCATGACTTGCTCCCATTGACCTCTGCATCTTACACCTTGCGTACATACTTCGTAGATAAACTCAATTCGTTCCTTATGCATAACACATACGACCATACCTACTGGAAAGCTCGGGATCCCGTCCGCTCTCCCCTAGATAAACCAGTAAGGGCCAGATTAGTAGTTGGGTCGGTGACGACCAGCGAATCCCTGGTGTTGTATGTTTTTTGGGTTTTTTTTTTTTTTTTTTTTCCATTCTTTCTTTTCCCCGCCAATTTCTTTCTGTTTAGCAACTCGTCATGTCTAGTCGAATACAAGAGGAATCTATTTTGACTGTGATATTGGGTCCTTGGCTGGGCGGGGGTTTGTATGGTCCTTCAGCAAATTGCAATGCAGAGATCGGAGAACCTACCTCAGACATCATCACATCACGACTCCCATTCTCAACCAGGTTGAAGCTGACAGGGAGCCATATATTTTCACAAAATACCTATATCATAGCATGCTGCTGCAAAGCCTCCGCATTCCTGACGGCTGGGTACTTACCTGAACCTTTACAAACAGTCGCTAGAATGCAGGTACTCCCTATCAAAACGAAGTTCATCTTCAAGCAGAGTACTATTTTCATTCCTGTCTCCTGTAGAATACCCTCCTCTTTTTTAAAGCTGGCTCATCATGATGGTAATTTCCTCACCTTCTTCCTAACAAGCAAGTTTAGACAATAGAACCCATACAGACATTTGATACGCCTGATACATGCTTCCGCTTCGTATTCCTGTGAGGCCCATCTATCAAAAAACCACCACCTTACAGGAGAAGATCTGCCCCAGCCCCTTCACGAGCACGAGGGAAAGGAAAGACCAGAAGCAGCAGAGGAAGAGAAAGATTCAGCTCCTTCTATTTACGGGTCTCCGGCATCCTCGGTCTCAGGCTTGGGAGGGGCATCCGCATCCGTCATCTCCTCGTCCTTGGACTCTTTTGGTGCATTGGCGGCGTCTTGGGGAGCCTTCTCGGCCTCGGCGGCCTTGCGAGCCTCCTCCTCAGCCGCTCTCTTGGCGGCTCGCTCGGCCTCAAGCTTCTCCTGAAGTGCCCGACGCTCAGCCTCAACCTTTTCGAAGTGGCGCTGCACGACGGGACCGGCCAGAGCCCGGATCTCGTCCATCTTGGCGACGTACACGGCCTTTGTGGCGTCGTCGCCTTCATCGTAAAGCCATTCCTGTCATAAGAGTTAGCTTTTCTGTGTTTCTAATGTCAGGCATGGCTTGAGCTTACCTCGGTAGCCTCGAGCTTCTCGCGAATCTTGGCCTTCTCCTCGTCGCTGGCAAACTCGGCGTACTGGTCGTCGAGCTTGTTGCGGAGCTCGTAGATGTACGTCTCGAGCTCGTTCTTCTTCTCCTCCGTGTCGGCCACCAGCTTGTCCTCCATGAGCATGGAGGCTTCCTTCTCAGCGGCCGCAGCCTTGGCAGCAGGCTCGAGCGACTGTGTGGCGCTGACGATGGGCAGCTCGCCCTTCCGAACTTGCTTCCTGACTTTTCTTGTCTTTGGCTTGGACTCGTCCTTGGCGTCCGTGTCCATAGCCTTGTGCGCAGACTCGGTGGTTAGTTGCTTTCTCATCTCGCTCTCACTTGCTGGGTTCATGAATTCGCCACATGTAGCGGCCTCGGTCTTACGACGCTTCGGCTCTCTAAGAGGTACATCCCCAGTTCCACCCCGGCTTCTATCTGTGCAGAGCCGGCAGATGAGGGGAGGGTTTCAAAGGAATGCAGGGTACTCACATCGGCGTCCTTCTTCTCCCCATTCTGTTCCTCCTTTATCTCCTCCTCCACCTCCTGATCCTCGACGTAGTAGCCACTCTCAACATTCAAAACGCCGTGGATATTGACACGAGCCTTGAGCTTGCAAATCATGAAGTCCTCAGGCTGGCCAGTCGCCTTGACACCCTTGACCGAGAACCGGCCAATGAAGGGAGGAACTTTGCCAGGGAGCGCCTCGGGAGTAGTGTACCTCGCTTCCAGGTCGAAGGGTTGCTTGCGGTAGAAGGTGAGAATCTTGGTCGAGGGCATAACGTTACCCTTGTTAAAGACGGTAAGGCTGGTGTCCTCATCAGGGATATCTGCATCCTTCTCCCAGGCGAACTCGATCGGGTAGCTGATAACATCCTGGACAGCGAAGTCGCGGACCTTGAAGACGGGCGAGAGGATAGCACAGCTGAAGGCGCAGCCACGAGCAATGGCCTCGTCCTGGTTGAGAGTGAAGGAAAGGGGCTTGCCGAAGAAGGCCTGGATGCGCTCCTTGACAGCCGGGACACGGCTACCGCCACCAACGACCTCGACAACGTCAATGTCCTCCTTGGTCAGCTTAGCGTCGGCAAGAGCTTGCTCAAGAGGACCGTTGACGCGGTTCAGCAAGGGCTCAACCATAGCCTCAAACTCCTGGCGCGTGATCATGGCGCGCACGTCAATGTCGTTCATGAGGGACTCGATGTTCAAGGGGCCCTGCTGGTTGGCAGACAGCACCTTCTTGAGCTTCTCGGCAGCGGCGTAGACGCGGGTGAGCGCCTTGGGGTTGCTGAAGATGTCGATCTTGTACTTGCCGTGGAACTCCTTCTGCAGGTGCTCGACAAGCGCGCGGTCGAAGTTGCGGCCGCCAAAGTGTCGGTCAAAGGCCGTGGCCTTGACGGCGAGCTCGCCCTTCTTGAACTCGACAATCGAGCAGCTATAGTCGCTGTAGCCGACATCGATAAAGGCAACACGACGAGGCTTCTCGTCGGCTGCGGGGAGGTCCAGCTTGGTGATGCCATAGCCTAACGCGGCGGCGGTATTGTCGTTGATGAGACGGAGAAGCTTGAGGCCGGCAATCTCGGCGGCATCAATAAGAGCGCGGCGTTGGACATCGGTGAACCAAGCCGGAACACTCATGACCAGGTCGCAAACTGGGAGCTTGAGCTCGTTTTGCGTAATCTGCTTGACCTTGCTGAGGAACATGGCCACCAGCTGTGTGGCAGTAAACTGCTCCTTCTTGCCGAGGTATGTGACCTCGGCGCCGACTTGGCCATTGATATCGACGAGGGGTGCCGAGATAAACTCCTGCTCTATCCGGATATCGGGGTCATTGAGCGATCGCCCGAGGAGGCGCTTCAGGCAGCCGACGGTATTCTTGAGGTTAGAGATCTCCTGAGTCTTTGCGGGCTCGCCGAGGTAGCGGCACTTGGGTCCGAACCCAACAAGGGACCTGTTGGATGGTTAGGCACCTTCTCCCCTCCCAGAAGAATAGCAATGTCAAGGCCAGGAATATGGGAATACTCACGGAGTTGCCCGGTTGGAGACTTCGTTCGTGATCTGTTGTAGGACATGGTTGATCAGTATGCAGTCCCCGACTAACTCAACCTCGGCGAATGTTTCGACTTTTGATGTAAAACTCTAGCGGCGGGGCACTTGACGTACCACATCGACACCCCGGTTCCTCGCGACGGCGATGACGGTGTTTAGGGAACCGAAATCAACACCTGCGACACGTCAAGCAAGGTTAGTCTCCGTGTCCTTGCGACACCGACCAAGACTGGCAGCGGCGCGGGGTGGGCAATCGCAAACTTACCGACAACACTCATGTTGGGCGGCAGGAAATGAGGGGCACCAAGAATCGAAAACCGGACCGGCTGTGTAAACAAAGTTGAACGGGCACACCAACGACCCTAAGTAGGCAGGCTAGTAGGCGGCAGTATGACCGTACCAGCTTGGTTTGAGAAATCGGCAACTGAGGGAGTTCGCTCGTCGTCTACGCAGATGCAGAGTCTAGCAGTGGACGGGAATGGCGTTGCAGAAAACCGATACTCGTCGTCGCAAAGTGGATTGTGCACAACAGGTCTGGTTGGCAGGCAGGCGGTGGGCAGAAAAAAAGTCAACGAAAAAATCAATCCTGGAGCCTGAGTTCCCCTCTGGCACATACAGTGGAAGGGACTTCCCCTCCATGGTGGCCTTATGGGTCATTCAATAGCCCCGCCCCTGGGCGTCAGCAGTAAAGCCCAGATCCTCCCGGAAGCTGGGAGAAGCTTCTCGATTGGACCCCGCCGTGAATCACCTCTCTCTCCCAACAACAGATATGCCTCTTCGCAAGGCTTGGGCTTCACAAATTGTCATTGCCAGGCTGAGACTGAACTGCTGCTAATATGTATTAATGCACTATCAGCCCTTGCCCGAAAAATTCTGTTGAAGGCTTGATTTCCCTGTTCTAAAACTCCGAGCCATCATGGCAGGCTCGCGCGGGGTTCTCGAGGCGATAAGCGATAAGATTATGATTTTGTGCACACCCTGGAGTGTCTTTATCACCCCGCCTCAAGTTATCTGCTTATCCGAGGGGTAGAGTCCGTCTCTCTCACCGCCGACATTACACTTTGATCCGTCCGTCATGGAAGGATATTCTGAGAAGACGTGGCTGTGGCATACCTACGGTAACTAGCTTGAGTCACAAGAGCGAAGTGAATGCGCTCCACCAACTCCCTTTCCGCTGACACGGCTTTTGATCCGTCGTTAAACTTAGAGCAGCATTGATGCCCAACGCTAACCGCGAGTCAGTCTTGAGTTTGACACCGAAGAACAAGCCTACCGGGTAGTCTGACCGAACCAGCCTTTCACGGACAGAGAGACTCGAGAATGACATTGCCTATAAAACCCCAGTCAAATGTCTTCCTCCGAACGAAGTTATAGAAATGTCTAGTGCCAGCCGTATACTGTACGGGCAATATGCGAAGATGTATCTACAAAATAATCATTCACCCGTTAACTAACACAACGTTTAGAAGCCTAAAGTCGCCAACTGTCCTTTCCAAATCTATATACCCTCCTGCCTTTCAACGCTGTCAACCGACTGCTGCCCTCGCTACCGCTGGGAGGTCCTCGGGCCAGGTCTAGGGGATGAACCCCGGCTGTCATGGTCCGCATGAGACGCTTCAGCCTGGTCCAACTCGGCCTCCTCAGTAGCCGAGGGATGCATCCAGCTGGCTCTGCCCAGCGGGCTGGGTCCCGCCGCCGTGTTGCTGGCGGTCCGCGGCGGCACGGGTGGTTGGCGGGCAGCCGCGCTGTACGGATCCGGGGACGGGGTGTAGTGTCTGGGCTGCGTGTGCGCCGAGCTGGCAGAGCCGCCGCTGCCGCGCCTCACGAACCTCGGCTGCTGTGATGGTGGCGGGCTTTGGTTTGATAGGGCATCAGTTGAGTCTGCGAAACCCGCCCGGCGCAGCTCTGATTCCGGCACCTCGTACACCTGGCCTGGCGGCGGCCCCTGGAAGATGCGTGAGTTGCTCATGAACTGGCTCAGCTGGCTCGCCTGCGCGAGCTCGTACTTGCGCCGGTCTTCCTCGCCCATGATGCTCTCCACTCTCCGGGGCATGTACACGGAGAAATTCCCGGTAAGGGCGGAGGAAGTGCTGTCAAACGAGTCGCGGTGCTGTAGAGTCCTCCGGCCACCGGCATGGAACGATCCAGCGAGTACCCCAACGCTCGCCACGGAGTCATCCGGGTGCTGGTACCAGCCGCTCGGGGTCCGCTCCGGCGCGGCAAACTTGCCGACCACTTTGTCAGGGGGTTGAAGGATGCTCCTGGAGCGGCTTACTCCGCCACTCTTCTTCTTGTCTCCGCTGCCGGTGAGACCCAGTTCCTTCCTTTCTTGTGCTGCCGGGATGAATGACTCGGGTACAATGTTCAAGTCGTCCCCAGTCTTCTCGGCCTGCTCGATGGCCTCCTGAGCCGTTGTGTGAGAGTCGGCAGCGGCAGCATCTGCTCTTGGGCCACCCCAGGTCCGCTGGCCTGCTGTGAAAATGCCATAGACCATGTAATACCAGTTGAAGAAGGGGTTGAGCACGAACATCATGGGGTAAAGCCATATCTTGAACCGCCTCAGCTTCGCCCCAAAGTAGATCATCATCAACCAGTTGAGCCCCAGCGAGATTGCGATGAAGCCCACTGGCAGATCATCAATCCTCTTGGTCGTCGTGAGCAGCGCCAGAACCATGATGAAGAACAGCAGCGCCGTCGTACGAATCGTGTTTTGCATAAACCGGACTAGAACCAGGATGGGGTATCGCTTCCAGAGCCGCCAATCCGTCAGCATGCAGACCTCATTGGTAATGAAGCCAAGAAACCATCGACGGCGTTGCTTGATCAGCGACCGCATCGTCTGGACGGCCTCGGTCTTGCAGAAGGCCGAGGTGCACATCTGGATTTGGTATCGCTTCTTCGCGCCGATCATGAACAGGTGCGTCAGCCACCGGTCTTCTCCCAGGTGGCTCTTGGCGAAATCGAATAGGTCTTCGCACTGCTCGGCCTTGTCGGCAAAGTAATACTTGGCCATACGCCGGAATGCGGAAAAGCGCAGCATTGTCAGTGCTCCTGGGAGACAAGTGACTGCTCCGCAGCCTGACTCAACCGTCCGCTCGAAAAGCTGCCCGTGAATATACTCCATGTCCTGCAGAAGAGTGATGAGGCTGTGTTTCCTGGTGGTTGACGTGATGACGCCTGTCATGGCCAACATGTCCCTCCTGTTGCCAGGGCTCAGCTCCATGTCGTAGACAAAGTTCTGTAGACAAACCCTATCCAAAATGCAGTCCGAGTCTATGAAGAGAATGAAGAGGTTGTCGTTTCTCTTGAGATAGTCATGGTAGACTTTGTCGATGAGCTTGAAGGTCTGCTTCTGGCAATGTCTCTTTCCGCCGTGGGGGAATCTCGAAACTGTGATCCGCGCCGCCTTGTACGTCACGTCTATACTATTAGGATACGATTCAAGCGTCAAGGGGACACCGAGCTTCTCGATGGTGTTGAGATACAGCTCGTCTTGCTGATCGCCATCGAACGAGAGAAAGACATGGATGCAAGAAGGGGGATAGTCGCAGTCGACGACAGAATTCACTGCCGTCACAAGAACCTCGGGCTCCTCCTTGTAACAGGGCATAACGATCACAACCTTCGGGGCGGATACCTCGTCGAGGATCTGCTTGATACGCTTTGTTCTTCCGAGTTGGTGAGTGACGATCTGGTAGACGCAGAACAGCCAGGGGATCGTCAACAGGCCGGCAAAACTCCAAAAGGCAAACCATTGGAGAATGTTGACCATAGCCGGTGGCCATAACCGCACGATCTGACTGGGAAGTGGGAGTGTCACAATCATAATGGGCAGGAATATGAACCTGCAAATGACGGTTCAGTGGCAACTCGGTTATCATGACAAGGCTACAATACCTGAGCAGTGTGAAAAGAACCGCCACGAGCACCGCGAGCAGCCGGACCGTCCAGTGTTCTGCCTTGACGAAGACTTTCCACAGACAGTAAAGGAAGGCGGCTATCCATAAAAACCACTCGAGGAATGCGGCAATCGTCAGCACGCCCACAATGGCGGTATAGATGATCTGCAGGCAGCTGGATCAGTCATTGCTCTTTTGGGGCCCAAGTGGTTGGCAGCATGGTTTACTTCGTTCAACGGCCATGGTTCACTCATTTCATCCGCCGCCGCCATTTTTTGAGTCAAGTTGGACAGATTGAGAAGCCCAAAGCTGCCGGTTGACGCCCAAGAACGGCAACGGGAGGGGTGAGAAGGTCGAGTATAAGTGACGGCTCGTTGTCCAGGCGCAGAGGCAGCTGAGATCCGCTCGGGTTCTTCAACGTGTGATGGACTAATAGCTGATGGAAAGCTGCACAAGCGAGCGGATACTTGCAGCACCACGTCCACCCGGCCTCCGAAGCTTGGGTAATGGGAAGCCGGCTTCTGGCCAAACAAACGCCTCGTAACGGGTTCCCGTCTTCGAGGTTTCTATTCAAGGAAACCGGCGTGCCGCACATGCAAACCCATGGCGTTGACAAGAGCTGGAAGGAGGCCGTTTACTGCAGGTTCAGCTGTGCTCATGGCTGCCGGACGGGAGGACGAGGAATAAGAGGATGACCGGGTCGAGGCAAACCAGGGAAGCTGGAGAATGACCTCGACGCACGACGGCATCGACACGGCAGACCCGCAACCATGGTCACAGCAGGGTTTATTGCCTGAGCGAATTGCGGCATCTGGTCAGCGGAAATGAGCAGGCGAGTATAAGACGGTAAGCTGGGGAGAATGGCAATATCTGCAAATGGATCATTTTAGCCGGCGCCTCTTCTCAACACCATGGACTCTCACTGGCCCACACTCAAGCTACTTAGCAGATCTGTAGACTAGAAAACGACAAAGCAAATATTCAGTCAGCCCGTATATCGGTGCAGTTGGATCCAAATCGTTTATAGCCCCGAGCAGGTGTTGGAAAGACTGTATGTAAGAGATTGCGTGTAAGGTACTTTGTATAAGTCTTCGATTATAACCCTTGGCGGAGAAGAAGAGAGAGATGAGCTCCAAGCCAATCTCAGTTCTCGCTCATAGCATGGGAAGAACCGTGTGACACGTCGTCACGAAGTCAAGAGAATTCCCGGGTAAGAGGAAGCAGCAACATCCGACGATGCCAGCACCAAGTTCAGGCACTTGCTGCTGGTCGGTTCTGGCTCGAAAGAGAAGAACCAATCCGCTCCCTTTGGAGAGAAGCGACAAGCAACCACACTTCCATGATACACTGGTAAGCATTGGAAGCGCAGGTACATTGCCCTTGCGTCCACGACGATCCGTGGAAAATAGATTAGCTCATGGTGTGAGCTCTGGCAGCTGAAATTCGTAGTCAAGGCACAGTATACAATATTGTATGTAGGTACGTTACCCATCCTATCCGTACCATTTCCCCTTTCCTTGGTGCAGCAGCGCTGCAGGAACCGATGCAGTCGATGCGAGGCTACCAGGGTAGGTAGGCGGCGAGAAGGGGGGATGAGTTCAAGTTGTCCCATGTCGTTTATGGGGTGCAGTACATGTATGCAACCGAGGAATAGGTATTGATCATTTATCGACCCATCATTAACGATAGATCATAGAACAGCATCAGCCTCGCGCCTGATGAGTGAAGGAGGTGAGAATCCCAAAACAGTTGCCAAGCTCAAACACACCAGACGATCTGGAAACACCGACCCAACGAAACAAGATCTGCCGAGCCCAGGTCTAGGCAGGCGGTTGTTGCCGTGAGCTTGCTTCGAAAGCACTTGGCGCAGCAGATCGCTCTTGCTATGATCGCCGAGAAACTTGAACCCTCAGTGTCCCATTTGCCCCTGGAAATCGGACCCACTTCCTTCGTCCCCCTGTCCAAAGCCACGACACTACGGAGGTATACAGTATACTTACAGGTAGGTTGTATGTGGCAGACGGCAGTTTTACAACTTTACCCTCCCTACCCAGGTACCTCAGCGGAATGCAAGACGCAAATTCGGATGCCGTGGCTGCTGGCTGCGCCAGCAACTGCGGGATATAATCGATCATCCAACAATGTCACAGTACGGCAGCGGGGTTACGAAGCACATTACGAGTACCTCGTCGTTCGTTCGACACCGTCCAGCTCATGTCGAAGCACCTCGTTGCCAATAGCCACGTCGTTACACAACCGGATAAGAGAAAAAATTCACCACGAGAAGCTAAAGAACAATCGCTGCCATTCTGCAATCTACTGTGTATCGCACGCTATCTTTTCCATGCACGCTTCCTACCTGGGCCCCTCTCCGCTGGTTCTTCTCAACGAATGAACAAGGCCCCATCCCGCTGTAGCTCGAGGCCGCTCCTGAATGTGGCCCAGCCAATCGGCAATACCAATGATCTGGGTAACCTTTGATCCGCCAGATTGCTTGCGAATGAGTTCCACATAGCAGCCGGCTATTCTCCCTGCAAGTTCCTTCCTCGCCTTCGCCGATCGTTGCCGACCTGCTGGATGTTCCAACGCACAATCCTCAATATGCTCGGCCACTTCCCTCTTGTTAGTGGACTGGCCCAGCAATTGTTACTTGACCACTCAGCGTGGTTGAACTTCCAGGCGGCTTGGGCAGGTTGACAGCCCCACGGTCCCTCACGGTTCAAAGTGACCCGGTGGCATGTCACTGATGCGGCGTCTGCGTTAAGCGCTACAGGTCTAGAGCGCGTGTTTCGGCAACGGAACAGTTCAGATCAGTGCCCTGTGGCATAGTCATTGAGGTCAAATGCATGCCCGTATGGTTCCGTATCAAGTCCTATCATATACCCGCCGAACGCGGTCATGTCAGAAAAAGTCTCGTAACTGATGTGCCTGCGTGATGCTGTTCTTTGCCAGAGGAGCGGCCTCCGCGTCTTCTTGAAGTAGAGTTCATGCGATGATTGCTAGTCATGCTCTTCTCTTCTGTACGCGCCAAGGGTACTCGGCCGTGCGCCCCTGAAGCCCCGATTGACCGAACAACCGGCCCGTTTGGGAGCGGCCGAGCTGCGAAGGGCACTCGATCCGATGGGGAATGCTTTGTGGGGGTTTCATACCAATCAACGTCGCTGAGTTGCAGCTTGCGGACGCGCTGCCCGCCGCGCTCTTTGCCCGAACGGTTGTCTGGTCGGTTGTGATGGTGGTGGGTAACGGGCTTCTCGTTTCCTGCAGAAATATGATGAATACTGGAGCTGGGCCGGTAAGGGGTCAAGCCATCTTCACCATCGGTGTCCTCGTTTTCCCGAAGATCAAGGTTGAGCACGAGGTTCTTGATGCGCTGTTGCTCCTCCTTTGCTGCCTGCCGCTGATTGATCATGGCAACAGCAAAGGTCGAGTCTGAAGGTAATTCGACGGTCCGAGTCTGCTATACGTTAGCGTGGCACAGAGCACAAGAGGGGCCATACAACACTCACTTGTTGACGATTGCCTCTCTTCGTCAGGAGCGAAAAAGCCATTGTTCCACTCGAATTTCCGGTTCCGCCTTCGGCAGGTTCGCCGCCCGTGGTATTTTCCCGGTTCTTGGGTCTCACCGGCAAAGGGATGTCGAATACTTGCTTGCGCTCAAACTTGCGCGTCTCAAGACTCTCAGCCATAATCTTCGCGTACTCACGATCAAACTCTGCTTTGTCTTCCGGATCGACCTCCTCTTCCTCTCGGGTGACGACAATGGCCTCTTCCTCGGACTCGCTCTCGTGATACGACGGATTCTGTTCAGGTTCCTGCACGGTTCGCTCACGGTTGGTTGCTGGTCATCAAAGACACGCTGAGGGTCTAGGGCTTACCTCCGCATCTCCCTCGTCGGAGCCTGACTCATCATAGTCGTCCTGCTCTGCAAGAGGCATATCTTCGCCGTTCTCATCATCCGTCGACATCCCGCTCGTCCTATCATCTTGCTCTGCCACCTTGTCGAGCCCGGAAGTCTTCTGATCCTGCGCAACAGCCAGCTGGAAGATCTTGGAGGCTTCCTCCAAATTTGACGCAAGCTTCCACTGTGGTCTCGTCAGAGCAAAGATGTCCTGCACGAGGAACTCGATATCCATGGGTAAAGGATTCTTGGTGTAGATGTAATACTGGAAAAAGGAAAGGAAGTAGTCCAGCTTTTTTCCGGCGGCCCCTTTGTTGAAAAACATGCCGCAAGTCTCTAGAATCGTGGAGATCAGGCGGATGCGGAAGAAATCGTCGGGTTGATCGAACGGGTTGATGCGCCCAGGAATCGGTGGTCCCCCTGTAACAGGCGTTAGCATTGAAGAGCACAGACTTGGGACGGGGCACGAGCCACGTACCGTGGCCGAATGTCATGATCTTGTACATGGTATCAAAGATCACGGGGTGTTCCAGCATCCTGTAGTTGTAGAGCTCTCCAAGGTACTTGACCTCAGCAATCCGGCGCTGATTGAACTTAAAGTCGTTTTGTTCGAGACCAAGGGCGATAGACTCAACTACGGAGTCGATCACGCCAACGACGAAGTCAGTGTGGTACCTGTAAATGGCGCTCAACAGGATGGCGAGGAGGTGGATGTTGCCATATTTGATCTTTCCAGGTTTCGAAAAGACCTTGTGGAGGACCGCAACTACCTACGAGCTGTTAGTTGCGGGCTGTACCTGCAAAGAGGATTGTGACGGACGTGCCTCTTTCTCCTCCCAGTGGAGCCTACGGATTTGCCTCAGAATCTTGCTGTAATTCCGCTTGGTCAGATCCGTGTAAACCAGCTTCCGGATGAAGAGCTCCATCGGCGTCCTCTCCTTTTGTTGAATCGCAGGGCGCTGTGGAGGGTCGACGTAGTACACAGCATTCTCAATGAGCATTCTCTCGGCCTGCCCAATATGCTGTACGGATTTTTTGCGCTGGAGAGTTTCCAAGAAAGACGCCATGCGGGGCGAAGTGTCGGGGTTTCTCAGGAGGTAGCGGCCGCAGTTCTCCAGTAGATTGCAAATGATCTCGATATTCATCCGGGAGAAGTCGTCGAGGCTGACCTTGAGGCAGTGGAAGACGACATGTTCGGGCACAATGCCGAACTTGGTGAGCTCAGCAAGGTAGCGAATGTTGCTGAGTCTCACCTGGCCCAGGAATTCCTTCTCTTTGCGCCGTTGGAGGCTGCGGAATTCAGCATCTAGATATTCCACCACTCCTTTAGGTATATCGGACATGTATTGACCAAGGGTAGCAACAAGCCGGGCCCAGCTTGGGAGAAGATCACCGCGCCCCTTTGGGACCTCTGTCAGTGCTTTAATCAGGCGATTTCTTGAGGCTTTTGAGTTTACAAAACAGAAGTCGATGGCCATCTGGTCAATGGCCTCCTTCGTTGTGAGATCAGGGAGTCTTGCGAGCAGGATATCGACTTGGGCCCCAATTGACTTGTTTGCGATCGCCACAGACTGATCATCGGCGGCAGCGTCGTCGGCATTAATCGTCTCGGCGACTTCGGCAGAGTCGATCCTCTTGCCAACTTGCTCGTCGGCGTCCGGCTTCTTCTTCTTAACCTCCTCGAGAAGAATTCCGGGCACCTTGCCCCGCAAGTCAACGAGGTTCTCGTAGAAGCGACGCTCCTCCTCATCCTCCCAGACACCGGAGCCGTCTCCTTGGCCACGCAGATACTCGCCAGCTTTCACAATGCCGATCGAACTGTTTGCGTTAGTAGAAGAGTCGTCGCCTTCTTTGAGATCTGGCATCTCAGCTCCAATGACGTCTGCGATAACCTGAGCATTGGCGACCAGCCGCTCTTGGGCTTTGACCTGTTTTTCAAAGTTCGCCTGTCGGTCTTCAAATACCTCGCCCGACTTGACATAAGCTTCGGCATTTTTGCGCGACTGGTTGTAAATGGCTTTTTGGTCACGGATGAGGTGGCCCTTGACATCCTCAAAATAGCGCTTCAGTACGTTCTTGAATCTCTCTTGCAGTTCTGGCGGGGTGAAAGAAGGATCCTCGGGCGCCGGTCCGGATTCCTCCTCGGGATCTTCAGTTCCGTCGCCGGCCTTGGTGACGCCATCTTCCTCAACAGTTTTGCGGCCCTCAGATCCGGCGGCCTTGACTCCCAGGACATCCCAGCTGAAGGCCTTGACGAAGACAACGAGCAGAGGGAGGTTTGCATGTTCCCGATCATGGCCCAAAAGGTCCTTCAAGACCTCGAGAGGGAAGGGTTCGGCAGCGGTTCCCTTCGCAGACGATCGAGACTTGACTTCTGCCGGTTTTCCAGCCGTTCCGTTAGTGAGGTCGTCGGGGCGCTTGATATCGTCGAGGGTTCGCAGGACGCCAACGAGCCAGAGCTCTGTTACGACACGGAGTAGGACCCGTTGTCGGGTCAGCCGATCCTTTTCCTCCTTCTCTCGGGCCTCGGGCGTAAGTGTCTTGAGAACGCTCTTATCGGGCGTAGCCATCGCTTTGCCCAAGTACCATCCGAGATACGACGTGAACTCTGCGGGCCCGAAGCGCTGGTGAAGAGCACTGACGATTTCCACGCCAGCCTCAATCTCTCCAGGAGACTTGAGCTTGCAGAGGCCTTCATGGCAGGCCGACACAATTTCGGAGAGGTACTTGGATAGGCTCACAGTCTTGATTTCTTGAAGGAACGTGTTAAGGGTTGCAGGGGATATGGCGGTGCGCAGACGCTTGATGAAGGCCGTGTTCTTCTTCATGGTCGAGTCGAGGGACTTGGCCACGGGAAAGAGGTCTGTTACACAGACCGATGTTAAGTATCCTGACGAGACAGATGTGGGCAGATTGTGCGCGCTCACCCTTCTCTCCATTCCAGGCCCTCTGGTTCAAGTCGCGCAGCTCATCTAGTGCAAGGACAGCGGTTAGTTTGGGCCCACCAGGAACGCTGCCCTGAGCAAGAACGCGAGAAAGAAGAAGAAGAAAAAAAAAAACACATACGCCTTCTTACGCGATCCATGGCGGGCCCTTGGCTTGGTGTGTGCAGTCGGGAAGGGATTGGCAGCGGCGGTGCATTCGGACGTCGAGATGCTAAGGGTTGAGGAATCGGAAGCGGCAATCCCCATCAGCAATGGCAGGCATCGGTGAGGTGATCTGAGGGAGTAGCCTCTAGGGGCACGCGAGGTTTGACAGTATTTTGGCTCGAGTAGTGACGACAATAATTGCCCAGTCTCAGGCCGGGAGAAAGAGCCTTTCTACCGACTGAAGTCGATGGTTTGGTGACGGAATCGATAGAACGATAAAGTTTCGGTGGGTTCAGCACATTGCATCTAGTGACTCGCCCAGCCGGGATTGGATCATTAGGCGCGTTTTAGCGCTCGCTGCCCCGCAGCACAGGCGCAAAAGTGTTACTGTTACAACTGTGGTGTCATACATAGGGTGTGGGAATTCAAGACCCTTCCGGGCCCCTTCGAATTTCATTTCACAGTCAGCCTTGAATTGCGAATGGAATTTTCATGAAAATGGGGCTAACCCAATTCGGCAATGAATCAGCCCAGGGTTAGCGTTATATATATTGACAGTGGTCAACGATCTTAGTGCCTTGCCGCCAGTCATCCACTTCCAGACACAACTTCCACCACTTCAACCACTTCAATACTCGAATTCTTCGTATCGTAACCTCTGCTATGGCCCTGAACTGTCCAAGCTTACAGACCAACCCCCTGTCGGAAAATCCTGAAATTCAGGGTCTGTGTTGAAATTCGAAATTTCCCAAATTTCGCTGAATTTCAGCAATTTGAAAATTTCATTTCCACACCCTAGTCATACAATCCGGGCTTGTGGCATGTCCTTCAGGCCGGTTATAATTCAACCTTATTCACCTAATGTCGGGAAACCTTAGGTGAGCAAATCGAGTTCTGGGAATAGCGACTGGAATAACGTTGCTTCAGATGGAAATTGGTAGGGTCATGGTATGTCTTCAACCTAAATACCTACTTGAGCTGCCAATATCTTACCATAGAGAGGTTGTAATTCTCGGTCAACCCCGCATCCATACGAAGACAGTTCTTCAGAGTTCAGAATGACCCCTCTCAAACTCTGAGTGCCGTAAGATTTCGCAAGATTAAGGTGGGGAGTTTTCAATTTAGCATCGTCATTCTCGAAAAGCAACGACAAGCAAACAAAAATCAAGTCATTGCATGTCACTGGATCGCAGCCATAGTTTCCCGAGGAGTCTTTCATGAAAGCCGGCTAGGAACATCGGAAGAGTCCGAACCCAGCACTGTCTCCACTGTTCGGAACCGGAGCCGAGCGGATCGGAGGCGGCATCTTTCTTGGCTCGGGTTTTAGCCCTCAGAAACCGCTGGCGGCATTTGATGGCCGGCCCGTCTTGGCGACCCCTAACCCGCCTCGAGCCCGCCTCATCCCACTTCGCACCTAGACCGGCCCGCACGGGGCAACGGAATGGATGCGGCCAGGACAGAAGGGACGGAACGGATTCCGACGTGGCGGGGGTGGTGACTTTCCAACTTAAATACACTCGGGAGCCTACCTACCTACCAACCAATTCGCAGCGTGCATTGAGAGTGTACCTGACTTCCACAGTTTCCATTCGAGGATCCTGATCATGATTCGCAGGGCAGAGGAATTCTGAGTGGGCTGAAAAACTCAGGCAGAGCTACACCAAGGTACGTACCTAGTCAAGGCGATCGAGCTATCTCCGTCTTGATGGGAGTGGGGCGGCCTTATCAGCATGCGTGATAGGGGCCATGGCAAATCACCAGTTGTCAAAGACATTGAAGATAAGAGTTGCGGCAAGCCACCCGCTCCGTGCCTGGCACCGATCGGTGTAAGTCCGCGGAAGAAGAAACTTTCTCAACTTCTACCGTGGAGCGATGCGTCTCCGGTCTCCTCGGGACTACATGTTACTATCACCACAAAGTAACATACAGTGTAGTGTACGGAGTACACGGATGTTAAGTAATTGCCTCGGTGGAGAAAGCGCTTCTCATCGTGCCACCTGCTCTTCTACACCTCAGTCGAGCATGGACTTATCCACCGCTCCCACAGGTTCCCACATGTTCCCACAGGCGGGATTCCATAGGGCTCCCGCGGAGCACTATGCGTGTGTTCATGTATGTACTTACTCCGTACATACTCTACCTTTACGATCCGCTAGGACCGTCTGGCGGCCTGGCCCCCTGCTAAACACATCTCTCGTCATCAACAATCCACCCCCGGCTGTTACCATGCACGCAGGAGCCAGAAATCGTAGTTCCGGAGAAGCAGAGCCCTTCTTATAAGCTCGGCCCGGGACGAAAGGGAAGAAGTGGATGGGATGGGATTGGAAATGCCGCTCTTGCCATGGGCTTCTGCTTAATCTTCTCCTATCCCCCATATACTTCACGTACCTGATTCTTATCAACCCCTTGCCCATTGCCCATTGTCCATTTCTCTAACCCATATCAACGCCTTTCCCTTTCGTGTAGATAGCCTCGCCCTTCTCGGTACCAGACCTATGCAATAGGCAGTTTCTTGGCTGCCTGCTCGCTTCTTGACGCCGATATCATGGAGGTGGTGTCCCCGTCGCCCCTAGGCTTTCGTCTGCCTTTGCCTCCTTCGCCTCCTCAAGAAGTAATCGACTTCGAGAAACAGAACATAATCTTGTCAACGTACAATGTTGAGGAACCGGAGTCTGAACCAACTCGACTCTACCCACTCCCACCCAAGCCTAGACAGAACAAAGTTCTGCCAGAAGACCTCAAGACGCCCGACAATTTCGTCGAGAGAGACCCTCGGCTTATTAGACTAACCGGCATTCACCCCTTCAATGTCGAGGCGCCGCTCAGTGACCTGTACGACGAGGGGTTCCTCACCACAAAGGATCTGCACTATGTCAGGAATCACGGCGCCGTGCCGCGGGTTGAGGACAGTGAAATCCTCGACTGGACCTTTACCGTGGAGGGCATGGTTGAGAAGCCCGTCACATTGACGCTGCGAGACCTGATCCGGGATTACGAGCAAGTCACATATCCAATCACGCTCGTGTGTGCCGGCAACCGGAGGAAGGAGCAGAACGTGGTTCGGAAAACCAAGGGCTTCTCATGGGGCGCTGCCGGCTTGTCTACGGCCTTATGGACCGGCGTTGCTCTACCGGAGCTGCTGAAGCGCGCTGTTCCCAAGCGCGGAGCCAAGTATGTCTGCTTTGAAGGCGCCGACAAGCTGCCCAACGGCTACTACGGCACCTCGGTCAAGCTCAGCTGGGCCATGGATCCGGAAAGGGGAATGATGGTGTCCCACATGATGAACGGCGAGATGCTCCATCCCGATCATGGGAAACCCCTGAGGATAGTTATCCCCGGGCAGATTGGCGGTCGCAGCGTCAAATGGTTGAAGAGGATCATTGTTACTTCGGCGCCAAGCGACAACTGGTATCACATCTACGACAACCGCGTGCTGCCGACAATGATCGACCCCGAGCAGAGCGCGGACCTCCCTGAGACTTGGAAGGACGAGCGGTACGCCATCTACGATCTCAACACCAACAGCGCTATCTGCTACCCTGCCCACGATGAAAAAGTCCCGCTTACCGATGGCGCGCACACCTACAAACTCAAAGGCTATGCCTACGCCGGCGCCGGTAAGCGCGTAACACGGCTCGAGGTCACCCTGGACCAAGGCAAGACTTGGGTGCTCGCGGACCTGACGTACCCCGAGGACCAGTACAGACTGGCCCCGGAAGGAGAAATGCTGTACGGCGGCAGGCTGGACGTGTCATCGCGGGAGGCATGCTTCTGTTGGTGTTTCTGGGAGCTCGATCTCCCGCTCTCGCAGCTCGCGGGAGCCAAGGACGTCATGATCCGAGCTATGGACGACTCCATGATGGTGCAGCCGCGGGATATGTATTGGAGCGTGCTGGGGATGATGAACAACCCGTGGTACCGCGTTGTCATCCACAAGGAAGGCCAGTCACTGCGATTTGAACACCCCACGCAGCCGGCGCTGATTCCGGGCGGCTGGATGGAGCGGGTGAAGAAAGAGGGGGGCAACATTACCAACGGCTTTTGGGGCGACAAGATGCCGGGCGAGGAGGCAGTCCCGGCGCAGGAAGCGGCGGCAAAGGAGATCAAGATGGTCGATGACAAGGTAACGCGGAGCATCACCGCCAGCGAACTCCGTGCCCACGACGGCGAGGACGAGCCATGGTTCGTCGTAAACGGCCAGGTCTACGATGGCACCAAGTTCCTCGAAGGCCATCCGGGCGGCGCAGCCTCCATCATCAATGCGGCCGGGCAGGATGTGAGCGAGGAGTTCCTCGCCATTCGTAAGCCACCTCCCTCCCTTGAAGAAAAGAAGCCCCATCACTAACCCTTCCTTTTCAACTGAACAGACAGCGAAAACGCCAAAGCCATGATGCCCGCCTACCACATCGGCACGCTCGACACGACCTCGGCAGCCGACTCTCTCCCAACACCTCCAGAATCCTGCCCACAGTCGCCAAGCCTGGTGTTCCTGCAGCCCAAGACGTGGACCCGAGCACTACTCGCCTCAAAGGAAGCCATCTCATCCGACACCAAAATCTTCACCTTCACCCTCTCACACCCGACGCAGCAGGTCGGCCTCCCCGTCGGACAGCACCTGATGATCCGGCTGCGGGACCCGGTATCGCGCGAGGCCATCATCCGCGCCTACACCCCCCTGTCCGAGGGCAGCGACACGGGCTCGCTGCGCGTGCTGGTCAAGATCTACCGCGACACGCCCACGCAAAAGGGCGGGCGCATGACGCAGGCCCTTGATGCACTGCCCGCCGGCCACGCCGTCGAGTTCAAGGGCCCCGTCGGTAAGTTTGAGTATCTAGGGAGGGGCCGCTGCGCCGTCAATGGACGGGAAAGGAAAGTCAGAAGGTTTGTGATGGTCTGTGGTGGGTCTGGGATCACGCCTGTTTTTGCGGTTCTTAGGGCGGTGGTTAAGGATGTGCAGGACCAGACGAGGTGTCTGCTCCTTGACGGGAACAGGGTTGAGGAGGATATCCTCCTTAAGAAGGAGCTGGATGGCATGGAGAGGGAGGCCGGTGCCGCTAAGTGCAGGGTGTTGCATACGTTGAGTAGACCTGCGGATGGGTGGACCGGGTTGACCGGGAGGATGAACAGGGAGTTGTTTGAGCGCGAGGTTGGACGGCCGGCGGAGGAGAGGGATACCATGGTCTTGATCTGCGGGCCTGAGGGGATGGAGAAGGCGGCTAGGGAATCGTTTCTGGGTATGGGATGGGCCGAGGAGGATTTGCTCTTTTTCTGATGTACGAGCGGGGAGGCATGGCGAGCGGCGTGCTAGACTCATTTTCTGCAGGATGCTTTCTCACGTTTCCTTTTGACGACATCATTCGTAGACAACTGGGCACTTACATGGAATCTGGGATGGTTGGGCTGGGAGCATGTATTGTGAGCGGAAACAAACAGTTCTTCTTTCTTTGACGAGCAATTCACCGCACTTTCAAATCGTAATCTTGGCCAGGGGCAGTACACTCAAGTTACTACACTGCTCAGTGCTCGCAAGGCTCTTGGGCTGTCGGCGAAATCGAGAGCCAAATCTTTGTAGATTACATGGAAAGATTCCATCTGGATCTGAGAGTGCAATAAACGAGAGATAGCGAAATCGAGAGTTCGCGGACTTCAATTTGAGCCAATGTCGAATCTTGCTCTGACAACTGAGCAGTGAGCAGTGAGTGAACAGAGCCCTGCAGACATGTTCAGAATGTAGTCACGTGACTGAGCACGTGCTCCTAGCAACTTCCCCAATTGGAGGGCTCCTATTGGCTCTTTCCAGCACCGAAGCTCTGACGCCAGCCGTGCGGGTGAAGCAGTAGCAGGAGCAAGCCGGACACAATCTTCGAGCGAGCAAGAGCGACCTGGGAATTACGGTCGATTACGGTGAACCATCTACGGCAAACCGACTCCACCAAGTCAATTGAGTCGCTGTTGATATCACGCACACACAAAAAGCGATGCGCGCGACGCTCCGCCTCTTCGCGAGCGTCCGCCCGGCGGCGGCCAAGTACCTCGAGGCGGGTACGCCGACGGGGTTGACGGGCCTCTACACGCACGCATCGCCGCGCTCGACGCTGCTATACCTGTACACGTCAACGCTCGACAAGCTCAAGGCCGCGCCCGAGCACTCGGTCTACCGGCAGTCAGTCGAAGCAGTCACAAAGCACCGCCTGGCCATCGTCGAGGCCGCCGTGCCCCCGGGTTACGACGAGTGGGCGGAAAAGGCGCGCAAGCTGCTCGAGGACCACCCGGAGCAGTTCAGCATCAGGTCGAGCGCCAGCCTGACGGGCGCCGCCGCCGCGCGCGTCGAGAAGGCAGGACAAGCCTTTATTGTCAGGCATTTGCCCAAGGAGGTGGACATACGGGAGCAGGAGTGGGACGGGGAGCTGGATGAGGGCCCGGAACTGGAAGGGAGCAGGACGCTGGAGGAGAGGCAGGATCTGAGGCTGAACTTTGAGAGGGTGGATCTCGGCGGCCACGACATGGTGGAGTGGGAACCGGAGCCGCAGTTGACGGCTGATCAGTGGGTTTTTTCCTCCTGGCTTCTGGCTCAAATTACTGGTTCGAGATACTAATATGGCTAATTCGTAGGATCGAGGAGATCGAGACTAAAATTGGCGCTGGCCTGATCGAGGAGGTCATTCAGGTTGCTGAAGGGGAGCTGAAGCTTGTCGACACAATGCTCCAAGCGAAGGTGTAAGTTGGCGGTATACCTAGTCTGTTGACTGTGCACTTGCTAATCTTGTTCGCTCTAGCTGGGAGCCTCTTGAGGAGCAGCCGGCGGAGGGCCAATGGTCCTACTTTGAGCGCAAGCCCTGAGCAATGTGGAAAGGTATTGTACCACTACATCGAAGGCCGCACATATTTAGACTGCGGCGCATGTACGGCCTGAACTTGACGCCTAGATTATCATGCTGCTCCGGTTTGGGCCACTGAGCAGACATTGAGTTCGAGTTACGGGAAGAATGACTCGGAACACAAAGCATCACCGCGTTTTGCCTCATATACTCCGTATGTATAGTAACATATGTGTTGTGACGATCTGGTAAGATCGTGACTAAAGTCATAAAAACTAACTGTTTGTTTTATCCTGCTGGTTTTGCCCCTGCTCCTACGAAATGGGCAGTGGCGCTGTTGCGAGATTGCATACAAATAAGTCTCAGCCTTTGTAACTCAGATTGTCATGAACCTCGACCAACTTTTCTCTCCTTTCATTGACTTTCCAACCCGACACTTCTTTCAAATGTAAACAATCCATTTGCACTTGTGATCAGGAAAATAGGTATCCTTAACAAAGTCTGAACGCAAGAAAAGAGAGGGAAGCATCCACGAATTGAGAACTCATTGTTGTGAGAAGCAAGTTGAGAGCGTTTTGTGACATTTCGCCATTTGAGAAAACCATTCACAGCAACCCCCGACTTACAGGTCGCCACACCACAACCATAATAACATCAGCCAAACGTTAACAAACCATCAACACCGCCTTCAATTCAGCATCGAGCATAAAAGACATGTCGTCAACCCATCAGCGCAAACGCAAACGCGCCGCATCGGGGACTCCTTCCTCCTCGGCAACCACAGACAAAGTCATCAACCCGCTTTCGCACACTCCGGACACGCTCAAGCAGTTCGCCCGGGCCGGCTACCCGGCTGACCTGCCACTCCCATCCGAGGTCTACCCGGGCTTTCCGCACCGGGCGCCGGGCTACAACCAGGCGCGGCAGAACTGGCGGCACAATTACGCCCGCAGCAGCAGTCCCCCTATTACGGAAAATGACAAAACCGATGAAGAAGAAGAACCTAACAGGTCCTTCTCGGCAAGCGACGGCGACGATGAAATCACAGACGCGACAACCCAAGGCGCCACCGACGCCGACGTGACGACCACGGACGACGACGATCTTTTCCCGTCCGGCAGCAGCAGCAGGGGCAAGGTCAGAGGCCGTGGTCCCAAGAAGAAGCGGGACAGTGTTGTTGTCGACCGCAAAGCGCAGGCGTACCACGCCCGCGTGGGCTGCCTCGTCGGCGTGGTCCGGCGGTGTCTGGCCGAGGGCGACATCCCCACGGCCAAGCGGGCGTTTGGCCTGCTGGCGAGGGCTAAGGTGTACGGGCGCAAGGTGGATCTGCGGTATCAGGGGCTGTGGGAGATGGGGGCGGAGATTCTGATGCGGGAGGGTGGGCTGGTTGGCAGGCATGTGCAAGTGCATGTGCAAGGCTCGGGAGGAGGAGGGTCCAGTGGGGAGGAGGGGGAGGGAGATGGAGGGGATCAGGGTGGGGATGGGAATGGGAACGAGGGGGGGGAGGATGAAGAGGACGAGGATGCTAAGCTCGCGCGGCATGAGGAAAGTCTGGCTAGGCTAAAGGCCTACTACGAGTACCTCATCCAGCAGTACCCCTTCAGCAAGCAGCACCCCAACAGCACGAATAGTGTGCTGGACTTCCAGGCGGCGCTGTTTAGCGCTGAGATGGAATGGGCGTATGCCGCGCACTGGAAGGGGCTGGCGAGGTTGGAAAGAGGGGAGGTTGGGGATGACGATGACGAGGGAGAAGCTTCGGATGCAATGCATGCTGATGATGAGTTAATGGATTACGAAGTCGAGGATGCAAATGAAATGGACGCGGGAAGGGAACGGGAAGGTGCGCTGTTGCAAAGTGACGACGGAAAAGACCATCTCCGCGGTCTTAGTCGGCGGGAGATCAGACGGCGCGAGGAGGAGGACAAGCTCCGGCTTGCCGCCATGCAGCGCATGACGGATATCGCGCAGCGGATGGACACGGTCATGGAGACGATTCCTTTCTCGCGCGACCACGAACTGCTGAGACTGAGGGCAATGGTGGCGCTGTACATGGCGGACTTGTGCGTGCCGCCCGCCCCAAGGTCAAGGGCGCAGGAGATAGAGAGCAGTGAGGCGCGGGCGGGGCAGCACAGGAAAGCCAGGGAATTCTTGGAGAGGATCAAGGAAGGAGGCGGCGAATTGAAAGAGCACGACGAGCCGCTTCTGAAATCTCTACAGTCGGATGACGAAGAGGAAGATGAGGACCAGATGGGATTACCAATGTTCTCTTCACTGGGTGCATAGGCGAAAGCAGAAGAGGGCATTATTATCTTGCCCCTAACATACAAAACACAACCTTCCTCAGGCAATTGGCGTGGCAATGCCCTTCTCCTTACCCCATCGCTGGTAGATCAACGCTCTGTTCCCGTTTCCCACTACCACGCACCACTCTCCCTCCGGACTCCAGCCCACCTGCCGTCCGACGAACCCGCCATCGATCTGCAGCGTCCGGTGCGCCTTGATAGCGCCGACGGGATTCGACAGGTCATACATCTCGCTCCACTCCTGGAGCGTCCTCTGGCTGTAGCCAAGCGCCGAGACGCTCTCCGGGTCCGGGCTGGCCGAGACCATGGACTCTTTATCCCCCGCCACGGATGCCGCCGCCACGGCTGCAACGCCAGGGGTTTTCTTATAATACCTCTTGACCACCAGCCACGACGGCTTCTGCACCGCCGGTGGGCCACTGGCACTGGCACCGCCACTGGCACTCTCCAGCTTCCCCGTCCTCTGGGCCTCCTTCAGCTCGGCCATGTACCGGGCGTACGAACCGAACCTGGCAAAGTCCCAGAACATGGTCTTGGACTTTGCGTTGGCGAAGGCCAGGATGGGGTGTTTGCCGGGGGCGTGGAACATGCGGAAGCGCATGAAGAACTGGATGCCGCAGTCGGGCGTGGCGAACTGGGCGAGGCGGGTGAACATGGCGGGCCGCGAGGGGGACAGGGTCGGGGTGAAGTAGGAGCGTGTCTGCTTGGCCATGTCGGTCGGCGTCGGCGCATCGAGCGGATCCGGCACGGGGTCCTCGGACGAGAAGCCCTCTATGCGCCAGAGGACGATCAAGTCTTCGTGGCAGGCCCGTGAGAGGATCAGGTCGCCGAAGAAGGCTACGCTGTTTGGGTGTTGTTAGATGTTTTTGTTGCGAGCAGGGAAGAGGGGGATGACGGTTTTTACCAGTCTACCAGGTTGTTGTGTATCTCGGAAGACGAGAAATGAGGGTAGTATATCACGAGGGGAATGTCGACGTGCTCTGTTGGCAAGTCCGGTAGAGCCCACTGTGGGTAGTCAGATCAGAATCAATATCTGCGTATAGGGTATTGGAGTGCTTACCAAATTGATGACCTGGTCGTGGCCTGCGGATAAGAGGTACCGCCCATTGTCGTGAAAGGCCTCAGTGGATGTAAGCGAATGTGGAGAGCGACTCCCAACAAGGGGGTACATACGACACTTAGCAGATCATAGGAATGCGCCTCACCGCCGAGGATGCATACACATGGCTGCTTTTCATGAGCCGCTGCCAGACTCCATATCCTGATAGTCGTGTCGTCGGAAGCAGAGGCTATAATCAGCGGGTTACTGGGCGAAGTTGCGAGGTCGTTGATCCCCTATCACCGGTGAGCCACGGGTCCAAAGTGTTGTTGAAGTCTCAACTTACACCACCGTGACCAACAAGTGTCTTTACATGGTTAGCCATATTAGCCAAAGGACAAGCTGACAAGCTCGATAGGGGCACCTATCTAACTCACCTTTACCAGCTTTCCTTGCTGCACATTGTAGACTTTGACAATGCTGTCATTGCCTGCGATGCAGAGCCAGGCCTCTTGGGTTTCGGGGTCTCTAGACCAGCAACTGGCGCAATTTGCATCCTCCTATACATTGAATTAGAAACGGTATATACTGCTCACGCGCTGTGTGGACTGCTTACTTACACCATCATCTCTGATGAGCTGTATTATCTCGCATGGGTTCGTGTCCTTGTCCGTGGTCTGCGTCAACCGGCAGATTACGGCCTTATGGTTGGCAACGGGTCAGCACACTTATACCCTTAATGATGATTGAAGCAGGCTCTTTCATACATGCTTCTTGCTAGTAGCGGCAAAAATCGGGGGCGCTCCAGGCGGGTTGTACGGGTAGAACTTGACGTCAAAGAACTCGGCCAGGTCTGTCGAAAGGGCGGTTCAGCAATCCTAGTGCGTAATTTCGAAGGAACAATGACACTCTATTCAGACCTTGGGTGGCTAGTTGGTCGTCCGAGGAAAGGTACTTGAAGTCATCCTGCCGACCACATGAGCACTGTGGACTGTGGACTCTTGGAGGAACTCGACGCGAGAGAGAGAGAGCGACGCAGCGTACCTGGAAGATGAAGGATGCACGCAGCCGGGGGAGTTCCCATTCGGCCATATCCGCCGGAGCCATTTCAGAGACCGGGTAGCGCCTCCCGCAGTATTCGGATGCCCGATCGCCGGAGCTTCGGCGCTGTGGAGTTGAGATTCGGAGGCCAAGTACCTAAATGACGACGCAGTTCTGAATCAAATCTGATCTCGCGCTAGGGCTATGTTTCCCTCAGGTCTGCTCCAAGGCTAACGGGACGGAACTCGTGAACTCGGTTGCAACATTGCATGTTGCGTGTCTTTCTCTGACTTAGGTATCCTGCCTTCAAAGATTGTCATCCTTCCCGCCGTCAAAATCCGAGTGGGGCCGTACGGTGTACTTCAAGGCTTATGTACGGCGCGAGCGCGACGCGACCCGACTCCGAGTCATTCTAATAAAAGGCTCGGAGCTCAAGCATTCAATACCCCGCAATCTCAAAGTTCAAGTCTTATCAAAGTTGACCAAATGTGAACATCGATATCAGCATCTTAAGGTTGAAGATGTCAGATGCTCAGGAGTTTGAGTTGGAACTAATGTATGACAGTACGCTTGTAGTAAAGAACGACAATTGGAATAGTGCTTGGAATCCGACAAGTTTGTAGGAGATTCCCGGATTTCAAGACCAAGTTCCGTATTTTACTAGTTAGACGGTATTGAAGGGCGCAATACATATCACCAAGAGCGTATCGGCAGCACTACGGAGTACACCGGCATTCCTCGTACAGAGACGTTGCCCATACCGCCAAATATCTGTAGTCTACGGATAGACAGAACATCATCCCGCTCGCCGAGTCGGCCCGGTTCTGTTCACAACTTACGAAATTGCCCTGGCCAAAGTCCAGATCATGTCATGACGGCTTCGGATGAGCGGTTTAGGGTAAAAGACATTGGGAACACGGACCGATATTTGAGATTTGGATAGCGGAAGAATTTAGCGATGGATTCTGCCATGCTTCTTTTCCGAGCTCTGAGTGGCCTCACAGAAGAACGAATGTCTCAGTTCCACAAACCGTGGGCGTTACTAGTAATGGATTATACTCCAGTTCGTCAATTGGTTTGAGAAGCATCCACAAGAAGGAACAGCGATCTGGAAGACCAACAAGTCTGTGGTGCAGAATGTAGTGTAGAAACATAACTATTGCAGTCCTTGGAAACTTTGCCGAGTTTTGGCGCCCTTGGCCGGAAGAAGCCGTCTCAAAATCCTTTTGAAGGCGTGCCAAGAAATGAACCCCACGCTAAGCTGCACCACTGCGCACGGACTGTGAGTTTGATGCCACTTTAACACCTCTGTATCCGTCCTTCGTACTTCGTACACATCATGAAATTTGTCCAGTCTGCAGTTTGATCATGGATTCTCAGCGGGATGAAGAGGCCATTGATTTCATTTGGAGTAACTCTGTCTACCGCAATGCGGAAATACGCTACAAACGGGCGGAAGGAGGGACTGGATGCTGTACCCTTTCTATCTCGATATAAAGCTCATCAGCCGGCCCTGTGCCTTCCACTGGTCGCATCAGTGGGCCAGATGATCTTCCCAAGGGTTCCGCACCTGCACCGACGATCACGCAGAGGCGGACAGCGGGACAGCTGAACGTTCATCAGAAGAGGACACTTGTTGATGCATTATTATTCGTATGCTCCTCCTTATTATCCGCGAGCATGCACGCGTTTTCAGCGACGGAGAGATCATTAGGTATCCCCGTTCAACTGGTTCTACCTACAGCACATGTTGCCAAGGCTCGCGTAACCACCAGTTCGCTAGTTACGGACGTACTGACAGTAGGCATACCTAGGTTAGGCATCATCAAAACAAATGAGACAATCAGAGGGTTGTTGACGAAAGAGATTCGTATTACATAACATTACCTGCTCTCGGAAACACTTACTTCAGAGCCGTCCGAACAACGCGTTCGGTCCCGAATCAAGGCTATGCGTTGGAGCGATGAGTCCGCTGTGCTGTCGGGCACAAGTAGGTAACTAGGACCTTATAGGGTGTTTGACAGTTGCTCGCAAATCTCTGGAGCGTAGATGAGAGTCGAAAAGATACCTGCCTAGATTTGCTCCAGCATACGCCATAGCCCACCAGTCTTCAATTGGCCGCCACAGCGTTCTCTCTGCTCACAGAACCTGGAACACTTTCACAGCTTCAGAGTTCACAGGCGTCGGCTCTCAAGGCCTTCCTAAACGGGATTAGGCGCTCGCCGCGGCAGCTGCAGTTGCTGTGGGGAGCAAAAATTGCCCTGAGCCGCGGGACCACTTCCCGGCCCATAGTGGGGTGCCAGGGGTGTTCACTGCTTCCCGTCTGGGCCATCTTCTTCTTCCTCCAGGACAGTCTCGTGGAGTCTCACGAAAGCTCGCGCCACCCAGTGCCATATTTTCGGCCGCTCTGAGCCTCTGCTTGTGCAAACTGCAAAGGAAATGTACCGTACAGGGCCCTTCCATGCTCCTCCCCACTGACTTGTGTCAAGAATCTCCCGTTGCCGCTGCATCGACCGGCATTCCTGCTGGCATTTTACAACTTCCATGACAGCGGGACGGCATTTCTCTAGAACATAACCTTATTCCTTTGGGAATCAGATTTCAGCAGCGCGTTATCCAGGTCCACTCACCATCCCAGGCCAGGTGCAGATCGTCTCCAGCCATCAAATCTAATAACAACCCGCTGTGTCTGCTCCCCTCTGTGCCCGAAGCTCTTCCGTTCGTGCAATCGTCGCTCGTTTGTCGTTGGATGGGGGGATGAGAATCCGAGACTGAAAACAACCTACGCGGCCTGCGAACACAGCAGACAATACAGTGCTGCATTTCCCTCCACTCCCCTCCCGCCCGAATTTGGCCGCCGTTATTAATGTTTTGGCCTTCGCATCGACTTGCAGGCCCTCAGCAGCCCCCTCTTCAACACCACCTACCCATACGCCAGGTGCTGCTTCCTGCACCAAACCGAATAGGAGTGAGCGGTACGACACTGCGGACGCTCTCGTGCTGCTGCTCGGTCTGCCACTTTGTTCCAGAATTGGGCGACTTTCGCGAGCAAATGCTGCAATCTGCCGCTCTGAGGGGCCTTCTTCAGCGTCTCTAAGGATCTTCAGGGCTTCCCAACGCTCTCAGCCAGGCTTTCCTGCCCTGTTTCTCTTCGACCCTGGCTTGTCGGTTGTGGAACGGACGAGGTGTCCGAGATATCTCGTTCTAGGTGCAGCGGGATCTGTGTACTACGCTATCCGGTTGACGGCGACTGCGCGTCGGCCGAGGCTGGTCGCAGAGGTGACTGTGGGGGTTACTCAAGGATAGCTAGTTTCTCCTTTCCAGACCCAAGACTCACTAATCGCGGCTGGGTCCCCCGAGACTACCGTCCTGACACCGCTTGCCTTCACGCTGCACTACACGTTTCCCCGCATTGACGCCTTCCTCACGAGTCGGTTCTCAAGCCAATATCTTGGCCGTACGGAGCGAAGTATATTTATTGCTGACGCATGGAGAGATTCTGGTAACCGACTCTTTGCACTTCAGGCTTGCTCACTCGAGCGGCCTCATTATCCACCATGGACCCACGAGACCAGACGTTCATGACGATTCACAGTAAGCCCACGCAGCCGAAGGGCCCAGGCTTTCTTCTCACAAGTGCCGTGCGCTGACTCTCGCATCTCCAGACCTCACACCCGAAGCCAACATTCTCTTTGCGTCTGACTCGATCCTCGATATTTTGGGCTACCAACCCGAGGAGGTCAAGGGGAAGTCCTGCTTCGACTATTTCCACCCCGATGAAATCCCGTTTGCACGCTCTGTCCATAGCAGAGGCATCTTACTGGACAAGGCCGCAGTGCTCCACTATGCCCGCATTCTGTCGAAATCTGGCCAGTGGGTGAGCTGTGAATGCTGCTTCACCATTGTCCACAACGTGCTGGTGGCCTCTACAAGCATATATTTCAAAAGTGAAAAGAGTGAACGTATGGATTCTACACCATACCAACCTCTACAGTTCATAGGCTAACATGCTCGCTCAGGAAGAGCAAGAGACGCGCCGCAGATCAGGCGCATCTTCTCATGCTCGCCGCGAGATCCCAGATACCATATGCTCGAGCATCTGTCGCCCAAGTTTAAAATGCCGCCGATGGAGCGAGAGCCGCGTGCTGCCCTCATCCTCAACCGCTTCACCAGGAGCCTCAACATCATGTATGCAACAGATGTTGTCACACAGATTCTGGGGCTAAGCCCCGGTGATCTCGTAGACAGGCCCTTTTACGATTGTATTCAGCCGAATTGTCTTGAGGAAGCTGAGAGGTGTTTGGAGAGCGCCAAGGCGAACGAGTCGATTGCATATCTTCGATTTTGGTACAAGGATCCGCGTGTCGATCTGAACGATACGGACAACGAGGAAGAGGAGGTAGATGAGTCGGATGACGAATCTGACCAGAGCAGCAGCAGCAGCGAGACTCAGAGCGAAGTAGATTTCAAAGAGCCTCAGTCAGGGTACGACGGCATGGATGTCGACGGAGACCATGGTCCTGAGCCCGGGGCCGCTGCGGAGGACATGGGTGGTGGCCGAAGCGGAGAGCGGCCCGGTTCCCGGAGTCGCGTCGGTTCGCTAAACGGCTCCACGCGCGACCCGCAAGTCCCTCAGACATTTGAGTTGGAGGCGGTTGTATCGTGCACGTCGGACGGGCTCGTTGTGGTGCTGCGGAGAGCACGGCCACCTATCCCCGATCCGCAACCAACCGTTGCCCCCGCCGCCATCAATTACGAAAACGGCCTCTTTGCGGCCCCGTGGGGATATCGGCCCATCAAACCATACATCTCGCCCGAGCTGCTTTATACGTTCCGCCCACCGCTCCTACCCGAATATATGCCGCTGCGGGAAGGCATAAAAGCAGCTGGCGGACCTCCACTAGACCGTACGTACTGTATCACCCAAGTCAGACCCATCTATGAGAAAGACTTTGGACTAATTACGGCTGACAGAGCTGATGAGATCAATCCGGGACGTGGCCGTGTTTGCATGGGCGGTGACTGGGATCAACGGTACGCTTGCAACTTATGGGCACGGTCGGCCGAGGATGGGCGCCCAACCGGCAGATGGGCTGCCTATATGGCAACCAGACTCGGGCTCAACCGTGTACCAGAGCCCAAGGGACCGGACTTCGTCTCTGGGCGCGGGTACCGAGTCGCCGGAAGAATTATTTGAAAATGACGGGGCCTACGATTGCGGCATAGTGTACCAGCCTGGTGAGACGTCGACCCACGTCTATCCCCGTCCGCGGCATGCCTCGCTCGACGAGCAAATGTATGAGGGCGGGCACACATCATGGCACCAAGCTAGGCCAGCAGAATCGTACAACTACGGCGACAATGACGCCGAGCACTACCGACACCCGCTGCGTCCTGTCTTTTCGTACGACACACTACACGGCCATGGCCGGCGTCACCAAGCCTACCCTCCCCCGTCCCAGGCGATGCCCGGCCGGTGTAATGCTGGGCAAGCATCCTGGACTGGTTTATTATCATCTCGAACGCGTATTTCGAGCTACGGTGTAGCGCCTTATCCTCGGTTACCTAGCAGACCTGAAGCAAGTAACCGTTGGGGACACTCATATCGGTAATTCACACATGCATTGGGCGGGTGGCTTTGTTTGCAGAAAGGGTTGGTTTACTGCTCGGGGTAACAAAAGCTTGAAATAAATAGTAATGGCGAGGTTCTGTGTTAATGCTATCTGCATATATACCAATTTAGTGACAACTGAAGCCAATGATCATAGATCAAAGGATACAGAGTATCTTGGGTTATTCAAGTTGCATCAGGAGGATTTGGGAAGGCAACGGGCTCGGGCCCACTTTAAACTTACCGCAGAGCTTGGGCCATCACCCACCCCTGGCCTGCAACGTCAGTTCAACTGGCGCAGCACGAGCTCAAGTAACCATGGACACTTTGTACAAAGCAAAGCATAGCTCATGGAACTTGCAAGCCACGACACAACGACTACGATCAATTGAGCCTCGGACTTATGAGATCTATAGACGACCATTTCCTTTGACAGCTCAACCCGTATAGCAAGTACCCTTACGTTTGCGACCAAAGCCAGAAAGCACAACTCAAGGGACGCAAAGATGGCCGCGTCAGGCCGCCAAGACTACCAGAACGTTCCCACCGTCGACATCGAAGACGACGAGCTGATCGACCCAGACGACGGTTAGTCCTTGCCCCCGGCTCCTGTACCTTCCATTTCCATTTCATATATCCACAAGAGCTTTGTCTAACATACCTCTCCCACCCCCGATCTTCTTACTCTCCAGCCGACCTAAACGACTTCGATGACCCCCTCCAAACCAGCACCTCCGCCACTAGCTCGTCCCGCCAACAACAACCAACCCCAGCCGTATCCGGCACCATCGGCAGCAGCACCAGCTCTTCCCGACAACAACAATCATCATCCTCCTCCTCCTTCTGGACCTCGCGAATCAACATCCCCGGCGAGGACCGCCGCGCGCCGACAAACACCATCGACGAGTCGGTCTGGGCCACGCTGCGCCGCGACCTGCTGGCCGTGTGGCACAAGCTGCGCGAGGTGCTGTACCCGCGGCACCTGTTTTTGTTTGCGGGGACCGGGCAAAACAACAACAGCAACAACAATTCGGCTTCCTCTTCCTCAGGATGGCGCGGGACGTACGCGCGGTTGGGCGGCGTGGGCAGGGAGGAGCTCGCTGGTCTTGCGGGGAGGGTCATGGACCCCGAGAGTTTGTTGAACCATGATTACCTGGGCACGAGCCCCGAGCTGCGGGACTGGGATCTGTGGGGTCCGCTGGTTTTCTGTTTGTTGTTGAGTACGCTGCTTAGTTTGAAGGGAAGGGAGAAGCAGCGGGAGCAGGTTTTCAGCGGGGTGTTTGCGATTGTGTGGATTGGTATGGCTGTTGTGACGCTGCAGATCAGGCTTTTGGGGGGGAACATGTGAGTTTTTCTTCTTTTTCTTTCCGGCACTGCTGGTTTGTTTGGCGGGTGAGTAGAGACAGGCTGACTGGCTGACTTCCTCTGCAGCTCGTTCATGCAAAGCATCTGCGTCATTGGCTACACGCTCTTCCCGCTCGTCATAGCCGCGCTGCTATCGGCGCTGTCAACTCCATGGATCGCCAGGATCCCTGTCTATCTGGTTTTGGTGGCCTGGTCCTTGGCCGCGGGTGTGAGCATTCTCGGTGGGAGTGGGGTGGTCAAAAACCGCGTTGGGCTGGCCGTCTATCCGCTATTTGTTTTCTACCTTGGTCTGGGCTGCCTTTGCTTCATTAGCTAGAGGGCTCCTATGGATAGGGCTTGGGGAGTTTGGTGGGCAGGTGGGAACCCGATGGGAATGGGAGGGTTCAGTGCTGGCACGTCTTTATCCTTAGTAGTATCCTCCACAATGTAAGAGCACTGGTCTTTACGAAACGAGGTGGGCGTTGTATAGCGGTTCGCTAACAGCTGAGGATGGCAAATCTATGTACACCATATCCCCCTGATGTCATGGGCAAAGCTGTTGTAAGATTCGATTCCGATTCCCATCTATTCTCGCTACCTGCATAAGAATGGGCTGAAACTCCTAACGATGCATTCATTATCATGCCCGTCCCCGCTAAATACCGTCGGGCTTTTTCTTTGATACCTCCAATTGTATAATCCAGCAAGCCAGCGCCATCACCGCCTGCTGAAGGGGCATAGTAAAACCAACCAACGATGCTTGAGACGCAACTTCAGTGATGCGCTGCCTCCCCTGCCGACGCTGCAGGATGGTGGGGGTTTGGATAATACAGCGCTGCCACAGCAATAGCAACGTAGACGATGACGCACAGCGCTCCCTCGAGGTAGTTTGACTTTTGGTCCCTCAGAAAGTTGCCGACGGTGATTATGGCCAGCAGCAGCACCGCCAGGTCAAACACCTCAAAGTTCAAGCCCATGGGCTTGTCGAGCCCCCAGCCGACAAGGACGACCAAGGGCGCGTTGAAGAGGGCCGTCTGCAGCGTCGCGCCCAGCACGTGCGACAGGGCAAAGTTCATCTGGTTGTCGTAGGCCTCGTCGACGGCCGTGAGGTGCTCCGCCGCCTTCTCGACCAGGGGCACGAGGATGAGGCCGACAAACGAGTCTGAGACGTGGCGCTCCTCGACGAGGTAATGGATCTGGTCCACCAGGGCGAGGGCGATGATGGTGACGAGGGCGATGGAGACGGCCAGGGCAAGGACGCACTCGGTGAAGGTCAGGCGGTGGTGCATTCTTTCTTTGTGCTTGTCGTCGTCACGCTCCGTGTCCTCGATGAAGATGGCGTCGTAGATGCCGTGGTGCGTGCGGGCTTGGAAGAAGACGTAGATCAGGTAGGCCACTATGAGGAGGACGGCGGTGCTGCGTGAAATCTCGATCGTCTTGTCCATGAGCTCCTCTGCGGTGAGCTTCCCTGACCCGTTAAGAGAGTGCTGGAATACGGTTGGGATGGCGAGGCCGAAGCCGCTGAGACACTTGTTAGTAAACAAACCGGACAGCGCGTGTTTAAAGCCTTCAAAGTGGTGAAATTTTCAGCAGAGACTCACGCTGTCAACAACAACCCGCTGCCGGCCTCACTGACGGCCTCACTGAACTCGGTTTCCTCCCTCTTCATGCCCGCCGCAAAGAAGCATAGGCCTAGACACAGTAGCATGGTCGCCAGAACTGAGCCAAGGATAGCGGCCCGGATGACCTGGATATAATCGATCCCCGGCTCGGGAGGCCTAGTGATCAAGACGACGAACATGATGATTTCGACCAAGCTGCCGAGGCTACATTTCATTTAAACACTGTCAGCTCGCTTCTTCCCTTTTGCCCTCCCATCTTCTGACTGTCCCTCTCCACTCTCACCCTAACACACCCACACACACAAAGCTTGATTGAATTCAATACTCACGTAGTCTCAATCAAAACCCCCCACACATGCGAAAACTTGCGACTCAGCTCCTGGCCCGCAAACCCGATCAGGTTGGCGCAGGGCACCATGGCCAGGTAGCTCAGGATGAAGATGACGAGGTGGTTGTCCTTCATGGCGTAGCGCACGGCGATGGCGGCGGGGACCACGGGCCAGAGGACGTTGACGACGCGGGCGGCCCGCGACGACGAACGGATCGTGTTGCGCAGGAAGAGCAGCGGGTGGACGCCGCTGCGGCCCGACTCGCCCGTCGGGCGCACGCGCAGCGAGCGGGCAAACTTCTCGGCCGGCGTGAGCTGCTTCTCCACGGGCGGCAGGTCGCCCGTGTGCAGGGGGAGGTGGTCATTGTTGTTGACATCATGGCTGGCGGTTGGCCGCGGGGATTCGCGGGCCGAGGCGAGCGTCTTTTCGTCTAGGGTTGAAGGGGAGGTAGCTCCTGGTGGCAGTTCTTGTGGTGGTGGTGGTTGTTGTTGTTGTCGTCGGGATGACGGTCTTATATCGGTCGATTGCGGCGAGGAATTTGAAGCCATTATTATACTATGAATTCGGTTGTGACCCTGTATGTCCCGTGAATGAGGGCAATTCAGGTCCGATCTAGTGTAGACAGACGACTACGGAGGCCCCTGGGACAGACAAACGCATAACGTTGGTGTGTGAGGTCGTTAATGAAGCAGCTTGGCGGGTGGTCGTGAAGACCTTAAGGAGCCAAGCTTTCAGGCCGTGGAGAGTTGGGTGTTCGAGAAAAATAAAAGAATGTAAGCTGACCAGAAGCGGCTCAGTCAGAACCAGGATCGGCAGCTCTCCAGAGCCAGCTGGCACTCCACGTCTTGGCTCCTGTTTCACGAGCTAAGAATGGAGCAAAAGGAGCGGCGGTTGCGGGATGAGGGCGGGAGGAGTTGCAATGCCGCCCCCGGGCAAGAACTCAAGCGACAAAAACAGCGCCCAAAATCAAATCTGTTGCACTGCAGTCTGGCTCAGCTCCCGTTGGCCAACTTGGCCTGGCCGTGACCAGCTGTGCCAGGCCAGCTAATCATTGGCCGCTCAGGGTTGCTGTGCAGCAATCGCTTGATGGCGGCAATAGAGCCCTGATGAATGTTGGTTTTGTCCATTGAACTCGGCGATAGCCTCGGGAGCATGCCGTTGCATCATGCAATCATGCTGTAAAACTCCACAGACCACAGCACATTCAGGCCGACAGGGGTTGGACGCTAGTGCCATTGAACCCTAAATGGTGAAGTTATGTACCGAAGCAGGCTCGGCAAAAGCTTAGCCGGCCATGCCTCATCAATATCAACCACTCTTGTTTCTTGTGCTTTCCACCCGCAGCATGTCTCGGACAGTGTCTTACACGACGTGGGGTAAAATATAGTGTAGCCAGAGTATGTGGGTTGGCTACCGGTGAGCTTGGAGAGGTTGACCCTTGATCGGCACCGTATCCGCCAACACAACCGTTTCCACCCCGGCCGGGCTCCCCTCTTCTGGCCCCATCGGGAGCGCCTCAACATCAATCTCCTCATCCAACAAACCCTTGAGGATAACCTCGCAACCGGCCTTGCTCATGACCTCATTTGACTCCTTGCACATCTCCGAGGCAACGCATTCAGGACACCCTGTCTGACACTCGCAGCCCGTGACCCTGCTCAGCGCCTGCCTCAACAACAAATCCACGTGCTCAAATGCCTTGGTGTTGATGCCGCTGCCTCCGGCGCCTCCTTTCGCATCGTAAAGGGTCAGCCTGCCGGGCCTCTTCCGGCGCGTCTCGTGCTTCGCAAACTCCTTCAGCCCGCTCTTGCACTCGGTCCGCACATCCCCCGGCATGCTCACCACAAAGTTCGGAATCAGGCTCACGAGGGCGTGCTCGGCCGCATGGATCGCGGCAGCGATGTTCAGCCTCCTCGCAACGAGTATGTCGAGCACGTGTTTGGGCACGTCAAGCCACATCCCTTTGCTGTATCGCACCACGGGTGGGTTGTCGACCTGCACCGCGTCGAGGATGCGGCCGTGCTTATCGACCTTGAAGTAGCCAAAGACGACCTGCTTGATCCGGATATTGCCGTAGTAGGCGCGCCAGCGAGAATTGTCTAGCTGCTTAACGGCCTCCGTGGATATGGGGTCAACGTCGGTGTAGTCGCGCTGTGAGGTTGTCCAGTCAACTTTGACCCGCTCGACACGGGCCATTTTGCGGTCTTGATTGAAATCCCGGACTAGGTATGTGTCGCCTTGGTGGAGGAATATGGCGCCGTCGTAGATGGTGAAGGTTGCCCGTGATGCTTCGAGTTCCTCGAGGACCGTGTTCTTGCCATTGGTTATGTCGACGATGGCGAAGTGGTCTTCTTCCGTGTCGCGGATGGAGACGGACCTGGAGGGGAAAGGCCTGAACCGGTCATGGCAGTGGTAAAATCCCATGTCGTCTTTGACGAGCCGCTCTTCGCAGATTTGGGCAAGATCATCGCCAAAGTAGACCGAGTCTTGGACAGGCTGGATGGGCATCTCGTATGCCGCACACTGCACATGGCCTTCCTTTACGAGCATATTGTCCAGATCAACCTGCAGCTCGCAGTTTGGTTTGGCAAAGAGCTCGTCCGGGTTCTGCATGTAGTACTGGTCTGTGGCGAAGCCATCCCCAACCAGGATGGACAGCGAGTCCTTGTTCCTCCGGCCCGCCCTGCCGCTCTGCTGTCTTAGATTGGAGATGGTGTAAGGAAAGCCCCACGTCAAAACACAATCTAATGTGCCAATGTCGACGCCCAGCTCTAGCGCCGTGGTAGCAACGATGCCGAGGAGTCTCCCCTCGAACATGTCGGCCTCCAGTTTCCGGCGGTCTTGTGGGGTGTAGCCACCACGATAACCCATCACCCGCGCGGCAACTTCTGCCCGGCCGAGATTCTCCAGCTCCTGCCTGATGGCGCCGACGAGCCTCTCGCACTGCTCGCGGACTCTGCAAAAGGCAATGACTCTGACACCACGAAGGATGAGCTGGCAAAACAAGCGAGCGCTCTCAAACATTGCGTTTCCGCGTCCGCTGGTGGGATCACTAGGGTCTTTATAGGGTGTGTTCCAGCAGAGGAACTCTTTTCGTCCTAGCAGATGTCAGATTGCTATCCAGACTGAGAAACGGAACTCAACCTACCAGATGGCGACCCATCAAAGTCGACCAAGCGCACATCGTCAATGCCGAATATGGTCTTGAAGTGCTGCTCCGGATTCGCCACGGTCGCCGAGCATGAGATGAACTTGACGTGCCTGTTCCCTAGCGCCGCGCACGTCCGACGGAGGCGCCTCATGACGAAGGCTACATGAGAACCCATAAGCCCGTTGTAGTAGTGCAGCTCGTCAACTAATTCTCATCAGACCCCCTTTCTGCGAAACAAAGAGTGGTAATCGTGACCTACCCACGACATATTTCAGATGCTTCAGAAAGGTCCTCCACTTGTCCTCGTTCGGCAGGATCGTGATATGTAACATATCTGGATTGGTAAATATGATCCTGGCTTCGTCGCGAATTATATTTCTCTCATTCATAGGCGTATCCCCGTCAAACGTCTCAACTACCGTGGCCTCTAACCCGGGCATGAAGACCATCATCTCTTTCAGGGCACGCTTCTGATCCTGGGCGAGTGCTTTCGTAGGGAAAATGTACATTGCGCGCGTATTGTGGTCGTGTTCCAACGCGTGCAGGACGGAAAGCTGATAAATCAGCGACTTTCCCGAGCTCGTCGATGTCGCCACGACGACATTGTGTCCCTTGCGGAGAGCATTGATGGCTTCCGCCTGGTGTGCATAGAACCTCGTGATTCCCTTAGCATTGTACAGCGCATTCACCAGATCCTGGCTCAGCAGGAACTCAAGCTCCCCATAGACAGCCTCCTGCGCTTCGAAAACCCTGTGCCCATCCGGCACGATCTGTCCGGTATACCAGGGGCTCTCTTTCAACTCTTGTACGATCTCCGGTATACTCTTCCTCTCCTTAGGTATGGTCATGGGTAAGCTGTCGACCGCCAACGCCCTCTCCGCGGCTGCATCCACTGGCCTCGGCCGCGGAATGTACGCCTCCCGCTCCGACAAGAGGATCATCTCTGGGTCAAGCCCTTGCGCAACACACCTGTCCACAAACTCGCCGACCGCCTGGACAAACTTTGCGTTCCGCCGCTCAATCAGCTTTGCCATCTGCTGCTGGCTGAAGACGGGCATGCGCATGAGCATCCTCTCTTCTCTCCCCGGTGGCTCCTTCTTTTTCTTCTTCTGCTGCCCGGCAGTAGAAGGCTTCAATTCCCCGTCCAGAAACTCAACAAGCAGCACCTCCTTCCCCCCTCCACCCCCTTCCCCTCCACACAACCCCTCGTCCATATGCACATGCATCCCGAACCCCCCCTTCTTGTCACCGTTTCCAGCACCCGCGGCAATCCGCTCAGCACTCAGCAACAGCGACGTCTCGTCCACGTACTCGAACCGCACCCCTCCCGGGCCGGGCCGCAGCGCTGCAATGGCCGCCACATCCTCGACCAACAGCGGGCGCTTGGTGTGCCGCTCGACGGCGGCCCGGAGGTTGTCGAGGGTTGTGGGCACGTGCTTGCGGGTTGACAGGAAGGTTGCAACCAGGTTGAGCGCGCGGTGGGTTTGTTCGAGTTGCTGTAGGTACGGCGGCCAGGTTGTTCTGTCTGCTGTTCCGGCGGCTTTGGTGGGTTTGGGATTGGAATTGGGATTGGGGTCTGCATCCGGATTCGGTTGGGGAGGGGTAGTGCTGGTGGGTTTAGGGTTGCGTTTCCTGAGTGGTTTAGAATCTGTTTTTGTCGTTGGGTTTGCAGTAGTGTTATAGAGCGAGGACAAGCCTGGATCAGCTTCTGATGTTGTGGTAGTGTCCGCGGCCGGTGGTGACGGGCTAGGCTGAGGATCGAGTCTTTTGTGGCCGCGCTTGCGCTTGCCTAGGCTGTTGTTACCCTTCGGCGCTGCAGCTCCATAATTTGCGACAGGCATGGCTTTGACTTTGAAAAGGGAGCCAATCTGTGTGTGGATTACATTACGTTGCGAAGTCGAGGGAAACAATGTCGGAGATGAAATGAAGGCAGTTCCAGGGGTACGCGATAAGGTGGGAAGGGGTGTGTTAAGTGGTGCGCGAATGTGGCGGGAAAGCACGTGCTGGAATACTTCTGCTCTTAACGAAGTAGACCCGGTTTAACGGTACCCCCTCCAAGTACCGGTACCCAACCTCGTCTCGACGACATATTCTGCATTTTCGCCTTGAAACTCTCACATACGGCCACAGGCAGTAGAAAATTCGGGATCCCGTCCGCTCTCCCCTAGACAAGCTACTGACCGCCGAACTAGTACTCAGGTCGGTGACGACTGGGGAATCCTCGGTGCTGTATGTTTTTTGCTTGTTGACCAGAGCGTCCAGAGTGGATAATTCCTGCAAAGTTCCAATGATGGCTTTTGTTTCCTAACCCATCGCTATCTTCTTCAAATCCACCCCTATTCCAGGATCACTGTCTCTCTACACAGCCCATGCTATCTTAGCCATCCCAGCAAAGGGGAAACACAAAAAAAGGTTCGGACCGGAATCTCACCCGAGCCAAGTGAGGATGGCGTATTATATACAGAAGCCGACAAAGCGCCTCCCCAGCAATGAGTATTCTTGACCACCGGATCTCGAAACCGTGTGCCAAGCCCGTCGAAACCGGACCTCGCAGGAGACGGTTTGACCTTATATCTCACATTCTGTAACATGGCCTCCCTTTCCCTAATATGCATGCTCACTTCCCCAACCCTCTTCCATGGTCAGGGGGTCGAGCAAACGCCAAGCCCACGGCTTCAAGACAAAAGAAATGGGGAAAGATATGTGTTGTGTAGTGGCATTTTACCAAGGTGATTCGTTCAAGCGTGTCCTTGGTCGATGATCTAGACATCGGCAAGCCGTTTCTTTAACAGTTCCACAACTTGGGAGAAGGTCTTCGCATTCGCCTCGCTCAACTAGATGAGCCGTTAGCATTCAGGAAATCCAGGGAGCGCTCCTAAAGACACACCTTCATCTGCACCTGTCGCGCCTCGCCGCCCTCAAAAGCCGTAAATAGCACCGTAGCCGCCTTGAGCCTGTTTGTAAGCTGGAACTTCATGGCCGGCAGGATGACCGTGTTCAGAATCACGCGCAGCGTATGGTCTTGACGCATGATTAGGCGGACATGCTTCCGCCCGGCGTGCCCCTCCTCCGCCTCCTCGTCGCCGTTGTTATCGTCGAGGGCCGAGGCGTCAAAGGTGGTCGGGTCCGGAACGCCCTGGTCGTCCAGGTCCACTGTCGATTTGGGAACGTTGATCTTCAGCATGCCCGCTCCACGCTCCTTCCACCCCACGCCCTTCTCCATTATGTACATCTTGGCACGTGCCGAGAAAAGCGTGAGTTCCTGGCCTTCGCCATCGTCAATTACGACTGCCGAAGGGGTTAGCGTTGGTTGATTGGTCAAGAAGACTTGTTTCGGAGCCTAACTCACCCTTTTGTAGTTTGGGCTTCTTCTTGTCATCGTCGGCCGCCGTCTTGGACTCATCTCGGTCCTTTTCGATCTCCTTATCCCCCGGATCCTCGGGTCCAGCTTCAGCATTGCTAGCGTCATCTCTGCTCTCTTCATCCTCGGACCCTGCCTCTGCATCGCTATCTGGTGCACCAAACGGCTTGGCAGGCTTGTCGCTCTTAGGGACTTCGCCGGGCTTGCCAAAGTTTGTGAGACGCGATCCTGGGAGGGCACTGCCCCCAAAAGCGCTTGCGAAAGGGCTTGACTTGAATGCCGTCCCGGCGCCCTGTCCGTTGAGGCTGGCGAAGGGGGACGCAGCCGTCTTGGAAGCGAAACTGAGTTTGGGTGGTGACGAGGGGACCGACGGCTTGGGTGCGCCAAATATGCTACCGGACGAAGAGCTTGATGCTGAAGCAAAGGGACTGGGCTTGCCCGAAGCACCTAACGCGCCAAACGGAGAGACCGGTGCGCGCCCAAATTTTGCGAAGCCCGAGCTGGCAAAGGCAGCTGCTGATGTTTGGGGCTTTTCTGTCTTGGACGCTCCGGTCGACTCCATGCTCGATCTTCGGGACGTGCTGCCAGATAGAGGCTCCTGGCATGGGTTAGCACCAGAACATCGGGTAGGTATTTCGCAACCCTTACCACTTCCTCCTGACCACTCTTGACCGCTGAGGCACTTGCTTGACGATCTCGGGGTCGCTTCTTCTCGGGCTCAAACCGGTCTGTCCTGCTCTGGGTCGCGCCTGTGGCGGCAGGCTTGGGAGGTGCTCCTTCTTCGAGCAGGGTCTCGGCAACATCCTTGTTCTCATCTAGCTCGTCGTGTGCCCGCTTTTTCTTTGGCGACGAGATCTGCTCTCTCAAGACTTCTTCCCTTGGCGGGCCCAGGGTGATATCGGGAGTAACTCGTCGTGGAGGGGCCTTATCTTGGGGTGCATCGTCATCCGAGGCGCTCTTATCGTCCTGGGATAACTGCTGAGCGTGCCCCGCCTTCTCCGAGATGCTTGTCTGCTTCAGCTCGCGCCGCGCGGCCGTGGTTTCGGCGTCCTCCTTCGCGGCGCCCGTCTCGATGTCGCTCGTGTTGTGCGGATCGTCGGCCATGATCTCAACGGTCGATTCGATATATTGAACAGCAAGCCTGTGCTCGGCAGGTCCAGGCCAGCTACTTTCTTTTCTAAATTTTGGCCCGGTTCGAGTAGGGCGCCCTGAGACTACGGATCAGTGTGTCAAGGCGTAAGAGTCTGTCGATGCGATATCCTAGGAGACACCAAGACAAACCCCACAGAAAGTGGCACCAAACGAATAAATTAGCTATGAGATTGCGGTGATTTTAGCAAAGTTGATGCCCGCTGTTGCGCTTGGGTTGTGAATGGGGAACCAGACCAATGGATCCATGGAGACCAACCGAGACAGACTCGGCTTGTCGGTCGCACCGGTGCAAAAGACGGGAGCTGTTGCGGGGATTGGCCCAGAGGACCCCACTCCCTAAATGAGGCACACCGGGCCCGCTGAGTCGCTGACAGGGAGTGCTGACGGGAGCTGGCAGTGGGGTCTTCATGGGTGCCTCAGGGTGCCAACTTGGGTGCTTTATGCACTGATCCACCAACCACTGTGCTACGCATGTTCCTCTCTCACACTTCCCAGTTGCGAGTCCTCGTCCATTTGGCTCAAAGGGCTTGTTGGTTTGGGCGTGTACCTATAGACAGCCTCGAGCAGCAGCTTATTGTTGACGGGCTTGTCTCAACCACGGTTGGCTTTGTTTGAACTTTGAACTACCTAGGTAGGTATATTGACGCCGGCCTTGGGGACATAAGGTACCTCCTACAAGCACTGCTGCTCTGCTCCCTCTGATTACCGCTATGACAATACGTATGTATACGCATACAATCCCTCACAATGATGCCTTCGGCCAAAGATTATTATTATCGAACTAGGTAGGCCGCCATAATCTGCTGGGGCCACAGCTGGGACTTATAATGCCTACATGCCTACTACTAGCCAAGCCAAGGTTTACGGTATCTGCCTCGCCCTGCTCCTCTCCCCCTCCGCAGCAACAATATCGCTCACCAGGTCTGCCAGTGCCCTGAAAGACGCAATCTCCTCAGAAAGCGTCAATGGCTCGCCATACCCGTCCCTCACCTCATCATCATGGTCATGCTCCCCTTCCGTCCCCTCCTGAAACTGGTCCTCAAATAACCTAGCGTCCTTCTCATCTATCAGCTCCGCTTCCTCACGTATGAAAACCTCCTTTTCATCTGTATACCCATAGTCCTCGTGATCCTCTGTCTCGAGTCCACCTGCTGTCACACGACAGCCCTCCCCTCCGAATTCACGCCCCTGAGCATCGCCACACCCCCTCCGTCTTCGCGCCCAGAATCGCCATTGTCGACGAGGTCTCTGGTCCCTCCCCACTACTGGCAGCCATCGTGGCGGAGCCGCCATGGCAGATGGGCCGTTCCTGCGGCCGATGCGGGAGACGAACAGACGGAGAAGGGGAAAGACGAGGATTAAGAGAAACACGACTGGGACAAGTGGATTGCTTAAATGAATGGGCTCGGATGCAACTCCGGGGTGGATCCATTCGCCCTCGCTTCCATCCCGCGTGTCGTTCGCTCCCAAGGGAGAGCGCCAGGGTGGGAGGGGGAAGGGGCGTGTGCGATTCGTACTCGGAAGCCGATGATGAACCTCCTCATCGCCGTCGTCCCTGTCAAAGATGGCCGCGACAGCATACCCGACCTTGCGGAGTAAACACTGCGCCACACACCGCACGCCGTCGCAGTCGAGGATCCCTCCCCTCGGCGTGTCCGATCCGACAAGGACTCTAGCGAGCCATCTCTCTCTGGCGCAGATCTCCCTCTCGAGCGAGGCTAGCTGGTGTCTCAGCGTCTCTAGCTCGGCCAGTTCTGTTTCGACTGCGAATACCGTCACCGTATCCTCCTTGATTGAGCCTTCGTCGCCCACTACATCATCATCGCTAGGGGCAAGCTGGGGTATATTGTCGGTTATGGGATGGTTGGTGGTCTGGGATTGTACCACGAGAGAGCTCTCCCCCTCTTCTGGCGTCAGCGGTGTCAATGAGATCAGGCTCTGGCTTTCCTGGGTCCCATCCCCGATTCCGTGGAGCGGGATAGGAAGGCCGTGGGTCAACGATGGCACTTGCGCCGCCAGCAGCAGAAGCGCGCTCGTGAGAGACTGACGCATTCTCTATGGGCTGCCTAACAGGCAGCGACACAGTGAGAAAGGTGTTGATATGAGACGCAGAAAAGGTGAGGTAGACTTCAGTGGCTACCTAGACTGATCGGTAGGGCCAGACAGTCGAAAGGATAGTCAACGACGAGTGGTCTAGGTAGCACATTGGTCTCTTAGACACTCATGACTCGACCTCCACTGTTCTTCCTCAAGCCAGCGGAAATCTAGGGAGGGAGCGACAAAGTGCAAAGCTCCGACGGAAGAGAGGCAAGAAAAGGGTAAACGATAATGGAAACTGTAAGGCCTCAATGTCCTTAGGTGCTCTATCTACGAAGTGTCGATTTGCGACGTCACTTCGAGGGGACCGAAGGCTTCGCAACCACTGCCGTTCTGGAAGAGGACAACAGGTCCAAGATGGCAACCGACCACTCAGCTTACACGAGCTGACGAGTCACTTGTTCTTGGCGCCAAGCCTCCTACTTAATGACGTACCTTAACGACCTCCGTACTCCGTACGTCCGTACACTTCCAAACATCACAGCTTAGATGATCTCCCCCAAGTACCGAAGTATACCACGGAAAAGAGGAGTCTCTTGGATATACTATTGTCGTTCTATCTCTTTATTATCACCTCTGTCTTTTGTTTGGAGTTGCTGTGTTTTGTAACGACCTAGCCCTTGCACTTGCCCAGAGCATGCTTGCACTTCCACCCTCCAGCAACTGTTTCTCACCAATACCTACTGCGATATTATATGTAATTCGTTCGTAGACACTAGAAGGAGTAGAAAACCAGCGTTGAATATGAGAAGCCGATACTCCATGTAATTGCACTTGGTTGTCGAGCCGGTAATGGGCAAGTCGAAGAAGTCAAAACTCAAAACTCAGGGGTAATAATACTAGACTTCAAACAATTGTTCGGTTTCCCATTCACTCCTACTCATACGACAGAGATCCCACCGCAAGGGACATCACAAGACTCGTTCCAGCATAAGAGACCACAAGTGTCCGATGATAGGAGTAACCCGCCGCCCAAACCTTTATTCCCAGGATCCTCTTCCTAGAATCCATATCCACAGGACATGCCGCATCCGCGGCATATTCTTCTATGAATCGCTACAGAACCCATACCAGAGGCAGACTCTACTATCCGCGAGGCCCTATATGTATCTCCCGTTCGTTCCTATCACTCATGAGACCCTAAAATTCTCCCAGCAGGATGGAAACGCCTCCACTTGCCCGGCCATAACTCCAGGGCCATAAAGAGCTAGTGAGAAGAGTAAACTATTCGTAATTCTCGTTACCAATTCGATAAACCAAGGCAGGAGGACGGAGGATGTAATTCCCAATCACGCTGCCGTCGACGACGACGGCTTAGCGTCTGCGATCCCTGTCCGCCCCGCCGCTGCCGCCTCCGGACCCAGTTCCGCGACCGAAGTGATCCCTAAGCCAATTCAGCGCGCCGCCGCCGTGTCCGGTACTACTACTACCGCCACCTGACTGCTGCCTCTGCTGCTCCCGATTCTCCTGCTCCCGATTCTCACGTTGACTCCGTCTGCCTTGAGTATCCCTGCTGTTCCACTCCGACGTAACCGCGTAAAACGCTTCTCCTAGCCTCTCTCTGCCTCTGTCCTCATCCCAATGCCAATCCCGACCCCGGTCTCGGTCTCGGTCTCGGTCCCTCGACATGGACGGGCTCCTCACGCGCGATGACCTCGACGCGGCGGCGCCACCGTCGGACGAGGACGGCAAGGGGGGCGACAGCGAGTTGCGGCGGTGCAGACCCGATTGGCGTTGTTGCGAGTCAGACCGCCATGAGTCTCCAAACCGCCATGAGTCTCCACCAGATCCTCCTGCCCTCGTTGACCCCGAGCCGCGGTCGACCCTGTCGCCGCGGGAGCGGCCTGATCCGGAGAGCGAGCCAAAGGGGAACAACGGAGAGAAGGTGTTGGAGGATGGAGCGGATGAGGCGGACGGCGAGGGCTCCTGACCGGACGGTGAATTCGGCTGCGATGACCGACCTTGTTGTCGGTTATGATTGTTTCCGTTCCCTTCCCTCGTCTCGATCGGCATCCGGCAGATGGGACATGTGTTGTGCTCCTTGAGCCAGAGGACGACACACTCGCCGTGATACCAGTGCTTGCACGGTAGGACGACTACTTCATCCCCCTTATTTATCTCGTCGATGCAGATCGTGCATTCGGCTTTTCCGTCGGGGCCCAGCATCTGGTCGTCCACTCGCTTCTTTTCCAGGTTGTCGATGGCGGCCTGGGACGCAGGTGGGGCGGCGTTGGTCTGCGGGGATGCCTCCATAAGCTGTGTAATTATGCGATCGAGCGCTTCTTGGGTGTAGACTGCATCGCCGTGGACGGCCGCTGCCGGGTTGAAGAGGGAGGCGAGGAGATCGTGGAGACCGCCCCCAAAGGCAGGGCCCGGCGGCGTGCCGAAACCCGGCCGTCGTTGTCCTTCGCCAGGACCAGGCATCATTGGATTACCGAGAAGCTGGCCAAACAATCTATCCGGGTCATTCGAGTTAGCCATATCGCGACCTACGAGGGAGAGGACCCGAATGTGGGGTGCGCGGAACCGCCCAATGGGCCCTCGGGACCTGACGTACGTGCCAAAGTTGTTGAAGGGCGGCTCCCCAGGGCCGCCTCCGACGGTTCCGCTGGTTATTGTGACCCTGGTGCCAAATGGGCCGGTCCGAAATGTCGTCTGCTGGACCCGCGGCCCATGCTGATGGACATGTTCCTCCTGCGAGAACATTCCCGGAGCGGGCATCCCGCCTACCGCTCTGGCACCCCCAAGGTCATGCAGAAGCATATCAGCAAACCGGTGCAGTATGGCATTGCCCTCACGATCGCGATCATCCGGGCCCCCTAACGGTGGCTCGAAAAGCGAGCGCATGAACAACCTCGGGGGAGGTTCATGTATATGTTCCTCGATATCGCCCTCGTCAGGATCCGAATCGGAACCCCCAGGCCGATGGAAGTGGCGGCCGGAACCGGTACTCAAGTCTGAGGGAGTGCCTATGCCGTGCGGCGCACGAGGGTCGTTTGACGGATCGATCTAATCAAGCAGGTTAGCCAGGCCATGTATAGCACTGCGAAGGGGTGGGCTGCGGTAAGGAGCACGAACAATCTCGGTGAAGTCGTCGCCGCATCTTGGGCATTCGAGGGAATCCTGCCCCTCGCGAGTCCACTCGATTTGGCATATATGGCAAAACACCCTCTCTCTTTCGCCGGCGGCGCCGGGAGTACCGTAGAAAGGCGAGGAAGCCATGCCGAATCGTCCGCGCGGCTGCTGGTTGCTCCGCTGAAAGGCAGCGATAGCGCCAAGAAGGCCGGCAACGATGTCGGGATCGCGGCGTGCCTCAGAAGCCAGTGTGTCTGTGAAGCTATGATGCTCAAGTGCAGGACCCGAGGCGACTTGCCGAAGAGCGGTTTCCTCGGGAGGCCCGCAGCAGGAACCGCCAAAGCCAGGGCAAGTCTTTTTGATGTATGTGTATGTACGGAGCCGATGTCGATTGTCGAAGCCCCACTGCCCGGGGTCTGGTCTGCTTGTAAGGCCGGGGCGCCAACAAGTCACCAACACGACGGGCACGGCGGCTTTTTTCGATGTATTTGGTAGGTGCGTAGCACTGCCTCGCAAACTTATGGGCGCTAAGGTATTTTGATAGTTTTGAAATAGTCGTGAGGATAGCAGATTGCTTTTTGGGGGAAGGAGGAAGCTCAGGTCTCGGTCTCGCGGGTGTGATGTGAGGTAATCGGTACCTAAGTGGGTGCCTTGGTGCCAGGTGCCGAGCGGGTTTGCTGCGTCACACTCCCAAGCTCTTTGAGCGTCAATCAACCAAACACCTCCCACTGCAAGCAGGCCCTCGCTCGGTACGGTACGGGAGTGTACCTGACCCGCTTCAGCCCAGTCACCTCAGGGACTCAGGCCAGCAAACACCAGTGTTGTTGTCCTAGGCCTCATTAGTAAGGTCTGAGCTGGTGACATCAATGCTGCCGCCAACCAGAGCACTTGAAACACCTGGACTAGGTAGGTTCCCGTGTAACTCGCTGTATTCGAGTATTCTCTCCTCGCCACGATACGGCGAGGAGAAACCTGTGGCAAACGATCGCAAAGACGAGGAAACAGCAACAGCTACGGAGTACTATCTATATTACCCACCAAGTTACCGGCCAACAGGAAAAGTTGGGATGATGTGTCGATTGATGGTGTATGGCCAAGTTAGATGGCTGGCTCGAAGGGGACAATGGCCCAACCACCCCCAATGAGTCGGGTGTTGTCTCTTTTTGTGCGAGTTGCTCCGGTTTGGCCGCACAAGACTTTTGTTCTATTGTCCACACTCGGATGCTTTGTGAAACTACTCACACTACTGATAGCACACATCACTCACAGCACGGCTGACTGGCGTTGTGGGGTCAGAAGGTACATAAAGGTCATGTTTACCCAGGGCAGCCAGTTCAGTACCTGCAGCATGATCCATCTCATTGTCTAATATTGAGTCAAGGTTGGGCAGGCCCTGGCTTTATGTACTGTCCGTACGTCTCCGAGAATGCCCAACCTGCAGTCTCCGCCTTGAAGCGATCCATCGGCAATGCATATCAGCCTCAATCTCAGGGCTCCAATGGCCGGCGCCCTTTAGCTCCCACCTCCGTCTGCCTGCAGACTCAGGCATCACGCGAGGCAGACAGCGTGCCTGGGTAGAGCCCAATGAACTTCCTCTTGTGCACCTGAAAGTATCGTGAAGAGTGGTATCGTTGTTTCGCTCCCTTATGCCAAAAAGGAGAAGCCAGTAAGCCATGAATGACTCCGCCCTCCATATACAGATACATTGTCCGCCCCATGAAGCTCGATATGCTCATTAGCCAGCGTCATACAACCTCATTTCGCGCGGAGAGACTCATCGCTTCCGGCCCAGATTCCTTAGCAGCACACCGCCGATAATGCCGGCCGCGACCGCCACTCCACTCACGATGGCCACGCCCATGAGTCCCTCTTTAGCCACTTTGTCATCGATCAGGGACCGCAAATTCGTGGCCTGCAGATTCCCTGGCTCCTTCTCAAGGAGTAGATCGTTGTATTTCCGCGCCTCGCCGTAGTTGCCGAGTTTGTAGTTACCCAGTGCAAGATAGTAAAGACATTCTCGGCGTCGTTCCGGTGATGTTCTGAAAATTTCCGAGAGAAGCATCACTCCGAGATGCTGGTCGGTGCGTGTATTCGATTTTACGAGGCCCTGCGAGATAATGTTAGCGCGCACGCGGACGGCGCGAACACAGAAGGAGAAGCTGCAAACCCACCCAAGCATAGTTGAACTTGGTCTGAACGCCTACCATATCGCCCTCCTTCTCATACTGCGCCCGCAGGACTGCCAGCTCTGCAGGATTGAGCGGCCTGTAATGCTGCATCAGTATGTAGGCATGTATGGACAACAGAACTGACACTTACGTCTCTGCATCGATTGCATCTGGAAGCATGACTGGTTAGCTGTCGTTGATCGCAGTTTGCAGATTCGAGCGGACGAGCAGGTACCTACAAGGAAGTTGTGTCATGGTGGGGAATAACAGATCAGATTCTGGAAATCTGCAGCAACTCTTTTGTTATTTTGGTAAATGTATATGCACAACAAGTGGCTTTTCTGGCTTTGACCGTCCAGGATGCTGATTCTTTTGGCTGTTGCTCCAGTTCAGGCCGTTCTGTCGCATACGATGGCCTTTCGATGACGAAGCTGGCCACCAAAACCGGGAGCGATAAGATAAGACCAGCCCCACGGTCCCACCAAGGTTTCTTTGTCGTCTGGGCGATGCAATCTTGGCGCCAAGATATACACCAAACAACTCCCGAGACTCCACGCTGAAGACGCGACGAACAAGACACTTCCGTACTACCCCATTGCGACAATCGAAGGAAAACAGACATCCAACCCCATTTGGAACCAACACCGTTCATACCTCAAGACACCCTACATAAAACGCGACATACAAGCCAGCCAAAATGCTGCTCGAAGAAGACCCCTCCACCGTACGTCCGAGCATCCACCCCTATCCGAAAACATCAGAGCTAACTCCCCCGTTTACACAGCTTATCCGGCACACAATAGCCAACTTCAACATTGCTCCCGACAAGGCCGCCGTGGCGCGCGTGTCCGAGTCGCTGTCGACGCTGCAGCAGGCGCGGGAGCTGCGGGTGCGCGAGGCCGAGTCTAGCTTGCGCAAGCTGGCGCGGACGCTGGGGACGCTGTCGGCGCAGCACGCCGAGCTGACGGCGTCGCACTCGTCGGCGCAGCACGCCTCGGAAATTGCCCGGCTCGACACTCAGAAATTCCGCATCGCAAAGGCCGCCTCGGACCTCGAGATGGAGACGGAGCGCCTGCAGGCCCAGCTCGCCGACCTCCACGCCCGCCTGCAGGAGCTCGAGCTCCAGGGCGTCGAAGCAGCCGCCGACGGCGCCAATGGCGGCGCAGGAGGCATGGTGGAGGATGAGGTCCTGTTAAGGCTCAAGGTCTACAGGAGCCTGGGCATCGAGATTGAGCGGGACAGCAAGGACGGCGAGTTCAGCCGCGTCGTGGTCAGGAATGACCGCAAGGGGGATGTTCATGTGGTGAATATCGATCGGAGGTTCTCGCGGTTTTGGTATGCCAACTACTTTTGGCAAAGTCTTTGATTACCTGGCCGCTTTGCACCGGTGTACGGGAAGGGGGCGGATTATCGGATTGACGGCGTTCTGGAGTTTGACTGGAAGGGGAGGACATTTGCACACACTATACCACTGGGATGTTTGCAGGGTTGGAGGATGTGATCGTGGGCTCTGTTTCGCTGCTATTCATCGCTCTCGCGTGCCCAGACCCGAAATGGGCCCCTTATTTTGGTAAATATCTTTTTCCTTGGCCAATCCTTCGATCGTTTTCCGTTCCCATTTCCCACTTGCTAACCATACCGAATCCAAGCCAAGCCGTCTCTTCTGTGCGTTTTCCATCTCATTGTTGATGCGCAAGCAAACGCCGGTAATGCTGCCTCTTTACAATACGATACATGAAAGGTTTGTATCAGGTCAGCCCTAAAATGACCTACTTTAAACAGAATGCTCAAGCACAACATCCAGGTATTACTACTGCTCAGGCTTAGAAATTGCGCGGGGGTTTCTTGGTCGTCTTTGGCGATACCGAATCCCGGTGATATGGATCCTTATCTGGGATCTCACCAGGAGCCTGTACTTGGACCGTTGGAGTAAAAACGACGCGGCCATTGTTGGGCGACACCGGTGCCCTCCTTCCAAAATCAAAATCCCTCGACTCAGGCACACGGGCATTGATAGTGGAAAGCCAAGCTCCTTCGCTTGGTGGGCCCGCCGGGCCGGTATACGGCCGCGGGTGGTGTCGCGGATAGGATGATACCCTCTCGAATCCCAGGTCCAACCGTGAGTTGATTTTGGTCCACTCAGCGCTGTCCTCGTCATCAGAGAGCCGCCAGCCGCCAACGCCTTCAAAATCGCGATCCAGGCCGACAGAGGGCGTCAAACAAGCCTCTAGCGGGATAGTGGGGAGCAATGGTTCGCCCTCGTGGATTGGAGGGATGGACGTCATGGAGCCTAGACTCACTTGGCTGGAGCGACGAGAGCGGCGCGGGCCAGCAATAAAGCTGTTTCTGCGGCGGTGCGGGCTGATGTAGCCCGAAGACCCGTAGGCTGGTGTTGATGGAAAGACCAAACCTGGGGAAGGCGTGCTGTATCCGCTGGCGATGCTGGCGCTGGCGAAGCTGGCTGTGGGCGAGACTGGCGTCTTCAAGCCATCCGGGCTATATTTCCGGTTCTCGAGATCGGTGGGCCGTATGAGAGGCGATCTACTTTTGCCCATCAGACATTGCGGAACAGCGTTGAGGGCGATCTCGAGATAAACGGAGGCAATGCGGAACAGAAGCACTCCAAAGGCTATGACGGTCGTGAAGCCCGCAAGAAAGGCTAGTGGAATGGTGAAAAGGCAGACAAATGGCACAATCAGATGCCGGACGCCGTGAAGGAGACCCATTGCGCTGAATTGACCCACACAAATGCTGCTGCCGTGCTGTGGTTTTGGAGAAGTTCGAGAATGTATCCCAGACGCCCCGAAAGGCAGGTTGTGGCGGGGCAAGCCCCAAGATATAGAATACCGGTATGGGGTGAGGAAAGTTCGCTGCGTATGATGTCGTCAAACGGTGATACGGTCGATCCCGAACGGACCTGTTGCATGCAGCTCAGTTCTGTTGGTGTTTGACAAAGACTCGGGCAAGGCCGGAGTGGGATGCTTGCATCTGGGGAGTGGAATGTTTTGGTCGCTTTGGTGTCTTATCATCAGGATACCCTCAGCCCTCAGCCGATGTTATCTTCTGGCATGTGAAGGCGCCGTTGCAGTGGGGGACTGCCCAGGATCCACCTACTGTAGCCAAGAGGGGATCGCGCTACACTAGTCCCAACGCGAGCATCGAACCCAGCCACTCCAGCGAAAAGCTCACTGCAGTTCCACTTTATCAGAACACTGCCCGTACATGGATACGTACATACACATGTTACTCTGGGAATGCAGTGGGATTCTTCACAGCTGCCACGCCGAACGTCTCAGCCTTTGCTCAGGTCCTACCTTCTCAATTGTCAAGGTTGGGAGACTCGAACTACGGTAAATTCACTAGAGGACTGCAGCGGCTGTGGTCCTTGCGGCTGTCCTTTCCACAGCTGCAACGAGCTGATCTCTAGAGCTTAAACGGCACCTGCCGAGGCTACCTACTCGAGCTGCTCTAACAAGTACGGATACACATGGTAAAAACATCCGTGTGTGCAATACATAGCTTGCATTTTGCATGCAGTAATCCCGTGCGGGAATCTACGGATACACTAACGTTATGGCCCGGTTGACTCATGGAGGGGAAAGATCGACGCCAAGGCTTAATCGAGGGGTTTCTTGGGTTCTAGCCCAATGAGGACTGGAAGAGGGGCCTTCTCCTCACCACCTTTATTTTGGGAATAGCTTCAATTAGCTTTCCAGCTTGAGCTCATTTTTGCTTGGAATTGCTTTGCTCATCGAGCCACTTCCTGCAGACAACAGACCTCAGGCAGCGCGATGCGACAGGGGCTGAGCAGCAACCCAAGTTTCGAGTCTGCCCGATGACATGTCAATGACATACACAGTAGCTCAGATTTCGGGTTAAGCTTTCGGCTCCAAGCGCACCTTGCACTACCTACAGTGACTCCTCCACGGGTACCCGGAACCTGGCCCCTTCGTACGCAAGCTCTACGTGTAAACAGCCCAGCCCCAGACACAATGTGTCGCACGAGCCATGATCAACCCCCATACACCGCTACCCTCGAGCACCCTGGGGTACGTGCAGACGATTTTCCGTGGCAGATTGGCGTCTGTGATGCCCACTGCCACCCGACTGACACCATGTCGTCGATTGCTAGCATACGCGGCATGCGAGCTCGAGCCCTGACTATCATGGCTACCCGCTGCCAGGACCAGGACCTTGTCGCTTCGGTCGCGGCGCAACACGTCATCAAGAACCGCGCCGCGCTAGGGTCAACGGCAAGCCAGAGCTCTGACAAAGTTATCCCCGCGTTTGGATGGCACCCTTGGTTTTCACACCAACTCTATGACGACACGGCCGGCGCCGTGAACAGCACGTACGATCCGGCGGCGCCAAACGCGGCTGAGCAGAAAGCGAAACACTATAGCGCCGTTCTTTCCTCGTCGCCCGACGCCGAGTTTGTCGCGTCGCTCCCGGATCCTCTATCACTCAGTAGCTTCATAGCCGAAACACGGCGGCGTGTGCTTGACGCGCCGGTGGCGCTCATAGGCGAAATCGGCCTGGACAAGGCGTTTCGCCTGCCGTGGCCGTGGAAGGAAGAAGACCGGTGGAGCCGTGACGAGGGCCTCACCCCTGGCGGCAGGGAAGGACGCACGCTGAGCCCTCATCACGTCAAGATGCCCCATCAAGTACAGGTGCTCAAAGCCCAGCTCCAGCTGGCCGGTGAGCTAGGGGTTGCGGTTAGTGTCCACGGGGTGCAGGCGCACGGGGTGCTGTTTGATGCCTTGGCATCGCTGTGGAAAGGGCACGAGAGAGAAGTCCTGTCGCGGCGAAAGCAGAAATTGGTGGCTCAAGGTGCCGAAGACTTTTCGTCAAGCGATGAAGACGACGAGACAGAGGGCGCTGAAGATGGCGCGAGGCTGTGTAGGAAGCGCTACAAGCCGAAGCCCTTTCCCCCACGTATTTGCCTGCACTCATTCAGCGGCGCACCGCAGATGCTCAATCAGTATCTGAACCCGGCCATTCCAGCCCGGGTCTTCTTCTCGTTCTCAACAGTCATAAACTTGTCGACGGCCGGCGGGGAGAGCAAGTTCCCCGAAGTTATCCAGGCTTGTCCCGATGACCGGCTGCTGGTTGAGAGCGACTTGCACTCGGCCGGCGATGATATGGACCGGCTCCTGGAGGATATGTACCGGAAAGTTTGCGACATCAAAGGCTGGACCCTGGAGTACGGCGTGGAGAGGATACGGAAGAACTATGAGGAGTTCATATTCGGTTGAGTCCCGACATCTTGCATATCCATGACCGTAGCGACGCACAGCGTGAAGCACTTCTTCTGCTTGAAATGGAGACGCTTATAACTTATCCGGTGGCAGTTCAGAGTCGTGAGGGTGCGGTTCTAACACTGGGCCAGGGGCCAGTTCGGAACGGCACAGTACTGTCCATACTTGCAAAGCCGAAGCGCAAACACACAGGTTATCTGAACATTCTCTCTCGCTCTTCGGGGTGTATCGTGGTTTATTAACCTATGCCAATGCTAACTTCGCTTCTATGCGATGTAAGCCCCCACCTCCGCTTCCTTCGGCTCCTTGGGTGCATTATCCGCACCAAGCTTAAATACTACATACTTGCCGAAAGGGCACGAGAACTGTCGCTGACTCACCCATTGCAGTCCCATGAATGAAAAAGTGTCGACCGTATCCCGTATAAGCAAACACGAACATATTGCTGCGGGTACTCTAATTAGTTATTAAGAATATAACGCGATCATCTAGCGTCCATCATCCCTTGTCGGGAACGGTATAGACCGGCACATATACAGTACAAGCTAGAGCCTGTTACAGACTGCTACCCTGCCCCTCGATCTAGATCCTGGAGACTGGGGCAATGTCCCCGCCTCCCATCTCTCGTCATTTCCCCAACTCGGGCCCAAATACAATTCTCAAATCCTCATTATTCCCGCATTGCCCAGGCCGCTTGTGTCGCCTCGTGCAAACGCCGAGAGATCGGTCGGCTCTAACGGCGTTGCGGAGGGGAGACAGCTGCATCTTGAGTTCTCAACTACAGTACCGTATACATCGCGGAGGAGGGGCTCAAACGGTCTTTATTTCCGACGGCAGCCTCATCGGCAATCCTCGTCCGAATCTCTAGGTTCGGTGACGCGGGTTGACGGGCTGCATCGACTGCATACCTAGCTGACTCTGAAGTTCTTATTTCCAGCGCGCGCCATACACGTACCTACACGTACCTACACGTAAGGGGGGCCGTTCATCTCTTGGCGCTGCTCTCTCCGTCCAACGCCCGGGCTGTTCCCAGTCGGCTCCGTGCTTGGCGTTGATCATGGATAGGCCAGGGCCGATGGGCCTGCCGTCAATCATGCCGAGCGTGGTCGGAGCAGCATCGCCCATTTATGCGTCGCCTTCTTCCTCCTCCGGTCCCGGCGCCGATTACCATTACGCGGTTCTGCATCATCAACAACAGCACCATCATCTCCCGACCGTGACCCCCGCGGCGCAAACACTCCGCCGTGGGCCCAGGAGGGCGGCGCGTCGAGACGAGCTGGACGAATCCCCTCCATTATGGGGTAGTAACGGTAGTGCGGCTGACGTCGGAGGCGCCGGCGGTGATAGCGGGAACGCCACCTCGGGCAGCTCCCGTCTTGGCGCGTCGGCCGGAGACCGAGACAGCAGCACTGCGTCGCCGATGGGCGCAGCGGAACCGCCGAGGAAAAAGCAAAAGCGCAACAAGCCGACCTTGTCTTGCTTTGAATGCGTCGAGAGGAAAACCAAGGTATGTGCATTGGTTTCAATTGCTGTCGGTTGTTGACATGGTGCCGTCCTTCATCATCTCGATTAGTTGTACCCCTTCATTGTTTTGTTTGATTCAAGTTTATCGTCTCTCTGTCATACCTCGTCCCGACTCTCGGTCAACTAGTACTGACAGGAGTGTTATTGCAGTGCGACAGAGGGAGGCCGCATTGCCTTGCTTGTACGTCCTGCAGCTTCCTCCCTTGTCCCACGAGGCTTTCACTGACTAGGCGCAGGCATCAAACGTCAGACGGAATGCAGATATGCCCATGTCGCCAATCTTCTCGAGTAGGTGGCTCATGCGATTGAATGTGTTCCGCCCCCTTTTCTTCCCTTACTTATGCTGCGATACAGAGAGACCACGCGAAGCGCAACCAATGGCCGCCGCATGACAAAACCGCCCAAGAAAAGGCCCGAAGGCCCCAAGACGGTTATCCCAAATGCGGCGGACCGAGGTTTCGATGTCGAACGCCTCAAGGCACTGGGTTCGGTAGCCACCTCTACTGGCCTCCTTTCCAACGTCCCCTACTCGACCCCAGGGGCGTCCAATGTCTTTGGCATCGGATCAGAACACCCCTTCGCAAACTACTGGACCTGCGACGGCGGCCTGCCCGAGGTAATCCAGGTGCTTCCCGACAAGCTGCAGGCCGACGCCCTCCTCATGCGCTACTTTGAGTGCGTGGACCCGGTGTACCCATTGATCCACCGCCAGACATTCTACGCCGACTACGAGCACTTCTGGGCCCTCCCGCGGCCCGAGAAGGATGTCTCGGATGCCGCTTTTGTGGCCCTGATCTTTGTGATGCTGGCGATGGGCACGCAGTTTGTCTCGACGACGCCGCCGCCGCAGCGGAAGCACTCAGCCGAGTTTTACGCTTCCGCCAGCAACCAGGCTTTACGTCTATGTTCGTACCTAAGCACCGCGTCTCTCCGAAGCGTCCAGGCCATGGTTTTGATCACATACTTTCTCATCAACGACAACCACGCCTCAGACGGATGGGCATTTGCCGGCATCCTCATGCGGCAAGCATACGCGATGGGCTTGCACCGCGACCCGAACATCGGTAACACCGCCTTTCTGCTTCTCCCATCCTCTCTTTTTCTCTTTGCATCCATCAGCCTAACCAATCTCCCGCTAGTCGTCCCGCATGCATCGCCCTTCGAGAAGCAACAGCGGCGCAAAGTCTGGCAGGCCGTCCTGCTGCAGGACACCTTCCTGACGGTGCTCCTCTCGCTGCCGCCGTCGGCCACGCACACGGACGTGTCGGTCGACGACCTGGTCGTCGAGGACGACCACTCGTCCATCGGGAGCGACGACCCCACCGACACGGCCTACATACGCGGGTCCTGGACCCTGGCCAACCTGGTCCAGGAGACCATCTGCTCCCCGCGCTCGCTCGACCTGCCCATCTGCTCCACCCCGCGCCACAAGGCCAAGCTGGTCGCCGACTTCCGCGCCGTCTACCGCTCCTTCCCGGACGTCTTTCGCAGCTGGGACAGGGAATCGCTCGCTGCCGTGTGCGCCGCTGCCGCCTCCGACGGAAGGGACAGGGTCGCGGCCGTGGTGGTCCCGCCCGCCGGTGCGGGTGCGGGTGTGGGTATGGATTTGGGTGTTGGTGTCGGTGTCGCGGGGGAAGGCGGCAAGCGGCGCGTCGTGCGCCAGACGCTTTGGCTGAGCAGCAATTACTTCCACAACCTGATGCTGGTGCATGCCTCCGAGACTAAAGGGGTGCCGCTCAACGTGCGCGGCACGCTCGAGGCGGCCCACGACGCCATCCAGGCCTTCTTTGTGCTCTTTGAGCTGTTTGAGGACGAGGCAAGGGTGTGGTGGGTGTTTAACCACCGCGCATTTCTCGAGGCGCTGTGCATGGGCAACGTCCTGCGCGAGGTCGGCATGAGGGAGGGACCCGAGGCGCTCGAGAGGGATCCGTTGTTTGTCAGGGCTAGAGCGGATATTCGTGAGATTCCTTACCCTTTTCTTCCTTTCCTTCCTCAACCTCACCCAATCTTTTCGTGTTGATTGTTTAACGAGGGCTGTGGGTTTGATCAAGACAGTGTGCTAACTTGTGTCAATGACCAACAGACCGCATGATACAGATTATGCAGAGGATGTGCGAGGGCGAGCAAGGCTCTCAGACGGCGAGGACTAGGGTGCAGGTCCTGACTGAGTTGCTACTCTAGCCTAGCATATTTACTGCGTATGGTGGTTTGGGCGTCGGGTTGGAGTTTGCCTCTTTTTATGTAGCGCGTCTTGAGTTTTGTTTCTCTTCGCTAATTCCAGACTAAAGGAGCATATATACCACAAACTGCTTTGCTTGTGTTTGTATTAGGGTTGGCAGGCTATCTCGGCGTATTTTGTCAATCAACCCCTGAATATGCTGTCCTACCGGTTTGACGTCTTGCCTACCGGTTCTTGACCTGTTGAGCCGAATTGGTCCTGGGGTATTTCAAGGGTAACCCACGACAATCACTGCAAGCCAAAGCTGACTATTCTGATCCAGTTATCTCAGCTCGCCAGTGTTCACCAGTGTACCAGATCGACGTGGAACTGCCGGTAACAAACCCAGGTCTATTTCCCCGTGCTCCCTCCCGAATGTAATGCACAACGTCCCGGCACGCGGGTTTATCAGGCATGACGAGTCGGCCTAGAAATCGCCTGGCTCAATCATGCTTTTCCATCTCCGCATCAGTAGCGACCTCAGCTGCTTCCTCCTGAACCACGCCATCTTCCTCTTCTGGGACAAGTGCAACCAAGGTTTCCGCATCTCCAATGCTGGCCTCCTCCTGAGCCTCGGCGTCCTTCATTTCCTCATCCTTTACCTCGTCATCTTTCGTCGTATCCTTATTCTTCTGTATGCCCATATTGATGAGCGGCGTCGTATCATTGTAGATCCGCAATAACATGGCGCTGCGATCTTCCTTGGGCAGCATCAAATTCAAACTCTGAAAGCTCTTCCACAGGGGCAGGGCCATGTGCTCGGAAAAGTCCTCGTCCCCTTCCTCGGGCTCGATGCGGAGCACGCAGCAGCCCAGCGCCAGATCCCGGACGCGCTCCCCGATCTCGTCCATCCGCTTCCAGTCGTCCCCGGTAATCTTGGGGAACATTTCGACAAGAAGCTTTTTGAGCGTCTCCTTCTTCTTGAGAACCACAACCCTCTCCTCGCCGACATAGCCATGCAGGATAGGCATGCCTTCGGACTGGATGCGCCAGCGGCAGACCTCGGCCGACGGCGCGTCCTGCTTGACAAACATTTTGACGCCGCCGTGCACGAACTTGACGCCGCGGCCTTCGTTGAGCACGAGAATGTCGCGCACCAGCGCGCTCGTGTAGTAGATGGCCTTGGCGGGCTCGCCGAGCGCATTGCGCACCATGTACCGGTCCGAGGGGAAGCGCGGCGAGATCTTGTAGAACTCCGACACGTTCTTGATGACTTCATGGTCCGGGGAGAGAAACTTGAAGGGTTCCTCGTAAGGACCGTCCGGCTTCCTCCTTGGTACCGGCATCATCTCCGCCTTCGGGACGGCTGATGCTGCCGGGTCTGTCTGCTTGACTTCTAAAGTGGTTTCCTTGGCTGCTTCGCCGTTAGCAGCCCCTTCGGTTTTGGGCTTGACCTCAGGTTCGTCTTCGATCTTTGCTTCTTCTTCAACCTTGACCTCTGAGGCCGTGGGCTCAGCAACAGCCGGTTCCTCCGAGAGCCTTAGCTTCTTAACGCCGGCTTCCTCTTTATCCTCTTCCTCCAGGGGCCGCTTCGCCGGAGCCGCTTTGCCATTGGGTTTTGCATTCTGAGCGGGCTGCTTCCTGTTCTCCTCGGGCTTCGCCTTGAACTCGGACTTTTTGTGGAGAGCGGTGATAAAGAAGCCGCCCGTGTCCTGCTGGTGGGCATAGACACGCATACACCGCTCCAGGGGAAGATCAGCGCAGTCGCTACCTGCAGGTCTGGGAAACATGCTCTCGACAAGTTTGCCCGGCGCGACACCATCCTCGGTGGATTTCGTGTACTCCTGGACCTCCTCCCACGTGTTCCATAAGCGACAAGACTTGTCCATGATTTGCCACTTCCTCAGACCTGGCTTCCGCTTTAGTAGTGGGAGCTGATCGCTGCAGTCAATGATTTCAACCTTTTCCGGTCCCCCGCAACGTTCAATCGCAGCCGCCACTACGGCCTCGTTCTCGACAGGGTTCATGCTGCAGGTCGAGTATACTACTCGTCCGCCGGGCTTCAGCATCTGCAGAGCGCGCACAAGAATCCTAACTTGAGTCAGGTGAAGGCCCAGGGCGTTACCAGGCGTCCAGTCTTTCCAGAGGTTGACGTTCTTCCGAAGCGTGCCATCTCCAGAGCACGGGACGTCGGCGAGAATACGGTCGAACTTGAGGTAGTTTGGTTGGTGGGGTTTTTCAGGGTTCGGTATCCTCAGTGCAGGATACATGGTAGCGTCGTGATTTGTAACGATCATGTTTGGCGATGACAGGCGCTTGAGCTGATGGATCAGCATGTGACTGCGCTTGTAATCGGCGTCGTTGGCGATAAGCATGCCGGTGGCTCTGCCATCGTCGCTCGGGTCGGCTTCCAACCGCGCGGCCTCCTCTTCCTGAGCGTCTTCGGTTTTGACTGCGTCACCGGCGAAGGTGCGAACAACCTGCCGAATGCGTGCCTCCTCCCCGCGGTGGATCATTTCCAGCAATTGAGCTGCCTTGCTGCCGGGCGCAGCGCAGAGGTCGAGGACAGTCATGCCGGGCTTGAGGTCCATGAGCAGAGGCGGGATCATGCTCACCACCTCCTGTCTGCTGATGTTGCCAACGCTGGTTTCGGACACGAGGAACTTCTGGAACGCGGCGAATGGGGGGAACTTGCGGACGACATTCTTTGGCGTGGTCATGGACCAGGCGAGCGAATCGGGGTACCATGGAACAGGTTTGGGCGGGTCGACGGTGACGCCTTCGTGAGTAATGCGTGTAATTTCGGGGATGTATCTGGTCTGAAGCAGTCGCTTGACGGCCAGCGCGTGGCTACACAACCGTCAGTTCGCAACGATATGCCGGAAGGACAAGTTACTCTGCATATCATGTCCTCACCCTTTGGACCCACAAAATCTGAAGCTGTTGGGTAGGTCTCTCTTCAAAGCCGCCCAGAACTCGGCCTTTTCGTCATCAGGTAGTCCCAGCAGCGTGTCGTAGTATTGCTGCAACTTCTGGTTCTCCTTGACCACCTCGGGGTATCGCTGATACGGCTGATGGCCTCCACGGTTGTCACGGCTGCGGCCGCCACGACCGCCGCCTCGGTTTCCCTGCAACAAGTACCGTCAGTTTGGATTTCCGAAGGCTTGGGTTGAAGAGACAAAGAGTTTCGGGTTGTCCTCACCCGTTTCCCACGCCCCATGACTGCAATTGCCGTAAGCGACGCGACGAGATTAAGGGCAGTACGGCGCTACTGGAAGCAGTCACGATGCGGTCCAGGTACTTTCAATTGGTGGTCGCGTTCAGAGAATCAATCGCAGCAGCACATTTTTTCCCTGACGAAAGCAAATGTGGGGGCGGGGAAATCGTTATCTTGCCGCCGGCCCCTGCTCTCCATTCGCACGATGTGGGGCTACAAAGCCGACTGTGTGCCAAGACACTAGTGAGGCTAACGTTAGGAAGTGTACTGTACTCCAACAGCATGTCGTGAATCGTCATGCTCAAGCAGCTCTTGATGGAACAGGAAGAAGCCATGTAAGTAACAGCTAGATTATAAGACATGGTGGTGTTGGTACTTTACATGCAATATACATATATGTCGTTGTATCAATGATTCTAGGTAGATCCCAGTCCTTCGTTATGTCGGATTAACAACTAGAGGTTGGTATCTCTTATCAAACTACTCCGTACTCCGTATTGACTGGGGGAATTGCAGGGGGTCCGAAGCAACGGGCGGACCAGCCGCGCAGTTGTTCCAGCTCACCCATCCAGCAAGCCCACAATCCAGTGCACCACTCTGTCCACCCCAAGGCCATTGATGGCGCTGACAGGAATGGCCCTGCAATCCTGCGTCCAAGCACCCTCAACTCCGCTGGGATGGGGTTCGTTCCCGTTTGTGATGGCGGTAAGATAGTCTCTCAGCTCCTCAAAATTGCTCTGCGTATCTGGGAGATCGCCTTTGGTGGCTACCACAAACCAAGGCTTCCCGGCAATATGGAGCCCGCCAACGTTCGTCGTAGGGGGGGAATAGTCTGCCATCCCGATTGCGCCCGGCATGAACGAGTCGTCCGCGTCATCGGTACCTGCCGCGTCACTCCAGTCAATGGCGGCTTGACGCTCCCGGAGACGCTCTTCCTCCTCCCGCATCTGCGCATACAGCCCGACCTCGTTCCACAACGCTTTCAGGGCGTTGACGGCATTTCCGGCCCCCAAATCGAGGACAAAGGCAAGGACACCAGCCCGCTCGACGTGCCGGAGGAAAGCGATCCCGAGGCCCTTGTCAAGATGCGCGCCTTCGATCAGACCAGGGATGTCGGCAACCGTGACCCTGGTGCGCAATTCAACCTCGGGCTCGTTGCTTGGGGTGAATGGGTCGTCAGGTGATACTCGGCGGTAGCTCGTCACCGTGGGGCGACCCTTGTTGTTGTCAAGGACAACAGTGCCAATGTTTGGCTGCAACGTGGTGAAGGCCCAATGACCCACCCGAGCACGACTGTTGCTGATGGCACGGAGCAGGGTGCTCTTGCCCGCGTTGGGCAGCCCGACCAAGCCGACATCAGCAAGGAGTTTGAGCTCCAGCTCAATCTGCATTGACATGGCCTTCTCTCCTCTGGTGGCGTACATGGGCTTTGGCACGCCTCTGGTCACGAAGTGAGGGTTCCCCAGCCCGCCGAGTGCCCCAGCCACAAGCAAGATGGGCCGGGGCGTGGGACGAGATAAATCCAAGTGTAATGGCTCCGGGGGCTGCTTGAAGATGCGGTCTCGGTTCGGCAGCCTTGGCAGCTCGATCCGCCTGGCGTCCGAGGACGACATTCCAGGGTAGAGCATCCACTTCTCTCGTTCGAGATCTTCGACCGGCTCCCCATCCGGCCCTTCCTCTACTGGCACCGGATCGCGGCTCCTCCTGCGCTTGCGGCGTGCGCGGTACTCGGCTTCTGGATCGTCCCGGCTTAGCTCTCTGACGACGGTACCCACGGGGACTGAGATGACCACGTCATCCCCGCGCTGCCCTCCCCGAGCGCTGCCTTGGCCGCTCTTGCCCTTTCCTGCACGCACGATCCGCCTTCGGGCCAACTTGTGCAGCGATGTTTCGCCGTGCACTGCCTGGATGTACACACTGCCGCCGTGCCCTCCGTCGCCGCCGTTGGCAGGCCCGTCGGGCAGAAACGCCTCTCGATGGAAAGAGATGCAACCATGGCCGCCGGCGCCGGCACAAACGGTCAATTTGGCCTTGTCAGCAAAGTTGGGCATCGAGTAGTCGTCCGGTGCTGGGTTTAGCCGGGAGTTCGAGGCGGGCGTTGTGGTTGCGACGCTGGTGCTGCTGTGGCGCTTGCCCTTGACGGCGGCCGCGGCGACTCGGGATATGTTGTTGCTGCCATTGGGCGCAAATAATGACGGGTAGAGGAATGGTAAGAGTACCCGTGGGTTATGAAGGCAGCGACAGGCCATGTTCCGTGGTGTAGAAGGGAAAGGGTTGAGACATGCCTGTCCTTCTTGAATTCATGGGGATTCTCTTCATGGTTCAGGTTTAAATTTGGACAAGGGACAGGGGAGACTTCGATAAGATAAGATTAGCCCTCGGATCCACTCACTCAATTCACAACCCTGTCAATGCCGTTTCCTTCTTGCCTCCACTGCAGACAAGATTCCGCAAAGCATCTCTCCCTTTGGTGGTGTTTTGAGGTTATCTAAAAACTGTGCGTACATATGTACCTATTTATCCTCTCCCCGCAAAACCCGCGCCATCCATGGTTCGCGTTACCTCGTTCATGCAGGCGCTCAATTGGCCATCACGCCTGCTGACCCGCGGCCAACGGTTCCCTTCCCTGGCAGCCGTTGCGTAGCGGTCAGCCATCGGGGAATGATACTTTACTTTCGGGGTGAATCGGTTAACATCCGTCCGCCACTCCGTCGTCTTGACCCGTCACGCTGGTGCCCAATTGAGGCTGGGCGAGACGGCATTGGGTAGAGCCGGACACCACGATGCAGAACGGAATTGGCTATTCGGATCATTCCTGTTACTTGATTGTTTACCTTCTCCCTCTTCCTCTTGGTCAGGCCCAGTCACCAGCACCACTTGTGCTGATCCGGGCTGCCCTCTCCACACTGCCGTTTTCTTCTGCATTCTTTCCCGGTTCCCCTCACGGTTTGCACCTTCCTGTCTTGCTGTGATCTCCCATCACGGCTCTAACTAAGGTACCTTGCCACAAACGTTGCCTCTTTTTCCCTTATCAATCTGCTGGGCTCTGCGGATACTCGATTCCATACGACGACTCAATCGTCTGAATTGGGTCTGCACTCTGCAAACCTGCAATCAAACCCTCCAGCACGACGCGGGCAGTGCGAACCAGAGCAGAGAAGCCCAGTCGAGGGTTAATTGGGCCCCCACCGGCAGCCAGCGCGTCTCGGGACTGGCTGCTCAGGACATTGGGCCGCTGCACGCTGCAGACCCAATGCTGCCAGAAGCCCTTGCACTCGAGCCACGACACAGATTGCCATACTAAACGTGGTTAAGCCCGCTTTGCATTGTGCGAGACCGCCTGCACTGGCTGGGTCATTCCAACGCCATCGATCTGTACACCTCCTTCCACTCTGTCTCTCTCTCTGTCCTTGCTTCGTCCTGCTCCGTCGTGCTGCAACCTCGGCCGTTGTCGACCAAAGAGAGCCGCATTTTTCTCCTCCTTTTGCTGCTGTGTTGCTTGCTTGCCCTCTCGCCCTCTCCTTGGTTCACTCGCCTCTCACTTCCACCCACGCCGATAGAGCACAACGTACCGACTGCAGCAACTCACCCTCTTCCCCCTCCATTCTACTGCTCTTGTCGTCTCGACTCACCCCGTTCTTGCTGCTTGAGTGTGCTCTCTGGTTCCCAGGTTAGTTCAGTCCCTAGTCCATCCACACACCCTCATACCATAACCTTAATATCCTGCCCGTGGCGTGTGCTGCGTGTTCCTCATCTTCTGGATCTCTTCTTTCCACATCACCTTTTGCTCCTCACACTACGATTCCATCCACACCCGTTGGAATCTTCCCTCTTAATCTGGGCTGGACCCTTACACCAGTTGGTCATGACGGCCATGACCGCTTCCCACGCATCACGCTTTTCTGTACTACTACCCTGAAGATTTGTGGCTCGGGACCACATGATCGAGAAAACCTCTCTGGAAGTGTCAGCACGATCGGACGCTAAACCATGTATACCAGAGATTATAATACCAAGCCGCGGAAAGGGGTCATCAGGATGGACCCGGACTGTGCTATATGTCATGCACCGGCCGCCCTCGCTTGTGAGTGCGAAGCGAAGGGCCTGGAGGTGGCCATCAAGCAGGCTGAGGCTCGTATGATGCAGTCCATATACAATGACATACGGTTAGTGCTCCCTGTCTTTGATGACTCTGTTGTTTCGCGACGGCCTTGCTGACCGGTTTGCAGCTCGTGGGTGCGCGCTCACGCACAGGACTACATACTCGCGTACTACCGGTTGATGACGGAACGACGCAAGCAGGCGCACGCACAACATGTGGAGCGCCTAAGGGCTCACGCATACCACTACTACGGCGCCGCCCCGCACCCCAACGAGCTTGCCGCTGCCCAGGCGCAGCTGAAGCGAGGCATTGATGAAGATTGGCAGGCGTCGGTACAACGCTATCCAGAAGTGCTTGAGTACTTTTTCAGCCTGGTTGAATTGACCCTGCCTGACGACAACGAACCCGCCGTCAAAGACCCGCCCCTGAGTGCCCTGAGCGGCTCGCGCAAAGCAGCGCGGCGAGTTGGCGCTCCCACCACCGTTGCCAGCGGACCCAGTCTTACTGCGCATGAGAGAGACATGCGAGACATGCGAGACATGCCCCTGCCTCGAGGACGCACGCCGCCGCCGCTTGAGCCACTACGGGAGAGAAGGACGCCAGGGCCACAGCGGAGGGCGTCCTACCGGGCACCGCCGCCGCCGCCGCAGAGTTCTTACTACCCCCCGACTTACCCATAGGATCTGCCCTTGGCATCACATCTTGGATGGGAAACCATCATGTGATGACCCAGAAAGCTCCTTCTCCCCGCCACTTTAATAATCACAGTCGTCCCGCTTGCGCCGAGGCTCTTGCATTTACGCCCAGGAATCTAACGATAGCATGGTATCTTGACCTTTCCCTCATTGCATTTCAGGGCTCTACCTGCATGGCCTGCACTGCATTTGGATGGCATATTTGACTTGTTTGCGTTTCATTTCTTTGCGAGATGCTTGGCACGGCTTGTGTAGTCAAGAGCGTCGGAGTTCTCACCAGGGCAGGGAAGAGATTTCTCGCCAACCTCTTTTCGAGACCAATCAACTGGATCTAGGATGATCGGGCTTCTGTCTGCGCTTCTCTTTTCTTCATTCGGGCTAAGCCGGCGTTGGTGGCTCCTTGCGTATGCTTCCCGGTTAGATTCGCAACCCGAAGAGACCATACCCGGAACGGTTGGACGGCATGATGCAGGCGAGGAGAAAAGGCCTTTTGTCAGCACAAGATTGGAATTGGGAAAGGCCAATTGGGTTAATCGTCAACTGGAGGAACGGTTTGATTTCCGATCTCACTGGGGAGGAATTGGCCCCAGGGCTGGCGACCGAGCTGGGTGGTGGGGATGCTCGACGACTTTTAGAAGAGTCCAACAAGCTGAAAAGCTAGCCGGACCTTGCTCTTTGGGTAGTCGAACGCATTCCCGTTGTCCGGATACTTTGTATATACATGGATTGGAGACGATGATATACGGTGCTATAATCCAATGTTGAGATGTGTAGTCTCATTGAGAGTTCCTGAACCGCTCATGGTGCAGCCCTTTCAATCACTCTGGAATCCACAGGGCAGTTGATCTCCTCCCTGATGGTTAACAAGCACGGTCAGGGGATAGCCAATCCCGGACAATCGCATTCTGGATGAAGTTCAAACCGGGCCAACTCTCCCTGCGCGACACAGCTGTTCGGATTTATTTGAGGCATAGCAATTGTGTGGTGGCATGTAGATGGATACAAACAGCAGCCACAAATAGCCCTTTCTCCAAGCCCCCAACCCGGCCAAACCCCTTTTCTTAGCAACCCCTTCTTCGCCTTGCAGATGTTTGGTCTAGATGCCCATGCCCCTATCCGCTGCGGGAATGGGGTGCCCAATAAAGGGCACTGTACCAATATCATTACAAATTGTAAGCAGCTGGATGCCCAAGATAAGAAAACTGAAAAAGGGCACATTCTTGTCGTTTCCCTGCCGTGTCGTGTCGTCGTATCCCCTTGTGTTGTGTCGTGTTGTGTTACCACACCCCCGTCCGCCATCGCCATCGCCATCGCCATCGCCGGGAGACACAACAGCACGGGGGACGAAATGGCAAAACAGAACAACAGGGGGGTGTGTATGGGATTGGGGTTGGGAGCCGGGAGACACACGGGAGCCGGCAGACCGCCGGATGCCCAACACGGACCAGCACAAAGAACACGCAACGACATAAACGGCCGGCTAACGGCGATGGGTATGGAGTCAGGATGGCCGGTCACGCGGGAGGGGGGTGGGCGGCATGAACCGACGTTGGGATGGGCAGTTTTTCAACGTTAGACCACCGCGCCTTTTCCCCAACTGCTTCTTCCAGCGCGCTTCTCGCCGGTTTCACAACCATTCTTTCCTCGTCCCCTTGCTGTTCTGAATAAGAAAGGCCCGAAGATGACATGGCATGGCGGAGGGAAGGAAAGAGAACGGGAAAGAACTGGCGGGAATGGATGGTAACGATCAATTTTTGACTAAAACTACAAATCAGAAGAGCTAAGCAAAACCCTCGCAACCACCTTCCCCCCAGCCACCGCAAACCCACGGCCATTTGTTTAAACCGCTGGCGTCCATCCATCCCTCGCGGTGCGAGGAAACTAGAGCAAATCAACGACCACCCTGTGTGCCAACCGCCTTCTTATGCGACAGCAACGACAACTCCGGGCCCATTAGTGGGGGTTCCGTTCTCCTATGCATCAGCCCCCACCTTCTCGGCTTCGGGAGCTGCCGCTGTCGCGTCCTCCTTCTGCTCAACCGCTGCCTTGTCGGTCGCCTCCTTTCCGTCCGCGCCATTGGCCGGAGTGCTTGTGCCGGGCGACGCCGTACCGGCTTCCTCGGCCTCAAGGCGCTCAATCTCCTTCTTGGCCTTTTCAATGTTCTAAAGGCAAAAAGTTAGCGAACTGCTGAGAACAGTAAGGGGGCTGTTGTTCTGGGGGTAACTAACCTTGCGAGTCTGCTCAGGCTGGTCGGCCTTCCACTGCTCAAGCTTGGCCTTGATCTTCTCCATGGCGTCAGGCACCTCAGCGGCGCTCATCGGGGGGTTAACACCGATGAAGGCGCAGTCCTCCATGACGGAGGGTGGGCAGCTGAACTTGGACGAGGCGGTGGCGGGAGCCTCGGTCTTCTTGGCGCCTTTGCCCTTCTTGCCCTTCTTGACAGCGGGCATGTACTCATCGTCACGGTCCTCCTTGCGCAGGACGCGCATGCCCTGCAGGCCCGAGTCGTCGACCTTGCGCTGGGCCGTGGCGGCCAGGCCCTTGTCAGCCAGGAGCGGCGTCTTCTCCACGACCTGGTGGGTCGGGTCGAAGAAGCGCAGCAAACTGTTGGCCCGGCGGATCTCCTCGAGGAAGGCGGGCTCGCTGGCCTCGGCGAGCATGGCCTTGGCGCGCTCCATCTTGCGCTCCTTGGCGATGCGCTCCCGCTCGGCCTGCTCACGCTCGCGCCGCTTCTCACGCTGCTCCCGCTCCCAGGCCTGGTAAGCCTTTCGTTGGGTGTAGTACTCATCCTTGTGCTTCTTCAGGGCCTGCCACGTCTCTTCCTGGGCGGCGCGGAGCTTGTCACGCTCCGCGAAGAGGGCCGACCGGTTGTTATAGGCCTCGCTCTGCTCTGCCTTGATGGCGTCCAGCTCAGCCTGAATCTGGTTGTACTGCTCGTTGAGCGCCTTGGCCTCAGGGTCTTCCATTGAGTCTTTGATTTCCTTGATCTTGGCCTTGAGGTCGTCAATGGCCTTCTGCGAATTGTCGAACTGGCTGAAGGTCTTGCCCAGCTTGCGAAGTCTTGAAATCTCGTCCAAAGCCTTCTTCTCGTCGACGATCTTCATGGTACCGCTGTTAACGTCGCGCTCCAGCCCGGCAATCTTTTGCTCAATCTCCTCGACGCTCTTGAAGGGAACCTTGGCGCGGGCGGCCTTCTGCTCGGCGATCCGGCTGCGGAGCTGTTCGTCCAGCCGCTTGATTTCATCCAGCTTGGCGTTACGGGCGTTCTTTCCGACGCCCTGCTTCTTGCGGATCTCATTGGCTTGGGCGATCAGCTCCTGGCGGCGCTGCTGTGCTGGGTTCTCCTTGTTCTTGCCAGTTGAGACCAGGTCGATCTTGGCCTTGATGGCATTCTGTGTCAAGCGTTCAGGTCAATATTGTAGTCCAATGGTAGGGGGCGAGCAAACGGCGTCGCCACAGAGCCAGTTAACGCTGGTTTAAGCCGGGCACCTACAAGTTTTTCCCGGGCAATATCGTTCTCCTTTTCGAGCCTGGCGTGCTCCTTCTTGTAGGCTTCCTCATCGGGCTTGACGGGCTTCGTCGTCGCTGCAGGGGCAGCAGCCGCAGGCGCGGACGGGGTGCTTGATTCGGTAGCCATGTCGGGCAACAAAGAGTGAATAAGTACTAGCTAGAATGAAAGGGCGACGATATAGAGGAAGACTGGATCCTGAAGAGGACGGTGAATGGCCTGGGATCTCTCCAACCTGGAAGAGCGAAAGTGGGACAAGAAAGGGGCCAGACCAGGACTCTTATTAGTTAGGGGCAAGGCAATTCCCCAACACCAACCCCACCAGAACCTTCACAATGGTCCGATGTTGGTGAATAGCGAACCTCGGGGAGGTGCAAGGTGTAGGGTGGATAGAGCGCACTTTCCTGTGTCCAAACGATCTGTCCCCGAAATTTTATTCCCCAATTGAGCAGTGGCCTTTTCGTCCATGTGGCTCGTGCAGGGGCCTAACGCCGCACGAACCAGGGCCCTGACTGCATGTGGGGCGCTGCTTGACAAGACAATGCCCTTTTTGGCTGCGGACCCTCTTCTTTTTTCGACCGATTCTTTCAGCCTCGTCGTAACGCAACATCCTCAAAGGCTCAAACCTTGCCCATCACCGCGAGTTGCACCATCATCCCACCGCTCGACGCTCGCCTAGAAAGATCGCCAGATATCCGGAATTCAGCCACGAGAGTCGCCTGCCATGGAGGACGACAATGCGAACAACAACGCCTCCGTCTTTGCCAAGGAGACGACGCGGCTATGGCGAGCATGGAGGACAATCCACGAGATGGTGCAAGACAGGGTGGGCAGCGCATTTTCGCCGCTTCGCAGTCTTGAATTATGACAAAGTCGCTGACATGTGAACTCCTCTCGCCGTAGGGCTACGAGTTGGCCGAAGAGGAAGTGAAGATCTCGCTCGACCGGTTCCGCGCTGAATACACCAACGAGGACGGCAGTCCCAAGTCAGTTTTCTCTGCCTCCCCTTTCCACTTCTTACCTCTCCCTACAGAGGCACTGACCCTCTCATCAGCCGCGCGAAAATGCAATTCTCCGCCCGTCCTTCCGAAGCCATGATCAAAAAGTTCACGCCGCCGCCGACGCCCTCCAACCCGGACCCGGCGCCGGAATGCGGTACCGTGTGGGTCGAGTTCTGCCCGGACAAGTCGTCGATCGGCATCAGCGTCATGAAGAAGTTTGTGGAGCACTGCAGCACCAACAATTTCAAGGCAGGCATCCTGGTGACGGCATCGGCGCTGTCGGCGCAGGCCCGCAAGGTCATGACCATCACGTCCCACTTCACCATGCTCGAGTGCTTTCTCGAGGAGGACCTGCTCGTCAACATCACCCACCACGAGCTTGTGCCCCGCCACATCCTCCTTAGCCGTGAGGAGAAGGCCGCCCTGCTCAAGCGCTACCGCCTCAAAGAGACCCAGCTGCCCCGCATCCTTTCCAAGGACCCGGTCGCCCGGTATCTGGGCCTCAAGAAGGGCCAGGTGGTCAAGATTATCCGGACGAGTGAAACGGCGGGAAGGTATGCCAGTTACAGGCTCTGCGTATGACCCGTTTTTGCTGGGGTGCATGGTGTTGGATGGATTAGATGTGGTGGTTGGGCGGATTCGGAGCATCATGGAGCTTGGTTTCACTCAAACAAAAAGAGGGCGTTCAAGGCTGGTTATCTATTCCACCTGTTTCGGCGTTTAGGGGAGGGTTTTGAGACATTTTCACTGGTTTCACTTTGACATTGGTTTGCCTGAAGTCGAGATCTTCACCTGGCGTCTATCGCGCTTCTGAACCATTTGTAAGTGAGCTTGCCGGGCAGATTATCATCCATTGGATGGCTCAACGTACGAACCAGACAATGTTAGCCACAGAACTGGTTGAAGCTGCCAGGCAAAAAATCTACATTACTATTTACATCCTCGCTAGTTCCCTATATGTTCACGATCCCGAATAAAGTACAGGCGCATGTGACGCCGGGGTATAATTGCTATGTAAACGCGATTGCAATGAAGCCAACGATAGACTCCCAGCTAGTTCTTCCAACACTGGGCTAGCTGCTCGCGTGAGCCAAATCTTCATTTGGTTTCGTGATGTCGAGCACCATTCCCGTCTCGTGCAGATATGCCTTGCTGTCTAGTTGGCCGCGGAGGCATCACGGTGCTGTCGAATCCCCATTCCGGCGCTGCTAACACCCAGTTCATTTGGACTTGGTTCCGCCATAGGACAAATGGCTTCATAGTATCGTTCTCCCCAAGCACATGCTGTTTTGTGTGTGGGCGCAGGGAGAGGAGAAGGAGAATGTGTGTGTGTTGGTGTGTGTGTATTCCGTCTCGTCACTGGACTATGAGAGACGCTCGTTCTGCCCTCCTCCAACAGATGTGGACCGCAACGACTCAAACTGTGTTGCGGCTCTTGAGTAGACCGCCCACCATTGACTTCGGACTTGACTTTTGAGCGGCATCGGAAGATTCCGCCGGCTCGCCTGGCGCTTGAGCTTGAGGCTGCGGCAGCGACTGGGATGAAGTGCCGTTCTTGGATCCTGGCTTCATTGCTTTCGCCGGCTTGGAAGGTGGCGGCATCAAAAAACCACCTAGGTCCTGCAATAGAGCTGCCGAACCCCTCCGAAAGCCGCTTACGCCTGCGGGAATAACCGGTTCTGGCACCGGGGCAGAAGACGCCGGTTGATCGTGGGAAGGGGCACTCTGTCGCCGGCTTTTAGGGTCTTGCTGGTCCTCGAGTAAGCCCCCGTAGTCGAAAAAGGAGACTCTTCGGGTAGCAGTCGAGTTTCTCCTGATTGACGGCACTCCTTCTCCTTGTCCACCACTGCGGTTCGGATTTGCGCCTTTCTGCACCGGGAACTGCCATGAATCCATGTCCTGCCTCAGCTGGGCCACCGGGGCTGGTATATATCGCCGGCTATCCGTCAGCGATGGATGGGGATCTCGTAACTCTGGCCTTATACCATAGCCCATATCCCGAACCAGATCCTCGTCGCTCCCCCAATGCTTTAGAACGGTCGGCCGCCGGGACTCGGAAGCCGACGAGCGCTCCAGCGAACCCGCTGCGACGGATTCGTATTTGAACCTCCTCTTCTTCACGCCTCTGTCTCGGACGAACGAGCCCAGGACCAAGGCGTTTGCCGCAGCGGTCGCAAAAAGCAGCTCAATGGAAGCATAAAGTGAGCGACTCTGTTGAGATCCATTGGATTGAAAGATTTGCGGCACCCGATAGAGCGTGACGGCAACCGGGGCAAGGCTGAGAGAGAAGAGCAGCACAAGGTGGAACTTGCGCTTGGCAGTCATTGAGCTCCTGAGAATAACAAGGACAGGAAAGATCACCAGCAACAAGTCTGTCAGGACATTACAGACAGCCATGGTGAGGAGCTGCGCATACCCCTGGCGGCATTGTCCTCCCGGGTCCGGCAACACCTGCCAGTAATGGGAGAAGGGTTGGCATTCTGCCAAACCACTTATGACAACGGCAATGAAAGTCATGATGAGAAGTGCGCGAACGAATGCGAGCGAGATCTCATAAGACCGCTGCCAGTTGACGTTGAGCCGACGCAAGAACTCGAGGATGGCGTACTTTAGTACCCACAACCTATGATCAAGAGAGAAGTCAGCGGCAGCTTCTTGCAACGAAGCTCAAGGCGGTCTAAAGTAGCCTGAAGGAAGACGTCACACATACGCTGCGGCGTAGAGAATCCGGCTAAGCAGGACCAAGCCGCTTGCGATTGACTTTTTGTGGAGTTGTTCGTCCGAAAGTCCAGCACCGGCTAGCTGGGCATTGTTAGTGCCATAGATCAGAATGACATGAACGCAGCCCATGCGCAGGAATAGCGGAACCAGGGCCAAGGCTGCCGTGTTATCCTCCCTGAACAGCTTCTCGGTTCGTATAAGCCTGCCAGCAAGCCGCAATAGAATGATGGCGGAGCAGAACAGGGTCATCCACCAGCACACTAGGAGAGTCGGCTTGTCTTCGCTGAACGGGTGCAACGGCGGGGGGTCTGAGTACAGAGCCATGATAGTGCTCTGGGGACGCCACGCCCGTCATCCTCGATAGAGGGGACGAGCGGGGAAAGTGACGGCGCTCGATTGGGATTCAGTCTTCCACAGGACAGATGAGTTGGCGTTTTGACGGGGCTTGTCCTGTGTACCCCAGATTCGCGAATGTATGGAGGCGGCTCAAGAGGGTTACAGCAGCCTCAGAGGTTAAAGTTATGACGGCTCTCTCGTGGTAACGTTAGGGTTGCGATGGTAATCTGTGACTGGGCCGTCGGGATTAACAAGCCCCTGCCAGACCGCTGCATACAATCAATTGTGGATCGAGCGCTTCGCGGCAACGAAATGGCGAACTCTTGAAAGGTTTGCAGAGTAAGAGCACGCACGAGCAAGCGGAAAGAAGGCGGAAACAAAGAAGACGGCAAGAACAAGACTGTTGTGGGCCGATAGGTATAGTACCGACTAAAAACGCCCAACATGAGAAGAAGAGTTGGACGACGCGGGAGGGTGGGCTGGTGGGACGAGATGGCTGCGACCCTAATGCCGCAGTTGCAAGAGCCTGCATCATGGTCGGTGACCGGAAAGGTGGGCCCAGCTACACTAATGTACTTGTACCTAATGAGTTTAGTAGGGAATTAGTAGATCGACATCTTGAGAGGCGCATCCTGGCATAGAACACAGCGTTCTGCTATCTTGCACATGAATGATGGCTGTAGGTTGGTCTTTGTACTAGGGTACACCCCATAGCAGGCGGTCCCGAAAGTGCCGTTGGGTAACTCCACTCGGGCGATGGCGGATTTCGGTTGTGCTGCAGCGCCAGCGGGGTCGTTGTTAGATAACCGCCTTATCCTGCCCTGCAGAAGGGGTAACTGCCCAGGTGGCCAACTAAACGTTTATGATCAGCTTGGCAGGTAGTTCCCATCATCTAACGGAAGCATGGCAAGCAGTGAGCTCGAGTTCCCCCGAGCCAACAACGCAGATAGTTGATAGCCGAGGTGGATCTGAGTGAATTAACGGGCAATTTCATCTCTTGCGCTTCAGTGAAGTTGAAAGTGGGGTTGATAGGAAAGTCGACGATTTCCCAATCTTTATTTTCGCTTGTTAGCGCATGTCCGAGCGCTGCCACGTGCCTGACACGTCGCGAAAGTGAGACAACGCCACCACAGCAGGCAACTCCAAGCCACCACCGATAAACCCTGACGAGGGAACAAAACATGGGTAAAACGCACTGTACAGTCCAACCCTTGTTCGTTCGTTAGCGTGGTACACACCACAGTAGGATGGATCTGAACAAGCATGCAAAGCCAACCAAAATCAATTGCGAGAATTCATTGATTTGAAGCCCGGGCGATAGCTGTTTTGAAGCCCTGTCAATGCCGGCTGATCCGAGTGCTTTGCAACGTTGTAAACCATATAAGGAATAGTCGGCTGGAGAGGTTGAAGAAAGAGGAAAGGTTGAAGCCAGGGTGGAAGCCAGAGTAGGAAGTTGAAGATTATATAAGCCGAAAAATGGGTCAGTGAGCCAGATGCGCATGCTTTGATTGGCCAAAGGCATCTAATTTCTGTGCTGTGGTTGGCTAGAAAATATGGGACAAGTCTCACGCTAACAAACGAACAAGCCTTATCCTGTATGCCGCAAGGGCGCTCCTGGCGGCGCTGAGTTGCGGTGAGGACGGCGGAACTGTTTTACAGTGTTTGTACATGTGTGTCTTGTCCTCGCTCACGTTCTTATCGACGACGACTTCATACAGTTATTGGATGCAGCGGCTTGCGTTCCTCTCAGCATCCCTGAACAGTGGCCGATCAACCGTGAAGCTGCCATGTGAAGTCTCACATGCTAGGGAATACGATGCAACGGGCACCCAGTTATGGCCACACCTCGACCTTTTCCCAACTACCAATAACCTCTCCACCGGCAATCTTCGAGTCCCCTCCATCACGATACGCATAGAGATACCGCCTAGGCCTCATCTCATCCCTTAGGTCGACCTGATCCACTTCCTCCGGCACGATGACCACGACCCGGAAGTTTTTGCGAGCCGCCTCATCCTCCAAATCATCCAGCCTCTGTCCTAACGCCTCGCCCTGACCAGCCGAGTACGCAATCGGCGTGCCAGGCGGCGGGCCCTTGAATGAGCCGCGCATGATGGGGCTTAGGTTGCCGAAATGCGCCGTGACCTCTCTTGCAAAGCTCCACTGCTCTCTATTCCCTTCACCACTCTCCGCCTGAACCCGCCTCCTCATCCGGGCCATCAACAAGTCCCTCACCTTCCTCGGCCCTTCTTCCTCGGAGTCGACGTCCGCGGCAAGAACCCACGCAGTGCCCCGAACACGCCACTGCGCCTTGTCGGCCTCGATCCAAAAGACAGCCTCTACAGGCCCGCCGCCGCCGGTCATGGCGCCGCCGCCGGCCCCGCCAGCACTGTCAAAGAGCTCGCCTGCCTTGTCGGTGCGGGCGTCGGTGGTGAAGACGGGCAGGTCGGACTCGTACAACGGCGGGTTGCGCGGTGCCGGGTTGGCGGCTTGCGGGTTGCACGGCAACTCGCCCCACAGGCCGCGCAGGACGCAGGTACGTGCCCGCGGCAACGCGGGGAGGCCCGCCGACGGCGCCTCCGAGGCCGGCGCTGGATGGAGGGTAGCCAGCGTGAATGTAGGCGAATTCAGGTGGGCCAGGTGCGAGAGGAAAAGGGAGCGCCACGGGGCGGGCGAGGAGGGTGAGGTCGACATTTTAAAGTTCGTTTTCAGCAAGCGGTGGGGGGCGGTGTGGGGGGTGCGTAAGAATGTTATGGTAAAAGGTGAGTAGGAAAACGTTGTGGTCTTCAAGATGTTGCTTTGAGAAGTTAAGCAAGCCTTCAGGTTTTGGGCCATTAACTGTGGGAGTTGAACCCCCTCTTCTCCTTAGGTTTGTCTTGTGAAGTTACGAACCAATTCATCAGCAGGTCATGACTTCATCACTGATGATTTCCGCTGCGGGGCTGCTGCCACTCCCGTTAGACTGTCATGGCGCCGTCACAACGATCGGCCGGGGGTGCGGGACGCATGCAACCTGCCTTTTTGGTAACATTAATCAACCCCTCGACCCAGATTGCTGGGACTGCTAATTCCCGTTGCCCGACAAATGGCAGTGACGGGATGATTTGCTATATGTACCACGCATCTCCATGTCCCCGGCCTTCTAATCAAATACATAGAACAACAAGTGTATGCCTGACCTCGAAGAGCAAACAGGACGCTTTTCCCTTCGTACCACTTGCCTATGCTGTACTGTACACATCTCTCAGATCGGTTTCCCTTGTTTCCTTTGATTGAGATTACCTGGTATGCCGGTACATGTGACGATGAGCGGTTCCGACGGGAGCCTGAGGCTATACGTCACAAGACCAACCCAGGAATTGGGACCATATAGTCAAGTCTCGGTAGGGCATTCCATATTTCCCTAAATCCACAAGACTCCAGGTAGGTCCTACTTCATGGCAAAGTACTAAGGTAAGGGGGAAGGTGCGTGTGAGCAGCTGGACTAGCTGGCACTCGCACTGAGACTCAACTCACGCGATAACAAGCTCTTTCCACCTAGGAATGTGGTCAGAGTCTACCCAAGTGGAAGTCTTATGTGAACAACGTCAAACAAGGCATCGTGGGTCAGACCCTTGAAAGTTGGATCTGCGTCATCGATGGTAGTCGAACAAGTGCGAAGCGCTTCACTACAGAGTTCAATTGTTATTCACCACATTACTCCAGACCTCTTCCCACCAATTGTTTCCTTTTAAAGGGAGCTCTTCCTGCCTCCCTGTCACACCATCAAAATGATCCCTTGTGGGTTTTGCTCTTCCATCTTCACCCCAACCAAAGGCCCCAAAGTCCGAAACTCGACATGTCAACATTCTCACGCACGCAAGATCCAGATGGAATGTCATGGCATCTGGCTCGTCACCGAACAGATCCCAATCTTCAGTTCTTATCCCAGTGCTATATCTGAACTTATCCGGCAACCGAACATGAACGCGCTCGGGCTCTTCATCCCATCGCCTCAGGACAATAGCCCCACCGACAACGGAGTAAAACAAGCCGGTCCCGGCCTTTCTGGCAATGACAGCGACATCGGTGTTGCGGAAATGGCAGATGATGTCTCCTTCCCTTGCTGAGCCGGGGGCGAGAAGGATCTGTCCGCGTGTGCCTATGGCAAACTTTGGATGAAGTTTAAGGGCTGCTGTCTGCATGCAACGGCAAAGAGCGCCGTTACGTGGAGCTTCTGGACAGGTAAGATCTCCTTTGGTGTCGGTGTATGTAGGACAGATATCGTCCCAGCGAGGCTTGGGTTTTCCAGGATGAGACCTGTATGCGTAGGATTGACGGCTGTCAATGGCTATTGCTCTTTTGCAATCTTGTGGAAGAGATGGAAGGGTGCTTATCAGATTACTAGGGAGATCGTTTCCGTGGTTGAGGATCCGGTGAAGATAAAGACGGTGCCAGGTCATGAGCTGAGCTTTTGCATTTTCAGGCGTTGTGTAGTCCTCGCCGAGAACGCATATCGATCCAGTCATGACGCCCCTGGTCAGAAACGTGCCGGATATTTGGCGGTCCCTTTCCAATGGGATGTTCTCACCAGATACGAGTGGCGCGTCACCAGGAATGCAAGGACTCCAACGAGAGAGACCGCCCAGGGTCCGCTGAAGCAGCTGGCTGAAGCTAACGAATTGATCATCTGTCCTGATTCCGGGCGCCAAAATCATGGCTTCGTACAGTTGCAGCCGTGTCTGGCGGTAATCGGGGCGTATCCTGCCCCGGTTACTGGAAATACCCAGCAGCCCATACACCTTGTCCCTCGGATCGGTGCAGCGGGAATGCATGAAGATGACCAACGACTCGAAAAGACTGAGACCGGGGCCAAATTCGGGACGTGCCTTGTCCAGCCTGTAGTACAGGACTCTGGCGGCCGGCGTATTGGCTAGTTCTAGGACATATCGCGGCGCCCCGTGCTTCTCCCCCGGCCCCCCGGCGTACCTCAGATAGGTCAAGAAGCGAGCGAGGATGGGCCACTCAAGAATGCAGCTTCCGCATTGGATGCGAAGCTGGCGTCCCAGGACGATTTCCTGGGTAATCCAAATTCTCCTCCAGTATCGCAAGGAGAAGAAGGCCGCGACATCATTCCATTCACGTCGCCTATGAGCGAGGCTGCTAACTCTGCGTTCTGAGAGTTCTGTCTTAGTTAATCCACTCATTACGACTGAGAGCTTCTCGCAAGACGGCGTGAGATGACGCCTCTTCGCCGTTTCAAGCGCGGCACACGGCTTGGTAATAGACAGTTCCATCAAGAACAGCATCGCCGAATGCACCACCTCCTGCATGACCAACCCAACCCAGCTTACAACTCTCGTGGCTGCGCTATAGATGTGCGCCATCATGGCAACCTGCTCGCTACGGTCACGGGGGTTGCTCTGCCAAATGCAAAGCGCGTCGACCCACAAGGTCCGGTTTTTGTGTGGAAGCCTCAAGTGCCGTAGAGCCTGCCACAGGTTCTCGCTGACGGGCATCGTAACGCCGTTGAGAATGATCACTCGCGGCGGACATGATGCCGAATCTATCGGCGGTCTCCATTCGTAGGATAGGGCTTCGTACCATGGGGGAGAGTTGAATCGGTGTCGACGAAGGGTGCAGATTATTGTCTCATCCAGAGGGTGGCCGGCGTGGAGTGTCACCGTGCGGAACTCCCTCCGTGGGACCAAGGGCGTGTACAGGTTCTCGGATGGGATCTCACCGGGATTATGTGCGTCTTGAAGTGCTGCCGAATCCGGGGCAGATGATTGATCGAGGGGATATGGCAGTGAAGAACTCGGCATGAGAGGTTGGAAGCTGAAATAGTCGCCATCCTCTTGGCTAGGATGCGGCCCCGGACCTGCTCCAGCTTGCTTTGAGGATAATGGAGCAACCTCTGTATCCTTCGTTTGGAGTGTGACTCGGGCGTAATGGTTCGATTTTGGAAACCTTGGAACTGCCTGGAGCCAGCGGCGTGGATACTTGCCGCCACTGTGTTCAGGAGGAACAGGAATCCATTAATGAGCTTGGTCTTGAACGGCCGAAGCACCGCCCCGGACCTTTTCCACCAAGGGGGTTTCGGTACACGACCGGTGAGGGAGTATTTCCCGCCTTGTGTTGAGATCGGCCATGTCTTACTTTCTGGTTTGGCCGTCTCTAGACTGCAAGTTTTCATTTAATTATGTAGGTGAAGTATGAAAAGAAGAGGGGGCGCGGAACTTAGACACTCAGATTTCAGGCCAAGTCATCGACTCGGCGAGCCGAACCAAATGGAACGGTACTGCAGCACATCCGGCCTGTAATAGGTGCGAACAGACCATCTTGCATTTGATAGAGGGGGGGTATATCATATACATTGCCCTTCCCAGACGATACTAGTACATCATCGTCTCCGACTCTTCTCAACCTATAGTAAGGTGCCAATAAGGATCACGGTGGCGATCAGCCGTTCAAGGCCAGCTTCCTGATCCAAAGACTCGGAGTTGCTGACAGACTGCTCAGAAGGCCATAGATCCAAGGGAGTAATGCCCACGTATCTCGCTGCTTAAGACACCAGTAGCACTAATAGTAGTAGGCTAAAAATCATGTTGAGACAGCAGGCGTCGAGAAGGAGGTCTAGTACTAGTAGGTATACCAACGAGGGCAACTACCAGTAGGAGTAGCTGTAGAGATACGTGATATCACCGATACTATTCGGGGATCCAAGATATTACATGTAGCTACAAAAACGGAATGTACAATGGTGGGTAGGCCAAAACCAGATGAGTGATAAGTATCCGAGGTGAGGTGAGACTGGGAGTATCAACCGGAGCGGGGTGCATTATGTCGGGAGATATCTGATAAATCCGGGGAGTCGCAGTGAATCCTGAGCGCATATCCAAATATGCCTCTTCCTTTTACATAGGTGAACGGTAAGGCATCTTCTATTTACCAGTAGCCCCAGATCTCCCACCTTTCAATTTGGGGTTCTGACATTATCTTACTGTAACGGAACTAAGTCATCATGAGGGCTTTCATTTTCAACTTCAATTCTGCCTCTACAGCCGCTGTAATCGCTCTTCTCCTTCTGTCTTACTGCCCTCTGCTTAGTTTGTCGTCGCCTTTCACGCTGGCATTACCCCAGGCCCGTCTTGCCGTCCCGGATAACAAACACACGCCTACCGAGTCGCCGAACATTGCCATGACAACTGGGACAGTGAAATTTAACGTCGAAGGTACCGCTCAACCCGCCTTCACATGGTACAGAATCGTTGGCAACTTGAAGGCGCCCGACAGCATCCCCTTGATCATCCTTCACGGAGGCCCAGGGGCATGCCACGATTACCTCCTGCCGCACACAGATCTCGTCAACCCCAAGCGGCCGCTGCTCTTCTACGACCAGATTGGAAATGGGCTGTCAAGCCATCACCGCGAACTGGCCGGCAACGAGACCTTTTGGTCCGTTCAGCTCTTTGTCGACGAGTTGAACAATCTCCTCGCCCACCTAGATCTGCAGGCGAGACCTATTGACGTCCTCGGCCACTCGTGGGGCGGCATGCTCGCCGCTGTTTGGGCTGCAACCTCGCCAAAGTCGGCCAATCTGCGCAGGTTGATAATGTCTAGCAGCCTGGCAAGCATGGAGGCCTGGAGAAAGGGCGTCCAAGCGCTGCGCGAACAGCTCCCTCCCGAGGTCCAAAAGGTCCTAGACGATGCCGAGGAGACAAAGGATTTTGACAGCCGTGCCTATCAGGATGCAGTGAAGCTGTTCTACAAGCGCCATCTGAGCCTTGCCCGGCCGTGGCCTGCACCTGAAGTGCAAGCAGCGCTCAATTGGTTTGCCAACGATTCCACGACCTACGGGACCATGTAAGTCAATCCGTTACCTTAGATGGACCTTGTGTGGCTTGGATTGGCTGACTGGTTATCCCATCAAGGTACGGCCCCAGCGAGCTGTACATCTCCGGGTCGCTGCGCAACTGGACCGTGATTCCCGACCTGCCGAAGATCAAGGTGCCCACTCTGCTGCTCAACGGCAGGCAGGACGAGGCCCAGGATGTGGCGATGCAGCCCTTTTTCAACAACATCGACAAGGTCAAGTGGATCACCTTGGAGCAGGCCGCCCACTTCACTCATGTCGACCAGCGGAAGCGTCATATGCAGGCTGTCAGCGATTTCCTGGCGGGGTGACGTGGCTGGGACTTGGAGTAAGGGTTTCAGTGCCTATATACTTACAGTACGTACTAAGAGTTCGTGGGTGTGTTGTGTCTAACAATGGTGAGGACTAGGCAAGCTGTAGAGGATCACGCCTATCTGACTATGGTAGCGTGCTTCGATTCAGATTATCTTATCCAAGTTGAGTCCAGGGTAGAACTCTGATAGTGGGATGCATTGTGTTATTTGCCAGTCCGACGGTGAAGGGAGGGAGAGACAAAAGCCAGAGCTCTTTGAAATCTCATGGGTCTACTGGATTGCATCTGCGACTCGGCAAGGCATTTGTAAGGCTCGCTACTGGGTTGGTACCGAGGAGTCAGTCTCTGTTAAGAGGGGTAGTCGAGAGATCAATTTTCACATACAAAAATTTGCCCAGCACTAACAGCAGGTACAATACATGTGCTGGACTTGTTGGAGGAAAGCACAGAGGTTCTCGGTTCCCACCTGCCTCGTCTGGGTTGCGCAACTTCCGGTAAATTGAGGGCGGCCTTGATGCTACGGTAGCCTCCAATGCTTGAGCAGCAGCTTCCCTAGCGATGGCAAGACGGCAAGTCACCATGACAGTCATCTCACACACGAAGGTTTGACTGGTGTTCTGATAGCGGGTGGCATATATATGGTACGTACCCTGTTTTCCATGGCATAAGCAAGTTGGAAGTACTCATTGTGTCCTTTTCTGCGTGTGTGCAGCTTGACTAGGTACTATCTCGTTTAGAAATCTAAACAGATACACAGCGGCAGGCCTCAAGCTCTGAACCTACAGTCTTTCGTGTCGCCTCTCCCAACGAATCGCTCAACTCTAATCTCCGAGGATCCTTCCCGTCTGACGGCTGCTAATATGATTGATCTGGTTGAATCTGTTATTCTTTGACGGTCTTATCAACAACTCGAAGGATTGCAGCATAATCGGTGATGGATGACTGAAACGATATAACCGAGACGATATGACCGAGACGATATAACCGAGGAGATATGACCGAAACGATATGACCGAGACGATATAACCGAGACGATATGACCGCGACGATATGATCGAGACGATGTTCGCTTGCGAAAAGGAGTTGGAAGAGGAATTCAAAATCCCTCCAGGGATACGTAAGTACTAGATACGTATGAAGGGTTATGCCATGGGAAGGAACCAAGACTAAAGGCTCGACTTGAATAGGGAGAATCACCTTTGTACTATCCCCTCCTCACGAGTTGGGAAGAAGCAGGCATCTCGAGATTCATGACATCCACAAATACTATATACTAGTCAATTATATGGGATACCAAATAGACACGAGATTGATTGATTGATTGCCAGCGATGCGATGCTGCCCCCCAACGTCCGGCCTGCAGGGTCATTGATGTAAAACCGGGGTTCCGAGTTGGCGTTCAGCCCTACGAAAAGTGGACTTGGCATATCAATTTGGTCCCCAATTTCCTTTCCGGCCTCCCCGGCCGATGCCGCTCCACTGAGGTGCCTCCATAACAAACCCCCTTCTCCACCGTCCCGCCTGCCTTTTGCATCCGCCCTCATCCGCTCATCCACCGCCCGACAAGACCGAGTCAAAAATGGCAATCGCTCTCCCAAGGCTCCGGGCACTTCTGCCGAGCCGTGCCAACGCGGCGATAATGCTGCTCGTCGCGACCCTCGCGATTCTTGCCGAGGTCGCGTGGGCAAGCAGCAAAGCCGACCCTGACCTTCCCACGGTCACAAACCTATCCCTCGCCGAGCTGGATGAACAGCTGCAGGTTAGCCTCCTCTTCACACCCTCCTCATCCCATGACCGACGAAACTGACAACAGCCTCGCTCTGTCTCATGCAGCAATGTCCGCTCGTAGCAGGCCTGTCGGCACAGAAAACCCAGGCGCACCTCTCCTCCCCATCCTCGCTGACGGCGCGGCTTTTTTCCCTCCTTTTCCCCTCCGCCAACCCGGCCATCAACGCGCTGCTCGCGACGCTGTACATCTCGGGCCCGCCCAACTTTCTGCTTGCGCTCTGCCCGACTAACATTGACCCGGCTTCGCTGTCTATCATGGTCGCGTTCGCCGTGGGCGGCCTGCTCGGCGACACCCTCTTTCACCTGCTTCCCGAGATCTTCCTTGGCGAGGATGACCCAGAGCGCGCCAGATTTGTGCTCGTCGAGCCTAACAGGAACCTGTTGCTTGGTGTGGCCATTCTGGTTGGGTTTCTTGTCTTTGTGGCCATGGATAAGGGCCTGCGGATCGCCACTGGTGGTGGCGGAGGGCATGATCACGGGCATGGGCATAGTCATGGGCAAGCAATCCAAATGCGGGGAGAGGCGGCGGCTGCGACTGGGGTGGATGCTGCGCAGGGAGACGGGTCGGTAAAGCAGAGGAAAGGAGCGAAGGGGAACGGAGCGGTGGAGGTGGTTGAGGTCAGGGAGAAGGAGGCCAACACGTCGGTCAAGCTGGGTGGAGTGTTGAATATGATGTGCGTTCCTTTTCGCTCTCTCCCACTATACTAGGGCCCGGGTTGGGCGTACTGACGGCTTTGCAGCGCTGATTTCACGCACAACATCACCGACGGGCTCGCCATGTCGGCGTCTTTCTACGCGTCTCCTACCATCGGCGCTACGACTACCGTTGCCGTGTTCTTCCACGAGATCCCGCATGAAGTGGGGGATTTTGCGCTGCTCGTCCAGTCGGGCTTTTCGAAACGGCAGGCCATGGGCGCTCAATTTGTCACGGCTATCGGCGCGCTCATCGGCACTCTCATTGGCATTGCGGTCCAGGAATTTGGCGGCGGCGGCGGAAATGACGGCCCTGCCATGGGCATGCGCGACGGGCTCTGGGGCACCAGCTTGACTTGGGGTGACATGCTGCTGCCTTTTACCGCCGGCACCTTTCTATACGTCGGCACCGTCGCGGTCATCCCTGAGCTGCTCGAGACGGGCCCCAACAAGGGCGCTGAGGTGCGCAAGACGCTGGTGCAATTCGCTGCGATAGCGTTTGGGGCGGGCATCATGTTGTTTATCTCATGGCACGACTAGAGCCGGCAGTTACACGCATTGTCCTCGTACTTTGCCGGTCAGCTCAATATAGAAAGGCAGGACAGCTCGTATCCGTGACTGTTTGATGAATGCATCGCGAGTCTGCACCAGCACAGCCCTGAATGGCTAGGCGGGAAGTAGTCAAACGCATTCGCAGTCGGACAGGCCGAGTTGCAGTCTACCTACTGTGAGCTATGGTAACGTCAATAATCTGCGTACATACAAGACGCAAGTCGAATACCGACATGAAGGTGTGTTTCATCTGCGCTAGCTCCAATTCCAACTTGACACTTCACATTGGCTTAGTAATGCCCAAATGACAAAGCAGAAATGACAAAGCAAGCAATCGAAGACTTTGACGTTAGCTTGGCATTGGATGACGAGCACTGGAATTGCTTGACGATTGGGGTTAGGGGTGCTTTTCAGCTTGGGCCATTTTAACCTTAGTCTCCAAATGTCAATTTGTCAACCAAAAGGCGTGGGCGTCGTCACAGATGATCCCGTCTAACAAAGACATGGAACCTGTGCTCGCTTAATGGCGCGATTCTCTGGGTAAACGTCACCCGAAACCAGCGCGGATTTGTTTCTCCTCGGGCTCTCCCGACTGAGGTTCCAGCTTTTCGGAACGTCTTCTCTACTAGTGTATATTCAAGTGCGCTTATGTACGGAGTATGGGAGTCGTGCTGGTCGGTACATCCATATGTACCGTAGTGTATGCTGGCGTGGGCCCGCAAATCTTTCCCGTCGGCTGCCCGCCGATGACTCGACACTAGTGTAACCTTTAGTACCTTCGTACCCACGTGCAAGTCATGGATGAGCTGTCTCGAGAAAAGCAATTCTCTCCCGGTCAAGACGTATCCGTATTGCCTGCACAGTTCCACTTGCAGGACGAATTGTGTGGATTATGTTTCGATTTACTTATTCAACTAACAGCAAGCTTGAAGGGTTCAAACTTCTCATGGACCCGAACATCAATTGGAGTTCTGTGAGCTTTCTTTGAGGTGCAGTGAGACACGTCAATTCCACGATCGGGATGTGGGGCGGGTCACGGTCTCTCCAGATATTTGCTTGGCCGTTGCTTAGCTTCTGCGGAGGCCGTGTCCCAAGCTCCCAAGGGTCCGAAACCGGGGGTCAAGTTTGTCGGAGCTATCGCCCATAAGCCGGGGAACTAGTCTATTCAATGCGAGGAGTCACTTGGGCAGTGAAAAAAATGGTGGAATTCGCTGAGCTAAAAATATGGAAAGGAGTTGAAAACCTTGCTAGCCTCGACTCGACAAGTCACGCCTTGTGTGTGACAAGAAAGTCGAGAGCGCCAAGATTGCCAGGGATCGTAGGGCGTTGCGGGCAGCGGGTCCCACTCGTGTTGATCACCGCCCAAGTTGTTACAAGTGATGCAAGACTTGCTGTCAATAAGTTACTGCAACTTTGTGTAGCTAAGCTGCTGGTGCGTGTATGTACTTCTCGATTGATCTTGGAGGTTCCATGATATGTAAGACGATTTGCAGGGTGCAGAGACCCTACATTTTGATGGGAATGCTTGGGAAAATGGGTTGCAGCTTGGCGGTTTTCATCAAAAAAAATATCCCGTTCGGGTTCGCTGAGCGACAGGGTGTGGGGGACCTGGGGTGTGCTGGGGGTGTGTTCACTTGGATGGAGCATTGGAGCTTTTTGCAATGCTCGCTTCTGCAGCACACCCTTTCTTGTCTGGTTAGCCAATCAGCTCGACACGAGTCTTTAGGGTACCCCTCGTGCGAGATCTCGGCGAGCCATGTAGGGAAGAAGGGCGCCAGTTTATGCTGGAGACCCATTGCCAGGCCTGATGACACTTAGCCAGGAGCAGGCTTTACGATTGATCCTATTCTTTGTAATGAGTCAAACGAGAGAGTCGCTTCCAATTCCAAGCACTTGACATGGCTCTATAGCTTTAAAAGGCCATCGCGCCGCTACCTTGATGTTGTGATATACCTAGCTTCCAAGACATTGAAGACATTGAACTCAACACTGAACTCAACACTGAACTCGACACTGAACTCGACGCTGGACTCGAATCATTGCTGCTCATCTCAAATCGTCACGGCCGTCACAGGGCCAATTGCATACACGACGGTGTCGGTCACTTTGACACTCTCCATTTCCTCTCCGAGTCCCTTTCCCTATCCCATTCCCAATGGCCTCCCTCCTAGGGACATCGAAGCCTGCTCGCGTTACCAACGCTCCAGTCGTGACCAAGATGAAGAATACTTCCCCTGGGACCTATCCCAGGTCCGATATCAGGGTTAACCTGAAGGATCACTATGGCTCCAAGGTGTTTACCTCTGGCTCATCGGTGGTTGGCGAGGTTACCATCACCACCAGGCGAAATGTCCCCTTCGACGCGATCCAAATCGTCCTTGTCGGACACACCAAGACCAGTTTCGATGGATGGGGCCTGCCGCAGGAAGTCACGCACACCTTCTTGAAGATGGCCATGCCGATCGAGGAACCCGTGCCCAGGGTGCTCGAGTCTGGCCACACCTATGTGTTCCCCTTCAACTTCACCATCCCCAGCCAACTGACCATCAACGCCTGCAACCACGCCCGGCTTTCGGATCAGTTACAGGACCACCACCTTGCCCTCCCTCCCAGTGTCGGCGGCTGGGAAAGAGACGACATGGGCCCGCTCATGGTCCGGGCAGAGTACATCATCAAGGCGCGGGTGCTGAAGGACGAGCCCGACGGAAAGAAGACGCGCATCATGGAAGCAACTCAGCCGATCCAGGTGCTGCCGGCAACCGCAGAGGAGCCCCCGCTCAACGTCACCGATAACGACCACCTCTACGCCATGTCCAAAACCAAGACGCTCCGCAGACACATCATTTCAACCAAGCTCGGCCGCCTGACCGCCGAAGCCGTCCAGCCCGGTGCCGCCGTGCTCTCATCCGACGGGCGCCGCGTCGTGTCCCATCCTACAGCCCACATCAAGCTAGACTTTGAACCCGAATCATCCTCCTCCTCCTCCTCCTCGCACACCCCGACACCTCCGCAGATCACCGGCGTGACCGGCAAGATCACCGCACACACCTTCTTCAGCTCCGGCCCCATCTCCGACTTCCCCAACCTGGGCGAGTGGAACCAGCCGTGCGCGATTGACAAGCGCGGGCAGTACTTCGCGTCAACTCCCCTGCCGGGCATCTCATTTAGCCAGCAGCCCGCTTGGTCAACGCACACTCTCTCCACAGCAACAGCAACAACAACACCAGAAAACATTCCCATTGTGAGGCGTGACTCGGGCTACTGTGGGAGCAGCACCAGCGATCTCGGCGAGTCAGACACAGAGAGGAAGAAGAAGAAGCAGCAAAAAAAGCACAGCAGAAAGCCATCGTCCTCATCAACCACAACCACATCCTCCTCGTCGACAACAACCACAACCCCCGCCCCGACCTCGTACAGCACCACGCTAAGCGTGCCCATCTCCCTGCCCACAGACAAGAAAACCTTCCTCCCGACCTTCCACTCATGCATCGCCTCGCGCGTCTACACCCTGCAGCTTTCCCTCGCCGTCACGGTGCGCGGGTCGACAAACAACCTTACCCTGTCGCTGCCTTTGCAGGTGGCCGTCGAGGGTGGCGCAACCATGACACCCGGCCAAGAGGGCGGTGGTATTACCAATGCTGCTGCTGCTGGTGGTGATCTGGATGGATTGCCCAGCTTTGAGGAGGCCGCCGCCGACGAGCATCTTCGTCCTAGGGTTCTACATGTCCCTGGCGAGGATGATATGGCTAGGGGGTTTGTTAGTGGTGGGAGTCGAACTGTGTTGAGTGCAGTGACTGCTGCTGCCGCTGGAGGGAGGGATGAGTTGCCTGGGTATGCGGAGTTAGGGTATCGGAGGGCTGATTGATTGCCTACCTGGTATGCTTTCCGTGGGCTGATATACTACCTTTTCCTCCTTCTTCTTTTTCCTTTCTCCTTTCGCTTTTCCATCTACACTGTGATCAAGCGTCGTTCCATATTTCATCTCATGATTGGATTCTAGTACTAACATATTGGATGGACCATTGATGGTGTTTTTACACTACTAATACTGGATGGAGACCAAAAAGGGGCACACAGGAAAAGTTCAGGGCAACATTCAGCTGGATACCCAGTAGCTGGCGTTGGTTCTTTTATGTTTTATGTATTTTGCGAAGGGCTGGCTTTGATATAGACAGGAAGTAGTACATACGGTAGAGGTATCCTTCCAGTTGAATTTTTTAGTACGAGAAAACAGCCTCCGCTGCCAGCAGTCCATACTCCGCACGTCCCCATATCCCGCGCGTGAGACTGGCAATCTTTCTCCCCAGCCAGAGTGTTGTGTTCTATCCATTCCTACTTCCAAGTCAGGCTCACTCAGTTCTTGACTGCTCATACCTTTTGTTGTTCCCCTTGGTTGATGACAGAAGCCACCATCTTCCTAGGTACCATCCTGTTAGACAACATTGCGCAGAACTCGAACAGGCCTGTGCTACCTTTACGGTGCCATAATCATAGAGTAAGCTTGGGAAGGGTCCTCAACTCATCTTCCTGTCCTTCTTATTTCCATCGATATCTACTTGGAAGTTCCTTCACCGGTCACCCTCCTGCTCGATCTCCACCGATATCACTCCTGACTGCCTTTGGCTGCAGTGTTTGTCCTTGACGGGTCGTGAAACATCAGAGGTACTGCAGTGTACAGTGGACGGTCACTGGGCTCGGAAGAACGTGAGAGTAGGCCTCAGACCGTGACCTGATCTTCAATGATACCTGTCCATGCTATCCTCATAATGCTCAAGCATAAACAGGCCCTTGAAGCAACTCAAATCATCTCGACCCTAGAGTAACCTCCGAGACCCGACCCCGAAATGGACGCGGTCCGCCAGAGCATCTTTCCAATTCCGCAGCCAGTCCTTTGTTTATTTCCTGGTCCAGGCGTTGTCAGATGAGATCCGTCATCGTCGGGTCGCCATGAGACTAGTAAAGTCCTGGGTGAAGACATACGGAGAGGAATCATCAGGCACCCCCTTATTTGCCGTGCTTGGGGCAGCCAGCGCACTTGCAGTCGGCGCAGCTGCAGTCGTCTCCGCACATGGTGATGATGGACGTGTGAGGTGGTAGAGAACGGTTGGTTCAACTTGTTGATATGCCCGATTGTTTCGAGTTTGGGAGTCTTCTGCTATAATCGGCTGAGAGACAAAACGAGGAGAATGAGAAGAGGGGACGAACGCCTCGGGAAAACGAGTCACTTTATAGTCTATCAATCCAAATCTTGCCCACGCCAAGCCAGTTGACCTTCCTTTTTGATAAACAACTTAAACCATCTCACACGCTTATACTCGGATGACCGACCCCGCTCGCCAGGGAGCCATCATACACAGCAGCGGAGACGCTGGATAATGAGATGGGCGAATGAGAACTGCCGCTAATCCATAGATGGACCCCGAAGTGAGCAAGTTTTGTGCGTTCCAATATGTGGTTCGGAACGGAGCGATGTGGCGCTGTGACATTATCGGATCCGTTCCGACGAATTTCTTGGGCCTGAGATCCCGGTATGAACTTCTGAAGGGCTGAAGCCGAACGACGGGTTTCCCGCTCCGTTCAACAGTCCAAGTAGGGACATATCACTCTTCTCCTGGCACTGAAAAGCTTGTGTCAATTCCCGCCATATGACCCGACTAACGGTCACAGGACGGTAGGTCAGGTTCCGGTGTGGTTCTATGTGGGCCTAGACCAAGGGCATTTTGCTGGAACTCCTCAGCTGCACATGATGCAACCTGGTCCGGTGCCATGGCGACGAGAAATCGCTATTAGGAATGTTAAGTTAAGTTGTTTAGTATTACTTAGGTACCTAACCTCGAGCTGAGTAAGTTTAGGTATCTTATACCAGTGGCCTCGTACGGTTGATACACACGGCGATGGACAGAGGAAAAGTCAAAACGCGGGATCAAAGTCTGCTTTCATCAGTACTAATACACTAGACGACTGGCGGATCATCGGTGTTGAGGTATGCCTCTCGCTTTCTTTGATTCCCTTGTTTTTACACCCCGCTGCCCGATACTCGTGCTCGTCCCGTAAAGCCCGTCCTACATACATGTAGAGGCACTGGACTAGTATGGACTATGGAGCTATCTACAGTGTACCACGTGGACTCGTGGAGTATGGATAGTACCTAACTATATTACGGTAAGATGAGGGCAGTGAGTTAAGGTACTGGAAGGTACGGAAGTAGTAATGCCTCTGCCGAAAGCCTTCTTGTCCAAGGTGAAGGATACAGGTACGTAGTAGTACTGTAATTGAACCAAGTATTCCAAATTTGACATGAGATTCTTTTGGCCGGCATGGTTTCATGCCTCATTCTGCTGATTGAGAACGAACATCATTGCTTCGTGACCCCTGGCAGCAGCCAAGTCGAGAGCCGTCTTCCCATCGGCATCCGTCGCACCGCTTCGAGCACCATTTTGAAGCAGATGACATACCATGGCAACGTTCCCTTGAGCAGCTACACAGTGCAGTACGGTTGCCTTCTTCGGGCCGTAGTGCGCGTTGATATCAGCGCCGTGGGCAAGAAGTAGATCCACCATGCCTGTTGGCTGCAAATCGAATGCCTGCATGGAAAAGGTGTATGTGGCTGCCTCGTGTAACACCGTGATCCCATCATCGTCCATCGCTTCCACGTCCGCACCCGCATCAATGAGCAGATGGGCAATCTCCAAGCATCCAACCCTAGCTGCTTCGTGGAGTGCCGTCACGCCATCCTTATAAGACCCACGCCAACCGTCCCAATAGGCATCAGGGCCATCACAGTCAAACCAGCCGGCATACATCATGTTCCTCTGATTAACATCAGCCCCGTGCTCCAGGAGGAGTTGAACAACTCCTGGTAGGCGATAACGTGTAGCTTTATATAGCGCGCTCCCGTCATAGTCGGTCTGTACCGCCACATCCGCCCCTTTATCAAGGAGTCGCCGTACCAAAGCCAGTGCCGTCATTTCTCCTCCGTTGGATGATGGGATAGCCAGCGATACAATAGTAGGCGTACACGCTAACAGTGCATCGAGGTCCGACCCTTTTTCGATGAGAAGATCAAGCACAGCTAGACGTTCTTTGGCTTCCTGTTCCTCGTGTCCTCTCCATATCTTTTCTCCTTCCTCGTCCATTTCTCCCCCCAGGTGGTCATGAACACGCAGCATGTGGTAATGATAATCATGAAACCTTGAATGGAATACACACAACAAGACTGTTTGCTCGTCGTCATCTTTCGCACCCAGCTGCGCTCCATTGTCGAGTAATTGCCTCACCACCGAAGCGGTTCCATGCTTTACTGCGAAATGAAGTGGCGTTGCGCCATGCACATCAGCTGCTTGGATATCAGCACCGTGTTCAAGTAGGAGCCGAACGCCAGTGTTGTAGCCCCTAGAGGCTGCCCAATGCAAAGGAGTTCTGCTGTTTCTATCTCGCACGTTGACGTCAGCCCCATTGGCTAAAAGGAGCTGCAGCACGCTGGCATCCTCACGCACGATGGCCTCGTGCATGATGGGGATGCATGTGCCTGCATCATCATCATTGTCATTCGGATCGGCACCCATTCCCAGCAGGGACATGACTTCGTCTTCGTCTGCTCGATCGACCGCACCACGGAGCCTCGAAGTTGCTAGCCATCGCTCCGTCTCGTTCGCCTTGCCGATGCGCTCCAGTAAAATTCTGACGACATTCTCGTGCCCATGCCTAGCAGCTTTATGAACTGCTGTTCTCCCTTGGAGGTCCTCGGCTAGGACGTCCGCATTGCTTTCCAGCAGTGTGCGGACCATCGCTGCATTACCTCCCCCAGCAGCAATATGCAACGCAGTTTGGCCGTATCCATTTTTGGTGGAAATGTTTATGCCTTTTGCAACCAGGAGCTGCACAACTTTGATATGACCGGCCGAAGCAGCTGGCAAAGCTTTGAAGAAAGCTGGGCGCAAAAGCAGTTTCGTGACTCCTCAGGCGTCTGCCGGCCGGAGCAGCTTCATGGAGCGCGGTGCTGCCGAAAGCAGCGTGGTGGAGCGCTGTGTAGCCGGAAGCATCCCTGGCAAAGATGTTGATGCCTCTTGCAGTTAAGAGCTCCACAACCTTGATATGACCGGCCGAAGCAGCTTCATGGAGTGCTGTCCTGCCGCTTCTGTCCCTGGCAGATATATCTATGCCCCTTGTGATCAAGAACTGTACAAAGTCAATATGACCGGCTCGAGCAGCACAATTGAGCGCTGTATGGCCGAGTCTGTCACTTGTTGAGATATCAGCTCCATACTCAATAAGAAGTCGCGCCACGCCGGTATGACCGTGCTCTGCTGCTAAGTTGAGCGGCGACTTTCTGTTGGGGTATTGTTCCTCATGTGGGACATCATTGTAGTCTTCCCCGTCATTACAGTCTGCCCCGTCATTACAGTCTGCCCCGTCATTATAGTCTGCTCCGTCATTACAGTCTGCCCCGGCTTCGATGAGAAGTTGCGCCACAGACTGATGTCCAATTCGAGCTGCTATGTGCAACGGCGTTTCAGCATTATTTGCGTAGCGGCCTGCCGTGGCCGTGACCGTGACCTTTGCCCCTTCTCTCAATAGAAAATGGACCATTTGAGCATGGCCGGCCTCCACCGCTAGATGGAGTGGTGTTACACCATCAGTGCCATAGCGGTTGTCATATGGAGCTGTTGTCGCATTGACGTCGACCGACTCCGCCATTATATGCCGTGCAAGATCAACGAGACCAAACAAAGCGATAACGTGCAGTCGAGTTATATTGGGCGCACTTCCATTATTGGGGTCCCACTGGAGATAGCTCATCCCTGTCCTCTTCTTGTCGGTCGCCTGAATGGCACTCAAGATGCTAATGTTGTTGCTTAGATACTCTAGGGCGAGCTCACGGACATCGTTGCCCAGTTCGTCGCGTACGTGATCTCCCCAGTGGCTGGCAGCATACCTCAAGAACGGATAATTTCGAAGACGGGTATATAGTTCTGCCTTTCTCAAGCAGTATCTCTCAGCAAATGGCCGAAATAGCAGATATGCCAGGCAGGTCTTGGCGATCGTTGAACGTGCTTCGGGAAAGCGCGCGGTACGGGTCCGCTCAAGGTAACTCTGAGTGGTGTAGTGCACTAAGCGGATCTGGTCGCTTTCCCTGTCAACGGTTACTAGGCCGGCGCATACTGAGACCATGAATTCCGTTTCATGGAGACCATCTTCTTCGAGGTCATCGTCGCCCGGTTCAACGGCCAGGGCGTGCTGTAGTTCGGCAACAGTGAGTGGTCGGAGCGAATAGGAAATCCAATAGAGCACTCTGTGGGCTAGGGCTGCTTGGCCCTCGTCTTGGTTCTGTATCCGCTGCATGGCCTGATCATAGGTCTCGTCAAGTTCCTTGGGCAGGCTGCCCAAGGCTGTGCGGACTTCGCGGCGCGTGAGCTTCTTTGCCAGACTGTCCATGTGCAGCTGGGCAAGGAGAAACCTAAGCCAGAGAGTCAAGTGTCAGCATGAACAGATAGTGAAGAGAGGAGACCTCAACAAGCGGGACACGGCAGGCAAACGTACATTCCTCGACTGTTCTGAACAATGGTCTCGGTGATTTCCTCCGCGAGCGCAGGGCTCGCACGGCAGTGCTTTGCCAGCGATGTCTCCTTTCCAATGCGAGTCTCGACATATTGTTTGATGTCATGATCGGTTGCCCTTATCTCAATTTGCGGGACATTCCCAAATGTCTCTTGGATGGTTGAAGAGTATCTAGAGGTCACCAGAATTCGTGCATTGTGTGGTAACTTATGGACCTCCTTGAGCAGGCTGGCTCTTTTGTTGCCGCGTTCGGGACACTCATCGAGAGCGTCTATCACGACGAAGACGAGCGAGTACGCTGACGCCTCTTGCACGAGCAGCAGGGAGAGCTCATCCAGCGTGGGATGCGTCTGCCTCCTGATGTGCTTGTCATAAAGGCCGCGTACGTCGTCTGGGAGAGCAGAACGACGTTGGACGAGCTGCTTCAATAAGCTTCCCAGCATATTCGGAGGTGTCTGAACCTCTTCTTCCTTGTAGCTGCAGTACAGGTAGATCACGGCTGCGGGTGTGCCTTGATGCTGGCGCTCAAGCCAATCGATAATTATTGACCTGTAGACAAAGCTTAGCAATGCCTCGATCGAGGACGCTGTATTGAGAAAGATAAATAGCCATACGCTAGCGTTGTCTTGCCAGCACCAGCTTCAAATCATTAGTAAATAGGACGAACACCAGGGTGCAGCCATTGTCTTACGCAGCCCAGGACACCACAGAATCCGCTCCTTTCCCTCTAGCCAATGCTTGAATCTAGGGTCAGAGAGGAGCCATTCTCCCGTTCCAGGTTGACGCCGATTGAAAAAGTCAATCTGTTTAGTTGCAAAGTCAAGGCTAGAGAGCCAGGCAGTGATCGTGTGAAACTCCTGGTCTAGATGGACGATTTCATGGTCAGCTTGCGTTCCTACAGGTACCAATAGTATGAGTAACCACTTCATCAACCGTGGGAAGTACGAACTCTGTCGAACCGCAGTAGCTTCACCAATGGCTTCCCGTAAATCCTCTTTCACATCAACAAGGTCCTGTTTCAATGCCAAGGCAAGCTTGCTTGACAAGACATCAGCAATGCAAGAAACCACGCGAAGCTGCCTACTAAAAGAGGGACTTGCAATTGATCGCTCTGCAAAGCGAGCATGACAAGCGTCTTGACTCGCTCAATCTGCGCGAGTACTTCGTCGATCTCTTTCTTGTCAAGCGCCCAGGTGAAAAGCATTCCCGCTCTTCTAAGCTGACCAGTCGATGGTTCAAGTTTCGTCGCTAGCCGTTCCATTCGATCTCGTAGCTGATCCAGCGGGCCTCCTTGAACCCCTAGGCTGCGGACGGCCACAAACCATGGCTCCAAGGCGGACTTGGCTTCCTCGACCCGATATCTCAGGTCGGTCAACAGTGCCAGAAGGCTCGACGAGTGCCGAGCTAGATGGGCCCGCTCAGAAGGGGCATCCTTGACGTCGTTCACATATCTAATGACCTTTGTTGTCGTGTCGATTAGCCGAACGAGACCCGCGACGAGGCCCACCGGCACCGAAACGGGATCCATCTTCAGGCGCGCTTGAAAATTAGAGCGAGGCTGAGGCAATACCCGATGAGGGGTTATCAGGAGATTTAAATACATACCTTACCCTATCTAAGAGCTCAACCAGTCCTGGGGGACCATTTTGGGGCCTTAGGTGCAGCAGTGAAATGTATAGGTACTGTACGCCTCCGGACCTGCGGGTTGCGTTGAGGCAGCATGTGCCCCATGTTTGTTGGCTCGCGTTCTGCAACCACAAGGTCCACAGAATGTCCAACGAAGCCGCATAGTTGCTGGACAGCCACAACCATGGTATGAATCATGCATGAGCGGTTGAATAAATCCTTTCTTCATTGGTTTTTCCAAGGTAGCGGTGCTACTTTGTGCACCATTTTCCCGAGTCGAAAGCCAAGGCGAAGCGCAAGGCTCACGAATTGAAGATGTTTCCACTAGTACTCCGTACACGACTCCGCAACCACACCCTTATTAGCATATCTTATCTAAATGATAGGCACAGCCGTCCACTGCAACCCCAACCCTCACCTTCCTCCAACCTCATTGCTCAACAATGATAAGGACCGCTCTCAACAACCTTCTCATCAGGCTGCACCTGCGCCGCGACCCCTCCCAAATATGGGAACCCCCAACGCTGCTAGACCATCTCCTCAGCTCCCCACTTCAATATCTCTTTTCGCGCATCTACCACGCGCTTCTGGTGCTGCGCGGGAGACCCTTCCACCCGCCGCGCAACAAGCCCACCATCCGCGTGGTCTGCCTCTCTGACACGCACAACCTCACGCTCCCGTCCGAGGCGGTGCCCAGCGGTGATCTGCTGATCCACTGCGGCGACCTGACCGTCGATGGCACCGTCGCCGAGATCCAGCGCCAGGTCGACTGGCTGCGGGCGCTGGGCGGGGAGAAGGGGTTCCGTCATCGCGTCGTGATTGGCGGCAACCACGATGTCTGGTTTGACGAGGCGGTGAGGGGGAAGGGCCAGGGAATGGAGAGGGAGGTAAATCTCGCCGGCGTGGAGTATCTCCGTGACCGCATGGTGAGGTTGGAGTTTTCCGGCGGGAGGTGGCTTAATGTCTACGGCTGGGGCGCCTTGCCTTGGTGTGGAGAGGGGTTTGCGTGAGTGATTCCCACTACGGGCTGGTTTAGATCAGCGAGGGAGTGGGAGGATGCTGACAAGGGCTGGTTGGCGGTCCTAGGCTTCAGTATGAGCGGGACAGGCATCCATGGGAGGGACGGATACCTGATGAAACGGACATTCTGGTAACGCATACACCACCGGTAGGTTCTCGTAAGTTGACTAAAAAGATGTGATGGCCTGACTGTGTTCCAGCGCCACCATCGCGACCTCGGGCTCGGATGTGACGGCCTCCTGGAAGAGGTCTGGCGGGTCAAGCCAAAGCTGCACGTCTTTGGCCATGTGCACGCCGGCTGGGGTAAAGAGGCCGTCTACTACGACGAGTGCCAGAGGGCGTACGAGTCTCTCATGGCGAAGCCCACAAGGGGCTTCTTGCGCGATCTGATACCGGGTGCTAGATGGATTGAGGCGTTCAATATCCTCCGATACGGTCTGAGCAGCATCCTGTGGAAGTGGATCATGCTTGGTCCAGGGACTAATAATGGAGGTTTGATGGTCAATGCCGCCCTGACGTACCGAAATACCGGGAGATTGGGAAATCCAGTGACGGTCGTGGATCTGTAGATTGGATTGATCATTAGATCGTCCATGAGAAATACTATTACACTAATTGAATGACACTCCATCTCATAATACAACCGTGATCCAAGATAGAATTTCCGCAACCCAACGCCAATCCATGCTTTTAGCTCATGATTCGTACAGCGCAAACACATCATACCATAACCCTCCTCAATGACTCGGTACCCCCAAGGACGCGTCTTCCAGAAACGGCGCACCTACCAGCGCCTGACTCCCACTTCCCAGCCCTGTTAGTCATGAACTTCTCCTGCCGCGGATGTGTCCCGGTCATCCATTTGTGGATGCATGCGTAGCAATACACGATGCCTGTCGGGCATGCCGTTGGCGTAGTAATCTCGCCCTGGCAGATGGGGCACAGCTCCGAGTTCTCCGGTGGCGGGACCGTGTAGATCGGCAACAGCGACGAAGCGGCGATTGGCGCGTTTTCGACTGTCCTCCGCTCTTTCTCCTCTTCATCAACCTCATCCTCTTCACCTCCTTTCTCTTCATTGACCTGCGTCTGTTTCGCCGCATCGGACGGAAGGCCCGTCACCACCGGCGGCGGCAGGTCCAAGCTCTCAGCCGCTCTCCTCGATAGCTGCTTCGCGAAATCCGACGCGTACCACCACTCAAGGAACTTGAGCGCAAAGATGCTCGTCGGGAGCAAGAGCGACAGCGCACCTAGCGCACGGGCCCCCAGCGTCCGCCTCCCCGCTTGCTTGGCCAGCTTCTCCTCAAGCGCCTCTATGGCGCGGTGATCAGCCGCATTCATCCGCCTCACCCGCGTCCCGATCAGCCAAAGGAACGGGTTATGGTATTTGGAGTTGTCAAACAGATAGGCCAGGTTAAACGCCAGCAGTGCAAAGTAGTAGGCCGCATGGACGCTCGGGTAGACATTCCTCAGAAACCAGCGGCCGTAGTGTACCATCCTGTCTTTCCACCGGGCATCGTGTGGCAGGCGGTTGTAGGCGGCACCCAGCAGGGCGCGCGGGGCGTCCACCTCGTAGGCCTCGTCGAGCTTGCGCTTGATGTAGGGCACGCCGACCATGACGGCCAGGTTCTTCCATATGTCGGCGTTGCTGAGGCGCAGGGCGTCGCGCACCACGCCCGGGGCGGCAGCAGTCGCGCGCGGGATCTCGGCGGCGAGCGCCTTCTCGCGCTTCAGGCCATAAAAATGCTCGGTGAAGGAGCCGCCGCGCGTGCGCAGATAGTGGCGCTCAACGAGGAGAGCGGCGAGGGCATAGAGCTCGTCGAAAGAATTAAGAACGCGCAGCAGATGGCGCGGGTAGCGGTGCGTGAGAAGAGTCAAGAGATAACGCAGTGTCGGCGGGAGCAACGCCGACAGCTGCTGCTCCGAGAGGAGCTCAAACAGCGATGGCTTTCCTTCGTCAAACGTGCCCCGAAGGGCCGTGACGAATTCCATGGCTGGCTTTTGGCCCTTTGGGTTTTGGGGTTTGGGTGGGATGGAAGTTGCAAATCGGAAAGAGCTGAGCCGAGCCCAAGGATTCGGATCCAATTAGCGAATGCGATTTGCCGAGGCAATCCTACAGTTCCAGTGCCTCCGTACGGAGTACAGCCCAACCTGGTTTGTTCGCTAGCGCATGACTTGAGGGCCGAGGTAAGCCCAATATCTCACTCTCGAAAGCAAGACAGCCAGGCCTCTTTTTTTTAAATAAGGAAGTTGGACCAATAGGCGCGCTATCCTGAATATTACCAGATACTCTCTTTTTTCGCCCTATCATTCCTAACAGCTGTTGAGACGCGCGTCATTCTGAATTCTGGACCAGTATCCCTATTAAAGTTCCGCGCTAACAGATAAACCAGGGTTGTCCTGTACCCTGTGTAAGATGCTGCTGCAACGGTACGGCACCGAGTACACACACTACAGCACAGGGGTTCCCGTCCCCACAGTACCGTAACGGTCCCTTATAAACAGGCCTCAAGTATCCGAGAGAATGGCATATCAAGGCCGCTTACATTCCACACAGAGTATACCAGTTGATTCCAAATATTGGTACAACCTCACGTCCTCATCATGTCGGAAGCAACAATCAAACTACTCCAAGAAAACAGCGCCGCACTGTTCAAGCTTAGCGGCGAGGATCGGGTGCGCCTGCTAATGAGACAAGCTGCCGACATTGCCAACGACCCTGAGGACAATGCAAGTACCTTACCCCTAACCCCTGAGACATGTAAACACCCTGTGCTCCCTGCATTATCCAGACGACGACTACCTACATACTTTCCTATGAGGCACCCCTAACATTCACCCTCTCTTATAGGAATACACAAAACCACTGTTCAAATCCCTCGCCCTGCACTCCGTCTCCAACGACTCCACGCATCCCTCAATAACATTCACCTTCACCGTCAAGCCAGGGCACTGCAACATTTTGGGCAACCTCCACGGCGGCTGCACGGCATCCATCTTCGACTTCTGCACCAGTACCCTCCTCGTCCTCTTTGCCAGCCCCGGCTTCTGGTCCCATCTGGGCGTGAGCCGCACCCTCAACACGACCTATCTCCGCCCGGCGCCCATAGGCACCGAGCTGCTCATCGAGTGCGAGGCGGTCCAGGTCGGTAAGCGCTTGTCCGTCCTCAGGGGCACCATGAGGAGGGCCAGTGACGGGGCCGTGGTAGCGCTGTGCGAGCATAACAAGGTGAATTCGGACCCTTCACCCTCGATGTGACGGAGAGCTCGTACATTTTTGTTAGCTTAGGGCTATCATAAGTAAGATAGCCGCTTCATATCTTGAAGAGAAACGGACCATGTACCCATTAGATAATACCTAGCTCAGGTTATGGTATTCAGGCATGAAGTTCCACGGTTCGTCGGACTGGTTCATGGCCTCGTTAAAGCGATTCATGTAATCGGCCTCGTACTCTTGGAAACCGATATCATTGGCCATATCATTGAAACTGATATTGGCGATATCATTGGCCCAATTCTCCTCGTCCTCAAGGTCTTCCTCCCACTCATCACCTTGGTCGTCCTCGTCCTCATTCTCATCTTCCTCGTCCTCGTCATCCTCATAGTCATCCTCTTCGTCCTCGCGTTCAAAGAGGCGGTCGAGGTGGAAACCGTCATCTGTGTCGTCATCTTCTTCCCCGTCCAAGTCCACCTCGTCAAAGTCATCGGCAACTACACCACCATCATGAGTCAGCCACCTTGCCGCATCTACAGAACACCAAGGGACACCTACTGATGGGGAGCACATCGTCGACCAGCACTTCCATCTCATCTCCCGACCCCTCGGGGTCCGACACCTTCCAGAACGCCGTCGGCCCACAAGGTCCTTGTTCGCTGTAGTCCCTAGAAGGAGAAACCCAATGAGCCTTTTTCCATGATACAATGCCGAAATGAGCAAAGAAATGGCCGAAATATACTTGTCAAACCAGGTGCCTACAACACCCCTCGCCGACCTGATACCGCCGATCTGTATCCCCTCACTCTTCCACCTCTCCTCGCCGTGAAAGATGGAGCACGACGTCCATCGCACTTCGCCCTCAGGCGTCATCCTGACCGTGCCGCGGAGGTCTGAGTCGGCATTATCATCCCAAGACCCGTCCAGCGCCCGCGAGACGCCCACGAAGTGCACGACAGGGTAGCCTGGATGGTCATCTTCGCCTGGCGGCTCGATTCTAGTCGCCCGGACTTTCATCAAAATCAGCCGCGTCGCCTCGCCGACATCCAGCGGCGGGCGGGGCACACCGGGTGGGGTGTCCTCGTCGTCCAATTCGAAGTTGTAGTGAAGAAAGTCGGCGTAGTCTGCCATAATATCATGAGATCAATATACCGCTGCGCAGCGCTCTTGCTTGGCTCGCAATCAAACTCACCCAGGAAACAGACCACCCTCAGCCAGCAGCCGCTCACCCCATAGGGATCGCGCCTTTCCACCTCTCTCTTAACCCTTTCCGACCCATCCTCTGTAGTTTCGTCTTGCTCCTCCCCCTTGAAGAATTCCTCCTTCGACCATGGGATATAGCTCCCTCCCCAAACCCCGGCAAACGGGCGTGCCCAAATGTTTGCGAATATCGGTGACGCCACGAGGCGCTTTGACCGAATGTTCGCCCAGAGCACGATGAGAATAGCCTCCATCTTTTCCCAGTCCACCCTCACCCCTAAAAGTCTACCATCACCATCACCACCATCCGCTTCCTGATCCTGATCCAAGAACGGGCCCCACTTCGTTCCGGTCGTATGTTCACGGAGGTCATACACCTTAGAACACGCGAGTGCGTACACGCCACCACGGTACGGCCACTCCTTCCACCACTCACTCTCCTGCCACCGCGGTACATCCTCTTCTACCCCCTCCCCCCGTTCGTTCTCCTCCTCCTGCTCCTTCTCAGCCGCCACTTCGGCGTCAAAATCAATCAGATCGTCGGCATCGTCGTAGTCGCCATGGTCCAAGGGATACCCCCAAGTCCTCAGGCTGGCGCGCTTCATGTCTGCGGGGGTCTTGAACTTGGACTGCTCGTACTGGGGGCCAGGAAGGCCGGGACCGTACAGGCAGTTTAGTTTGGCGCTGAGCTGGCGGTCGGCGTCAGATGCAGCCCGCCGACCCCTGGCAGCGCCCGCAGCAGCAAGCTTGCGCCGTCGCATCGGCGGTGCCTTCATCTCCTCATAACGATCAAACAGGCTAGAGCGAGTTAGATAAGCAAGGCCAGCCGGCGCAGACGCGGCGAAGAGGGCGGCGAGAAAGGCGGCGTTGCGGGAGGTCGGATACGTCAGCGAGCGGGAAGCACGTTTGGCGGGGGCGGTGGTAGTGGCGGTGCGGGTTTCTCGGACAGGCTCAGGATGATGGTCAGCTTTGTGGCCTTCCGCGTTTTGCGGTGCAACAGGGGCCTCTTCGCTGCTGGTGCTGCCGGTGGCAGCGATACTGGAGCCATCTTCGATAGGTGTGATGGGGAACGATGGCGGTGGTGGTGGCACTACGGTTACGGCATTCTGGAGTAGCCTGGTGACGGTGCTATGGACAAAGGCCACCTCCTTCGATGGTCTGGGGCAGGTGAGGCTGATGAAATGATTGGTAGGTGCGCAGAGGGTTTTGAGGCGGACGAGGTCGCGGATTTCTTGGGTGAAATCAAGATCCTTTCTTGGTGGTTCATCCTGGGCCTTATGTCAGTTCGCAAAATATCATTGAGGAGCTATGTGCGAGTAGGCATACAAAGAGTCGGAGATAGATGGCGCGGCAGAGGGCGTTGTTGCCCTGGATGAAGTTGTTGAGAAAGCGGCATGTCAGCTGAATGGCCGTCAGATCGTCTAGTTCGACCAAGCTAAGGATGTTGTGCAGGATTTCGGGCGGGAGCTGTGTCAGAAGCATTTTGAATCTCTGGCCCGAGGCTGTTGATGGTTGTGAACGACTGTTGTATTTCTCCTGAAGCTCTGGAGCACGTCAATCATATGTGACCGAAATATCCGGCAACCAATGGAAATAACGGTAACTATCCCTCCTTCCATGAATCGCCAGATTCCGTTGTTGCCTTGCTGCCTGCCGGATTTAACTCTCGGCAAGAGAGCGGCAAAACAGTAATGTTGGTCCGTATAGACTTCACAAGCCTGAATTAACTGAGGGGAGTGCAACCTATGATGAAGTTGAATGTTGAAAGTTGAAAGATGGTGGGGCCTGAAAGCATAGGAAATGGTTGTATGTACTGCACGGAAATGGGCTGGCGGGCCAAGACTCCGCTATGGTGTAACTGGTGTTAAATACCTTAGTAGGTTGGTATCCGTACGGAGTTAAGGGGTACTGTACGTACTATACAGGTACCGAATGTACAGTACAAAACATACAGTACATTTCTTACGGGTTTGGCTTCCGTCTTTCGGGTTGCTAACTCCGCTCCCGCATGCTTCCAGCTACACTCCTTGTAACGACGTCCGGAAATACAGATAGATATCCGTAGGTGATTGAGTACATACAGATCCATACCTGCCTGTTGATTGCAGACCGAGAATGAACTATACACTACAATACAAGGAGGGCAACCCGACGACATACACAGTGTTGTACTTCGCAATTACATGGTGCCCAAGTTTGATCGACTGTGATAACACCTGAACGGCCATCTGAACCCTACAATCTATTTGTATGTGCCCGGCCGTTTACAAATCCGGTAGTACCAAGCTTGCGCAAAATAGCCGTTTCCTCATTACGTCCGAGGCCCCCACGGTCAGTATGAGCTCAGGCACATTGGACAACCCTTGGCAGGTGATGAGGTACCTTCGTATCATCATCATGTATTTGAGAAACAAAAGGTATAACAGCACAAGGGGTATAGGCAAAAAGGTGTACGTGAAAACCCATATGTAAAGGTATGCTTAGCAACCGCTGTCTGGCCGACGCCGAACGTGAAGTGCCATCCAACGCTCGCTCCACCACATGCCTCTTTCTCTTCCGATCCACGGTGTAATGTATTGGTTTTGTAAGCCCCGCTCCCACATACTCCCCCGTCCGTATCCCCGGTCCGGCTAGAGCAATTCCCTCTGCAGCCAAACCCTTAGGCAATGTACAAAGGAAAGAGAAATTATTCGCATTGCTCAGATGACGTTCTGCCCTGAATTGAGCACGATGCAGTTATTCAGGAGCGTGGCCCCTTCTTGAAGCAACTCCCACCGTGTCATCTCAAACGTCTCCTTCAGCACCATCAACAGTGGTGTGTTGTGGTTGATGCCCTTCATCGACTTGAGTTCTTCGGGCGACGACACATTGCCGTATTTGATGAGATAATCTCGCATCTGCCGCACCTTGTCTTGGTGCGTCGCCGGCGGCGGTACGCCCGGGCTTGGGCCTTCCAGAGCGTATCCGTAACACCAGACTACCAGCGCGGCAAAGTACAGGACCCAAGGGCGGTTAAGTAGCACGTCGTCTCGGGCCGAGTACAATTCCTCGTGGCGGCCGTAGCCATTAGAGTTTGGAGTTCCCACGCTGTCCGACATCATGACCGAATGCAGGAACTTGAGTGCGTAGTAAGTCGCATCGCGCGCCTTCGCTGACGGCGCCCATACGTCCTTCATCCGCCGCTGCGCGCTGTTTAGGTCCTGCGCTCCAATTGCCCGGCCCAGCAGCCTCTTTGCCCTTGCAAAGATCTGACAGTCCACTATGTCCACGTGCATTGCCATGTGCGCCAGATGATGGAGCACGATCCGACTCTCAAACATCACGTTGGCCTCGTTGCGGTTTGAGAGATCATAGGCATACGGATCAGCCGAGATTTCACCCCGTCTGAGAAGCGTCTTGTCAAAGTCGCTCTTCCACGCGTCGAATGCCCGTGTCAGCGTCCCCCGCCATTTGTCCCGTCCTCCGAGGGCCTGGCCGACCCCGCCGCCTAGGGAATTGACCTGCAGATCTCGTTGATTCATATGCCAGCTGACACTGAGCAGGCCTGCCATGAGGATAGTGCGCCCGAACGAGTTTGTTTGCACTTCCTGGTTGCTTAGCGTTTTCTTGAGCCCCTCGAGAAACGAGATAGGCTTGTTGCCCATCGACATAAGGTTCGCTTCAATCCTTCCCACCTCTGCGCCGCTTGTGGCTTTCCACAACTTGTCGTCGCACGGCAATGGCAAGCGCATTTCGTGGGCCACCATCACCGTCGAGTGTCCAAACATAGTCGCGTGAATAGAATCAATGACAAATGCCGCAAACGCCGCACGCCGTGTCGCCTCGTTAGTAATCCAATGAGTCCACCACTCTTCCGGCGTATTGGCCATCCCGGGAGTCGAGGACTGTCTCGACCCGTTGGCCTTGTCGTCCCTGGGATTCGGGGGCGAGTCGAGGGCCGACTTTCCAATCAACGCTCTTCCGCGGCGCATGAGAGTAATCGTGGTAGCGTGATGGATGTGCGCTCGCTCGTGGAGCTCTCTGGTCGAATACATCTTCTCATACAACTCGAGGAGTAACAACGTCTGGAACACCCAGAGCTTGGCCGGCGGTCGACAGTTCGGGTCCTGGAACATTTCCCATCTGAGATGCCACGCCAAAAAATTGGAGAGATGCGCACTGGCCTTGGCAGCCTTCTGGCCGTGAGCCTTGTCGAGGCAGACTGCTCCAATCGTCATGACAGCGATCAATAGCAGATTCGGCGTCTTATCAGGCGAAAACGTCGGCTTGTGGAGGATTGGGACCTGATCGCTGAAGTGAAGCCAATAAGAGCCAATGTACGCTTGCATCATTTTGCGGCTCAAAATGTGCGAGTCGTCGTTCCGATCCCCCTCAAGGATGCTCTCACGCTGCCGTTCGACGGGGGCGTGGCCGTTTTCGTGAAACCGTTCCTTGATGAACTCATATATCTCTGCGCTCTTCTCTTCCGAGATGACAAACTCTGGAAGGTTCTGGTCGAGAAGGTTGGTGACGGACATGACCTGATGCGGCCCAGCCGAAGGAGGGTAATAACCCATCTGGCTCGGATCGTTATAGTAGGGCATATTGTATTGGTTCGGGAATTCTCCATAGCTAGAAAGCGTCAGACATTGAAGACAAGGGGTTGTTTGGAGACTCACTTGTAACCCTGGATGGGCACACCGGTCATCGGCGAGCCATCCCCGTGAGTGTTAAACAGATATGCCACAAAATCTTCGGGAATTGCAACGTATGGTGACTTATTGAGAATGCTGTCGCTCCCGAAGACAGGCATCGTTTGCTGCATTCCCATCTGATCTAGGAGCATCATCTCACTGGCCGCTTGCGGATGCTGATCGGTATACTCGGCGGAGTTCTGAGGGCCATACGCCTGCTGATCTTCCCTTGCAACGGCAGGGGACGACGCGGTAAAGTCGGACGGCGGAAGGCTAAACGGAGGAAAATTCTGTGGCGCGACGTAAGGCATCCCGTTGGCGGACTGGGGCGTATTGGCTGGCTGGCTGTGGTAGCCAGGCTGCGTAGATACAGGGGATAGAACGCCGTAAGGGCCAACATTGGTCTGGATCGATGGCCGTCTAGGGCCTGGCGGAGAGTGGTGAGCTGGTCGTTGAGCCACGTGGGAGAAACTAGGGTCGTGATGCATATAGTCGACGCCGTTTGGCGTCCCATTCGCGTACGTGGTCGGTGGGGTGTTGGTCATAGGCGTATATGGGCTGCCCATGGCATCCTTGGGAGACTGGTACTGCATGGTCAGCGGACGCCCTTTGCTGTAGCCGGTTCCTGGACGATTCGCTTCCGGCGAGGCGGAACCAGTTAAGGGGAAAGGCGGCCTGCTATCCGCAATAGGCGACACTTGGCTCATCAGCGAGTCTTTACGATTCAAGGCCGAACCTTTGGCCGTGTGCCGGTCTTTGTGCCGATTACAGAGGTCAAGCCGCACAAATGTCCTCTGGCAGTCGCCGATTCCGCACTTATAGACCTGCTTCGGATTATGGTTGAGCTGGTGGCGGTACCTTGACGAAGTGTTAGCAGTCACAAGCACGGCTTTCCAGTGTCGTGACATACAGGTGCTCGGCCCTGGAATAGCTCTTCCCACAGCCCTTTTCTGGGCACTCAAACTTCTTGTCCAGTCCCTTGCGGCTCCTCCTGCGTTTCCGTGCGGGGCCCTCTGAATTGGACGAGTGCGCTTGGTCTCCTCCGCCCTCACCATCATCGGCATCGTCAAGGTCTAAACCCTCAACATCCTTATCGTCGGACCGACTGCGGGCTCGGCCCCTCTCGCGGTCGGGTTCCTGTTTGACGTTGTCCGGCGACGGAGTCTCCTCGAGTGGCGCCATAGCCTGCGATGAGCGAGAGGCAGGCACTGACGCTCCAATTTCACTTGGCTGGGATGCAAGAACCGAAGCCATGTTCATATCAGACGCCCATTGGCAATACCAGGTGGCGACAGGCGGCACAGTTCGAGTGACAAGGACCTGGTAGGCTTGAATCGCTCATTCAACGGGGTGAGGTTTCGGCACAAATTCCCTCTCAGAGTTGGAAGGCGGAGAATCGGAAGATGGCAATGACGAGGGTTTCAAAATAGACGAAGAAAGCCCCGGTCCGGCCCTACCGCAGGGCACTCCTACTCTGCGAGCGAAGGAGAGGATAGGAAAGTCGGCAGAAGTCGATGGTTGCAAACCGAGAGACTACTTGTTCCGGGCTCAATCTAGACCTCGCCAGACCAATTTGGGAGAGCAGCTCACGGAACCATGGCAGGCAAACCCAGAACGACTCTCACTGCAAGTCGGAGGAGGAGAGGAACCGAAGGCTGGCGCGGCCCGGCGCCTCCCGAAGACGATCGGCCGCAGATGCCTGTTCTCTTGCGCGGAGTACCGAAGTCCAAAAACGAGAGACTATGCAAGTTCCTACAGTTTCGGAGGTAGTCTTAGTGAAAAGGAACCTCTTAGGCGGGATGGGAAGCGAGGTGGGAGGCTCGTTGCGGGAAAATGAAGGGAAAGTGGTCCGCTAATAGCAGGGCCGTATTAGAAAAGGTGCCCTGGGAAACCCTGCACGACGGAGAAGACGGGTCGCGGGAGAAGGGGAATTGATGGGGCCGGGGTGCGACATGGTAGCAGTGGGGGGTGGGTCAAGCATCTGCAAGCAAGCTGGTGGACCAAGCGCTCGGGTGGAGCTCTCGACCGCAGGGGGTAACGGCAGGCGAGACCGAGAGACGGAAGACGAAGACGGAACGGAGAGAATAGGGTAAAGTGGAGTAAGGGGAGGAATTACCAAAGTAACAAGAAATGAAATAGGATGGAATATAGAAAGAAAAAAGAATCAGAAATATCTGGATACAGGAACACTACTTCAAGTAACAATTGTAAAAGTGAGAAAACAATTCCTTCCCATTCTCTGTATGACTTGCAGCAAGCGAAATGGTCCGGGACTGCCCGCCCGTTGAAAGCTCAAAGCAGCACGGCCATCCACATTTGGCTCCGTCAAAATTGCTGCACGGGCAACATGTGCGCACAGTCCAACTTTTTCCCGTGATCGAGGCATGAAAGGCAACCTCTCGGGTACCTGCTCTTCTGCCCGCACATGCGGTCCTCGAGAAGCACTAGGAACTTGAAGGGGGAATTGAACAGGCGCCTAGCGTGCTAAAGAGGAGCAATGAAGAAAGTAAACATGGAAATGCATACCTAACCTCGTCAAGAACCGCCGATCTCAGTACCGCACCAGGGGTTGACTAGGCGCCTTACGTGAGGTACAGGAGGTGCGGGAGATACAGGAGACAGCGATTTGAAGGTGGCCGAGGAAGAACGTAGCAAGAAATCCGCAGGCAGAAATGCGACCTGGTGCGCCTGGCGTCTGAGATCGGTATCTGGGCTCCAACTCCAGTGTTGTCGGCTGGCTTGCCTGGGGGTTGAAAATGGAGTTCTGGGGAAGGGGATGAGAAAGTGAGCGGCGGGAGTGTGGGGGTCTTATTGCCCCGTTAGGCTTCACTTCAGAAAGGGCGCTGGCCGTGACAGGCCGCGCTGCCGTTACAAACAAGGTATGGGTAATGTATTGTATTGTACTTACCAGGACAAAACTTACATTAGGTACTCCGTAGCAACTGCCCGCACTGCCTAGCTAGTAGTGCTTAAGGGGGATGCCATATGTCTTTACCTTACCCAACCTACACGGCTTCTCATAGCGAAATTAAGCTTCATACCACAGGTTACTTCGTATTGCACTTTATCCGAGAGCGCGCTGATAAATTTGCCCTGTTCATCGAATTCAATCCTCAGCAGTAATAAGGCAGCCCGATGCCATCCGGCGATTTGCACCGCGCTCTCATCCTGTGCCTTGCGGCTGCGACTCCGGCCCGGGTCGCGGGTACTCCACGGGCAGTTACTGGGAGACCCGGAGTACCAGGCTTGCAGATCCATATAGACACAGAGATCCGCAACGAATGTCAGATGTTCGCACATCTTTTCATCGACTGATGTGAGATGCCATTATTGAACCCCCTAGTTGATTGTTCAAGGACCAATCGAGAATTTCCGTACCAACTCAGCTGTTCTTGACGGTCGACAACACCAAGCATCCCATAGCTAGTCGAAATCCCTTCTCGCCACCGCCACGAATAGGCCTGGGCCTGTTGACTGCGATTTCAACAGCTAGTGTACGGCTGCATTCTTGCGCAGCATGGAATAGCAACCGGACCTTTTCACACCTTGGCCCGATCCAGCATGGGGTGCGGCACAGCTCAAGTAGCGACTTTTGGGTATATATACACGCCCTGGTGTGCAGTGCTTGGCTCCGTGGGCGGGCGGGGGTTTGCCCCCAGCCGATATTCACCGCGACGCGACATATAATACGTTTGGTTTTAGTGGAAGGACGACAAGCAATCAAACGTTCACCACGAAGTACCAGGCAGTTGAGGAGAGTCGGGTTACTGTGCCAACGTCCTAGGGGGAGGTAGTGTCAGGAGAAGCGCACGCTGCCTATCTTCCTATGTAGGTAGGTATTTAACCCCTCCAGCCTGGGCCTGAACAGCCACACTACTCGCAGGCTGCGTAGGTCATGCTACTACAAGTGTATGCCACTCAGCAATGCTCCCATACCTAAATGGTGGATTTGGCCCTACCAGAGGCCCCCGAAATGGCTCGATAAACCCTCTCTCTTCCCCGGCTCCGCTTTCCTTCCCTATGCCCTCGTGCCCTCTTTCTACACTAGGAGGCTAGGTCCTCTACTGTACACGTACGACTATTGCGTACGCTATTGGGATGCTTGGGAAATCTTGATCGAATCCCCCAACCCTTGATCGGCGTCAACGCAAGACGGCAGCGTGGGATGACCTTGGGCTGACAAGAGATCAGGGCCGGACCCTGCAACCTTGCCATGGCAGTGGGGACTGGGGAAGCCAGTTCTGATTGGCAGAGAGCCTACAGGATCTCCGCGTCCCACTTTTGCATCCCAGCATTATCAAGGGAAACAAAAACTCCCGGCAAAGTTTCGAGGCTTGGCTGTCTTTTCGCACCGAGCCTTGCGATTCCCTCGGTATTCAAAACGTTGGTCGATGAGTAAGGTACCTTAGAGTTGCCATCACGGATTTGATGGCAAAGAGCTTCTGAAAAGTCATATAAGCTAATTTACATAAGTACACTACACGTACAAGTTGAGGACCGAACTCTCGTCGATAATTAGCGAAACTCCTCCCACAAAAGGCTCGAAACGCACCGGGGTGATCGCCAATGTAAAAAGACCTGGGAGTTCCAAAATGTGAAGCTTACGAACTGTGTACGCTACCTACAATACCGGTACAATACATACGCCTTTGGCACGGTATTGTCCGTCGAACGGCACCCGAAACCAGAAAAAGCACTGTGCAACCCCCAACCTGAAGATGTCCAGTTCCCGCTTGCGCCTCCGGCTCATGCAAGTCCGGGGATCGTGTCAACAAGGCATCGATCGACTGGACAGGCAACAACTACCTTGGAGCTTGGCTACGTTGGAGAAAGCTCCAAAAGTTCGCTCGGAGCTGCAGGCGTGGAACGGGGTCTTCAATCTCTTCTCCTCGCAGTCTCGGGTGACGTGGTGGTCTCAACTGTAGGAAAAGTAAAACGAAGCAGAAGTGTTGACGATCTGGGAGAGCCGCACCTGACCAGTCACGAAGCTGGTGATTTGCCAGGCCGAGATCCAGATTTCGAGTCGCGGCGAAGAAGAAACTGTAGGGCGCCACTGGCGGCCTAAAATGCAGCCGACATATGCAGGTCGACAGAAAAGTAATTGTGCGATGGTGGAGGAGGGGTCATGGACCTTGTAACTCGCATGCATCCACTCCTGATTGCATGATGTGGCGTCAATTGCCTTGTACGGAGTACGATACAGCGTTATAGCCAAATTCACCGCTATGGGCCATCCGTTATGCATGGCAGTAAATCTGTCTTGGTCACAAAGTGTTGACGAACAGTATGCGAACTTGCGATGCGAACAGAAGGAAAGCCCATCATAGAGGGTACAATTCCTATTGAAGCAGAGCGTCAGGTCAGGTTAGAGACTTCTGGCCCGCTTTCACCAAGCACGCGATGTGCAATGCACGTCAAGCATCCCGTCGCTCTTCAATCTGATCGGCTGCCCTGGCCTCAAATAATCGACCCCACCTGATGAGTACTAGCTACTGTGTAGCTCCGCAAACTCAAGCAATTCAACAAATAGAGCCGGGCCGAACAAACACCCAGATATCAATGATCGAATCTCAGTATGAGTGAAGGAACCGGCTTGTCTAATAGATTTGGCGAACCTTCGTCGTCACAGATTTGCAAAAGTTGACAACCAAAAGACCGATGGGGACAGTGCGCTCTGGGCGCAACTCGAATGCCCGGCTCTCCCGCTTTCCCGCTTTCAAGCGAAAGCCCGCCGTAAAGACGGGAGACCCCTCCGAGAGAGACAGACCTAGGTACCAGGGAGACTCTATTTTCTCTAGACGAAAATATACCAGAACAATCCACATACAATGTGCTAAGCATCACCGGGAATGGAAGAGTGCCGAGGAGCTCCTCCGACCGTTGCAAAACCCAGTTGCATAGGGCCGTCCGCGGCAAACAAAGACCTGGCGAGCGGTGACCCAGCTGGCCGGTTCCTGTGGCACCTCCACTGACTCCAGCCACTACAACCCACCAACCAGCAATCGAGGGGCCCCTGTGTCGTCAGAGCTTGGAATCCCTCGCCGCACACTTCCTTGCGATGCAGGGCTCCAAATCTCTTCCCGTCCCGTCCCCTCGCCCTCGCACCGCAGCAACATTGCGAGGTTCCGTCTTTTACCCCATAATGTGATTGAACATTGGATGACGACGCCTCCTCCTGAGCATTCGCACAATCACCAGCTCTTTCCGACACATCTTTTTATCCATGGCACCGCCGAAAACCGCCCGAAGCGGTCAAGACGACTCCAGGCCTGACGCCTCGACGCCGAAGGAGAAGAATGGAAGCGGCGCCACGACTCAGTCGAACGGCAAGATGCGGAGGGTTGCGAGCAGCGCGGGGTCAAACTTGCGCGAGGTGACAAATGCAAATGCCACAAAAAATGCAGCAGCTCCAACAGCAACTACAACCACTGGCAGTGTACCAGAGCCGGCTAGCCCAGGAGTGAGCGACCCTCTCAGCAGCCAGATACCTTTCCCACTTCCACACTGCACGGTATGCTAACTTTTTTTTCTGTCAAACAGCTGCAATGGCCTGCCTTTGACAGGGACGTTCTCCATGCCTACCGTCGGGCGTATCGCCTCAAGACTCCCAGCTCCTTCGTTAGCGATCACCACCAATGGGTCCTCACTCAGCCGGGAAGCATTGGTCTCTATTCACCGACAATTGCTAGACGCAAAGAATATAGGAGGCAGACCAAGGACCAATTGACCAGCGCAGTGCGGAGGCACTTCAACGGCCTAGGAGCCCAAGAAAACGATATCATCGTCGACTTTCTCCACAAGATCAGATGTCAGAGTGCGTCCAAGTGGAGGACGCGAAGACCCGAACATGTATCCCAGGATCTTGAGCGATGAGTTTAGGAAAACGCCGGAGCGCCCGATAGGGAGGCACACAGCACTCCTCGGAGGAGACATGATACATAACGAGGGAAGCGGCTTGCGGTGTATATCTGGAACGGATAATCTATAATCGCATGTGCTGCAAACATGATAGAATTATTGAGATGCAGATTGAATGTTAACACTTGTCGTTGGTACTAGTACCAAGTCGTTGTCGTATGGATTATGGATATGTAAGCTTCTACATGGCACAACAATCTTTTTGGCGGCGGAGGGTCATTAAAAAGATCCCACAATCGCGCATCGCGTGGACGCGGGGTGGGGTCCACAGAATTCCGTGGTCATTTCTAGCGCAGCGCTGGAAATGGCAGTGCTGCCTAAGGCCGCAAAAGTTACACGTACATACTTTCTTAGCTTGATGTAACAGTTGCCGTATGGATCGGCCCAAAAAAAAGAGTTAGCGATAACTACCGGGATCTCAAAAGTAAAAAAAAAACGACTACACAACAAGAGAGAAAACGGTTGCCAGTGGTTCCGCAACACATTGCTCTCTCAGCAACAGCTTCAGCACGGATTTCCACGCCAACTCGACCGTCGCGGGGATGCCAATTGCAAAGAGAGACCCGTACTGTACGAGATGAACTCGAGTCTTCTGCCCAAAGCTGCGCTTCCAGTCCGGCAACTGTCACCGGCTCAGATATGTCGTCACCAGCGACTAAGAGGATGCGCCAGCAGGTCATCGGCAGCAGCCTCCTATAGCGTGTCCACCAAGCTCTGCAATCGCCCGCCCTCCAAAGCGCGCCCTCAGTTATCCGCCGTTCAACCAAAGGTTGGTCTTCCCGGATGGCACATCCGTACCCGCACCTGCTCATGGCTCACCTTTGTCAGGTCTCCTTCCACACAACACGCCGGTTACTTGCCACCCCGAGGGATCCCTACGGCGTTCTAGGCGTCAACAAGAGCGCCTCGGCCGCCGAAATCAAGAAGGCCTACTACGGCCTGGCGAAGAAATTTCACCCCGACACCAATAAGGATCCCAACGCAAAGGACAAGTTCGCCGAGATTCAGTCGGCCTATGAGATTTTGTCTGACCCTAAGAAGAGGGAGCAGTTTGACCAGTTCGGCGCCGCCGGTTTCGACGCCAATGGCGAACCCGGTGGCCCCGGCCCCGGCGGCCACCCCTTCGGAGGCGGTCACCCGTTCAGTGGGTTCGGCGGGCAAGGCGGGTTTGGGGCGAATATAAATTTTGACGATCTTTTCTCGGCCTTCGCCGGTGGCGGGGGTCCCTTTGGAGGACGCGGCCGTGGCGGGCCCTTCCAGACGGAAATTCTTCAGGGCGAGGATATTGAGGTACAGGTAACCGTGTCGTTCATGGAGGCGGCTAAAGGGACGAGCAAGACGGTCACGACGCTGCCGCTCGTGACATGTAAGACGTGTAGCGGCAGCGGCTTGAAGCAGGGCACCAAGCGGTCCCAGTGCAAGTCGTGTGGCGGGACGGGCACGCGCGTGCACTTCATGTCGGGCGGCTTCCAGATGGCGAGCACGTGCACGACGTGCGGGGGCAGCGGCGTGTCAATTCCGCGGGGCTCCGAGTGCCGGACATGCCAGGGCGACGGCGTGGTTCGGGAGCGCAAGACGCTCACGGTGGATATTCCGGGCGGTATCGAGGACGGCATGAGGCTGCGGGTTAGCGGCGAGGGCGATGCCCCAGCACTGGGCAGAGCGGCGAGTCCGAACGCGAGGGGCACCAACGGCGATCTCTATGTCTTTGTCAGGGTGGCGCGCGATTCCCAGTTCAGCCGCCAAGGGTCGGACATCTTATACACGGCAACCATCCCTCTTACGACGGCCATCCTCGGAGGGGAGATCACAATCCCGACCCTTGAAGGCGAGGCCAAAGTTCGCGTTGCGACTGGCACCAGTACGGGTGACAAGATGACGCTTTCGGGCAAGGGCATGCCAAAACTAGGTGGCCGGAGAGGCGGAATGGGCGATCTCAAGGTTGAATTCCGCGTGGCCATGCCCAAATATCTCACGTCGAACCAGCGCGCCCTGGTCGAAATGCTGGCCGACGAGCTCGGCGACAAGTCCGCCAAGCGGATCATGAACCTGAACAAGACGACGACGTGAGATACACCAATCCCTCCCTGCATAATGCACAACAGCTGTTGAGAAGAGCCCATTACTTACCACCAACCCAAATCTTCTCTTCTGTTTCTCTAGGTCTACCGAGGATTCGCACAAGAACGAAGGCTTCCTCAAATCGCTCTGGCATAATCTCACCAATCACCCGGCCCATCAGCAAAAGCCGCAAGACGCCATCGACAAAACCACCGAGGACACGAAAAAAACTGATGACTCCGAGAAGAAGTCCGGATCCGGGTCCGGCTCGGCCTGATGGCAGCCTCGTGCAGATCATCATTACAAAAAACTGAAAGGGAAAGAAATGCGGATGCCCTTGATGTATGATACCATATCAGCTTTCCGTGGGCAGGGGGAGCCGCGTAAGTTTCAGTTTAATATTGTATTATGCAGAGGAAGGTACTGTACTAGAGCCAAGGAAAGGTAGCTAGAGACGGTTGTATATCTTGGGAAATCTTTCTGTATTGTATACCTGGCATGCATGGGGCCGGTGTTTGAACGGTGGCTGCTTTGAAGATGAGAGACAGAGAGTTAGTCGGCACTCTTTTGTCGAAGGAGAACAAGGAGAGCGCTAGGGCTGTTCACACATCCAATTGTGGAACTAATTAGAAAGGAAGCGGTAAACGAGGCCAAACTCCCCCTCCGAATCACGACCACTCTGCAAGACACTGATCTTTTCCTTTGGTGGAACTGGCGTGATGAGTATGCAAAACCTCAACAGGTTATTAATTTCAAAGTGCTCTATCTATACTAGGTGCTGTATCTCCCGGCAGATGCAACAAAGCTCTACATCATCATGTCATAAGCTTCTATTACTACTAGGAACCCGCAGTTCAAATGCTCCCCAAAACGCCCGATAATGCGTCTCAATCACTACTTCTTCACTCTCCCTTCAAAGAATGGCTTCCCCGCTGACGGAATGTCCGCGGCCGGCAGCTCGGCGGTGCTCCCGCGTACCGAGGCGGTAGCGGAGGCGGTCGATGGGGCGACGCTCGGCCCGGCATTCCCGGGGTTTCCGACCGGGCCGGGCGGCGGGGGGCCGGGTCCGGGCTTATCCTTCTTGATGCTGCGCCACTCCATGCCAAGCGCACACAACAGCGATGCAAAGGCGAGCGCCATGGCAGCCAGAAAGATGTGCCGGCAGGCGTATTCGTACGCCTCCACCACGGCGCCCTCAAACTCGGGAGGCGCAATAGCCGAGAGCTTGGTTGCGCCCTCGCTGACGATGTTCTTTGGGTTGAACCCGGGTACCACGGACAGCTTGGAGACGAGCAGGTTGGTCAGGATGGTCTGCCCCACAGACGTGAAAACGGCGCCGCCGAGCTGCTGCACGAAGAAGTTGATGGCGATGCCCGTGCTGACGTCCTCCTTGGGCAGCACCGTCTGGATTGCGAGTCCGGACGTCTGCATGCCAAACCCCAGGCCGAAGCCCGACAGGAACTGGAAGACGACCCAGTGCGCCGTCGGGCTGTCGCGATTGAGCGTGCTGAGGAGGCCCTCGCCGATGGACATGATTGACGGTGCGGCGAGCATCGAGGGGACGTAGTAGCCGATTTTCTGGGTGATGATGCCGGATAGGATGCTCGAGAAAACGAGGCTGAGAACGAGTGGTAGGGTGTAGATGCCGGATTTCATGGGATCGGCCAGCTTGACGGTTTGGACTGCAGCGATGATGGTGAGCACGGCTTTGGAATGCATTGATAGACCGCCCTTGTCATCGGCTTCAACTTACACCAGATGGGAACGTAGTACACCAGCATCAGCATGGAGCCTGCCAGGAAAAAGGTAAAGGCCGTGCCGCATGCGACGCTCCGCTGCGTTATCACCCGTGCCGGGACAGAGGCCGTCTCGGGCTTGAGAATCTCGATAGCGATGAAGGCTACGGTACAAACCGCAAAGACGGAAAGCAGCAGGATGATGTGCCATGAATCCCACGGATACGTCGAGCCGCCCCACTGAAAGGCGATGAACAGACAGACAACGCCCGGGAGGAAGAAGAACATGCCCAGAGGATCCAGGCGCTTGACATGGACCATGAACCTAGCCGGCTCGCGCCGCTCCTTGGGCGGATTCCAGAAGAATATCATAAAGACCAAGGCCACGGCCCCGATGGGGAGGTTGATATAGAAGCACCAGCGCCAGGTTGCTGCGCCGGTAAAGCCGCCGCCAATCAGGGGCCCCATGACCGAGGCGATGCCAAATACCATGCCGAACATGCCCTGGAAGGCGGGTCGGCGGTGGAGGGGGATCATGGGGATCATGATCAGCAAGGAGCCCGAGAAGATGCCGGCCGATCCCAACCCGGCAATGGCACGACCAAGGATGAACACGGTCGAGTTCGGAGCGGCGCCGCAGATGGCCGAGCCGATCTCAAACACAATGGTACTCAACAGGAAGGTCCTGATATCAAAAGATTAGCATTTCTGCGGACGGGGAGGGCTTTCCTCCGACGGGCACAGAGCACGACTTGCTCGTTGCTGTGACGTACCATTTCATGTCGTAGAACTTGTAGATGCGGCCGAAGATCAGTTGTGCACAGGCCGTCGTCAGCATGTACGAGGAGCCATACCAGCCAATGTCCCCGAGGGCGTGGAACTCGTCCGAGATGCGCGGCACGGCCGTGGCGAGGATGGTGCGGTCCAGAGCGACGAGGAAAAGGGCGAGGAAGTTGCATAACAGCGTCAGCCAGAAGCGGAAGCTCTTGGGCTTGAACAAGTCGTTGTCGCCTGCGCCGGGGGGTCCGCCGGGGGGTCCACCGGGAGGCTCCGTGGGCGAATCCGGGGGCTTCTCAACATCGGCCGTCCCCATTACCAGGAGCTGGCTCTGGAGGTCGCTCTGGCAGAGCTGCTCCGTGTTGCCGCTGCCGAAGGAGGCCTGGGACCCTGACCGTGGCCTGGCGCCCATGGCGGAGAGAGCCGAGACGGCGGCGGATGGTATTATGAGGCCGAGAGATACACGACAGTGACCTAGGCCTCAGGCCGCGGACAGTATGAGGAAGAAAAGCCAGAAGGAGGAGGAGCAAACGAGTGACGAATGATGAAAAAGAATACCCGCGACAGGACGAAGTAGGGAATAATATGAACTGGGCCCTTGCAAGGAACGAGACAGAACAGAGACAGGACGCCGAGACGCGGGCACTATTGAGTGGCTGGCCGCTAATAATGGTCTGGCATGGGGCTGGGCTGGGCTGGCTGGCCTGCTGGCAGTCGGATGAGATATTGGTGCTTTTCTCTCAGTATCCCAACTTACCAACCACGCAACAACGAGTAACTAAGCGGTCCCGACTCACGGAGTGTATGACAGTAGAGGAAGGCATCCCGTCTCTTGCCCGAGGGATATGTTTGTATTTTGTTATATGGGATCTACCGGACCTGTCTCGCACGACGGCAACACCGAACGCCGACACCAAGCACGACAGTCGGTCCATCATGGCACCATCGCATCGTCAAGGTGGGCGAAGCAGGAAAGCAAGTGAGATAATCTAAATCCGGGCCACTTGGATCTTAACCTGCGTCGGACTCTGGAAGAGCCGCTCGCCGACTTTCATTGATATTGGACAGGAATTGGGGCGGTTCCTGGACATGAGTGCCGATAAGTTAGCGTTTTCCCCATCGGATGCCGACGCCGAGTGCGTGCCTGGTTGTTGTTCCTTGCTCAGCCGTGTGCGTGTGTAAGTCGGTTTGAGTTGATGTGGCTGAGGAAATTCCGCCTCAATATTGGCTACAAAAAAGGCTTCTTTTCTCAGCATGACCATCAGTATCGCTTCGCCTTTTAGTGTGGGCCAGATCAAACCAGGAATGCCGTCCGAACTAGGCTTAGCGCCTATCCGATGCAAGTCCCTGTGCCAAGTCTCATGACGGATATGGCAGGCAAGTGTTCGGTCCCGAGACCACCTCCGCTTTGTTCCATTCATTCCATGACGACCAGACGACATGCGACTGATGGAGAGTTGAAGACATAAACTTCATGGGCCATCTGAACTCGAGAGAATGGTCTGGTCGCCGTTGCCGTTGCCGGCCCTTTGACAGCTGGGTGAGGGAATCATTGAGGGCAACTGCACCCTCAGGAGCACCTTACCCCTCTTCTCCCACAAGTTCTCTGCGTCTGAACCGTGCCAGTTGTCGAACGTGCAACAGCTTCCAGTTTGGAGGAGAGGTGTGTTTGGGAGTGCCCTGAAATGCTATGTGCGTGCATATCCTTGGGACGTTAAGTGCGTCGATTCGTCAATTCCTCAAGCAATTCTTCTTGGTAAAGTACGGTTGAATCTAAGGTAGGTGTTGACTGGCTGCCCCGGCTCAGCCCAGGTCGTGCTTGCTGTCGTAGATACTGTAGGTAGTTAGGTGGTTAGACTGCACCTTCTTTCTCTCCCATCTCATCGCCGCTTTGCCGTTTTCAATTATGCTCTCCACTGCTGTCTGCTTCCCACTTCCAGACTGTGTCGTGCATACCATTCTCCAGCAATTCCCCAATGGGAGTTTTGCATCAGGGATCGTGGCATTTTTATACGGGAATTGGGGGGAACCGCTTGCGGGCGTTTCTACACTCGGCGCAGTTGCCAGGCGTGCCATCTGTCACAGCCGCCGGCCGTCGCTTGCGTGCCAGCGACTCTTGATTTTGCCGATTCCTGCAGCGGCATCATCATCAGTGCTCCATCTCGCTTGAACTCTCGAAAGACAGACCGGCTGGCATTGCGGCTCTTATCAAATCGGCATTGAACCGACAGGCAAGGAGGAGAGGAAAAAGGACCGAGGCTAAGCTAAGCAGTCGGTACTCTGCAACTCTGCCACTCTGCCGCTCCGCCAATCCGCCACGCACCCGCTCACCCACTACTTGCCACCTTCTTTCCCCATCCCCTCGGACCCGAGCGGCTCACCCGGCTGTCCGGAAAGCGTACCCTGAGACCCAGCTCCCAGGTACCGGGACCTCGCCTTGCTCCATCGAGCCCTTACCCACGTACATATTACATACATATCCATACATCTCGGACAATGGGGTCGGAGCAGCCGCCCCCCGACGCCCCGCCGCCGTCGCCGCCGCGGCTCCCAGCGCCCGAGCCGGCCGTCGTGAAACTGACGCGCGGTCACTCGTGCGTCCTTTGCCAGCAGCGAAAGGTCCGCTGCGACAAGCAGAAGCCGTGTGCCAACTGCGTCAAGGCCCAGGTCGAGTGCCGGGTTGTCCCACCGCAGCCCCCCCGCCGCAGGAAGAAGAAGCCGCACGAGCGCGATCTAATAGACCGCCTGCGCAAATATGAGTCCCTGCTATCCCAGCATGGCGTCAACTTCGAGCCCATTGCCCACGAGTTGAAGCCCCTGGACAACGAGGCCGATGTTGCAGATTTGGAGCAGGAACTCATCGGCCTCAAAACGTCCCCCTCCAGCACCACCGACCACTTCTCCCCGGAAAGCGCTCAGGATAAGTCAGTCCTCCATAGCCCTCATGCGTCATTGTCACTCTCATTCTGTAGAAAACCTCGGGCTGACTTTGCTAGACAAAAGTGGGTTCCTCTCTCTCATGAGGTAAGTGGCCCGACCCCCCGGTGCCGGGTAGTCACCTTCTTACACCGGGCTTCCTCCTCTTCAACTGCTGCTGTGCGTTTTCTGTCAACCTCCCCGTGTGGAAACTCCTGTCCGGCTCTTTCACTGTGTCCTGTCCTGCGTGATCACATTGTCCTCAGCCGGCAAATAAAACTCGTTGGAAACCTCGCTTATGAGCCGCAACATCTGACGCCATTTCTGGCAGTACCGTGGGGATGTGGATGACGACTCCTCGGACGAGGAGGGCCCAACATTAAACGATGCCTTTAACACCGCGTTCGAATCCAACGACGGCTTCCCGTTCACGGTTGGCGGCTCGCGGGCCAGTGTCAAACACGCCCACCCGTCACCTATCCAGATATTCCAGCTATGGCAGATATATATCAGCAATGTCAACCCCCTCCTCAAAATCACTCACACACCTACATTACAAGCACAGATAATCAGTGCCGGCGCCAACACGGCCAAAATACCAGAGCCTTTGGAAGCTCTAATGTTTGCAATCTACTTTGCAGCCGTCACCTCCATGAGCGACGACGAGGTCCACAGCACTTTCGATGAAGATAAAAACGTCCTTTTAGCCAAGTACCACAACGCTACCCAACAGGCGCTTGTCAACGCTAGCTTCATGCGCTCCGACGAGCTAATGGTTCTACAGGCCTTGTTGCTCTACCTAGTAGGGCTCCCCTCCTTCTATCCAAGCTGCTCTCTACCGGTGTTCAGTATGCTGATCTGGTCCACAGCTCTGTGTTCGACAGTATGTTGATCCGCGGTCACTCTTTTGCCTCATCGGCCTCGCACTGAGGATAGCGGTCCGGCAGAACCTGCACCGGGACGGAGCTTACCTTGACCCCCCGGAGCCGCCATTCCAAGCCGAGCAAAAGAGGCGACTATGGTGGCAGCTTGTAATTTTGGATAAGCGCGTGGCAGAGGTCACGGGTTCCCAGATAACCGCTCTGTCTTCGTGCAGCAGCGACACAAGGCCGCCGTTGAACATCAATGACGCCGACCTCAATGTTGAAGCCAAATCCCTGCCGAATCCCTACTCTGGTCCGACAGAAATGCTCTTCTGCCTCACTAGAGTGGAGCTTACCGTGGCCGTGTCGCCCGAAGCCATTCGGCGGGCCGCCACCTCCCCGTCAGGAAAGACTCCGCACCACCCGATACACCAGCCGCGGGTACACTTTAGTCCGACCTCGCCCGACCTGGTTCAGCACGTCGCCAACCAATACATGCCTAACGACCTGCCGAGTTTTTGTTCGTACATGGAAAACTACTATCTTAAGCACTGCGACCCCAAAGTCCCCTTACACTTTTTCACCTTGTTGATGACGCGGATAGCGCTGTCCAAGCTCCGCATCATCGACTTCCTCTGTCGGACGCGGGAAACCGACAACATCGATCAGCGCGAACGTGATGCTCACTTTATGGAGGCCATCCGCATGGTCGAGATGGACAACATGCTTCAGAGCGCCGAGCTGCTGCAGGGGTTCCGGTGGTACACAATTCAGTACTTCCCCTTGCCAGCATATCTCTACCTAGTATCCGAATTGCGCCACCGCACCACGGGCGAACTGTGCGAGCGCGCCTGGAACGTCATGATTGAGAATCACGAGCTCCGCAACATGCTACGCCGCAACTTCCGTTCCCCTTTGCACATCGCTTTCGGGCATTTCTTCATCAAAGCCTGGGACGCCCGCGAGGCGGCCGAAATGCAGCGCGGACGATCGCTCCCCACACCAAAAGTAGTCGTTATGCTGAAAGGCATGGCATCCAAGATGACCCGGCCTGCTCCCCGTCAACCACCACAACCCCAGGTATCGATGGCGGACAGCGGCCTAGTTGCGCCGGACATGCAACAGGGTTTGATTCAGCAGCCGGTAGCACCACAGGGGCCAGGCAGCATGTCCACTGTTGTCAGCGGCGTGAATGCGGGCTCCTCGGGCCTGCCAACAACAATGGGCATGTATCCTGGTAGGTCGATGCCCGAGTCGACGACACAGATTGCCAATAGTGTTGCAGCGTCCGGTAATGGCCTTATGGTGAACGACCCAATGATATTCACGGGATATGACGATACGGACGCTCAGATGTTTGGCAACGCGGCCGCGGCGGTGACGGCGCCGGTCACCACCGGCCCCTTGGCAATGCAAGACGTCGATATGTCTCCCATGGATTGGAATACTCTGTTGCAGCTCGGTACCTATGGCGGATTTAACCCCGGCGTAGGGTTTTATCCGGGGTTTTATGCTCAGGGCGCCGGCGCTTCATGATGACAAGATGTTGAATCAAGATATAACCCAAAGAAACGAGAACATCTAGGTTTCGCTTCGCCAACTCAATTTTTACTAGATGCACGATGTGCTTGGGGATTGGGAATACTATATTCGAAGTCTGAGTTTTTGGTTGTTCTTAATCTAAACTGGCTTATGAAATAGGAGCAGAGCACGGATCTATACCCGGGTAGGTAGGGGAGTGCTCTTCAGGGAGGTGCAACTGCAACCAGGTACGGCGTCACGGAATCTTTGTCAGGCGGGGTCTCAGGGGGTTCGGTCCGGACCGCATTGTCCTGGGCTGGGTCAGGAGTTTTAGGCGTACCGTATCTAGGTGTGCTTGGGCGAGGCTGAGGGAAACTACGAGCGAGCGATATTTTTCATTGCTCGGGAGCTCGATCGGTTTCTCTCTGCCGCTACGGCTCAGCTGCCAATAGTGCAAGTGTCATCTTTGCGTGTGAAAACAGAAAAGGGAATAGAAAAGCCGACATGCGTATCCTTGCTTCCGGCTCTTTACTGGACTACTGGACTACCGGAGGATGAGAACCTGGGTGTGTGGACTGTGAGGGTCTCAGTCCCGGACCTTACTACTAGTATAAACAACCAGTACACTACTTAACTCAAACCTGTCTTGTTATCTCACCCGAGTTTGGAGTAGTATAAAGAGGGGAAGTGGACCAGGCCAAAGAGTATGAACTTGCAGGTGACTGGTGGTACGGCAGAGTATCTATCCTCCGCTCTTAAAGAAGCCAGAAAACAAGATGGTTCACATCCAAGCCAACTCTCCGATGTCTGTCGCTCAACAAGCACAAGATAGCTGTTACCGATCTACGAGACAAGACCCGATTGCTAATGTGGTGACTCGGTATCTCGCCCGTTTAGCCCTTCCTAACCAGACAAAGGGGCCGAGTGGCCGAGCAATCACCTTCAGCTTACCTTTCCTACCCACCCAGGGGAAAGTCCATATCAGAGAGGCAGGACCTAAATACCCCTACATAGCCAAACTGGGGAGTCTTCTTCCCCAAATCCATTACTTTCAACGACAGAGGCACGTACGAACCAAACAAAGCAGCATACAACGGACAGATGCCTCAATCGAATGGCCATACAAACAGAAAAAGAACCGTGTCTGACTACCTAGGTAGCTAGCTACCGCGGAAACCCAGGCCAGCTCAGCAAGATAAGCTGGGGCAGATCATCAAACCACCAGTAAAAAAAGATAGGGATCAGTCACTTAATCCTCACAAAACACAAGTCCGAACCCCATACAGCACTCCTCGGGCTACCCGGCTCCGAGCCCGTAAACACAGCCGTGGCATACCAGAACAATGAGGAAAGCAAAAAAAAATCGCCCATTCCTATACCCGCTTTCCGTTCCCTTTCCCGCTCAGTGAAGAATCATCCCTTCCATCCATCCCGTCAATCACACCTTCCGAAACGCCGCCCGCGCCCAGCTAACCACCCCGCCCAAGATTAAAGGATATGTCGCGGAAGAAAAAGCAGATAAAGAAGACGAAATCGCAACTAACCGCCCATTTTTGAGAGTCGAGAGTGTTGGGGATAAAAGGAACCGACAAAAGGACAAGGAGCTCAGTACAGTCATCCGTACCAACAGGTATCCATCGACACACCCCGTTCTATATAAATTACAGAGTCGCGTTCGTCATTTCAACGTCTCCTTTTTCCACGGTCGTTGGGGAACTCCCAATCCCTGTCCCAGTGCCACCACTGCCCCCTTCTACGCTGGTGGCAGATTTCGGCTCCTCCGAATTGGGAGTTGGGGGTTTTAGGAGGGTGGTGGATGTACTAAGCGACGGCCTTGATCCCGAACCCGCTGCAGCAGCCACCTTGTTTATCCTGTTCTTGTAGTCACTCAAGCTGAGCTTCTTCTTGACAGGACTCGGGTTCCCGACAGCAATTCCATGCACCGAAGACGGAGCAAAGGGGCTATTAGGGAAAGCACTAATCGAAAATGGCGACTGCAGGATCGACCCGGTAGAAGATAAAGGGGTGGTAGCGGACGAAGGCGCGGAGGCGGTTGCAGGGCTTCCAAACGTAGGGACAGGAGGCATCTGCACTCGTAGGTCGGGCGATTTGTTTTTCACGCGGTTGGCCGTGGTGGACGGACTCACGCCGACAACGCTCAGGTTGTTGGGAGACACCGGTGGTGGCGCGTTGGAAACTGCATTATCGTTTGAGCCGGAGGCTGTGGCCGAGGAACTCGCAGCAGGCCCATTTTCGTATCTCCTCGTCGAATCTGGGAGCCGCAGCTGCGCATCGGGATCGATTCCCTCGCCTACCTTGCTAGCAGTGACAGAACTTGCCTGTTCCACTGCACGGCGCTTCGCTCTCTCTTCCTCCTCGAGACGGAGCTGGTGCCAGTTGTCCAGCATCCGTTTCCTTAGACAGGACACCACCCTTCGTTTTGGAGTTCCTGTCTCGCTTGTTACGGGAGGATCCGTTTGCACAGCGGCATCGCGATAATTTGCGTGCGGTGCCGCCGAAACAGGCCGAGGTTGGGCAGGGGTCGATCCAGTTCTCGACCTCGAGTCTTTGGGGACTTGGCTAGCGTGCGTCGGGCTTACGCCGCTAGGTGACCCTGATTTACTTGATATTCTGGTCCCAGCATCAACATAACCACGTTCGGAAAAGCCGGTCGGGAGGTTTGGCGTCTGCGTAGCCGAACTCCCTTTTGACGTTTTCGCCTGGGTGTTCCCGGTACCGTCAGACACACGCTTTCTCTTCCGCTGTGGTTGCTGCTGCTGCTCCATACGGCGAAAGGAGTCTTCGACCATGGCAACTTTCCTCTTATCCCTGTCTGTCGGCTCAGTCAATATGCCAAGCGTATCGAACGAGCCTTGGCGCGCCGTTGGAGTCATGTCACGGCTAGGTGGCTTGCTCCGCGAGGAGCTCGACACAGATCTGCCGTCATGCTCGGGAACGTCTTCTAACTGGCCTTCGCTGGGAGCTCGGCTGTTGGTCGCATGCCCAGTGCTGGTGGGCGACAGCGCGTGCTGTGCCTTCGGCTTGCGTTTCTTGGTCTTGGGCGGGTTGATCCGAGGGCTGACCTTGTTGATGTAGTTACGGTGAAACCGGGCAAACGCACAATCCGTCCCAAGATTACACGCACAACCTCCGTGCTCCGAGAGGACAAGATGGACCCAGCTTGCGAGTTCCCGATACCCAATGTCGTCGAGACTTGGCTCAGTATGTGCGCCCGTAGAATCCTCACTGAGGCCGAGTATGCGGAGCATGCGCGTCTTGGTACTGGTGGGAAACCGAAAGTCCCATGGAATTGTGATTTGTTCTTTGGCTGCGATCTGCCGGTCGCTCACGAGCCAGAAATGATATTCGCTGCCAGCCGATAGGTAGGTCTCGAGGACGGCGTTCGGCCGGCAGCTGCGTCGGACAAACCGAGCTTCAGACCCTTCTTTCCTGGTGTCGATGTAGAGCGGAAGCAGCGGATGGAAAAGGACAAAGGGAAGGGGGGAAGTGAATTCGTCCCAACGATTCTCCGGGTCGGCGCAATAAGTCGCCTGGAAGCCGATTTGGCCGTTGACCTCGATGAGCGGGACATCCTTGCCAATCGCTGATGGCGCCTTGAGACACTGCCACTGCAGAACAGTGCCTGGCGAGACCATTTTCTTCGTATGCTCGACCTCTACCTTGACTTTGATGGAGTCGATATCGGAGGGAAGCTTTTGGAAGACCTCGTCAAAGGACCAGCCCGTCTCCTTTCGCATCTTTTCCTGATCGCGCAGCCAGCTCGACATGGCGTTGGAAACCTGCAAACCGGCAAAGCTATTGGTACTCACGATCTGGACATCCTGGTCATTGCAGAGAGAAAAGAACCCCGATGAATAATTGTGGATCTCAAAATCGTCCGGAAGATCTGGAGGGGTGGTCGCGGGACTCAGAGGGTGGGTGGCTTTCACGGTCCCGTACGAAGGGCTGCGCTTCGGCGCCTGCGAGCTGATTGACTGGTTCGACTTATGCGAATTCTTGGTCTTCTTGGAAGGGGGGGGATGATCGTGGGGACTTGGGTTTTTGAGGGTTTCGGAGGTGCCGTTGTGGAGTCCATTTATTTGAAGCTCAGAAGGCTTTACCTTCTTTCTTTGAGTTTTTGACGGAGGCCGTTTTGGTTTCTTGTCCACCGCTTCTTCCACTATTGGCACGGTGGTCCTGGCTCTCTGGCGCTCGATTGCCTGCTGGCGGTTCAACGATCTCGGCTCGCACTCAGCGCAAGAATGTGCGAAATCTGCCCGAAGGGCATCCTCGATGTTGTCTGGGTAGTAGCACTCGATGTGCTGCCATGTTTCGCACGTCTCGCAAAAAATCGTGTTTCCATCATCGTCAGTGAAGTTGCATATACACTTGATTGTGTAAGGCTCTTCTTCTACGGTCTCCTGTTTTCGAGCGACATCTCGAGCTGTGATGACGCCTGCGACGGAGAAGGTAGTCTGACTAGGGGGCGCGGTCGGCGTCGACAGTGCTGGCAGCCTGTCTGTCATAATCTTGAAGATAGCCTCGGGATGGCTTGGTAGCGGGAGAATTGTGCGGATATTTTATCTCTCCGGTCTGGAGGGCATGCTGCTCGCGCGATCCGACGCGATTGAATTCGAGGCGCGTGCGAAGCAAGGACCAGCGGAGACAACACCAAGATTGTCATTCGTCCAGGCTATCGGGATGCGCTACTCGCGACGCCGCACTCGAGGGTTGCGATGCTGCTCGGTTCAGGTGTTGTTGTCGGACGTCGCGGGAGGCTCGACGGTTAGGTTGGAGAACGAGGGTTGAAGGACACGCCCGGGTAGAAACGTCGCGGTGAAGATCTGGTTCAACTCAATGATGACGAAGAAGGACGTCGATCTAGCGGCGGTCCTAGCGATGTCGTCAAGTCGTGGTTGTAGATGTAAACGCTGCAGGTATTGGTCGCCTCTGGGGATGCGTGACGAGAGTCACGATGGAACGAGACGGAGAGACACAATGGGGTAGGATGGAAATGGATTGCGCCTCGAGGACAAAGGAACTGCAATCGACGAGAATGACTCGTTGAGGCGCGAAAGTGGAAATCCAGCTCGGATCCCGGGCGATGTATGTCTCGACAAAAAAAGAGACGAGTGGGTGACGCAAAAATTGGGGATTGAAAAGAGAGGCAGAGTTTGAAGGAGAGGAGAGGGCCAGAGTGGAAAGTGCAAAGAGAGAGGGGGGCCCACAGCGCGAACAGACGGAGAGGAGTGCAGCGCTGCGCGGCGCTGCATAGTACTGTAAAGTACCAGGTATGGTACGAATGTATTGTACCGGTAAGTTAACGCGAGCCCCGAGAGAAACGCTGCGACCCTAGGGAGGCCCGGGTCAAGGACGGCTCACCCAAATACACTGGAAAGGGAACAAACGAGGGAATGCGAAAGCACGACCAATCAGCCACGGCTTTCGTGGGAAAGCCTCGAGATTGTTTGGGGCGGGACAAGGAAGAAGAGGCGGAAAGGCGGGCTGACTTGCGTCGTGACAGCTCGATTGCCCCCTCTCACCCAGCAGTGGGAAGACTCCGAGCAAAGACTCGTGGCAGGAAATGGGGAGGTGAGCAGCCGAGTGTCTGACCTTGGAAAGTACCCGGCTCTACAGTGCAGACGGGTTTCGATGCAGCCTGAGGCACTAAACTCAGAACGGAGGAGGGGGGCGAAGAAAGGCGGTGGGCAACGGTGGTTTTGAAAGTCCGTTCGGGATTGGATTGGAGGAGGGACAGGCGATGAGTACCGAGGTCGGTTGGCGCCCTTTGCACAGCACCGATCGGCTTGGGTCAGAAAAATGGAATGAAGTGATCGCCCGACCCAACAAAAGCGGGGGACCGAGAGAAAAGAAGGCTGTTCGTGTAAAATTCGACGGCCAGCAGCGTTCCGCTTCTCGTGCATATGTAGCAACATTGACCAGCTATTCTTTGACAGGGAGAAACACGGTCCCGAGAGAGAAAACACACTCGACTGATAGTGTCCTTCTCAGATTTAAATTGAGGAATAAGGGTACCCGACATCGGCTGAAGAACAGACGGCGGGATGTATGAGGGCGGGTTTGTGTTAGGGAAGTTTAGGGTGAGAGAGCTTAGGCTTGAAATGTTGACACTAATGAAGGAGCAGATAAGCCGGAAAAATGCTGTTATCCAACCACGTACTTGGTATTTAACGTTATCCCATTTCTCATGTGCACGCTTGCAAGTTGCAACGGTTCAACAGCAAAGAGGACGACGGCCTGAGATATCATTGGGCATTTCGCCAGCGATGGAGATTGGAGAGTGCTCCGTGCCCGTGAGGTCGCAGAAGACTGTACGGATACTAGAAACTGTGATTACGTACAATACACACGGTGCGAAGTTTTATATACACGCACTAGTACTACAGTCTAACCTGCACACAACGATCAGAGGCATAACGATTACCTGTCTTTACCGATCAAAATCGTGAGCCCATCGTTATATATATGGGAAATTGCAATTACCTATCCATTAAGATAATCGTTAAGAATTTTTGCTGAGTAATGTATACAAATCGTTATAGTCAGTGGGATCTTCGGTGCTCTAAAATGGTACCTTGGTACCCCTGAAACAGTATTTTAGTGGTTGAGGAGGGTGTCATGTCCCACAATTTCCCTTCTTGGGCAAACTGTGGGGACCTCTGGATAACGATAACCTGGGATCTACGATTAAGATCCTGAACCCGGGCCAATCGTTATGTGCAGGTTAGACTGTAGTCTGTATTCAGTACAATACAAGTTGAAATGTACCACGTAATCTGGATACCTGGCTTATATTTACCACCCATGTTCTTTTGGCTGCGGAGTGAGCCTTTCGAGATCGAGTTGCTGGGATCTGGGCAAGATTGGCAGTCACGCCTTTCGCTGCCTCAGAACCAGAACCAGAGCCATGCGACGGATGCCTTAAGTTTGCTTACTGATATGTCGCAACGGCCGCTGGCATACATGAGTACACATTGTTGTACTGGACCAAGATTGCACCGGCTTTCCCAAAGAATCTCCATGACGCGATCGGCCCCTCATTGGTTCTCACATCCGACAGGGAACACCCAGCTTATTAGCATCTTTAATCGTTACAAGTAACGTAAGGTAGGCAATGAAAGTGAAGGGTAGATAAGCAATATATCGTTACCATACACATGTTTCCCCCTTGATACTGGCATACATACAGGCGGTTTTGTTCACCAAAGACAGAGCATGGCTAGCGTCAGCAAGAAGGGCGATACATCTGCGTGGTCCTGGTGGCCCCTGCCAAGCCGGGGGCTCACTGGTGGAGGGAGCTTTGACTCAATAGCACGGGCCGCATCCTGCCTGCCATTTCTCGCCCTATTGAATCAACTTCATTGATACGCGCTGAACCGAAAGCTACACGATATGTAGGAATCAAGATACCTAACACATACGGAACATAGAGCAGCATTTGCCTCAAATGTTAGCATGACATATTCTTGGCGGTGTCGGAGCTAAACAACTTGAAGTCGTGGTTGGCGAAACCGGTTGGTGCGACCTGTACTGCACTGTACCTACTGTACATACAGTACGAGCACATGACACGCTAAAATAGCAAAGCGAGGCGCCACCAGATGTTGTTGCCAGCTCCATAAAAGCCCCCTCTGTAGCAAATGAGAGCCTTGCTTCTCCACCATGACGTGCGGTTAGAGGTCACCGCCCCAACCAACCCAGCCGCCTGATAATCCTATCTGATTCCATCGCATCGTCGTCGCCGCCGCTCATCGACTTGGAATCTTGGCCATCGAAACAGTTTAGCTTCAATTCCTTCACATCCTTGTTTTAGGTACACCGACAACGCGATACTTTCAGGCGCTGTTCTAGTTGGAGGAAACGGATCGAGTTTTCCCGCCATCCATCGATAGTCAGTCACTATGAGGCTCTCAAGAGCCTTAGTCGTCCTCGCAGCGACCAGCGCCAACGCCCTCAATGTCTTCCGCGGCGACGGTCAGAGCGTGATTGCGGGAGACGAACTCGACGTCCCCGGCCAAAACCCACTCAAATTCTGCGAGGCCGACCGCAAGGATGACATCATCACCATCGAGAATGTTGTCTTGACACCAAATCCGCCTGAAGCGTAGGTTCTACCTGATATGAACGGCTAGAGTTCTCTTCGGCGCAAGACGACTGACAGTATCTTTCCAGAGGCGTTACCTTGGTCATCGAGGCGACAGGCACGGTAAAGGAGACGATAGTCGACGGAGCATACGTGAATCTGCAGGTCAAGTATGGCTACATCCGCCTGATCAACACGCAGGCCGATCTGTGCAAGGAGATCAAGAATGTCGACCTCGACTGCCCCATTGAGAAAGGCAAAATTTCAGTCATCAAGTCGATCGACCTGCCCAAGGAAATCCCACCGGTACAGTCTTACCCCATTGAGCCGTTTCTGGTGCAACCGCTACTGACAACTCCCGCAGGGCAAATACACGGTTGAGGCGGATGTTTTCAGCAAGGACGATGAGCATATCACCTGCCTGACTGCTACTGTCGTCTTTGGCCGGAAGGCTTTGGGCGGAATGCTCGATCTGTAACTCAGCAGCAGGGATTTTGTAGGGGAAACGATGTTAAGATAGTACCTAATCCGCATCACGAGGGCATTCTGAGGACCGGGGATCGCGCCATGGGTGAGAGAGGAGTTCTGCTGCTTTATTCTGTGCTACAATCGTCCTTGGGTATAGCATATTGACCGCACAAGGGGTCATTGGGCTTGTTCTAATGGAATAAACGACGTTGAGTTTCAACGACTGCCCATATCTGGCTGGCTACGTGGGATGAAGACTGCAATATAACCCGTGCATATCCTTCTTACTCGCCAAACAACCGGCGGACCCTCCGCAAAACGCTGTCTTTCTCTGGGTCATAGGGATGATCTTTGCTCGGGATCTCGAGGACGGTTGGGAATGCTTGCGTGTAAGTATCAATTCGATATCGTATCCGGTCGGCAATCTGCAACACCAATCTTAGTGCGTGACTCAACCCAGGGGACTGCGAGACTGACATGTTGATTGATCAGGACTATCCCAATGTCCTTCCTCTCCGTAGTGAACCTCTCAAAAGCCGCCTCAATGGCAGCGTTGTCCGTCTTCGAGTCTACTACTAGAAAGTTCTTCTGGTTGTCTGGCGGCGGTGTGACATGCTTCCAATCGATCGTGTTAGGCCGAGGGGAAGGATGGATCAGAGGGAGTCAGGCAGGGTACGTACGCCGATGCCTGCGAGGAGCAACCCCGTGACGGAATCCTATTGTCCAATATAGTAGTTAGAGCAAGACCTCAGAAGCGTACTTCCAAGAAATCTCTTGCCTCGTCTCCTATCACGGCCAGGAATTGCCGGTCCTTGTAGTCCGCTTGCGACGACATCGCGGGAGTAGATGATTCGGAGCTGCAGAAGGCGGCCTAGTTCAGGGCCGAGAATGAGCAATTGGAGTCAGCGTCTTATTGGTGGGGCAGCACGGCTTGATTGTCCAAGATACACGATTCCGTCAAGCATTTATTCAACAATGCAGGCGTTCTGTGCTAGGTGGGAACCGCAGGACCACTGATGTGATGATAGCACGGTTGTTGGACGGCAGCTCTGGCCAAGAACCTTACCAACAGACCCCCGTCGAAACCCCGCGGCCCCACGATGCGGTGCTGCCTTGCCGGGTGCGTCCAGTGCACTGTAGCTGACCCCTGCTCAGTGTAATTTTACCGCTTTCAACTCTACGTAATCCGCTCTTACCAAAATTTGACCCGACACCTTTGGATGTGCCCGACGGCCTGTTTCGCGAAAGTAAACAATCGAACCGGCGGGCTCTGGCGACAACAAAGGAAGACGACAAAGGAAGCGGCTAACCGCTACCGCAACAGGTCCTAGCTGGCCGTCGAGCGACGTTGTTAGCAGACGATTCTGGTGTCCGCGCTTCCCACATGGCTATTTAGACGCACGACTGACGGCAACCGAACCCATCACATAAACAAAATCCACCGCGACATTCGACATCGCAATTTGACTCCGCAGCTATGCCTCCGCGACCACAGCGTCTTGTGCGGCGCCGACCGCTTGGCGAAAGGCTCCGCGCCATGCTGAACCCCATTGACTTTTACCTCTGGCTGTCTGAGGAAATACAAACCTTTGACTGGGACTCGAAGGAGTTTGGGACGCGATTCGGACTGGTCGCCAACTTCGTCTTTCTCGTCGCGAGAGCAAACAATGGTGGAACAAGCGAGGCATTTGACGACGACGTGTTTGGCGATTCTTCTGGGAACGGCCTGATATCTCTGGTGGTAAGCCTAGCATACTCGCTCTGTTTGTCCCTTCGGATATCCTGCTGACCCGGTTGATGTGCCCAGGTAAATTTCCTGCTGTGGACATTGGCATCAACTTCCCTCCTGAACGCTTTCTACACCATGACACGATCACGGAGTTACCGCCTTTTCGAGGTGAGCGTCGAGACAGCAGGGCCAGGGACCCCATCGGCACAGCGAGTGCGTGTCGATTCGTCGCCCGCTTCTTCAACCCCTTTGCGGCTTATCCAGGGCGCACTGAGACCCGAGACTGCCGAGCAACGGGCGCACCCGGACAAGACGCGCGATGTTTGGGAGATGAGGGTGTGGGACCCGTATCCGGCGACTTTGCGCATGTTTTGCCTCTTCAGCCCCGGCCACGTTCTCATCCACATGCTCTTCCTACCGCTGCCACCCCTAGACCCGCGACCAAGCGTTACCGTGTTCAAATGCATCCTTCTGCAGGTAATCCTGTCGGCACAGCTCCTGCTCATGCACTCCCGCTTTTCCCAGCAAAGCAAGGACACAGCAATCATCCAGAAGGAAGTAATGCACGAGTACGACGTTAAGTACGTACACCCACGGCTTCACCCTGTTGTCCGTGAGGTTTCGACGCAGGTATCTATCAATGACGGCAAAATCGACCAGGAAGAAGTCACTCTTGGCACACCAGCGACAATAATCCGGCGCGCCTTTCAGACGCACCCGAACCCTAACTATGCCAAGCATATCGATCCTAACGCTGGTCAGATGCGGCAACCCAGGGGCACGATGTCCCCTAGCCAACAATTCACCCCTTCCTACAAGACCAGCGCAGCAGGGCCCACGTCCTTCGCCGCCATGGTCCAACAACACAATCAATCGCCACTTAGGCGAAGTCTGCCTCCCATGGTATCTCCAGGTGGAGGCGACGCAGCGACCACAGACCTCTCCAAGACCTCCTTCTCCTCAACCGGCACCAGCACTGGTACGGGCAGCTTTAACCTTCCGCCAGGGTCAGGTTTTGGCGGCAGCCTTGGCGTTTACACCCACATGAATTCGCCGCTTAAGAAGACGACTAGTCTTGGGGACATGAAGAACGGCGTCCCCTTTTCCCCGCGCAACTCGCGTGAGATGGCCGCGCTGGAGCAGAGGGAACTCGCCGAGCGCATGGTACGGCAGAGCAGTCCCTTCAAGGAGAGCAATCGTCGGGCGACGACACAGTTAGACCCGTCCAGCTTTCTGCACTCGCCTGAAAAGTTGGCCAAGGCAAGGGCCACCCGCTGGACGCAGGAGAGGTTTCCCTCCAGGAGGGTTTAGTAGACTGTTTTTGGGCGGACGATGTCGAATGAAGCGGTGGAAGTTGTTTGCTTCCATAGTCAAGAGGCCTCGTATCCAAGACCGACGAGCGACTCAAAGACGGGACGGCGTTCGTTTGTCAAAGCATGAGAAGATTGGGCGCACCGGCAACAGATATTTTCTTTGGGAACGGTTGGGGTACATACTTGAGCATATTCAGGCGTCCGGAGTCGTACAGGATGGATTCGGTGTTCTTCGAAAAAGTCGTGCCCGCATCTGATACGCATCAACTACTACTCTGTCGTTGTATCATAATCAGTACGGTCTCTAACTACACGGGGGTTATCTCGAGCACCGTCGAATTTCTGCATCTCGTCTCTAGGGTATCTGGGAAGATAAAGATTGTCAATACAATCACCAAGGCAAGAGCAGTTGGGGCAGGCGACACGAATGAGACGAGCAAATGCAAATGGCTATCCGGCGGAAGCCCCTTGCACCAGACCTGGAGCATATGGAACTTGAACATTAGCTCGGGGATTGGTGTCAGAAAGGGTAGGCGGCCCCGTGTCGCCCGGTTGTCTCTTAGCTTCCACAATCCGGACTCTCGAGTTTGGGTAAGTAGTTGCATCCATTTACGGGATGTTTGTCTCTACTGCTCCTTCCGAAACCTAGGCAAGGTGGGACTGTCTGCCATGATTGAAGTCGGAAGTTGGAAGCTGGAAGCTGACAGCATGAGCACTCCTCCTAAACCCCTCTCCCATACATCATCAGGCTGGAAACGCCTTCTCATTTTTGAGCGGATTCGATGCCATGGTCTGAAAGGCATCGGCAAGCCCGGCCTGACCCATTTCACCTATCTTCTCTGGCTCTGTCCTCATATTCATATCTCTTTGCCTACAAAGTATCTTAGATACTAGATGCCACAGGTGTCAATTCGCGATAAAGTATCCTTACTCCATGGTGTTGATGATACGGGCAACATGTTCTTATCCCCAGCCAGGGACCATCACCAGCACACCCGGCCGCCAATGCCTCCAGTCAAGGACAATATACATCAGACCCTAAGACAGCGTCACGCAAACACGGTTACAGTGCCAGTCGTACCCAGAAACCGCAAGCCGTTCGTCGCATCTGTGGTGAACTTCTTCTGCAAGCTTCGACCCAGCCGGCGCCCTGAGCGAGGCGGTACTCTCAGGTCGGTAACAGACAACATTGGGGAGTCTGAACCAGCCAGGGCAGACTTATTTGTGCGCAACAAAAGCAGATCGCATCATAGAGCCGAGTCAGTGAACAGTCCGGACTCGGAGGGAATTCCCCCGGGCCACTGGAACATTCCGTCGACTGTACGTGCACCAGGGAGCACTGAAGGAGACGGTGGAAGAATATCAACAACCACTTTCCTGCCGCGTAGGGGATACAGCATCAATACCCACAGTAGTCGAAATCCCGGGCACCACAAGCACGACGGAAGCAGTTCTCAAGCCGATCCGCCACCTGCAAAAAGCCTCGCCCCTTTCCAGCCAGCTATACCCCCCAATTCCATCGCCCCATTCACCCCCCTTCCTCGCCGCTCGCTCGTGGTGCAAACCAAACAGCAGCTCCGCCGGCAGCGCCGTAACCTCAAGCAAACGGGCGACTTCCTCGGCGTGACGGGAGTAAACCCTTACACGGGAGAGCTCGACGTTATCACCCCGCCGACAAGCAGCAGTAACAACAACAGTTGCGATGGTGAGAGGGGCGACAGGATAATCTCGCAGGCACCATCACCAGCATCCTCGTCGTCGTCATCAGCTATTCCGCACTCGAGCCTCCTGTCCGCCCTTTCCCAGCAGGCGCGGGAAGCGCGCGAGATGTATGACGCAGCCTTAGCGAAGCGCAAAGCGCGCATTGAGAGGGAGGAGAGGAAGCTGAAGAGGGCTGAGCAGCGGAAAGAGGTTGTCAGGGAGGCTGTCAAGGAGGGTGGCGTCAAGTGGATGAAGGAAGAGGGCGGCTGGCTGTCGGTGACTTTGCCGGGGCTGACCCAGGCTAGTGGGAGCGTAAGGCTACTAAGTGAGGCGGCTGATAGCACGCATCTGACGACGGAACGGGGTGCTTTTTTAGGGATGGTGGCGGCGGTGAGGGTGCTAGGTCGACGCCGCTACCACCGTCGCAGCAGCACCAGCAGTATGGAAGGGGAGGAGGTAGAGATAGGGATGGAGGCGCTAGCTCAGCGCCTGCAGCAAGAGGGGTATTGGCTGGGGACGCAAATGGGCAACACAGAGCTATCACTAGCCGGGGACTTGGGGTCGACAGAAGTGGTGACCCGGTTCAGGGTTCCAACGCGTCACAGGCTCGGTCCATGCCAGGAGATCAATGTCGGTTACCCAGGAGATCTGCTGGAATGGGGCTGGATGATCACCCAAGAGCTGCCTACCCATCCTACGCCCGGCCTGTTAGAGGACATGATTGCGCACGGCATCTGGACTGGTCGGGTACTGGAACTGGACGGCGCCAACTCAGCGAAGGGGTGTTCAGGCGGCCTGGTTCAAGACCAGAAGACCCTAGATGGTTTTACCAAGGGCGACGACATGAATCGGAGCCACTGGCCGGACACAATGACAAAAGCCATCAGCCAGTCACGCCTATCTGCCTGCATACGCACCATCACCACTACTGGCTCAGAGTGCAGCCAACAGGATCCCTCTCACGCCGGCGGTCACAACTTCGACGGCACGCTCGACGAGCTGGAAGAAGCTCTCCTGATGCGACGATACCCGACACCGCCAGCTCGGTCACAGCAAACATCGTCCCTGTCTTCGACCACAACACCCAGCAGCGACTATTCTCCGGAGTCGGCGGATTTCCGTCACCACACGCAACCGAGCGCCTGGCTGAGTCCCGCTGCCCCAGCTCCGTCTACGGAGAAGAGATCAACCGCAGTAGAAGACGTAACGGTAATGGTATTGCTCCGGGCAGCCCCGACCTCGGAGGTGGAACCAGAACTAGACAGCGCTACTACGTCGTCGACAAGGAGTCAGGAAGACGAAACGACGACGCCTCCGGAGGACAGCAGCCGGTCCGCCTGGCGAGCTCGGACGGAAGGCGAGCACGGGCGCAAGGACAGGACAAGGAGCCAAACCGAGGAGCAGAGCGAGGGCATATGGGAATGGGAGATGCGCAAGACGATGAGGAGGAAGAAACATCCCAGAAACGAAGCGGTAAGCGCGAAGAAACTCGCACCCGCTTATACCTCCACCTACCTCGCGAAACCTTCTTGCCATTACCGGCAGACCTTCTACCGTACAGCTATGGCACGGCGAGCCGCACGGGCAGCCTTTCAGGTTGCACACCAGTGGACGTCTCCTCCAACCCCGGGGCCGTCAATGACGATAGTTCAACCACCGGTATCAGCCTCCCGCGGGAACCCCGGCCCTTCCCCTGGCCAGGCCAAGCCCAAAACCAGTCCCAAGCAGCCCGTTGTCTTTCCCCTGGCCCAGAATGCGATAATAGCAGGCCACAACGGCAAAGGAGACACCGGCAGTCATTCCAGGCCGCATGATATCATGAGGCGGATACTGGAATCCTGCACGTGGGCCGGCGCCGGGATGGTTGGAGGTTATTGGCGGGTTGTGGCGCCCGCGTTTGATGGCAGTTCGGACATAAGAAAGAGGCTTGACAAGGCGCAGGCAACTTGGGAAGACTGGGGCGTTCTTGTGCTGGCTGTTGGGTTTGTGTTCCTGGCGGTTTCGGCTGGGGTGTGGGCGATCAGGGGCATTGTCTTGGTTGCGAGGCTGTTTGGAGTGCTCGGGGGTGTTCTGAGGGTTGTGGCGGGGTTTTGATAACATTGGGGATGTGCATACATGGGGGATCAAGAGACGAGCCGCCTCGTTTATTGTTCAGTACTAGGATAGAGTAGTAGTCGTGTAGGCAAACATCTGATAGGGTCTCTCGGAACGTGCTAAACCGGGATGCGGTGCTTGTGCCGCTGTCAAGAGCGCAAAGCGGTAGGCAGGGGAGACAGGTAGTGACCCATATGCCAGATACAGTCGGGTATTCCCCCGCATCCGCGATGTTAAATGGGATGATAACGTCCCTTTGAACGCTTTACAGTACTGGCCTATCCCGCGTTGGAGAGGTAGTTTGCTGTTTGCTCCAATAAGGCCAACCGTTGCCGGCACAGGAGCTGATTGCCGTGAAGTAACGAGTTATCCTATTCTCGCTGTAGCATTCTTTGAGGAATACGTAGATAAACCTCCAGGCTTCAGGGGATCATTCTACTCCGAGGACAAGGAGAAGAAGTCCTGGGACTCGTTGACCCGACGTCATGAACTTGCACTAGCATTCGATCCTGTATTCGTCTATTTCGTCTCCCAGAGACATGAAAAGAGGCCCGTTTCTATCTATAGTGCAGGAGTATTTCAGCCCACCGACGCCGGTCTTGGACCGAACCCGGGAAATACAGCGGATGTTTTGGGGTAGATCGACCGTTTTCAGACCGCTGCCCCACCCATCCCAGGGCATTGTTAGCGACGGCTCTCTTCCTTCCCCCGCCCCGATCAACCCCATGCCAAGCCACTGGCCAATTGCAGGCTATCCTTTAGCAATTCCGGTGGCCACTCCGCATTCCGCTAACCGGAGCCCGCTGCTGTACTCCGACTATCGGCGCTTCCCAGATCTTTGAATTGGAGTCCGTCATCAGACCGAAGACTTTCATAAGTGGCAGAACTCATCCTGTTTGCATTTGCATCAAACGGTTCAAGGCAAATAACCTTTGATACTAAATTCTTGAGAGGGCTTTCCTTTCTTCGCCACTGAAGTTTCTCAACCACAAAACGTTTGACGAGTGGGATCACACTTCATCGCACACAGTACCACCACCCTTCGGCTGTTGTTGCGGATTATATACATCATCGCGTGACCACTTTTGACCCGACGCACACATCGATCAAGAAGCGGATCTGAAGGAAGCTTTAGCTTTCGCATCGGAGAAATCAAAGATGCCAGTCGCCGAGAGGACACCCCAAACCCTCTACGATAAGGTCTTTCAGGCCCACATTGTCGACGAGAAGCTCGACGGCACCATCCTTCTCTACATCGACCGCCATCTCGTGCATGAAGTCACATCACCAGTGAGTACTTTCGCGAGGCACACCCAAAAAACATCAATCACTGACATGCATCGCCAGCAAGCATTCGAAGGATTAGAAGTCGCCGGGCGCAAAGTCCGGAGACCGGACTGCACCCTTGCCACAACTGATCATGTACGTTTTACCCATTGTTCTCCCCGAAAATTAATGCTTTCAAGAAAATTAACCAACGCGTACCATCTCTTAGAATGTGCCGACAACCTCCAGGAAAAGTCTCAAAGACATCGCAAGCTTCATTCAGGAAGACGATTCCCGGACTCAGTGCGTGACACTGGAAGAAAATGTCAAAAAGTTTGGCATCACATACTTTGGTCTGAGCGACAAGAGGCAAGGTATTGTCCACGTCATCGGACCCGAGCAAGGCTTCACCCTCCCCGGTACGACAGTTGTGTGCGGTGACAGCCACACGTCGACCCATGGCGCATTCGGCGCCCTCGCCTTCGGTATCGGCACCAGCGAGGTAGAGCACGTTCTTGCCACACAGTGCCTGATTACCAAGCGCAGTAAGAACATGAGGATACAAGTCGACGGCGAGCTTGCGCCGGGGGTCAGCTCCAAGGACGTGATCCTCCATGCCATTGGCAAGATTGGCACCGCCGGCGGTACGGGTGCCGTCATCGAATTCTGCGGCTCCGTGATCCGCAGCCTCAGCATGGAGGCGCGTATGTCCATCTGCAACATGTCGATCGAGGCTGGTGCGAGGGCTGGAATGGTTGCGCCCGACGAGATCACCTTTGAATACCTCAAAGGAAGGCCGTTAGCCCCCAAGTACGGCTCTGAGGAGTGGAACAGGGCTGTCGCGTACTGGGAGTCACTCAAGTCCGACCCGGATGCAAAGTACGACATTGACGTCTTCATCGACGCTAAGGATATCATTCCTACCGTCACCTGGGGTACAAGCCCGGAGGATGTTGTGCCGATCACTGGTAGCGTGCCCGACCCCGAGACCTTTCCTACCGAGGCCAAGAAGGTGGCCGGCCGACGGATGCTTGAGTACATGGGCCTCACACCCGGAACGCCTATGGAGGATATCGTGGTTGACAAGGTCTTTATCGGCTCCTGCACCAACTCCAGAATTGAGGATCTTCGCGCTGCCGCTCAAGTGGTCAAGGGTAGGAAGGTGGCGCCGAATATCAAGCGCGCCATGATCGTGCCCGGATCCGGCCTCGTCAAGGAGCAGGCGGAGAGAGAAGGCTTGGACAAGGTGTTCACCGACGCAGGCTTCGAATGGCGGGAAGCGGGCTGCAGCATGTGTTTGGGCATGAACCCGGATATTTTGTCTCCCAAGGAGAGATGCGCCAGCACCAGCAACCGGAATTTTGAGGGCCGTCAGGGCGCCCAAGGCCGGACCCACCTTATGTCGCCCGTAATGGCGGCAGCCGCCGCCATTGTGGGCAAGCTTGCCGACGTAAGGAAGCTGGCGCAATTCCAGGGCAGCCCCCACATCGAAGCCGCTGTTGCTCCCGAGCCCACATCCGGCAAGGCGCACGCCGATGAGAGGATCGAGACTGACGACACGGAGAAGGAACACCTCACGGACCAGCCTGAGGATTCCTCGCCGCAGGTCAACACGTCGATTCTCCGTGGCGGTGCCGCTGGCCTTCCGAAATTCACCATTCTTAGGGGCATCGCCGCGCCCATGGAAAAACCCAACATTGACACGGATGCAATCATCCCCAAGCAATTCCTCAAGACGATTAAGCGGACAGGGCTTGGCAGTGCCCTGTTCTATGAGATGCGGTACCTCGAAAACGGCCAGGAGAACCCTGACTTTGTCCTCAACAAGGAGCCTTACCGCAAGGCCAAAATCATTGTCTGCACCGGCGCCAACTTTGGCTGCGGCAGCTCGCGCGAGCACGCCCCCTGGGCACTGAACGATTTCGGAGTCAAGAGCGTCATCGCGCCGTCGTTTGCAGACATCTTCTTCAACAACTCGTTCAAGAACGGCATGCTGCCCATTCCGATCCGGAACAAGGACGATTTGGAAAAGGTGCACGCCGAGGCGGTGGCGGGCAGGGAGATTGAGATTGACCTGCCGAACCAGCTCATCAAGGATCAAGATGGCAACACGCTCTGCGCGTTTGAGGTGGAGGAGTTCAGGAAGCACTGCCTGGTCAACGGGCTGGACGATATCGGCTTGACGATGCAGCTCGAGGACAAGATTGCGGAGTTTGAGAAGAAGATGTCGAGGGAAACGCCTTGGCTCGACGGGACGGGCTATCTTAAGCGCAAGGGCATGGGCGGTAAACTGGCCGTCAAGGCGGCGCCTCTGCCCAAGACGAACCGCGGTGACGTGAAGACCGAGCCGCTGGAGTGGTAATAAGCTACTCTTACTTCTAGTGGTGATGGTTACTGGGCTGGGATTCTGCTTGTGTTGTGATACCTAGGATGAGGTCCTCTTTATTTGCTTTTCATGAGCCGGAAGTTGCGGCGATACTATGACTTCTCTATTGGCCGAGCCCTACTCTTTTAGGAACAGATACTGGCTACATGGCGGAGGATTTGGTCAATAAAAGCAACTGGCGTATTTTACCGTGAATGGCTGATCTTTTCTACCGGAAACGATTTGTCAGCACCTAAATCAGTCCGTCAACGTTCTAAATGTTGAGGCCCTTATTCAGCAACCGTCAGATTTGGCTTCGCTCGCGTGCGTCCCAAGCCTCAAGCATACAGGATGGAAAACGGCTGCAACAGCCCAAAAGAGAATGTGCCCCAGGCACCGAAATTCTTCAACCACCTTCTTGGGAAAGGGTGCTGCCCTTACCGACAGGATCTTAGTCAGACATTCTCACGATGTGTCGAAGTGGGAAGCCAGTTCACGATGCTTGTCTAGCTGAATCAAGACACATGCCCGAACGCAAACCTCGGCGCTGGGTCGCCATCCAGGACTTGGGGCCATGCAGGTCCACGGCGTCGTCACTCTTAAAGATCCTTCTCCTTTCTCTTTGCCCTTCCTTGGGCCCATAGCTACCCCCAGCGAACGGCACAGTCCCGCCAGCCTGGATGCCATGCCCTTACCCTCTTGCTCCCTCTCCCTGTTCTTAGGGGAAACAGGGGCTGGGCACACGCCAAGCTGACGATGTATGATGATGATGATGTATGGAAAATCCTCATGCTGCTTTTCGGAATGACCGACCTGGCCTTGTCTGCTCTGGATGGTGAGGAAGGAAGAAATAGATAAGGACCCAAGGGCCCCTCCTCATCAATTGGCTCGGACCAGCTCTATGAGTGGCAGCAGTAAGTAAAACTTTGCGAATTTTCGCGACAGTAAGGATCGCATGACTGGATTCACCCCTTCGAGTGCCCGGTACGGCAGCAGCAACAGCAGCAGTCCTACCCCGTCGGCGTCAGATCCGCCAAAGAAACGGACACGGGCAAGCAAGCCAAAGGTTCGAACCGGCTGCATTACATGGTAGGGCTCCACCATCTCTCCTTGGATAGCTACTACGAATGACGGCTGATATAGCTTCTCATCATCCTTCTCTCAGCAAGTGAGTAGCGGCATACATCCCGATATCTTGCTAGTTGGTAGAAGAAGTCAGTTAACCGGCCACGCCTTAGAATCCGACGAGTCAAATGCGGCGAAGAGAAGCCGGCCTGTCTGCGGTGCACATCAACCGGCCGCGTTTGTGACGGCTATGACAACAAGGGGACGTCCTCACCATGCAGTCCTCCAAAATCAGCACACACGGCCGAGCCAGCTAAGACCAAGTCCGTCGAGACGTGCCCTTGGAGCAGGGCGATTCAATCGATGCGTGCTACTGGAACCTGCGCCGACGGCACCAAAACCAAGCAGGATCCATCATTTACTAGACTCCGGGCTTTCAGCCCCGACACCCTCGCCGCCAGGCATGACTCGGCGTGTCCGTTCACGACCTTCTGGAACCGTGTGATGACCCGGCCGAGCGACCACTGCCCGGACGACGCGGCCCTGCAGCACGGCCTGGCGGCGTTAAAAGCGGCTTACCAAGCCTTCCAATACCCCGACGACGACGACGACGGTGTCGAAGTCTTCATCATACAAGAGTACAACAAGTCCATCGAGCGGCTCCAGCTGGTGGCGGCCCACACGGCAACGAGCCTGCGCGTGACGCTGCTCTGCTGCCTCGCCTTCATCTCGCTCGAGACGCTGCGCGGCAACCACGCCGTGGCCGTCACCCACCTCGTCAACGGCCTGCGCATCCTGCAGTCCCTTCCCCCGTCGGATTCCGGTGACAACAACAGGGACACCAACACCACCCTCGACATGCCCCACATAATCCAGCTCTTTGCCCGCCTCGAAGTGTCCGCCTTCGGCGCCCACGGCGGCAGCAGTAGCAGTGCTAGTAGTAGTTCCAGTATCCAGCCCGTCGTCTCGCAGAGGGAGTAGCCGACAGACCGAACCCGGTGATGCTTCGATGGTAGCAGCAGCACGAGGCACCCGCGCCCTTCCCCACAAACAACACCCGCGGCTACAGCGGGAACCTAAACATTACTATCAGACCCTGCGCAGCAGTAACGACAGAACAGCATGCATGCCTGCTTGCTGGGAGCAAGCATCCTCCAGGTCTGAATAGGAGGCACAACAACGAAAACAGTGAGCACTGCACTGGCATACCACCAAGTTCGTTCAAAATTTCACGGGACCATATGCGTGCTCCTGGGATTGAAATCAAGGGGACGGTTTCAACCATATAATTGGTACGGTACATACATGATATGATGATGGGGTATTCCGCTCGCTAACAACCGCAGCCTCCGTGACAGCAGCAAAGAATGTACCTGGACGGAAAGCAGCATGATGACAAGATCAAATACAGCTGGAAAAAATTATGGTACTAAAGGAGAAGGAGGTGAAGGTGAAGGTGGCGGGATGAAAAGGGAATATAGACAAAATAAAGAAAAATAACGTTTTCCCAGTCCTGCCAAACCCCCATAATCCTATTCCCATCCCTATTTTAACCATGACAGATGCAAAAGCCCGTCCCCTATCCGGATATCTAGCCCACCCGTCCGCCTGTCAGCCATCTCAAAGCTTCCCGGCAACAACCTCCTTTTTGAATATCCTGACGCCTTCCACTTCACAAAAAGGCACGCCTTCCACCGTGATGATCTTCTGCCCCTTCGTGACATCATCATCGTCGCTATCGCTGTCGTCTACAGGCCCGGGAGCCGCGGGCCCGGGATTCAAGCTCAGACCGCCCGGTGTCTGCTTAGCCTTTACGTCGGCCGTCGATTTCCCGTCCTTTTTGCCCTCGTCCGCCCCCTTCTTTTTCTTCTTCTTATCCTCGGGCACAACGCGGATCAGTTGCTCGGCCCTATCATCGTCATCGATTGAAATCCACTCCAGCTTCAGGAACGGATAGTGCGAGATGTTGTCAATCAGGAACCGCTTCGTCTCGCGCATGACCCAGACACACGTATCCTCGTTACGGAGCTGGATAATGTGCAGAGCTCTCAAGCTTGCCAGCCCGGCGATGTGCTGCATGAAGGAGTGCTATTCGCCGCTGGGTTAGTGCCTGATCGATAAACTAAATAGGGAACACACAGCCTCGGAAGTGGAAGAGAAACATACCATAGCCCGGACGCTCATGTTGCACGCCAGCTCCTCAAGCTTCCGTCCATGCCTGCACAGCAGCAGCACCGTCTTCTCGTTGACATCCCATGCCGTATCCGCCAGGTTTTTGATCATCAGCCGCCGCAGAGTCCCCATGTGGCGCTTGAGCGCCATCTTGCGGATCTGGTCTATCGTCACCTCGGTCCTCGGCGCAAAGCTCTCGGGCTTATACTTAACCTCTCTCTCGAGCATGAAGAGCTCGTGCACTTCCTGGAGTGCCGAGACAAAGTTCAAAAAGATGGGTGTGACGTGGTCGGTGAAGATCTTGCGCAGCGCCAACGGAGCCTCCTTGTTCTCCTTGTGGAGCAGCGCCCAGACCGGGTTCTGGATGCCAACATTAAGAAGCGTAAGGCGGCGAAGAACGCGCAGATCGACCGCTCGGGAAAGAACAGACGCCTTAACCGGAATGAGGTAGATGCTAAGAGACTCAAGTGCCATGCCCCTCGTTTTGCGGAGGTACTCCCCCATGCGCTGGATGTGAGCGTGTAACTTGTCCCTGTCGGTAGTTGTGGGCTGAATCCGCTCGGCGAACTCAATCTCTGCTTCTAAAATGCTAATCTCCCGCTGCATGTCCTGGATACTCCGGTTGAAGCTCAGCATCTGCGACTCGGCCTCCACTAGGCTCTTGAGGTCGACAGTCGCGCTGTTGGCATGTATTCGCTGAATCTCCCGGTCCAACTGTCTGGCGTAGGCCTCGAACTCATCAAGTTTCGCTGACAATTCCTTATAGTTGGCCTTTTGCGCAACCAGATTGGCCATGGCCTTTCCGTACTCTGCTTTTGCATGCGCAACGCCCGCTGCTGCAGACGAGGATGGTTCTGAAGAAGTGGCTGCAGTTTCATCTACTGGAGAATCACTGGCCGGTGGGTCCTGGGGATCAATGGAGAGCTCTCCTTCAGGCTCTTCGATATCAATATCCTCGGGGCTCACGTCCTTCTGCGCTGCCTTCGCTTTCCTAGAGGCTGTGGGTTGGCTGAAGAGGCTGAGTCCGGACTCGTTTGTGTCGGCAGACTCTTCCGTAGCTGTGGTCTCAGACGATGGATTGGCACTCGATGATGAGGCGTTAGTGTCGTTCGGTGTTTCCTGCTCTTTCTCTTTGGGCGGTTTGATTTCATCAAGGTACTTCTGAGCCGCGAGTCCAATCGCGTCAAGGACGTCCTGGGACGCCGCAAAATTGCCAGTGCCGTTCACCTCGGGGAGCAGCTTCGACACATATGTCTTAATTCGGCTAACGAAGTCGTCGTCAGACTTGATAGGGAGCTCCCCTTTGGTATCCTTCACTTCAGGTTTCCCCTTGTCATTTTCTCGATTCCTCCGAGACCTGATATCCAGCAAGGGTTCGGTATCGAAGATGCGACCCAGTGCGGATTCTTGTGCTTTCTTTTCTTCCTGTGCTCGGAAGACTTTGGCAGGCCCGCTCACGTCGTCGTTTTGCGGTGGGGGCGGTAACGGCTGGAAGTCGTCCTCGGAAACTGAGTCTTCTGGGTCTGGGTCGACCGACGGACTCCTGGCCAGCGACGCAAGCTTTTCTGAGAAGGATAGTTTCAGCTTCGAGAGAGTCCCAGCGGAGTTCCGAATGCACGACCTCAGTTCAGGAACAAGGTCAAGCGTGTCGATGTCGAGGACAGCAAGGGTCTTGAGGTTTTTGAAGCCGGATAGCGTCGTGGCTTCTTTCACAAAAGGTGATTTCTTGGCCACCTTGGACCGTGGCGCTTTCGGTACCGATGAGGAAGGTGTGGTCACGGTTGCTACATAAAAGCTCCCGGGAGGAGGGAGTGGAGGTGGTGCAAAGCCTGGTGGAGGAAGGGGGTTAACCGGCACAACATGCACGGGTGCTAAGGACGGGGTCGAGTTGGATGCATTGTATGGAAGCGGTGGTGGCGCATCGTACTGAGAGGGTCCAGCGTGTAGCCTGATATGAACGTGAGAGAGAGACCCGATCTGGTGCAGTGCATTGTAGACCGGACGGCTGAGTTCGATGCGGATGTTCCACCTACAAAGATGTTAGTGTCTTGAGGTTCTCAACTTGTCTTATCGGAGCGCGCGCAACATCCTTGGGAGGTGGGAGAGACTGACTTGAAGGACTCGAGCGCTTTCGCCTTGCGCAAAATCAAGAACAGCAAAGTGTTCATAAACTTGCCGCAGCTCAGGTTGGTAAGATAGGGCCTATAAGCAAGCTCGGCCTTGTCGCCCATGTAGAGGGTATCAAGACAGAGGTTCCGCAGGTGCTGGGCATAGTTGTAGTCGCTCGTAGCGAACGTGTCGAAGCCCCCGGCGAGGGCATCGACGGGCCCGTCAAATTGCGGGTTGTCCTCATCCGGAAAGACGATGCGGAAGTCGCGATACAGCTCAGCGGCAGCGAGTTCACGGAAGTGCTTCGAGACCACAGAGAGACTGATCAAGTCGCTCGTGGGACAATGTCTTACTATCTCTCTCTGCACCTCTCCAGGCAAATCCAAGAAGGGAAACGGCCGACTTGCCAGGGACCCGGGCGTGCCCGAGGAAGTCATGGCGAGGACGAGGCGGGTGGGGATTTCGGCCGAACCGGCACGTCGTGGTGCGACAGCGGTGCAAGCAGTTCAAGACTAGTTGCACGGAGGATGGAACGGAGCCGGGCGGCTGAATGCGACCAAAGATCTCCAATGTCGGAGCACCGACTGATGATTTATAGCTAGAGTCAGCTACTGTAGGCTTCTCCGAGGGCGCAGATCTTGAAAGCTTATTTTCAGGTCAAGAACAGAGCAATTGCATGATTTCCTAGCGCAGCAAGCAGCAAAGGCAGGCAGAAGAGTTTATGGGAATGATGGAGGGCGTTGCGACAGGCGAAAGCTTGATGGATGTTGGGTGGTCGAGCAAGGGGCAGGCAGCGCTTTGAGTGGGATAATCTGCTACACGCTGCAGCGCTGTACGATTGATTATGAATGAAGTACTCCGTATGTGCGGAGATTCGCACCGTGCTGTCCTCCCTCTCCGACGGGGCCAAATTGCCGTGGCATAACACTAAGGTTAGCGCGGGGCAGTGGGGCGGCGATCGGGCGGGTTCCGTCTTTCTCCTCAACCTGGGATGATGTTGTTGCTGAAATCCAGGTTTGACAGCGAGGCGGCTTATTATAGTCCCAGTTCTTGTCAACCCCTTTGATCTCATTAATTTCGAAAGTTTCGCATTTCCTTACAAATAGTAAGGCTACACAGCTAGTACATAGTCGACCGGTTCATATTGAAGGTATGTTGAAGGGGACTTGAGTAAGGTAGTCCCAACCACGAGACATGTTACACGTCCAGGTTCTGTACAAAGTATGTATTGTACAATACATACAATACTCGAGTCCCCTGTAACTGGTGTGGGATGGTGTTGCAAGAGATACATTAGGATACTCCGTACAAGGGGTTATTCCCCCTACATCGCGCATTCGCAATCAGAAACGGTCTGGCAGACGGAGCAGATGTCTTGTAACATGATTATGTTGTTCCTGAAGAAAGAGCCTGAAGTCTCCTCAACCAGACTCATCTCATAAAGTCGCACGGTTTCCATGCTCTTGCACCAGAGCTCCTGCAGCACCCCTCGACCCCCTGGTGCACTGACCTTTGCTAGCGTAGATATATGTTACAGAGTTACAGAGTGTATTGTATAGAGACAGATGGGAAACAAACTGAAATGCCAATTGCTTTTATCTCAGGTTCTCAGACCAGCCATGCACTGTATCCTTTGTACTGCCCATGGACCCACTATATCCACAGAGCTCTCCAGCCAATCAGAACCCCCACCCAACAAACAGCGCCAGCTGGTCTGAGTACGTTCCGAACAAAATCGCGGTCTCCGTTATAGAACTGTCACTTTTCCACCTACTTTCCCACCCACAACCTACTACAACAACAGTTAGATATGTTACCTTCTAGATACATTAAAAGAATTGCATTTGCAAGGCCTTTTTAGCTGTGGTTGACTTACACCAATTGGTCTAATCCCGGCTGGAATGCAGCTAATTGAAGCCGTCGTGTAGGACGGCGCGGGGCCCGTTGCAGTCGCGTGGAAGCTATTGAGTCAACTTTCTATACCACTTTTTCCACCTAGTATAGTACTGACCTACTTGTGTAGCAATTGAAAGAATGGCCATTTTAAGAGCTTCTTACTAGTGGTAGGCTTTTTCGCATTGGCCTAGTATTGCCTAGGATATAGTAGTTACAAGCCGTCGCGACTGTTGTAAGCTGTTAAGTCAACCTGCCACCCGACTGTATAGGCCGACCTTCCACGACGATTTTTTCTACTAGTATTGCTCCTACGTGTACAAGTCTACCACTGAAATGACGGCCTTTGTAAGAGCTTCCTGCTAGTGGTAGGATTTTATGCGTGGGACTATTACTGCCTAGAATGCGTGCCGTTAAGTTAACCTGCTATCTGACTGTACGAACCTACTTCTATGCTTCCTAGGTAGTATTGCTCCTATATGTACGGGTCTACCACTAGAAGAATGGCTATTTCAAGAGCTTCCTACTAGTGGTAGGTTTCTTTGTGGGTGACCATTACTACCTGGGATGTAGCCGTTGCGACCTGTTACCTGACTGTATAAATCGACTTTCTACGCCGATTTTTCCACTAGTATTGCTCCCATGTGTACAAGCCCACCACTGGAATGACGGCTATTTTAAGAGCTTCCTGCTAGTGGTCTGATCTTATGTGTGGGCCCAATACTGCCTGGGATACGCGCTGTCAAGCTAGCAATTCTATACCCTCTAACCTAGATCTCCATAGCCTACGAAGATATTGCTATGAGGGTAATTGCCTAAGGTAGGCCTGCTATTTCTTATCCTCTATGTTAAATTTGACAATGGTATTCTAAGTAGTGGTTGATTCTGACTGGGGTAATCTAGGTCGACGCCCCTCA